GTAGTAGTAGTAGTAGTAGTAGTAGTAGTAGTAGTAGTAGTAGTAGTAGTAGTAGTAGTAGTAGTAGTAGTAGTAGTAGTAGTAGTAGTAGTAGTCGTAGTACAATCATTCTAAACCCACGGGGTGAATTTATATTATACATATAAATATATATATATATATAAAGAAGCAGTAGAAAAGAAGGAATATCGAGACAAGACGAGGCAAAGAAAAAAAAAAGGAAAACGGCGACTGGAAACAAAAATAAGGGGTATCATAAAAATACACATATACATACACAAAAGCGTAGCGCAGCTTTTCCCGCAGGAGTCGCAAGACGCGACGCAAACACATACCTAAAGAGAGAGATGGGGGGTCTCTCCTTTCTTCCCTCTCTCGCCGAAAACCCTGGTTCACCGCGCGTTGACCTGGCCGTATAGAGACATACCCGTTGCCCCATGACTTCGCTGTGTCCAGCCAGACATGGATCCTCGCAGTGTTGGCACCAAGAGCTCTTCCTGTGTGTGGACAGGACACAGCGGATCGAGTAGAATGCAGAGGCCAAGGCAGAAAGTCAATCTCTACACGACAAAAGTCACCGTGTTCCATCTCATCCACATGACACATCCTGATCGTTGCCCCGTTGCCGTCCCCCAGCATATGCATAGTCTCGGCCGTCAACCTCCTCATCAACGCTCAGATACGGATGAGAACATATCATCGATCTTCCTCATCCAGTTTCTCGCCGACGTCACCTAGAATGGCATTCGTGGTGGCGCTGCTGATGTACTGGCTTCCCGTACCTGGCCCGTCAATCAAAGGACTCGTGGGCGCCGTGACCATGCCGCTCTCTCGATCTCTTTCTTTCTCCTTGTCTCTTCCTAACCCGCCCTGTCCGATGCTCCCGCTGAGACTATCATTTCTCCCGTGCCCTCCACCTCCAAGTAATCCACTCCTCACGCTGGCAGCATCGCCGTATTTGCTACCAATGTAACTGTTTCTCTCGCTCGCCAGTACCGGGGCCGTGGCACCACTGGCGCTGATCAGGCTCGCCCTCTCGGCGTTCAAGGTCGATCGTGGATACGTGGCACCGCCTTCACGTAATGACACGTTGTCTGCGCCGGGGTGAATCACCGTGCCCGACAGGACGGACAAGGGGAGACTCTCGCGTGACCCGCCAAACATGCTGGCTGGCGCGAGCGCCTTCATGCTGGCGTTGGTATCGACCGAGTTGCGACGGCGGCGTTTGGAGGAACTTGCCAGGGTCAAAATCGACGCGTCGTCCGTGAGGACATTGTTCGCCGTTGCGGTTTGGTATGTCATCGGATGGCCATGGGGTGCGAGGTGTGCCGGGACGGCGGTGGCAGGTTGACCACTGTAGTGGGAAGGGGTGTGACTGAGGGGATTATGCGTGCCATGATTGTGTGTAGGCGCAGCTATCGACTGGACCGTTGTAAGCGTGGTGGCCATGCTTCGAACAGAGGGGGCAGGGGAAGAGAATGTGCTGTCCCGTCCACCCTCTGTGCGCGGTGCCGTTGCGCTCGTTCCCGCACCCGAGGGGGCAAGTTCGGATAGTGCAGTCTCCGCCTGTGTGGCCAGCGTGGGGGCTCTCGACTTGTTTCCTGATTGACTGTCGTGGGAGATGGACACGGAGTGTTTGCTTTGGGACATGGAACTGTGTCGCGAGCGCTGAGAGGACAGGGGCGTGGAGAAGGAGAGGTGGCCGTTGTGCTGAGGCTCGGCGCGCGACAGAGGGTAGGGGTTGTTCTTTGCAATGTTGCCCTTCTTCGATTTGGTGGCCGTCGGTAGATTCGAACGGCGTGCACTGCTGCCATTGGTATCGTGTGGATCGACGTGAGGCGTCTTGAGGTTTGCTAGTCGTCGCATCCAGGCTGCGAAAGGTCGCCGGCGGCCATGTCTGTCTGTGAAGAGTTAGCTGTGACACGGAAAGTGCTGCTCGCGGTGTTGGCCTACCATGGGCGCGAGGTGGCGCTTCCGTGGAAGCCATGGAAGGTGGGCTAAGCTGCGACGAGGTCCAGTTCAAGTGTCCGATGTCGTGTCAAGAGGGCGAAGGTGTCCAAGAGGTCGATGGCTTCGTGATAAAGGTATCGAGATGTATCGGGAAAATAGCGTCTAGACGAGTGCACAGACCGTGAAGATGACGGTGGTGAGTGATTGAGATCAGGTAACGGAGATGAGGATACCGCAGGGAGAAGGTGACGATTTCGAAATGGGAGAATCTCCTGAGGTCATGGATGAAGGTAAAGGCGTAGCAGGGAGAGGAGTCTGGAAGCAGGAGAGGCGCAGTCAATAATAAAGTGTTGGGAGGAGGATCGATGAATCAGATTTGTTTATCTCGGTACACCGCATGAAGAAAACCAAGAACTGAAGAAGCCTGAGATACTCGGGCTCGTACTCCGTATCCAGGTAATAGAGTCCTTTCTTCTATACCCAACTTTACAGTACTCGAACTCCGTACTCCTTATTACTTGTAGGGACGTGGTATTTACCGAAGACTCCTTAGAGCCTCACAAGCCCTTCATAGTGGATGGATAGCCCCCAGGTATACTCCGTACAGCCCAATAATGACCCTGACGAGCCTAATGAGCCCTAGCGACTTGCATCGAATCCCTTTCCCGTCCCTTTTCTCTTCTTCCCCAGACATTAATTTCCACGTGGCTTTCTGTTCTGCATTGCTGGCATAGAGGTCGAGCTTCAATCAGTCTTCTACTCCGTACGTCCCTGTTGTGGTAGTCTACAGATATTAGAGCGCACATGCTGAGAAGACACTTCAAGTCTCCACAAAGAGAATTATCGAGGTATTGATGGGTCATTAAAATAACCAATCTTCTGTGACTTATGCTGAGATAGAGGCTCATCATCCACCCTCATCCCTTGTCAAGCCAAGTCCACTCAATGTACTTCAGGATGCGTAGACTTGTCCCTCCAAGCTTGTCTCTTTACATGAAATCGTCCTCATAGAAACCCGCATCTCTATCCTCGTTGCTCACCATGTTTTCCTCCCTCATCATATCGTCGTAAGCATGGTCCTTCTGCCACCGCAACTCTTCACGCTGCTTCCGCTCTTCACGATCTCGGGCCTTTTGCTGCTCCCGAGCGATCCTCTCAACTTTGCGCTTCTCTCTCTGGTCCGTGTCCTTCTCAGCTCGCAGATCGGGAAACTTTTCGACTCGGGTCTTGTTCAGCCGGTTGACTACGGCGTTTTGGCGGACTGGGACGTGGACCTTTTTGACCATTTTCGGATCGTGGAACGACACCTGCCCGGTCGCCATTGATGCGTCTTTCCGCAAATTGGACCATGGCGTGTAAATGACCGTGACGTTGTCCTTCTTGTTGCCTTGAACAACCCCGTCAATTGTTTGTTTCGACCAAAACCCCAACTTGCAAGCTCTCCAAAGTTGACTGACCTTCAATCGAGTTGGCTTTGGTCAACTGGGCACAATCTTCCAGCAGCTCCTGAGGTATTGACGTCCAAGAGTCGCCAGCCTTGAGCCGAAGATAGACATGCGCACTGGACAAGTTGTCCACGTGAAACTGAATGGCTCGTTAATTGCAAGGGTCCCGGGTCTGTCACTGACATGGCTAACATACCCTGGTTATTTTTTTAACAGCATAAGTCAACACATCTTGCAAAGTTGGGACCGGACAAAAGTCTCACCAGACGTCTTCTTCCCAGCCAAACTTGATCAGATCCTCATCTGTATGTGCGTTAGATCCGGAGCACATCAATCAAGTGAGCTCATCTGCCCAACTTTCTACTTTGTCCTTGCCAACATATATGAAGGCGGCAGGCTCAACGGCCGTCGAGGTGAAATAGTAGACCATTTGGACGACACACTCAAAGCCGAGAATTCATGGGTTTCGCAGGTCCAACAGCGACTCACAGTCCTTTGAATGGCCAGGCCTTGACTTCTCCGACTTGAAAGCAGCCGTAGAGATATCCAAGTATCATTCATGCGGAGAATTGTTGAAGTTGTGGTGGGCAAAGCAATGAACCTTCATTTCATATAAAGTGGAATGCTGCGCCCTACAAGTCTACAGAATTTCTGCCAGCAAGTCTCGGTTGTACGGCGGGCTATACTCCCTTGAACGGCACCCACATTTTTCACCAGACTCGAATCGTGCGCTTCTGTAGCGAAGTGAATCTCTGTGCGAGCGAGTGTCATTCTCCCAACGAGGGACTGGTATTTTCGAAAAGACATAGCAGATTAGAAACTGGCGTGCTCGACCCATAAAGCAGAAAACCCCGATCAAAATTGCCCAGTCGATACAAAGTATATGCACTTGAGCGATAGATCATAATCCCTGTTTTTCATTGTCTGCCCGACTCATCTGAGCCTGCATCGAGTGCTGGAATGCTTCCCAATCATCGTGGCCTCGTGTCTCTTCCCAACGTGGTGTACGGGAAATCACACCATATCCATCGTAAACGTACAAGTCATCCATCAACGAGCCTTCTGCGCCACTCGTCGCCCTCAAAGCCTCATTGTCGAAACGAAACGCCCTTGCTGTCGCCCTCACAAGTAGGTATAACCCTTCTGTAATCATCCGTCATGACAAACAATATTAATCTCGCTGAACGAACACCTCCGTTGAGTGAGATTGCCTAACTTCAGATGCCCACTCCATGTTTTGATGACCCTCGTAGCTGAACATCGAGAACAACCTCCCGTAAAACGGATCCCAATATGATGCAATAACGCTGCAATGAAACACGAACATGATTCCACCCTCCATTTTGGATCCCTGAGCCCCGTGTTATCAGCTGCCCTGGCTCTCTGGCCGATTGCCTTCGGCGAAGTTCTTCTCACTACCTTTCCTCTTCCAAAAAGCCAGACCAAGCTTTAATTTGCTTCTCTTTCGACCTATGGTTCTAGAGCCGCTTTTTCTATGTCCGCTAGCCTCATCGGGTTCACCATTGCTCAAGATCGTGGCATGGATATCAAGCTTGCTGCTCTCTCGGCTTGTGGCGCTATTGCTGCCCATGCTATAGCTCGGTCTAAGCCCGGGACTTGTCGACCGCATAGGCGCACTGACTGCTCGATTGCGCACGTCGTGAAATCCATTGTGGTTGTGAGTCGGCTCATTGTTGGTCTTTGGGGTGGCGCTCGATGCTACTGTACGCGTGGTGGGTGATATGGCTTGTTCATTAATACCCGTTGGCGCAGTAGCTGTCCCCACACGTGGAGGAGCAAAAGGGCAAGCGGCTTTGGAAGCATTTTGAGCCTGCTGCTTCGATTCACCGTCCTTGGCAGGCGCACTCGCTCTGGCATTAGCATGTGTAGCCGAGTATTGACGATCTGGGTCATAAGTCCGCACTGGCTCGTCTTGTCTCGAAGTCGCGAACTTGAATCCGGACCCATGTTCTTGATCCAAGGCCTCTTGTTTTTCGACTTCTACAGCTTCGGCGGGGATAGCCTCACTGCCGGCACGCATAGAGACAGTTTGGTCTCTCCGAGTGTCAGAAAGAGCTTGCAAAGATTCCGATGGCAGTTCATTAGTGACGGCGTTCTGTCTGGGCGTGCTGGTGGCAGATTCGTTTTCAGTTGAATAGGGGCCACGGTGCCCGTGATCGCCATTCGTCAAAACAGCAGCAGGACTTCTCTGGTCAGGAGGTGTCTGTAGGTCTGTGTGGCTAGTAGCAGTCGGTGTTGATCGGGTTGTTGAATCATTCGCTGCTATGGCGATTCCGGCAGCAGCCGCCAACGATGATGGACGGGAGGTACTTCGAGGTGTTATGCTTCCGCTTTTTTTGACATCTGCACCAGTTCCCAGGTTCTCTGGCACATCGTTTCGTCCTTTCAATGGGGAAGTGGGCAATTCATTGCGCGTTTTCCGGCCAGCTGGGCTCTGCGTCCGAGGGCTGACAGCCCCGTTATCACCAAAGCCAGTAGTTCTTCGGAGTAACTGCATTTTCTTTTCATGCTCGGCTCGGGTAAACCAAACACCTTTGTTAGTGAGTATCTCATCTGCCGCAAATCGCATGGCGGGAATGACATCGGCAACATTGGCGAAAAGAGGGTGGGCGAATATTGTCATGAAACCAATTTGGCCATTAGCCAATTTCAACATGTTTCCCAGTTCAGGAGGGCCACCGAAGAGAGCGGTTTCCATGCCGACGGCTTGTTCCATTTCTCCTTGATGAGCAAACTCCTTCTGCAAGAGATCCGTCCACTTCTCTGCTACTTCCCATGGACGCGCCTTTGAATGTCAGAAATTAGGGTTACCACGATCTTCGAGCATCACTTACAACATTGCTGATATCGGCACACTTGATTAGCAAGCCGCAGGCCAGTGTACGCGCCCACTCAATGTCCTTAGGAGCCCATCCATCGGTAACTTTGGTCTCATGTACCTTTTCTTGAAGATTGCCGAGTTGCTGCATGTAGTCTGAATGTAAGCCCATGTCGGTGGCCAAGATGGTGCTAATCATAAGTTTTCGCATGTCTTTATCCTGAAATGCGGCCGGCCAGTGACGGCGTAGTATTTGAGAATAGGCAGCGCAGTGGAAGGCTTCCAATACAGATTGGTCGTTGTACAGCTGAGCAAGAGGCGCATTCAACTTGACCAGAAACATATTGTTGACACCTGGATGGCCCACGTCATGGCCAATTGCCGAGATGAGAATGGTGAGAGCTTCGAAAGGCCCCAACAGACGCGCGATAGGTGATCTCTTGTCCGCAAACGGCGAAGGTTCAGCACCAACGGGGTATGGAGGAAGGAGGCCAATCCGCACGAGGAAATAGAAGACCGACTGGAGAACGTCGACAGCATGTCTGAAGTTGTGGTAAAGAACGAAAGAATTGTATGCGATGCGACAACCCTGCATGAAATGAAGCAATTCGGCTTGATTAAATGAGTTAGTCAGTCTCACAGTATGGCTGCTGACAACATACCTTGGCTCATGCGCCACTCGCCCACTGACTGAAGATTCTCCAGAGCATGGTTGAGCATGAAATAACCAGCATAGACCAGTTCGTCTTCAGAGAAGTCGTGCCCATCAAAGCCCCAAGAACCGACAGCCTGTGCAATGGCTGGTTTCCGCACTTCTCGGACGTAGAGGTCGCGATATTGGTAATCCTCAATGATATTCTGAGGATCGCAGATGCCTTTGAGGAGTTTCTTCACCATAGCTTCCCTAAGATAGGCGTAAGGTTTTTCCTCTTCCATACCAACCCAAGACTGTTTGCGAGATTTTCTGGTCATGCCCATGAAGCCGGCTTGCTCTTTCTTTGCATGCTTGTAAATCCGATATGCGTGCACGGTCAGTCCCATGATACCTGCCTTGTTCAGAGGACTTTTGACCACATCGAGGGCGCCTGCATCTAGGCACTGCAGCATGATTTGGGCGTCGATGATGTCGGAGTTGTCCTTGATCTCAACCGGCTGAGACTCCGGGCCATAAGGCGCTCTTGAAACCTCACTGGATCGAACATCTTCGAATGCCTGGTCGTGAGAATCGCTCCGTTTGGGTTGCACAATGGCCACGGGTATGATGAGTTTGACACCCTCTTCTACTTGCAAGTCCGACGCTATCCTGGAAAGAAGCTGAAGACCGTATGACTCATCAGACTCGGACGAGAAGGTGATTTCTTTCCTCAAGAGGCTCGGAGACGGCAATGGGGAGTCGGACGAGGGGAAGAATCTGGACTTGGATCTCAAGAAGTCGTGCTTGGACTCGGAACCAACGTCGAAACAGGCAAGGATAGGTGTGCAATCGAACTTGGCTTGGTCGTGGAGATCAGAGAGCTTCGAGGAAAAGGCTCTCCCGGAACTACACACAAATACTGGGAGTCTGGGTCAGCATTGCGTTCAACTATTGATCTTGGTCCCCCTCACCTTGATTGAAGACGGTTAGAAAAGCATTGACGTTAGACTGAAGGTCCAAAGGAAGGTCCGAGAATTCTACTTCCGATCCCACTCTCTGCGGCGTACTGGGCATCAAGCCATCTCTGGAGATCCACCTCTCTGTGTTGAATCGCTCATCAATGTATATGACTTTGCAAGCAGCAGGGTCCATGATGATCGGGCGTGTAAATTATGAAAAGAAAAGAAACCGTAGTTTTGCGGCCTTATAAGCCCATAATGCGCTTGACGGACGCGACCAGTTTGACGGGAAGTCTCGAGGAGGAATTTGCAGTGGGTGATGGTCGACAGTCAGACAACGACACGACAATGGTGGTGGCAAGTTTCGGATTCGAGGCTGGTCAAGGAAAGAGCATTGCGCGCAAGGCGGGGGTGGGTGGGAGTTCTCGAAGGAGCGACAGAAGTGTGTTTGGGTAGTGGGAAGAGTATGCGGTGATGCGACTGGCGGAAAGACTGAACATTCGCAGCACTCGCAGGCTGGCAGGGTGTGAGATGGTGAGAATGAGGCAGCGCTGGTCAATGTCGAGTTCTGTAGGCGAGCGGAGGAAGAAGGCCCGGCGGCAGGTGTCAAGTCTTCGAGTCGTCGGGTGGTCGCAGACGTCTGGGGGGGAAAGGTGTGATGTAGCTGCAGGTCGACGAGACACAACAGGACAGTAGTGAACAGGGACCTGACAATTGAGCAAGAGGTGGTTGGCGCAGAATGCGGAGTGGAGGATGGTGGTATGAGAAGAATTGAACAATGTAAGATGTAGCAACAGGTTGAATGATTTGCGTCGAGCGCAGTAACAGTCAAGCTAGGTGGGAAATGTGGTCATACAGCAGGCGAAGTGGATGGAGGAAATCAAAGAGAGCGAGGGCATCAGAGAGAGATGGGCCTAGTTTGCCTACCTACCTGCAGAGTCAGTTTAGCTAGGGTCTTGCTACCTTGGGTAGGTAAGTACGGAGTACAGTAGCAGTTGATCTCTGAGAGGGGGGCCGCGAGAGTGGGAGGTCGGGACAACAATTGGTGGAACAACCTCTATCGAAGACTCAAAGAACAAGCAAAGAAATGCGGAGCGTGCCCAATAATCGGCGGCAGAAGTACCCGGAGCCATCACTGATGGGGTCGCTGATGGTCTTTCCTGGCTCCTGATGGGCCAGCGCGGCAACGCCTACTCATCTGAGTTTAGGCATGACGGTCCGGGTATACAAGCCTAGTGAGCCTGGGTACCCCGTAAGCCACTCAATGCGAGAGTCATACCCAGCTCTTCACACCATCCAGCCAGCCATCATCATCAACTGCGGTCTACAGTACCTTGATCAGTCAGGCTGCAGTAATTCAAGTAAGGATGGAAACAAGTAGCCTATGGCCATATATTCAAAAGAGAGCACCGAGCACTCGCACGATCCATGCCTCATGCAGGTCATGCTTCGTCAGACCCAACAAGGCACTGTCGGACCTCGAGATCCCCTCCACGCCTATCGCTCTGTTTCACTGCCCGCGCGCGGGATCTGACCCTTCCACGCCCCTTCTAGAAGCCTTTCCACTTCCCGCCCCCAGATCGCCTAGTCTTTTAAGACTCTTTGGCCGATGCCTCACAACCTTACCCATGGACCTAAATAATGACTTCTGAGCGTCCAGACAGCCATAGAACGTCGAGATCACGAATTTTACGCACTGTGCATATCACTGGTCATCACGCAGAGATCACTGATACCCATTTTTGCTATGGAGTAATTCTCAGACATTTGACCCGATAGCTTCCTTGCTTGCACTCAACTACTGTGAGAATGGCCATTCCATCACCTCACCAAACCATTCGCCTCTGTCGATCAATGCCTGTTGGCAATGCTGATCACGTCCAGCCACGATTCTCCTGGTGCGATTTGATGACCGTGCAGCCGCCCATAATAGTCTTCACGCTGGCATCATCTGCCCAAAAAGTCGCCATACTTCCCCACTCGACAGGGATATGAAGGGTTCGCAGATTCTGCACACTTGGTGCTCATGTGGCCATTTCCTCCGACGAACCTTGCCATTCCTGTTTTATCATCCCTCACTCCATTGCAAGTGTGCTCGTACGGGTTGCGGAAAAGGACCTTCCGTCCACAACGCAAAAAGTGGCCATGGGTTCCTTGTTGTGCAGTTCCAATGTCGTTCGGGCACTCCGGAAGGGTTTCGACACCTAGCGCTCGAGGCTAGCCGCCTGTTTGAATCGCTTAGCCAGAGTTTCTGATGGGCTGCTAGCATCGCCATCGTCCTCTTGCGGTTCCAATATCCATGGACGCTTCAAGGGCCGCTCACCATATGTCTCGAGAATCGCCATCAAGGTTCCCCATCCAGACGAGTCTGTCAAATGAATCGCATCAATCTGGTCACGCTTCGTTGCAACCTTACAAAGTAACCGTTCTTCATCCTGCACATCGTTAGGCGCGACCAAGTCGACGTGGCATTATCAACTTACCTTGCTAAATACTTCCATGCCATGGATGAAGCACAGAAGATGGAAATCGGACACGGCGTCCACAGATTGCGATGACCGAAGCTGCTTAGCGACGTCTCGGGGATCTTGTCCTTCGGCGACCGCTTCTCGATTCTCGATCGGAAATCGACTGTTCTTGAATAATGGAACAGGCTGGATGGGCATACCTGCCGTGATCGACACCAGCAGATATTCCACCGGGAAACTGGGTTTAGCGTTCTCCTGTACATTTGCACCATATTCGTTGATGCGCCGATAGAAGACTTCGGGAATATATCTTGACTTGGATCCGCCCCCCTCGTCGTCTTCAGATTGTACCAGCATCACAGAGGGGTCTGCTGAAGGCTCGACTATGTCCGCCCGCACCATTTCGACGGCAGCGTTCGAGGCCTGGTAAGCATTGATAGTTATGGTCTCATCCTGATCGCCGGTGACAACGCAGGTTACAAATTTGGAACCGAATCTTCCAGTCTCGCTCCATTTGGAAGGCATTGGGTATTGTGCTTGAAGGCGAGCCGCAAACGCGATCTCAAGTGAGGCCAGAAAATACGAGTCGACGTGTCTCTTGCAGACTGCTTGACCTTCGCCATCTTCTGGTGTCATCAGATCGGTGAAGATAACACCAACCCGTTCAAGGCCACACATTCTTGCAACCTCATCAACCTCCTTCTCGTTCGGCCACTCTGACAATGTCAGCCCATCAACTTCGGACATCTGAGGGGGTTCGTAAATCGCTTCGACAATGGCCTTGACACCAAGCGGTACCTCGGTGTATTCCTCATATCGGCCATACAGATACCCCAGCCGCTGACAACCCGACTTTCTCCAGAAATCGATCAGCCTATCTACCATGTCGGCCGAGGAGAATTCGACATGATCCACCATTCGGAACTCTTGTGGCTGCAAAGTGATGGCACTCGGCTGGCATTTCGTACAGATGCCCTCGGGCCAGGGAGGATGACCCGACGGGCATTCTTTTTTCACTCTATAGTATGGTTCTGTTAATGGTGGCATGTATGAGCTTTTCAATTCGGGTTTGTTCGTGGCAAGGTTGATTTTCCGTAGGTAACTGTGAAAAGAGAGATGTTTGATTTTCCTCTCGTCAAGGTATTTCTTGTCGTAAGGCTCCAACGGCTGGCAATAGTCGCACATGCCCTTGGGGCCGTGCCGGCACATTTTGGCATCTCTCGGTCGTGATATCTTTCCATCTCGTTTGTCTAACCGATCATCGAGGGGGGACTGTTTCACCACTTCCCATGGGTTTCGAACGAGGGTGGGCGATGTGACGGAGGGGGCGGTTATGGGCTCGTCGGGTTCGGGAAGGGCTATGGTACCATTGAGCCGTCGCGTGGTCGCGGCGACTTCGCCGTTGGCGTGGCCGTTGGCAAGACTTTCAGACTCTTGATATCCAATATAGAGCTTGTCGCCGTGCCTGGTAGTTCATGTTAGACATCCAACACTTGCACCGTCTTTGAGAAACATACTTGAGCCCAACTTGTTGCAATTCTACGCCTGGTAGATCGGCCAAGCGCCGCTCTCGCTCGGGATCTGGTGTCGAACTGACTGGTTTATTACTCAGGACAATGGTGGTGGCGTCGGTATTTGGAGGCAGATGACCAAGGATCTTCCATATTGTAAGCGGTCTTTCGAGAGCACATGGACCAATTACCTACCTGGCTCGTTAATGAAGAAAAACGGTCGGTTGGGTCCACGGTCAATCGAAATTGGCCCCATTTTGATTCGAATCGCAACAACATATCGCAAGAGGTTCAGAGCTGCAGTTCAAGGAAGTCGTGAAAGCCAGGAATCGTTGAGGCGAAGTAACGATCCTGGGGAGTCTCGGGGAGCAGGGCAATTGAGAATAGGGAGAAAGAGGAATCGTGTATGGTTGTGCTTTCAAGAGAATCGAACCGAAGCCACTAGTTGTCTACAGAACAAGTAGCAAGCAGGAAGGGAGTCATGTTTGATGTTGGGTGCGTGTACGGAGTATCTGGTGTACAATGAACAGCATTTCGTCCCGGCGCAGGCACTTGCTTATTGCGTCACTTGGCCACTGTGACTGATCTTACGATACCCAAAGGTCAGGTACCCAGGCACGGAGTTTGCCTCAGCCTCACCCGACAACACAGCCTTGCAGTGCAGTAACCTTTCGCTCACCTCACTCACGTGAATTGTTATTATCATGAAATGTACAAATGTTGTTGCTGAAGGCCCGTGTAGACAAACTGTATGCTCGGTTCCGTGAACGCCTTCCCATGTTGAAGAATTGATTACAATCAGACATCCTTGCAGGCCTAGGTGCCCTTGTACAACTGACCAAGCCGTTTCTCCAAAATCTGCCTACCCTCCGCCGACCTCCATACCTCCTCCACGGGAGCTCCGTTCACGATGTCCCAGGCTATCAGCTTCTCTGTAACTGTGGTGAGGTCTTGCTGCTTCCGCTCCCAGTCCTTATCGCGTTTGAGATGAACTCCGGATGTAACAACCACCAACGCAACGTTTGGATCCTGAATGTTCCGAGCCCCTAGAACCTCGTTTTTGGTGAAAGACTCCGCCACCAAATTTTCTTGCAGTTTGTTTTTGATGAACTTGCCCCCTTGATAAGACGATCTGCCGAACACGCGATCTTCTTTCAGGCGGCCTTTGAACAAGGCGCCAGCAAGTCTGTCTAGACCAAGAGGTGAGATGATGCCACGTCCCCAAAGGACAAAGCCACGTCCCGGACTGGCAATCTTGTACAGAAGATCCTCGTGGAGACCATCGATGAACATCATCCCTTTGATGTCCCGGGGATGCCTCGCTGAAAAAACGCGACTGTATATACTGCCAATTCCAGCCGAGACAAGGATCCATGGGCCTTCTTCTCCCGCGACTGCCAATGCTTCCGAGATGGCATCAGCAGACATTCCAGCTGAGTGAGGCGATGGAGCATTGTCTGACCACGCTAACCCGGGTCGATCCCAATAGCAATAACGGCCAATTGTACCATTGACGTAGGCATCATAGACCCATTCCTCAAAGGAGTACTCGACAGGCATATAGCCTCCTTCCAAAAGGACGGTAGGGTTAGGGCTTCCATCCTTGTCATAGGTTTGGTTACCGACACAGGCAAAATGCACCGCATACTTGTCTCCATCCACAAGATAGCGCTTTCCAGGGGATTGCAGCGTGGCGTCTCGTGATCGCAGGACCAAGGTCGCGGTCAGAAGTACCGCGATGATGACAAAAATTACCATGATGAAAGTGGCTGTGAATACAGCACACCATTCTCGCAGCGAGCGTCGGGTTTCCTGGCGACCAGTGAGACGTTCTTCCTCTTCAGCCTTTCCCCATTTCACAGTTCTGTTGGTGATGACGTTGTACGCTCCGATTAGAGCAGCCCAGACGACCGACGCAACGCCGATCCAGCCTTCTTCGACTCTTATCTGGGGCACCGCTAGGATGATAATCATATCAATCAGCAAGAGAACGGAGATTGCCATCTGGAGGATGCTCATGGCTGTGGATGGTGTCGCAAAGAACAGTAGGGCCGTCAAGATGTTGCCGATGGTAAGAGTGGTGTAGGCGACATCGAAGAATCCCGACCCTCTTGAGTGCATGCCTGGGGGGCTGATGAAGATCGAGATGAAAAGCAGCACCCACCATAGGCAGGTTACGATCAAGAAGAGGACTTCGAACCATCTCAATGCTCGAACGCTCCATAGATTGTACGGAGATACCTAAAAATCGGTCAGCTGGCACTGGGGATTGAGACAACAGCCCTTACTGCAGGATCGTCGGGACTCAGGTAACCAACGCCATGCTCGTGACGAGGCAACAGCCTCGTTCGTTCATTGGCGTCTTCTGAGGGCCTGCTAGGTTGGCTATGTGAAGATGTGGCTCTCTGCTCTTGCTCTTGCTCTTGCTCTTCATCGTCGGACTGTGGCTGTTCGCCATTCTTCTTGCTGCCCCAGAGCGACACCATGACAGGCTATCTGGGAGGGACTGGGCTCTCGACAGGTACAGTATGCGGAGGAAGTGGCTAAAGGGTAGGTAGGAAGTATACGGGATACGACGGGCAATACGACGCCCTTCGGAAGGGACAGGTCGACGTTTGAGGTCTAACTGCGAGCTGTTTCGAATGTATGTACAACTTCCTCAGGAAACAATTGTTGAGCGATCACGAAAAGATGTCCTGGGGACGAAGAGAGACGGGAAGCTGGTCCGCCGCAGGTGGCTTATTCGAGTATGAAAGTATTTCTCACGACGTCATTATCGAATTATGGGCAACTGCATCAGGCCAAACGAGGGGAATATTAAGCGCTGGTTCACCCACCATGCACATACTCGGGTAGATTCATCCTGCAACAATAATGATCGTTGAGCACTCGTGGTCGGCGGCCGCGCTACAAGTATGTTAATCGGCCATTGTTGCGTCGATCTAGATTCTGTCCAGCACAAAGTGGTGAGGAGTGATTCGAGGTGTGTGCGCGTATATTAAGTCGTGGTGAGCAGGGGGTGTCCAGGTAAAAGAGTTGGTCTCGTCCCACTGCTATTGCCACCAAAGATCACCCGCTCAGCGTCGCCTATCGCTAGGGATTGTCTTCTGACTACTCGGTATTCGTTATAACTCGTACAATCCATATGAGTTTCAATCACGAATCACGACGTATCCCTGTCGCCTGTTGGACACCTTCACTGCTTCACCCACCACCAGACACCCGCCACCCCCTCGCATCGCCTCGAATCCCCCATGTGGGTGGTCATTCGAGCCACCCAGAGTAATTTGTGGATTGGATACTCTTACTCACTCGTGCTCGTATTCCGTACGAGTACACAGTTTTTTTCCTCAGCCTTGTCCCTCCCTGTCTCTGTTCCCTCCTACCAAGAGGGACTGATCTGCCATTATGAGTGATCTTCAGCGTGCATTTGCCCGCGCCCATCTATCTCGTTTACCACCTGAAGCCCCTCCTCCCATATTCGACGAACGTGATGAAGAGCAAGAGGAGTTGCCCCTCCATCCTCCAGAGTCTCCAAACGATTCGTCGTCGTCGGCTTCGTCAACATCCTCTACGGGAACCATAGTCCCGTCTCCCAGTCGAAAACTATTCGAAAGACCAAGAGGGTAAATTGGACTGATCCATTATTCGTTTTCCTTCCCTTCTGTGTTACTGACTCGGATCCTTCCTTTCCAGGTCCGCAAGATCCCGATCAACAGCCCTGCCATGGGAAGACTTCTTCTCCCAATCATTATCGTTTGAACACAAGACACCCTCGGAGACCATCAACCATCATGTCTATTTCACGCCTCCGACGTCCACTGGCCCTCTCATAGTCACACACCATGGCGCTGGTTCATCCGGCCTGTCATTTGCCGCTTTCACGAATGAACTCCTCAAACTCCTCCCGAGTGCCGGCGTCCTCTCTCTCGATGCCCGAGGCCATGGTCTGACAACAACGACCACTTCGTCTGGCGGGCCACCGCCGACTCAGGATCTGAGTCTGACCACGCTTGCCGAGGATGTATCCTTTGTCGTCAACGCCGTGAAAACGCTGTCAAAGTGGCCGGCACTACCTGATGTCGTCCTTATCGGACACTCTCTGGGCGGGGCTGTAGTCACAGAAGTCGCCCACGAACGCCTCCTCGGCAATGCCCTGCTGGCGTACGCCGTCCTCGACGTCGTCGAAGGTTCTGCCATGGATGCGCTGTCGAGCATGGACACATATCTCTCCACGCGGCCGAGATCGTTTCCTTCACTCGCGTCCGGCATAGACTGGCACCTCAAATCACGGACCATACGGAACACGACGTCCGCACGTGTGTCAGTACCCTCGCTACTCGTCGAGGCCAAATCTAAAGACCTGTGGTTCTGGCGGACGGATCTAGGAGCCACGAAACCCTTCTGGGAAGACTGGTTCGTCGGTCTGTCAAAGAAGTTCCTCGAATCGCGAGGTGGAAAGCTCCTACTGCTTGCCGGCACCGATAGACTCGACAAGGAGTTGATGATTGGACAAATGCAAGGTCAGCATTTCGTCTGCGAGAGCCCCTTTCCTACCACGTTGGTTGTACTGACATAGTTGCACAGGCAAATACCAGCTACAGGTTTTTCCGGACAGTGGTCACTTCGTTCAAGAAGATCAACCCGCCCGGACCGCGCAAGTCGTGGCCGATTTTTACATAAGAAATGACAGAAGCGCCCTTGTTCTGCCGCCCAAAGTGGACGATCTTATCAAGCAAGGGAAACTCAAGCCTGCGGGCCAGAAGGAAGCATAGACCAATGTACGACTCCATACAAAAAGTGATGGCTCCTGAAAAGCCCCCAAAAGTCATCTTGCACTTTCTGTGGGATGCTTTTTTATTCTACCTCCTTCGCTTCAGGTTCTTGTTCTTGTTCTTCGTCTTTCCAGTTGCCGTCTTACTACCGCCACCAGTTCCCTTGTTTTTCTTCTTGCGCTCTCTCCTCTCCCTGATGGCCGCCTCTTCACTGCCCTTGCCTTTCTTCCACATCTTTCCATCAACCCTTTCTTTGTGCAGATCCAGCTTCTTCTTGTCCTTGTTGCTCAGCTTCTTTCGCTCCGTCTTGACCTTGACCACCCCGTTGGGCCCGTTCAACTCCAGCAACCCTCTCTTCTTGGCGTCAAGTTTGTCTTTCTCGCTCTCGAACCACGTTCTCTTGGGTCGGGCCATGATCTCGGCCTCGTGTTTGATTCGATTCTCGCCCCTCGTGATCTCTGCTTCAGTCTGGGCGAGCTGCTTCTCCTCCTTTTCCTCGCGTAGAATGTCTTCAATGTCCTTTTCCATTTCCTCAATTTGGCCGTGCATCGCGTCGACCTCCTTCACGTCCATGGTTCTCGAGACCACCTTCGCGCCTTGTTCTCTCGCGCTCTTTACAGCAGCTTTGACGACTTTCCTATCGGGCTCTGCGGCGATTGTACACGACCGACCAGATCGTCCTGCACGGGCTGTACGACCTACTCTGTGCACGTAGATCTCGTGGGTCTGAGGCGCTTCATAGTTGACCACGGTCATAACATTTTTGATATCCAGACCTCTACTCGCCAGATCGGTGGCGAGAAGGTGCGTCGTCCGGCCTTCACGGAATGCGTTGACCGCGCCGATACGTTGGTCCTGGGTCATGCTGCCGTGTAGTTCGCCGGCCTTTATACCAAGGAGGCCGAATATGATTCGGACTCGATGTGCCTCTTTCTTCTGCCTGAAGAAGACGATCACCCGCTCTGTGAACACATTCTTGCACAGCAGGCACAACGTGGCGAGACGCATGTTCTCACGGCCGGGTCTCAGTCGCACAAATTCCTGTGTGAGTCCGGCGGTCGTGCTCTTCTTGGCATCCACAGACAGTCGGACCGGTCTGTTCATGCCAACGCGCACAAGCTTGTCGACACTGTCTGTCATGGTTGCGGAGAAGAGCATGGTCTGCCGTGACTTGGGGATGGTCTTGAGAATCTCATTCAGTTCGTCTTCGAACCCAGTTTCGAGCATACGGTCTGCTTCGTCGAGCACGAGAATCTCGATGTTTTCCACAGTGAAACTCGCCGAGTTGCGCATGTGATCGATGAAACGACCAGGGGTGGCAATGACCACGTCGGGTCGTTTCTTCAAAATGTTTTCTTGTTCGCGAAGCGAGAAACCACCGACAACTTGTGCGAAAGTGATGTCTGTAAAGCGGGCGAGTGCTGTTGCGACGTTGTAGCACTGTACCGCCAGTTCACGTGTGGGCATGAGGATGGCGACGCGGGTCGTGGGGACCTTTCGGGGGCGGTAGAGTAGTCGTTCTAGGATGGGAAGCAGGAACGCTGCTGTTTTGCCGGATCCGGTGACGGCTGAACCGACGACGTCGAGACCTTGAAGGGCTACAGGCACCGCACGGGTCTGAATGGGCGTTGGTGCTGTGAAGGACAAGGAAGCCAATCCTCGTAGAATGGGTCGAGACAGGGAAAATTGTTGGAAAGAAGACACGGTTTTGAGGTCTGCTTGTTTCACCTTCTCTTCCGGAGCAAAGAAGGCTGCTCTCTTCGCTTGTTCTTCTGCATCTGCCGAAGCCTGCGACTCGGCGTCTGAGCCTTCATCGTCGGAGGGCATGTCGTCTGGGTGAGCGACAGGCGAGGCGACAGATTCGCTGTCAGATGGGTCATCGTCAGACTCACCGGCAGCGCCCGAGTCTTGCTCATCATCTTCAGAGGCTGCGCCGGCGCCAAATGCGTCGTCCGCCACTAGCTCATCATCCTCAAAATCTGGAATTTGTATGTCATCTTCGTCTTCATCTTCATCCTCCTCGTCGGCTTCCTCGCTTGTGTCCTCTACATCTAGGGCGGCATCAATTTTAGATCTCTGTTGCTTCTTTGCAGCCCGACGTGCAATCAGCTCGTCGATGTCAACTGCCTTCTGGCTTCTTCGACCATTGACTTTACTGCCTTCGCCCCAGCCGTCGAATTCCTCGAGGTCTTCTAGAACAGGATTGGCGGCAATGTCGAACTCGAACTCGGAGTCTATAGCGCCATCATCAACACCTTGATCATCTTCACTCTCCGACTCTGGTGGAGATGATGCGACTGGTTGTTGCGTCTTCCCTTGTGTTTTCTGCCTCTTTGCCTTGCTACCATTTTTGGCTTCGTTTCGCTTGCGTTTCAGGCTGGGGGCTGCAGCGTCAGAGTCGGACTCGATAGAGCCTTCGTCATCATTGTCAGAGAGTGTCAAGACGAACTCATCCTCGTCTCTTGAGCGAACCATGGTCGTTTGGGGAATGATAATTGACCGATTGAGGCATCAATTTGGCAGCGTAGAAATATTTTTCTGGCAGTCCGGCATAACTTCGGCTACCTTTTAGAGACCCTCCGAAAGCAGTAATGTTCTCGAAGGGCAGAGGACGGCCCCTCCCATAGTCGATCCTAACATAATCGCACAAGGGATGGGTACTTTGTAACGGATCGACCTTCTTCGTGTGACCTTGCTAGATGACTTGTGTAGAGAGTTGCACTGCCATGTCATGTCTTGTTCAATTTTACAGGCTATGAGATGCGACTCTCCAGGTTTCAGCGATCCCCCAACGGATTTGAAATGGAGCTCTGGAATCGTGTGTGGGCGGGAGAGTTACATAGTATGCATATATCGTGTCAACCCAGGATCACCAGTGTGCTACAGGAATTGGAACTTCCCGAATGGAATGAAGACAACGAAAACGTCGACAGGATTTTCCTGTCATTGCTCACGTCAAGAAGGAAGTCATCCAGTGTGAGTTTTATCCACAATGTCAGGCCATGCCTATACCTCCTGTATCAAACTTCTCCCCACCTAGGACAACGTATCCATGACGACAAAACGAGCAGGATGTTGGTCAATGATACAATGTACGTCTATATCTTGATGCAACGAAGGGGTCGGTTAGATGGATCGGTGCTCCTAACGGGCTGGATTTAGGTCCTGTCCTTCATGATTGAAGTCCCATGCTCGAGCTTCATCTCATGAGTTGAAGAGCAATTGGTGCACGTAAATCACCTGGCCCGAGCGGCTTTTCCGCTGTATTTCGAGCATGAGATGGTCAGACCGTCTGAGGCTCATGCTGATACGTTGAGGCTTTCGAGGCCATGTTGCACATCTTCAAACCTTCGAATCAGGTGGCACAATCCGGACCGGAGTTCACGGTGAACAATGCGGATCTGGAAGAGAAATATCTCAGAACTTGTGGAGTTTTCCAGGATCGTGCGTGGAGTATCTGGCAATAGGTGACTTATCGGCAGAATGAATTGGCAACGAGACTGGTATTTACTGCTGAATACCAGCAAGCCCAATTATAAGATGCCTAGGAAAAGTACTTTCATGAGGGAGTTTGGGCTTCACATGCGTCCACGAAAACAATTTGTCGCCTCGTGTCCAGGCTGGATACGAGTGCATCCATTGTACCTGTAGCATTTGGTCATAACAATTATACTATTGGCGCACACAATGCAACTTATCCTAGAAACTCGTATGTCTACCAAGGTAGTTGATGTAAGGACTGGCTGGAACGTGACCAAGAGTGCTGCATACTGCCTAAGAACAGTGCCAACCTGCCTGCCAGATATGAATAGAGCGGTCAATTATATCACGTTAGTAACCGTTTTCCCCTTCACCAGTGGAATGTCGATTTGTTACAGAGAGCCAGGATCAGGGTCTGATTCTTTTGCAAGTGGCTTGCAGTAGTCGTGTGGCAGAACCCTGATGGCAGATGCACTTGTTGTGACCGCCACTTTGAATCATCGAATGCCTTTCGTGATCAACAGTAATTAAGTCCGCAGTGTATCGCTTGTGGACGAGCTGACCTGAGACCTCGAGGTGAACAAAAAAACCAAAGGCCAAGCATTGAGAGTAGCCTGTGCTGATCACAGTTGATCTTCGCGATGCAAGAGTCGATCCTTCAATCCAGAACATGTCCTCTTAGGACCCCTCAACCCAGAGGTGCGGCGGGTCACGCTGATGTGATGGAACTGGGATCGTGTGGCTTGTCCTGGCTCGGACGCGTAGGAGGTAGAAAAATTCGTAGCGAATTCTCCATCGCAACACATCGAGCCTGCAAGCTGGCGGAGCATGACAAAGAATTCTCAGACGAAGCCCGTGATGACACGACACACTTAGCAGAAACACTCGCTCATCAGTGCATGCTTCAGTTACTTGGAGGCATCTCGTTCAGACGGGCCAGGCTCGCGGTCTCCACTCCCACGACGGCCCGTCCGTGGGAGACTGAGCCAGTCATCGCGGTGGCAGAAGCGACGACCTGTGAGGCTTGAGGTCAAGCGCAGGCAGGCAAATGCACCCTCCATCTCACCCACGGACTGAAGAGAGTCAAGGCCAGGCGTGTCGACCAATCCTTCAGACGATGCTGCCATCAGCGGCAGCCCACGTTTCGTTATCAGAGATCGTTATCAGCCCAACATCGGACATCCCACTCTCTGGCGTGAGGCGCATGTTCCCACCAGAAAAAAGCGAGGACAGGTCAAACATCCCAGTCCAACCACAATAAGAAGTCGACCTCGGATCGGGAACCCTCCTGGTCATTCTCCGTATAGTAATGAATCACAAACATACACATGCCACAAACTGTGATGCTCGATCAGGCAGGGAAAGTTCCATCAGGGACGCCGAGTGGATCGCTTCAATACGCAGTCAACCCCTAACTATGTACTCGTATGGAGTAGACAATCGCCCATTATTCTCACGATCCTGGGCTTCAATCACGTCAGTTGGAGATTGCTGGGAAAAGCCCCCGGCTGCGCAAGCTGACTCTGGTCTGTAACATCACACATGCAACCACCGAGACCTGTCAAACTGGCTGATGCTGAGGACACGCGGAGCCTACGGGCGCCTCTGGAATAGCGCTCCCATGTCCCGAGCCTAGCGACATCCAGCGAACCTGCATCCCACCAGCATCCTCGTCCCTCCACTACTGTGGACGCCCTTGCATGCCAAACTGATTCGTTCTGCGCCGCTCGTCTTGTGCAACGGCTCTTTGTTGTCATCTTTTTTTCTCGTCCCATATTTATCCTACCTACCTCCTCCTACATCTGACCGTTCTCTCTCAGCATGACTCTTTCAGAGGATACGCATACCAGTCATGGCGCCTCGCGATCAGAGCCCCATGCCTCCTCCACCTGTTCGTTGATCTTCCGTATTTTGATGCTCAGCCTTACTGACCCTCACAGCCTCCCAACTCTCCAGTGCTCAAGCGCTTCCAGAACTGAAGACCAGGATAAAAGCCGGATTGAGGACCTATCCAGATTTTCCCAAAGTCGGTACATCCCAATAAGGACCATGTTATGAACTTGTACTGAGATTCTCGCTCCAGAAAGGCATACTATTCGAAGATATCTTTCCCCTCTTCTCCTCTCACTCGCTACACCAAGACCTCATTCGAGCCTATGAGCTCCAAATCCTCGAGTCCTTTGGCCCTGGCAACACGCCAGATGTGATTGTCGGCCTTGATGCCAGAGGTTTCCTCTTTGGCCCAACTTTGGCTCTAAAATTCGGCGCAGGGTTTGTGCCGGTCAGGAAGGAGGGCAAACTTCCTGGTCGACTCGAAACTGCTACCTACGAGAAGGAATATGGCACCGACACCTTTGCTATTCAAGCAGACTCTATACAGCCTGGTCAAAAGGTCTTGATTGTGGATGACCTGATCGCAACCGGTGGTTCAGCCTCTGCAGCTGGCACTCTGGTCAATAAATGTGGCGGCACTTTACTCGGCTACATATTCATCATTGAACTCACCTTCTTGGGCGGCCGCAACAAGCTCAACGCTCCGGTCTATACCCTACTCGAAAGCCAGTCTGAATAAGCACTATGGACAATACCGAAAGCTATACGATAAGCATCTATTCAACAGACAGAATTTGCTGCTTCAGCTTCGATATCGCAACCTGAACCTTGTCTGTAATGTTGAACCAACCTCGACTGGCGACTTCGAATTCGACAATCCTGCAACAAAATGAAGCTAAGACGATCTATCGTGCCTCGAAAAGTGCCGTGTAAGGAAGGATTCCATGATGAGCAGGTGCCAACCTCCGAATCCTGCTTCATATCTGGTATTGATTCTTTGTGCTGGTGGTTCCACGATAATTGCGAACTGAAAAAGCGGTGATGATTTTTCGGCTGTTCTTCTCATTAACTTGCGAACGTTTCCTGCTAGCCATGCAGCCTGGTCTATTCTACATAATGTCTTTGTACTAGAAATTGCCTCCATTCCGGCATAAATACCTTACCATTCTATTCGAGCTCCGAGAATTAGAGCCGTTAGATAGAGATAGACTATAATATCTTCATTGATCATTGATCCTATGAATTATATTTCGTCCCTTTGGACTACTGACGATTTCAGAAAACGTACAAAGTTGTACTGTGAGCAGCAAAATACGTAGAAGTACTCATTGCCAAATATGCATAGATGTGCAAGGACCCTATGCGCCGATAAGGATCTGAAGTGCTTGGAGAGACACGGCGATCTCGATCCCCACATGCGCCCGGCTGTTCCATGTCAGTTTCGCATTCAACACTGGCCTTCGTGGTATTGAATTCACATCATCAACGATCATCTCCTCGCATACCTCTGCATGTCACTCGCTTAGTTTCTACTGTTTCGACATCCCGGGTACGACGTCCCCCGTCACCTGCAGTCATCGCCTGCTGAACCAGTCTGTGCTTGCAACCCCTGTACGCGACGGCTCAATGGTCGCAAAGCACTACAAAAATGGCGGGTGTCAATCCTGAGCTGGAAGATGCTCTGCGCAAGCTAGACGAAGAGCTCGAAGAAGGCGATATCACTAGGAAAGGATATGAAAAGAGACGCACCCTTATTCTCTCTCAGTACATCAGTCCTGCACCGGCCGCATCTCAGTCACGGGGACTTCGTGTGCATTCGCCTGATGATAGTGACCATCCAGCCTCGAACGATGCCTCTAGAGCAGCGTCCCTTGCAGCACTCACCGGGCGATCTGTGAGCGGACAATCAAGAAATGACACACTGACAGATAGCTACCCAACGATGGGTCGGCAGACCTCGCTTGTCAAGGATGAATATATGAACGATACCAGGCGGAGTTCCACAGCCCAGAGCCATGTGCAGAGATTTCAAGAGCGGGAAGCAGGACCAATTTCACATGGATCCATGTCGGGCTCATTGTTTGATCATCGCAATGATACCTTCCGGACTGCGAGCAATGACTTCTCCCGTACGCAAACCCTTCTCAGCCAGAATTATGCATTCAACCCCGAGACTCAACAAACGTATGGCGGCACAGAGACACGGAATTCTACGATGCTCGACTCCCAACAGGGATATTTCTCTGATTTCGCTGGACAACAAAGAGACGACCAGCAGGAGAATTATGGCGGCAATGTACAGAGATACTCACAGAGCGAGGTGACATCTCCAACAGCACAAATGGCGCCACCGTTCTTGGGTGCCGGCGAGCTTGCGGGAGGAGCTGCAATTCATCAGATGCCATTGGAGCCCCGGGAGGTGCCTTTCGCCATCTGCGATCCCCACGATACACACATAGAGATGTCTGTTTTCGACAACATCGCTGCTGTGCTTCGTCATCGAGCAAAAACGACCTCAAAACAGGCGGCATACTGGGTGCTCGACCAAAAAGGCAAAGAGGTGGTCTCTATCACGTGGGAAAAGCTCTGTAGCCGTGCAGAAAAAGTTGCCCAGGTCATCAGGGATAAGAGCAGCCTATACAAAGGCGACCGCGTTGCATTGATCTACACTGAGAACGAAATTATCGAATTCGCCGTGGCTCTGCTTGGCTGTTTCATAGCCGGTGTAGTCGCGGTGCCGATCAACGATTTGAAGAACTATGCTCGTTTGAACGTCGTTTTGACATCTACCCAAGCACACCTTGCTTTGACGACAGAAGCGAACCTGAAGAATTTCCAGCGAGACATCACTGCTGCAAAGCAAAACTGGCCCCGAGGCGTGGAGTGGTGGAAGACCAACGAGTTTGGTAGCTATCATCCCAAGAAGAAGGGGGAGGAGCCGCCGCTTGTGGTTCCTGATCTTGCCTATATTGAATTCTCAACCGCTCCTACTGGGGATCTTCGAGGTGTGGTCATGAGTCACAAGACCATCATGCATCAAATGGCCACGCTCAGCGCAATGATCACTTCGGCGACAAGTAATACTAGAGCTGATACCTTTAATCCAGCATTGCGCGACAAGCAGGGCCACTTGATCACCGGTTCAAGACATGGCGAGATCATTCTCAGTTATCTTGACCCAAGGCAAAGCATCGGCATGATCCTCGGTGTGCTACTCAACATCTACGGTGGTCATACAGTCATTTATCTTGACCAACGGACAATTGAGACTCCTGGCCTTTATGCTCATTTAATCACGAAGTACAAGACAACACTTCTTGTGTCAGACTATCCAGGCCTGAAGCGCGCCGTCTACAATTATCAAGCAGATCCCATGACAACCAGAAATTATAAACGTGGGTCTGAACCTAATTTCGGTACTGTGAAGCTGTGTATGATCGATACGCTTACGGTGGATGCCGAGTTTCACGAACTTCTGGCTGACCGCTGGCTGAAACCTCTTCGCAACCCTCGAGCGCGAGAGATCGTTGCCCCAATGCTATGCCTACCGGAACATGGAGGTATGGTAATCAGCATGCGCGATTGGCTGGGTGGCGAGGAAAGAATGGGCTGCTCATTGAGTCATGAACTGGACCGTGATCATGAGGTTGAAGAGAAGAAAGAGGATGAGACTGCTGCTAACAAAACTGGCTTCGGCAGTAGTTTGATTGGCGGCGGATCGAGTAGGCCGACTACACAACAGCGTTCCACTGAAGATCTGGGCGAAGTGTTGCTTGACAAGGAAGCCTTGAAGACCAACGACATCGTTGTCCTTGCAATAGGGTCTGAGGCGCGTGCCAAAGCGAGCTCTTATCCAAATGCCGTCAGGTGCGGAGCCTTTGGCTATCCAATCCCAGATGCTACTTTGTCAGTTGTTGATCCTGAATCTGGCTTACTTTGCACTCCAAATTCGATAGGAGAAATTTGGGTCGATTCGCCTTCACTGTCAGGTGGATTCTGGGCTCTCCCCAAGCACACCGAGACCATTTTCCATGCTCGACCCTACTGCTTCAAGGAAGGAAACCCAACCCCGACTGCCATCGATCCCGAGTTTCTGCGAACTGGCCTCCTCGGCTGTGTCATCGAAGGCAAAATATATGTCCTTGGGCTGTACGAAGACCGTTTGAGGCAGAGGGTAGAATGGGTTGAGCACGGTCTTGCGGTGCAGGAACACCGATATTTTTTTGTGCAACACCTCATCCTCAGCATCATGAAGAATGTCCCCAAGATCCACGACTGTTCTGCATTCGATTGTTTTGTCAACGACGAGCACCTTCCAATTATTCTTCTTGAATCGCCATCTGCCTCGACTGCCCCGATATCATCGGGAGGGCCTCCTCGACAGTTGGATATTGCACTCCTTGACTCTCTAGCCGAACGGACCATGGAAATTCTCTATCAAGAACACCACCTCAGAGTATATTGCGTTCTTATCACCGCACCAGGAATTCTACCTAGGGTCACGAAAAATGGTCGACGAGAGATTGGCAATATGCTTTGTCGGAAAGAGTTCGATAATGGTTCGCTGCCTTGTGTCCATGTCAAGTTTGGTGTAGAACGAGCTGTCCAAAATCTACCCTTTGGAGAAGACATCAGCGGTGGAATTTGGTCTGCAACCGCGAGTGGCGCCAGAATGGAACTTCTGTACGAGCAAGAGACACAATGGTCCGGAGTCGATCCGCGAGAAGTTGTTATTGATGATCGGACCTCCACTTCGCTGAGCAATTTCACAAACATCTTCGACTTGATGCAATGGCGTGTAGCCAGACAGGCAGATGAACTCGCATACTGCACCATAGATGGTCGTGGGAAGGAGGGTAAGGGCCTCACATGGAAGAAATTAGATCAGCGAGTGGCTGCTGTCGCGTTGTACCTACGGAACAAGCTCAAGATCAAGCCGAGCGACCATGTCATCTTGATGTACACTCACTCGGAAGACTACGTCTTCGCCATCTATGCTTGCATGGTTCTCGGTGCCATTGCAATTCCAATTGCGCCCTTGGATGCGAATCGACTGTCCGAAGATGCCCCTGCATATCTGCACATTGTCGCTGACATGGGTGTCAAAGCCGTTCTTTGTAACACGGAGGTGGACCATCTCTTCAAGCAGAAACTCGTATCGCAGCATCTCAAGCAATCCGCCCAGTATCTCAAAACACATATTCCGAATGTTTACAACACTACCAAACCGTCGAAGCAATCGCACGGATGCAGGGAGCTCGGCCTTACGATGAATCGATCCTGGGTGTCGCCTTCTAATCCAGTCCTGATCTGGACCTATTGGACCCCTGACCAACGCCGCGTCTCTGTACAATTAGGACATGACACAATTCTTGGTATGTGTAAGGTCCAAAAGGAAACTTGCCAAATGACAAGCTCCAAACCCGTGTTAGCTTGCGTCAGGAGTACGATTGGCATTGGATTTCTACATACGGTGACTTTGGGTGTCTACAATGGAAGCACCACGTATTTGATGTCACCTTTGGACTTTGCGCAGAATCCTGGGGCACTCTTCCTGGCCTTGTCCAGATACAAGGTAAAGGACTCTTATGCTACGACCCAAATGTTGGATTTTGCTATGGGCAATGTTGTCGGCAAAGGCTTTTCGCTGCATGAACTGAAGAATCTAATGATCATTGCTGAAAATCGGCCACGCCTGGATCTATTCTCCAAAGCAAGAGTGCATTTCGCACAAACGGGGCTGGAAAGAACTGCCATCAACACAATATATGCCCATCACCTCAACCCCATGATCGCCTCCCGCAGTTATATGTCGATAGAGCCGATCGAGCTCTGGTTGGATATTCGCGCCCTCAGAAGAGGCTTGATATACCCGGTCGATCCAGATACAGACCCTACTGCGCTATGTGTCCAAGACTCAGGCATGGTGCCTGTTGCCACACGCATAGCCATTGTCAACCCTGAAACTTGCCAGCTCTGCCACGTTGGCGAGTTTGGTGAAATTTGGATACAATCCGAAGCATGTGCCAAGTCTTTCTACATGTCCAAACAACTCTTTGATGAAGAGAGGTTCAATGGGCGTATCATCGGAGGTGATGCCAATCAGACGTACGTCCGAACAGGTGATCTTGGTTTTCTTCACAACGTGACAAGGCCTATTGGGCCTGGAAACCAGCCAGTGGAAATGCAAATCTTGTTCGTGCTTGGAAGTATCGGAGAAACGTTTGAGGTCAATGGTCTCAATCACTTCCCCATTGACATTGAAAACAGTATCGAGAGGTGTCACCGCAACATCACCCCTGGTGGTTGTGCAGTATTCCAAGCTGGCGGAATGGTTGTGGTCCTCGTCGAGGTCTTCCGCAAAGCCTATCTTGCATCCATCGTGCCAGTTATTGTGAACGCCGTTCTCCATGAACATCAGATCGTGGTTGACATTGTTGCCTTTGTAGGGCAAGGCGACTTCCCGCGAAGCAGACTTTCCGAAAAGCAAAGAGGAAAGATTCTGGCCTCTTGGGTGACGCGCAAACTGAGAACCATTGCTCAATTCGGCATCCGAGATCCAGATGGACCAGACGGCCATTTCCAGATACCGGCCGAACGAAAATCTGCCAGCATCATGACCAAGACTCCAAGTCAGGCTGGACAAGCTCGAGCCTCGGTCGCATCAGAGTCACAGAACAGCATCCAACAGGAGTCTGTCAGTAATGTCAGCCGCTCTAGTGGTGTTCCCGAGCTTCCGTTCTCGCTGCCACCTAACCACTATCAAATTGACCCGACCGGACTCTACGATGACGCGTCGACGCCAACCGAAAAGCAGGCGGGTGTATCTCTCACCGACAGGCCTTACACCCTCCCCGAGGGCGTGGTGGAAATGCCTACCTCGACCTTTGATGAAGACGACGATAGAATAAACCCTTACATGACTGACGAAAAGTTCTTCGATCCCAACGCGGATCCTGACGACTTGGACCTTCAATTTGGGTACTCACGTTCGAGCTCGCACCTGGATGTCGGCCAGAGTGGTCCACCACGACTCTCTCTTGTCAATCCCGACGAGTACACGCCTAATGACAGTACGGAGAATACTCCCACGAGCTACACAGCCACCGCGACCCCGACTTCGGCGATACCTCGCTCCTCCAGCGCGTTACGCAATAACGGCGATGAACAAAGCCCCTACGAGGATCAGGGAAACCCATTTCGAAATTCCATTCCCGCTTCGGTGCCAAGTTTCGACTTTATCACATCGCCTGGACCCAAAAGCCCTGCTCGGGAACAAATGGCAAGTGCCTCGGCCGCGTTCAACCAAGCCAGAGGAGCAGCGTCCGGCCGTTCTCTCCTCCCCAGCCAACAGGCTCGGTACCCGCAACCCGATCCAATGAGAACACCACGACAGCCTGCTTACTATGGACAAGATCCACCGCGAGAGACAGCGGCTCATACCGCTCCTTACGACAGGAAGCCGTCTGGAAATTCACTTCGGCCCGATGAGAGACAGAGTGTGGACCTGAGTAGCATCTCTGGGAGCATCAGAAGACGATACGACGGAAGCGCATATGATGATTACGACTATTGAAAAACGTTGCGAAGTCGTTGGTACTACTAGCATGAAATCATAGCGGAGGAGTATTTTTGTTGTACTGGAGACCATGCAAAAGGCTGTTGTAGCGTATGCTTGGTCTTGCTATATACGAGTTTGGAATTGTATACAAAATGTACGAGAGTAGGAATGAGAGTAATATGAAAATGGTGAAGACAGAGAGAGTTCCGAGATGAGTTCTGCTCTTTTTTCCACCTGTTCCTTGGTTTATATCGATTTGATTGTACTTCATACTGAGGTTGCTGTGTGCTTCTTTGACGAGGCTGAATATTTGTCGGCGACAAGGCTGAGTGTCCTACTCCATACCTAGGTATCTATTGTAGGTACGAGTACTACGAGACAATAATAGGTACAATAGGGGAGTGTCTTTTAGTCTCCCCCGCGTTTGACGGTTCTGTTTTTGTTTTGTTTTTTGTCCCGCGGTTGTTGAAGAACCAGAGTTCATCATTGCCGCCGGGGATCTTCTTTGGTGAGTAAACTTGTATTAGAGACGGATGAACGAGCGGGGTTTTTCGGTTCTTCATCTCCAACTTGGACGAGTTCATTTTACGGGAGCAACTCTGTACTGTAAGTGATTTCACGCCCAGGCTTCGGTACAGCATCAGCCTAAACATAGCCATGGATGGGGGGAGAGGAGGACCGAATACATGTACATGATCCTGTCAACCGAACCAAACACTGAACGTAGTTTTTTTTTCAGTTTCTCTCTCCCCTCTCCTCCTCCTCCTCCTCCTCCTCCTCTCTCTTATGAAGACTTGAATCGTGGTGTGATTATTTACTGTACAGTACCTCGAAAAGAATCACCAGCATCATCATCCTCATCGTCGTTGAAACTCACCACGTCGACTTCAACCCCCCGTACAAGACCAAACACATCGAGAAGGAACCACTCTTGTACGAGTCGAGTCTAGTCTGGTCTAATACATCCACCACAATGCCTCCAACTACAATGCGTGCGGTCGTCCTCAAGGGTGATTTCGAGGTAATGTCGAATCCTTTTCCCTTTTCCATCGCCTGGTGACCAGGTCGGCTGTATTTCACTACATCTGTGGCAATCTGTAGTGAAAAGAAATACAGAAACGCATGACTTGATCTTTCACTACCCTCACTCACTCCCTCACACACTCAACATGTGTTGCTGATCTGAATCCATAGGTTGCCGTCGAAGATCGTCCATACCCAAAACTTCAGAAACCGACCGACGCCGTTCTCAAAGTCACGTCTACGGCTCTATGTGTGAGTCTATCCGAAACGCACATCCTTCTCCCTACGACAACCCTCGTGACCTCCGTCGCCACGCCATACACTTGCACTTCCACTCTTGGTACAACCGATTCTGACCAGGTCGACAGGGCTCCGACCTCCACTTCTACCGCGGCCACCTCAAATGCCCGCCGAACTTCATCTGTGGGCACGAGTTCGTCGGCACCGTCGTGGAAAAGGGCGACCAGGTCACCAACTTTGCGGTGGGTGACCACGTCGTCGTCCCCTTTTACACGGCGTGCCAGGAGTGTTATTATTGCGTCCGGGGCCAGGCGAGTCGGTGTTCCAAGGGTGAATTGTTCGGCAACAGCGTCCCGGCCAACGCCATCGACGGTGGTCAGGCAGAGTACGTCCGGGTACCACTGGCCGACAGTACTCTGTTCAAGACCCCGAAAGGTACCTCCAATTCTTTTTTTTCTCCCCCCTTCTCGTTTGATCATTTTCTCCCACCGGAACATGAAAACTCACCGGGGGTTAACAATGCGTTTGACAGGAATCCCCGAAGAGATGCTGGTGTTGATGGCCGACATTTTCCCCACCGGGTACTTTGCGGCGTCTCGCTTCCTCAAGAATTTGTCTCAACGAGACCGGGACGAATTCACCACCGTGGTGATCGGTTGTGGTCCCGTGGGCATCTGCGCCATCACGTGCGCCCTCACCATGGTCAAGACCGTCTACGCCATCGATTCGGTTCCCGAGAGGCTCGAAGAAGCACGCAAGATCGGAGCCATCCCGATCAACCTCAACGACAATCCGGTGGACAAGATCAAAGCCGCCAGTGGAGGTCGAGGGGCCGACGTGGTCCTCGAGATCGTGGGTCACACCGACGCCTTCATGTTGGCCTTCGACTTGATCCGACCTTGGGGCCAGATCAGTTCCGTCGGGGTCCACACCGAACAACTGCCCCTGAACGGTTTGCTGTGTTACGGCAAGAACGTCACCATGTCCTTCGGGAGGTGTCCGGTCCGCAGCATCTTCGAGGAAGCCTTGGAGGTTTTGGTCAAGGAACAGAAAAAGGTGGCCTTTTTGTGCGGCAAGACCATGTCACTGGAGGACGCCCCCCAGGCTTACAAGGACTTCGAGGCGAGAAAGGTCCACAAGATCGTCTTCAAAATGTCCGGGGACAAGGCCGGGGAGAGTATAGCCGACAAGGTATAAGGTTTTGGTGGTTTGGTCTTTTTTTTTGCTCGGGCTTTGGAAAAGAAAGCAAACAAAAGAGTAAAAGAAGAAGAAAAAAAAAGGAAAAACCGAAACCCAACTGGCAACTCTACTTGTGGTTTAAAGGGTGCTTATCAAGATACAACAATGCCTTTTTACCTCGAAAATACCGAATCTTGAATTATACCATTCTCGTTTATTGCATGCTTCAAATACAACTTGTGTTCTCGATCTTCGATAATGCCCCTGCATCCACAAACCTCAAACTTTACCATTGACGTCTACTGATTCTTTTGCATTCTGCCCATTTGGAAGTTTCATTGCCTTGCCTGCTGCTGCTGCTGCCGCCACCACCAGCAGCAGACCCAACAGCAGTTCCTGAAAAGAACAGAAGCACCTGCGTCACGGTCGTCAAGTCAACCCCGACATTGAGAGGATTCCCACTCTTGTCTTGCCTGGGGACACGCAGCGACCAGGTGCAAAAGGGACTCAATGCGATTGTCTTTGTTTCGGCGCCAGTCCCGACACTGTCCGCCAGGGTCCCTCCGGCCTCGTACTGCTCCCGTCCATCCGAGCCAAGTTTGTACTGGTATACACTCTGGACGGCGTTGTGAGTGAACCGGTGTTTCTTGCCGTCCCTGGCCACGATCGTGCTGTCACCGTGACAGGTGAGGGTGATGTAGATGTCTTCTTGCCCACCACCACTCCCACTCGCCGCCGCCGCCGCCGCCGACGACGACGACGACGACTTCAACCCGACCAGAGACGCGCGGAACGTCAGAGCCCTCACTTCTGACCACCCTGCAAAGGCGTGGATGTCGAGTGGCACTTGGAAATCCAAGACTCCGGTGGTGGAGAATGTACCCTGCCAGTTGGGGGCCGCCAACGCCGTCACATCGAGCTTGGTGTCCGAGTACGGGGTTTCGTGTCCTGCGGAATTCTCAAAGTCGATGGCCGCGGCGAGGATGTCGGACTGGAGGACTTGGAACTCTGCCAAAGTGTTTCCACTCTGCAAGATCTTGTCGAAATCCTGCAGCGTGCGGTATTTGAATGCATTGATCTCGTAGAAGAGATAGTTTAGCATATTGTCCTTGAAGTTCTGGTAGAGGCTCAGCATGAAATTTCGATACGGCGCCGTCGTCGGATCCGCGAGGGATGCCTTGTCCGACTGCAGTTGGTCCAATTGTGCCTTGGTCTGGAGGATCTTGCCTTCGAACGACAGGATGAGCTCGTCCATCTTGGAGCACTCGACGATTTTGGCATTGCGCGTCGTGCACAGGTTGGCGTAGTGGTGGACCGCGATCTTGTAGTCGGCGGCCTCTGGCATGCTGGCGAACTCCTCAAGTTTGATGTCAAAGTCCTCGACGCTGGTGACGAGCTTGGCACCGTCGTCGTCGACGTGAGCCTGAACCTTCTTGAACAGGTCGGCACTGTCTGTAAAGTCACTGCTTATCTTGTCGATGGTCTGGCAGAGTTTGAGGTAATCTGTCGGCAGTTCACCGGCGATGGAGATGACCTTGCTCGCCAACGCGGACGCAGACAGTTTTTCAAGTGAATCCATGACGGACGCCACATTCTCCGGGCAGGCGACTATGGTGGCTACCAAGCCTAGGATGTCTTTAAAGGCCAGACACTTGGCCTTCCGATTGACCGCATCCTTGAACTTTTCTTCCGCGTCCATCATAACCTGCTTCGCTTGAGCAATCTGGTTCCCAAGATCCAAACACTCGTCCCAAAGAGCCTTTCTTTGCTTGATGGTCGTGTCCCTGTTCTGTGTGTACGCATTGATCACATCTTGTGCCTGCTTGAAGGCGGCGTCGAAATCTTTGTATGTTTTGGTTTGGTCGGCCAGAAAGGTTGTGAAGTTCTGGAAGACGTCTTCGATGTGGCTCCCGAGAATCAGCATGTTTGTTACTGAAGAGCAATATAGATTGAACGAGGCCAAGGGGACGAAATTGACGGCGTTGCCGAAATAGTCCAAGCCTCTCGAGAGTCTCCCGAGAAGCACGCGGCTTTCATCGTGCAGGCCTTGCCACTTGTCCGTTGTGCTGGGGGCTTTGGTAATACCGTATATCCAAGTGAGCATCTCTTTCGTCCTGGAATAATCACCGTCCAGGTATTTGACCTTGACCACCTGCAGAAGCAGCTGAAGGTAGCCGAAAAGGTGGTCGTCTGGCTGGAAGTACTTTGTGAGGTCGTTAATAGTGTCGAACCACAATTCTCCTCTTGAACCGAGAGAACCTGTTCGTTGTCGACCATCTTTTCCTGGCGGACCTTGCGGCCCATTATCGTAACGCCCGTCATCGATGTACTCACCTCCCGCCATTGGATAATGATGCCATTTGTACCTCCTTCCGCCGATGCCGCCAGGACCTCCAGGCCCTTTGAGACCGCCCTTTCCCGGATCACCAGGCATACCGCCTCTATGTCCCACATTTATAAGTACGCCAGAAACCCTCACATCAATGAGAGTGTTGCAGTGGAACATGCCCCCCGATCCACCTCGGCCGGGGATCTATAAACTCGTCAGCATAATACCGATGGGTTTCACAACCGACCGGGCAATGGTGCTCAACACCACGATCCGGCTGATCTTTGCTTTCGAGGTCTTGGAATCACCTACGCCTGAGTCGCCCCCTTTGCCGCCTTCGCAACCAACGCCTCCGATCGTTCCTTCAGAATACCTTTTCTTGTGATTACTAGAGAGGTCGTCGTCTCGGCCGGAAGGGCCTATACTAGAGGTCCGTAAGTCTCGTCCACCAATATAGTTGCACACTTACAGTCCCACCGCAGCATCGCCCCCATCCTGTCCTGCACGCCCTTTGCCGCCACTAACATTGAACGACATTGCTTTGGGGATTTCACCTACGACAATGGTGATATCGCCAGCATCTCCGCCAAAATCTTCTGGCTTTGCCGGGTCGCCATCTTGCCCGTTGGGATTGTTCCCATTCACTTTCGGGTCGTCGTTTGTTTTGTCCTTTCCTGCTGGAGCACCTAGGATACAGTCGACCCCTTTGGTGGAAATGCTTCCAGATCCTGGCGAGGATTGGAACAGCTGGCGGGCGTAGATGGTTAGGCTATGACCAGGAAACCATAGATCACCTCTTGATGTATCAAAGGTGAGAGAATCGGCATATATGACATGGTCCTGTTTTGGGTCAATCAAGTCAGGAGTGAAGACGAGATCGCTAGCGACAATGGTGCAAGTGGTGCCATCCGAACTGCGCTGATAAGTGAAGTCTTTAGTGATACTCATATTTGAGAGGCCTCAAGAAAAGTAGTTGGGGAGGAGGATCCCAGGATGGTGATGGTGGCCATCATAGCTGGACAGCGCTGGTGATATAGACACATGGAATCTTCATCCATAGCAAAGGCCTTTTTCATGAATACTTCTGCGATGTTGCAATTGCTGTGACCCAATATACAGTTAGAACATGTAGAAAAGGCTGGCTGAATGGAGGCCATGGTCAACGAATCAGCTCCGCACAGTCATCCAGACGACAGATTCAGCTTTTCGCGAAGTTGGTAACTGTTCGGGCCCTCGTCAATTAGGGCTGCGGCTAGTCGCATATTCTTTCAGCTGGAGCGTACGAGAAGATGTGGCGCTTTCGACGGTGCTCGCGGGGATTGGGAAATCATGTTGTCGTTTGGCTATTTCTAATTAGGAAGGAGTTCTTCCTTGGCAACTACAGTGGGCCTTCTTCTTGTAGTTGTCGCAGTCGAGAATGACGGCGAAGAAGTGAGAATGTCTCAAAGGGTGGTTTGAGTGACCTTGAACTTGCCCAGCCAGGTATTCCAAGTACTTGGAGTCATTCGTGGCATCTCTTCCAGGTACGAATACATTTATTCAAAGAGGTAGATCTGCAAACGTCTGAAACAATCAAATACCATACTATTCAATGGACTTCATATCGTACAGAAACCTGAATGATACGAGAAGTTCAAAGGGCAACTCAGGTCCCTCACGACTGGTATCGCTAATTACCCACCAACGCCTTGCTAATGTTACAGTTTGCCATGCTATTCAATAGTTCAGATAAATCCAAAGGGCCACTTTCCAGGGGCGGAGGTGTTTCATAATCCCATCATAAAATCATAAAGTCATTGCTCGTTTCGGGCTGGCAGCGATAAGTGCTCGCTCGGTGTTGGTCTGAGCATCACCCGCGCTGTGGCTGAATGTCGCCGAGCGTTGTATCAAGTCAGCATCAGGTTGTGCCTTTGTCTGCTGTTCCAGTCTTGCCAACATTTCACTCCACAGTATCTCGTCCTCTTCGTCATGCATGTGTTTGGCCATGCTGACTTGCCGTTCGCAGATCTCAATCAAGACCGCATTGGACAGCTGTGGATCATTGCGGACGTATCTGAATGCTGTGTTATAGCTGCGTCGGGCGTCCGCATAACGTCCCTTGATAAATTGTTGTCGGCCCAGACGGCGATACCCAAGGCCAACCCGCCATGAGTCGATCTTTCCATGGGCCTCTTTAAGCTCCCGGAGCCTCTCCTCAACCCTCTTGCAGATTTCATCGACATCACTCTGAGTTCCATGTGCCACAAGCCTATATGCTTCCAAGAGGAGGAAATAGATCGAGTAGTAATTGTTGGGTCCACAGATTTGGTCAACCTCTTCAATAGGTGGAAGCCACTCTGACAAGTCCGTATCTGCATCATACCACAGCATATCCAACGCTCTGTTCAGACGAACCTCGTACAGCAATTGGTTTTGCTTGTCAACTCGAGACTCCAGACCATTGTACATGCATTTAGCCGCACGACTATACAAGTCTCTCAGCTGGTCGACTTCCAGCCCGCCAAACGCCACAAACAGCGCTCGTCGGCAGTCATTTTCGTCGAGAAAATTAGTGGCCCAACTCCTGATGCTTTTCAAAAGTATGGCGGCGAGCGGCTTATGCCCGCTTTGTGCCACTCGGCCAACCTCGAAGAGGAGACGCATTGGGATATCGTGGTACCAGGATGTGAAGAGGTTAGCGCTTTGAAAGCCGGCAAATGCTTGATCCCAATGGCCAAAGGCCAGCTGCTGCTTTCCACTCTCGAAAAGGGTGATTCCAGAGGTAAGGTATGATGAGAGTAACCGTGATGCTCGACGTCCACTTTGATGTTGAGCAGAGACTTGCTTGTCCCATACCCCCCGAGAGCATGCCTCGTGTGTCCAGGCTCGAAGGTTGAACAAAAATTGTTCCGTCATACCTGCTGGAAGACGAATGCTTTCGATGGTGATGGGTGATGATAAGATGCTCGAATCTGCTGGACTCCACGGGACCAAGCTATCTGATGCTTCCGTCGGGCTCCATGAAACCATGCTGTCCGATGCCTCCACCGGTGACAATGTCAGTACGGGCGGACTTGATGCATCGGACACCTCAGACGACCCTCTATCCCTTGCACGAGCCTTCTGACGAGCTCGTCGCCGCCTTACAGAGCGTGCGGCTCGCCTCAAAGTCTCGTTCGGATCCACGGTTGTACGTATTGCTTTGCTGACCGGAAGCTCGCCGTTGACGATCTGTTGGGCTTCGTCTCCCTTAAGATATTTACGCAAGCCCCATTCCTTGATCTTGTTCTTGAAGATTTTTATGCTGAGGGATCGTTAGCATGATCACGGTCATGAAGAAATGAAGGTCACAAAAAACAAAGGCATTGTCCCGCGGGTGCAGCTTTCTCGTCAGTTTAAAGGCGAGAGCACCACGACCAAGTCCTCCAAGGTAATGTGAAAGTGCTCCATGTTCTCATCAACACAAATGTCTATGACTGACAGACTGGTCGTGGTCTAGGCGGCACACGATGCTCACCCAAGAGCAGCAGCCCCGCGAAAAGATGCCATAGTTCTCAGAGCGTCTTACCTTGCGTAAACATTGTACTGGTCTTCCATTATAGACCTCACTTTGGGCAAAGCAAAGTCTTGATCCATGTATAGTTGGGTAAATACCGGCCGGTATCTCTCCCAGTCCTCCCTCGTCTTGAGGTGAAGTTTTGGAGAGGCTTTTTGTTCCATGGTGGTGGTTCTTTCCAATGGATCGTCAAAGGTAGAGAAGATTGGGGCTTGTAGAGGACAGAGGGCCTATTAAAGCAAAATTATCGAGGTCGGCTGTAACTCCCGAAGACTTTCGCGGGTTACAGATACCCCAGAATGTGATACGGATCAAGAGAACATCACAAGATGGGCGGTGATGTTTTGTACCAAAGGTCCGCGACGTCCCGTGGCTGGTCGGCGGATGCCACTTCACAAAAGAGGAAGAGGATAATATGACTGCTTAGAAAGTGGGCTGAGGTGAGAAGGAATCCACGAGGGCGACCCAAAGTTCCCTCTTCCGACTCGTTGGCTGCGAATGGTGTGGACAAGGCGTTGACGTGGTGGCTGTGAAGTTGCATGTGCATTAGTGCGCGTGGGCCTGTTGGGATATTGTCCCTCAGCCCTCAAATCATCTCGTCGGCTCCCACGCTCCTCGGGCGCCTGCATGAGCCTGGCGGCGCTAGCAAGGGGGGCAGTGGACGAAAGTGCATAGAGTGACCAAAGTTCCAACACAGATGCTCCTTCTTACACACAGTCCAGAAATCATAGAACGAGGCACGATTTGTTTGATTTGAGATGTGGTTGGTATTGTCATTGCCACTGCATATGATTGGACCTAGCAGTGTTGTATGGACTACGTTTGGTGTTACAGCAAAAGACTGGGTTGATCGGGCGTTTGTGTTTCAGATAGACCTCACCGCCGTCGAAGTCTCTCACACTGTTCGTTTCCAGGCGCAAGATATCAAAAGGTCATCCCCCCATATGGTCGCCAGTCTGGACTATCTCGGTGTACGATAATGAAGAACGACCCGGACGATGAGGATGAGGCGGTAGTCTGCACCCTTGCAATCCGCTTTGGATGTCAGTTGGAAGATGTCAAGCATGCATACACCACCGCGTCGAGGAATGTCTGCACAGTCCTACGGCGGCAGTACTTCAATACCGTTCACGCCACACCAGAACGGCCTCTATGCCGATTACTCTCAGAAGACGCACTTATTAAAACCCTTGGCTCGTTACCATTAGAAGTTGGGTTAATGACTCTCGCTCGGATATATGACGAGTGCCATGTGGCTTTGTGCAAGACGTTTGCAGCAGCCCGAAGAGCAAGGCCACATCATGAACACTTCAGACGCAATCCTTGTGTAGATCTCCAGCCGCTGCATGATCGTCTCCGTCAGCACAGCGACTCTGTGCACAATCAAGTGATCCTCGAAACCACCTCAAGTGAGGAAATTCCCATGAGAGCGGTATGGAGACCCATGCTCCCCATGTGTTTTGACAAATTACCTAGACTTCGGTCTCTTTCCAGTTCATTGCCCGGAGAGAACTCCCCCGGTCACGAATACGCTGGTGTTGGAGGTGGAGGCGGCTCCGATATCATCAGTGCAAGCTTGCTCGGCCATCTGTTGAAACGACATCATAAACGGATGGAGTTGCTGATATCGACTCGTACTTGGGCGACAGGGTCACAAGGGAAAAAAGGGTCCAAGCTAGGAATCAAGCGAGAAGTGTATCAGCATGACGGACCGGCAGCTGGAGCAGATGGACGACCTGTGCCTGGGACATTCCGTGTCAAAAGTGACACCTACGCAGAAGGACGCGATCTCGAGGCCATTCCACTGCAATATCACGAAAAGATTTTCATGGTACTTGATCAAGGAGAGTCAACACCTGACATTGCCGAGAAGGAGAGAGCAGAGTTGAAGGAACAATTTGCAGCCGTCCTCCGCCAGGCTTCTCGCCCAATTGAAACCGTCCTCGTTGTCGATACGGGCGGTGATGTGTTCGGCGCTGATGAAGCTGGAGAGACAACGCCAGACCAGGACTTTAGGGTCCAAAAAGCCATGGCAGCTCAATCTTCAAAATACAATCTCGTCACCGCCGTGGTAGCACCCGGGGTCGATGCTCCGGAGGATGCGCCTATGAAAGCGTTGAGCGCGGGCGGCAAGGTCTACAAACCAACAACAGAAGAGCAGGCCATGCTTCTCGACCTCTTGGTCAACAAGTACAAAATGGACGGGTCTGATCCGAGTAGATTTGGCAAAACTATATTGGCTCTACAAGCCCGACTGAGGGGCGTTATTGGCTGGACCTCCCTTGACCTTCCAGCGTACGTCGTTGATACCTGGGACAATCCCTGGAATAGCTTTGTCTACATCAGGGAGTGCATGAGCGACATTATATTAATGCCGACCATCAAGCTGCTTCCTCTGATTGAGCCTAAGAAAACGGGCTCGGCTGGTTGAAGCCATGGTGGAAAATTTGACTTGATACTATTGGTGACTCCGATGATAGACCGAATATGTCAGCTCACTGCTGCTCGCAGGGCGCATATAACAACAATGTCAAACATTGGGGGGCCTAGACCCAGAACTCGAGATGAGAGCATACATCTGCTCTAGTACAATACACTCGGCTGCATGTGTACTGCATACTGTACTCCGTAGAGCTACAGTATCGAGACTGGACTTTGTCTCTCTCTTCTTGGCGACGATCTGGGGCTTGCAGTGGAAAATGCCTGTTCCTAGAAATAAATTCCAGATACTTCGTACCCACCCACAATACGGAGTACACTTTAAGTGCACGTTTAAGTAACAATATCATCGGCCAGACACGGGAGCTTCTCTCGTCTTCTTCTTTTCTCATGTCGCTATTCCTTCAACGTTCTGTTCGATCTAAAAGGAACCTCCTTTCACCACTTATCAAACCTTTGTTCTCGGTCGTCGTCCGTTCCCCTCCACGAACTTTTCACACTTACCCCGCCAAGATGGACTCACAATTGACCCCGGTCTTTACGCCAGACGCATGTCCTCGTAAGAAAGCATCCGCGACTCCGCTGGATAGAATTCCCTTCTCTGGAGCTTAAAGAAACTGACTTGACGCGTCTGTTGATAGCTGCTGGACCCTACAGCCAGGCCATCAAAGCCGCCGGGCTGGTCTTCGCGGCCGGTCAGATCCCCGCCGACAATACTGGGAAGCTTGTGTCTGGCTCCATCGCCGAGAAGACCGAACAATGCTGCAAGAACCTCAAAGCCATCCTGGAAGCTGCAGGAAGTGGTATTCCCAAAGTCGTCAAAGTCGGAGTGAGTAGCCTAGGGCATAGACGCCGAACAGGACTGCCCGTTCCCCCCCCTTCCCTTCCCCCTACCCCCTCTACTTATCTTGGGCATGCCCTTAGTAAGGAGGGATGAATGATATATGCTTCTCCTTTGTTCTCGGCCAGAGATGCTATTTTATAGGGTCGATCTGATGTGCTGACCTTGTCTTGTCTGTCGGTTTAGATCTTCCTGTCTGATATGAAGCACTTTGCCGAAATGAACGGAGAATACGAAAAGTGGTTTTCTCACAAACCTGCCAGAACTTGCGTTGCGGCTCGAGAGCTTCCCAAGGGCGTGGATGTCGAAATCGAAGCCATTGCCGTTCAGTAGAGGGGGCTGCTGTTGTTTCCATTTCGTGAAATTGAATGCAGGTCTAAAAGCCTTCCGCAATGGAGCCACATTATGCAGGCCCCAAGCTTGGTACCCAGGTCTACGAGACAGTATATATCTTTGTTGGGCAAAAGGTTCTGGCCAAGAGAGATATCCTTGGTCGGCATATCAATCATAGCCTTCTTACAGCTTACTCCTCCCTTCTTCGCCTTCATGTTCCCCCAACTCGATCACTACCTTGCCCCAGGTATCGCGTGCTCCAAGGTCTAACAACGCTTGAGGCACCTTCTCTAAGCCCTTGTACTGTTTGTCGGTATAAGTGATACCCCGGATCTTACCAGACTTCATCATGTCGAAGATACCTTGCCATACGACTGGCTCCGTCTCCGGCTCTTTCTTGGAGTACATTCCCCAATGCAGGCCAACGATGCTGATGTTCTTGAGAAGAACCCTATTCAGGGCGACTTTCTCTATATTGCCTCCCGCAAAGCCAATTACCAGTAACCGACCGTTCCACGCTATACACTTCATCGACGCGTCGATCATACCTTTGCAGGGGGGAGTTAGTTGCTTTGCTGGCATCATTATGCACTCGCAAAAGGGGAGAAGAGCGACTCACCAACAGGATCGTACACCACATCCACACCAGCCTGGCCATTCCCTGTTCTGTGTTTCGTGCAAAGCTCTATCACCTTTTGTGGCCAACCCTTATCCCGGTAATCGACCACGTAGTCTGCGCCGTAGTCCAAACAGACCTGCCTCTTGCGCTCCGTGCCCGCCGTCGCGATGACCGTGGCTCCTAGAGCCTTTGCGATTTGCACGGCCGACAATCCTACACCGCCGGCCCCGGCGTGGACCAACACCCACTCGCCAGGCTGTGTCTTTGCTCTTGTCACCAAAGCGCCGTAGGCGGTCGGGGTGGTCACGTAGACACCGCAGGCGTCCGCGAAACTCCACCCTTCGGGGATGGGGAAGATAGATGACTCGGGCGCCAGGATGTGTGACGCATAGGCACCGTGGAAGCCACCAAACACTCTATCTCCGACCTTGAATCGATGGTTCATCCTGGTGTTGACAGTGCCGTCGACACTGCTCACGACCGTGCCCGAGGTCTCTTTGGCCGACGTAGGAGTCGCAAGCACAACTCCGGCAAATTCCATACCAGAGATCCATGGTAGAGGCGGTTGATGCTGGTACTTGCCTTGGATCTGGAGTAAGTCGAAGAAGTTTGCACCGCAGGCGTGGATTTTGATCAGGTATTTCGAGGGATCGGGGGAGGGAGTAGGCAGTGTGGTGACGGATAGTTCTTGAGGCCCGGAGACATATTTGGTGACTTGTACGGCTTTCATGATTGGGGCGTATATCTACGGGTATAGATGGGAGATTGACGGAGACGAAGCAGCCGATACCAGAAATATATATATGTCATCAAGCTCTCGACATATACGAACACTGTCACTTATTACATTACCGACGGAATTGACAATGTGGTTCTTTGGCGAGTCCGCAGGTTGAATCGAGCGTTATACCTCGGCTACACTCCAGTTAAAGCGCCGGCAATAATGTCCATTCGAGGCTTAGAGCCGAGCCTGGTAACGATCCTCTTGGGGTCCGATGGTCGGCGATCTGAAGGCTCGATCTTGGCTTGCTGCTCAGTCATTTTCTGCTGCGCCTAGTGAGCCGATTCCCCTGCTGCCTTGATATCAGTGCAGTTCGTCCACGTTCCTACAACGTGTGCCTATCACGCATCCTTCATCGTAACTCCTTCCAATGAGTCCGGCTCAACCACCAGAAGATCTACTGAAGCGTCTTGTCGAGGATTTAGTTTTCCTGTTTGAAGAACTTTTACCCGTTGTACAAACCCAAATCGACAACGAAAAGGCTTTGGGAGAGCGCGTCCAATTTGCCGCAAATGAGGTGAGTGATCAGACTGGACTCCCTGCACGTCTCTTTAGTTATTAGGATGAGATATCTTTTGATTAGCTCTAGATCAAGAGCTACCATTGCGTAGCGATGAGCGACATTTGCATGTATTACCTGAATTTTGTGTATACATTCTATTTCTCTCTCTCAGACCAAACAGGAAATCTTGTACTGACAACCATCTATCTATAGTACGAGCGTCTCTTAGCTGCGGGAAGCAGTTCCTCTATTCCATCTGTCTCTCCGAGTGACGTTGCGAAACGTCTTCGTCAACCTTTGACAGCCTCCCGACTTCCCCAAGCCTGGAAAATTCAGAAAACTCAAGAAGCGATCCAGTATTACAGGATGTTGCACACAAAGGAACCTCCACGGAGTGGTGCACTGAAATGCCCAATCGCACATCATGCCACTGATCCTGAGGATCTCGAGCGAGATTTTACAACTCCTGGTGTACAGGGCAATCTGGGATGTCCCTTTGCTAAAATGTCGAACGGCATCTCCCACCCCTTGAACCTCGAGGAAGATCCCATTGCGGCGGAATTCCACCAAGACGAAAACTCTACTCGGTCACCTAACGACCAGCGACCAGGTCAGTGCCCTATACGCTTTCTTGACCAACATTCCCCGGAAGAGGTTGCCAAGTATTTCGAAAACCACAAGCATGAAATACCCCGCAGTCATGAAATTTGCGTCAGAAGATACCAGGCGAATGAGACGAGTGCTCGCCAACTTGATGCCAAGTATGGTAGCCTGGTCAACATGATACAAGGCCTTGGAGTTAAGCATAAGGCCTATCTTCCAGAGCGAGACCGTATTGAAGAGCGAGACAAAGCGTCTAGCAACAACGTCGAGAAATGGGCCGAAACGGTGAGCAATGATGCTGCACCGGTCACTATGGACACATCGGCAGCTGATGAAGAGCGCCGCGTATCACATTTTGAGCGCCCGCTGCGCGAAGTCCGCGTTGGAGAGTCTCCAAGCCGACCTTGGGGAATTTCCGTGCCAGCTAACAAAGAGGTTCCCCCGAGTGCTCTGCAATCAGAAGACGGTGTTGCGCATTTGAAGATCGACCCAGAAGATTCTCGGGCTTCACCCCCAACAAAGCCTTCCAGGTGCCCGGTAGACCACGGTCAGGCTCAGCAGGCTGAGAGGCCAGCTCCCAAAAGCGAACCTGATCTCGTCAAAGACCCAGATTCACGAACACAGATCATCTTCAATGGACCTGTTTTTTTCGGATACTCGGCTGATCAGGTGGCTGCGTTACTACAGCAGACCAATCTGGGTGGTGCTCGCCCAGCTGAGGGCCAATGATTTTGGCTTTCCATGTATAAACCTGTTGATTTTAGAGCGTTATGAGCGACATGATGATTTCCACGACGACACGATGACTTGAGATGACGACCATCTTATAATAGCTTGTGCTAAGCAGCAATGTACGATTACTTTGATACTATACTGTTCAAGCCAAATTTAGATATGTATTTGAATGTAGGCACGCAAGGAGTCAACCTGTCCATAGTGGCAGAATGGCCAGAATCGAGGTTGAACTATGAAGGTCCATGAATTTGTTCTAGCAACGGGTGTGAAAAATCCACCAGCTCTAGCAAGCAAGCTCGCATAACGCGAGACTTGCAAGCCGCGACTTCGATGTGAATCGAAGAGCTTGTGGGAGAAGCCAAGCAGCTGGAAAGTGAATGTTGCATCCTCATAGAAGATAGTATTGTGGGAGACATGTACAAGTTTTCATTTCAGATTCCAAATGCAAGCATGATAGCAGATACGAGATTGGTTCCCTATTGAAAGGTGATAATGATACTACAAGAGTGTGCGCTGGGGGATGTCGAAATTTTGTAAGTGTGTTTTTGTACGCAGACTCGATCCCTCACCGTAGACTGTCTCTTCGGTCGAGCATTAATATTCCGATGGCATTTCTGTGGTCTGATTCTGACTTCTTTTGCACTTGACCCGCGAGCATTGCAGGTTGTAGCTCAACAAAGTGTTGAACTCACCAGGTCATGGAAAGCCTTTTTACTTGCCTGAGATGTGCGCGAGCACTCTCGAGTGCCAGTAGATGTCGGCCGACTTCCAGAGTGGCTCAGCAACTTTCCGGACGCCGCAGCTTTACCTCGAGCGCCTCGTTCTACCATTCACCTCTGAAAGTTGGTAACGACGCGAACTCAGTTTCCTCTCGAAGCCATCGACAAACGTCCAGATCAGTGTCGTCCGCTGCGGTGCCTGCCCAGGAGGAAGATAATTTCGAACGCCACAACATCCCCCCGACTGATTATGGAGAGTGGCGAGCCCATGGTAGAGTCGTGCTCAAGCCAGATCAATTATTTCATCCCTTCACCAAGTCACCTATACCGGAGATCCGACAGAGAGCTCGATATATGAAGCAACATGCCTTGTGCCCTCACCCCGCCCACCAGCAAACTCGAGTACCTATTTCCCCCCACGATCCTGAAGCGAGAAAAGTCGAAGGCGTCAGTTCACAGCCCCCAGCTCACGTCGAGTTTGAGTGTCCGGATTGTGGCATCCCTGTGTACTGCTGTGAAGAGCACTGGGCAGATGACTTTGAAGCTCATCTCGAGATATGCGACACTTTGAAACAAATCAACGAGGATGACCATGATTTGCGATCTGGAAGATGGTTCCCAGAGTTCGAGTACCCGGGGCCGCAGATAGATGAAATATTGGTCAACATGACGAGCTGGGACACGTATCTCTACACCCGACAATACGAAGCGATCAATGAAGACAGGAGTATGCGGCAGGTTACTAGGTTGTTGACATATCCCCTGTCGCTGGGAAGCGTTCTGCATGAACTCAGCCCATATAATATCCGCTCCGGGGGACGGCTCACCACGGAAGGGTTGAAGAGTTTGACCGGTAAGTCATCATGCTCTTTTGTATTGAATTGTTTCTGATCGGTGCAGCTTTGCGGTATACACTCCACCCTCCCAAGACAGGACAGGGAACGAGTATCAAAGGCTTGAGACTGTCGGCTCCTCCTGTGCGGATCTTCATCCTGGGCGCTCGAGCAGAGTCGTCGTTGCCACGTGAAGTTTGGACCCAGCTGTCATACCTGTTCCCTCAATCACTCATCCACCTGGTTTTCATCGGACCTGAGTCCATGGCAAATCGAGACGCGGAGTTTCCACTTCCAGAGAGAACGGCGGTGAACCCCTTCGGAGCTATAGTGGAAGACCGTGTATCACCTAAGATGAAAATTACGACGTACGTCGAGTATTTCCACACACTGCACGAAGCAAACCTCTTCTACCCGTACGACCCTTACTTCGACTGCTTCATGCTGTACCATCCTGGACTTGGCCACCCAGCTTCTGCCCACGAGTGGGAGAAGACATTGCCTCAACTACTCGAGACGAAGTGTCCCATCATATGCACAGGCTACACTGAATGGGATATGACACGAGATTGGCAGTGGGTCATGGAAAAGTGCGCAGGGGAAGTCGACTTGCTCATGGAGCCTGGAGAGAATCGCTTCCGATCCCTACGATGGGATCTGAACGATCTCGATCCACAGGATATCAGCTGTGGAAATTGGGGCATTTGGGCATTCCGAGGCAAGAGGTACGTATTGGCACATCTGGCCGGTGGCCTCTACCACAGAATTATGATTGCTAACAGAAGTCGACAGATATGAAGCCACTACACGAAACTCGTCGGAATAGAGCCCGGAATGTGTACATATAGGGATACCAGCTATCAACAAGTGAATGTATGATAAAATGCTTAGACGGACTAGGCACGATTATAAGCTCACTAGACACTCGTATTTAATCTACTTCGTCCCTCATTGTTCTCGGTTGTAGGCTGCACTGCCACACTTTGAGGGGACTACAACTGCGTATTGTACGAATACGAAGCAAGCGACTACTGCACACTCATCCTCGTACTCGCATAATCCGTTGAAATTCCTATCTGGGCATGCGTAGTAATCGTCATGGATGAGCAGCCATCATGGCAAATTCGGCATCGACGGAAACAGCGGGCTGGCGAAGGACATGACTTGTCCGGGTAGTAGACAATCGCTCGAGCATCTTCAGGGCTGATTTCTTGGTATTTGGTATCATTTTTGCCCTGTGATGTCAAGCCATCGAGCCGCAATAAGAGACTGACCAATGATGTCTATTTCTTTTGGTGGCTGAGTTTTGCAATTCCGTCTGCCCTGCGCCGTTTTCCTTTGGTGCTTTAGTGCATGGCAAGGCATTTCAAGAAATGTATGACACTAGCACTTTTACTCCATGCGTGTTTCCCAACCCATCGCCAGCGGTAGTTTGAGATCCGGGGTGTTTGTGACTACCTAGTACTCCGTAATCATCACCTCCCGTCTTCACGTCTGATCATCATTATATCTTTGTTACCTGGAAATGGAGTTGGTGGGACCCTTTTGGACTGTTGCCACTGATATAATCACACTACCTACTCGTACAGTCTGCTTGCATTCCTGATATCTGATCTCTCTTCTCAAAAGTCCACACAGACTGCCTTTTGTTTCACTAGCAGATCCTTACACCTCCCCTCCCCCCTTCTGGACGACCATACAATAGAAAGAAAACAAAAACATGAAGTATCTACACTTGACAGCCCTCCTATACCTGTTTACCTTTGTCGCATCGGCGCCGCAACCCTCTTCAGAATTCGGCGGCGACATCTCGGTGCGCAATGCTGATTCGTCATCACCCCTCGAATCCTTCAACGCATTAGAAAAGCGCAAAGGCGGCGGCGGCGGTAAAGGAGGTGGAGGAGGAAGCACTGGCGGCCGCACCGGTTCAGGCTCTTCCGGGGGAGGGTCAGGCGGTGGTCGCCCGGCGTCGTCGTACTCGTTCTCCCCGTCGAGCAACGTCGGAGGCAGGACACGCGACGGATCCGGCACGGCCAAGACCTACGGGAACAGGTACGCAGGAGGCGCCGTCGTGCCCTACACCGCGGGAGGACGGTCACCCACGAGAGGCATCGCCCCGTACGCGCTCCCCCTCGGCGCCCTCGCCCTGTTCCCCGCGGGCCTCTGGCTGTACGGGTCCGTGTGGGCGTACCCTTACGGCATCCCCTACCACTACTACCACGACGGGCGCAACACCACGAGCAACGTCACCTGCGTGTGCCAGCGGTACCAGGTCTGCGGGTGCGACCCGACCGACAACAGCACCTTCCTGGACCAGGTCGTCACCAACGGCACCGGGTCGGCCCCCGTCAACACGAGCCTCGTGCGCACCGTGGACTACGGCAACGGCACCGCGGCGACCTACATCAACGGGTCCCTCGCCAACGGGACCACGTCGGACGGTGGTTCGGACCCGAGCAATGCCGACGAAATCAGCGCCGCCGTGAAAGTCATGATGGACTTTGGAGGTTATTGGATCATGGTCGCGACGGTGGTGACGGGGATCTGGATGACGGCATAATGATAACGAGTTCGAAATGGCAAAGGACAATGATCGTAACAAGTTATGAACCTGGGTTTTTTTAAAGAACGGGAGGAACTGGGTGAATGTTCGTACATCGTTTCGTCATTCTAGGAAGCATCGATAAAGGGCTTATATTTTTGGCTATGGTTCAAGCAATGCTCAATTTATCACATGAAGAGCGAGCGGAGGTCACAGTACACTTCGGGTTCGTCTCGAGCGCATCGGGCAGGAAAACGATGGCAGGCATAGGAAGTACGTTTGTATAGCATATGGGATCGAGCAAGCGTACCTCATGTTTAGTAGAACAGTCGTTACTTCTTCTGTACACAAACCACCATTCATGATAACGGAGATAGTTGCGTTACGATGTTCAGCGAATATTCACGCAACATGGATGAAATACAAAGCATGTTACCACTCCAGGATGATATGCCTCTTCCGAAACATGCAGATAGGAAATAGAGTCAAAGAGTCATCAAAGGAATGATGGTCAACGCCAACGTTCAATACTGTTTTTGGATATGTACATGGACAATTGCAGCGTTTACACACGCTTTACTGGGTCTCCCGCCTTGTGAGCCTGTGAAATGGTCAGCTTTTCTCGCTTTCTCGTATTTGTCACGATGCAGGGTTGACTTCTTACCCTAACAGCTCCCGCGCCTCCTAATTCTTGGTCCAGTCCTCCTGGATATTCCGTGGGCGCGCTGGGTTTCCCGGGGTAGTTGACGGTGACCAAATAGGTGATTCCGAGGATACACGAAATGAAACCTCCCCATAGCAATAAACCTTGACCGGTAGTCATGTGTGTGTAGTCCTCGAGCGCAAAGATACCCAACACTTCGTTGTCTTCGTGCACCGGTTCGCCAAAATTCCTCCGTTCTTGCTTGTCATCCCAATCGGCATAAGGGTCTCGGTGTTGTCTCTTGACTCTGGGAGGGTTTATGTAGCCATTGTTCTATGGAGGCCGGTCAGCAACGTCTTTCTCTTGAAACCCCTCCGAAAACGCAAATTTACCATCTCTGGGTCATCAATCTCGCCAATAGCCTTGTCGGAGGGAAAATCCCCAATGACATTACGTGGTAGGGCTGCCCTCTGGGCCGTTGCGACAGAGAATGGAGCTTTGGAAAGGCGTGGTTGAGGTCGGACAAGGCATCGGGTCGACCTTGCGGCGAGGGTCAAGGCTCGTGGAGAGAACATGTTTGAGAGCGTAATGGGGGCAGAGGTGCTCCGAGGAGCCGAGCGACAACTGTAGCAGTCAACACTAGATCATCCAAACCGTGTTGAGTTGGAAGGCGACGGCGAGGTGGTCGTTGGTGGTGGTTTGTGGCAGACGGGAAGTCAGTGATTGATTGGCAGGGCAAGCAATGGTCGAACTGCTCCGAGCTCTCGTGCCGCTTTTAAGACCCTCTGCTGGCGAGCGACGCACCCCCCTTCTCACTTTTCCTCTCACCCTCCCACTCACGCCAAAGTTCTTCACACTGCTCCCTGCAGAATGCGCCGAAAATCTGTCCGCTTAGCAATTGGCTCTAGACGAGCAGGGCATTATCTCTCGACGTGTGCGTTACTCTCTCCATTCATCTGGTTTGAGTGAGATGCCGGCCTCTCCGACACAAGACATGGGTGGGCAGATTGCGAGCAGGTCTCGGTCTTAACCTATCTAGCTATATACCCAGTAGGTGGGTGGGATGACGAGATTGCTATCTACCCCAACACATTTACAGTCAGTGCTTCTTATACGAGACATCTATACCACGTTTTGCACGCTTGGCCGAGGGAATTTAGACGGATACAGGTACAGTTCCGTATCTACCAGAGCTCTTCATAGTGCCTGAGTCTTCGGCACGACCACAGTTGTTCAATGCCAGGCTCAGTGCCCACCACCACCGCTCAGCACAGTCCCAGAATTGTCTGCACACGAAAACGCGCCACCTGGATCACAAGTCAGCAACATATTTTGTTTCGCACGGCACACGAGAGCGAGGCTCACCAATCGTCCCATTACTGTAGGCATCCATAATACTCTGGATACTCGCGTAAGTCCCACCCACACAGATGAATGCCCCGAGCAACCCCAACAACACATGTGCTCCATACACACCCTTCTGCCACATCTTCCCGCCCAGGTAATGCGGATGATCATACATCCATATCCACGCCGGAACCACCAGCGCTAATGGGGCGAAACATAAACTCCCCGTGATGGCAACAAGATAATTGAAAATCGGAATTGCCTGAGCGAGTATGAAGCCCAGAGATGCGAGCCCGAATGTACAGCCCAGCCAGGTGGCCCAATGCACCGCCGAGTTGGACTGCAGGTGCCGGGAGTTGCGGAGGATGCGCACGAAGAGGTACTTTGCCGCGACGTGCGTATAAAAGGCTCCGGAGACGACAAGGCCGATGAGGCCGATTCCGTAGCAGACCTTCTTGACGGTCGGGCCAGCCGACCCGAGAGCGGGCGCGGTGATCCAGATGCCGCACCATGCGTAGATGACGGACGCGAAGGTAATGTAAGAGGCCGTGACGAAGGCCATGCAGGCGTAGAGCGCCTTTTTGAAGTCCTGGGGGCGGCGCATTTCGGCGATGACGGGAACGAATGCGGACGTGCCAGCGGAGGAGACAAAGATGGTGGTGGTGGCAACCATGGCGCCGTGGAAGCTTGAAGAGAAAAAGGCGTGGTAGCCTAGGTCGTAATTCCCGAGAGGGGCGGCGGCTGGGCGGTCGACCTGGGTGACGGCGACGACGAGGATAAAGACGGCGGTGTAGATGCTGAGGAAGCCGGCCCAGCCGACCCATCCGAGGTTGGCAAAGGTGCGGACGGATGCCGAGAGGGCGACGATGATGAGAGAGACGAAGGAGAACCAGACTGTGCATGCCCCATGCTCGGACAGGGCGTTGAACGCGACGCTGGTGCCGCTGATCCCTGCACCGGCACAGAGAACCCATGCGACGCTACAAGAAGGCTATTGTCAGCAAAGAATTCGGGCCGTCCAGTGGTTTCGGCTTTGGGATCACGAAGACTCACTGCACACCTGTTAGCACAATGTCCAATCGGTTCCTGCACTGGACAAACATACCATATAAAGGGCACCAATGGCTTCCTTGGCGATTGGTCCGCCCATGACCCCGACCATGTCAGCAACCGAGTGGCATGAAGGGTGCTTGTTGCGAAAGTCTCCCTGAATCGTGCCGACATAGCAATTCAACATGCCAAAACCAAGCAGAACAAGGGCACCAGCAGCCGCGCCGATCTCGTACATGGCAGCCGGGATGGAAAGAACACCGGTGGCAAAGAGGATCTTGAGGAAGATGATGGCAGCGCGAGGCCAAGTGACGGTCCGAAAATCGACTCCATCCTCGGTGATGCGAAAAACCTCTTGGTCGCCTTTGAGTTCTTCAGTCAACTCACTGGTGCGACTAGGGACGGTATCAATCACGTCGGGATCAATTTTGCTGGTCATCTTGACTGGATTGGGAGAATGTCAGGCTGGCAGGAAGGGTGGGGGGGAATGATGCGTAGTATATAAGTATGCAGGACTCTGGATTGCCTCCCTATCTCGGTAGCCTTCTATCTTGACGGGCAAAGATAAGCCGTCAATTGATCCATCCGGACCCCAGAAGGTTTCGAGACCTTCGTATACTTATTACCCCGCAATAGCAGCTCTGGTTTCCCGAATAGTAAATCGCCGAGAGGCTTGTCCTTTCGCTGTTGGCCCGGGGGAGGAATAGAGTTTCAAGTGGAGAAGGACTGAGATAATGGAGAACGATGAAATTGGTATTCAGTTGGTTGTTGAGGGGGCAAACTGATGGTGAGAAAGAGATATCTATACTTTTACACTGTATAAGGATATGCAGCTGAACGAGGCGCGGGTCCAAAGCAGCTGCAGGAGGCCCAATCAATATTGCTAGCCCCGAGAGCTGGTAGTTGGTGTGATGCTTTGATACAAGCTCATCCACCCCCGCAGGTCGACGACCGGGTCACCAAGTACGAGTGATGCCGATGTCCCATGGCACGTGGCCCGGACGATTGAAGGTTGGATCAAAGGTCTTTCCAGGCGTCTGGACCTCCCATTGCGGTCTCCCACGCGTAAGCAGCGCGTAGGACCGTCATTTCATCCCACCATCTGCCGACGATCTGCATACTGACCGGTAGTGCCTTGCCGGAGCCAGCCAGAGGTCCCTCGATGATCTCAAGCATCCCGATTGGTAGAGTGAGAGCAGGATGACCGGTCTGGTTGAACGGGGCGGTGTTTCCTGTCAAGCCTACCTGCTTCTGAATTTGGAGGATCGGGTTGCCAGTGGCACCGGCGTCCCCCAAGTCCGGGTGCGATCTGGCGACAAAAGGCACCGTTGGCGATATCAGGACATCGTAGGTCTTCTGCCGTCTCATCTGCTCAAGCCTCGAATCCGTGACAAAGGCGGATATCGACGAGAAATCGCCGAGGGCGGCATCATAGCCGTGCCGTGCCTTGATTGACAGATTGGTTGCTTTGCCGTAGAGGCCGGGAAATTTTTGCATGTCCTGTGCATACACGCCATTCAGATAGATGTTCTTGGTCGCGGGGATTGCATTGTCCCATTTCTCCTGCGTCATCGGCCACAGTTTCTGGTTGAGATCGTTCAACTGGAAGCCTCTCCGACCGCCTAGCGCAAGTGTCTTGTTGACATAACCCCCCAGCTTGGAAATGCCGGTCCACACCGAGCTTGCGACTGCGTGGATGGGCACTGACACTTCTTCCACTTCTGCCCCGAGTGCTCGGAACTTGTCCGCTGCGGCCAGAAATGAGGATTTGACTCTGGGATCGAGCGCCGGAGTCTTGAGACCTTCCGCGAGGATGCCGATTCGCATACCAGTCAGGTCTGTCGGGCTCTGTTGGTTGGCGAGAAGCTCGTGGTAGGCCGGGATCTTGTCTGGGGCCGGAGCACCATATGACCGGTCATCGACCCAGTCTGTCCCAGCGATTGCTTTGAGAAGCTTGGCGTTGCTCAGCACGTCGCGGGTCATCGGGCCCATATGATCGTTTGTCGGCTCGTTACTACCGGCACCCGTCCAGGGTACGAGCCCGAAGGTAGGCTTCAGGCCAACGATGCCGCACCAGGCTGCAGGGACTCTGATACTGCCGCCTTGGTCGGCGCCGATGGCATAGTCGACGCCCCCGTTCTCCGGGCCAAGCGAGACCAATACAGCCGAACCGGACGAGGAGCCTCCAGATGCGTAACCTCTGGCATACGGATTGTGCACGACCCCCGTCGAAGCGGTATGTGAAGTTGCAGAGTGACACAGGTTCTCGCACACTGACTTGCCGGCGATGGTCGCACCGTGCTTCAGCATTCGGGTGACAATGGTCGCATCTGTCGTGGGTGTATAACCAGAGAAGAAGTTTGTTCCCAGCAACAACGGGACGCCTCCAACAGCGATGCAGTCCTTAAGCACCACGGTCTTACCGTGCAGTAAGGACTGCGGATTCGGTGTGCCGTCAGTAATCTCGCACCTCCATGCCCATGCACCATGGAGGTTATCAGTCGCCTTGGGGAAATGGACATTCTTCCTTTCGAACCTCTCGTGGTCAACCTCGGGTACGTAGTCATCGGCAGCAAGCAACTTGGCCATAGAATCATGGTACACCGCCAAGAGGTTGATGTACTCATCCTTCTCCTCGTTCTTGATGGTAACTCCAAGGATCTCGCATGCCCGGTCGAGATCTTCAGCAGTCACTGGATTGTCCTTGGACACATCAAGCGAGAAAACCGACATGTTGCAGGATCGGGCGTCCCTTGGTATCGAAGTCTCTCAGCTGCGAATGCCCGATGAAGCTGAATCTATCCCCCTCAACCTTGTTGCCCCAAAACTTGCTGCTAGACGCCTGCCGGGATCAAAAGCGCTATCAAGACATCATTAGCAATCAGGGCGGACATCGGCTCAGTTACGATGGGTTTCAAAGATGCCAAAGCAACGTTTGGAGTTCGACGTTCGGCGTTTTCTATCTCGGGTCTAGCGCCATAGGTATCCACACTATCACCCGCGGTTATCAATAATGAACGATATCAGAAGGGCCATCAGAGGGGCCATCATTTGCTAGCCGTACCGGGATCCAACAGTGACTTCTGTGGAAAGTCGGGGACCTCGAAGATAGAAGTTGCCCGTCGTAGGGAGCCACTGTCACGTCCGCGAACCCAAACACCACTCCAGGGACCAGGAGAACATTGTCGATTTGTCACCATGGTCAACCTTGATCCCAACTATGACATTCCAAGAGATCTCGAGGGTATTTTGAGCCGTCTATAAGGCATGGCATCCCAGGCTGGATTTTATTGACTCTTATAAGGATATGGCGAAGAGTCGTTCGACCCTCAGTGGCCCAATAGCGCAAGGATTGCGGTGTCGTTCGTGTTGAACTACGAGTATGTGTCCAAAATATTTACATGTCTTAGCGATCCGGCTGACCTCAATGGCCTTAGAGAGGGAGCAGAACGTGCTTTCCACAATGGCGACGGTCACTCAGAACCCTACTTGTGGGAGAAGGGAGCATCTGGAGGCTACAAAGAGGGTGCCCCGTACGTCAATGCTGAGTCGGAGTACGAATATGGCAGCCGAGTAGGTGCATGGCGCCTGTTGCGACTATTCAAAGAGTTCAATTATCAGTGGACCACCTATGCTGTGGCACAAGCAATGCAGGTGAACCCAACATTCGCCAGAGCGTGTGTCCGAGACGGGCATGAAATAGCTACACATGGTCTGCGCTGGCTCGACATCTGGGACTATGATTTGCAAAAGGAGAAAGACTATATTATGCAAAGTCTAAAGACCCTGAAGGATGTTACTGGGGAAATGCCAGTCGGAGCGTACTACGGGAGAGGCACGCCGAACACAAAGGCTTTGTTTCCTGAAGCGTTCAAGGAGGCCGGTGGTGAGATGCTCTGGAACTCAGAAGCATACAACGATGATGTCCCTTACTGGGTCGACCTGCCTGCTGAGAAGGAGTTGCCGGACGAGGAGAAGAAGGGCATGCTCATCATCCCATACAACTACGATTGCAATGACGGCAAATTTCACATGAGCCCAGGCAAGTGGGCCGGATCACCTAGTTTAGGATGCCATATACTAATTGTTTCTAGGCTTTGTCGGAAGTGATATGTACGAGAAGTACCTGAAGGCCACTTTTGACATGCTATATCGCGAAGGTGGCAAGATGATGAACATCCCTATGCACAGTCGCATCTTGGGTAAGCCTGGACGGTCAGAGGCTCTACGAAACTTTATGAAGTATATACAAGAGCACGAAGGCGTATGGGTGACTACGAGACGGGATATTGCGAAGCATTTCAGAACCAAGTTTCCATACAGACCTGGCCACCGAGCATAACGATATTTTACATATTTCTGTATAGTGCCTGGACCAGGGCGGGGCCAACTTTGTAATGACAAGCCGAGCTCTGGCTCCAATACATGCCAAGTACCTATATCTAGGTAGTCTTGACTCTTCTCAAACCGATACCGACTTGCAGAAGGTTGTTGAATCTGTTAACAGACAAGGTCGGGACTTTGGTCTTGAATGTTACTGAACCATAAGTATCAAGATGGTTCCACCTGTCGCTCCTGTGCCGCCGGTCGCTGTAGGCAATGATCGAAATAAGGCATCGATGGCATCTTTTGAACCACCCTCGAGCACTGCTCCCATGGATCGCGCGCTCTCGTCTCTCTTCACACCTCTCAAGATTGGTAACGGCCGCATCACACTGTCTCACAGAGTCGTAATGGCACCCATGACCCGCAACCGTGGGGTTCCTCTGTACCTCAGCAGACCCAACCGTGCTTGGGGCCATGATGGGCTCGGCGTCACATACTACTCGCAGCGAACGACACCTGGTGGTCTGATCATCACGGAAGGCATCTACCCGACCGTCGAAGCTTCGGCATCCCCTTGCGTGCCAGGTCTTTTCCTCCCAGAACAGGTGCCTGGCTGGAAGTCCGTCGTGGATGCCGTGCATCAGAGAGGCGGCTACATCTACGCGCAACTATGGCATGCCGGTCGATCGTGTCTGCCACATTTTACCGGCCATGCAGCAATGTGCCCGAGCGCCACGCCGTTCGAGGGAGACCACAAGTCGCGGTACGCACCCCCGGGTGACGACAGCGGGTCTCCGGGAAACGGTCAAGGCATCAAGATGAGTGCCTTTCCACCAAAGGCCATGACGCACGACGACATCAACTGGACGATACAAGCTTATGTTGACTCGGCAAAACGGGCCATCCTCGATTGTGGCTTTGACGGCATTGAGGTCCACGGCGGTAATGGGTACCTGGTCGAGCAGTTTCTCAGCACCAACATCAACAAGCGAACAGATGAATACGGAGCCACAGTAGAAGGGTACTGCCGCTTCCCGCTGAAGCTGATGCAGGTTCTGGCAGAAGCAGTCGGAGGCGATAGAGTGGCTATTCGCTTGTCACCTTTCGGCCTCTTTTTGCAGTCTCACGGAGGACAAAGGATGGAGATATGGTCACATTTGTGCAGGAGCCTCAAAGAGACCATCCCGACCATGTCCTATATCCACTTCATCGAGCCTCGATTCGAGCAAATCATGGACACCACCTCCAAAGAGGCACATTTGAAGGCCATGGGATTGGGACCAAATGTCAGCCTTGTCCCTTTCCGCGAGATCATGAAAGACACGCCGTTCTTCGTGTCTGGCGGCTACAACGACACGAACGTCTGGAATGTAATCGACTCGGGTGCAGCCGATGCGGTCAGCATAGGGCGCTATTTCACCTCCAATCCCGATCTCGTCCATCGACTGAAGCACGGGAGAGAGCTGGCGAGGTATGAGCGAGACCGGTTCTATTGGGTCCCGTTTGACACACGAGCACGAGGGTATACAGACTATCCTGCTTCAACAGAATAGATTGTACAGTTATACCGGTGTCATTACAAACCCCGCTCTGACCCCCCCGGTAGGCACCCTAGACCTAGGTAACTGTATACGGAGTATTCGAATCTTGTACGAGGTATCTCCAACAACCGCGGCGGCCTAAACCACCCACGATGTGATATCCAGGGGCTAAACTTCAATAGGCAATCGCCGAACACATACCTCCTCCACCTTTATCAAAAAGTCAACATTTGACAAAAACTGGGGCATTTGCGGACAAGTCCAACGAACATGTTGGAGATTGTTGCTCGGCTTATGGCCGCTGGGCACCAGATCGTGAATTGAACTGCCGTATATCTCTCTTTGGACGTAAGCCTAACTCTCTGAGACGCGGGAAGCTTTTTGAAGAACGCCGAGGCGTCTTGCTCACAGTTTGAACATTTGGCCGACGACGACAACGGCAGGCAATACTTGTTGTAGTCATCTCTGCTCACCTAGCACCTTCAAAGTTCACACAGTAAATCACCAGTGACCACCGACCAAGGCAGGTTTTTCAACTTTTGTCCATCTTCATTCATCCTTGACACCCACACACAACTCCCAGCCCCTGGCCCCCTTCCAACCAAATACAATGTCCACTCCCGCCCCTTATACCTGGGACCCCCACCACGACTTCCCCCGTGACCTCACGGGCTATGGGGCCGACCCGCCACCGGCCCCCTGGCCCTCCTCGGCCCTCCTCGCCCTCTCCTTCGTGATCAACTACGAAGAAGGCGGCGAGCACTGTGTCCTCAACGGCGACGCGACGTCCGAAGCGTCGCTCTGGGAGTCCGCGGGCCGCTACCCGCCGCGCCAACAGGCCCGCGCCGTCAACGTGGAGAGCGACTACGAGTACGGGTCGAGGGTCGGGGTGTGGCGGATCATGAAGTTGTTCGAGAAGCACGGGATGAAGTGGACGCTGTACGCGGTGGGCAAGGCGGTCGAGGCGAACCCCGAGGTGGCGTTGCGGACGAAGAGGGCCGGCGGCGAGGTGGCGAGCCACTGTTACCGGTGGGTGAACTACGAGGACATGGACGCCGCGAAGGAAAAGGACATGATCCGGGCCGGGCTGGAGAGCCTGAGGGACGTGACGGGGGAGTACCCCGTGGGCTGGTACTACGGGCGGCTGAGCAGTAGGAGCAAGGCGCTGGTGTGGGACGTCTACGACGAGATGGGGATCCCGTTGCACTGGCAGAGCGACAGCTACGGCGACGACATTCCGTACTGGGTGGACGTGCCGGCCGAGGGGAAGATGATCGAGCAAGGGAAGCGGAAGGAGGAGGACGCGAAGGGGATGTTGATGGTGCCGTACACGTACGACGTGAATGATTTCAAGTTCCACACGCCGACGGGGTTCGGGGGCCCAGGGGACTTTTTCACGCACTTGAAGAATGCCTTTGACGTCTTGTACGAAGAGGGCCAGGAGGGAACGCCCAAGATGATGACGGTGGGACTGCATTGTCGCATCATCGGCAAGCCCGGCAGATTCGCCGAGTTGAAGAGGTTCTGTGAGTACGTGGCGACCAAGGACCGCGTCTGGGTCTGCACGAGAGGTGAGATTGCAAAGTGCTGGAGGGAGAACAGGCCGTACAAGGTCGGAAAGATATAGATGGGCCTTCTAGCCTTCTATAACATCGTGGACAAAGGTACCAAAACAACAAAGGCGACATTGCCATGGGCAATTGGTGGCTGAACGTAGGAAGCGCGAATGACGAAATCCATGGACATCGAGGCACAGCACCTGAGGCTAAAGTGTACATATCTATCGATGGGCGAAATCGAGGGCATCCAACCTTATGTTGGAAGTCTAATGGTTTTCTTTTCCCCTTCCATGTATGTAATTCGACAGCAGACAGACGCATTCACCGTCAAGTACTTAGATAACGGTCAAACCCACCTCAGTCTCCTTGAATGCAGAGGCTGCGACTCAGAGTCGGACAGACAAGAGTCTGGGCGAGTTTCCGGTGAGCAGGAGGTCACCACCGAAGTTCCCAAAGCTTGATGATGGCAACCAGATTGTCCTAGCGTTCCAATGGCGAGCCTCGTGGCTTGCGTAGAAAGCTTATGAGGCTCGGGAAGAACAGAAAAACTCATGGAACAGCCTGCTGAGCACGCTACACAAGCTGAGTCGAGGTAAGTTGTATGATTCGCATGTCCTTGCGGGTATTGACGTTATTGCAGCATGCTCGCAATCCATGCTGGTCGAAAACTTCCACGAAGCGGTTTCTAAAGCCGAGATGAGGCGTCAGGAGACAGAGGTACTTCGAGCATTGTTCCGGCTCTTCGCGCTGTACACGATAGACGCAGAGGCGCGTGAATTCCAGAGCTCTGGTGTTGTCTCTTCATAGATGCTGGACGGGTTGCCAGACCAAATCTATGGGTTGATGCAGCAGATCCGACCTCATGCCGTCCGACTGGTGGATTCATTTGCTTCGCCTGACTATCTCCTTGACAGGTAAGAGAATCAATTGACAACAAACAACCAGAACTGACTAACCTAGTGCCTTGGGCCGCCACAATGGAGGAGTGTACGAAGACTTGTAATATCGTGCTCATGTGATCAACCCTCTCAAAGAGCTAGTGGTGAATCCAGACTACCGCAGTAATGAGGTCGTGGTGGACGGAGAGGGCATAGATAGGATACTTGCAAAGCTTCAGGGAGATCAGTCTAGTGTAACTAAGGGGTCGAAATTTCTGGGTTATTCAGGGAATAATCCCAAATCATCGACCCACATCCGCATCCAAGTATTCTCCTGGAAATGATTCGTCAAGACAGGCGAAAAGCCATCGCCGAAGTCGGCTATCGTAGGCAGTGCCATCGGGTCGTTGTCAAATATCGGTTGCTTATCTAGATGATCATCCATAACCATGCCGTTCAGATCTGGTGTTGGGTACACTTGCTGTATTTCAGTCTGCTCTGTGTCGGGAAGAGAAGCCTCCACCGAGGTATTCAGGATAGTGCTGATATTTTGCAGATTCTGTATGGCTGGCGTGCCATAGAGTCCGCCGAGCATTTCGGTGGCAGCGGCCAACGAAGCCTGATCGTGAATCGCCTCTTGGGTCCGGGTTGTTTTTGAGCCTGCATGGTCGTCGGAATTAATGGCCTTCCTGATCGCACGCACGTTCCGTACATTGTTCGCTGCCGCCGGTCGAGCGCTACCGAGCTTATCAAGGAAGCCCTCTATCAAGTCCAAGGCGACGTCAGCTTCAGCCCTCAGTCCTGCTACACGCAACGTGGATAGGTGGGGGATAGCCGCTACCATCCCATAGAAAGAGAAGGGCGATGCCAGGTAGCGTGTATCTTCCCGCAAGTGAATGGCTTGTAGAATTCTGAACATCAGGTTTGAAGCCGAAATGCTCGCTGCATTCTCAGGGGCAATGGCGAAGACTGATCGAGGCCGATAAAAGACCAAGATCGTGGTCAGTAACGGAGCATGCAATTGAGCTATTTCGAAGTCGTAGGGCCGCTGCCAGCCGTCCGGATCTTGCAAGCGCAGAGCGTCAGGAAGGTTTCGGCAAAAGTTAACTAGTCTCTGCAAGATTTGACTGCGTTCCGTAGCTGGCTGCTTGTCCTTGGTCAGAAAATTGCAGAGGTCGTAAAGGAGACACGTAATCTCCTGGTACGCCACAAAAATGTAGGCGCGAACATCAGTAGGATCGTCGAAATCATTGACCGATGGTTGTTCCATGGTGCTATCTGCCAGGTTGAGCATACGGGGACGTCCGTGGGCCGTAGCCATCAAACTATCCCTAATGAACAAAGTCCACCAGATTCGTCGTCGGAGGCCAAAATCTTCCTTATTTGTATCAGGCTGCCGCTGGAGACCGATCTGCTGTGCAATGCCGAGGGCACAGCTTTCCCAATAACGAGCCGTATCAGTGGAGATGTCTCGTGGCGCGGCTGGAGTGTAGAACTGCATTAGGCACATTGATGCTATGATGTTCAGTGGGTTTCTCTCGTAACCAGTGTTGATTAACGCCTTCACGCGCTGGTAGTAAGCGTCTTGTGTCGCCTTATTGACGGTCTCTGGGCGCATAAGCGATCCCACTAGCAGGACAGCCTGCAATAGGAGGAGCGAACCCTCGCCATCAGATGATGATGATCCTAGTGATTTGACATCGACTATTGGCATCCACGGCCATGCTTTGTCATCAAATGCTTCCAACAGGCTTTGGCGAAGAGGGAGCTCTGGGAGGTCGAAAGCATGGTACAAATGCAGGACTTGTAACTCTGTGGCTGATAGTTTGTGCTGGCGGACTGGCTGATCTTCGTTGGAGTGATCAATATTGGGGAAGTCATCGCCTAAGATGGCAGATCGGGACATATAGCTAGCATTATGAAACTCATCGTGGGAGGACCGCTGGGCATTCGCGGTTGTTCCTGGGCTGCTGGCCAGCGAATTCTGGCGACCGATGAACAGCAAAGGGGCAGAGACGTCCTTATTGTCATCCAGATGCTGGGAAGGGCCTCGTGGAATCGGTACGGGTTGATTGCTTCGACCACTTGTGGTATTGCCGTTGCGCTGCTTCTGCTTCTGAGTTTGCTCCTGTCGTTGTGGCTCAGGTTGCTGGGCAGGCGATGGCCTGTTTGGTCCAGGGTGGTCTGCTGCTTTGCGTTTTCGATTCCTTGAGCGGCACTCCACACCGTGTGTCAGACAGTTGCGGCAAGGTTCGATGCCAGTCTGGTCACATTTGACCTTCCGGGAGTAGCATGCCTCGCAAGCTTTTGGCTGTGACTGCTGCGACCGTGAAGCTGGGTCATAAGTGTGAAAAGTTGTGGCCATTTCGGTCGAACATACAAGAATTAGGCTCATCCCCAAGGATCGACCGAAGTGACTGCATGGAAGGAAGAGCGCCAAGTGCCTAACCTGATCATGTATTATAGCACTGGTCGGAAGGGATTGGTTCTCGGACGAGACTCTGCTGTCCGTAGATAGGACTCGAATCTAACCTGACTCCGAATGTCTTGCCTTGTTGGGTGACTGAGAGAATTGATTGGCGCAGCCACTGCGTCGTGGTCGGAATTGACTTCAAGGCAACGGATTGGCGATATATCATCTGAGCAAGCACAAGGTTGATCGTCCCAACGATGTCGACGCTCACGGGTGATTTGCTCAAGGGTCAGATGTGGCGGCAGCATCGACCGAGGTCTGTGATAAGGCATGCTTGGAGCTGTGGGGGGGCGGGATCTTTTCCTGGCAGTACGGAGTAACCCTACAGTACTGTACATGTACGCTACCTTGTAGGTTGGCAAACACGCGTACGGGTACATGTACTGTATGTGTAGTGTCTAGACCTTTCCCCGGTTGAGGATCCCTGTTTCGGCCCTTCGAGGCTGCGCAGCGAAAGCTCATAGAGATGGCCATTGCCGCTCCGCCATGTGCAGCTTGATCCTCACCCTTGACGAAGTAGACTGGCCTGTGAACGTCTCTGTGAAGGGACCAAGCCAGGATTATATGGCACAATGATCCGCCATCCCTGACCTCATCTTCCTCCCCATCTCATCTACGCAAACAATGGCAATGTATCCCAGTCGAGTTGCATATGACCATCGTCAATTGTTCCGCAGACGAGATCACCAGTAGCATCCTATCTTGCCCACCCCAGTCCGCGACCTCGGGACCACTTCATGTTCACCGGTCACGGACACAATCATTCGCCAAACATGTTTACCCTTGGTCGTATCACATTGAGCTGCACTCGGAACTGGGCATTAAGGCATGTACTCATTGCGTTGCGATGCTCTCATCTCATCCCGTGTCAACCCTGCATATAAAAATTCAACACGGGATTCTAGATTCGCAATGCTTCGAATGATTTCAAGGTGAGTGGCCTGTCTCGTGGGAATAATTTTTTGGTGAAGGCATTCGCTCCATCTTCTCTTGTCCTTGGCACATAACAATTCCAACCCCAAGTCACTCGCTAGGCTTCTTCTCTGGTCCTTCTATTCCTTCTTCTTTTTCTCAGTCGTTAGCAGCCATTGTTCCTTCTGCACAGCTGCTTCAGCTTCAAAATGACTTAAACAAGCTCACAAACAATGGCATCAGTATCTAGTAAGTGTAGCGACAGCCTAAACAACAACGCGCTCGCCATTTTCACCTATAGAGGCGCGTAGTATCTCCTTCTGGGCGATGGACCTAAAGACCTCATGTATCACCTTGTATCTTGACCAACGGATATCACTATTTTCAAGTCTTTACAGAGTATGTTACTGTTCACCAGTGTCATGGGTTGACCCATACAGCAGCAGGGTGAGGCCATTCTTTCAGCAGGCCGGCCTTCGACTTAGTAGGTATCGTGGATAGAGGTAGGTATCCGATATTAGCAGGCTTCTTCGTAACGGTCCCTCTTAAAGGTCGCGGGAATTTAAGGATTGAAAGATATCGTCAAGTCTGAGAAAGAATAGGATTATAGAAGCATGATTATACAGTATTCTTCGAGTGCTTAGGTAGAAGCATCAATCGAAAACCTACCTTTAAAAGACTCTGGAAAGTAAAATAGAACTGTGCAGGATTTCGCCCCTCCAACCGGTCAAGGGGGTCGCGCGAATCGTGGCGCGAGCAAGGGCGGCATCAGCTTATTTCCCGATCGAGGGTGTGGCGCGAGCAGTTCAACCAACTCTAGCCTTGGCTGGAGAGAGAGAGAGTGATGTGTGTGAAGAGGTCCAGAGAAGCTCAGACGCAGGGAGAGGCAACACTGACTGAACTACGGAATTCGACAACTCTCCAAAGTGCAGCTTCTTCTGCCACCCGTCGATTTTGCCTACAGCCTTTCTTAATCTTGACCTCACCACTTCATCTGACGCGCACATTCCTTCAAACTTTGCAGGTTTGCTCGACTCGATCCTTCGAACAAATCGACGTGCGAAACGACTACTTTAACGCCCTACCCGTGGAGTATGCTGGTCGCGCTTTTGTTATTATTGTAAGGGATCAATTTTGCGATGGCAGCAGGCGCAAATGCCGGACTCTCCTCCGACCGGCGACTTGCATCCCAGCAGCCAAAATCAAGGCACGTTTCATCAACCACACACAACACGGCCACCTCTGACTGATGACCATGCAGGAGTTTTCACGGATAATGAAGTCGTACCTCCTCCCCGCCACGACGATGCCTCGATCGAACGCGGTGACTCTGATGAGCCGCAGTCTAAAAGACGGAAGATCGCAGAACACAAAGCCTCTCCGAGACCAGTGTCGCCTCCCTGGAAACGGATCGCGGCGGAAGGCCCAACTTCCTTCCTCGAAGATGGCCGAAGGAGATCTGGAAGGACAAATATCGTGCCCCTCGATTTGCAGCCGCAGTCGAACAAGAGGCACACCCGCGCCGCGTTTGACAAGGTGAAGACAGAACAACAACAAAAACACGCCAAGCCCGTCTACAATGTGTCGACACGAAAGCCAAAGGCTGAGATGCCAGAACCATCGCCCACGCCTAAACGAGTTCCCGGCAGGCCTCCTAGAAATCGCGAATCTGGCAAGACGCCCTCAGTCAAACATGAAGAGGCGCCGAAACCCGCCCAGGCCCTGCATGCGCACCAAGATCAATATGTACGGGAAAGAAGACGTTCGCGAGAAGTCGAAGGAATGAAAGCCAAAATCGAAGAGCTTAAGAAACTCCGAGATAGCCTGAAGTCCTCCGGTGCCTCTGTGTCCAAGTCGCCCAGCCGTCGTGGCCGGCGAAAATCTACCGTCGTCAACGGGGTCGATGTTAAGTCGCCACCCCACATGAATGGTGCTTTGGAAACGGATGACGATGGAGACGAATCGGAAACATCTAGCATACACACGACACGGGATGCAGATGTGCCTTTGACCTTGCACAAAGTGACATTTCGTGTCCAGCTCCCTGAGCCCACTGTTGCTACGCCTTCTAATATCCCGCCGCCGAAGAGATTCACATCATTTTCGGAATTCCTGGACCATGACGAGTCCGAGCCACGCGCCGGTGAGGACATACTCACCCCGCAACAAATTAGAAAAGAGGCTGCAGCAAGAAACAGAGTATGTGGAGCGGTAAAGAGTGGCAAGGTCTTTGACAAATTGCTAAATGATACGCTACCTGCAAAACACGACGAACCAAAACGACAATACGCGCATCTCGACTATTTGCTTGCCCACATCGGCCATTTCAGACATCTGCTGAGGAAGGAAGCACAAGATCATAGGCGGATAGCACAGACCTTGGCTCACGAGGCGAAAAAGTATGTGGAAGAGAAGCGAAAACGAAACAAAGTCAAGAGTCCCGAGGAGATAGAGCAAGAAAGGCGGCTGGCGGCTATTGCTTCGTATCGGGCCGTGGTGAAAGATATGGACAAGTTGTGGACAGCCGTGAGGACTGAGGTAGACCTCATGCGACAGAAACAATACGAAGAAGAACAGCAAGCGAAGATGAAAGGCCATCTCGCCCGGGTGCTGGATCGAACTGATCAAATGCTAAGCCGTGCCACCGATCAAGAGGAGTCTCTCATGAGTGAGACAGACCTGTCAACGGACGAGGGAGCAACGAGCGAGACTGAAGACAGTGAACAAATGTCTGAAAGCGATACAGAACCAGAGTCGGAATCTGCAGCCGGTGATGATGATGCAGAAATGTCAATCGAGGAATTGAAGCGAAAGTACGGAAATCTTCCCGAGTTATCAGCTGATGAAGAGATGTCTGTTCAAGCTGATGCAGAGACCGATCCACATCAGTCTGAGGAAGAAGATTCAGATCCTGAGACCGAAATGGACAGCGAGTTTGACACTGATGACTCAAATGATGGTGATGATGACGACGACGACAATGCCGAAGATAGTGAAGAAGAGACTCGAGGCGGCCTTCTATCGTTGTTCTCGAAGAAAGAAATCGCCAGTATGGCACCATCCTCAGAAGATGCTGCATCTGAGGATAACGATGGCGAAGCTGCCAGTCCACCCATGGTCGAAGTCCTCGAAGATCACGAGATGCAAAACGTGGAAAATCAGCCAATTCCGACAGATTCGGAAAAAGCTGAGCATGACGAGGCCGTACCCGCACGCATGCCTGAAAGTGACCACCATGAGGAGGTACATCGAGACGCTTCAGCTGACGTCCACATGTCCCAGCTAGACGACAATGATTCCGTCAGTCAGGAGGCAAGTGCTCACACTTCGCCACATACGACTGCAACCAAACTGTCCGAACTGGACTCTGTTTCATCGATTGAAGCCGCTGCCGAAGCCACAGCCGAAGCCACAAAACCTGCAGTCCCATCTCCGGAGAGCAAGTCCATCATCAAAACCCCAGTTCCTAGCTTGTTGCGCGGCACTCTACGAGAGTATCAGCATGAAGGACTCGACTGGCTCGCAGACCTGTATGCACACGGAAGAAGTGGCATTTTGGCTGATGAGATGGGTCTCGGTAAGACGATTCAAAGTATTTCATTGCTCGCACACCTTGCCGAGGTTCATGAGGTCTGGGGTCCGCACCTTATTGTGGTACCGACCAGCGTGATGCTCAACTGGGAAATGGAGTTCAAGAAGTTTCTGCCTGGCTTCAAGATTTTGACATACTATGGTAGCCCAGAGGAGAGAAAACAGAAGAGAAAAGGTTGGATGACCGACGACAGTTTCAACGTTTGTGTGACGTCGTATCAACTTGTTTTGCAAGATGCCAATTCGTTCAAAAGGAGAAGATGGCATTACATGATACTTGATGAAGCTCACAATATCAAGAACTTCCGGTCAGAAAGATGGCAAACCATGATGACTTTCAATACAAGAGCTCGACTTCTCCTAACAGGAACACCGCTGCAGAACAACTTGACCGAATTATGGTCTCTCCTGTTCTTCCTCCATTATGGTCAGGAAAACCAGGGCGAGGACGATGCTTTTGCCGGCCTAAAAGAATGGTCTGAATGGTTCAAGAAGCCAGTAGAATCGATCTTGGAACATGGAAGGCAGTTTTTGGATGAAGAAGACCGAGAACAGGTCGCGAAGCTGCACAAAGTCATTCGGCCTTTTCTTCTTCGAAGGCTGAAAGCAGATGTTGAAAAGCAGATGCCGGCAAAGTACGAACACGTGGAGATTTGTCGGTTGTCCAAACGCCAGCGACAATTGTACGATGGCTTCATGTCAAGAGCGCAGACTAAGGAAACTCTTGCTTCCGGAAACTATCTCTCCATCATCAATGCTCTGATGCAGCTTCGAAAAGTGTGCAACCATCCAGACCTCTTTGAAACACGGCCCATCACAACCTCTTTTGCCATGCCCAAATCTACGACTGCCACTTTCGAGATCAAAGACCTCCTTATCCGGCGCAAGATGATGCGTAATGCTGCAAACGACCTAGACCTCGATTTCTTGAGGTTGGCCCCGCTGTCGGACGAGAGTATGTCTATGATAGAGTTCATGCAGACGGCCGGACGTCATGCATCTCACCTTCTCAAAGGTTTACGAGAATCACAATATCGGCGGATCTCTCAAGATACTAATTGGCATGGTGAAACTTGTTTGGGAGTTTTGGGCTCACTGGAAAACGTTGGAAGAAAGTCTAGGATTCAAGAGCTCGACCGAGCAATTTACTACGAGGCGTACCGCCACCATCAACACCCGATCTATGGAAGAGGACTGATTAACAAGTTGACCGTCAATACTACCGGCGCCTTCCTTTCCAGACTTTCTCCTTTTAGAGTCCGAAGCAAATGGTGGGAGAACGAGATGCCGGTGGCAGCTCTTGATCTTGTACAGTCTGTCGAGTCGAGATCCGCTCTCATGGAGCCTCTCATTGAGCAGTTCGCCTGCGTTACCCCTGCCGTGGTTGCTACAGACTTGGGCATGACCGCTGTAACCGAAGCAGGAGCTGCAACTATAAGAGCAGATCCCCAAACGTGGAAACGGGATCCCTTTCACCAAGCAAGGATGAAACTATCCATAGCATTTCCCGACAAGAGACTCTTGCAGTACGACTGTGGCAAGCTACAGAGATTGGACAAGTTATTGCGGCAATTGCAGTCAGGAGGTCATCGGGCGCTCATCTTCACCCAAATGACCAAGGTATTGGACATTCTCGAACAGTTTCTCAACATTCATGGCCATCGGTACCTCAGACTAGACGGCGCTACCAAGGTTGAGCAAAGACAAATTCTAACCGACCGATTCAATAACGATCCTCGCATCCTGGCTTTCATCCTTTCGTCTCGATCCGGTGGATTGGGTATCAACTTGACAGGAGCGGATACTGTCATCTTCTACGATCTGGATTGGAATCCTGCCATGGACAGGCAATGCACAGACCGAGCACATCGGATAGGACAGACTCGTGACGTCCACATCTATCGATTCGTCTCCGAGCACACGATCGAGGCCAACATTCTTCGCAAAGCCAACCAAAAGCAACTGCTGGACGATGTTGTCATTCAAGAGGGCGACTTTACGACAGATTACATGAACAAGTTGACCTACCGGGACATGCTTGACGATGATGGCGCACCAGACGAGAACGACGCCGCCGGACTCGCCATGGACAGGGTTCTTGGGAACGACAAGACCAACGTTGCCGTGTTGGAACAGGCGGAAGACCAAGAGGATCGTGCCGCGGCCAAGGTGGCCGCCAGGGAAGTGCAACACGCCGACGACGGTGACTTCGAGGACAAGACCGCCTCCGCGACCCCGCGCACCAACGAAGCCCACACGCCCGGGCCGTTTGCCGCCACGGAGGCGGCGTTGGCGGAGACTCGAGACGATCAGGATCAAGTCGACGGCCACGACATCGACGGGTACATGGTCAAGCTGCAGTCGTGGATGATGAAGGACGTGCCGCTCGGTCCCGGCAAAGACAAGCGGAAAAGGGGGAAACGACGTGACGAGCACCGAGTGAGAAGAGTTAGGTAGTTAGAGACAGGGTGATGACGGTGGCGACTTGTTTTTTTTCGACTTGTTTTTTTTCTTTCTTTCTCGATTGCTTGTGAAGCCCTCTCTAGGTACGGAGGAGTAGCAAGTCGGACGGACAGAGGGCCGTGGGGGGTTCCGGTGGGGTCGGTCGTCACCGGCGCTCACCCAAGTGTAAAAATAGCTTGATACAAAAAGACCATTTGATTACATCCTGGCTATCACATTGTGGAAGGTTGTGACGAGAATTAAAGTGTAAAAAGAGAAGATGTATAAAAACAGAATTCGACGACAAGATACAAATACACACACACACACAGAGAGAGAGAGAGAGAGATTCTGTATCACCACAGTATTCGGCATTCGTATAGTATGAATTTATGACTGGTGTGGGGGTATCACTAGATTCAATACGTAGTATTTGCCATGTCATACCGGGGGAGAGAGTTTGCGTCTTCCTGGACAAGACAAGAACGAGAAGCGGTCCATCTATCCAGCTTGGAAAAGAGGGCTCTCGGTCCAGAAGACTTGGGGGTTTCTGTCGGCTCTCCTTTTCTCGCTTGGCCCATTGCTTTGTCGCTCACTCCCTTTACGGCGGTTGTCGGTCCCGTCCTCGCCATTTTTTGGGGGGGTCTGCTCGGCGAGGACGGACCCCACAAACTCTCTAGAACCAAAGAATGAATGATTTGATTGATCGATTTGAGAATTCAATCAGAATTTAGAGAGAGAAAAAAAAGAGGGGGAAGGAAACAAAAGTGCTACCAGACCAAAAAAAAAAAAAGAACGTGGGGGGGGTATAGTTCGTGGTATTCGTAGTCGTGTCAAGAGTTGAATCAGTCCCAGTCCAATCAAGACTGGCCCCGTCCGTGTCCTGGAAAATGTCGCAAGACAGGCCCTACTACTAGAGGCCCAAGGAAATATCTTTGCGAGGGTCGTCCTCGATTCCTTGATCGGGGTTTCGTCCGAAGCTCAAGCTCAAGCTCAAGCTCACGCAGCCTTTTCGCCCGACTCTTCACGTGTATCGGGAGAGGGAGACGCAGGAACGTAGTCGTCGGTGTCGAAATGGTAGAGTCGAGGCTCGACGAGACCCTTGCGGCGCAGCACGTTCTTCTTGAACCAGTACGGCGCGACCTGGGAGATTTGGTAGTGCTGGTGGGTGCGGGTGGGCACGGCAAAGACGTAATCCAGTTCCTCGAGGGAGCGCTGCTTCGTCTCGGGCAGCCACAGAAAGATCATGACGAAGGCGATGGCGTTGAGGCCGGCGTAGAAGCCGAACGCGCCCTGGGGGGTCATGGCCTGGAGCATGCGAGGGAAGGTCAGGGACAGGACCGAGGCCCAGAAGTTGTTGGTCGCCACGGCCCAGGACATGCCTATCTCACGGTGGGACAGGGGGAAAACCTCGGCCGAGTAGGTAAAGGGGACGGGGCCCTCGCCGGGAGAGTAGAAGATGTCGAAAAGATAGATGAACAGCGCGATGAAGCCCAGATGGGCGTTGCTGCTCTCGGGGATCCAGAAACAGAACCCCGCCGCCAGGAGCGTCCAGCACATGTTGGGGAAAGTGAAGAGGAGCAACGTCCTCCTTCCGAACGTGTCGATCGTCCACACGGCAGGCCAGGCGAAGAGGAAGTTTATCAGACCGAACCCCCAGGAGGCCAAGAGACTGCCGGTGTAGCTGGCGCCGGCGTTCGAAAACACCGTCGACGAGTAAAAGGCGATGATGTTGATGCCGCACATCTGTTGCGCAATCATGACAACGCCGGAGGCCTGAGTGGCACGGCGGATACGTGGAATGGTGAAGAGCTCCACGAAGCGGGTGAAGAAGTTGCCGTGGGTGGCGGCGGCCGATTCTTCAATCAGAATGTCTTCCTGGATCAATTGCGCGTGGATGTAGTAGAGATCGCGTGCCGCTTGGAGAGGGCTCCTTCGGAGACGGAGAAGAGACCGGTACGCTTTGGCGTGCATTCCCTTTTTCATGAGCCAACGAGGAGACTGTTGTACGACGTGTTAGATTGATGTCGGGACACCGAAACAGCTCCCTACACATACGGTGTCGGGGGAAGAAAAGTCACACTCACCTCAGGACAGAAGAAGATACCAATGACCAGCGGTACGGCTGGAATGAAGGCCGAACCGAGCTGGAGACGCCAGGCGATATGGCCCGTGTCTTTGATGGCCAAATTCGCGCACGTTCCGAGAAAAATACCAAAGGCCGTCCAAAGTTGCCAGGACATGACCAAGCCACCACGGATATTTGTGGGCGCATTCTCGGCGGAGAAGACAGGCACAGTGACTTCCTTTAGACCCATGCCGATACCGAGTAGAATACGGCACGCGACAAGTTGTCCCCAATGCTGGATGAAAGCTGAGCCGATAGGAGACAGCAAGGAGAAAATAGCACCCAGGAAAATAGTACCACGACGGCCGAGTATATCGTTGACAGGATCAGAGATCCATCCAGCGCTGCATGCAGGTTAGCGACGTCTAGACAAAGCGGCAAAGGTAGTAAGAGAGCTCACAAAAAGGCAATGGCAATGTATGGACAGGAGTTGATGAAGCCGATCAGCCAGGAGTTGTCTTCACATGTTCCCTTGGCTTCACAGACGGGGCCTGAGTCAGGAATGCCCATGTCGGCGGGGAATTCGAGGTTGGCAGCGTTGGAACCAGTTTGATCCCATCCTTGAATTGCAGCAGCAATCGAGTTGAGGATGATGGTGTAGTAGAGGATCCTCGGGTGTCGCCAGCGATGGGTGACTTCCTCACGCAAGAACTGGCGTTCCGTTTCGTCAATCTCGGGGATGGTTTCGAACTGGTGAGGGCTCTGGGCCAAGAGGGCGCCTTTGCGAAGCAAGGGAAGAATGTCGCTCAAGTCGTTCTCGCCGGCATAGTTTTCGACATCTTGTAGCAGCTGTTCGCGTGGGATGCCCACGAGAGGGTTTCGGACTCTGTGAGGGACCAGTCAGTGAAGTGTCCAGGGTTGAGGTACTGTAGAAACGGGAACATTAATAAGAGGTTCAGGGTAAAGCTCACTCTCCGGATGTGTTGTTGGTCAACTCGGCGACACTTTGCTTGCGCTTCGACTCATCGGTATAGAGGACACTAGGTCGTCTAGTCTCATGATGGGTCTCATGCTGAATGTTGTCGTCTTTGTGGTCCGCCATGGCTGTTTTGTTGTGTGCAATTCCGGAAACGAGAGAGAGGAGAAGGGAAAAAGGAAGGGGATGTTTGGCTGTGCGGTTCTAATGAAGGTTGGACAAGAGAAGCCGGTGAGAGGGGCATGAGCAACCAACGGAGGTGAGACGAACCAGGGCACGCGAGGTCTTTTGAAGCAAGGACGCGCGATCTTGGGAATGCGACCAAGGTTGCCGCCATGGCCAAGGGGGAGCTAACTGTAGGCGCAGGTTCAGGTTGGGATGGACGAGCTGCTTGTGGGAAACTCGAATCCTTGGGCCTTGCACTTCTGAAAGGTGGATGGTGGTGGCGTCGAAGGTACTCCGTAACCAAGGGCTAATCAATCCTCCCGACACAAGAGCCCCGTCGATGAAGCCATGATACCTTGTGGCTGGCCTCGCTTTGCAGGTAGATGAGGGGGAAGGGAACGTTGAGTAACGCTGATGGGCTCAACGCTGTTGGCTTGAGCTTCCCCCGTTGTGGTCGTTCGAGGACCAGGGTAGGGGGGGTGTTCAATTGGGACTTGCCGCAATCACACGACGCTTCGACCAGGATCAGGAGCTTTACGGGCTACAAAAGGAGGCGGTTTGCTGCACAACGGGCTGTCAGAAGTCCGAGAAAGGCCTTGCCAGAGGTGGATAAGGCAGAAGTTTTGGATCGACTCTTGGGCAAATTGGGACGATGGACAGAAAAGCTGAGTGAAGTTTAGCGCAAATCCCCCGCCATCGGCGTCAGTGGCGTTGTTTAACCATGTCAAGGCGTCTCTGTTCCGTTCCCTACTGGGTGGTCGTGCTGATTGATTGATTGATTATAACCGATCTTTGCCGGTGGGAAATGAGGATGAGGAGGATGGGAAGGATCAGAGTCTGATCACTCGTAGTTTGATGGTCAGGAAATCTGTAGAACAACCCGACATCAGACTGGAATCCTCACCAAGGGAGATTTGTACAGTATAGGGATACGTATACAGCACAATGAAGACTTCCCTAAAGGACGCTTTGCCAAAGCTTGGAAGTGCTTAGAGGTACGTACTGTAAACGCAAATTTGGTGGAGTGTCTGTAACTACCGGGGGATTTGCAGCTAAAAGGATCCGCTCCGTGGGTCTCTTTCTACCTATTGTACGGAGTACAATAACAATACTCCGTACAATAAGGTCACTTCTTTAGCCCCAATACTACGAATTACTCCCTAAACAGTGCTTGTTGGTACCTACGTAAGCTTGACCCTCAACGCCAGAAGTCGACTCCTAGGGAAGCTTTTCTTCTGTTGTACTGTATGGAGTACTGTAGTAGTACAATAGTAGTAGCTTATGGGGCAAATACCGCGGCCATCTACTCCGTACGCCCTGCCACTATCCCCCTCCGTGATACTGGTGATTGAATGCGGTCCAATACGAGAATTGGGTCAAATTAGGCGTCCAGCCAAGTCAGCCTAATCGTTATTACTTTGTACCAAGGCTGACTCTGGTCCAGAACAAGACCTACTGCACTGTACTGTAGGGAGTGCTCGTGCTACTCATTCTCCGCAGAACCACCACATTATTTCCCCGTGTTTCTGTGTCTCTCGATACCCGAGTATCTTAGTCTTTCTCCATCCGGACTACGGGACGACAGTACGTTTGACATGATCTTGATGACTGTACTGTTTCCCGCGTGCATGATGGGCCATCAGCTGATCAAAACTCATGATACTAAGTCTATTACTCTTGCTGGGGCTGCGTGTTGCGTGCCCACTCGCGTCCCTCCAACAGCCTCGTCTCGAGCTGCCCCCTGCCCCCCCCAGTGCCCAGTCCATTCTCGAAACAGGGCACTCTATCCGAATCTGCAGGCGGGATGTAACTGTTTGTTTCCCTTCCCCCCTCCTCATCAGCATGTCAACCATCTTTTTCTTTCTTTCAGAAGCATTGGGCAAACAATGTTCTGCCTTGGTGTATCTTGATTCTGCCGACCTAGCCGATGCAAAGAAACCTCAACCGATTTAAAACAAGTGATACCTGAGGCATTTAATACCCACACGCGCACACACGCACAAACACCCCCCCCCTTCGGGCTTGATGGTTGCGTGCCTGCCATGAGGGATAGGTGCCTACGTAAAACACGTGCAAGAGATAGGTAGAAGAGTGTTCCTATCTCGTGAGGGTCTCCTACTGGCGGATGAGTGACTGACTCATCCAAGTCCTGTCCAGTACGTGCCTGTTCATGTCTGCAAACCTCAAGACGTACTTCGGTGGAAAGCAAAAAATGTCCCAGACATTGCAACCGTTTTTGTTCTCTCTTAGCCCTGCAATGGCTATTTAGCTCTATTATGCCTTACTTCCCTGCCACCTTCCGAATAGCTGCCACGATGTCATCGGGACCGAGACCCTGCTCGTTGACTTGCTCGTATAAACCGCCACCGCCTTCCTTACGCGCTCCCATGGACAGATACTTGGGAGTGAGGTTACGTTCCAACAAATGAGTGCCCATTCGAGACCCCAGACCGGTCTTTTGGGCGATGGATTCCACCACGAGCACAAATCCAGACGACCCGTAGATCTTGATCGAATCCTCGTCGACGGTATTGAGGGTCGGTTTATTGACAAGACCGACATCCAGACCGTCTTCTCGGAGTCGCTCGACGGCGTCCAGAGAGCGGTACAGCATGTCTCCGTAGGTGACGACGTACCCAGCAGATCCCTTGCGGATGAATTCGTCCTTGCCTGGAACAAAATCATAGCCTTCACCGTACAGCGGGTCCTCGGTACCTTCTTTGTAGATGAGAGGCACCTTGGAGCGAGTTGAAAAGATAAATCTTAGACCCTTTTGGAAAAAGACCTTTTGTACAACCGCCTTCATTTGCTCGGCATCGGCAGGGAAATAGAGTGTGGTGGTCTCGGCGTCCATGAGACCGTTGTCGGCGAAGAAGTGATTCAGGCCGAAATGGCAAGTATTGTCTGCTATCTCGTCGACTCCGCTGTGGGAAAAGTGTGACAGAACCGAACACTCATTCAAACGAGCCATGGTAATCTCGGAGATGATCATCTCGAGGAAAGCTGAAAAGGTTGAGAAGACGCCTTGGATCGAGCCGTCACTTTTAAATCCGAAGCCAGCGGCCGCTGAGAAGTTTCCACGCTCCATGACTCCAGAGGGGATGAAAACCTCGGGATGCTTTTGATGAATGGCTTTCAGGCCTGTGGAGCCTTCCAAATCCGAATCAATCACCATGACCCGGCGAGCAGCTTCTTCTTTGCTCAAAGCATCAAGAACCATATTGACTGCCTCGCCAAATACCATACGGTTGGCAATTTTGTCCTTTGAGGACCCTCGATACTTCCAAGGATTGCTTCTAGGTTTGATGTCGTCGTAGAATGAGAGTTGCTCCTTGCTGTAGCCTCTGCTAGTAAGATACTTGCGGGCCGTCTCAACGGGGATGACATCGTGCGCCTTGACTGAACCCTCCAGGCCCTCGATGTGTGGAGCCATGTTCCGGTCGACGATCAGAGCAGCAGGACCATTATGGGTCAGCACTTCGCATACCTTTGGGTAAAGCGAATCGAGGTCTTCTCCGTTGGCACGAACAACGTGCAAGCCATGTCCAGCCAAGGTGCGACCGATCTCATAGCCTTTCAGGTATTCGGAAGGCTTTGCGGCGATTGTTACGTCATTGTTGTCGACAAACACCTTTACGTTGAGTCTTCGAGCCACGGCGATGCGAGCAGCTTCGGCGTCATTTCCCTCCTGTTGAGAGCCATCGGAGCCAAGAAGTAGTACGGTCTTGTCCTTGTTCTTCATGGCGATGCCGTTGGCCATAGCCCACATGTGGCCGAGGCGACCGGAACTGAACTTGATCCCCGGGGTCAAGCCTAACTCTGGGTGTCCCGGAAGCTTAGATCCTGCTTCGCGGTAGTCTAGTAGATGGTCAGGATCGATGTCCCCGTTGAGGGCTGCAAGAAGGTATTGAGTCGCTACACGGTGGCCTGCTTCGTCGAAGAGAGCATCGACGAAGTTGTCTGGGCTGCCATTTATCATAGCGAGTAGGGTGCACACTTCAGGGGCGGTGTCGAATGGTCCCCCGGTGTGACCGGCCACTCCACGCGCTGCTCCCGTGGCTGTGAAAGCGACAATGGCATCGCGAAAGATGCCAATGTTATGCTGGAGATCCTGCTTCTCCTGGGGACTGAGTTGGTTATTTCGAGGATTGAATGACAGCCTCTTGAACCTGGAGAGGTCGACAGGTAGTTTAGCGTTGACCATATTGATATGTCTTCAGGGGGAAGATGGGTAGTGATGGAAGTGAGGAGTGAAATGAGGACACGGCATCAAAACGCTGTCTTGAAAGAATTTAAAGCAGATGGTGTGATGTATGATGTACTCGTAAGTGCCTTACCCACCTTGAGAGGTTGCTGAGTCAAGATCAAGATGAAAGTAGATAACGCCCGTGAACAAGAGAAACGTCATTCGTTCCATCGTGGATACCGCTGCTGATTGATTCCGTAGCATTCAGGGTCTCCAGTTTCCGCGCAGTAGAATTGTACAGTTCCACTATTATATACGATACGGACTTTCACATGCGTTTACTTCGTGTTGCCCACAGTTTTTCGTCATTTATCACTCTCCACCTCTTGTAGATATTCATGCAACATGACCAGACTTTGGCTCCGTACCTTTTTAAATAGCATTGATCGAATGCCACTTGGACGCCCTACCAAACAAAAAAACAGCAATGTCCACGCCTGGTGCGCGCGCAGGTCTGGAGACCTTCGACGACCTTAACATCCAGTACGAAAATGCTTATCGCGACAACGACTTCAAGGTGGCATGCGTGAGGAAGGCCATATCACTCGTCGTGCCGGACTGTCGCGTGCTAGATGTGGGTTGCGGCACCGGTGTCCCAGTATCTCAAATGCTGGCCGAAGCCGGTCTCGAGGTCGTCGGCTTCGACATCTCGCCCAAGATGATCGAGTTCGCTAGCACACGTGTCAGGGGCTCATTCAGTGTCTCTGACATGCTCGAATATCAACCTCAGGGCAGATTTGCCGCCGTCTTCATCATATTTGCACAGTTGCAGTTGTCGTATGCCGATTTTCATGCCGCAGCCTATAAATTCGCGCGAACCTTGTTGCCTGGTGGGATCATTGCTATCGGCCAGATGCCGGCAGACAAGTATGTGAAGAATCGTTCGGACTACGACGAGACTGGTACCTTCGTGGAGGATTATGATGCACCTTTCATGGGTGAGCCGATACCGACATTCATGTTCAGTGCACAGGGCCAGCGGGACTTCTTGACATCGATGGGCCTGGAGGTCGTCAGTGAGACTATTGACATGTTTCAGCCGAACAACCCGAAATGTGTTCCGGAAGAGCAGCAGTATATAATTGCCAAGAGGACGAGTGATGCACCACTCGAGCCGCCAAAACCGTTGCCCAAGTAGATTATGAAGACTATCGACATCGCATGTATTTTCTTCTCTCAGCCGCAGTGATTGTGTCATCTTTTTCGAAAAAGCACCATAAACCGCACCATTGCCTCGGTATTGAACAGCTGAACCTTTCACACGAACACACACTTCGTCACATCATTCGCAACGTGAGGGTTCATGATCAATTCCTTTCGAGATGTGCTCAATCTTCACTGGCTGAAACTGTTGTGAGGGACCAGGAGCGTACTGAACTGCCCCGTGTTCCTTTGCAATGTCGAGTTTCTCATCACCAAATTCGCGAACGAACGTCTTAGTGTCCATAATCTTGGCTTGTGACCCAGTGCTATCCTTCTTATAGCGCTCCAATACCACTGCTCGGCCGACACTCGTCTGCTGAAGCAATGATTTAAGTGAATGGAATGTCGTTCTTCGTGTGATGCACATTATTATCGCCATAATGAGGGCGCAAACGTACATTGTCAGAACTGCGATCGCCAAGGCGGCATAACGGAGGTGATATCGAGTCACGACGCTGTAGGCGAGGACCTCGACAGTGGCTGTATCTGGAACATCCTGCGCCTGGCGGTCAACGTATGTTGTCGTGCTGCTGAATTTGGAATTGAGCTGGTTTCTGGAGGAGGTGATGTAATTCGCGGTAATGTCGGTCCAGATCAATCCTAGCATCTTCTCGATGCCCTTCTCACTGTCTCAGAATTTTAGCGTGTTTCTTTAATGCCGTGGTGGAGAGGCTTACGTCTTCGAGAGTTCTTGCCACTTCCGCTTCAAAGGTAAAGAGAATGATCCCGAGAAATCCGGGACCTGTGTATTCAAGTCGCCGAAGACATTGTAGAGCATCGCGAGGACGTTGATTGGAGCCGCACATCCCAGCGAGTCGGAAGAAAGTAGACCGCTCACCTGCAACGCGGCAGACCCAGCAGGGAGATATATGTGATCTCGACGCATCGTCCAGAGGGCTGGGTCATGCTCGTGTTCATCGCCGACGAGCCCCCATATTGGTTGAATATCAGACAAATTCCAGCCTTCCGTTTTCTCGATCGCCCAGAGGGGAGTTGTCACATTCGTTTCCTATGTTTGAGGCTTTGCGGCTTGCACCTTCAAGTCGTCCAGTGACGTCCCATTCGTGAAAAACGTAACGTTCATGATGAATGCTCTTATCGATGTTGAGCAAGAGTACATAGGTGCACTGTAATTTGTCCCTGGATCAAATCGTCCACCAGAGTTAGTAGCGTCGGTATTATAGAATGCACCAAGTACTGCTCCGCCCTGGTTCGCAATGTGAGAAATGTTTGCGTGATCTTGACCTCCATATCCTTGAGTAGTAAGACCTAGAGCTACAGTGTGAGACGCAAGAGGGAGTTATATGAATGACTGGAGACCACGTACCGATATTCTCAATGAGAGACGAGTTTTGACGGGGATCTGTGTCCATCAACGTGCCAGGGATACCGCTATCAAACGTGCCTGTGCTCATCACCCCAGGCTGATAGTAGGCACTAGGAAGGAGAAATCTTCTGCCAACAAAGCTAGGATGGGCTTCGGAGACGTTCAGCTGGGCACCAAGGTTGAAATTGGTCAGTACTGCTCCTTTGTGAGCTCGTCCATACAGCTGTGGTACCAACTGTGTCTGATTGAGGTCGATATAGGGATAGCCCACTTGCATATGGACAATCCCCCCTTGATCAACGAGATACACCTCGTCACTGAGGGAACCACCTTGAGATGGGATCTTGAACTCAACAGACAAGTTATTGCTTACACACACAGATTCAGGTTCCAGCCACAAAAGATTTTCGCTCCATTCTGCACCAGAGTGCGCGTCAAGTGGGATGGTATGATTCCTGAATCCGAGACCGCCATTTATCATATCCGCAACAATTCCATCTCTTACCACAAGATCGTTGGCTAGCACGAGCATGTCGCCATATTGCATATCTCCTACACATCGCTTCTCATATAGATCAATTCTAGGTTCAACGGCAGTGGAATTTAGGAGCACGCTGTTCTGTTTCTTCTCATCACTCGCCAGAGTGTACGACCTGTACTCGAGATCGAAAGGGGTGGCCACGGTAGATCGATCGCCATTGCGTCCACTTGAAAAGATGGCGCTAAGGTTGTTTGGTACCACAGAGCTTATGTACGCATCGTCAGAATCCCAGTTGATGTACGAGCCTGAGATGTTTTGAGTCATGTAGAAACCATGGTTCTGACCTGGACAGGACATCCACGTCCACCAGCCGCACATGCGGCTGGTATTGTAATCGTCTCTGGACAATGTTGCTTGTCCGAAAGGAGACGTGTCCTGTGCTGATGCAAACGCATCGGATTGTATCGACGTCGCGGTAATTCTAGAGTAGAGCCCGAGGGGAGTGACAACCGCCGCGGTCGCTAGAAGGAGGAGACCAATGGTAGAAAGTGTCGAGATGACGACCACTCTTTTGCTGACTTTTGATGTCGCGGCCCCGTCAGTTTTCAATATCGTTGGCCACCAGGAACCTGAGTTACCAGTCTCAGTTTTCGACGCAATTCCAGGCCAAGAGAGTGCATTTACCGTTTATGAAACGCCCAGTAACTGACCTGCGCACCTTTAGTGGGTTACCATGCCAGAGGACGTATGCTCACCAAGTTATCGCGTTGCTAGATTCTGAGACAAGTCCTGCTAAAATGTATACCAGGAGTAACGGGAAAGTGAGTTGTACTAGATCATCAGTGCCAGAGCCCCTGAGCCGTAAGAGACTTACAGAACACGACTCCCACGTTGATGACGCCTGCGACTTGCCCAACGCTCAGTCTCATCATGAACATGAGTCTGTTGTTGCGAAAGTTGCCAAACGAAGCCCACGCAGGCTGTATCGGGAGGCGACCGAACTCAAGTCTATATTTTCCAGGGTTAGCATTCATCCAAAAGGGGCATGCAGGCCAACCGCTCTCAAGGCTCGTAGAGCGCCGTTGGCCTCATCTTGGCACGGTGGAGTTGTGCAGACAACTCTCGATGATTCGCTTGGAGACCGAATACGATGTACCGGTACTCCGTAGCAATAGCAAGATGGTCTAGAGATGTTTCAGTCGATGCCACTGGACCAGGGTGAATAATTAGAAGGCTAAGCCTTGTGCGAGCAACTCGGCAAAGCGTCTACCACAGAATCAGGGACCGTCAGATGGCTGCTGCTGCTCGAGAAGATTCCTGTTTAGGACACGATCGCATGATACATGAAGAAGAGTGTCCTTCACAGAGGATAAACAGGAAAGTCCGACAAGAAACGGTGCCTGACCCGAGTCAATTCAGGACACACACCAATCTACCCAAATGTAGCGTCGCTTTGCTATGTCAAATTCAGGCCAGTAACTCAACGGGGTAAATGCCTGATGGCGGGGGCGGCTACTTGGCAAAGATCTCAATACTTCGTATCCGTATCCAGCCTTCGGACTGGACGAAATCGCCGCTTCAGAAGTGTATTTGGGCGATATTTCGTAGCTGCTTCAAGGATCGACCATGCAGGGGCTCCTGAGCATCTGCCGTCGGTAAATTGCTCGTTGGGTGACATTACACAGGAAATATTCTCTTCTCGGCGCGCGTTTGAGACAAAACTGATTAGCAACATTGTTTCTCTGTAGAGTCATTTGGTAGATTGCTCCCATTCCCAAGCTGTCCACTATCCGAATGTGTATGATACTTGTCCCTTTAGCATTTTTGAAGATCCAGACTCGACGCTCATGTTTATATTGTCGTCGTTCGTTTTCTTTTTATCCAGCCTCGCATCGGCTCAGACAGACACCATCACGAGCGCTGCATCGTCAGCTGCGCTCTTCCCTCCGTCGGGCCTGGATTGTTGGGCTGAACCTTCTGGCGCGTGCTTGACAGCAAGCTATATACAACACTCTTGTCAGGCGTACAATAGCTTCATTGATGACGTGTATGGTTGTCAGTGCTCAAACCACTATGACTCTGCTTGGACAGCGTAAGAAAGCCAGGAAGATTGCTTCACGAGAGCAGCGCTGATCTCGTGTGAAGGTGTTCTCTGTGTCAAGCTTCATTTAACACGACTTGGGGTGAGGCGGCAAGAACTGATGTTGTGGTCGCACAGTGCTCCTGGGTACTCTCGAAACTGAGTGTTGCAGGGGCGACCAGAACGAGCTCGTCAACTGGGCCAAAGTCATCGGATGCCACAGAAGCCTCCCGCCCTACGACCTCATCGATATTACAAACCTCGATCGCAGCTTCAGCGACGGCCAGTCCTAGCACGGATACTGGGCAGCAGCAAAGAAATAACAGAGCAAGCTTGCTGGTGATAACAGGGGCAGTAGTGGTGATCTTGCAGGCCATGTAGAAGGAAAGATTGTTGGCTAAGAAAGCCTGAGGCCGATCCTACCGCATCAACTAGACAGGTTAGTCTTGCGGCGAGACAATCGTCTTCGCTTCGCTGTCGACCCAGGGGATTGCGATGGGGATAGGGAAAACAGTTACGTGGCTGCACTGGGCACAATGGCCTACTGTACCGACATGGTCACAAAGACCTTGGTGGCTGTTCTCGAACGCAAGTCACTTGGAAGAATTAGGCATAACCTCCGATATCATGAAGCTGACTCTTCTTGATCCGTGTGAGCACATGTGTTTAACTGTCAATATTTGCTGTTCAGAACGCGTAGAAGAATGTGAGGATTGATTGATGAGCCTCGGTACTTTCCCGCCGATCGTTGTTTGTGGTGGTGGCCCCAAACTGCGCCTGTCCAGTTTGCGTTGTAATGGTCGACTGTAGAACAAACCGATCACCGATATCCTTACCTACATATGAAAATCTACAATGGTATAAATATTCCCCCTGGTTCTCCCTGGTCTCTGTACCGCCGAAGTGAGAAAAGTCAATTGTGAAGAGGAGTCCCCTGCCCAACATGGCTGCACCACCGCAAATCACATGTACCAACCTCTCAGGCAAGTTTGTCATGGTCAGTCTATTCCTCGCCGGGCTCTTACGGCCTTACAATGCTTATATCGGAACAGAATAAGACTCTGTCTGACGACTTCGACTCAGTCCTGGCCTTGCAAGGCGTGAGCTGGCTCACCCGCAAAGCCATTAGCTTCGCTACCGTCGTTTTAACCATCAAGGAATACAGCGAAGATTCCTTCTACCACATTGACATCACTTCTGTGGCCTCGGGACTTTCAACAACGCAAGAGAATCGTACACTCGACTGGAGTGAGAGAGACCATACCGATAGAATCTTTGGCTCTGTGCGAGGAAAATCTCGAATGTTCAACACAGGCGAATATCAGATGGAAGGGCCAGGGTCGCCGGAAGACGCTACCTTTCTCCAGGCCGAGAAGCTCAAGGATGGGAAGACTGATTCCAAGTTCCTTGACGACGAGCACGTACAGAGTTGGGTGAAGAGCGTTGACGGAGGGAATTGGATTGCGGAACAAAATTGGGGCTTCGAAGAGATCAACGGCGAACGAAGATACACTCGACGTGTAGTTGTGTGGAAGAATGGGAAACAGCAGCGAGCCCGGCTGGTGTACGACTACAAAGGACAAGCAGACGATGGCAACGTTGGCAGAGAGGATGAGGATGATCTAGCTTATGGGGAGGAATGATCGATGGTCAGTACCGCGTTCCAGAGCTGGACTACCATGAACCCTCCGTCTATTCGTACAGAGCCTCGGTAACAAATTCATTATTCGTAATTGTGAAGCCTCGTCGCCCATGAGCACATGTCAGATCTTTCGCGACTCTGGACTTTCACAGCCTATGAGAGAAAGAAGACGGTTTACGCGCGGCATACTAGATACCTCTATATCTTTCCGCAGCCTCGAGGCATTTTGTTTCAGGTTTAGCGCCTCGCAACAAGGCTCAGCCGCCGCGCTATTCGCTCCAAAGCGGGATTTATGGCGTCATCCTTTGGCTACCAACACTGATGATACAGCGTGTTTTTGCAAATGCCTCAGAAAAAAGTTACACGGCCCGGATCAGAATGGAATTTCATGGATGAAGCCTGGTTCGAATTTATGTGCTGACTGATTCATATAAGAAGATCGCCGCCTCTCTGGGCATGTTGGCCCCCGACAACAGTCACACCATTACAATAAAAACCCCCCCCTAATTATCAAGCTAAGATCCATATCAGATCTCAATCTCATCGCGGCATCTGAAACAAGCACACAAATTACTTGCCAATTGGCCTCCCATTCACCAAGCAATTACCTCTACCATTCCTCAATCACAACAAGATGCATTTCTCTGGACACAAGACCACTCAGCAGGAAGGTGCAGAGTTCCAACCTCGTCGCCATTCCCTTCGCGATCTTCAGGCGAGAGCATATGCCAAGTGGGTTTTAGAGACCTCAAAACCACGAAAGCATCACACTAGCAGTTTCGAAGCGGAACGGGCCCGACGACACTCTGCGAATGAGGAAGATGTAATCATGAGAACGTGAAGAGGGTCTATTTCTGGAAGCGCTGGAGTTGGTTGGTATCCTGTTCAGGAACGGAGTCTGTCGCCGACTTTGAGTACAGGCTCTTGACAGCGAATTCCATAGTCGAAATGGTTGAAGGCACTGTATTTTTATAATTGATGTATATACATACTAATGCAACTTATTAAGCAAGCAATGACTGACACATCGACCACGTACTTCACCCCGTGAACTACTTTATCTCGGCATGGAAAGACCTAAACCTAATGTGTTTCCAATACGGAGGACGGAGTACCTACGGAGTATTCGTCTTCCCCGGGGGAGTACAAGAGTGCTCTGCATATCCTCCGGACGGAATATCGGACCGCATCCCCAGACCATGAACATCTTGTGATGTCACGTGAACACCGCACAATGAGACCTCAACTGTGGGGCAGAACCGGCACGGTCCCGGTCTTCTCCCCTCAAATTATAGCCGGTAGCAGGCCCGGCCAATGAGGCACAGGATCCGATACCTCGGGCAGGCGATTTCTCGTTCAATTCACGGCCCTTCGACTTTCTGCACAAGAGTTATACTTGTACTCCTCCTATATCTGCAGCTTCTTTTGCAAGTAAGGCACCAGACTACTCTTTACTCCGAGTCTGTACCAGTCCTCCAATCCCTCCACTCCTGAGCTTTTATTGCTGTTGCTGTTGCAATGGCCGCTCGTCGCTCACTCCTTCGCGCAGTCCCCGCATTGTCTGCCAGACGAGCACCCCAGATTACACACGCCTCCCTCAGAATGTCACCAGCACAGCAGACGGCAACGCGCCGACTACATGCTACCGGCAAACACCTGGCTGCCGCCGCTGCACAGGCAGACTACCCGACTACTCATGCAAAGATCGAACAGGTCGCCGACACGACCAACTTCATCGACAACCAGTTTGTCCCTTCCCAGGCATCGACCTGGATCGATCTCCATGATCCCGCGACCAATAACCTCGTCACCCGCGTTCCTCAAAGCACTGATGCAGAGTTGAAGGCGGCCGTTGAGTCCGCGCAAAAGGCCTTTCCCAAATGGCGAGCCACTTCCATAATGACGAGACAACAGATCATTTTCCGCCTGACACATTTGATCCGGCAGAACATGGACAGATTAGCCGCTTCAATTACTCTTGAGCAGGGCAAGACGTTTGCTGATGCCAAAGGCGATGTGCTCCGTGGTCTTCAAGTCTGTGAAACTGCCTGCGGAATCACCACCCAGATGCCCGGCGAGGTCATCGAAGTTGCCAAAGATATGGAAACGCGAAGCTACCGTGAGCCTCTCGGTGTGGTTGCTGCGATCTGCCCCTTCAACTTCCCCGCCATGATTCCTTTGTGGTCGGTTCCACTGGCAACAGTGACGGGAAACTGCTTGATTCTCAAGCCCTCTGAACGCGACCCTGGTGCAACCATGATCATCGCAGAGTTGTGCAAAGAGGCAGGCTTCCCCGATGGTGTGGTCAACGTCGTTCATGGTGCTGCCAAGACGGTGGACTTCATCATCGATGAGCCTGCCATCAAGGCCATCTCTTTCGTCGGCTCCAACCGTGCAGGAGAGTACATCTACACCCGGGGTTCGGCCAACGGCAAGCGTGTTCAGGCCAACTTGGGCGCAAAGAACCACGCTGCTGTCCTTCCGGATTGCAACAAGAACCACGCTCTCAATGCCATCACTGGCGCCGCTTTCGGCGCCGCAGGTCAGCGATGCATGGCGCTCAGCACCCTTGTCATGATTGGCGAGACGAAGGACTGGGTTCCTGAGATCGCAGAGCGTGCTAAGAATTTGCACATGAATGGTGGATTTGAGGAGGGCGCCGACCTTGGCCCACTGATCAGTCCCCAGAGCAAGAAGCGCGTGGAGGACTTGATTCAGAGTGCCGTCGATGAGGGCGCAACTATCGTGCTTGATGGTCGTGGCCAGAAACCCGCAAACTATCCCAATGGAAATTGGGTAAGCTCATCCTATCATGACCATCCTCGTATTTCTCATACTAACAGTATTAGGTCGGCCCAACAATCATCGCCAATGTCAAGCCCCATATGAAGTGCTATCAAGAAGAGATCTTCGGCCCAGTACTCGTGTGCCTGAACGTGGATACAACCGAGGAAGCGCTTGAGCTTATCAACTCCAATCAATACGGCAATGGGGCCGCTGTTTTCACTCGATCAGGAGCCACCGCAGCGTTGTTCCAGAAGGAGCTCGAGGCTGGACAGATTGGTATCAACGTCCCGATCCCAGTGCCGTTGCCCATGTTCAGCTTCACAGGTAACAAGAAGTCTGTCGCGGGTACCGGTATGTCCAACTTCTACGGCAAGGATGGTCTAAGATTCTACACCCAATGGAAGACAGTGACCAGCTTGTGGCGTGCCGAGGACGCGTTGGCCACAGAGAAGCAAGTCGCCATGCCCACTCACTCATAAAGGAGCTGGAGAATCCGAATATGTAAAGTGAGTTGGTTGGACTGTGTGTTTGCTATATGGGAAATTGCCTTTCGCCCGTTTACCCATGGACTTGACATTTTGAGCAAATATGGGACAAATTGAACAAAAGTCTAGTGCTGCTGTATGGCAATATTTGTCTATTCGGGAAGGACTTTCGTATGCTGAAGGTCCACCAGCTTGTAATAAGGATGTATCAACCTACCTAGGTATCATACGAGTATAGGAACACTTATTGTACCGTGGCTGGGTATCTTGGATAGGAAAAGACATCATATCAAGTTCTCATCTTCCCTCCTTTACTGAACTTCGACAACCCTGAACTTTTCCTATCTTGAAGGACATGCTCCCAGTTTGATGGCGGTTCTTGGCGATAGAGCTGGCCGAGAAACCATTATTGAGAGACCGCGGCGAGCCACCAATAAATGGATTTTCTGGACATGTCCAGGAAGCCCACAATACTTCATCGATATGTCAGAAGCTGATTCAGGCCCCCAATCTCCCAAGCTACGAACCCTAGATACCTGGGTAATAGGAACGGAGGTAGGTATTGATCTTACATATACCCCTTACTACCCTTACCTACATTTCATTTTTCTCTGTCAGCTAGGAATTCAGCCTTGCACAATATTCATTCAATTGCTCGCGTGTCATCACGCTCAAGAGGCCTAAGAATGCCTGAAATCTCGAAAAGAAAGGTTCAACCAATCGAACAAACAATAGCTACTGATGCTGCAACACAACAGACCTATGGACTGGACAGGGCCAAGTACCAACGACCAAAGCGGTTTGCAATTGTACCGGCATTTGTCTTTGTAATCTTGTCATTGCTTGCTATGTATTATATGCGAATTGCGAGCAACGCTGCCGGGGTCGGTGAAAAAATGGAACACATCAATAACATCAAATATTTCCCCGAATACAGCGTTCCACTCCGGACGACGTATACCGGGCTTGGTCCTCTCGATGGCTTCCTTCAGTTCCTGGTGACCGCATTCGCACCTGGAGCTGCAGGATGGGATCCGGCATTCCACATTCTTCAGCCTTACTTCCTGGTATCGTTTTTCCCACTTGTCTCGATCTTTGTGATCGAGTCGGGCAGGAAGCGGAACCATCACGCACTCACAAGCTAGTAAGCATCTTCCCCATGGCAAAAGCCTTTCTGATTGAGACTGATATCACGCAATAGCACCGGCGTATGGGCTCTCTTTTACCAAACAGTAGGTGGCGCTGTGATCATACCTCTCTGGTTCTTAGCATACCTCTGGGACTCTAGGAGCAGCGATTACTTTTCACCAGAGTCACGAAAGGTTCCCCTGGCTTATGCCAAATCTTTATTGCCCGCGTTGGGCATTGGATATTTGATCCCGACGATTTTGATGTTTCTACCTTATTCGCAGGAGGATTACTGGACGACTCAATTTATGATCGCGTTATGGCAACCCTCCCCATGGTTCGTCAATGCAATTCGCTGGGTTTTGTCCAAGTTCTACGCAAAGGAACAACCTGGGGGTGTTGAGGACGAGAATGGTTCTGAAGATCATCCAGCCGATTTGGACTATCTAGGGACCATCTACAGAATGACCTTCGTCGTGTCAGCTGTGACACATATCGCGACGATGGCCATCTGTTTCTTCTCCACACGCCCAGAGTACTCCTTCCGCCAGGTATTCATCCCAGGGGAGATCACCACCGATACCTCCCTTTCGGAAGCTCTCCGAATGATTTTCCAGGTCGACTTTTGGATCATATTCAGCGCTGCATTGGTGTGGGCTTTGTTCGCGGTCTGGGATTTAAAGAGGGTTGGATTGACCGACGTAGGGCTGCTCAACAATGCAGTCACAATAGTCGTACAGGCAATCATATTTGGTCCGGCAGCAACCACTGCAAGATTCTGGAGCTGGAGAGAGTACATGATGATCAAAAAGCCAACGGGCGCCAATCAAGAGAAGCACGATTGAGTCTCAGCAGACTCGGGCAAACCCAACGCAGACCCTGTTAAGCTGTTCTTTCCCTCTGGCCGTCAGCACTAACTCACCTGGACTTTGCGATAACAACGGAAGCACCATGTCATGCCGAGAGACTATTAGGTATTGTTGTCTGGTTGGGAGGATACATATGAATATATGTAATCAGGATTCGCGCCTAGTAGTTAGAAGTGCAGCTAGAAATTCAGCCTTGTCGAGTGACAAGGCTCGCCAGCGAATGCGGGGAAGACAAGTGCGAAAATCAGGCAACAAACGTTCGTTACGGAGTACTTCCAAATGATATGGCCACTGTGTCTACTTGTATTCGATTCGTCACCTAGTATTTCAGAAGGCTACTTATGTCTGGTTAAAGTACCGGACCAAGGGACCTGATGCAAAGTTTGCAATGTGAATATCTACATCTTTGTCAAATTCTTCGAGGTTTGTTCCCCGGAATGATCTAAATCTAACACTCGACTTCAAGGTGATAGCAGAGACAAATCACTCACAATGAGATTTCTCCTTCTCTTGACCTGGCTTTTCATAGGCGCAGCATCCTCAGCACGAGTCACAAACCCAAAGAAAGTCCCTCGCGATGCGGTCCTGCTCTCCAAAGTCTCTGCGCTCACCGTCCGCGCTGGTAAACAGACTTCATCCCGCCGTGTTCCAGCTGTTCCTCAATTACTATGTGTTGGTCCGTCGAAGATCTGCAATTTATACACCGTTGATGTGATGCGCTGTACGAACGAAGGCGTCGATTACGATGAAAACAACGTACAATGGAGCTGCAAGGCATCCTTGCCAGAAGATTTTAAACTGGGAAGTACAGATGTCATCTGCGAGGGTTACGAGAGCAGCGACGATCCCTACGTCCTGAAGGGTAGTTGCGGGGTTGAGTACCGATTGTTGCTCACTGAGAAGGGTGAGGAGAAATACGGCTCATCGACCAACTTTGGTTCGGGTCTGATGGACAAGAATACGACTTCAGGAACCCTCATAAGTTGGGTGTTCATGGCTGTCTTCTTCATCGTGCTGTTTATTATCATACGGGGGTTTTGGATGGCTTGGAGAGACCAGACCCCTCATAGACGACGACCTCGAGGCGGCGGATACGGTGGCTTTGGAGGAGGTGGTGGCGGCGATGATGACCCCCCGCCACCTTATGATCCTCGCCCTCCTCGCCCTAAGAAGCCTGCGTTCACATCTAGTTCGAGTGCTGGTTCTAGCTCTACAAGACCTGCACAGCCTCGGCAGGAAGAAGGCTGGCGACCAGGGTTTTGGACGGGAACTGCCGCAGGTGCTACCGCAGCCTATCTCGCTTCGAGAGGTACCCAGACAGCGCCACAGCCACCACGAAGAGACAACGGGTGGTTCGGTAGAAGGAGAGATGATGACTGGTTCGGAGGCGGCAACAACAACAATAACGGTCAAGGTGGTTGGTTTGGTGGCGGAAATAGAGCAGCTGCTCCGCCTAGGCAGTCCTCTTGGGGATCTGGAACCGAAAGTGCAAGCCCCTCGACGACTCGTCACACAAGTACGGGATTTGGAGGGACTAGCAGGCGTTGAATATGGTGGAGGATGCTAGTGAAGCATCTGGCTGAAGAACATATTGGACATCAAAACGCTGTCAGCAAGCGACCAGGACGCGCTCTCTGCCTCCTCGTAATGCTCAAACACGAAATGAACTGTGACGCCCACTGATACTATTTATTCTCTGTTGGACCCTATCATTCGTAGAGACCTCCTGTGCGAGCCTCGCCAGTTTCGAGTTGGCTTACTGTAGACATCTGCCTCTGTAAACCGCGCTTTCAACCCGTCAAGTTGCACTAAACGCGTCATAAGACGCGAAAACACGAAAACACGTGAGCTACATCGTACTTTTGTCAGACCTCGTCCCTTTTCATTATCAAAGTACGGATACGGATACAACAATCAGGTAACATCTTGCTCTTCTGGAGTGGTGCTACTGACACTAACATTGGAGATCAGAACACATCTTATGAAATAGATCCTGATTGCTCTGTCAGAGCGAGTCGTGCCCATTTCTAGCGGGCATATAGCCTCGTCGTTAATTCTTTGAGCGATCGACAACCGTCTCTCTATCAGACAATACGTGATTTTTGCAAACAAGCAAGCGTGGGTTGATCGCACATTTGTTTAGAAGGAAGAGTCGAATATTCAGCGCGGTCGATGATATCTGACCCAAGTTCTTTCTGCATGCGCTCCACATCAACTTGACTTCTGTCTTCACACCCATCACAACTGTTTCCCTCTCACATCAGTGATCCCTTCCGGGTCAGCAGTCTTCGATTTGATATTGAACCTTTTGGGCAAACTGGACAACGGCTTCTCATACAAGATACTACCTCTGTGACCAACTCCAAGAGTCCATAGCGAAGCCTCGTTCTGGTGCTCAGTAGCCATTTGAACGTGTGTATCACATATACACGTACTGTACTGTCCAAAGAAGACAGCATTGACAAACGGTCAGCTCTTACGAGGCATCACTGAACCACGCCAAATTGGATACAAGGCTCTATCTTCACCCATTCACCGGCTACCTGCGCATCATTCTCATCCTCGTAAGGATCCCTGTTACCGCAGCTGCAGGAGTCCAACGTCATCGCTTCCCCTTCATTCAAGACTCATAATCGCCCTTTGTCAAAAGACAAATGCATGTTTGATATCAACAACACCAAACCCTATTGTCACGTCACCTATACCAGTACTCCAGCCCAAATCAGCGTTGTCCTCCTCAACTAACACCCTTCCATCGATTGGATCCTTCAGACCCAAACTCTCTGAGAGCTTTTCTCACAATCTCCCCTGCACCTCGACCGAACCACTCATGATCATGGATTCAGGACGTGATCAACCGGAGCTAGTCGACCTTGTTTCGGACAGTGAGAGCGATGAAGAAGTTTTCGATCACCTCAAGTCTCCAGGACATGAACCACTGCACAGAAACATCATTACCACGTCACACGCAGATCCGATGGGCACAATGCAGAGACTGTTTCCACCAGTTCTTGACGCCGAGAATAATACACAACAATCAGGTGATGGGTCTCTGAGGCCTCTCTTGCACGATGATCATGAGGCGTCGGAACACAATTCGAGGAGCCCGTTGAGTGGGAACGGCGGCAGCGTTATACGTACAGGAGCACCCAGAAGTACTGGGGCTGCTGATTCGCACACTCAAAACCCTGTCATCTTGGACATACTCGACGACGACAACAGCAGCAGCATAAGTGACACTGCCATGGGGAGCGATGACGGTCGTAACGGATTGCGGGTGCTACCAGGTTTGAAGCCAAATCCGAAATCAAGACGACAGCCACAGGGGAGTCGGAAGGAAGATGAGAAGGATACAAAACTCACCACCACTGTCGATCTATCACAGTTGTCTGACGAAGATGACGATGACTGGCGGCGTGCGGTTGAGCTGTCTTTGCAAGACTCAGCAGCACACGACAATGCCAACGTTAGCCCGAGCGGGAACGACAGCAATCCAGAATCTGAAGACGAAAGCCTCAAGAAAGCAATCGCACTTTCTCTATTAGATGCAGATGCGGTGAGTGACGACAACGGTAGTACTAGCGGCAGTCCTGCAAAGTGCAACAACCAAGACGGCATGAGGACCACTAAGCCAGAGGTGAAACTAGATAAGAGCAATGACACCGAATTATATGGCATTAATGCAGCGGCCCAGCACTCAGACGGTGACACGCGAAAAGAGCGCTGTACGACAGAAACAACCTTGTCGGATAGTCTAGCTACACCCACTGCAAAGTCCGACCCTATTGTTGGTTCTACTGCTACAAACCTCGACGGCGATTCATCAAAGGACAAATCTGCGTTCAGTATTCTCACTCTGAACCGCAAACAGATGGAAGAAGAACGATTGGCGAGACTCAAGCGCAAGCGCGAGAGCGACCTCGAGGCCGCCAACGACAAAGATTCGAAACAAATTCGCCTGGACCACACGGCGTCTTCGGCTCGAAGCATCTCTCCTCCTGCCCACCAACGACAAGCTCATCGGACAGGTACTCAATATTCAACAGGACTGTCTTCTGCGACGGCCAATACAAGACTAGGGAAGTCAAGCACGTCAGATTCTTCCCATAGCCATTCATCTGCTCCTTCACCAACGTCACCGCCCTTTTCGACGGGCAAGGTCTTCAAAACCGCCCTCGCCGACGCAAGCACTGTATCGTCCATCGACACCATCTCTTTTGCCCAACTTATTTCCCCATCCAAGTGTCTTGAATCGGCCCTGCTCTCTTCCTTCATCTGGGACTTTGACTGGCTCTTTCCACATTTCGACACCAAACGCACCAAGTTCCAGCTTGTCATGCATGGCAAATCCGCCGCGCAGCGCGCGTCGATTCGCGCCGAGTTCGCTGGCGTGAACAACGTGCGCATCGCTTTTCCCCCGATGGATGGCATCACCAACTGTATGCACAGCAAGCTCATGCTTCTGTTCTACACTGACGAGCCTGCGTCAAAGGAGGCAGCGCCCCAGATGACACCGTGCTCGGGGAGGGAAACGAAGCAGGACTGGTCGAGGAGATGTCGCGTCGTCGTTCCGACGGCAAATCTCGTTGGCTTCGATTGGGGGGTCGGCTCCTTCATGGAGAACACTGTGTTTGTTATCGATTTGCCCGGGAACAACATCTCAACGTCAAGCACCTCTACAGGAAGAAAAACAGAAACAGAAAGGACAACAGGGATAGCAGACGCCAAGGGAAAGACGCAGTTCGAAGCCTCGTTGAGAGCATTCCTCGAGGCGCAAACGGTGCCCGACGACGTCCTTGCCAAATTGTCCTCCTTCGACTTCAGTCTCACCTCCGACCTAGCCTTCGTGCATACCTTGGGCGGCGCCCACACGAAACCCCAAATAGTCCAGAGTACTGGTCTGCCAGGCCTGGCCAACGCCGTAACGCAGCTTGGGCTCGCGACTCGCCGAGAGCTGCAGCTGGACTACGTCACGTCCTCACTGGGCAATCTGAACGAGACCTTTATGCGTAATGTCTACAACGCGGCACAGGGCGATACCTCGGTTGGTGGCGGTCTGGCCACTGCGCCACCGTTATCGTTCTCGTCGTCGTCGTCATCGACATTTTTTCGACGAGCGGAACCGATCAAGACAAAGACAGCAGCAGGTTTGCTGCATGATGCAGGGGTGGACGACGGTGAGGAAGGCCACGGCGGCGAAAGCGAGGGCGAACGAGATGCATGGAGGAAGAATTTTCGGGTTTACTACCCCAGCGACACCACTGTCCGAAGCTCCAAAGGAGGAATGCACAATGCGGGCACCATTTGTTTCTCGAGCAAGTGGTGGGCGCAGCCTTCGTTTCCGCGGTCGAATTTGCGCGACTGCGTTAGTCTGCGAGAGGGATTACTGATGCACAACAAAGTAAGTACAGTACACCAGACGAGACATGCCCGGACCCCTATCTGACACGCTCGACTGCTCATGGCTTGCGTCCTCGGTTTCGGGATGGAGGCCATGTTATGCTATTGATTACTGTATTACTGTATTACGATGGGTCACACCGGTGAGGGAGAATGATGGCTGATCTTGCTCTGCGCCATTTTGTAGATTCTCTTTGTCAGACCTACGTCGACTGGCTCCGAGGCCCAGCATAGGCCTTCAAACGAACACGCACAGCCACAACGGCCATGGATGTACGTGGGAAGCGCGAACTTGTCGGAGAGTGCTTGGTGAGTGTTTCTAGCTTTGTCGCTGTCAACCACGCCCCCCTCCTCCCCTGTCCCCTGCACGTTTGTCCTGCCCAGGATTCTGTACGGGAGAACTGATGTGCCAACGTCCATTCAGGGGAAAATTGGTTCAGGATAGGTCGAGCAAGCAGCCTAAGCTCAATTGTCGAAACTGGGAGTGTGGAGTCATTATTCCGCTGCCTCTGACGAACGAAGGAACAGAGACAAACGGGATCGCCGGCCCAGGCGAAACCGAAACTCACAGTAGTAGCGAGAGTCTTGCTGACTTTGAAAAGATCGTCGCCGTTCCCATGAGATATCCTGGCGAGAGTTTCGTAGCAAAGGGACAGAAGAAACCGTGGACGCTGTTTGATTGATGTGGTGCCCCCCCCCTCTCTGGTACGGTAACGGAGTAATAGATCAGGCCTTTCCGAATGATAATGCTCGGTCAAATTTCATGTGATATTCTTCTTACCGTTAATACTGTACCAAGGATGAGTTGAACTTGCTTTTTCTTTTTCATCATCATCATCATCATCATCATCATCATCGATTTTGGGCTGGATGCAGCAAAGCAAGCTTCCCCCTGGACAAACTTTCGACGCGGGCGCGGATGGTCACTATGGCTCCAATTTCAAGGCATCCGCTGGTTTCACGGGCTAGACAGGAAAGCTCGGTAGGAGGAGACACCTTGAGCTGTTCGACAACGTTGGGTTTGGTCAAGGGGAGATTTAGCTTTTTACTGACGCCGAAAAGTGTGTGGGCCAGTGGGACACCACACACTCCGAAAGGCACCAGTGAGTTATGATGGCGTGCTTCGTCGTGAGCCAGGGTCCGGTCCTCGTACATACATACAGTATAGTATTGATTACGAGAGGAGTTTAGTTTTCTTTTTTTACACACGGAGTAATAAATCAGAGGCGAGTACAGTAAGGTTGCTGGAAGAACACATCCTGACGTGGTGGTCTGAGCTGTGAAGCTCAGCCCCCTTCTGAACGCAGAAGAGATGAGGTTGCGGTCTGTCCTCAAACCCTTACTCGTAACAGTACGCGTTTTATCCTGTTTCCCACGAGACGTTCCGAACCACTTTCTCTGCTAGACGCGGGAAGGAAAAAAATGGAAAGAAAATGTCAGTCCCAGACTTGTCACCAGAAAACATTCACCAGTTGAACTCGTATCGCGATGGCTTTCCTCTACAGTACCGTACATATGTCGATCACAGTCCTATACAGTACTGGGTGATGCCCGTGGTGGTCCTTCCGGGGGTCGGGGGGGGTCAAGGACAGAAGACGCACTAGCTTTTTGGACAGACCAAGCTTCTTCTCGTCGGGGGGGGTTGGGGCTCCAGCATGGTTTAACTGTAATACTGTACTGTGAAGGCTCTGTCCGTGTCCACGACGGGAACTCAATACTCATTGCCTTTTGCCTTTTGCTACATGGAGCATGGAGGATGTAGACTTGTCCATTTCAAGCAGTGGCTCGCTTCACCATGGATGGCTCGTTGTGAAAGCCAAATGACAGTCTGTGGAGCTCTCTGGCATGTGTCTCTCTTTCTTTTCCAAGGGATCGTACAGTAGATCTCGAGTCCACATGGGTGTCAAGTTGACTTGTAGTGCTGTACAGGTGCATGTCCGTGCCTGCCTTGGAATCCTCAGGTCACCTTCTAAACTTGGGAAGGTGAAAAGTCTTGCCTTGCGCTGCAGCGTGGAACTGGGTGCAACGTGGTGGCTCCTCCGGCATTTTGGAGGCGAAACTGAGGCGAAATTGAGTAGATTGGCGGTGGTCAAGGCAGATAGAGACCAGCAGATTGCCACCACTTACTGTAAGCAAGCACATGCCAGGCTGACGTTCCTGGCATGATAGTAGTCGTACTGTATGTACTCTGTACACTCATCCGTGTACCTCTCTCTGGGATTGTTTTAGGCTCCCCCAGATTTGACTGAACTCTGGGTGCCATTAAAGCCCGGAAGCGCTATACAGTATATACTTTTGTCCTTGAACGGAAAGAGCTGGGCGGGACGGTCAGAATCTGGCCCCAGAAGGCTGTTCAACAGCGAGTCATCTGGCGTACCAGTGTGTACCGGGGAAGCATGATGGGTGTAAGGTTGAAGAGTACCGAAAAACAGAAAGAAATGTTCTTCATTAGTTAGCGTGAGGCCGCCGTCTTCAGTGCTTCCTGAACGCGATCCTGGAAAAGCGAGGCAGAGATCGAGCATTGTGCCGTGGTAGTTCGGAACCGCAGGGGACAAATGCAACGTGACCTCATGATGTCTGGCACTTGGGAAAACGCGAAACATCGGCTAACCTCCCGTAACAGGAAGTGATTTATTGCCTAATTCAGTAATCACCCTTGGTAAAACGCCAAACGTCGGCTAACCTTCCGTGATAATAAAGATTTTCATAATCTTATAGGCTCTCTCGCCTATTGAAATAAGCACTAATATCTATAAGACCTCTATTGTCGCCTAAACCTTTAGGGGCCTTATAGGCACTCAGCCCCTAAAGTTTAGGCCTTATTTACTCAATTCTAGACCTTCACCCCTATAATATCGTGATAATTCTTAACTATTCTCTATTCACTCAGTCACTAGTCACTTTCTCTCGTCTTTACTTTTACTGATAGTATCTAAAGTACTCTATAGTCATTACTTCTATGTGACCATAATAGCTACTAACAATTGGAAGAGTAATTGAGTCGTTTATCGCACGAGAATGAGATGTTTGAAGGGTTGTTGTGCAAAATCTGATTTTGCTGTCAAAATCGCCGTCTAATAGCGCCTTTCGGGTGTTTGGCGTTTTACCATCTGCTATGATGTCTATCCCAGGTAGACCTTTTTGGATACTCGTACAGTACAGTTCGACACACCAACCCGCCTGTCCCCTTACCTACCGTACAGTACAGGAAAACTCCTCTCACGAAAAGGTCTCGGGGTCAACTGACTCATCCTGTCGTCGTCGGGACCACTCGTTCGGGTCAGGGCATGGATTCCCTCAACCCGACCAGCAGATCCCTGCCCACCCTGCCACAAACTCCAGCAGGTGGACCAAGCGCCCCCTCCATCCAACCTCGGTGAATTATACGGCGAAGGTGTCGTAGCAGTCAGTCAATGAAAATGGACAAGAATATGGTGGACAGGCAAAAAAACCGCAGTCAGGAACATCCGAAGCAATACAGTAGGAGGTGGTTAACCCGGTTGCCCATTTCCGTTATTGGACGATCCGAGATTCAACCAACTGCCATACGCGACGAGTACGAGGACTTGTCATGATGACTGACGGCAAGTAGTACAATTTCCGGCACTTTTCCAGTGGACTAGTTTCGTTGTGGGGGGTCCCATTTTGCTGAGCCTTGGGCAGCTAAGTGAGAGAGTGCAGATTCCGGCGGTTGGCTCACAAAGAAAAGGAGCGCCAGGGTAATCAAGGCCGCAACAGAACAGTCTGGACCACGCCTGGGCAGTAGTTGGCGCCGCTCCTTCTGCCGAGCTCGTCTGACCCTAGACTTGTTGGGCACAGGCCGCATGGAAAAACGCCGTGGATATGGAGTACAATAATCAGATCGGCCGTTGTCATTTCCTTTTCCTTCGCACAAGCTCCGATGACAGCGCAAAAATGCAGATGCATGGCTCTAACTCGAATCGTCGGGTGCTGACACTCCCCATTGGCACAGCTCATGACATCAAGAGAATGGAAACAGCCGATCGCAACCCCCAAACGTCTACTTCAGGGTCTACTTCTGGATAACACGGTTACTCGGTGTGTATGTGCCAACTTGACAGCCCTGACCATTGGCAGCATGGCGCAATGCGCGATGCGAGACAGGCAGGTCCCCTGTAATGGCTGACGAATGTCGAGGCTCCATCTCTCAAGGCTGGGCCGCTCAACATGGGATTTCGTGAAATTCGCAATCCCAACCATCGCCAAAAGCCCTGCACACGGGAGACCCTCCTCATTTTTGAGCAGAATTCCATCCTTTCCGACATGTCTCTCCCCATCCCACCTTTGGCACAACGCGAAGACCCGATCATCCACACGGCACGCCCTTGTCAAGATCCCAGGTGGCTCGGTGTTGTCTGTGACGAGGTGCAGCAGATACATCCCAAAGTGGTCAGGCCTAGGAGAAACAAATGGAATGCACCAAGCACGCAACCCACCATCCTCGACTAGGCTATACGAGGGCATTCACAGAATAATTACGCCTTCTGGCCTGACGTTTCCAGGCCGCATGATGGAGCGCCTCGTGCCTGTCGAGTAGCCAATTGTGGGAATCGGTCTATCCGAACATTCAGGTCGCACATGCTTGACGGTGAATTGCCATGACTAATCCCTCCCCTGTTCCTCACATCGACTGGTACTGTACAGTACATACGTCTCTACTGTAGTGGCGCAGACAACGCCAACGCCGCCGCGTCGCCTCATTCTCTAAGACACCCTTGAAACGCCAGGTCCACCAACCAATAGCAGCTCTGGATCAGCTCGGAAACCAAGACCATTAGCCTGAGGCCATCGAAACGTAGCCCTTTGTTTTCATAGGCCGAGTTGCCCATTTCCCGCATCGTTGGCCCCCCTAGGAGAAGACTGCAATGCGTAGGGCTATGGTGTGACTAGTGATGCTGTTCCTGTTGCATATTCGGCTTAGTCGATATAATGTGGCTCCAGCTTCTCCCGGCCGTGATGGTCTGTTCACATTTCCACTACGATGACCAACTAGCCCAGTACATGTTAGCAGGGCTCCAGTGATACCTCGGACAGGCTATTCGATCCGTCCTGCTCTTCTGTCGCTCGGGCCCCCTTCTACTGGACGATACTCCGTAGTTGCGGTGACAAATGGCTCTCGAGAAGCCACCAGATGCCGACCAAGCTGAGATCTCTGGGCTTGCCGCGTGGGACGGGAGGATCGCGTATCTCACCTTTCAGGAGCTGTACAAGTTGTGTACGGATACAATGCTAGTCCAAGCCGTGTGTATGTGGGTGTAAATCTCTTTTGCAGGTTCGGATCCATCTCCGTTGCTCTTCTCTGCTGTCTGTTGATCCTCGCGCTGTGAACCAGTCTTTGATATCCGAACAACCTTTCTGATCCTGGGTCCAGGAACACCAACTAGCTCGATTTCTGACTTTGATGCAAGTCAACCCTCTCCATCCACCTGTCCGTCAGCCAGCCATCTGCCACTCTTGCCGACTCGCCTACGAAGTCAATCGTCCTCGTCGACTCCCCTGACTGGAGCCCTTCCACTCCTCGACTCTTGACAACCACAAGATCCAGGAAGTTTGGCAGCGGCTAGAGACGCATCTCACATCTCCCTCTCCCAGGTCCTGCCTCGTTGGTGGTGTGGAGAAGCGTCTGAAGTAGCTCCCGTCTCCGGGAAGTCATCGAAACTTGGAAAGTCTTTGTCATTATTCACCTCGTACTCTCACTTCATCCAGTCCCTTGATGATAGTCGCCAGTAAGCCCTTCCTAAACAAGTCGTCGAGCAGGAATCCCAGACATCCGTAAAGTCGGCGACCAGGGTGAACACGAGGAAGGTTGTTTTGTGACCACTCAACAGCGACGCAACAGCATAGCATCCACTGTATCTGCGTCTTTTTCTGCCGCGCTGGAAGAGATCAGCTGGACGAGGAAGCAGGATATTTCAGAGGGCTTTTCAGAAGCACATGCCAGTCGAGGACGGCAGCAGAGCGCCATTCATCTACTTCGACCAGTCTGGCCCATCAGTCCCCAGGGAACGGAGTCGCTCGTTGAAACTATAAGAACAACCCTGCCACAGATCTCACTTGGAAAAGTCACCGTCTAAAAGTCAATCTCATCAGCTTGTGCCTATTACAGATCTCCAGCGGGCCCTCTACACATCTTAACTTCGACACCTCCATCTGCTAAGGCGCCTCTATCTTCGTCTGCCTAACTGCCTGTCTTTGTATATGTGTGTCTGTCATCCAGGCATCGCACACCTCATCGAAGCAGGTGGAAAGGGTGCTTGGGGAAGAGACAAAATATCTCGGAGGAAGGCACGTCCAGCAGATCCCAAATCTCGAACCGCACCCTGAAATCTTCTCCTCTCACAAACTTCGCATCGCCAACTTATTTTCCTTCTTGTATCGTCGAATTCTCTATTTAATAGCCTTCACCGAAAGCCGAAGAAGCTAGTCAACAGCTGGCTTTGCACCTGTCGTTACCTGTGATCGCCTGTCGGTTCGTACTGTCTTGGAAACGACTCTGTCCAACTTCCGAACCTCTTGGTCACTTCACTTGTCTCCGCTGAGGCGCATCTGTCAAAACCGTGTCAGTTGTAAGTCATTCCCATATACCTACTTCTTCGATTCACTTGTGATGGTCACAGCATCTGACCGTCGGCACAGATCCTGACTACTTCCTCCCCTCAAAACTGCCTCCTCCAGACCAGACGAGACCTTTACGGCTCGCTTCTGAATACAAGTCAGCAGTCTTTCCTGCGTACATCTTTTTCTCTCATTCAGCGTACTTGTACCTGCTAGCCGACAAGACCTTGGCCGTGCCCTAGCTCAAATCTTCTTGCAGCTTGTATCCTCTCAAACCGCCATCTGAGTTCACCCTAGGGTTAGAGTCTCGAGCATAACAGAAACCTTCACCCCAGACTGGACAGAACCCAATCCTGACCAAGATTCACTTCTGCTGATTTCACCATGGCATCAGGCGGCGGAGCGTCTTTGCAACCAACCTTCCGTGGTCATGTCGCCACGACTCAGGATGCTTTGATATTGTTCGAAGCATGTCTACAAGGCCATCTTTCCCATGTGCCGCGAAGGCCTCACGACCGGGAACGATCCCACCTCATTACGAGCGGTAGCATCTTCATCTACGAGGAGAACGCGTCAGGAATCAAGAGATGGACCGACGGTGTGACATGGAGCCCAAGTCGAATTTTGGGCAACTTCTTGGTGTATCGCGAACTGGACAAGCCCTTCCCACCTGGCGAAAAGAAACGTGCCATGAAAAAGCAACAGCGACGCCCAAGCCGCCCCGGCGAACCATACGCACGTCCTGATGGCTACGCTAATGAGCAGTCCTCCCACGATGCAGAGGCGGAGAGACAGCTCATAGGATCTCTGGTCGATTCATATGGGTTCAAAAAGGATGGTCTCGTAAAAAAGACCATGAGCGTGACTGTCCAAGGTGTCACTCACCATCTTGTGTCATACTATCTGGTTGGCGATGTGTTGGCTCAAACCCTGCGCACTCCTTCCCAGAGCGACAGCCTTCAATATGTGCGCCCTCGCCTCGAGTTGACCCAGAAACAAAGCTTTCGGGCTCCTCTTGAAGACGTTGACGATCTCGAGGGTGGCCAGCCAGGATACGGCTATCGGCTCAGTCAAGCTCCCCAGAGAGCCTCTTACGGGGGAGAGTATAATCAACAACCATATTACCCTGCGCAGTCTTACCCAACCCAAGCCTATACCTCTCTGCCACCACATACCGGCGTTGGTCCTTCTTATCCAGTTGCCGTGCCACCAGTCCCGGCACCTTATACTCTGCAACAGCCGCAGGTTGCTCCAAGCCACATGCAAAACCATCGACTTGAGTACAGTCAGTACGATCAAGGTAGCTATGGCCGCACTTACGATCCGACCTCACGGTCGATTCCGGCGACTCCTACCAGTCTGCCTGCAAGCATGCCGCCTAACATTTCTACCATGGGATCAGATCGATCTCAGACGCAGACAGGGATGTATCCGCCGATGAGCATGCAGAGACCAGTCAGCAATATGAGCCCGGTCTCCATGGATATGCGATCACAGATGCCATATCGATCTAGCCCGTATACTCCCCAGCTGGATCAATCTCGCCAGACCCAAGCATCTCCGATCCCAGATCGTCGGGAACAGGCGCAGCCAGCATCTCACATGTACCAGAGCCCAAGGGCCCCCTTCTACCCCGAAGAAACGCCTCAGCAAAACACCCAAGGGCAGTACTCGCAGCCTTCACCCTACACCCAATGGCCCGGCCCAGCTTCACAACCACCTCATCCACCACAATAGAAATATGTGTGTCATCGGCTCGAGACCGGCCATTTAGCAGACAGACATCCAAGAGATCATGGACGGATAGAATGCTACTCCCAAGACGATGAAGATTCGATGCCAACGAATTAGTCTCGCATCACATTACGACCATGCTTTTAGTATTGTCGGGGTCCGGTCTTCATGCCTTTGGTTGGTTCAGAAAAAATCTACTTGCTCAACATTTGAGCAACTACGTTTCTGTATTCTCAGAACCTGCTAGTTAATACTCCAAGGGAGTTCTGGAATGCACCTTGGTGTATCGAGCCTGTCAGTTGCCGTCCACAGCTATCTACACCTCAAACCATCGTCACAACTACTTTGCTTTTCTGTACTTATGATGACCTATTTTATACCAAAAAAGGCCTTCCCCGTCGTGGAGGAGGCTATCAGTCTTATACGAGCCTTGCTGCACACAAGAGGAAATCCAGGCACTGGGCGGAAAGAAGGAAGGAGGAAACCAGGAAAGGAAAAGCACATGGAAGCGAAAATGACCCCAACGGCCTCGCCCTTGAGAGTCAATGAACTCAACGATATGAATGAAGGATGGCTGTACTTTGTTTTCTGCTTATTCGTCTTATGCAAGGATAATTACCTTTTTTAACTTTACTAAAAAGAAGTCGTTGTGAGGCGGTTTGAGGGATATCAGAAGCGAGCGCTATAGCAACCCTGTTTGAGCTTTTGATTGTTTATGGAGTTTGTAAATGGGATTAGCTTCATTATGGCTCTGTTGGCAATGTGCAGGCAGTAAATGTGAACGGATCTTCTGGACGGTCTTCTAGCCTAGCATCATTCGTAATGGGGGCTTCACAGGAAGGCTTCCTCGTGTTCAATAGGGGAGGGTATGTAACGGGAACAATGTAATAAAGCAATTGTCAGAGAGACTAATAACCAAATCCCAATCTGTCCTTTGTCCCACAACAGAGATTAATTCACTCAGGGAAGGAGCGGTCACAGCCCTCTTGATGGAGGGCTTGGAGGAATTCGATCGACCATCCAGGCCCCCTCGGGCAGGAAAACCCACCGCTGAGGAAATCGACGAGAGCCAGCTGCCGACGTGGGTTTATCGGCAGAGGCGAAACACAGGCTTCACGAGCCATCAGTCCCGTCGTCTGACGATCCTTTTTCACCCAGGATTCACAGCTGGCTTGGGCAGGTCAAAGATACGCCGTCGTCAGTCACGAGCTGCATTGAGAAACTAGGCCAGTACGAGTAATTACGAGGAGGGAGCTAGCTGCCTGAGAGAGAACGGGTCAATGGGCACGAGCTGAATTGGACGTGGCTGGACGATGGTGCACACTCCACCAAGCTACCCATTCCCGCTTCAAGTCTTTTCTCGTCCTGCGTCAAGTCAAAGAAAAGGAATGTTGGGCATCAAAAGAAAGACGGAACCCAAGGAGCAGGCAGGCGAAAGGCGCGTTGGTGCTGTCCTCAGAATGGGTAGGGCGACATTCGCCTCGTCTTTCCCTCTAACAATATACCGGAAGCCTGTGCAGTAGGCCCCCGGCCGAACCTCTGCAAACGACTAGAGCTGGTGGAGCGGTACCATCTCCTCAGCACTGACCGTTTCTCTTTTGCACGAAGCGCCGACCCATAGCTAGATTGGCTCTTCCAGCTACCCAAGGGTCGAAAAGTTTCTGCCGAAAACTCCTGGGCGATCTCCGCTGCGACACAGACCTGGGGGAGGGCCCCCTACTGCAGAGCATCCATCATTTGCGTCCCATGGCATGGGAGGCCGGGGTGTAAGTAGGTTGCGTTGGTGCCCCCCTTGGCCCAGTACTTGGTCGACCAGGATCAGGATCAGGATCAGGCTCAGAAACCGTGCCACGATTGTGAACCGAGTCTCCCTGTTTTGAGTCTTGTAATCTTGGAACGGTGCCCTCTCTCTCTTTCTATCCCCTCCAGGCCCTTCCGGAATCTACTTCCACGAGTCTCCAGCTTTGGAGGACTTGCTGGGGCCACTTTTGGCACCACCATGGTAAAAAATACTACGGATTTGCTCGTGCTCGGTACCCATGATCCGCAAGAATGATGCGAAACCGAGCGTGCAGGGTTCTGGGGCGACGGTAGCTCCCCCCCCTACACCTTACAGCAATACTTGTGGGGAGTATTTTATTGTACATGTGCTCCTTACGAGTATGTACAGTATCAACAACAGCAAGCTCTCGGTCATGCATCACCCTTTGATGAGTCGCTCGTCTGGAAATTTCAGCCCAAAACAGTCTTCCTCCAAGGTCCACCTCACTAGTTGATGTTTAGTCAGGCTAGGATCCAGAACAGAACGCTGGAGCTGGGATTTCTTTGAGCATGTGGTAACAACCTTTGGGGTGCTGTATGGAACATTCTAGGTACGGATATTGTACGGAAGGTTTTCTCGTTATACTGTAAATTTTGTCATGACTGCACTGTTTTACCCTCCCAAAACAGGGTGATGATCAGCAAGCAGATGACTATAACCCTGTCAATCAATGGCTTGGAGCAAGCCCACGTTACTCATACTGCCCTCCGTAAAGGTTCAGGTTTGGCCTTGCTGCGCGAAACGCCTTCTGAGCTTGCAGATACGAGCATCTTGGGACTGAAAACGTCGGATGTGGGTGGCTTGGAAGTCGAAAAAGTTCGGAAGAGGCTTTCCCTGGTCAACAGACCCTGGTACGTCCCGAGACAATCTCCTTCCTGGCCCCCCTGGTCCGCGTCTGACCTCGGCAAAATGCAAACCACCAATTCGTCAAGAAGAACACACATGCTCGTATGTTATTGCCTGAGGGTAACATGAGTACGGGGAGTACGAGTCTACGAAAAAAGAGGGGGCTGTGGGCAAAGCACCTCGAGACCCAAGGGCCCTAAACAGACGTTTCCACAACCCGGTAGAATTACCTGCACGTCAGAAGCCACAGATGGTCGCTAAGGGGTCCCGGAAGAATCGGCGGTCAATCCGGGCGGGCAAAGCCGTAAGCCAGATTCGCCGGGGTACGATGATCGTCCGTCCGACTGACTAGGCAAGAAATCACACAATAATGAGCAGTAAGAGCCGAGCACGACTGCCTCACTACTTGGAAAAAAGGAGTCGTGCTTCGTGTGCTGAAAATGGCAATGCTCGGGCATGTACAATACTACCTCGTACCCACTGACCCAAAATGTCGGTATCAATCCCCACAAAGAGTTGCGCATTTACATATGATTTGCAACTGGCGGGTAGGGTGGGTGGTGGTGGTGGTCGATGCAAAAAGATACGAGGGATCTTGTACTTACTTGTTCCCACCTTGGCCCAAGCTTGGTCAATTTGTCGGACCTCGAGATCGTGGACGACGATTGACCTCTCCGCTTTTTCACGTAAAAGTGAGGCGAACAAAAGGTGCTCCAAGAGAAAAAAAAGAGGCGAGAGCCACCACAACCACCACCACCACCACCGCTCAGCGAACGGATATGCACAACGGCAGACGATTGGACTCTCTACAACTGTAAGACGAAATTTGAAAAGGAAAAAAAAATGGGGATCAAGAATGGCGGCATTGCATGTGAAGCTTGTGAGGGCCATCAGACTCCTCTTTCTATCTCTCTCCCTCTCTAGTTATCGGGGTGTGTGTGTGTGTGTGTGTGTGTGTGTATGTGTGATGTGTGTTTGTCTCTCCCTCCCTCCCTTCCCCCTTCTCTCTTCGGATGCTCGGAATCGAATGTGGCTTGCGAGCTATCAAATATTGTAGACCACCGGGACGGCCGCGTGGCCAATTACTCTTGTTGATGGTTTTTCAATTTCCCTTGGCCTCGGGTCACCCCGTAAAGGGTCATTCGGGGAGAAGAAGTCGCAGGGTTTTATAGAGTGGTGTACGGAATACTGGTATCAAGCATGAACGGAGTACGGATTGCCGACTACAAAACTTAGTAGACACCACACACAAAAAGAAAAAAAAAAGGACATGAAGTCGGGAGAAGGTTTTTTTGATCTTCACCGATCCTTTTTTTTTTGACTGTACTTTGACTAACAATCACCTTGGGTCATAAGCATCAAGGTCTTTGTGTAGGTACACATGTGAGTTTTTTGTTGTACGTGATTTGGGTGTTCACTTTGGTCCACTGCGTTTTGTGATTCGAGGAGAGGTGGGGGGGGCGGGGGGGGCGGTTGTCCCTTTCCTCCCCCCCCCCCCCCAAAAAGTCATGGTTTGTGGTGCGTGCGTGCGGGCGTTGTGTGTGAATAGGTTGGATGACAAGACAACCTGACCACAAGCTCTCGACTTGTACCGTAAGATTGACTTTTCCTCTTGAAACCTAACGGGGGGGGAGTGCTAACAGTAGTGTAATAGCTAGGTACTCCTTGTGTAGAGGTGTACGGAGTCGGTCACCTCTGCTCCATTAAAAAGACAAATAACCTACAGAGGTAAGATCGGAGCTGAGATTGAGATACTCCCCACCGGTACGGAATGTACCGTGAATCATTTTTTATTGGCCTGGACGACGGGATCTACTGTTGCGTACAGTACAAGTACTTGTTGATTACTACTGTATCGTAGGTACCTAGGTCCCTGACGGGGTAGGCATCAAGGTAGGTACTATAGGTATGTACCCAAGCACCTACCCAGTACACAAGTACACATCAACATCAATAGCACATTCCACCACCACCACGTCAGTTGACGAAAGTTAAAAAAAAGACCTCCTTGCCATTGAATACTAAAAGGTTTCGACTAATTACCCAAGGTGCTGGCTGACTGGTACTCGCTCGTGTCCGTATCACTGTAAAAGTCATCATCATCACCTCAGGTAGGTATGCTCCCGAGACAACATACGAGTCTCGTATCAAAACGCGGACCGGACAGCACGATCATTTCCAAGGCGTCAAAACCTACGGAGTACAAATGCTCGTATCATATTTTGCCAAAACATGCTCAAAAAACAAAAGTCTTTTATGCTGGTGGCGATTCTGAAATCGCGAGCAAAAAACAAAAAAAAAGAAAACGAAATCTCCTCAGAGATACAAATACTCGTCGATACTTGATTTCCTTCCAACCTGTTGAGACACAAATATATCTCACCTACGATGATGATGATGATGGCTGCGTTTACTCCGTACTCTCTATATGCCAATCGTCAATGTCGATTACTTGCCCGGCGGGTTCGTGGGTGCAAGACCTGCTCCTCCTTCATCTTTCTTGGCCCTCACTTTCTCAATCTTTTGTTCAGTGCCTGGTGCAAGGCTAGATCCGCTCGCAGCGGCGGCCTGGCCAAACTTGAAGTCGGGGAATTGTATCTTCCTCCCCGTCCTTGCTTCAATCTCCCTCTTCAAGCTCTCCCCAGTCGGCATCGTGACTCTGCTCCCCCTCCTGCGTCTGGTCTCGACTTCCTGGCGAATCTCGTCAATGGCCTCGTCGATCTCACGCCCAGGGTCACTCGGAAGACCGAGCAAAGGCGGGTAATTCGTCTCTTGAGACACCGTCTTTCGGATGTACGGGTGGTTGCGCTTGTCGAGCTTGGCCACCAACCATTTCTTTGCCGGCGAAGCGAAAAAGGCCATCGCCACACCAATCTCGATGATGGCATAAAAGTACACTCGACCCCACGCTTTTAGGGAGTCATTGAATCCCAAAATAACAAACGGTGCAGTGACGAAACTGAATGTGAACTGTGTGACGAGGTAGCCGGCGATGTCATAGTAGATCTTGTACTTTGTCGACTTTGTGCCGTCAGGGGTAAGGAAGAATGGACGTATATAGCGTCTGGAATTCTTCGCCACGGTCTGGACGAACGCACCAAGCAAAAAGGTAAGGTAGTAGCCAGGGTAGAAACCATGCCAAAGTGCAGAAGTGACGAACGTGGCCAATGTGGCACGGAAGCCTGGTTTCTTTCCTTTGGGCGTAACTCGTAGGTAGATGTAGTTACGGAGCCATTTGTTGGTGTTCTTGTTCCAGTTGTCAAGATATGCGCGCGAGTTCTGCGCCGTCTCAATGCCCCATGCGTTGACATTCTCCAAACGATTCCAGAGAGGTTTGCCCGTGTTCGGATCCATACCATTGTAGCCTATGCCGGCCATGATACAGGCCCCCTCTGTGAGAGACCAGACACCGTAATATTTGAGACGAGACGTGAAGCCGAGCATGTACATCAGCCATACTCGACGTGGGAACGAATATTTCATGTACTCGTCCGACAGGAGCAGTTTGACGTTGTACCAGCCACTGAAGTTGAGGAAGAGTAAGATCCAGAGCACGCCCGCGACGGCCTTGTATGCAGCAGGTCGACCAGACCGAGGTATTCGGCGAGCTTTTCGGGTTGCCGGGCCCTTTTCTCCTGGCCTGACATCGAACATGGACGTTTCAATCCACCGATGGTAGTCAACATAGTCGAATGCTGGACCCGTGAACACCGAAGGAAAGAAAAACACATAGCCTGCATAGTCCAAGAGGTTGGGCATCTTGTATATGGCACGATCTTTCTGGTTGTCATTGAGAAGCTCAGGTTTCAGCCTGCCATCATGGACGTTCCAAGAGAACGCGTGTAGCTTCATGATCAAAACCATTTGTCCTCCTGTTATATCCACCAAGCTGGCATCGTCAATCATCTGTCGATGGATGTGGCTTATTGACATGTGCCCCATGAGGAACACGAACACAATCCATGGCATCAGAGACCCGTCAATGTAGTATGCTATGGCGTATGTGCCGCCAGACGCGACAAGAAAGGTCCATATTCCACTCCATAGGTCGAACAGACCGACGAAATAGAACAGGGAGCCAGCGACCACAAATAGATTCCGTAGCTGCGGTGAATTATCCGGTAACCGTTTGAGAATGGCAGCGAGAGGATAGGAGAGTAAGAAGCAGCTGAGCAGCTTGAGCTCGTCGACGGAAGCACCGAGGGTTTTGCCCACATACTCGAAGGCTGGAGTAGCTGGTCAGATGCGTTGTCCTCGTCGCAATTCTTTTCACTTACGAACATTGATCCCTGGGATCATTTCGAAGCTTCTCTTAGCAGTATATCCAGAGATTGCTAATGTTAAGGAAATATGAACCTACAGCTTGCAGCCATAGATGCGTACTCGGCCAGACTGTTCAGGTCGCGAAAATGGAGTCGAGGGACAACATTGTTGAGAAACGAAAACGTGCGGAGACGATTCGGTACGTCATTCTGGAATTTATTTGTGCCGATAATTAGCCGTTCACTGATGGCTTCACGGGAGACACAGCAACATTAAAGTATACACCGAATAAACATACTGCATATATTGTAAACGTGAATTTTCTTCCAACAAAGTACGCCTGGATGGCCACTAATAAGACTCACCGCGTCGAAGAGCGACTTTGGTCTAATTGGTTTGGAGGTTGGGCTTATCCTTGGAAACTGCTGCTTAGTGGATTAAAACTGGGAGTCTTCAGCGGTTTCCATGACTACTGTAGCATCTCTATGAATAGGAGGTGTGAAAGGTCATAGGCGGGATAAGTATTAGAAGAGCCGGGGGTTCGAGCTTCCAAACTTTTTGTTCCTCGTCCTTTTTTTGAGTTTTTGACTGCTATCTGGAGTGAAGGTGGTGAAGTCGTTAGGGCAGACCTAGATGGACTGAGGAATGTATTGGTCAATGGCCTCCTTCGCATTCACTTGCCGGCATCGTGGTTTGCCAATCATGATTATAATCAACTCTGCTCTCATATTCTTGACATCGCTCCCTCATTGTGGTGCAACTGAGGGATTTTGATTTTGATATCACTACCATGCCGACTTTCGATTTTGGCCGGCTCGACGGCAATCTTTACTGTCTTGATGACCCTCAAGGAGTCAAAGATTTCCAGATCATGGTCGAGGACTTCATCAACATTGCCAAGGTCAATCCCGATGTTTTGAACAATAACATAGACAGGATCAAGGAGTTCTGCCTCTTCGTCTCGGTTGATGATGCCTGGTCTCTGGCGCAACTTGTTGTTCCCGAGTTCCGTGTTTCTCAGTAAGTCTTGATAAAGTGCACAAGGACATGACGACTCACACCGTTCAGAGACCTCCTGATCGAGAACGGCTCCGGCCCTATGCACCTCATACTCCAGTCACTCAAGCACAAGCTGCCACTGCCTACGCCTGATTCCAATTCCCCACCTGCCCATGGCAAGGAGCTTTGGAAGGCTATGTTGTCTGAAGGGATGCTCTATGCGCCAACTCTAGGACGCGGTGTCCCTACGACCATCCCAGAAGAGCCAGAACCTGGCGCAGAGGCTTTAACCACATGTAGGGTGGGCCGTGCTCAAGCAAGTCGGTCGCTCACAGTGTTACTAGACCCGCATACCGCAGAAGCGAATAGCGAAGACCAGCTATGTTCCGTGTCTGCTTCTCATATGTCCCTGACACAACCGCCAAAACGCGTTTTGCGGCGCAAGCAATCCTTTTGGTGCGACTGAATGATGGAAAGAAAGACTGCTTCCCGGGGCTTTTCAGACCTCGGTTTACCTCTGAATCTTGCACAAGATGGACATTATGGGGGCAGGAACGTTGAGCCAACCAACCAAGGCGAAGTCGCGCTATTTTCCACGTTCTCTAAACGAAACCCCCGGGAAATTCGATGGACATTGCCTGCCACGCCCAAACTGTTGCGCGGAAGCAGCTGTTTTGTGGACACCCGGACAGTCCAATAAGTTGCAACAATTGAACCTGTCACTGTCAAGTGTGTACTCTACTCCAACCATCGGCTTCAAGTTCAAAGTCAGAGGGAAAAGGGTGCTCCTATCGACCAACCTAACTTTTCGCATAAACGATCAACAAGAGCTCGTAAAAGGCGTGTGCTAATTTGGTTAGTGAGTACATAATTACCATAGACTCAAAGAAACAAGAAGATCAACGATAGGAGTGGGAAGCCACAGGTTATTTTGCTAGATCGTAGATCGAGATGGCCAAAATGATATGGATTCATCAATGCGATTCCGCGTCCGCTGAACAAATCTCACTGGTATAACCAGATATGTTGTGTCTATCGCACTATGTGAGGTCATGTTAGAACATCCGACATCTCCTATGCTATGGCGTAAGAATGTCCTTGTTCAAAGAATACGACACGTGAAGCATGGAAAGTCGAGAAGTGTTGGTTGTAGCAAGGAGGCTTAGTCAACTTACAGTCGGGTAATTATCACGCTATTCCGTTCTTGGAAACGAGGGCTACGCACAATAAGTTCATGTCTTGGCGAGTGTGAAAGTCCAACTGCGGTCCAACTTCGACATTTTTGAAAAAGACTTGCAAGCGCCAGCCATCAACACTCACCACCCTTGCAAAAGTCGAGACGATCAACGATTGGAAAGCGAGTTCTGCAAGACTTCCAGTCGCCCATCATGTCTCAACCAGCGCTCAACAAGATCGCCCACAACAGCCCGTCGAGGCAACACCCGTCCGAGCTGGAAACCAGCATCGCAAACGCTCTCTATGAACTCGAGACCAACATCCCGGACCTCAAGTCTTCCCTGAGACCTCTTCAATTCACCACTGCTCGCGAGGTACGTTTTTTATCTTGGTTACGCACGCAGAGACACCTTCAAAACCTACCCAAATATGTCTTGACGTTTTGTGGTTTTCACTGGAAAATGGATTAAACCTTGGCTTGAAAAGAGAAAGGAAAAACTAATCGAACTTTCAAACAGCTCGAGGTTGGCCACGGCAAGCGCGCCATCGTCGTCTTTGTCCCCGTTCCTCTCCTCGCGGGTTTCCACAAGATCCAGCAACGCCTGACCCGCGAGCTCGAGAAGAAGTTCTCCGACCGCCACGTCCTGTTCATCGCCTCGCGCCGCATCCTCCCCCGTCCCAAGCGCTCCAACCGATCCCGCACCACGCAGACCCAGAAGCGTCCTCGCAGCAGAACCCTGACCGCTGTCCACGAGTCCATCCTCGCCGACGTCGTCTACCCCGTCGAGATCGTCGGCAAGAGACTGCGGACCAAGGAGGACGGCAGCAAGGTCCTCAAGGTCGTCTTGGATGAGAAGGAGCGCGGTGGCGTCGACTACAGACTCGACACCTACTCGGAGGTCTACAGAAAATTGACCGGACGTGTTTGTGGCTTCGAGTTCCCCATGAGCGCCGCTGCCGATTACTAGACGAATTGACCGAAGCACAAAATGGGTGAGAGAGAGAAAAGCTCGGGGTGCCAGATAAAGCCTTGAATGGGAGGTGTTTATGAAGGAGAGAAGAAGAAAGAAGAATGGAGGTACGGGCGTTGTACAATCCACCCCCCCATCAAGGAGCCAACTCGGATGGACGTGGCGATCAAAGGCGTCACTTTGCATGAGAAAATGGAATGGCCAGGAAACCCTTACGTACGCATGCAGAGGTAGCATTATGCTGTTCAGGTTGAGCGAAACTGCAGATACCGACAGCAATTTCAAGATTTGACAAAGATATGTTTTTGTTCTGCACATAAGATTCTACAGTCTCATTCTTCTCGAGGTCTTGCCGTACAGTATAGACTAACGCTGCGTGACCCAAGCCCTTTTGTATTTGTACAAATCTTGGTACGTGCTATTGTCCAAAGTCTCCTCCACCGAGGATATCTTTTATATTGACATCTCCACTCCCTCGTTTCAACGGCTCGGGTTGCCCTTCACCAGGCTTCCACCCGATCATGTAAATGACCCTGAACGTTGCCGGGATCCTGTCCTTTTCGTCCTCGCCGCAATGCAACTCTCTGTAGATGGCCTCGTTCGCCAGTAGCACGTCCCGACTCATCGGCCCACCCATGCTCTTCATGATCGCATTGCCCTCGCCCATGGCTTGGATGTCGGTCATGAGGGCGAACGTGTCGGGGTACTCGACGACGATGTCGTCGACGTCGACGGTGAGCAGTTTGAAACCGGCCCTGTTCAGCAGGTTCCCCACGTCCCGCACGTTCGCGAGCGGGGAGACGTGCGGACTCACGCCGCCTCGCCTCTCGAGGTCGGCCAGCTGCAGGGAAGACCGCAGCTCGAACAGGGTGTCGCCGCCGAACATCGCGGCCAGGAACGGGGCGTCCGGCTTGAGGATGTTGTTGACGCTCGCCAGCACCGAGGGCAGGTCGTTGATCCAGTGCAGCGACAGGCTCGACAGGACCGCGTCGAAGCTGTTCGAGTCGTAGGGCAACGTCTCGAGCGAGGGGAGGAGTGTCCGGGTGACGGGGACCCGGGGCGCAGGCAGGCCGTCGTCCCGGTGCAACGTCGCCTGCGAGGTTTCGGCACACACGAGGTGCTGGACCCGATCGGACAAGGGGATTTTCGTCTCAGCCTGACCCTCTGGGACCTCGGGCGCCGTCATGGGTGGTTCGGACAGCGCGCGGGCGATGTGGCAGCTGTTCGCCCCCAGGTCGAGAACCCGAGGAAATTGGCGGTTGATGTCGAGGAGGCGGTCGACCAGCCGCCGAGCGACTTCATCTTTGAGGTAGTCTGTCTTGCGGCTGTACTCGGGGTTGGAGGCGGCTCGTTCTTTCTGGAGGTACTTGACGTTCTCGTTGAAGATCTGGAGAGTCGGGGCGCCGGGGGATTGAACGGCGTACGGGCGTCGAGAGATCTGCACGAACCGCCTTCTCAGGGCCGACGTGGGAAGCCAGGGGCGCAGGGCCGGTGGCTTCATTGTGCACGGCGAGGGGAGTGCTCAGACAAGTCCAGCGTCTGGCTATTGGAAAGGTCAGATCCAAGAGGAATAATTCACCTTGCTGGCAACCACTTTCAGATAATCTTGTTGATGATGTCAACCAATTAGGGAACGGTCAAGGTGTATCGATCCGCACTCCCTCCCCCATTTGCAGCCTCACTGACTTGCAACATTTTCTTTGCCACTTTTATTTCATGTCATGTGCGGGACGCTCATGTCTATGCAACTTACGATCGAGTATTCTAGAGAGAATCAAGCAAGCCTACGCAGGGAAATAGTGTAACGTGGGACAGTTTTCTGAACATTATAGTACAGCACTCTAAGTCATTCATTCATTCATTACAAACGCACCTACACTCCGGTACAGGGCATATACGGTGCTTCTCGAACCACATCCTCGCATGCGCAGCGTGGCATCCGTGGGAGCACTTCAGACATAGGACCGTAAGCTTTGCCATTGTAGAATCCCATTGCCGTGCTTGTTCTGCCATTTGCACCTCTCTGTCAAGTTCTTGCTGTGGAGTTGCCGCCTCATCGACTGCGATGCTGGGCACATTCGGAGTCTCGTTCGTTGATTCTTGGATGGTAGGTACCGCGGTTCCTGTCGACGAATCCGTAGTTCCCGACCTCCTTGAATTGACCTGAGAATGTGGTGACGATTTCGGTTGAGGTGATGAAGTCGCTCTTAAGCTCCCAGAGCCTGTGGCCGGTCCGATCGTGGTATGTACGCTGCCAGACAGACTGGCACTCAGATCGACACCGCCTTTATTGCCATTCAGCCTTGCCTGTAGTGGCCCGTACCATGGCAAGTAGGATTCATCTGGCATTCCAAGCCAGAGATCGCACACCCCGCAGCGTGGTAGATGTCTGCCGCATTTTGGACAAACGGTGCCAATTGCAGCGGCCTTTTCTCTAGTCAAGGGATGCTGCTGAGTTTCTACCATCTTGTGACCTGGTGAGGTGTCCTCGTTAGTGCCTGCATTGTGGGTTAGGCTTTGTGCGCAAAAGCCACACACGAGTCGAATTTGTTGCTTTGCAGGTTGTATGAGTCGTCTTCCGCTTTCGTCCACTGCTGCATTCTGACAGGCTATATCAAACCTGACACGATCAAATCGCAAGTTCCAACCATTCATCATATGTCTGTATGCATCTTTCCAGCTGTCGAATTGGCGAACAATTTCATCGTCATCCACATAACGTGGAATGGCGGGACAAAGCGCCAGCACTGCAGTCTGCAAGTCGCCAAATCGCCGTACATAGCTGTTGAGAAGATCAAACGCGTCACGCGTGCCAATACCGGTGAGAATGATGCCTTCAGCGTCACCTTCAGTCAAGGCTTCTCTCCTCGCTTGCAAGATATACTCTGTAAGCTTGGAGTCGTCAAGATGTCGAAGCGCGACGCAGACTCGGTACTTGAGTGGAAGGGAATCTTCAGCAACAACGTGAGACCAGTCTCCCGTTTTGACAAAGGCGAGGATAGCCCGTGCGTATGGGTCGGTAAGCTCTTCAGCCAATGATGAGATAGTCTCAGCCCAGTCATCTTGTGCATCCGAATCGTCACCAGACGTCGCCCCTGCATCGCCATTACGCATTTTCTTCGAAGCACCCGCGATTGCCATTGCCAGCATCTTGTGGGATTGATTTGAGCCCCTTCCACGTAGGGCTTTGTAGGCCAGTTTACGGTCCATGGCAAACATTGCAAGTGCCGCGGCTTTGGTATGCTGATTCTGGCTTACCAGACGACTGGTTCTTGCCTCAAGCTCTTCATATGACCAAGCGAGGCCTATCGAATGTAAACACAATTGTCTGTTCGCTGGGTGTTTTGACTTGGTGCTCTTTATAGAGGGAATGTTAAGTCGGCGGACAAGGTTTTCGATGATTTTACTCGGTTTGTTAGAGCGTGGTCCCAGGGTTCTATTCTTGGTATTGATATCCTCCATCCAGAGGGCGTAGACCCCAAGGCGTGCCAGGTCAAAATTGTCCTGCGTCATATTTCCATTTTGAGATATCCTGGTCGCTCGTTCTATCCAGGCCCAGAATGATTGTAACCAATTTGAGTCGGAGACGATCGCCTTGTTCTTGGTCGGGTTGAGCAGATAGCCTGCTTGGCAGCGGACTCTTTGGGATGAGTTTAGACTGAGAAGGTGCCGAAGAGGAACGTCCTTTTCGTAGTATCCAAGATCCGAGTACCACGTTTGGTTCTCGAAGCTGGACATCTTCCCCACTCCAAGAGCCTTTTTCTCTTGACGGGTTTGCTTGATGGTCTGTTTGAGTAGATTCCTGGGCTGCGCTTTGCGTCGGATAGCTTCAATGGTCTTCCCGCAAGATGAGGCATCCAATGAAGAGTGCTCGAGAAGCGTGTCGCCCCTACACAAAAAGTCGAGATTTGCAAGGACAACCGGCTCGGGAGGAGGATTTGTTGAGGAGATTCGGATTCTTCCATCACCCGTGAGAGTCAGAATTTCGGGTTGCCCTAGCTTTGACGACGTCGTCATGAAGTCAAACGACACAATTCTGATCTTTTCATTCTGAAGAGAGGGATCGCTCGAGCACTGATTTGCGACTTCTTGGGCCCGATCAAGAAAAATATCTAGAGGGGCACTGTTTTCCCAAGACACATCGTTTCCGTTATCTTGCTCAGACTGGTGTGTCTCGTCCGAGGAGTCCTTACTAATATCGTAAACTTTGAGATTTCCAGTACTGGAAAGCACACCTAGATGCCCACGACGAGCTTTTGAAAATCGCAGGCTCCATATGGTGCCTGGACTTTCGACAACGTTCTTCAACTCCAAGGAAGCCTCTGGTTGCCCTGTTCCTGGACTTGGGCCTGCACCAAAACTCATGTGTGGGGTGCTGAGTCGACTGATCATTCGTCTATCCCAAACGCATATGGAGGGATCGCTAGTGGGATACGCAGAAGCGAAATAATTCTCATCAAGCCAATCTATGGCCAGGTTATGGACGCACCTCGTGGCGAACTGTAGGCCATTTCCTACTGATGGTTCTCTGAGGTCGTACAATCTGACAAATTGGCCTTTGACACCGGCAACTAAAAGCTGAGGGTCATCTTGAAAGAATTTTAAGCTGGTGATCGGTTCTCCACTAGCAAGTTTATGGAGTGGTTCGGAGTAATTCTTCGAAAAGCTTTTCGTTCCAGGTGCCGGAAGTCGTTGGTTGTAGTCCCAAACATTAAGACAGAAGTCTGTTCGGACTTTGTCCAAGCCTGCCGCCAGTAAATTCTGGCTGCTTAAAGTCACAGCGTTGCAAAGTCTTTGGCTTCGGACTTGGAATGATAACGAATCTTGATGACCCTCGGCAATGTTGATAAGAGTCGCTTCTCCGCCTGCCTGTCCAACAACCACGAGATCCTCGTTGACAGGATGCCAGTCGAAAGCGCGGAAGGCTGGCACTTTTGTTGACGTATGGATGGACTCATATTTAGTAGACTTCTTACTCTTCTTGGTAATATTGCATAATTTGAACGATTTCCCAGCCACGTCGACATATAGAAAGCGCTGTGGCGTGCCTGTATGGGAGTTCTGCGAGAAACGGATGGCGGTCTCCATAGCGATATCGAGCTCTCAGGACGTGGATTGGTGCGATCCTAGCGCCCACACAGATGTTGACGATGTTGCTCCATGTCCGGCTGGTCGAGAGATTCTTTACATCAACCTGAACATGGATGAAGAACGCATATTATGGGAATGGGTATTCTTCTTGCTGTTTGTATCTGCAGGTTGATGTTAACGCCAAAGTCGAAACGGGACTAGTGTATCCCATAAGGCGGTAAGAGGCGGCAGAATAATTTTATCGACTTGTACACTCATTCACGATTTTTGTCACTTTGAATCGTCATACTTGCCCAACACTCTTTTTATTAAATCTAGAGTTCTCGTTGATACTTTCCTGGATGCATGTCCTAGGGATACCATTCGCATTCCCTCTATCATCACCTCCTAGGCGCCATGGGCAAATACCGACCCACAAGTCAACGCCGAGGACCTGATACCTGGCGCCCTTCAGATCGAACATCCGGCCGTGGCCTTGATATTGGGCGGAACAATGACCGCGAACAAAGCAGCGATGGCGACCGTAATCCTATCCCTACTCGTGAAGAATCTAGGAGACTAGGGCCTGTCAGATCGGCCGTGACGAAGTCGACGAGGGAACGTCGAAACAACCCCTCCTCGCGAATTCACTCGCTTCGCAACCTGCTGGCAAGGGACACCAAGCTGCCTATGACGGTTCGTCAAGAGAAGGAACGGGAACTCGCTGCTCTGCTTCTAGACCAAAAGAAAGCCGAGGTCATCAAAAATGCTAGAAGTAACCTTCAACGCTATCATTTTGTGCGCTTCATGGAGCGGCAGAAAGCCACAAGAGCGCTCAACAAGCTTGTCAAACTGAGAAAGTCGCCCTCGTACAAGGACGAATACAAAACAAAGCTGGAAAAGATGATTCACGAGGCCGAGGTGGATGTCGCATACACTCAGTATGCACCTCTGGGAGAAAAATACATTAGTTTGTTCGTCGGAGGTGAGAAGAAAGAAAAGGGGATGAACAAGAAAGATTATGCCATATTGGACTCAACCCAGCGTGACGAGCTCCGGGCCTTTTCAGACGACGTGGCCCAAATCATTCGGTCAGCCTCCGGTACGAGACCGCCGATGTGGTATGAAGTTGAAAAGTACATGGGTGAGGGCGAGGACAAACTGAATGCTCTTCGAGATGGGAAGTTGACGGTGCAGAAAGTGGACAAAGAGCTTGTGAGTGTTGGTGGCAAGGAACAAGCGGCTCTGCGGAAGTTGCACCAGCATAAGACCGAGGCTAAGCCATCATGGCTCGACGATGACGGTATGATCGATCCAGCCGATCTAGATAGCGAGGATGAACAACAAGGGGACATTCAGATCAAACGAAACGACGATGATTCAGACGGCGACGAAGACATGGCCGATGGCGGATTTTTCGAACGCTGAACAAGGATGACCTTTGATGATGTTAACGACTTTGAGATACCCCAGATTAGAGAAGGCGAATGGAGTCGAAATATTGTTATACAGTGGGCTGGAAGAAACCTTTTTAAGACATGTCAACATCCCGAAGCTGGGGTTTACCAGGAGGTTCTTACTCCTTGACGACGCGGACTACTCGGATCGCCACATCTGTACAAGACCTGGCAGAATTGATTTTTTCCCTTTTGTTTCTGAGGTCATTTCGTCTGCACTGGTCATTCTCACTTTTATCTTTGAACAGAATTAGCTCTGCACCTCTCAAGTCGACGCTGCCAGCAACACTCATTTTCACACAAGGTAGTGAGCATGTCCTGGCTACTACGATGAATGACGGTGTCTGATTTTGTTTTAACTGTGATGATTTCCTGCTAAAGTGTCATCAATCATTCGTGTTTACAGATGTGCGTGACACATGAATCCTTCAAGTACACCAACAGGCAAGTCATTGATATCACCAGCTTTACCGGTGGTGGAGAACAGAAGACCGGGCAGGACATCGATGAACAAGCGCTCATGGATGAGTATACGAAAGACCAAACACCATCTCACTGTTGTTCAGGAGTACGATGCGGACCTTTGAAACGCAAGCGTGAGGGTGATGGTGTCATTATTTGCATTCAAGAGCTTAACGGGTGTCATGACTTTTTACAGGCTCATCGATCAAAACGGTATCTCAGATACCATAACTGTTTAGGTACCCAAAAGCGCCACAATACTCACCTCTGGTCTATCTGGTCTGCCTGTCTGTTCGTATGCCGGTATTGTTCTCACCCATCAGCCTCTCTCACCTTTTCTTTTTGGCTGAAGCCAGTCATGCCATACCGTCAACATCAACACCGATATTAACATTTGTTCTCGGGGAGGTGTCACCATCATGAAAGGGTATAAAAGAGGCAGCGGCAGCAGCTGTACAACCACTTTTACTCATCTACCACTACCACGTTCAGTATTGGTACTACTACTACTATTACCGCCCCTCTGCAATATCGGACTCTCTTCTCTGGTCTGGACTGGATACCCTCTGATCGACAACATCTCGGCCTGAGAACCGAGAGATTCAACACTGCCTCTTTTCCTCGTTTTACTGTTTTTGATTGGTTCATAAAAGATGTCCAACAATTCATCTTCGTACTTTGGTTCCGCCGGCGGCGGCGGCGGCGGCTACAACAGTTCCAGGAGGAACGACAGAAGCATCGACTCGTTGTACTTTGCCGACTCCCCGCCGCCCAGCCGATCCAGCTACAGCCAACCCGGTTACACCGGTGGCACCAACACCACCACCGGCGGGTACGGCGGCAACACCAACGCCAAAAAGGCACGAGAGTGTACCACCAGCAACTGGGGCGCCGAGATCGACCGACGATACCTGGCCAACACCTCCTCGAGGGACTTTGCCTACGACAAGTCGGACCCGAAGCACACGTCTTCCTACCTCTTGCCCGAGAAGAAGAGATGAGAGACTGACGCACGTTGGCCCCCCCTCTCCTCCCTGGAGGACAAAAGTCTCGGAGTTTGTGGCTCTGTGCGTTCTGGTGAAGGGGAAAGGCAGTGCGTTCTGGTGAAAAAAGGACCGATGGGAAACAGAGTGCTTTTTGAGGCATGGAGGAATGTACCGAGGTGTGGCGTGTACCTGAAAGGGGGAAAGGGAAGGGGACAGGACGGAAAAGGGGAAAACGACGACATGCTAGCTAGCGACTCGACTCGACGCTTGATTGACCCACACGTCCTTTTTTTTCTGTCTTACTTGCTCAACACCACGGGGTGAAACCCACAGAGTGAAACCACAGACACAACCAAAAAAAAGGGACAAATTGTTTCTACCGGACAGGGTCAGGCTGGAACTCCCGGGCCATGGTGGCCGGGGTATGCTGTGTTCCCGTGGGATAGCTACAGGTGCGGCTGGATGGATGGTTGATGGACCTTGGGCTTGTTGACCCTTCTTTTTTTTCTCTTTCACTTTTTTTTATTTTACCAACAAAAGAATGAAAAGACAAAAAGAGAAAAAAAATAGCCCCCTTGAATATCCTAGCTACACCATCTGATATGTGTGGGGAATCCAACCATCATGAGCTACTACTCTCTTCTTCTTACTGCTCGAAATTTGAACACACCTACTTTGCTACCTTAGGGAAGGAGTACTTATGGTAGGGTGTAGACATGGCAGCGTAATGAAGTCAGTGGACATACTGTGCTGTGCTGGACCTGATCCAATCTCCTTGTTCATCATCGCCCGTTCCCTTCTTCTTCTTCTTCTTCTTTTCTTTGAAATAAAGTCATCCAACTCGCACTCATTGACACGTTAGTCTGTCGTGTATCAAAAGGCTCCGTATTCGCACTCGACCATACCTCGGGCATGCATAATGCACTCAGGCTCCTCGCTCGTATAGAATTCCATCTTCTTTATCCAATGACCCCAGCAAACGCTTTCCGAATCTCGAGTTGGTCCGTCACTGAACATACCAAAGTGGATTCTGTGTTACACGCTTTGCTGCCGCATGCTCTTTCTAATTTTCCAGTTTGTATCTGAATCGCCCAGATATTCTTCGTCTCTCAAAGGACCCCCTGGTTTTTCTTGTGACATCCATCTGCGCACTCGAGCCTTCGATACGGCAAAGGTGGCGAGTCAAGCCACAGAGCGAACCATTCAAGTCTCTCAGTCGCCGCCATCACGATAAGTCTCCCGCAAAATCCACATTGGCGATTCGGCTTCTTCGTCAGTAGATCCAATTGATCAAGAACCATCTCCGACGTTCCTTCTGGCATGAGACCTCGAAAGTCAATCTTTTGCTTTGGATCAAGTTTGGCGAGTCGTCGAAGTACGGTCTCACTGAGGCATGGCACCCCAGACGCCTCGTTCATTTCCGTCTTTCGAGGCATGCCGAACTTCGACTTCGACTCCGGCACTTGGATCTCTCGCTGATAATCACAGGAGCTAAACGGTTTCGGCTTCCAAGGGTTCCCTGCCGAAATCAATCTGGTCAATTTGTGGCTCATCGCCAGAACGACAATTTCAAAAGGCAACTCGGTCAGCTGATTTCCCGCAATGTTCAAAGTTTCTAGGTTGACGAGGTCCCGGATTCCAGCAGGGATGGATGTTAAATTGTTGTTTCGCAGCGACAATAGCTGAAGATTCTGAAGCTCTAATACCGGGGCTGGAAACTTTGTAAAGAGATTATTCGCCAGGTAGAGGCGAAGCCGAGGCTCAAGGTCTGTGCCTGTATCGAGCATGCCCGGAACAATCTCATCTTGCTTGGCCAAGGTCTGGAGAGAAGTGATTTCTTCAGGCAAGGAATCTAAAGATCTTCCCCTTTACGGCAGAAGGAAAAGTAGTTAGTAAATTGTGTCTCGGCATACAAGTCCATGGCAAAACTATCCCAGACACCGAGGTACTTACGACAGATCCACGTCCTCCTTTCCCATATCGAGACACTGATGAACAATCTCGAGTACCTCGCGATGCTCCTTTGACATGGGTTCCAGAGGCGTGACCTTGAGTAGTGTTCTCGTCTTGGGGCTGACGCTGTCGGTTGTGGGTTGGAAATCATCTTGACCTCTACAGTGGTCCCCGGCTAGATTCTCTTGTGCCCATGATCTGAATGGCGGCCTCTTCTGCCTTGTCATCGTGTTGTTGTTGTCGTCTGCGTGTTCGGCTTCGTACCCACGGGACTGATCCCTCATCAACTCGTCCTCCAAAGTGAACGAGTCACTGGACAACGACAAATCATGATCCTCGCCACTCTCATCTTGGCTCCCCATGAAGATGCCCGAGTCAAAGTTGCGCGTGAATTCACGCTTCTGTCGCGTGCTCTTCCGGCGTCCCTCTCGGGCGGGGTGCCGATCCCACCATGATCCCTGGAAGGTGCGTTTCTTGCGTCGACGGTCGGTGTAGTTTTCGGCGCCGGGCGCCTGTTCGTCACTGGAGAAGAGGGCCGGGTCGCTCGACGTCGCCGGCACGGTAGGCTCGTCGTAGACCTCGGCGGCGCGTGCTCGCTTGCGGGCAGTAAAGAGGAGCGACTGGCGAGGGCGGGGGGGCGTCTGAGCTGCTATCAACGCGGACTGAGGGATAGGAGGTAGGTCGAGATCGTCCATCATGACAGAGCACTCGGAAGAGTCGACTCGGGTAGTCAAAGTGAGAGGGGATCGGCGGGACAGGATAGGCTGGAGGGGGCGTGCCGGTTGAACGAGAAAAAAAAGAAATCAAAGTAATAACGAGCGACGAGACCTCAACGGGTCAACACATGAAATGACGCAAACTCCCAAGGGGGAAGATATGTTCGGTGGTGTACCGAGTCATGGTGGTGATGGGTGGTGGTGTTGTTGGAGGAAAAGAGAGTGAGTGACGTTGTTTGAGGGAGACGCGTCGAAAATGGAGCCAGTGTCGCGTGTCCAGCTTTTTGACAAGACGTGTTTCGATGCCGCCGTTGGGTTGTTCGACAGGGATCATCTACGCGGAGGATTCTATCACTTCCCAAAAACTACCGAGTACAGTATAGCCGCCCGTGGTCGTTTGAGGACCATGACACCTGCTAGAACAGTATGGAGTTTGGAGTACTCTTATATACTACTCTGACTTTATATATACTCACTCGACCTACTCTCTAGCTACATGTAGCGAGTGAGTTTTTTTTTTTGACCAGGCAATTTTTCATCGAATGGCCCAAGTACATGTTCAAATCACTCAAAATCAGTGGGAATGACTTCATTGTATTGATCGATACCAGCTATCAGCTATATCAAATCAAAAACAACAGCCATGATATAAATCCCACCTCCAGACGAGAAAGCTAGAATGAATTTCGCTTGCACGCTTCAACAAAAGAATAATTCAATCGTATCGGTCGTACTCAAAATGCAAAAATCATTATACACACACAAAGGCCCCTTTTCCTTCCTCACTCCCTCATACGATAAGGATGAAACTTCTCCTGTTGTTTCCACCCTGGAACTTGTGCAACGCCAATTGCATCATGCCCCCTCGAGAACACACACAAACACAGACATACCCAACACTTGTGGGGGTGTGGTGGTGAGTCCTCCTTCTCTTCTTCATCAGCCATCGCGTCCCAGGCGATACAACAAATAAACATCTCTCACAACCCCTCTCCGACACACTTTTCCTTTCCCCTCCAGTGAAACCAAAAAAAAGGTCGGCTGCGACCTCCTGGACACCCCGTCCACCCAAAGTGTCTCGTTCGGGCGCCGTCCAAGAATTGAAACGAGAATGGGTGTATAACATTTGTCGATGAAACTTCATAAAGGTAGGCACCAAGGCGAGGAGCAGACTGGTGCTCGACTCAAGCAAAGAGACTTTATTGACACAGTCAAAAAAAATGAAGGACAAAAACGAAAGAAACGAATTTGAAAACGTCGACCGGACGCTGAGCATGTCGACGGGTTGCTTTAGCTGATAGCCAATCAGAGCTTGTGTCTCGGTCATAATGAACCCCAGACCATGGCGGCGGCACCTGCGAGGGCGGCCACTGCGAGGTTGATCTCTTGGGCGCTTGCGGCACCGGTCGCGGTGGCGATCGACGGGCTGCCGGAGGCGACTGAAGAGGCGACCGTGAGGGTCGGCTTGTTGTAATCGGTCGCTGATGCCGTGGTGTGCGCGGTGCTGTTCCATCCAGTCGGGTGGGAGATGGTGGTGGATGTGGTTGCGTTGGCGTACATGAGGTACTTGGTCACAATTTGCGTGGTTGACATGGTAGCTGTGACGGTGACCGTGGTTGTGTCTGACGACCAGTCTCCTCCACCGGGCCCACCTGCGAGCACCGATGGTGTTGTCAGCGCCAGCAAGGCTGTGGCGAAAGCTGTTGTGAAGCGCATTTTTGATAGTACTCGTCAGAGAGGTTACAAAAGATTGCGGTTCGGGATATATGGTCCTCTTCGATAAGAGTTCGTTGGAACCGCGACGGAGCGAGTTTGCGCGATCTTGCTATGGTGTCGGCGACAGAGTTTGTGTGTTTGTGGTTGTTTGTTGTTGTGACTGCCTGAGTGAGCTCTGCTCGAGTTGTTGATTTTGAAACGAATGCGATGCGACTGAGAGGGAGCTCAGTGACTCAGGACGATAGCCAAAGGTGCTATCTTGCAGAACCAGACTCTGGGGTCAAGCAAAGAGGAGAAGAGAGGTCCAGGCGAAAGAGAGAGAGAGAGAGAAAGAGTAGTTGGGAAGCACAAGCGTATATGTGGCGGCCGGGAAGCATTTTCTGATGGGTACTCCGTCCCAGCAGGTGTTCTGCGAAGGCCCGCCTACCTTTTGATAACGGTGGAGCGCTGGCCTGGCAGCACCATGGGCCATGGTCGCCTCGACAGTTGGTGAAAATTGCGTTTGTTTGGGAACGAAGCGCCGGTCACAGTCCAACATCGAGACGATGAGCGACGACTGGCTCGAATTACCTGATTTCGCTGGGATTGCAGCTCCGTTGATCGTGGAGAAGAAGCGAGAGTGGACCGGCATGAAACACCATCGCTGACTGGCCTGTTTCGAGCCATCAGGGCCTGTTCCTGGTCCTGTCCCCCGCCGCCAGCCAATGCCAGCCATGCCAAATTTCCCGACAGGCCGCTAGGGACGTCAAGCGCCAGATTAACCACGGTGCTAGCAAGGATGGGTCGAAACCAACGAGGTCACAAGAGAAAAATTGATTTGAGCAAGCAAATTCAAATGCGATTCGTTTGTGATTCGTTCCTGAGCCGGAGAGAGGAACCGTCTTTCCTACGGAGTAAGGCAAAGGATAACCACACGTACACACGCACACCGATCCCCTCGGCCCCTGACAGGACGGGCAGCAACAGATGGAAGAAGCCAACAGGGCCACAAGTTGTTTATTCGCGAATTACTGTTATGGAGCAGTCAACCGCCTATCATTGCTGGCACTTTCGGTTCGGCCCAGGGTGCATTGACATAACGGAGTATGGAGTGCTGGCCCTTTCTTCAAAGAAGTGGCTCAGAAACCACGCAGAGCCGCCAGTGTCACTGTCTGTCAATCTCTTCACCAAGAAAACGATGCCCAACAGAAAATAATGGCTTTGCCGGGGTGCCAGATCTGCCGCTGACGTCGCACCGCAGAGAATCTTCTTGCGACTTGCAGCTCAAACCGAAGTAGATGTTAGAATTTCTTTGGTTTGGTTTGTCCACGGAGGGAATCTTTTCACTTGCCGCCAGGAAACGTTTGTGTTGCTGGTGGTTACCTAGGTACAGAACCAGCGAGGAGGCTCCGGTAAGAATTATTACATGGGTTCGTTGTTTGCACCATACTAGACTCTACTGTATGTGTATCCATACTTGAAACTCCGAGCGATTCTGGTGACTGCGCTGGCTCTTCATCCTTTTTTTTCCGGTCCCAAATGCCGGGCAACAGGTACCGGAGTACGATTAGGGTAAACCCACCCAGGACATGAGTACCTACATAGGTCGCTCTCGTATTACTTGATGTACTCGTCAACAGCTGTGCCATGATCATCCCGTGTACAGTACAGGATAGTCCCAAGCTGTGTTGTGGAGTAAGGTTGACGGGTGGTTCTACTTCTTGACGGTCAATTGTTTAGTCTGTGCTCCAACCATGCAAAGTCTTCCCTCCAAAGTGAGTTTGGGTTTGGCGCCATCATTTTTGCGCCGGCGTCATTTGGTTCGTTGAGCGCAAGAGAAATTGCCTCTTCCAGGTCAACAACGAAATCCGTGCGACGAATTTCGCTGCAAAGGACACCTACGAGTACCGGATACTATCGTTGTACAGTACGGCTCCCTATCGCAACTACCGCTGTCTCCAGAGATAAAGATGAAAGGTATGTTCGAGAAGCTCCCCAGGATTCGATGGTCGAAGCGCGCACGGAATATTTCTCATTAGTGTGGTGTAGAGGGTCTCGATTTGTTGCTTATCATGGTCTCGACCTCTTCGTCGCAATTGATCACATAGCCTTGAAAACTTCGGTAAAAGCAAAGTATCGTTCCACGGTACCCGAACACAAAGGGGGTTCGAGAGTTGATCATTGGAAAATGTCATCAGCGATAAGACATTAATAGCAGGGACGACGGTCCAAAATCCAGAACTAACGCCATCTCCAGAACTTCGCTTCGTAGTGGTCGTTTCTAAACCCCCATGGCTTCCCGTGGTTCAATAATGCTTGTACTCCGTATAATGTACAATACAATAGGAGAGATTGTTCCCGTGAGTCAATCCCTAGGGGGGGCTTTAGATGTACATTTGTATCCGTACAAACGTATTAAACTACTCAGTCCGGGAGTTAAAAAAATAATAATGGAGTAGCTTTTGTTAATCATCAACCCAGCAACGGGAGACCACATGTACAATACTACTCTCAGGTACTGTACGGAGTATGTACGGAGTATCCCCAAGCGAAATCAAAAATCGTAATCTTTTTCGTAACTCTTGCCTCTTCCTTCTTTGTTCTTCTACTCCGTTACTCCGTTCTCCTTGATAATGCTGGGGGAGAACTCGGGGGGTTTTCAACTCGTACAATAAACTAATGTAGTGAGATTTGATTTGTGTTGAAGAGAAAAAAGATCATCACACCTCCCAACCCCCTCCCCCCAGTGGTTCGTCATTCGACATTCGATGAGACGGACCTTTACTCTCCTGGAGGGAAATGTGTTGTAGATCATTCGCGCGGACACCCTCAAATTCCCTCCTGCAAGCACTTTCCGCTCTCTCGTTCTCTCCAGTGACGGAGAGATACACGCGAGGCGAGGAGAAAAGGGGAAGAGAAAACCTCTCTCACTCGCCGTCTCCTTCACCCCGAGACTTGTCGGTAAGCCAGAAGTTTGCCGGTTCATACTGGACAAAGATGTACTCCGTAAAACTTCCCCCGAACTCTTACTAGCGTCGTGTCGTTCCTCTCTGAGACACGCCCGCCATTGCCAGCCACTCTTCTCCTATACTCTGTACGCACGGACTAGATCCGAAGACCAATCCTCGTTGTCGGTCTGTCGGCTGGAAAACAACTGGTGTGAAGGTCCCAGGTATGAGTGTTCACACGTTCAAATGGCTAGAATGAATGAACATGAGAAGGATTTCCTTGAAGTCCAAGTGCTCGTGAAAACAGAATATAAATGTCAGGTACGAATCAATATGAGCTGGCTCGAAGATTAATTGTAGTATTACGGGTTACTTCGGTATCTCTAATTACTCCATGGGCTTGTCGACGATACCAATTCTGCCCAACATGCAACCTTTCCTATCATCTCTCCTCAATTCATCAATTAGCTCCTTACTTGCTTCCATTCACTCTAAACTTTCAGTTGTTCTCTTCTGGTTAATCTTCTTGTAAACCTGTATTTCAGGCGCCCCTAACATGGCCCGCCGTAAATGACAGCTAAAATGCAGAAACCATTTTCCCCGAGTGCATCGATCATATCTTACGCAGTTGCAGGCTGAATTTCACCTTCATGCTCACCAGTAACAGCATTGTCGTGGTGTCGATGAGTTTTCTCCTTGTGACTGGACGGGCTCGTTTCTGGATCTCGGATCGAAATTCCAAGTCGTTCAACCTCGATCGAGCGATGTCCCCAGAGAAGAAGCGCTCCGAAACCAGCTGTCACACAGTATCAGCAACCCTCCACAAAACGGCCGGGAATGTCTCAACGAATACTCACGTTTGGCCAACAGGTCAAGAATGCCGTAAAAGACTGCTTCACCGTCGCTAGAAATGACGTTTCCGCCTTCAGATAATCCCCAGGCAATGGGATAGAGGAACCAGAGCGAGATTGTCCACACCCCACAGATGGTGAACGTCTTTGATATATCTTGACCGAGTATACGGGCGTACGCGCGACCTTCAAATACCACCGTGTAGGCCACAAAGAGGAATGCGACGCAGCCAAACACAAAGAAGCTGGCCCGGAGTCAACGACGAGCACCAATGTGAGTTTTGTTTTTGGACATCATGGAAACTTACCCAAACTTGTAGCTGGACTTGACAAGAGCCCCAACTAGGCCAGTGACGACCATGACCTCATCCATCAACACAACTGTGGAAAGTGTCAAAAGAGATGTATGAATATTAGGGTGGAACACAGAACATCCCGCTTGGATGAATGTACATACCATACATGATGGTGGGAGTCGGGAGGCCACATGTCAACAGGAGATCGGCCAGCAGCAATGGTGTGGTGATTGCCCAGTCGATATATCTCACGTAAAAGATCTGTCGCATATTCCCTGATACTTTAGGGTCGCTGCGTTCGAATTCGACCTGAATGGCCGTCCATCCCAGATTGCTTCCCATGCAAAAGTAGGCAATCGAGGCGACGAGGGTGATCGAAGCCGTCAAGTAATGGAAGATTCTTTGCGATCGGGTTTTCTTGAACGACAATGCCATGAAGACGAAGGTGCTGAAGCCCATCGCAGCACATATCGCATAGTAGAAGTCTGAACCGGCGGTGGTGATCTGTACACATGTTAGATAAATTTGTGCCAGAATGGAGAATTACAGTCCAAGGGTGCAAGCGATCCCAGTATTGAGGCAGGGCAATGTTTTCCCAAGCATGAAGTGCGGATGCTCTTCGAGCGGACTTACATGGTTATTGGTCGTAACCGTGTTTTGCATAGGATTGGCTTTGAGTGCGTCGTTGCCCATGTTGGCAAGTCTTGGATCTATACGACCCGGGTATGATATTATGTGAAAGGGGGTGCGTGGGTTAGTATCTCTGAGAGAAAATGTGAACTGACCTGCCTTTGTTGACGACGTCCAGCTCCAGAGGCCCAGCCCAAGAGGTACCTGATTTATACTCGAGGCCGGACCACCCTGAAGGACGAGTACATGACGTCGACTCGGAAGCACCCATTTCCTCTTTTCACCAAAAGTCCACTATCGAGGACAAAGACCTCTCGAGGCGTCACAGATCGATGACCTACCATGCCGCGCATTCCGCAAATCCTTGAGCCTGGCAGAAGCTTGTCTTGGAAAAGCATTCGAAGTAAAGTTTTACAATCATGCCTGTGCCCAATATGCCAGTTTTAGGCGCTGCAAGGCATGTACATGCCGACATTGTCAAACTTTGAAAAAACACGGTGATAGTGAAAAGTGTTGATGTCACCAACCCCAGACATGCGGTGCAGCAGTACGAATACATCGCACAACAACCCGTGATTCATCTGAATGGGCCCGAGCTTCGGATCATGCGAGTTCTGCAATATTGTGGGCGCATTGTACTCGCATGTGCCCTGGGACGTTTCGATATACCCGGATCTTCAGTTGTCCTCGAGATCCAAAACTGTTAGATGGGGTGGGATGTCAAATGTGTTTCCCACCTGAAGTTCTCCCCAGAGGTAACGACAATACTTAAACTGGTGTAGTGGGATTCGGAATACCCTACCCGTAACAGAACAACAGCTACAGCCATTGAAGGGTGCCATCTTGTCTAGTCACATTCTTGTTTGACTTTTTGCAAGCTCACAAGACCGTTGGAGATGACGATGGAAAAACATTACTGCAATCACTCAACTCGGTCTCATGATGGCGTAACATCGAGGCGACAAGAATAGCCATCAGGAGGAAGTCTAAGAAATATAGAATCAAGGCACAACTCTGATGTTGATTTAGTACGATCTTGTTTGATGATCGACCACGTTGGCAGACATCTTGACTTCGCCCGAGTTCATCAAGAGCCCAATGAAATCGACGTGGATCGATTTACATCATCACGGCAGTTCCCAGAGAAAAAGCTGCTGCTTTAGACTGTGGCTGACGGCAGGCGCCGGTGCCAAAGATCTCGGGACGAACACGAGTACGAGGTGGAAGCGACGAGATCTGGTGGGTCATCGATGACATCGTTGATAGTCACCAGTCATCATGAATCGGGAAGTCATCTCGTCAATGTTCGTAAGTTTGTGAGCAAAAATAGCATCTCTATCATGCACGGATATACCTCAAGACATAAGGCAATGTGACTGCCCAACAGACCATGAGGAACAACACCACTAGAGGTCCAAGGGGGATTGGAGGCCTCGCCACCACATCTAGATTGCTGACTATCCTCTTTTCATGACCCCCAGGGGACCAAGGCTTGACCATGCCTAAGTCGTCAAGAATCTGACCGGTTGTGATTTTGCTACCGGCGAGGACGATCGGAACCCCAGTCCCGGGATGAGTACTGGCGCCAACGAAGTAGAGGCTTTTGATCTGATCGTGCTTCGTGCGTGGTCTGAAGCTGAGGACATTGAAGAAGGAATGACTCAGTCCCAATATAGCACCTTTGTCGAGATTGAAGCTCTGTTTCCACGAAGCGGGCGTATTGATTACCTCGTCGACAATGTGAGATGCCAGATCGGCTCCGGTCCTCAGACGTACTGTTTCAATCACGGCATTTCGTGCCTTTGACACCATTGCCTGCCAGTCTTGTGCATGTTGTGGATTTAATCCGCGATCGGCCTGGTTCTCTAGTAAATGCCCGCAAGGTACGAGAACAACGACGGTGTCTCGGCCGCTAGGGGCCGCACTGGGATCAACTCGCGAAGGAACGTTGACGTAAAAGGACGGCTCTTTGGGTATCAATTGTCGTTTGAAGATGTCGTCGAAACTGTCTTGGTATTCGTCGGCCAAGAAAACATTGTGCGTATGTAACTCGGGGATAATTTTGTCCATGGACCCTTAGCACGTCAGAAAACCTCTTTATGCTCCAGATCTAATCCGACTCACAGTAAAATGATATGCTGGAACAGGAAGCTTGCTTCTTTGAGAGGGACTTTGCTTTCTGTGATGGTGGGAGGAGCTCATTGTAAGCGTAGACGAGATCGGCATTGACCAGAACGACATCGGCATTGAGAATTTCCCCCGACGCCAGCGTCACTCCAGTGGCGCGACCAGAATATCGATCGACGTTTACATGCGATACTGGAGTTGAGAGCCTGTACTGCACGCCTAATCGTTTGCCTATTTGGACCAGAGCGTCAAGGACTTTATGAAAGCCGCCTCGAGGATACCTTGAACCGGGTCAGCTCAGGGCCACGTCAAGACCACATCATCTTACCAGATACCCTCTGCGAGCTCCGTGTACTGAAGTAAGCTGTAAGTACCTGGTGCTTCGAACGGACTCATGCCCATGTACATGCTTCCGAATGTGAATGCCCGCCGTAGTCTCTCGGTCATGAAGTATGTGGACGCGCGACGCCAGATGCTTTCAAACGGGTGGAGAGCCAGCAGATATGGCAGGAAGCTGGGTCTTGCCAGATGCAGAAGACTTGTGAAGTTCTTTCTCAAAACATGGACAACGCTGGCCTCATAGTGAACATGGGCCTCTTGCATCCATTGCAGATATCTCTCGAAGCCATCCTTGCCCTCCCACTTTTCGATGGTCTTTTTCATGGCAGCCACATCGGTCGATAGTTCGATGCACTCTCCATCACCAAACCACACGTTGTAATTGGGCTCGCATTTGAGCAATTCAACCCCCTCTGCTTCGAGCGACGTGTCTAGGTCGATGAACGCTTCGCGAAAGAGGTCGGGAAGGAGGAGTAGTGAGGGGCCTTGGTCGAACCGGTGGCCGTCTCGGCGGATGAGGCTACACCGTCCACCAGTGAAGTCGTTTTTCTCAACAACAGTGACACGAAAGCCCGCCTTTGCAAGGCGTGCTGCACTCGCAATGCCTCCAGCACCGGCTCCTACAAAGTGGGAGTCAATGACAATGTCGGACCAAAGGTAGGAAAGCCGGCTGGTACTCACCAACGATAACGGCAGTCTTGGGCTTTTCCATGACTGTGGTCGCAATCTTCAACAATACAGAGACTGAAATCAAAAGAACAAATCGTCGCAAGTGAGCAAAATCACAGGGTGGAATGTTCTTGTATTTCCGAAAGTCAATGACAACATGACTCTAGCCAGCGCATTGGCGCTTTAGGCGCCCTCCATCTGCAGCCGGCTGTTGACATACTTGCCAGATTCGGCTTGAGGACTGCTAAATTTACAATGGGTTTAATGGCGTGAGAAGATATTTATCGAGGGCGGAAAGTTGACACCACGGCTTCAAATGTTGAAGCTGATAATGTCTACGGGATACGGAGTACGGGAGAATTTAGTTCAACGCGTAGGAAACGTTCGCGCCGATCTCCCCGCATCCGCGGAAACAGCAACAGCCAACCCCCCTGTAACGATGCCAGCAGCACAGTGCAGTGCTCGCCTGCATCGACGCCCTGCATGAAGCGCGAGCGACGCCTCCAACTACCTAGAAATTTCTTCCTGTTAGAGCCAAGGTATCTCGCGTTAGGGTTCATAGCAACGTTTTCATCACACTGGGCCCCTCCATCCGGCCATGGTCCTCCATCCCACCCAGACTCTTCGGGATTTGGGCACACTCGCTCGTCCCTTTTTCCCACCACCGGCAAAGTCCAGTGGTTGTCCATGATTCATGCGGTGCCGCAATACCCGTCCTATTTCCATATAGCTCTCGACTGCAACACGAATGCCACTCCGAGCATACGGAGGCAGCTGTTCGATGGCGTCTCGGTTTTCAGCATAAATGTCAAAAGCTGTGTTCAGGATCTCTTCTCGGAAGTGTAGGACTTCTTGCTTTTGTGCAGTAAGTGATGAGGTAGAGGACTTGGTAAACCATTCATCGGGAATGTAACATCTCCCGACTTCGGCGTCAGTTTGCACATCTCGCACAATATTCACGTATTGCAGCGCTCGTCCCATTTTTGTGCCGGCCGCAACACATTTCTGTATTGTATCGGAGTTGGCTCGTTTGTCAGGATCGTGTTCGTAGACCAGACTGAGACATAATTCGCCAATTGTCGCTGCCACACACGTGGCATATCGCTCGAGATCGCTAAAGGTCTTGATGGGAGGATTCTCCTTTGCATTTTTGGCGAAAAACTCCTGGTCTATTCGAAATCCTTCCAAGAGTAAATACAGGGGTTCGGAGGGTAGCTTGTCCGAGGGTAAGAGCACAAGGATGGATTGCGCTTTTGGCGAGAAAGGCGCCAACGCTTTTTCCAACCGTGCCTTGTCGCACTTTGGAGAATAGATGGTGTCGAGGAAGTGGGTGAAATGAGTGACCCACATGTCTGCCTCTTCTGCAGAAGGCGCGTCGTCAATTAGATCGTCTGCCACTCTACAGAAGGCATACAGCAAGATGAGGTCAATTCTAAGGCGGCCGAAGAAGACTCCAGACGCGAGATAGAATGAACGACTTTTTCGTGCAAGCACCGTCAAAGCGGTCTGCAGACCATCCAGGCGGCCGCTGTCGTACTTGGATGTTGGCAAGAGTAATGCTTTGATCAATAGCAGAGGCGAGGGGATGCCGGGGACCACTGGAAAGTGCTGTGGAAAAGCATCCAAGATTGCAAAGGCATTGTCGCAGGCGACAGAACCCCAGACGACTAGAGTGTTTGTGATGAGGAAAAAGACAGCTTCCTCGATCTCAAGGTGAGGCCAGACATGGATTCCCAGTTTTGTTCCCAGCTCAATGGACCATGTCCCTCGACGGAGAGCCAAGGTGTCGACAATCCAAAGATAAAGAGTCGGCAGGGCAATGATCAGCCACGTCTTCGTCCACGGCAAAAGGAGAAGTAATTGATAGGAGAAGGTCCAGAGCATCAACATCACAGGTGCCGCCCAGGCAAGGATCAATCTCATATAAGTGCCTTCGGGATTGCCACCCCGCAACAAAATTGGCACCACAGAGGCTAGAGTGAGAATGATCTGACCTGCCCTTTTCCATGGCAGGAGGGCAGCACCGGATGTATCACGGGAATCTGCCTCGTTGCGGAGGTATGTTGCCGTGACGATGGACTTGCTGAGCAGGATTTGTAGACATGTCGTCTTCGTAAAATGGTCAGGATGGCAAAGAGCGAACCAATGGGAATAACTTACAATGTAGGTTTGAATCACAAAGAAAAAGAGCTCTTCTGCAGGGATATCCAGAAGCTTTGGACCTATTATGACATCTGCCGGGTATGCTGGATGAGGTCAGACCACTGACGAGCGAGAGACACTACATGAAACGTACTCCAAACCTTGGTTCTAATAAGATACGAATCCCTGGATTCTGGGTTAGATCGTTATAGGTTGAGTGTAGAAGTCTCCTGACATACCATGGAATGGTGTATGAAACTGCAACGACCTGCAGGAAGAGGATCTTGTAAACATCTCGCCGAGTGAACAAGGGACCCAGAATTATCGTCAGAACTATGGCTAATGGGATGGTGTAAATGAGGTGGCTGTTTTGAAGATCCCGGATGTCAGTAGCTATAGTCACCATGAACTCCGAAGGGTGATTGCGAAAGCGAACTTACACCAGCGCATAGTCGTACATGGCGCCGATATGACGAGAATACTCTGTCTCCCTTTGCGAAGCAACCTCGAGAGACTCATGAATCGAGAGACACAGGAGACATGGTAGGAGACATGGCCATTGATAAACGTAGCAAGCAGGTCCTCAAGGATCGTCGCTCATTGAAAGCCCACATAATATGCAAAAATCGAAAAAGAGGTGAAAGTGCTGAGCGAGATCTCGGAAGGAGTGGTCAATGAGCCAGCAAGTCCGCTAGGAACTAGGAGACGCAGAGCAACCAAATGAGTAGTTCCGAGAATGGGGTCTTTATTGTAAGGTCAGGAAAGAAACGGGACACCGGTACTCGTACCTATGTAACTGACAAGTGGCAGCTCGCAAGGTGGTGAATTGATAAGGTTCTGTTGGTTTGGCATGACGCGAAGAGTCTCGAGGCAAAGAAAGCCACACACCGTATCGAGTTAGAGCACCTCGGCAAGGCTAGGGCAAGGCTCTGAAGGCGGCTAAAAGCAGCGAGGCGCAGGGAAGTGCAGGCATGTGCAGGCATGTGTACTCCGTAAGTCGCTGCGTGACGTGCCGCTCAACGACAAGTGCTTGTATGTACTCACTCGTACTCGTACTCGTACAGTCTATCCGTGCATAGGTAGGTTACGGTGGTACTGCGTAGGCGTAGGCGTAGGCGGTACTGCGTAAGAATGCTAGCAACTCGTACTCCCTCCCGTACTCCGTACAATTGCCAGCACACATTGCGTCACGTAGTATCATGCACGAATTCATGCACGTCCAAACATGGCGTCCACAAATCTCGATTTCTACTCGTGGCATCATCGTCATTCTCCGCTTCGCCTGCAAACCGACTCTATCGAACCGAGGAAGCTTTTGCTTCCCTGAATTTCCTACTTGGTCAATTGATGAACTACATCATGTGGGCTCCTTGCCCATCCGTCCGCTAAGACCCTCACTAAACCTCACTACCGATCCTTCTTGACATGTGGGAGTATCTGTTTCGTCGATTTTCACTTCATTGATAACGAAAAGTGCGAATTGTGGAATGCCTGCGTCTTGTTGCACGTTGATCTTCCGCCCTTCCGCATCATTGCGACGACGTGTCTCTCTCAGCTTGGTTCAATCCCTCCTCACAACGGATCAGGTCAATGCTACCCCTCTTTCAATATGCAGGACTAGCCACATCCAAGTCACCACGACCAACAATCGGCACTTCTCAAGGCTTCTGGGAAAACCGTAGCGACTGACACGACCGGGTCGACGGGCAAGCAGACGGCCTCTCCTTCATCCAGCAACTTCAACTTCGCCTCGTCCGTCTCGATCCCCAATGTCTAAAGTTATTCTCGTTGGGACCTCGTGCCAAAGATCTTTCCAATGGCGGGCTCCGATGCTGCGAAGCACAAAAAGGCACAACCGCACCCCTATCTTAGCGGCAACTTTGCGCCGGTCCATCAGACTGTGCCGTTGACACCATGTACCTACACAGGCACAATACCAGAAGAGCTCGTGGGAGGGGAGTATGTTCGGAATGGAGGGAATCCCGTCTCGAACGAGGACCTCGGCCGGGATGCGCACTGGTTCGATGGAGATGGTATGCTGAGTGGAGTGACATTTACCAGAACGACCGATGGAGTCCAGCCTGAGTTCGTCAACCAGTATGTTTTGACAGACATCTTTTTGTCCACCATCGCGTCACGGCGCTTGCGTACCCCTCTTTTGCCCAGTATCGCTGCGCTGGTCAACCCGCTTTCGTCCCTGTACAAGGTCATTTTCCTGGTGTTTCGGACCGTCATCTTTGTGATCCTGTCGTGGTTGCCGGGCTCGACACAGGTCATCAAAAAGATCAGCGTCGCCAATACCGGCATCATTTTCCACGATGGCCGGGCTCTGGCCACCTGCGAATCAGGTCCGCCCATGCGAGTCAGCCTTCCAAGCTTGGAAACCATTGGCTGGTACAATGGTAAGAGAGCAGAAGGCGAGCCCGGAGGCGAAGAAGGCCCAGGCTTCGGAGGTGAAGGCATACTCGGCTTCATGAGGGAATGGACGACTGCGCACCCAAGGGTAGATCCCCGGACAGGAGAGCTGATACTCTTCCATTCAACCTTCGCGCCACCGTACGTCCATTACTCAATCATTCCTTCTACTCACAAACCCATCGTGTCGACAACACCATTGGAAAGGCCGACGAGGCTGCTAAATGCTCCCATCCCCGGGATAGCATCGGCCAAGATGATGCACGACTTTGGTGTTTCTTTCAACCACACCGTCATCATGGACCTACCGCTGTCTCTTGACCCCCTCAACCTGGCCAGGAACATGCCGGTAGTGGCCTATGACCCCATGTCAAAGTCTCGATTTGGGGTCTTTCCGAGAAATTCGCCAGAGCTTATTCGCTGGTTCGAGACCAAGGCTTGTTGCATATTCCACACCGCCAATACCTGGGACGATCAAGTCATTAACAAAGAGACTGGTCGAGTGGACACGATCAGCGTCAACATGCTGGTCTCTCGATTGACGTCGGCTTCGCTGGTTTTCTCGGCCGGTAATGTTGCCGCACCGCAGCCGACAACCCTCAACGGCACCGAAGAAGAGGAACAGTGTCGACCGTATTATTATCAATTTGGCATGGATGATTTCAGGTGCAACCGGATCAACCACCAATTTGCCTTGAGTGCCGTTCCCTTTGAGTTTCCGAGTGTCAATGAAGAATACGTCATGGGACGAGTCAGATACATTTATGGCTGTTCAACCTCCGAAGGCTCATTTGGCGCTGCTCTCGGCAGAGCAGTCAAAATCGACTGCCTGGTCAAAGTCGACGCGGAGACCTTGATCAGCCGAGGAAAGAAAGACCCGAGTCTTGTCTCGGTCACTGGATGCGTAGACATGAGGACAATTCCAGACATTATCAGCGCCGACAGGAGCAAAGAGGATCCGATCTCGGTGTTTCAACTGCCACCTGGATGGTACGCTCAGGAACCTCGCTTTGTGGCACGTCACAATGGTGAAGGCGAAGATGACGGGTGGTTGTTGACCTACGTCTTTGATGAATCCCAGTTGGATGAGGATGGCGAGTGTCGACCTGATGCCATCAGTGAACTGTGGATCATTGACGCAAGAGACATGACTACCATTGTTGCTCGGATTCAGTTGACCCAAAGGGTCACTTATGGTCTCCATGGCAGCTTCATCACTGAAGATCAGATCAAAACTCAAAGACCTATTGAAACGATTCGCGGCATCAAGGAACTGGATCACCTCAAATCGGAGGGTGGTCTCTGGTCAAGGGCCAGAAACCGACTCGAGGGATTCCTCGGATGATCTACCTACCTAGTTACACAAAGTCCAATAAATAACCCTAGACGACGACAGCCGTCTTCTTTTTTTCTGATGTGGTGGAGTGGCTTTTTGGGGCGGGTTTTGATTCGTTTTCCTCACAACAAGAAATTCAGTATTGATAAACGGAGAAACTGTATAGATTTAAGAATTATTCCCGCAATGCTAAGGAGGACCTATTTTGTGATTTTGTGAGTCGGTAAACAACAGCAAAGCGCTCAGGATGAGATGTATTTGGGTCATGTTTCGTTCATTTCTAGCAAGAGGTCTCGGCCAATATTCGTCCTTGCAATGTCCCTGTATTCTCTTTCGGTTCTGGCCGAATATGCGTTTGAGGGCCTCGAGGGTTGAAGGAGAGAGAAAAAAAATGAGAACTTTGTTCGTGGTGACAACGAAAAGTCGGTCAACCCTGGAGTAGATATCTACCTACATACCTAGTAAGTAGTATGGTACTTAATCTGTGCCCCCTTAAAGGCCCTGGAGGGTCAAAGATTATTATTACTGGAAAACAAACCAAAAGAAAAGCATCATTGGGATACATTTGGACAGCACAACACAGCCATATATAATAGTGTGAGATGTAAGGTGTGAGATTGAAGGAAAAAAAAAACCAAAGGGTGTAAGCTGCTGCGTCATTCACAGAGTAATCTCCAGGTAAATACTACCTCTGCTTACCTCCCAACCACCATTCGACACATGCTGGTAAAGAGCCTATCATGATGCGTTACCTAGGGTATCTATGCATGAATGCGCACGTCTCACACACTATCGCTCATCTGTTGTTTTTGCAGTGACAATGCTTTGCACATGCTGTGTGCCGTGCGTCGTGTTGTCGTGCGCCATGTACTGTACACGCCGTGATATGGCTTGTGTATCAAATATTAGTACAGACTCACGTATGTGGGGGAAAAAGATCCTCTCTCGCATAAGTTCCGGTCGTGTTGGTAACAACAGCATGACGACAATATCGTTGTCGTTGTGTTCGAGAATAGCAGTGACTTGGAAAAAGAAACTTGTTTTGGGAAGCTCACCTACCATTGGTACTTCGGTAAGGATTGGGAATTTGACCGCCTTGATACACACAAGAAAATTAAGAGGAGGTACTGTAGGGGGACCAGCCAGCCAGTCTGACTAGGGTAGTGTGTACGAGTACGACCCAAGTTCCACGTAGCTTAAGGCATCCAGAGGTACGGAGCAGTCAGGTTATCAATCAAGACCATTTCGAAATTTACTTACTCCGTACCTCAGACGAGACATTGGCATGAGAATAAGATCAGAATAGATGATCACAGATCCAAGAAAAAAACAAAACAAACACAGAACTAGTCTCGGTTCAACAGTCAAGTACCTAGGTAATCATCAATCCATTATACAACTCCGTACATGCTACCACGCAACCACCCTCATCAAACCTCCATGGCGAATTCATATTAAGGTATACTCCTCTTTGTTTTGGGTAAATTCTGTAAATGCCCATACACCATCACCATCAACCTTCATCAACTACCGTCTAAGGGAAGGGTCATACTCTGTACGAATACAAAAACACCGATAGACTGTGTGTGTTTCATTGTACAAACTCGAACCTCGTTCATTGAAAGTGTAGACTGTAGAAGATAAAATTTTCCCAAAACTCCAGCGTGATCCCTAGTCAGAACCCCAAACCGAGGATCGTAAAATGCAACAATGAAGAAATCAATCTTGAAAGTTTGGTTGAACTTATGACGACTTGGGGTGTAATCTTCCCTTCATCTTGAGTTTGTGTGAGTTGCCAATGCCGTTCCCATTGACATACTCTTCGGGAACCTTGGGCCACTTGTCAACACCATCGAGGAGGGCAACGGCCATACCGCCGGCCATGTGTGTTTGGACGTGGCAGTGAAACAGGAATGCGCCGGGGTTGACGACTTCGTAACGTAGAGCCATCCAGGTGTTGTTGGATTCGGATGGGGTGGTGGTGTACTATAAAAAAAAGAACTGTCAGCTTCCTCCACGAACAATAACGCAAGGGGGGAAAAGTTAAAACTCACCCCATCACGTAGAGGTGGGTTGACAAAGTTAAAGGTGTTTGCTGGCAGGACGGTAGCAGCCTCATCAACGGTGGTCCAGTTGAAAGGTCCAACGCCCTTGCCGAGAACGTAAGCCTTGTTGCTGTGTTTGTGCATCGGGTGAGGCTGGGCGAGAGGTCCTTGAGTCTTGATGATCAGATCAACCCATTGACCCATCTTGGTGGTGAGGACCAAGTCATCGGTAGGCAGCTTGGCTGGGTCTTGGTCGATGAGAGGAGTGGCATCTTCCATGCTGGCGTTGAATCCATCGACACCGCTGAGAGTCCACTGGTAGGCGCCGAATGGCTGGCCGAGCTTCTTGATGTTGAACTGGTAGGTGATGTCGGCCTTCTTGGCTGGTGGGTTTGGCGGGTACGGTGCGGCCTTGACGTCGTTGAATGGACGGAGCAGAGTGAGGTTGGCGCCGGCAAAGTTCATGGTGGACAGGGCGTTGGGGTCCTCGGTCGCGGGACCGTACGAGCCCTTGTAGTTGAGCACACCAAATCCACTGATGATCTGGTTGAGACCGTTGTTGGCGACACGGATCGCGTACTGCGCAGGAGCCTGGTTGAGCTGGACGAGCACCGAGTAACGGTCGCCGTTGTTGATCATGACCTGGTCGACGAGTTGGGGGACCACATAGCCTCCGTCAACAGCATACACCCACATCTTGTGGCCGTCAATGGTGAATTTGAGAAGCTCGAAGCCACCTGGGTTGATGAAGGTGAAGGCAGCCCATCCCTTGGCCGGGTCGACGTCGAAAGTGGCCATCTCGCCCGTTGATGGAGTGCACTCAAAGTACGCATCGGGTGGCAGGGTATCGATCTTGAAGCTGAAGTTTCCTTGGGTGGGAATCAAGTTGGGAGGCAAGCAGCCCTTGTTGGTCATTTCCGATGGGCTGACAGTGGCGAGCATGGGAAGAACCTTGGGGGAGGTGTAGGCAGTTATTTCGCCTCTGCTCAAGCAGTATTGCGAACCTTTGCCGTTGATGATGATGGCGTCAGCGCAAGAAATGTCGACATTGGCGGCCTCTTCTTGCTTGTGGAACTCGGCTGAAGTGTACTTGACATAGTCAGACACAAAGATGACTTCTTGAGACTTTTCAGCGGCGACCATGGCGGCGACGGCAGCTGTATCGTTGCTGATCAAGGAAAAGGGCTTTGGCGCGTTCTCGGCGGCTTTGATGATGATTGCTCCATAGAGTCCGTCCATCATCTGCGAGCGGTAATGGGCGTGATAGAAGTATACCCCTGAAGCGTCTGCCGTCCACTTGTAAAGGTACGAAGAACCAGGAGAAATAGGCTTTTGGCTGAGACCTGGGACACCATCCGACCATGGAGTTCCCTGCTGCACGATACCATGGAAGTGAACTGCCGTTGCATCTGGCATGTTGTTGTGAACCAGGAATTCCACCTCATCGCCAACGGTGGCCTCCAATGCTGGGCCGGGAAAGGTGCCATTGACGAGGATCATCTTCTTGGGTTTGCCCCCGATGGGCGAATAGTCCTCCCATGTTAGGTCTACCTCGAATTTCACCTTCTTGGCTCGTTTCTCTAGTGAGGATACCGAAGAGGACGAGGGGGCAGCATATGCAAAGATAGCGAATGACAGAAGCGAGAGTAGGACAATCAGCCTTGAAAAGGCCATTGTGAAAATAGTTGATTGTTTAAACGAAGGAAAAGAAAAAGCAAAACGAACAACGAGTGTGTTGTGATGCGTGCAAGGGAAGTAAAAAGAAGAATGCTATAGTACGAGTAACACAAGAGGAAAGATGTTGTGCATGTGCGAGGTTGGGGGAGGTATATTATCCTCAACGGCCAGGATCGACCATCAGCCCAAGCCGGCCATGCTGCAGCTCTCCAGATGAGACTTCGGCTCGTGACAGGACATCGGGGAATTACAGCGCCACGATTGAACTGGAAGCAGTGGCCTGGCTTGGTACTGAAAATTGCAGATTGAGAGTTCTTGTCCCTGTATTAGCGTCTTAGCTTGCGGATTGCTTCTGGGGCTGATGTTGCTGGGCATGGGTAACGCATGACACACAGACTTCTTGCAGTGAGAGATGCATGCCTTCGGCAACCTCGTGGCTCACCCATCCAATGGAGAGGCCGGTCTTGTGGAGGAACCTCTACCTCTTTCGGTCTGCCCGGCTGCAGGAACAGGAGCTCGAGGCTGGGTAGATCAACCCGCCGAGATAAATGGTACGAGATAGGCGGGAGGCTGGCAGCAAATCTCTCCATGATAAGGCTCAATATATTTTGAGATAATTGATAATGTACTTGTCACTTTGATGATGCAACGCCCACTATACCTGTCGAACTCGATATATCGATAATAATCTTACCTGAGCCCGAGCTCAGCAATAGCGAGGCTTTCTTTGTGACAGAAACTGTGTGTGGTGGCACGGGCGATGCCAAGTACAAGGCCCATGGTTGTCTGAGAAGCGACAGGGCCGGGTGGAGGTTGGGACTCTGATATCCGGATTTTCTCTCCAAGGCTAGCCAATCTGAGTACAGTCTTTCCGTCTCCCTCGGTGTCTAGCAGTCATGGCTTGCCAAGAGCAAATTCAAACAAAACGAAAAGTTGTTCTGTCGCTGAGAGTAGAGACAGCTTGGCCGATCCGCGAATAGTGACCGGTCTCTTGGTAGAGCCTTGGTAGGGTGGGATGACAGAGCCCATTGGTGTCAGGTGAGAGAAGGCGGCCTCCATAGGGAACGCCTACCAAGGCTTTCTCTGAATACCAAGCCCCAATCTTATTTAGGGGGTGTTTCTTGAAGCTGTTACAGTGTAGACTGAGCGCTTTGGATCATAAAGCAGGGCCATGTCGCTGGATAGCAATTTCAACTTCTTCGAGGTCCCTCTGGTCCTTGAAGTCTAGAAGCCATCTGGTCAGTGCTGTAGGGGTTGAGGCCGACTCGTCAACATTCGGGGAACAGGAACAGGAACACAAGATCGACTTTTTCGCGTGTCAGCACTTAGCAAAGGCGGCGGAGTCTTCGTCTGCGGGAAAGATTTTTCTCTCGTACTGTCCAGTCGGTGGTGGTTCCTCGTCGCTCAACGCCATTTCAATTCACTGTTATCACCTACAGTACTGTAGGTAGTCACGAGGTTGCAAAGGGAAGGTAAGGAAACATCAGTGGAACCATCGAGGATGTTTGCCGAGACGCCAAAGAGATGACTGCCGAGTCCCATGAGTCTGGGCATTGTTAGTGTGTTCGGGGCGCTGAGACCCTCCGGAGACCCTCCCCTATATTTGGGTCTTTGGGGCCTACTAGGCGCCATCGCCTTACCTAAGAAGCCCCCCATATGTGAATCTTACCGAATGCACCGCAAGCCCAAAACACCTTCCATAGCAGCCAAAAAACCACTCGCCAAGTGCTTTCCGTCGTTCTAGACAACGCCCGTTTATAGATTCGATTTTTCTTATCTTCTTCTTGGCCTCAGTAAGCCACAAACAACAAAAGTTGGGACTTTTCGGCCTTCCACGCCGTAAGCCTTCTCAGATTTCAACCATGACCATGTCGCCCAGGATCAAGGCTCCCGCAAGGCTTTTCTAGAAGATTGCGCAATATCGACCCATCGAGATCATAGCTAGCTACCATGCTTGATATGCTTGATACTATCTGATTATTGGACTTTACTTCACACCTGAGCCACCACCAGGTCAGAAGGGCATTATGTAAGTGACACGGCATATCTTCTATCAAAGGTATTCCATGCACAGTTGGGTAGGTGAGGCGTTCCCGCCGCATCGCACAGAATGAATGGAAAGTGGTTTAGGCTGAATCCCTTGGACCAACGAACATCCTCGTCTTCCCCATGTGACGCCCGAACAGTGACTGCAAGGGTGTTTGCCTGTTGGGCGCATCCCGCCTTCATCAGACCACAAAGAAACGATGAAGAGGATTTATTCTATATTTGTTTGACAAAGGGATCACATGCCTACATCGCTAAGCAAGTGATTCATAACGCAAGCATAACCACATTATCGATTGACAGTCTAGGTGTTTTATGTAAATCCATCAGATTTGGATTCTTGTCCTGCTTACTCCGTACTCCCGCATCCATCATCACAAAAGAGCGGGGTTTGGACAGTAATGTCATCATCATCGCCACCACCCTACACGGACTCGCGCGGTCGCGAAGACCAGCGGCTACCGCCCTACCGAGCGTCGCATGGCTTCGCCAACAGCCAAGAAGAACTAGCCGCGCTCAGAGACTTTGCTCAGTCCAAGCTATACGTTGATCCGGGCACGAATGGCATGCTCTCGGAGATTCGAGGCTTCGGCTTGAGGAGTCTCTCTGTCGGCGCGCAGCCCGCGTCGCAAGAGAGTGCTGTTGCTGGACTGACCCCGGAGACAGATGAAGAGAGGAAGCAACGCAAGGCCTCCGAGAAAGCGGCGAAAAAGACTGAGCACGAACGCAGAGGCAGTCTCACCGAAAGACTGGCCAGAGTCATCAGTGGTGTCAACAACGGCGGCGGCAGCAAAGACGGCGTTGGCTCGTCAAAGTGAAATTGTGCTTCAACGAACACATGAGCAAGCAATAATAACAAAACACCAACGACGGCTAGGCGGTCGCTTAACAAGCCTATGCGGCAGATGCATGACAGACAACTACCCGTTGTTCCAGCAAACCAAATCCAACACCAGCAGATTCTTCTTCTTGGATGGGCACAATATGACAGGTTATGACATTGATGGAATATCATTACGCATTCTCGGCGATGTAAGAATATGGACTCCCCCCAAGACGTCACTTGAGATGTATAGGGTTGGCAAAGTGGACTCGCTTTTTTATGATGTTGACGCTGGTGACGCCTTTTCTTATTTTTGTTTTTGTACGGTGATACAACAAGCCAGGGCCAGGACTTTGGGACACAATCAGTCTCGGGCAGCTGTACTTTTACGTCCAGACCCTTGGCCTGCCGTACCTACAGTTTTTTGAAGTCAAGACTCAGTACCTTGGTACAAGATATTTTTGCCAGCCACGCAATTTTGATAGTGACTATCACTCCCGTACTCCATCCTCTTTTTTTCAATTGACACGTTTTATTGACATTGGCACGGAGTACGGACTCCATAAGGATGAAATGAAAACAACAAAATTATTGGCAATGAATCTCATCAATCTTCACCTCGTAGTCGTATGCCATGTTCGGGGGGATGCGTCCTTTTCATCTCTCAATACGTGCCATGCAGCATGCGCTAACAACAATTCACTTCAACTCGACTTCGTCACCCTCTCCCACAATCTCGACCGTGCGTCCACCTTCGTCTAAGCTTCTCCGTCCGGCCTCGAGGATTGCCGTGGTGAGGATGGTGTTTCTCAACGTCGGCAACCCCCTCCTATCCAACTCGTCGAGGCCGACCCGGCCTTGATTCACGGCCGTGACGGCGTCGATGAACTTTTCGAAACTCACATAACCATATCCTCCCTGCCCGGCAAAATTCCCTTCCTCGTCCGGCGCGTACCGCATGTAAAACGGGTTGAACCATTTCAGGGAGCTACCGGAGTGGTCATTTTCGTCCACGACGTCGTACCCTCGTTTGGCCTGGTCGACTTTCACTTCGCCCTTGGACGCGATGTAGTGGAAGTGTTGCTGAGAGTGCACTCCCGCGTTCATCGGCGCCGTCCAGCTTGCCGTGTAGATGCCGGTGGCTCGCTTCCCGATGTCTCCGTCGCCGTGGCTCTCGGCCCCCTTGTTGACCCAGTCGACCAGCAAGGTGATTGTGTCCTCGGTGCCCTGGACGCACCCGACGGATTCTGAAATTCCGACGCTCGCGCTCGCTCGCACACTTGCCGGTCTCCAACCGGCGTCTCTCACCATCCACTCGCAAATGTCGACGTGGTGGGAGTTGAGGTAGTAAGAAATGTCCGACTCCCGGCCGGCCCAGGCCTTGAACGTCTCGAGCTGCGACTTGGGCTGGGACATGTAGCTGTAAAAGTAGTTGAAGTCGCCGAGGTCGCGGGCGCGGAACCGGGCGTCGGCGTACGCCGGGTCGAATCGTTTGTGGTGCTCGACGTACACGAACACGCCGTGTCTCCGGGACAGCGCCACGAGGTCGAGGTGGTGAGAGAGGAGTTTCGTGGCGGGCTTGGTGAGCATGACGTGGATCCCCCGTTCGATGGCGTACTTTGCGATCTCGTGGTGAGTCGAGTCCGGCGTGAAGATGGTCACGGCGGACCCCTTGGGGAGGGCGTCGATTGCGGTCTTGTACGCCTCCGGGTCCGATGTGTCGTCGGACGGGAACGACGAGAACGACACGTCCAGTCCGTTGTAGGCTCCCGAGATGTTCTTCTGGAGGTGTTGTCTGATGGCCGGGAATTTGCGACCCGACACGCCGGCCATCGATAACCCCGAAACCTTTCCTCGTCGACGAAGGTCGAACACTATATCGGGATGACGGAGGATTTTGTGTCAGTCTCTTTTTTGGACCGTCTTGAATTGGTTGGCATTTTTGGCCAGTTCAAAGGGTTTATACGACATTGGTATTGCTCATCTGACGTTGTAACCGTCTAGGAAGAGCAATTCCACGGTAATGGTGAGACTCACGTGTCAAGCCCACCACTCCCACTTTCTTATCTGATGTTGAGGCAGCCCCGGAGACGAAACCGGTAGTGTACTCCCCGGTACCTACCATCAATACCGCTGGAGGTGCCATCGTTGCAGCGTAAGACGATCTTGTCTTTTGGTGTTATTCTGCTTTCAAGTGTCTGGCGTACAACGCCCTTTTTCGACTCTTGCGTTGCTGTGGTTGATGCTTTGTATATATCGGTTATTGAATTTTCATCATGTTGTTCAAGTACGGAGTACGGCAAATGAATTATCCATCTGCGGCTATTTAAATGGCGGGGGAATGTTTCCGAAGTGTTTTAACCGCGATCCAACATCAGCATTTCCCTTGACCACCTATCTGAGAAATATTACTATAGGTACCAAGTGGTGAAAGCATGACAAGAAACAGATTCTGTTGCACGGTTCTCATAGAAGTCAACCTACGAGGACGATCAGCCGTTCTCCCATCATGGAGCCTTATGCTCAGAAATTGATGTACTTTAAGTATACTTCATGACTCAGCCCAGACTCATTCCCAGTGTTTCAATAAATAGCCCACATATCCATATCACTATGGCTGGGTAGAGAGAAAGAACATAATTCAAAGGTACCTTCGTAGCCTGACTAGACCTCAAGTAGTAGACTGTCCATAACAATTCCAACCAGTCGCTGGAGAGCGATACTGAGGCGACCAGTCAAATAGGAGGAGCATTTCCTGCATTAGGAATGGTCGTGCTGCTGAGATAATTGCGCTTCCGACCCCTGTCGGATCGAGCAGGTTGTTGCGATATTAGATCCTCGCGGAGTCACGGCAGCCCCGTGTCATCTTGTGAGATGCCATAGGGCAATAAGGCGTCATTTGCTAGAGGTGCTGACATCTCGTCGTACCTGTCACAGCCGAACATAGTCAAGGAGAGCATCTTACCTAACGGGCTAGGATAGCGGACCCTTCAAAGGAGAAGCCATTCAAACGTCGCCGTGGATTGGGTCTTGTGTACTTAAGGCTGAGCGAATTTACGAGATAGCTGACCTAACGGACTTTGATGGTGGTCGAAACTGTAAAGTATTTGAACACCGCATTCCCGAGAGGGCGCTTTCTCCGGTTCTGATGCTGTGACAAGGTTGCAGAAGCTCAGTCGGAACCGAATCTGTGTCCTTGAAATGCCGATCGGTAGACCTCGAATACCAGGAACTGAAGAAGAGAGGGCCGGAGCTCGTCGCGCCAAAGTTCGTGCTAATGTTCAAGCATTTAGAAGAAGACAAAGGGAAAAGAAACTTGCAAAAGACGCGGTCGTTCGCCAAACGAATGAGTTCGACTCAGACGTTGTCCTCGAGGCTGAAACAAACAGACAGCCAGAACCAGAGTCGCCAGTCACACTTCCCTTTGAGTCTGACCCAAGGGATGACGCTTTCGTGGTGTCCAAGGATGGAGAGCCTTGGTTATGGGCTATCCCATCCGAACTTGGTGCAAAATTGAATGGAACAACATACCAAGACGCATTGATCAAGGCCCTGCAAGACAGATATCTCCCTTCTCAGACGAATCTGCCGCGGATACAATACGAACCCAAGAAGAGATTCTCGATATGCTGTTCGACTTGGATAACTTCGACCACCTTGGATATGGGCAAGCCCGAGTGCAAAGTGTTGATGCAAGCCCTCCTAGCGGCTTCATTAGCAATCATTGGAAGAGAACGAAAAGATGAAGAGATGACTCTGCATGCAGCCTATGTGCAGACTGAGGCCCTGCAAAAACTGCGCTTCGCTTTGACCAAGTATTCCGAGGGAGACAGAAGCATATGCCCAACCATGCTTTCACTGACATCTCTGACCTGCGCAATGTCGGAACTCATCGCCAATCAGTCGTGGGACAACTTCAACCGCCATCTACTAGGTGTCGGTGCGCTGCTATTTCATGGTGGTCCCGAGGGCTTAAGTAGTGAATCCGCGCAGGAGCACTTTTATGGATATCGCGTTACGCAAGCACCTTTCTTATTCATGAACCGACAGCGAGCTTTCCTGTCCAATCCAGAATGGCTCGAGTTTCCTTGGAAGAAGGACCTCGAGCTTGCACAACGCCCTTTGCATACCATGCTTGACATTGCCTTTACGATCCTACCTGAGATTGTAAAGCAGGATATGCCAAAGAGATGGTCGCTGTCATGTCTTCAAGGACGCCTCGAACGAGCAAAAAGGGTGGCGCACGAATTGACTGAATGGGAAGACGACTTACGCTCACAACACAGAGGCGTCCTGTACAAACAAAGACCTGCAACATGGGGTGGTCTCGATGATTATTGCTTTGAATTTCCTTTGCTTTCTACCGGGGTAGCTTTCAGCATGTACACGGCCGTCCGAGTCCATGTGGCAGCTCTCATGGCCGCAGTTGTCAATGACATCCTCATTCGCGACCCAAACGCTGACGTGGAGCGTAAGCCGGCTGTGCTCGAAGCATTACGTTGGTCAAGACTGGCTTGTCAGTGCCTTGAGTTCTTCCACAAAGGCCAAGTCGAATTCGCCGGGCGTATCGTAACACTCTGGCCACTGGAAACTGCTTGGGAATTTTTCATGAGAAGTCAAGCCGATGGGGTCCTGAATGTCTCGAGGGAAGTGGCTTGGTGTCGAGGAATAGCGGAGAAGCTTTCAAACATGGGTATACCGCCGTTTCAGTGGAGGTGATTGTGGCGATGCTCGCAAGAAGTCGAAGATGCCGGCACTTTAGGCTATACGTGCCGAAGACTGGAGAATCACAAGAGTGAGTTCTGTTTCAACGATGATTTCGAGATGGGATGCGATAATCCTAAGCAATACGGATTGTCAACAATTTGGGACCGTGGAGATACCATATTACCAGTACTCGTAGTTAGTCTCAGCAAACCTCTACAAGACTTGATTCGACATGAGGAATCTCGCATAGTTTTTGGGACTAGATAGAAGTGGGTTTGCTCCATGCCAACTCAAGGACGGATTTGAGCATACTCTGCGGACGTACTCGTACTCGTACCCGTTCCCACTGTGAGTGGTCTAAATGATATTTCGCCAGGGAAGAGTGCCAAGCAGCGATCGCAGTAGCAGGTCGTGCACAGCCTCGAGGGAAACAGTACGAGTAGATGTCGAGAAGCGTACATTCTAGACTCGTCGATCAGCTTGCGATCCTTTTAAGGACTGAGGGTGAAAAAGCTTGAACGCCTGAACTCTCTAAAGTGAGAGCTGCGCCACAAGTTGTGGCGAATAATCACGTGAAATATGCCAATATGTGGCTTGTTCCTGACGCTTCCGACGCCTGATTTCCAGCATCAAATCAAACTGCCCAAATCTCCTCAATTAGTCGTTACTCCTACTCTGTGATACGCGTTTCCAACGCGCTTTCAGCTCGCAACATCTTTTCCTCTGACGATGGTGGCACAGGAAAACCCTTTGTGTTAGTGATGCTTATTGACCTACGGAGCAGCTTTGAAGTGCATCGTCTTCCCCGCCATTGTTGCTGTCAACGTGAATGACGCAGTCCAAGGCGAAGACAAGAAAGCCAAGGAACGACAGATTATCCGCCAAGCAGCCAATTCAGTATGAGAATGTCGTGATGCATCCTCGGTCAAGCTTGGGATACTGTGAATGAAGAGGAGAAGAAGAAAAAGAAATATACTTCTTCATGACTGGGCTGTACCAAAGACACTGTCGACCTCAACATGGAGCCTGAACCACGTGAGTACCGAGTAAGGATACCCGTGCTCGTACTCGTACGGAGATCTATGACGTGACTAAGCAAGGCGGGAAAAGGCATCGCCTCTTTTGTGCCCCGACAGACAATTCAGGGGCAGCTGTCCATTCACTACATGATTGTCTATCAATCCGATATCTACCAGCTTTGTGGATGGGTGAAAGCATGAAACAGCCGAATCACTCCACATGCCTGACCTCTGGATCGAGCAATCTGAGCGCCTGCTCAAACATGTAAAACTGAGGTGGGTGGGTTTGTGTAACTTGCCCAGGCTGCACCTACTTTGCACAGCCTCCTTTCACGTTCTGGGCACCAGCTCAACAACAACACGGGGCAATTCAGTTGCCAGCCATCAACTGCACCGCCCTTGTTGAGAACCCAAGATCATATCAAGGTTTGTACCCTCGCAAGGCGAACTCTCTATAATGTTTATACGCTCGATTGCCTTGCATCTCTTCTTCATCAAATCAATATGTCTCTGCGACTGTGATACACGCCTTGAATAAGGCTGAAAAAGAGGCCATGTCTGTTGCTTGATTCTACTAATTTCCGCAAATTATTTCAAGGCAGTCTCGTTCCTTCACCGGTAGTGCGAAATGGGTGGCCCAAATCCTCACGGCCCCCGGATTACCGTGGATACATCGGTATGAACACCCAGGTTATATTCGGATTCTTGTCTCTCGATGGCTAACTTGATGGTCATAGAACCTGTACGAACAAGGCTCAATATCAGCGCCGTTGAGTCACACGAGGAGTCCTAGTATGACGACGCCGCCTCAGACAGCTGTTGATGAGAACTCCTATTTATCTCCTACAACGCCAGATCGGAAGCACACTTTCGATGGATCAACACTCAACTCTCAGTCAAGCGATGCTGCATTCCGCTTCCGATCAAACTCGGGAATCTCTGCGGCATCCTCTGCCACAGTATATTCCAGAACCAGCCTCCAGTATGAAGCTGTGGATGATGCCCTCCGGCCTGATAAGGGCAATGAGAAGGACTTCGTCGTCCAGAACAACCCTTTCGCCTTCACCCCCGGCCAGTTGAATAAGCTCCTCAATCCCAAATCTCTTTCCGCTTTCAAGGCCCTCGGCGGTCTGCGAGGTCTGGAGAAAGGGCTGAGAACTAGCATCACAGCGGGCATATCAGTAGATGAGACCCGCCTGGACGGCCAAATCTCTTTCGACGAAGCAACAACAGCCGGTAAAGAGAAAGTATCATACGGTGATATACCACCGCCATCTGCACCGTTGAGGACTGAGACGCAAGGAGTCGGCACTTCCCAATTTGATGACCGGTTAAGAGTATTTGGAGACAATCGACTCCCAGAACGCAAACCAGATGGTATCCTAGTCCTAATTTGGAGGGCTTACAACGACAAGATCCTCATCCTTCTTACGATAGCTGCAGTCGTCTCGCTCGCGCTTGGTATTTATGAGACGGTCGCCGGAGATTCCGGTGTTGATTGGGTAGAGGGTGTTGCTATCTGTGTCGCCATCGTGATTGTTGTCACTGTGGGTGCAGCGAACGACTGGCAGAAGGAACGCCAGTTTGTGAAACTCAATAAAAGGGTAAGTTGAAAGTTTGTTCCCTTGTATTTGGCAACATATGCTAACATCCTCTACAGAAAGATGATCGAGAGGTCAAGATCATCAGATCGGGTAAATCGATCCAGATATCCGTCTATGATATCACGGTCGGTGACGTGCTGCATCTCGAGCCCGGAGATGCTGTGCCAGCGGATGGTATCTTCATTTCCGGTCATGGCGTCAAGTGCGACGAATCTTCTGCAACTGGTGAATCAGACCAGATGAAAAAGACCCCTGGCGATGAGGTCTGGCAAAGGATCCAAGAAGGTACAGCCACTGCGAAATTGGACCCTTTCATCATCAGCGGCTCCAAAGTGTTGGAGGGTGTGGGTACATACCTTGTCACGAGCGTCGGCACGAACAGCTCTTACGGTAAAATCCTGATGAGTCTACAAACCAAAAACGATCCCACGCCATTGCAAGTCAAACTGGGAAAGCTTGCAAATTGGATCGGTGGCCTGGGCTCATCGGCTGCTGGTCTCTTGTTTCTGGTCCTCCTTATCAAGTTCCTCACACACTTATCTTCCGACAGCCGCCCGGGCGCGGAGAAAGCCCAAGATTTTCTGGACATCCTCATTGTCGCAATCACCGTCATTGTTGTCGCTGTCCCTGAAGGTTTGCCTCTAGCTGTAACCTTGGCGCTCGCGTTCGCAACAACAAGAATGTTGAAAGAGAACAATCTTGTCCGAGTGCTCAGGGCATGCGAGACCATGGGAAATGCCACGACTATCTGCTCAGACAAAACAGGCACTCTCACCCAGAACAAAATGACCGTGGTTGCTGGCACAGTTGGAGCGGATACAAAATTCACTTCGTCGCCTACCGAGAAGTCCAAATCTGGAACAATGTCTTTTGCAGAAACGTTCAGCAAGCTGAGCGCCCAAATGAAGGAGTTGATCCGAATCTCGATTGCACTCAACAGTACAGCTTTCGAAGGCGAGGAGAAAGGAGTTCCGACTTTTATCGGCTCGAAAACCGAGGTGGCCATGCTCACCTTGGCCAAAGAGCAGCTCGGTCTTGAGAACCTGGCTACTGAGCGCTCAAATTTCAAGATCAAGCAGCTTATTCCGTTTGATTCCGCGAGGAAGTGTATGGGTATCGTCATCAAGTACCGTGGCAGCTATCGGCTTCTCGTGAAAGGTGCCGCAGAGATCATGCTGTCCAAAGCTACGCAAACCATCTCGAGTCTTTACGAATCTGAAGGGTCTTGCCAAGTAGTCGAGCTGACTACAGCAGAGAAGGAGGGCATTTCTGCTACAATTGACGAATACGCCCAACACTCTCTTCGCACGATTGGCATGTTGTATAAGGACTTTCCGCAATGGCCTCCCGCGGATGCGAAAACACTCGAAGAAGACCCAAAGATGGCAGATTTTGACGATGTCTTCCACGATATGACGTGGATTGGCGTGGTCGGTATCCACGACCCTTTGAGAGAAGGCGTTGTCGAAGCTGTTGCTCAGTGTCAGCACTCCGGTGTCGTGGTCCGTATGGTTACTGGAGACAACGTAACAACAGCTCGTGCAATCGCACTAGATTGCGGCATCCTTCATTCAGATGATCCCAACGCTGTTATGGAAGGTCCCAAATTTCGCCAGCTTTCCGACAAGGAAATGGACGCAGCCCTCCCAAAACTACGCGTCCTAGCTCGATCATCTCCAGAGGACAAGCGTATTCTGGTCAGTCGTCTCAAGCATCTCGGCGAAACGGTCGCCGTGACAGGCGACGGCACAAATGATGGGCCCGCGCTGAAGATGGCCGACGTCGGCTTCAGCATGGGTATCGCCGGCACTGAAGTTGCAAAAGAAGCTTCGTCCATCATCCTTCTGGACGACAATTTTTCGTCGACCATCACCGCGCTCATGTGGGGACGGGCTGTCAACGACGCGGTCAAGAAATTCCTCCAGTTTCAGATCACCGTCAACATTACCGCCGTGGTCTTGACTTTTGTGTCTGCCGTGTCCAACGACTCGAACCACTCGGTGCTCACCGCGGTCCAACTTCTCTGGGTGAATCTCATCATGGACACACTGGCTGCATTGGCCCTTGCGACGGATGCACCGACCAAGAAGATCCTCGACCGGCCTCCACAGCCCAAATCCGAGCCCTTGATCACCATCAACATGTGGAAGATGATCATCGGACAGGCGATATACCAACTCGTGGTCACCTTCATCTTGTACTTTGCCGGCATGTCGATCTTCAACTACGAGATGCACGAACGGGTCGAGCTCAACACCATCGTCTTCAACTCGTTCGTCTGGATGCAAATCTTCAACGAGATCAACAACCGTCGCCTCGACAACAAGTTCAACATCTTCGAGGGGATCCACCGCAACTTTTGGTTCATCGGCATCAACTGCATCATGGTCGGAGGTCAGATCATGATCATCTTCGTCGGCGGCCGTGCTTTCAGCATCACCCGTCTGAACGGTGTTCAATGGGCCATCTCCTTGCTCACCGCACTGCCGTGCTTGCTCTGGGGCGTCCTGGTCCGATGCTTCCCCGACGAGTGGTTCGCCGTCGTCTTCAACGGCGCCGTGCGCGCCATGACCTTCGTCCTCGTTCCTTTCTGGAAAGGTCTGCGCTTCATCTTTCACCCGATTGCGGAAATCTTTCGAGGAGTTTCACGCTTCTCGAGGCGAACCGCCAGGAGAGTGACAGGGAAGAAACCTTCGTCCGACGAAGAAGAAGAAGATCAATCGGCAATGACTGGTGACGCCCCGTTCGAGGGAGGATCCTCCGCTCGGGCCCAGGACGGTACGAGAAGAGTCGTGGACGAAGAGGCGGGTGTTTTTCCCGTACCGACAATCACCACCACCACCCCTGAACCTGTCAGTGCCGACCCAGAGACCGACCCGACGATCAGAGAAAACCCAGAGACGACGACGACAATAATGATACACCCCCTCTCCCTACATTCTCAGTGACCGGACCGAGCCGAGATTGAGGTTTGGGTGGGAGAAAAGACCGAGGGCCTTTTTCCACTTTTGCGTGGTGTGGTACGTCCGACGTCAGCGCGACCCGTGCCACGACACGACGACGCTCTGTTGTTTTTTCACGCGGTTCATGATGTGGATGTTTTGACTTTCTTGTCGATGTTTTTGAACTCGATTATTCCCTCTCCCGTGTGGGAGGTGACCGGCGCAGTTCTTTTTTTTGGGATGAATCATGGAAGAGGATGTCGAACGGCGGCGGTCTAAAAATGGCGACAACAACCTGTGGACGGAGCACGGAGTACGGAATACGAAGGGGGCGTTTCTTTGCCGTCGAATGGGATAGATATCCTTGAGGCTGTCGGCGTCTGTGTGGTACATTCTGTATCCCCATGTCATGTATGTACCGAGTAAGTGGTGGGAAATATCAAGAGGGTGCGTGTGGTGTGGACAAAAGTGTGCGATGTATTTCCAAGTCAAACAATGTCAAATGATAACAGAAGCACAACTCCCCCCAAAAAACACTGGAAGCAATAAGAGATTTGTCTTGGTTTGCGATCATGAAAATTTTTTCTGGATTCTAACGACGAACTTAGGACGATCAAAGGAAATAATTGACAAGAAAAATTTCCATCATCTCGTCTGCATTTCCCATTTCCCCGTAGTATCCATATTCCCTCTCCCAGCCAAAAGTTCACTCCGCTACACTCCCACAAACATACCACAACATCTCACGAGGATCTGATCTTCTGCTAGACAATGTCTCAGTCCAGGGTCTGACGACTCGTTCAAGATCCCATAAGAAAACATGATACGACATAGGAATTTGTGTATGTTCTCCATATATCGCCTGCAAAGGTTGACGTGCAATCAACCTTCAAGAGAGAGAAAAAAATAGGTCCCGAATACCCTTCTCAATGGCGAAGAAATATCTCGCCCACCATAAAACGCCGGTCCCGCTCATGACATAGTAAACAAAAGTTCTGACAGGTAGGATGATGATGATGATGATGACATAGATACAAGGTTGTGTGATGAGGGTGGTGGATTATATTATTAAATATAATGCTTGCTGTGACTTTCATTTTCTTTTTTGTAGGTCGTTTCGTGTCAAGTAATTAGTGCTTTCCAGGAGGACCGTTAGATGGACCGCCAGGGAAAGGAGGTGGAGGACCGCTTGGGATACCTCCTGGACCCATTCCAGGCCCTCCAGGACCACCAGGTCCCTTCATCGGACCCCCCGGAGGACCACCGGGAGCTCCAGGTCCTTTGCCTCCAGGACCGCCCTTTCCAGGAGGAGGACCTTTCATGGTGAGAGAGCTTCGCTTTCGGAGTTTCTCACCAAAGAGCCATAGCATAATAGGGATTGGAGTACCAATACCAATGGCAGCCAAAGCTAGGACGGTGTTACCCCAGCCATATTGAAGGGCCTTGTACATAGCAGGAGCAAACAGAGGGAAACCGAAACCAGCCAATGATCGAAGAATGGTGACTGCAGCTACGGCCGACGCTGCCAGCGGACCGTACGAGTCGACGAGATACGTGGTGACACACTGGAAAGCAGCGATCGTACCAATACCGAAGAGAAAGGCGCCAATATTAGGGACAATCCAGTGAGTGACATTTTGAGCTGACCACCCGTATACAAGGAGGCCAGTAGGTACGAAGAGTGAAAAGGGGATGACAAGCGGCATTCGATATTCGGGCTTTCCCTTACCGCGAGGGTCTTTGGCCTTGAGTTTCTGGTAGATCTTGTCGCCTGACTTGCCGCACACAGGGGCACCGATAAAGAAACCAAGACCCAGGGACAGATAGTTGAGACCAGAGATGCCGACACTTTCATGGTACACGTTGAGGAAAAGCTCAAAATAGGTCGACAGCGCCAGGTAAAGGATACCATAGGAGAATGCCATGTAGAGTGCCAGGACTTGAACGATAGGCTGGGTGAACAGCATGCCAAAAGATCGACCCATGGTCTTGGCAATCTTCTTCCAGATGGGCTGGTCAACCTCGCCTTCGCCGTCGGCGCGATATTTGTTGTCGCCGGTTCGTGTGCGGATTAGTTTGGCCTTCTTGTGGAGGATATAGGGCGCGTAGGTTTCTCTGAGTTTCCAGAACCCGCCGACGAGAATGAACAGGTTGACAATGGAGCTTGCATAGAACATCCATCTCCAGGTTGACTTCTCAGCGACCCAAGCACCAACGACAGGGCCGATAGCAGGGCCGAGCAGGGGGCCCATGGCGTAAATACCCATGGCCTTTCCACGCTCTTCAGGCTTGAAGAGATCGCCCAGCACGCCACCACCAATGGCCAGAGGAGCAGAGCCACCAAGACCAGACAAGAAACGGAATGCCATTAATTGTTCTTTCGTCTGGGCAAATCCACAGGCGGTGTTGAACGCCAAGAATATAATGTTGGAAGACTGTAGAATGATAACGCGCCCGTAAAGTTCGGACAGAGGACCCAAGAACATTGGACCGATAGCATATGCCAAGACGAAGATGGAGAGAACGATCTGCTGTTCGATCGTGTTGGTGATGCCAAAGTCCTTCGCGATCTGTGGGATAGCAGGGGCAACCATGGACGAAGCCAAGGGGGAGAGGAAGGTGAAGGATGCGGTAAGGCCAGTCACAGCCCACTTCTTCTTCGATGGCCAATTCTTCGGATTGAGAGGATCATTAGGACCTTCGAACTGAACCTGTAATGAGTTATTAGACGAGATCTTCTGTTGCGGAACACTCAAACATACCTTGTACGGGTTATCACCGCCAGGTGGACCTCCTGGGCCTCCAGGGCCACCAGGCCCTTTCTCCTTGGGCAGGAACGGAGTCGGTGTTGGGGGAGCATTTTGTGACTCGAGGTCAAACTTGCTCGGGTCCTTTCTGTCCGACATCCCCAGACCGTGGCCATGGCCATGGTCTTCGTCACAAGTGCACCAAGACTCGTGGGAATGTTTGCTCTGAGCACGGTCCATTGGTGGAGTCATTTGTTGCGAAAGGGGTCGCTTCTCGTCGCGACCATAACCATTGTGTAGTGCATTCATTGCGAGCGTCTCTTCAGATTGAGTGGGATAACGCGGTACGGACTGGTCATAAAAGGAGTCATTACTGTTGAGGTAGCCTTCTGCGAGTAACCTCTGGTTGGCGACGAAGTCGGGATTTCGATCGAGGTAATTGTCGTCACTGACCAGCCTCGAGTCGCGGGTGCGGAAAGAAGGAGCATATGAGTTCATGGAATCGCGTCCGTTTCGAGCGGTCTGCATGGATCCCTCCTCGTCATAGTGGCCGACATGATAGTCGGGGCCATCGTCGTACAGCACAGCGAAGGTAATCTCACTGCTGGCGCGGTCGGAGCCAGGTGAGGGTTCAGCAGGTAGGGACCGATGTCGGTAGGGTTCCGTCGAGTTGAGACGTCTTAGCGAAGGGAATCTCGAATTCATCGCGGGTTGAGACAAGGGACGGAGGGTGTTGCCACTGTTGCTGCGCGTGTCGTCGTCCATGGCGGCGGCGGCGTTGTCGTTCCCGGGGTAGGCGGCCAAGGTGGTCGGTCGAGGATGGTGGCTGTAGGGGTGAGGAGGTTGTTGGTGTTGATGGGCTTGAAAGGAAGGGGGACGTGAGCCAGAGTCGTAGCCCTGGGCGACTTCCCAGCTGTCCCAACTACTTGGAGCCGCCAGTTTTGGTAGGATGCAAGGTGAACGAGCGTGATGTGGCTGGAATCAAAAACGTCTGGTTGGGGGGTGTGAGGGAGAAATATTACAACCAAAGAACCGAGAGGGCGGAAGAGGAAGAGAGGCGTGTTTTGGGTGAGCGAGTGTATGGGTCAGAGGTTTTTTCTGGGAAGAGGCAGAAGTAGTAGGAGGAGGAAGAGAGACAAGAAAAGGATCCGCAAGATGAGCGAGATGACGAAGAATGGAGAGTGTGAGAGGAGAGAAGAGTAGGAGGAGAAGGAAGGGAAAGCAGACACGGGCTGAGGAGCTGGCCTGTTGGCGTTGCTGGCCTGCTGCGGGCCCTGGGATCAGAGGTTAGAACAGATGCGGATTAGGAACAGCCTTGGGAATCACTGGGCTTTTCAGGCCCGAGTTTTAGAGAGGGAGGCATTGCCCTTGGGCTGTTGAGGCCCCCCCGAATTTGGTTCCATGGGCCTGCGCCGCTCGGTGACTCGGGATCACGATGATGAGACGGACGATTTGCCCAGGGACCATGCAATAATGCTACAGTATGCTTTGACAGACGAGTCTATGTGCAATAGACTCGTACCATGACACCCTCTACAGACAAAATACGAGGTAGAATAAACAGGCCAGAGCATCAGAGCGCCAAAGCCTATTCAGTACCTAGCTCGTAATGAGTACCTAGACACCTAGAAATAACCCATGCAAACAAATACCCTGGAGGCCCTGGAGGCGTTTTTCCAGCCTCGTGAATGGGTGACTCGGGGCTCTAGCTGCCTGAACCATTTGCAAAACTCGCATATCATCACCAATAATACTGTACCTCTGTACGGAACAGATACAACGATAAGAGGGACCATGCACAACCACCTCACCTTTAGCATTTCATGCCCCCCCCGGAGAGAGAAGCTCCTCTGTCTGATCGCTTTTCGACATCATCATACTCCGTACCACGCACACACACAGTCCGTTGAGTTGTCGCATCTCACGTAAACCCCGCTGGATGCCGACACCGACATCGATCATCGCTACCCCCTACGGAGTAACAAGTAATCCTCTGTAACTACAGGAAGACGGAGTAACGGCATCAGCCTTGTTTGGATCTTCTTCTTTGCCGCCTGAAAACACGCCCCCAAGTCACAGACAGAAACCACGGAGTATGAGATTTCGTATTCGGGAGGGGGCCAGGTGGGGAGGGATCAGAGCATGTCGACAAGCCTTAGCGGGGAATTTACCAGGAACAGGGCTTCACCAGTACCGACCATTGGCCATTATCGAGGTCCATGATCGGAGTTCAGGCCTCCTCGAGCCTCCACTGTTGCTAATTATGCCGTCCGTAGCGTGTCTCGCTAGGGCGGGGCCTGCGCCGCAATCTCATCTCCCTCCCCCCTGTTTGTTTCTTTTTGCTGCTCCTCCACGGCCTTTGTCGACCGACCTCCGGCCTAGTGCGCCTCGTTGCCTAGAAGGGGGTTTGGATTGAGATGGAGTCGACCAATCTGATCCCTAGACATGCCCGTCATTGTTTTGTATGCCCGCTTATGATGATGATATGAGCAACACTACTCGTACACACGCAGAGCTCGAGCTTCATACGAGTACTTGGTACGATATCCCCAGACTCGGCCCTCTTCGCTTGAAACCGGGGAGGTCCAAGTTCCTCTTTGAAAAAGAAAAAAAAAAGCCAACAACAAACAAATCCCTCTATGCAAAAATTGTAGCTGCTTTTTTGACTCAGTACCGTACAGTACTGTACTCCGTCCGTAGAGGGATTTCACTTTGCATAAGCCAATTTGAGCCGCATCACTCCTTCGACGGCTCCTTTTTCCCACCTCGCAATCTCAAGTTGCAGGCTTGGCGACTCCCCTGATCATCTTTTTCCTTTCCCCCCAATCACCCCCCTACTGTAAGCATTCACCACTGATTCAGCCTTAGGGAGGGGGAAGAGAGATTGTCCACCGCTTCCTTTCGCTTAAACTGTGGTCTTTTTCCTTCCTGCCATGGCTAACCGACCGCCTGAGCGAAATTGTTGCAGAACATCCATACGGAGCATAGGTTCCTCGCCTATCTTTTTTCGTGCACGGGGTTTTTTTTTCAAGACGTGGGCTTTATCTACCAGCACGAGTACTCCGTACTCCTGTTCAGTAGCTTGAACATCTGCAACTGGTCTTTCGGTAGTTCATTGTTGCCGAATGCTCTCGCCGCTTAGCCTACTCGTAGAATTCGATATTCGTAATCAGCAGCTTATTCGAGTTATGCCTTTTGTTTATAGCTGTGACACCTCCAACAAAGTATCTACTCGATGGCCTCATTCTGCGTCTCTTACCGAGGTTTGTTTGCTTTCCTGTGAATATAAGACGTTGGGGAGCCGTCAAGTGATTTTACTCAAGTGGACTGTGCTGGCCCAAGACAACAGCCCACGCGAAGCAGCATGGACCCGGGTTTCGAACCGGCAATATTTTGCCGCGTGTGTGATGGGGGTGATAACCAAATGTGTCTTGATCCGTACCATATGGCCAAGGGGTGACGACTTATCATTATGATCACTTATCAACTATCATTTAGCTTGTGATAGCTTGGTCAAACAGTCCCCGCTACGAGAAAAGAAAAACGTGGAAACACTTCCCTGAAATGATAAAGCCCATCATCGGGCGGGGAAATCTGCCTCGCTGGCTTGGCCCAAGCATTTCCGGCGTCCGAAATACTCGAAGTCGTAGTCGTCTTGGGATCGTATCAGATGCGACTATTGTACTCCGTACTACCTTCCCGTGTCCCCTCCCCTCCTGTACGGAGTCAAGACGAGGCGATTTTCACCACGAGGCAAAGCGAACCTGACCACCCACACCGTGGTACATACGGATATGGCAGCTCGTATTTCGAAATCGGTCAGGTGAAGCTCCGTTCCGTGCGAGAATGGAAAAAAAAAATACTACCTCCGGCAAGTTTCGGTTGTACGACACAAAATGATTTGATGGGATGCAACAGCATCACCAACGACACGGACTGGAATGCCGGATTTGGTGACACAGTGGTGAGCGAGATGATACTGTCTACTCATGCTCGTGACGACCGACCCTTGGACTCTTCACTGTTTGTGGCATAGAATGCGACTTGCCAAGCTGGAGCTAACCCTTGGACTCCGGTCTCTATAAAAAGAACAAAAGAAGCTTCCCCACCGACGGCTCGATAAGAAACGCCGCTTCCCCGACATCTACAGCAGGAGACGTCGAAGGGAGGCTTGATGATGCTTTTCTCCTGTGAGTCTGACATGCGCCCTGCCAACGCATGGACTGGGGTTCTCCGCCGACCGACGTGCGGCTGAATCGACAGAAGCAGACTATTCGGTACTCCGTTCGAGCTGGCCTGATCGTCGAAGGAAGCATCGTAGTGGCTTTCTTGGAACTGTGTGGCCTGAGATGACCAAGGTTTCCCCAGGCAAACAAGCACAGTATGATCCGTAGGGCTGTGACCCCAGACCGTTGATGACTGCGCATTTACAGTCCACCCGGTGGCCCGCCTTGACGGACATACAATCCTCACCGGAGTATGGTTTAACTGTATGAAGCTGCAGCCGATGCCCTCATCCACCGCCAGGCCTAAACACTTGTGCCCTGGCTTTCGGGTTATCAACATCATTGCCAGTGTGGTGCCTCAGACAGCAATGGAGCCTGACTAAGTGCATACATGTCTCATCATCGCATGCGTTCATGTACCTAGAGGAAGTCCCCGACTTGTCGGCTGGATGCATGGTGACGTTACCATCCGTCCGAAGCTCACAGAATGCATGACCGCCATATAGCAATTCTAGCTTGCTTATTGGCTCGAACATTGCGTCGTTCTCTAACGGTCCGGGAGAGGTTCAAACACAGCGCTGCAAAGGAACCTTTTTGGCAAGCATGAGAACTTCAGCTGGCACAGAAGGAGCCGGCGTCTGCAATGATGGTGAGAAGCTTGGATGGAATTCATCTCATCGCAAGTCCCCCTTTAGGCGTGCACACACAAAGGTCAAGGCCACTTTAATCGCTCAGGCTTCCACATTCGACCACGATGACCATCCTCAGTTGGCCACATCCTCAGCTCGCATTCACAGACACCCGTTATCCGCACCTCCATCGCCTTTTGCAGACCCTTGCCGTTTTCCTTCAAGTCAAAGAGCAAATATTGATAGTGGCTGCATTAGCGTCTTAGTCAAACCTGTATGTATTGTTCTGTATCCTCCAAGCATGTGAATGAATGACTTTTAACCACTTTGGGGGTGGTGCATCAATATTGGCCACTATTGATGGCTTGCAGATGTCGCTGGTTCTGGGGAAGCTCGTGATCACCATCCCCAGCCATCCGTAATTTTTGAACACGGACACCCGCTGGCTTCGCTCAGACCACCATGTCGTACCCTGACAGTGGCCCTTTCTTGTTGCCATGCTTTGTTTGAGGTGTGGGAGTTCACCTAGTAGTCGATCCACTTGAATGTACGAGCGCTCTCGCTTGTAGGGTCGGCAATGGTTTTTTGTCAGATTTTACTTGTTCCAACAACAGACCAAACAAACACCACCTGCAAACAATGTATGTCGCAACTGCGTCGGTATAGTACAGTACATGTCGACCAAATTGTTGAATCGTCAACGTAAATTTCTCGTTATCATGAAAAGCTTACCAGTTGAGCATGCATTCGGCGTTGAGGTTGCTCTTTTGTTGTTTGCCTTTGTTTATCCTGCTTCAACGCCAACCACAGATATACAATGCATCTTTCATCGCAAGTATTATTCTTGACCAGGCTTCGCGATGGATCTCGTAGCAAAGCACGATTCCACGAACATAGAGTATACCTGAACCTTCTTCACGGTCTGGAACTCGGTCTGGACTCGATCTAATTTCTCCTTCTCACCTCTAGACGTTGTATACAAGCTCAAGGTTTCGTTATGACATTTCCTTGTGCATCTCTGTCTTTGTTCGCTCTCCACACTCCTTCTTCGACTTCGCCGGTATCTGCAAACCATTCTCGTTTCCATATTTCGGCCCTGGCCTTTACTCTTTCCAGGATTTCCTCGGCCCCTCGCCAACCACTTGCTCGATGTCCACTGCTGACCGAGACTGCGATACTCTCCTCTTCGATCTTGACCTCGCCTAACCTGTGCACGATGGCGATCTTCTCCAGGCCGTGCTTCTTCTGCACATCTTCCGCAATGGCGAAGAGACTCTTGATGGCGAGGGAAGGGTAGGCCGAGTAGGACAAGCGTGACACCGGCCGGGAGTCGAAGTTGTTGCGAGTCGTGCCGAGGAAGAGGACGTTGGCGCCGGCGGTCGGAGAACGAGTGAAGCGCAGGCAGGACTGTGAGTCTATAGGATCGTACACGAGGCAGATGTAGATTGAATCCGAAGATTTGGTCTGGGGAAAGTTGGCAGGATCGAGGACCGAGGAAGAAGCATTTGAATGTGTGATGGATGCCGCACCGTCCTCTGCTGTGGTAGACATTTTCGAGGCGTGTCGAGCTCGCTCCTGTGAAGTATACGAGGATTCTCGCGACGCTCTGGCAACTATCTTGCACCAGAACTCATACCGTGGACCGGATGTTGATGCATCACCCTCTTGTCTGAAGACAAGACTCGGTTTCAGCACACTTGAAATTTTTGCCGGTCAAACGTTCTGGCACATCGCTCAGAGGCAATATCGCTCGTACGAGCTATCGCAAAGGCGCCATACTCCGTACTCGCCCCTCGTACGTCATTTTTCATAGACTCCCACAAAACCCACGCTCAGAAGCCATTATCAAAACATTGTGTCCATACGAGTACGCGTATCAGTTTGGCGTCGCAAATATCTCTGACAAGCATAAAACACATGTTGTCGATGATGCTAGTTCTCCTCGCAACAGTCTTTGTTTCTTGTAGGGCCTTTGGCAAAGTAATGGGGTTCTAGTTCGCTACCCAGGCCTTCCATATCCACTGTTGTCCACCGGCTGGTAGGAATAAATCCAAATTCGCACAAAATCATGTCTTCCTCGCCGTTTCAATGGAGCCACGTTCGTGCTCACCGCCTCACTTTTCCTTCGACGTCTTTCCACTCACCCCGGGCATGACGCAGTAATTGTGTGCTTAATGTTTCCCCTGCATGCCCATCGCTCTTCTTCGGGCAAGAGACCTTCCCTTCTCAGGTTTTCGTCAGCCAGCGCTGGAATTGAAGTGGCTGGGAAGCATTCGCATTGGCTGCTGTCCATATGCAAGATGAGAGACGGCGTGATCTTGGAAATGCCAGGGCCGAGATTGAGGCTCAAGGCGCAAAAGATGATCCTTTCAATTGGTACTCCATATATTTCCACACATCTTGTTTGCCATCATCCGACATATTTTATATTACATATAGGTGAGAAGTGGAGTTTTACATCGCAAAGTGCACCGTCGCAATGCTTATGTATGTACAGTAAATCCAATGCAAACGGTGGCCTCTCTTTCCAACTTTCCTCATAACGACGTCCACAAGTCTGTGCTGGATGAGACATCAGTAGCCGTCAATAGAAGTGGTGTGGTGGATTTATTTCGCCGCAGTCGTCGAGTCCTTGGTTTTGGCGGTAAGATAAGGTAGAGGCGTCGTATCAAGCGGCTTGCCCTCCCTTTGCCAGTCTCTCACATGTTGCAGAAGAATCGCAGCAGCACTCTCTGCCGTGTCTTGTCTTCCAATGCACTCCACAAAGTCGCCTTCCGGATCCATCACGTAAAAGTATATGCTGTGGTCAACCAGATAGTCTTCCTCACCGGGTTCCAAGTTCGGTGGTGTCGAGAAGTACACTCTGTACTGCTTACACACATCCTTTGTTTGTTGCCATGTTCCGCACAACCCCTCTATCGAAGGATGAAACTCGGCAAGGTATTTGCGGAGGACCTCAGGAGTGTCTCTGTTGGGATCACAGGAGATGAAGATTGATCTCATGACGTTCGGTGCCTTTTCCTGGATGATATCGATGGCCTCCCCCAACTTGTCGAGTTCATCTGGGCAGATGTCCGGGCAATGGCTGAATCCAAAGTATATCTTTCATCGTCAGCGCAATCCCTCGTGTGTTCTGAGTAATGAGCATACCATCGAATATTTCCCCAATAGATCTTTCTCGGTGAATTCATTGCCGTCCAGGTCTTTCAGCGTAAACGGTCCCCCGACTTTAGGTTTGCCGTAGCCTTTGCTCATCTCCGTGAGTCGTTTTCGCTCGAGTCTGGCTTTCTCGTATTGAAAGTAGAACACCATCGCCGCACCGACGCCGACGAAGAGGGCCGCTGATCTGAATGAGAATGGCTACGTCGAAAGTTAGAGAGAACGGAATGTCACATACCGCGAACGATCATACGTACACCTGTGCGATGGTACATCTTATCCCCGGCACCGAATCTTGCGCCCGATGATGAAAAATGCCGTAATTGCATGCATTGCGATGATAGAGGCTGCCGCCGAAATGACTGCGATTTTGGTGGTCTGATGGACGAGGTTGTCGCATAGGTCTGCGATGCCTTCGAGATCGTCCTCTCTGGCTGGGTAATAAGGCGCCGTGCGGCTTGCTGGAGACGAGACATCTGCACAGGCATCTTGTCGGTCTCGTTGCAACGGGGTTCAGCACCTGGTAATGATAGATGATAAATTTATTGGAGAGCTTGAGCATTTGTAACCAGCGTCGCTGCGGAGGCTTGTCTGCGGAGATGACATGACATTGGGTTACATAAGCACAAGCCCAGCACCGTTACTGTATGAATGGCAATATCTCAACTGCAATTAACATGTTCTTCTGCCTTACTCCGATGGTTCGACTATTTCATGTCGAAAGTGATGTTATGCACACCCCAGCTGACTACTGTAACTGCTCACACGACATGAAATGGGCCCAGGCTTCGTTACTTTGCTGCTTGCTCCCTTGGATGGCCACCTCGTTGCATGATGGGCGAGTTTGCCATCCTGTCCCAATCATGGAGCATTTCAGTATTCTCCTTGGACAGACGAACTTCTTCACCTGCGCGATCCACCAATTCAGCCTGATATGCCTCGGCGGCTTCTTCGAAGCTGGTTTTTCCCTCCAGCGCATCTTTGTACTTGAGAACTAGACTTCGTGCGTCGGCGATACCATGGTTCAAACCCTGGCCCCTCTGAAACGTCATCGGATGGGCTGCGTCGCCTGCAAGAAGAAATCTCCCTCTTCGGGTGTCCCAAGGTCGAGGGATCCAGTAGGACAAGTTATTGGAGTAGATCTTTGTCCCTTCAGGAATCCAAAGATTCGCCGAACGAAATGGTTCACCCATGGTCTCAGCCTTCGCTTTCAGGTTAGCTAGTGAATCGACTTCTTCCCCTTCTTTCTGGTGCCACGTTGTCTGTAGCTGGAACACCCACGTGGCTGGGTCGTTAGGATCCGGGACCTCTTGGACTTTTCACTGTGGTTAGTGATCGAAATGGAGGATAGGAAAAGGACTTACTTGAGATCCACAGCCAATATCCATTTGGGTGCATGCCCATGGTCATGATAGGATGACCCTGGCGAACAAATTTGGCTTTCTCGGCATCATTGTAACAAACATGTAAGTTGACGGCGGAATAGGGAACGCTGCAGGCCTGGCCTTCCTCCCCAAACTTAGACTCCCTGACTTTCGACTTGACACCATCAGCTCCGATCAGCATGTTACCCGTTGCCTTGGTCCCATCCTGGAAAACAGCTGTTACAGTGGATTCGTCGTCATCATACGCGATATCGGTGAGCATTTTGCCGTACTTCAATTGGGAGTTCGAGATCAGCTCGGTGCTCAAGCCACAAGCCAGAAGGAAAGCTTGTTAGGTGCACTTACCTGAATGTCGATGTCTTCCGAGCACAACTTCCTGAAGCGCCGACGAGAGACACGGTACATGCGCAGGAGTGGAATGTTCTTCATTAACTCACCCGTCTGGCCATTGTAGGTCGGCAGAACACCAGGATCTGGAGGCTCGAAGTTGGGATCCACAGCAGCGGTGTAGATACGATCAAAGAGTTCTTTGGGAAGGCAATCAGCGAGCATGGGTAGGCCCCATTGTACCGACATTCCCCATTCTCGTGGCCGATAGGTGGTTGCAGAAGGTTCGGATTCATAGATAGCGTAAGATATTCCTTCCTACTCCAGGTGGTAGAGTTCAGTATTCCGTGGCCTGCCTCACTTGCTAGACAGCACAAGGCATGGTCTACCTTTTTCAAGCCTTGGGCTATGAGTAGGCCGACGACGCCTATGTTGAAGACAGTGTGAGCTCTTGTTGAAGTCATGGGAAGCCGTTACGAGTGCATTTGATAGACTACTAAAGATGACAACCATACCTGAGCCTATGATGAGAATATGGAAGGGATCCTTTTTCTCCGCCATCGTTCAGCTGCGGCTTTGATGAGAGACGGTAAAGTGAGGGCGACGACAATGACCAGATTGCGATGATTTGTGCACAGAGGGGGCCGAAGACGATGGGAAACTCAGGTAGCTAGGTAGATGAGTCCGATGCGAGGACCGAGTTGCATGACCTAGTGAGGGATTGGAGGGGGGACCATGCAGGGTTAGTAGACTCTAGTCTTCCGTGCATACATGATGGGAGATTCTTGCGAGCATTTTGAAAAGACAGCGAAAAAGTGGTGACTTGTGACGGCAGAAACATGAATCTCCTTGACTCGAGACCAGGTCGATTGTTCGTGAAAAGAGTGAAATGCAGTCGGCAGTATGGTGAATTGCAACCTAACGTGCGAGGGGGGATGGCCGATCTGAAATGTCTTTGCACTGAGGCTGGTGCGCCTCATTGGATATACGTAAAGGGTTCATGACACGCCACTGGACTAGCACTGATTGATGTGTCCTTTTGGAGAATGGTGAGCAAGTCGATGAAACATGCTGCAGACGAATGCAGAGCGTAGGTTGCACCTATAGAATTGAGAGGAAATTCGGAAGTATGGAGCACGAGGACTCCATATACTACACGATCCTGTACCGTAGATTGTCAAGTGCCGGGGCGGACCATTTCGGGAGTCACCGCTACATAAACGACGATCACGGTAGAGGGTAAGTAAGCACAGGTCATGCACTGCACCTCGTATTCCACCCCAGGTTCGCCCGCCCTTGTCCTACACGAGGGCAATGAACTCCGCCCCCGTTGTCAGCAAATATCATACCGCAAGTTCAAGACCGCTAGGCCCACCGGAGACTGAGTCCATTCTCCATGCTGGAATATGGCATCTCAGGCACCGATTTCTGATGCGGCGGTCGAAGCACAAGCTGACGACAATCCGCAGCCTGGACTACCCACGGATGCGGATGGAAATCAATACATCGAGGTTGACGTAGGCCGAAGTTTCATGGACTCTTCTCAGAGGATGTTGACACACAATTGCTGATGATTCCTTTTGCACGACAATAGGGTCCTGATGATCTGGACGCCGACTCTGCCTATGGATCCTCAATGTAGATGGAAATAAACCTCCGATTGCGGGATACGGAGATCATTGACAGAGCACAGACAGAGTGATCTCACCTCCCTGGCCTCTGATATCACTCGCGGTATCTGGGAACACGGCCGCCGGTACCATTCATATGGCAGATCACGTAAGTGTATTGCCTTTGTCCGGGGACGCGAAAAAACAAGTCTGAAGACATAAATCTTGCAGAGTATGCATTTCCGAACGACGAGGCCGAAGTCGAGAGGCTTGACATGCAACATGCCATGCACACCCATCTGCTGGGAGACCGACTGTTCTGGGCGCCTATCGACCCTGAAGCCGCCCAAGTATTGGACTTGGGAACTGGGAGTGGCATTTGGGCCATTGAATACGCCGACATGTTCCCTGGCTCCTCAGTCACTGGCACAGATCTGAGCGCCATTCAGCCTGAATGGGTTCCTCCAAATTGTAGTTTCGAGATTGACGATGCCGAAGCCGAATGGACATGGGACGAGGCCACCTTTGATTATATCCACAATCGCAATTTTGTCTGTGCGATTCGAGACTGGCCGAAGCTCATTCGTCAATGCTTTCAGTATGAAATCCTTGACAGGGAGACCAGGTAGCGCGGTGAGTACACTGGCTAATGAGTGTGTCTCTCCAGATTCGTCAAACCGGGTGGCTGGGTCGAATGGCACGAGAAATATCCATTCATGCGCAGTGATGATGGGTCGCTTCTGGAGGACTCGGCTCTCTTTCACTGGGGAGTGAAGTTCTTCGATGCCAGTGAGTGACCTCGATGCTGAAGGTGTCACGTCTGTCTTGCGTGCAGTCAACAAAAGGTGCACCTTACTGACAAGACCAACCAGGCATTCCTTTCGGCACTGACGCCACTTCGCCTCGAAACCTGAAAACTTGGATGGAAGAGGCAGGATTCGTGGATGTGAAAGAGCACATTTTGAAGCTTCCCGTGGGTTCATGGCCAAAAGACAGGCGCCTCAAACAGGTTGGCCTCCTCGAGAGCGTCAACATGACCGAGGGTATCCAGGGGTTGACCATGATGCTCTTCACGCGATGCCTTCATTGGACTCCTGCCGAGGTAGAAGTATTCCTATCGAGGGTGAGAAGGGACGTCAAGGATCGGAAGATCCATTGTTACTACCATTTGTAAGTTCATCTTGACCTGGGGGTCACAGGCTTTGCGCTGTCGGGAGCTGATTCCTGGCGCATAGCTACGTTGTATTTGGGCGGAAACCCAAGTGATCGATCTTGTACGGAGTGAAGAAAAACAATATCAGTTTGATCAGAAGCTCGAGGTTTTCATATAGCCATCTTGATATTGGAGGACATAACGAAAAGTCTGTGCTTCATGGCCCGATTGGGATTGAATACAGTGTCTACACGTGCCTGTTCGCTCCAGGGGTTCATTAGGGCTCGGAAAGCCAAGTCTAGGGTGTAGAGTGGCCTAGAGCGAGCGGCCTTCTCGGGCAGCATTTTAGCCTCATCGGCCTTACCAATGCAGGCTTAGGGGGCGTAGCTGGAATCTCAAACTGTCTTCTTACCAAATCCAGGGTTACTACCGTCATTAGGGCGCCTATCTAATCCCTACAGTACCTTCTAATTGCAAGGTGTTCAAGGTTAGGAGGGCGATCACATTCATCTGTCAACAACCTCTTTGGTGGCACTCAGACAGAGCCTTCTATCTCAGTGATCGAGTCAAGTCTAACTCATGCAATCCCGCAAGAACTCGGCCGAACCGTCTTTCCCTTCTACGGGTCGACGGCATACACAATCTAATGAACACGCGACTATTGATTTACCTTTCGCACAGTGGCCGAGTGTTCCTGCACTGCTAATAACTGCTGGTACGGAGTACAGAGCAGTCTTATCAGCAAAATCAATCGAGAATATAGGTAGGTCTTGTCCGGTTCCGAACCTCGCTCGCTGATGTGCAGGCGCAATGCCGGTGTCGGTAATAACACAAAAGAACCCAATTTACTTCCTGTTTCCTGGTAGTAGACTCTTTTCCTTCCTTGACTATCATTAGAGATTGGATCGATCCCCCGATGCCGACAGTAACAAAGTCACAAGAAGTCCGCGCGCAACGATGATAGCCGATGCAGAACATTCTGTCCATCCCGGGAGTGCCATGATAAGAACGAACGACGAGTATCCGATCACTGAGACTTCAGCCCTGCTAAGTCATGCTGATCCAGGACTCGCACATGAAAGGAGGACCACCGACGGATGCGTAAAGGGACCAGATGCCACAAGCAAGAGTGTCGACGACGCCTTCACCCAGACGACATGGCAACAAGAATCCAGAGTCCTCGCGGGCTACTCCGTGCCCATGATCCTCACATTTCTCCTGCAGCAGTCTCTCACCGTATCCAGCGTCTTTGCAGTCGGGCACATTGGCACGACGGAATTGGCCTCGGTAAGCCTCGCGACCATGACGGCCAACATAACAGGCTATTCCATCTTTCATGGCCTGGCGACATCGCTCGACACGCTTTGCGCCCAAGCCTTTGGCTCCGGCCGCAAGGACCTCGTCGGTCTATACACCCAACGCATGGTGTACTTCCTCTGGCTTACCACCATCCCTGTTGGCGTCATATGGCTCTTTCTCGCGGAGCCCGTCCTGATCGGTATTGTCCCCGACCGCACCGTCGCACACCTCGCCGCCACCTACCTGCGCATCGTCTTTTTGGGTGCGCCGGGCTACGCGGCATTCGAGGCGATCAAGCGCTTCGTCCAAGCCCAAGGCCTCTTCTCAGCGCCGCTGTACGTCCTGATCGTGTGCGCACCGGTCAATGCTCTACTCAACTACATCATGGTATGGCGGCTTCAATGGGGGTTTGTCGGCGCTCCCATAGCCGTGGCAAGCACACACGTCCTCCTCCCCATTGTGTTGGTGCTCTATATTCGTTTTTCAAGAACCAACGCCGCCGAAGATGGTGACGCCCCATGCTGGACCGGGTTCACCAGCAAAGCGTTTCGGAACTGGGGTGCGATGATCAGACTCTCCATCCCGGGCTTACTGATGACCGAAGCCGAAGTCCTCGCTTTCGAGATCCTCACCTTTGCGGCCTCGCGACTTGGAACGACCATCCTGGCCACGCAGTCCGTACTGGCCACTCTCGTGTTGATTGAATTTCAGGTGCCCTTTGCACTGAGCATCGCCACTTCCACCCGGATCGGCACACACATCGGCGCGGCTCGCTTGAAAGCCGCCCGGATGGGTTTGAAGGTGACGCTGTTCGCGGCCGCGCTCGTGGGAAGTATCAACATGACCCTCTTCATCGGCTTGCGGAGCGTGATACCTTCCTTGTTCTCGTCCGACCCAGAAGTCATCAACAACGTCGCCAACATCATCCCGCTCTTCGCGGCGTTCCAAATGTTCGACTCCCTGGCGACCACCTGTAACGGGATCCTGCGCGGACTGGGACGGCAAGAGATGGGCGGATATGTGCAATTGTTTTGTTACTATGTCGTTGCTTTACCGGTCAGTTTTGGCTTGGGATTCGGTCTGGATTGGAAGTTGTGGGGACTCTGGACGGGAGTCGCACTTGGATTGGCCTTGGTTGCTGCAATCGAACTGGCCTACATTTTCCACACGGATTGGAAGAGGAGTATAGAGGACGCGAGGGTAAGAAATCTAGAGAGTGATTGATGATTTATGACTCTGATGACTATTGATGGGTATGTAGAGAGAGCAACAGAGCGGTGAGTGGAACCGAACTATTCGCCGCTGCTTGGTAGTCCGTCCCTCATGGTTCGATGCACTGCCGCCTCCTTGTGTTGTTCTCAGGAAAAAGGCACCACAGTTTGGGTTGTTAAAAATTCAATCAAAACATCTCCCGCGTCGGTCCAGGTTCACCACCTTGTCCACGCTGAGACGCCACGCCACTGCTCAAATTGCCAACACCGCCGGAATGTGCACCTGCGCCGGTTGTGGTTCCAGTCGTCGTCCCAGTCGTCGTTCCGCGTGTGGCTGTGGTCGGCGACGTGGTACCCCTTCCAAGTCCACCGGTCTTGAGTCCAGTACCGGTCGCGCCGGTCGTGGTGGGGCGGCCACCACCGAGAGTCTGGTCCGCTTGTTTCATCTCCGCCTCCCCTTTTTCCTTGACCGCACGATTCTTGACTTCACCGTGTTTGTCGTCGAAGGCGGTGTCGACGCCCTCGTTGACCGTCCCACGGATGACGTCCCCGGTACCCTTGATGCCCCTGAGGGCCGACTTGACGCCCCCGACCACGTTGGTGGTCTTGTCTCGAGTATGATCTGCCATGGCCGTGTTTGTCTCAAACGGTGAGAAGGCTTTTGGTACGCAATATTATGTCAGTCGATTGACTTGAGTGGTTTTTCTTTATTTGTACTCGTACTTGTGTCTTTTGGAACGAAACAAGCCAAAAACAAAAAAACAGTACGAAAAAGGATGTTTGATTTGGTTGATTTAGGTAACGGCTTGATCTACTATGAATACTTTCCAAAATATTCTCAAGGTACTCGTGGGCAATGACGATAGACACGAACTTCTCTCAAGGGTAATTACGAATACGCTGATGTAGATATGACGTTCCTGAACGAGGCTTACCGGCAAGCATATCCGCTAGTTCATCCTCCGTATTGATCGGAGAATCTGTTCCCACCCCTTTTCGTACTCGATGCGAGTATACCATGCCGTACTTTGTCGATTGTGATGGTTTTGTCATCTTGTTCGTCACAGAGCACGAAAACTAGGCACGGCGTCCTATTCAGTCAATGATTGTAGTAGACGACAAAGATGGAAAGTTGGAGGACCTCAACGCCTCTCTGCGTAGACTTCGCATACATATGCTAGCAAGCTCGGCTCAAAAAGGCCTCCTTATTCTATCGATAATTTCGTAGCAGGTACTGACTGCGTGGGCATAAGAACTGCCCTTGGTTTTTCATTTCTTAGTGACCTCATCCATCATAGCACATTACATTGTGGCAGTTGCCGGCAAGAACCACACAGACTGTGTCCACCCCCATGGGATAGTCAATATAGTTTGGAGCGATGCAGCTGGAAAAAACCAAATCAGGAGGTGGGGGGGGGGGAATTTGTCGATATCAATCAAACTGACGGGGTGGGCCGAAGAATCGTCGGGAACGACCAACTCAGAGATCGAAAACAGTCGTCTTGGATCCCTCGACGGCAATGATGTCTGGTAAAGGAGCGTAGGGAAGCCCAGTCGCCTTTTCCATCTTGGTCCTTTCGATCAATGCCTGCGTTTTCCACCTGTTCTCAAGTCTGGTACGCTTTACCCCAAGAGCCAGTCTCAGTTGGACTTCCTGAGAGGTGAAATCTTGGTCAATGGTTTGGAGTTCCTTTGCTTGATCTTGTTCCATCTTTTCGAGTTCGGCTTCTTTCTTCGCAATCAGATTTTCGACGGCCTTTTTCTGCCTACCACGCAAAACATTGATCTTGGACGAATGCAAAGTGTCCATCACATCTCGTTCGCGATATTGTTGAGCAAGGTTGTGATAGTCCTTGTCCGTCACTTTTCTTTCCGGTAAAGAAGAATCAATGGATGAACGGCCTGAACCGGGACTCACAGAGTCCGGTGGTGGCGTAGAAGTATGACAATAGGCTTCCATGTGCCGCAATCGCACTATGCAAGCTCGTTTCTCAAGCTCATGTTCCTTCTGCATCTTAATTTCCTCCTCCAGTTGACGTGCCTCCAGGGCTTCAACAATTTGTTCATTCTGGCTAGGGTTTAGCTAGGGCGCTGGCAGAGGGCTAAGGTACTCACCTTTGTGCTTTGTTCGGCGAGTATCTTTTCATACTCCACTTGTCTCTGCCTCTTTGCGTCCTCTTTCCGGGTTCTTAGTTGTGAAATTAGAGTGGTCTGGTACTCTAGAAAGCGGACCTTCTCCTCCAATTGGGTCATCTGAAGATTCATCAAGTGCCGGCATTCCATGCTCCGTTTGAGGGCGTCTTCGTCAACGGGCGTCGACTCATCATAACTCGGTTTGCGGGCGGGCAAGATTGGTGACCACGAACTCTTGCTCGACTTGATCGACAAAGGATTCTTCATGTCTATAGAGCCCTCTTCACTCTGATGTGTGTCTGTGCTGCTAACACTCGTCAAGGTCGGGGACGCAAGCGCCGCGGAGCCTGACCTTCTCTTTCGAAAGCCCGAAAGCCTCTTCAACCCTCGTTTCAAGGGTGAGTTTCTTCTCTTGTCTGCATCCACTCGAGATGAAGGTGAGCGGTCGGAAGTGTAGGACGATCGCGTGATCGGTCGGTGGTCACTTGAAGCAGCGGATTTCCAGTCTGGAGACTTCGGGTGGATTGCACTCGCATTGATTGAATCCGAGGCAACTGTGACGGTAGCTAGAGATGAAGTAATCGCTTGTAGGGCCGACACAACGGCTGGTTGTAGCAGACCGAGAGCTTGAAGCTGTGCGGAAACTTCATCGTCGAGATCATCCTCGGTCTTTGACGAGGTCAGTTGTAGGACAGCCGTGTTGTAAGAGACATCGTCGATGAGTTTGGCAGACTCTTTCCATGTCTGCAGGTCATCATGCAACATGTTCCAATTTGTTCTGCCTGCTACGGGGCTGTTGCTTCCCAATACCAAAGATCGATTGTGATCTACTGCTGTCATCTCGGTCGACTTGAGAGCAAGGACTGCCCTCCTGTGCTATCTCATTTTTTGACCTAGTGATTGATGATGCAAAGCGGTACTCGTGTTCTGACAGCTCAATCTCGTATGGGGGATGACTCGGGTTGCGGTGTGTGTAACGACAGAGGTAAGGGGATCGAGGCCTGCGGCGCGTTGCGTGTTGAATCGAGGATGGACACACGACGGTGGAGTTCAGCAAGTTACTCGGTCTGGAACATTGGGGTCAGTTGAAAAAAGCTCGTGCCACATTGTGAGGCAAGTCAGAAAGTAGAGGTCGGATGGACAAGCCAAAGATATGCTTTTTCTTGTAGAAGGGCATGTGTCCAATCTATGGACTGCCATTGAGACTCACCTGGCACGGAGAAGCAATGATGCAAGCTTGAAGGAAATCCCGACGATTTGGGCTCGATAGCGGCGGACAGCGTAGCCACCTGTACCAGGGTCCGCAGGTGCAGCTAAACGACGTCTCGTCTAGGCAGAGTCTGTCCTAGGTGTGCCAGTTGAATACCAGGAAAAAGCACGGAGTGCTCGTTCACGGAGATGCTGTCTGTGGGTAGAATTTCGAGTACGAGTATCGAGAATGAAGAAGCAACCCCAGGATAGAAAGAAGATCTTATTGACAAATAACGAGCGACTGAGGCAGTGGACGGCGAGCTCCTCGCTCGATCCCACGAAGTCCTCAAATAATGTAATGTGAATGAGACGAATAAAGAGGAGTCGTTGCTAGCTAGCTACGACAGCGACAGGGAAGCAGGTCTTGTCGCCTGCGGGACCATTTGCGACTTACAGTACGGCGTATAACGAGGAGGTAGGGTAGGTTGGTGTAGGGATCAACCTGACCGAATGTTCTACTGAATACCCTCAGCATCCTTGTCGTGGCGGCTGTCAGTTTATTCCAAGTGCCATCTCTGCAGCGCAGTTTGACAGCATTTGACAGTCTGTATGCAGCAAGTCACTCCATCTTGATCCCATTTACCGAGTCTTCTCGATCCCGTGTCTCCCGTCTTCTACGAGTGGTCCGAAGTGCCTCCAACTAACAAGTCGTTACAGAGTCACCCATGAACGGGATATGCTGATTTCCCACGGGCACCACAACGAAGCGGGAATCTTCTTACGGACACGAACGCCTCTTCACCGCGTATGGGCTTCCTAGACCCAGATGTGGCTGGAGAATACGAGTGCTATACTCCGTACTCGCGAATAAAATTCCAGCTAAACGAAACCGATGACCCGGCACGAAGCGATGGAGGTGGAGTGTCATGTTCCCATCGCGAGGTCTTCGCCTCTGTGATTTGTCCACAATCTGCTTCGGTTCGCCTGATATTTGGCTCGGGCATTTTGAAGGCCCAAAAGCTCCTAAAGCCAAACGAGCTCTCAAGATGCGCTCTCACGTCACTATCGTTTTGGCAGGTCGATCTATTAACCAATCCATCCTGATCACCGACAACCCTGACAGGTCTTTTCGATCCTTGAGCCAATGCCGAATCTTGTTTCCCTAACTTGCAGGGTAGTCGTCAGCTACGAGTAACGAATCTGCCGTCCTGGTGGCCATCTGTGATCGTTTGACCGAGTTGGGGCCTATTCTCATCGTCCATTCAAAAAGACATCTCGATTGGTGACGCGGACTTGGAACTCGCTGCACTACTATCCTAAAAGACGGCTTGATGGCGCTGATGGGGCCACAGTTCTGCACATCATCGAAGGCTTCGTACACTACGAATACCGGTGGTCCCTGTGGCCAATTAAACAAACTAGTTACCTATTCTAACCTAGGACACCTGAAGACAATTCCCGCCGGATTCATTGGAGCCTGTATATCCAGACAACACTTCCACTGGATGTCACCAATGGTACAGTCTTCTCTGCTGTATTTAGACGATTTCCTCATTATAGCAATAGATAGAGATTCATGGTAGTTTAATATTGGGGTTTTGCTGGACCCATTACCGTCATTGGCCTGCCTCGGGGTCATTTTCCATTCTCTATCATGTCTGTATGCATGATGGCCAGCTCGGGTATGATCAAGCTCTCTATTTCCATGCCTTCGGTCACAGTCCCTCCTTCAAGATCCACATGTTGAGCTTCGTGCTTGCGTTCTGCCTTGCCTACCAATTCTTCAACTCCAGAGATACTTTTCGATCTCCGTGCTTTGGGGACTCGGAGCCACCTCTCGCCTCCGTTCCGGGTAATGAACACCACTTCCCATTTGCGCGTAGTCAGTAGGTTACCGATAACCAAATCATGCTGATATCTCTTGAGAGCTTGTTCGGCTTTGGCCACAAGAAGGGCAGGATCAGTCTCAAGCTTGAAGCTCACAATCATGCTTCCCTTGGGTGCCCACGAGTGCACCAACGTGCTGAGGAATTTAGGTACCGGGTCGAGATTGATGACCAATTGTCGACTTGCCCCTGCTCCTTGCCCGCCGGCGTGATCTTCTCTCGACTGGATTTTGTGCTCCTCCATGCGTTCTCTGGGAATGAAGAAATCAGAGACGGCTGCCGCAAGATAGAACAGCGCGCGTTCGCCTAGCGGCTGCATCGAGACGGCGAGACTGCGTAATTGGAAGAGGTAGTCGGTGACGGTGGTGAAAGGCAGCAGGAGTAAAAGGCGATTCTTCTTGGCCAATTGGTATTGGTGTAGAACACGTCGCATCTTCTCCTGATACTCCTTCCTCACTACGACACGCTCATCATCACCATCATGTTCTTCCATGAAGTCAAGGAAGCAGTTTGTACTGTGGCTGTAGTGCCGGGAGTAAGGCAGGAGGCTGAACTGTCGATGGAGAAATATCACGGCGTAGCCCGCCTCCAGGAAGTATTCAGCTGACGTTGCTCCACGGGTTCCAGCGGAGAAGTTATCGATAAAGCGTACCGTCTGATTCTCGAGGGGTACCGTCGTGCCTCCTGAGGTGACCAACGCAATTCGTCGGTTTGGTGAGCTTTCTAGGTGGAACTGGACGAACTCGCGTGTTAATGCTTGGTGTTTTGACAGAGACTTCGGCGCTGGATTCTTATGAAAGTACTCATCGAATTGCTCAACGCCAGGCATGCTGGCGTGCTGTCGCGACATGCTGATTTCAGTGTCGATATCAAGTTTCACGGGCTCAATCTGTCTAAATAACAAGACACCTCAGGATTCAAGTCAGACGATCCGAGATGTGCCGTGAGCGCTGGCATTCAAACAGGACAGTCGGTCTTTTTCCTTTGACAGTTATTCGGCAGCTGGAGTATGCTATGTTTGGAAGCCTGTAGCAAGATTGGAAAATAAGGTCTGATAAAAGAAAATGAGCTTCGACTCGAGGTCTTAATTTTGCAGCTTCAATGAGTATCAGATCTGCGGTGTAAATACCATCATAGTTGCTCTAACGTCTAGAGTAAATCATCAGGGCTTTCACATTTTTTGAATCGGTTTGAGGTGTTCTGTTATACCTAGATAACTCACTCAGGCACACATTGCCATCTAAATACAGGTTAACACTATCTTATAATGTGCTTAGATCCTATAATGGCATGGTGGAGGGAGCTTCTTGATCAGAAAGCCGAGGCAAACGGTGGGATATTCGGAGTTCGGAAATACGATAATCCACACTCTGGAAACATCAGAACGTGACGTGAAGCATCACGTGGACGGCTCGAGCTCATCGAGATCTACAGTACAAGGCTGATTTTGGACGTTTGGACCATATACTCCGTACCGTGTCTGCCCTGCCATGAACTAGTTCTTTGTGATTGATCGCGCTTGTTCTTCGTATTCGCATTTTTTATTACACGTCGGCTTCTTATTCGTATTTCACAATCACTAAATTAATCTCCTGATTTTCATCGTGAGATGATTGCCGATGGTCGATTGTATTTGCACTATCCCTTGTTGAGGGCGTTCAGCGAACCCGACATGGTCTTCTTGTCCTTGAATGCATTCATCACCGCAAACATGCTGTAAATATTGACCAGGCACCCACAAGGCTTTCCTCAAAAGACGATTGATCTTGTCCCACTCGCATGGCAATTGGTGTACTTTCAGTCGTTCTTCGTCGCACCTACGATACCTCACCCTCTCTGATCCACCTGACATAGCTCGAATCTGTCCCGTGCCGTTTCTCTGTCTTCACCCATATGGCGCTTCGTGCGCAAGGCGTTCTTGAACAACGGGACAACACACCCTACTCAATTACCGAGAACTTGGCCTAGTTGGGTAGATGACTTACTGACAACCCGATTTTTGATTGAATATATAAAGCCCAAGGTCTGCGTAAATGTTGTTAGCGAACAAACTAGGGCAACCAAAACCTTGAGTACACAACTATCACTATGGTTCATGTTGTTGAAGGATCATATTGGGTCTACGCACCTACCAAAGGGGTTTCAGCCGCCTTTGCAGTTCTGTTCCTCATCTCAGGAGTCCTGCATGTGTGGCAAAACAACCTGAAATACAGATCCTGGCGCATTGGGTTTCTCCTTCCCTGGGCTGCGCTCCTCTTCATCGTGGGATTTGCGCTCCGAGAATATGGGGCTTATCACTATGACAACCTGTCCATATTCATCGCAAGTTCAGTCTTACTGTTTCTGGCTCCTCCGGTCTACAATGGTGCAAATTATTTCATCTTTGGAAGAATACTATACTACTTGCCATATCTTTCGCCTCTCCACCCCGGCCGAGTGTGGACAACTTTGTAAGTCTTCCAACCCGACATTTTTGGGCGACCGGAGAACTAACACTAGCAAAGCATTGCCCTCGACACAATTGACGGCATCATCGCAGGCAATGGCGCGTCTAGGGCTGCCAATGCCGACAATAGCAAATCCAGCATCAACGCTGGTCTCATAATGGTCAAGGCTTCGCTGTTTTTATTACTCGGCATGTTTCTGGCCTTCATTTATCTCGTCGTTTTCTTTCATCGGCGATGCCTCGAAGCGGGTGTCTTCAATCACAAGTGCAAGGTCATTATCTACGAGCTATACGCTTCTTGTTTCCTGATCCTCATACGCAACACCTTCCGCACTGCGGCTTTCTTCTACCCACCAACTTCGGTCGCGAACGGAGACGAAGTCCTCTTCTGGGTGCTTGAAGCACTTCCCATGCTGGCAAACACTTTCCTCTTGAATATCTATCCCCCAGCCAAATACCTCCCAGCCAAACACAAAATATACCTGGCCGTGGATGGGAAAACAGAGATTGAAGGACCGGGAATGGTAGACAAGAGACACTTTCTACTTACCCTATTTGATCCATTCGACATTGGAGGCCTAATCAGAGGCGACGATAACAAGAACAAATTCTGGGAGAAAGACGGCATTGGTGGACCACTAGAAGCGGGAGGCTCCACGAGCGAGCTGCGGACAAGGGAGCACATTGAGTGCGACACGAAAGCTTCTCGAGACCGTCATCAAGGACCTATTGTATGAGATAGGAGATGCGTCGCCTTGAAGAGAGCTATAACTGTTCGTTTGATTTGAATTCTTGATGTACCATCTATGCTTAGCTGTCCATAGACCGAGCCCAATGGAGCTCTTCATCTTATGAGTAATTGCGCGAGTTATTCTTGGCTATACACCAGTCAGTGTGACAAAGGAGTCGAGTCCTTGTCCGCGATATCGCCACCTTTTGTTAGGCCTACCAAGGGGGCAGGGATGTAACCGCGCTCCGCCTTTCACCTTTTCCGCACTCTTTTCTTACAGCTTGCCACCTTGCTCGATCATTGACTCCTTCCGGGCGAAGGTTCTGACAATCGTCGTCAGCACCATGAAAATTCCGCTTGAGGACTCTGAGATGTGTCCCCGTTCCAGCGATCCTTGTTATAAAGTGGTCAGCTCACCTTCGGAAGCTCTTGTCTTCTTAATTCTGCATCACGCAGTATACCACAAGCCGCCTTCATGGAACGGACCAATCTTTCCTATTATACAGTCCCGGCTGCGTGGGTTGTTAGCCTGATACCCCATTTCTATGCCATCGCCCGCTACGATAGGGTTTCTAAGGCTGGTAAATTTGACAGAGTCAATCCTAGACTGTTCGTTGCTTCTGTCGAGGACAACAAAACCATCGAATCATCCTTGAAGCGAAAAATTATCCGTGCTGAGGGAGCACAACTCAACGGTTTCGAAAACCTGGGCTTTTTCGCTGGTGCCGTGGTTGCGGCGAATACTACTGGCGTAGACGTTTGGTGGTTGAACGTTTTGAGCATGGCATATGTCTTCAACAGAGCACTGTACAATATAGTCTATATCAAGGGTGTTGCTGGACCTGTCCGAGGTCTGCCATACTATGCCGCTGTGGCGTATGTCCTTTGACACTCCATTTGATTTATGCTAACAAAAGTAGGTGCGCAATCACCCTTTATATCAAAGCCGGCAACGTGGCGAACAGGCAGGGGTAGTGGAATCCTTGCAGGGGAAGTCGATAGCCCTCTCTCCTCCTCAAGTCATTGCAAACATCTTTGAACATGAGATTCCCTTTCAGGCTTTTGTTATATTTTGGTTCTTTCTTACCAAAATCGTCCACCTTCCAGAAAAAGTCGGCGGCTAGGGAAGTCGAGTACAAATAAAGAACAAGTTGAACAATGAATCTCAGAATCTCCTCTTTCCTGTCAATCTGACTTAAATACCTCTTGATCTTCAGGGAACTTCTCGGTACCATAACAAACATCTTCCAAAGTCCCAAATGGCTTCAGAGAGCAGTACCTTTTGGGTGGTTACGGCTCCAGAACCAAATTTCGACGAGATCGCGACAGTCAATGTTTGCAGCCATGAGGTTCCGTTCCCTGCATACTGGCGCATTGTCCAATTTTTCACTGATGGCAAGACAGAGAATGAAGCGGTTCAAGAGGTTATTCGACATACTGGCACTAAGACGCTCAGAGTCGTCACCGAAGTTGTTAGCAGTATTTTCGAGAATCAGCGACGAATCCAGGCCCCGACCACTCGTCAGCCTAGTCGCTTCAGCTTGGCGTTCATGAAGCCAAAACGTGTCAGTGTTTATCGTGCCGCGCGAATCGAGGCTCGCCAAGATCTTCGCGCTGCGGAGGATAGACTACATGTGGCGAAGAGCCGTGAAAACCAATTACTTATTGACGCCATGATTATCATGCGGGAGATAGAGCTCCTCGACAGAGAGGGTATCGACTCAGATACACGACGCAGAACTTTGTCAAAGATCGAAATCCGCATGAAAGATGTACTGGAGAAGCAGAAAGACGTCGCGGCGGAGGTTGAGTGTGCTAGGCGACTTACCATTATTCATAGAGCTTCGTTGGCATGAGCTATGGGCACGATAGGAGGCTCCAATCGTCACTACAATGAGAGTATACGTTCCACCACTTTTTGAGATACTTTGTGTCACAAGTAAGTACCAGTTGCTTCATAGCACATGATTGGCAAGGTCTGATTCGTCCTTTCACAGAAAATACTGTTGTTGTTGAATAATGAAGCACACCTATTTTGGAGATCTCACAAAGCGACAAAAGATTTCCATAAAGAAACAAAGAAGCAAACATATCTTTGTCAGTGGTCTGTAAGTTCAACCTGTGTTGTTCCCTGTGTTGTTCCCTGTGTTGTTCCCTGTGTTGTTCCCTGTGTTGTTTCTATATGAAAGAAGGCCCTCTTGTATTGTCTGTTTTGAGAATGGGATTGTATGTCGTGACAACAACGACGCAGTGCGGTTTCTATACTACCTTTGTACGGGACCATCATGTCTTTCTCAATACATTTATAAATATCATACCATGTCTGCTTCTTCAAGGTCAGTTCTCCCAATATCTCCGTTGTACCCCTGGCATAGCTTATCTTAGCTGAGAGTAATTGAACTGCACAGCAAAAGTATCCAAGCAACCACCATGGCTCCTCCGGAAGGGTATTTCGACCTTGAACCCGGTTTCGAAACAGAGATCTTTCAAAACAAACGCTTTGGCAAACTCCGTCTGGCTACGGAGGAATTGATCTGTGTCGCCATGGCGGCAAGAATCTTATTTCTCCTCAAGAATGAGCATTCTAGCAGCTGTATACCCTGTCATATACTCACTGAATTCAATGTCGAGATTGATAGCGAGACGATTCGTGCAGTTGTCGAGAAAGACTTCGAAGTGACCGAAGAAGACCTGTCAACCGGAGAATACATGGTCGCGACAGCACCACCGATCAGAGGGCCAGGTTATCATGGTGGCCACATCCTTCCAGCTGGAATTGCCTACGAGTGTATCAATCTGCGAGACTATGGCGTTGGTTTTGTGATGCAATATGCCCAGGTTCAGTGGGGTCTGTCAGTACCGGAGCATGTGGTGGCCACGCTCATTGATGACTGGGTCTTGATGGTAACTAGGGTTGGTGACGGTGTGCCTGACGATGCACGTCCTCATCACGAAGGACGTCGCATCACTCAGTTGGCCCTCCAACCTTACCCAGAACTGGAGCAGCGGGACGTACTCTTCCAACATGCACCTCCTCAGTATGAACCACGACCTATATACCGCAACAACTCGGGCCAGGAGGTCCTTCTTCGACATCCGCGAGAGATACCCGACAGCTACCCACGAGGATCACGAGCCCGAGATGTCCCGACTTATAGAGATGGCGAAGCACCACCTGCCTACAGCGACCGACAACCCCATTCAACGGTTTCCGCACCTCCTTCTTCCTCTTCTCGTCAAGAAGTGCATCCAGTCACGACCTACGCAGATTCGGAACACCGGAGTACCATAAGCAATAGCTCCGCCGAAGCGGTTATTCCGAAAGGGCGGCATTTTGTCGAGACTGATATCGTCACATACAGCAAGATCGATATTAGCAACTATCTGTTTTTCAACATGCCAGCCGTTCTTCTCGACGATGAACTCGGACCATTGACATTTCCACATGTGTCTCGGGACTTTCGGCGTTTTCTCCTTCTGACGATGCTGGGAAGAACTCGGCCAATTCATGTGGTTGAAATGTGGCCGCAGTATCGCCTTGGCAGTACGGGTGGCCTGACTCTATCAGGCAAAAGAGTGGCGAAGCTCGTCAGAGATATCGTTAACGAGCTAAAGGTGAGTGCATGTGCTACATCCCGACGCATCCTAGCTGGTATGCCGATTATTGACAACCGTGAAGGACTTCTCATCTTACTCCGACACATGCAACGTGCCAGGGGAGTTCGCGAATTGGGCAATTTTGTCTCAGACAGTGCCTTCTGGAGAGCGGCGTTTGAAGAAATCAAGATTGCTGACAACTTACATGTGCAGACGATACTGAAGCGAGACCCTGTACGTGTTTTCCCTACGGTGAGTACACTGGAGAGATTGCTTGACGATATCAGAAATTTACGATCGGAGGACAAAAGCTTCCAGGTTACCTTTCAATTCTCACGGGGAACTCCTCGGATACTGGTATCAGTCGCAGGTGTAGACACCCAGCCAGCTCTGAGTATTGGGGAGCTGGAAGGCGATCGTCATCACCAGCTCAGCGGCCATGAATATCGTCGTTACGTCAACCTACTCGAGGGCGCCAGAAACATCCTTCAAGGTGCTATTGGGGCCATGAGTGACGAGTCGTTCATAGTGGCCAGGCATCAGCTGGAGAGATTCGTGCGTGCTGGAGTTAGAACGGTTGCCCACCACGGAGAGAGCGTTCAACAGCTGCAGGAAGCCCTCGAAAGAGTGCACACCTTGAGCAATTCGAAAGAAGCATCTCGTATCAACCCCGAGTATTGGGCGGCAATCATGACCAATTCAAGCTTGGCTATAGTCGGACTGCTTTCCACGTCGAGGGCATGGGTCATCATCCCAACTTCAGATGAGCCTCCGCGTCAACTGGCTTTTGTATACAGACCCAAGCCACTGGCCTCCATGTCGACACACAGCTTCCGTTTCCACCTCAACGTGATCAAAAACATACATCGTCTTGGCCCGCAGTTGATGCATACCTTCACGCCACCATCGGAAGTGAGTCTGACCATGGAACAGTTCCACCAGGAGTACGACAATTTTTTGGTCCAATGGGAGGCATATAAATTGACGTACTTGCCCGGCGTTGACGACTATGAATTCGAACACTTGAACAAGATATACAAGCGTGGGTTGGCCAGACTGTATGGCATAATTGGTCGGATCGAGGGTGCTTGCTCCGCCGCGACAGCTGAGTGCAAGGCCGCTTTGAGGCAAGAGTTGAGTACCCATCTGAAGCTTCGTCATAGTTTAGTGGACAGAATCGCTTCCTGTGAGAGATCACCCTTTGCCCCGGATCTGGATCTGGATATCAAGGAGGTCAAAATCGCCATGAACAGGTACTCGACTGAGTTTTTGCGCGTCCAGGCGTGGTACTTGAAAGGTAATCAGAGACCGATGGATCCTGCCTATCACGAGGACATGGCCACGGAGGTGGATCAGATGCTAACGGACCTAGAGGCTGATCTAGCCTGGTTTGAACTCGAAGCAGCAGAGGAGCAAGATGAGGCACCTGAGGAACACGACGATATCGCCGCAGTGACCTCAGTGGATGACGTCGAAACACGCCCAGAATCTTCTCATGCCCTGGCGATTGATCAGACTATGTCTTCGGCTGAAGAAGATGAGACTGCTTCATCCCGAGGTTCTGACGAAGCATTACGGCAAGATGAAGAGGTACCAATTCCCGGCAGAAACGTATATGCGTCTGCACCGACACATGGCGGGCAGACTTTACCACAACAGCACGGGAACACGGTCGCCGATCAGAGTTTTCGGTCTTTGCTTGAAGGTAACGATGATTCCTCAGACCCATCGGGCTTTCAGAATGCTGACATTGCGACTAGTTTGCCTGGATCAAGAGAATCTCCGATCATTGCAGACGACCGAGCTTCCTTGGATACGCCTCAAGTGGAACCATCCCAAGCAGAACCAGCTACAAGCGATGCTTCCGGTACTCTGACAAGCGAGCCACAGTCCAGTAATGAGGTCTCCGTCCCAGATGGTGGCAATGCTTCTTCTTCCTCTGCTACGAGTGAGAGCGCGTCAAACATCGTGCCGCATGGTCACCCGACCGGCCCGTTGCAAGACAACAACTCCGAAGATCAAGGGCAAGAAGGGAGCGATCAAGAAAGCCAACCCGAGTTCTCTGATGTGTCTGCGGCGGTGGTGGATTTCCTTCGAAGATGGCGCGAGAGAGCGAGATTGCGACGAGAAAGCCGGTGAGAATTCTCCTTTGCTTGGAGGACACGGAGGGGGAGCATGACGAAAATGTCACGCAGACAGGCAGCAAGTTTAATTGACAAGAAGATTGCATGAGAGGTTGTTCGTGTCAAATATAGCTATATCAAAGTTCAGAAATTCCCCTGGAGGGCATTTCACTGGAGGGAGGAAATTTTGCCGTTTTCGGTTCTGAATTTACCCTCCGCATCATAGACCAAATTGCAATGATTTTTTCATCAAACGAACCATGATCATAGGTTTCTTTTCCTTTCTTTTCTCACACAATGTGAAAGGTAGACGAGATATTCCAACTTTGAATCCAGCAATCTTTGGTTTGCTGACTATAATACTACCTTGGATATAGTACTTCTCTTCGCAACGACCTCATTGTGACAACCAGTAATCAAACCATTGAGCAATGGCTCTTAGACTTTCTTCCTTGACATAACCTAGAAATCAGAATCTTGTCAGCCAAAGTCGTATTTCGGGTTTCAACAAGCACCTCGAGTATGTACAAACTCACGTTCATATGGGTTTTCCATATTCCCTCTAAGGGCAAAACCATGTTCGACACCGGAGAATAATTGTACGTTGTAAGTCTTTTTATCTTGTCGTAAGATATCCACGGCCTCTCTTCTGGCTTCTGTCGGAAATGTATGATCGACTCCTGAACAAGACAAAAATAGAGGTTCTTTGGAATCCAGTCACGTTAGCGTTACGGTATCTTTTTTTTCCTTGTCGATTTTTGACCTTTCCAGGGGTGGGAGTTCTCTCTCACTTTTGATTTGACGAAAGTGATGTTCTTTCAAGAATGCCGGATGGGCAAAAGCTCCCGCCGAACAGGTATTGCCAGCTAGTTCGTTACATACATAAGGTGCTCCGAAGCAGTACCTGAGACACAAGGTATTCAGTCAGCATCACTTGAGTCAGGTGGAATAGCATCATGTTGTAGAGGTTGTAAGCTCTGTCACATACCCTACACATGCATATTTTGTAGTCGGCCCACCAAATTGCTTCTTGACAGCCTCCACCCAACCGGGGACCGTGGCATCTGCAAACGCGATATGTTTCTTTTTCCATGCTTCATAGTCGAAGTTTGGGTTTGATCGATCGTTACGGTCCTTTCGATGTTTCCATACCGGGTCCTAGAAAGAACTCGCAAATCAGACTGAACACATCCCACAAGTTGAACAAGACAATCAAGGGCCAAGGGTGTCTCGAACCCCACGAAAGTAATCCAATCCCATGACAGTGTATCCTGCATCTGCGAATCCATCCATGATCAAAAATCCATTTAGAAAAAACCCCCAAACGTCGGGGAAGTATAGGACGATGTTGCCGTTGTTACTTTGGCCTCGAGGGACTGAAATGTACGTCTGGACTCCGGAGATCTCTTCAAATCGACCTCTCGGTTCACCATCGTGGATGGATCCTTTCAAGCAGCAGTCCCCCGACGGTTTGGCGAGAAAGCCTTCTTTATCTGCCATGTTTCTTGTGAAAGTATGTTGACTTCACTCGTTCAATTCGTATTACAAGTCAATGAGACATGACGAACATCATACCTCGACATTGTTACCAAGACGTTGCTAAGCATTGGAGTAAAAGTGGGTTAAATCCTTCAAGGATCAAAATGGCCCGAGGTCAAAAGGTCATTCGGTCTTTTCTTCTCCCTTGAAAATCACCGTCACCAAAATCATATCGTCTACGCTGCTAGAAGACGACAAGCAGAGATCTACAGCCCACGTTGGGTTTCGGCGATTCTGAACTTCGCCGTGATCGTGTTCCAACATCAAAACAAATCTCCATTTTCCCACAACATCGAAGCACACATGTCCAAGAGAGTCCCCAGAAGTCGTCCCCAGGATTTTTACACTACGTGGGACCGCCTATGGAGTATATGGGGAAGGATGATTTCATTTTCTCTTTCTCAAACCCCCAGGTCTTCTTTCGAATTTTTTCTTCACTCACGGTGGTTGAATTTCTCTCACACGATTTGTGGAAGTGGCCCCTGAACGCATGACCATGTCCGAACCAAAGACCGGAGAATTACATGTCGAGAATCCAGTCGAAGCGACTCGGAATGATGTCGATACCGATGTCGAACTCGATGCCATCAGCAAGCCGACCGCTGGTAGTGGTCTCGACGCGATTCATGAGGTAGGAGTTTCATATCCACTCAATCAATACACAATTTCCGGTGCTGATGTACGGTCTGACAGGACTTGGCTGTTGGATACAAAGAGTATCGAGAGGCTCTAGAAGTCGAGGTCAGCCAGCGTGATGTGAGTACCTCCCCTTCGGCAATGCGGTTTGGCGTCCAACTCACACTCAAAGTAGGACCGTCGACTCCGATGGAAGATCGACCTCGTCATCCTCCCCATCTTCCTTTTCACCCAAATGCTCCAGTTCATGGACAAGACGGCACTCAACTACGCCAACCTGTTCGGGTATCAGAAAGCGCTGGGCCTCAAGGGAACCCAGTTCAATTATCTTTCTGCCATGGTCTACGCCGGATATTTCTTCGGACAGTACCCCTGCGGTTGGTTGATCGGTCGATACCCAGCACAGCGAGTCATGGCCATCTCGTGTCTGATGTGGGGGTTGATGGTCCTCATCCTTACACAATGTCGATCGTACTCTTCGGCCATGGCGGTTCGCTTCTTCATGGGCATCTTCGAAGCCGCCGTCACCCCTGGTCTCACGCTGATGACTGGGTTTTGGTACAAGAGAAAGGAGATCCCTCTCCGACAGTGCATCTGGTACAGTGCGCTCGGATTCGGAGGCATCGCAGGTAGTTATATTTCATTTGGGGTGTCGAAACTTCCAGGGGACCTCACCCCCGAACGTTGGGAACTGATCTTTTACATCCTCGGCGGCGCCACCATGCTGTGGTCTTTTGTCTTGTGGTTTGTGCTTCCGGACACACCCTCCAACGCCCGATGGCTCAGTCCGCACGAACGGGTCGTCGCCGTGAAACGAGTCGCGGGCAATCAACTCGGCATCAAGAACAAGTCATTCAACAAACAACAAGCAATACTGGCATTTTACGACCCGAAATCGATTTTGGTCTTTATCGCCGTTTTTGCCGCTGCCATACCGAACGGTGTGGTCAACTCCTTCTCCACCATCATCATCAAAGACCTGGGCTTCTCGACCACAAAGACCACGGAGTTGAAATCGGTCGGGGACGCCGTACAAGTCGTTGCGCTTTTGATAGGGGGACCATCACCCTGACGGTACCAAACTCTCGCCTACTGACCGCCACGGCCGCCAACATCCTCTGCACCGTGGCCGCTGCACTCATGGCCTACCTCCCTCGTCACAACACCTGGGGTCGACTGGTTTGTTTTTGGCTAGTCAACGCTCAATCCGTCGGCTTCACCATTTCCCTCGTCACCATAAACAGCAACATGGCAGGCTACACGCATCGAAGTTTCGCCAGCGCATTGACCTTTACGGCCTACTGTTGGGGCAACTTTGCTGGGCCATTCGTGGTCGAGCCAAGTCAAGCACCTGAGTACCGTGGCGCCACCATCGGATTACTTGTTGGGTACGCCATTAAATTCGGATGTCATTTACTCTTACTCGGTGAGTCCATGTACCTACTGCTTGTTTATACCGACCACCTTTGGCCCCCCCTGGTTCAGAGCCTTCATGTGTCAAGAGATAGCTGTGACTGACGACATTGTTTGACTTGTAGCTTACATGTTCTTGAGCAACAAACGTCGTGATCAGAAGTACGGTATGGCCGACAAGGCAGCGAGTAATGAGGCAGGTATGCAAGACAAGACTGAATACGAGAACAAGAATTTCAGATATGTCTTGTGATTTTGACTTGCGACATATGACGGAGATGTTAGACACCGATAAACCAAATTTTGGATTGAACAATGAAAACTCGTCGACGTGACAAGCGAGTCTGCCTGTCTAGTATAGATAGATAGGGCATGAGCAGCGTATCTTCGATGACAAGCCATGGAGTCGTGTGACACGCTGCTCCGCAGTCTCATCCCAAAATTACCGAATGCGGCGTTTCCCAAATCCCTGTCCGTACGTCGCCACCCCCAACTTCCTGCAGTAACGCCGTGACACCGACACCTCATCTGATGGGGACCTATCCTAGGTATGCTTATGTCAAAAAAAAAACCCACCGGGTCAAAAGAACCCGACACTCAACGCCGAAGGGGTTTCATGCGGGGGAAGAAGGTCAACAACGAGACAGAAATGGGATCATGGATGCTGACTGGGGTTACATGTAACAGGACAGTTATTTCAACTTTCTCTCCTCTAGACCCGACAGGAAACTCTCGGTTCATTTGAAAGTCTCTAGAGTACAAGTTTTACCTCGTTGACGGAATTCATAAGTCTGAATACCGTGGAGGACCTACCCACCTACTTGTACACAGATACACACCACGCCAGTCAAGAATAGATCAAACATACCTATTACCTTAAGCGATACCAAAACATCAACCATGACTTCATCAGCACCACCTAGAGCGTTCAACTTTGATGGACAAGTGGCTATCGTGACCGGTGCAGGTTCAAGACTTTCAGGTAAGATACCTATTTCATAACTTCTAGTACCTGTCCAACACCCATCACAGACATCATCAATGCTTAGTTTGACAATACTGACGCACACATCTCTCTTTTTTATGTTGTCAAGGTGAAATTGGAAATGGTAGAGCATCTGCAATATTACTGGCAAGACAGGGTGCCAAAGTGGCTCTACTAGATCGGAACGTGGAATGGGCGAAAGAGACCAAACGTATGATCGATACCGAAGGGGGAACCTCCGAAGTCATCGAGGTCGATGTGACGAGTGAACAATCATGCAAGGACGCCGTGGCCAAGACGGTCGACCTTTTCGGGGCCGTCAACATTCTCGTCAACATCGTGGGGGTAGGTGGTGCCATGGGTGACGCCACCAGCGTCGACCTGGACGCTTGGGATCGTGACATGAGGATCAACGTGACCAGTATGGTTTTGATGGCCAGGGCGGCCATCCCGGAGATGCGACGGACCGAAAAGGGTGGTGCCATTGTCAACATGTCTTCGGTTTCGGGATTGTTGGGAGGAAACCCGAGCCTACTGTATCCAACGACAAAGGGAGCGATAATCCAATTGACCCGCGCAATGGCCGCCCAACACGGCCCGGAAAACATCAGGGTCAATTGTGTCTGCCCCGGCATGGTCTACACTCCCATGGTGCGGGTCAGGGGGATGACGGACGAAATGAGACAGGCCAGGATCAATCAGAACCTGCTAAAGTCGGAAGGCACAGGTTGGGACGTGGGATACGGTGAGGATATGAACTCCTTTTCTTTTTTTCTTGTTTCTTATTTCGGTCCTCGAACGCGAAAGAGCCATTTGCTGACATCATTCTACCAATTTTTCTTCTTCTTCTTAGCCGTTTTGTTCTTGTGTAGCAAAGAGGCGAGGTGGATCACAGGTCTCATAATGCCGGTCGACGCCGGTACCACGGCAGGGAGAGCTGATAGACCGGCCCTCAAGGCCGACTATTTGGCGGAAGAAATGACGGGGATCCCAAACCAGGCGAACCAAAACAACAACAACTCATCCTAGATGACTTTGTTCCTGTAGCAAAAAACAAGAAGAGAAAGGAGAAGAGCACGATCGAGACTCCTTGGCCGCACAAGCAATGGTAGAAGGAAATGTATTGGCGGCAATGGCCACAAGGACTGAAACATGACCGTGCCTATACCTGTCAACTTGTGAGAATGTGTCATCGTGCCTGGCTATTCCACCACTACGGACGGGTCGACATTCAGAAACTGCATGACGCTCTTTCTCATCTGATTCTCGTCGACCGAATGGATCCGGCTTTTCATCACCCTGCTCTTCTCGATCAACTTGGCTGAGATGTCAGCCCAGGTCAAGGTCTCGTTCGCTCCCTCGCGCCACTTCTGGTCTCCTTGAGCAGTTTGCACATTTTTGAGTCTCCCATTTTCCTTGCGGATGATCCCATCCACCATGACCAGCTCCACGTCCGCGGGGCTGCTCAGCGTCACGATCGCGGTGACGGGATTCGTCTGCGCGCCGCCGTACATCGCAGGCGTGGTTCCGTCGTAGACCACAATATCTGCCGCCATACCGGCCTTGAGCTGGCCGATTTGGTCGGCCATACCTAGCGCCCTGGCACCTTTGACCGTAGCCAGGTTGAACGCGTCCTCCACACTGCGGTTGAGTTTAGCGGGGGACTTCCAGCTCTCGACGAGCGAGTCGTTGAATTGCGCACGCGCATCTTGTAGTAGAATACGCAGCTCCGAAGCGAGGGATGAGCCACAGATTGCGTGGCTGTCTGCGCCGACCGAAGCGTGCGAGAAGAAGTCCTCTGTCGGGTGATACAGAGCTGTCGGGTGGCCCATCACCATCTGCATTGCTGAAGATGGCGCAGAGGATATGTACATGTTGTGTTTTTGGAGGAGCGAGGCATCGCCGGGCATGGGGTTAGTCGCATGGGACACTACCCAGTGTGTGTCAGGATCGACGATTCCGTACTCGTCGAAAAGGGCCAGTCTCGAATTCTTAGCTATGAAAGAAGTTAGCGTGACTGGCCAGACGTTACACCTTTAGAGGAAAATAGAAAGAGATGGTAGGCCTGCCTCCTGCTGGGCTTCGGAAATAGTGTGTTGTCACATGCTTGATTCCAAAAGACTTGATCCGTTTGAACACGTCCACTGTCGTCGCCCGGTCGAAACGAAACTCGTCCAGCCCAAATCCGATCTGGATACGCCCGTCTCCATAGGGTGCATTCTGAGCCAGGGCTTGGATTTTATCCATGATCCAATCACAGAATATGTCGCCGTCAACCTCGAGGGGGTCATGTTTCCGCAATCGCGAGCTGGGACAGAAGCAAAACACCGCGCGTAAGCCAGTAGCCTCGAGCGCAGCAATTGCCGCATCGGCTGATCCCAAGTTAGACTCGACTTGATCCTCCCCTATTTGTGGCAATTGATTGACTTACAATGCTCAGTTGAGTAGTGAAAGTGTGCGTGATCCATGACGGTGGTAGTGCCCGCATCGATGCCCTCCAGCGCGCCAGCCAACTCAGCCCAGAAGATGTCGTTCGGCTGATGGTGCACGTTGTCGAACAATCCTGACAAGCCACACGTAAGCATGTGTCGTGGGATTTTCCCAACGAGATCCCGACTGAAATCGCCCCAACCTACCTAGACATAAATATTCGAGAATAGTGAACTCGCTCCAGAGCGACTTGCACAATGACTGCCACAAATGCTGGTGAGTGCTGATGAAGCCAGGACTCACAATCTTATTCTTGCAGTCCACCACCTTGACATCAGAGCCGGTCGGAAGTTGAATGCTAGGTGATATCTCTTTGATGCTCTTCCCCTCTACCAGGAGATCGCTCTCGATGGGAATGACATGATCATCATCGTCGTGGGTCAGGACTGTGCCACCGCGAAACAGAACCCTGATCGGTGCGGCCATCGCACAAACCGAACAGTTGAACCAATTAGTGTGGATCCTTCGGATGCTAGAGCACTCCCAAGAATTCGTAGAGATTCTGAATTTGCTCTGACGCGTCCCGGATTGTGACACGAATTTATTGCTTTTTGATGCCAACGAGTTGCGGTGCATTTCCGTGCACGGTGAAGGAGAGCCGACCCCCCGCCTGAAGCATTTTTGATGTATTCTTTGTCATGTCGTCCCTTTGTGGGGGCGATCGAACGCAAACCCATTCAGAGCAAGTGGATCTCATCGAATGCAACACTGCCGGCACGATCGATTGCTCCGCATGTGAGCGGTCGGGCACCGCAACAGAGTCGGATATCATGGCAAACCGACTGAGGAATTCGGATCATGAAGTCAAGGCATCTCCCATAATCTCCAATTGGTGGTTCGCATCCAGGAACGGGGCGGAGAGATGGCACTGGTAAAATAGTATGATCCAATAGGAAAACCCGCAAACTCTCCGGTGACTTGCTTCTAGCCTTGCCCATCGAGCGACGAGTTCGCCATCTGGGACATCGTCAGCACGATCGGGCATGATCATTCCTGGCAGTTCATATTCATATCGACATTTCGCCGATCTCAATGGCCGCCACAGCTTTGGTTTGTTAAGTATGGGGTGTAGACTATTATCGCGGTATGTAAATTCTGGACTGTTTCTTTCACAACCACTTTCGTACAACCGAATGGGTGCGCAAGAACCTTCTTCGAACTTTCCTTGAAGCCAGTTGCTAGGTCTGCCAGAGATAAAGGCTGGCAAATACTCCAAGGTGCTCCGAAATCGGTCATACGAAAGCCGGAGGGATGCCCTGAGACATGTACATCTTACTAGGAGAGGAACATGGTCTACTTAGACGGGAACCGGGACAGGTAACGGGCAGTCAGGATTCTGTGGAACGATGTCTGAATGACGAATCTCGTATTGTTCGACGATTGTCTACCCTGAAGGCCCATATCTGACTCTATATGGTCGCCTGGGTTGCCCAAGATCCTCAATACCTGCGAGTCCTTCCCCTTGAAAAGTGGGAATATCCGGGTATCCTATGGAGGTCTTGTAGAGTGTTCTGCGGTGCACCTGTACCTAAACATGGTTGCGTTCGGGGGTTTCATTGACATTCTCGATCAAAGTGATGACTTTCTGATCGCTTTCTTGGAGTTCCACCGCCTTATCGTCAAGGTGAGAATGGCCCACACGGGTCTTCCAAGCGGCACTGGCTCCCTTCTGGAACAGCTCCTCAACTTCCTCCAAGGTCTTCTGGCCAGTTTCGGGATACTGCAGAAACATGTGAATGGCGGCTGTGAAGCACAGGACTCCAAACACGATAAAGGTTTTCCAGCTGATGTTGGCAAACGCTGGGGGCACAAACAGCCCCAGCGCAAAGTTGCAGGCCCAGTTGCACACAACCGCGACCGACATGCCGACAGAGCGTGTTTCGAGGGACCACACTTCGGCAGAATAGACCCAGGGCACGGGTGCGAGTGTCAAACCGTACAGCAACATGTTGATGTAGGAGAAAGCGATGACGGTGTGACTGGCTGCGCCTGTCACCGAGACCCTGACGTTCAGATTGCCATTCAGTCCGTCAGGAAGATAGGTTCCGTACTGACCGAGGACACCACCGACGACAAATTGACAGGTGCCCATGCCTAGAGCTCCAAGAACCAAAAGAGGCCGGCGCCCGATCTTGTCCACGACGACGTAGGCGATGGCCGTGCCGACGATCAAAGCCGCATATTGCGCTCCCGAAGAGATCAAGTTGACATCTCCCGTCAAACCAGCCATCTGGAAGATGTAGACGACATAGTAGATGAGCACATTCGCACCGGTGAGCTGCTGCCAGACCTGTACAGAGATACCGGCGAGGGTGCGGCGCCACATGCCGTTCTTGATGAACTTCTTCCAGCCACGGAGGGCTTCGCGCTCAGCAGCCAGGGTCTGCGTGATCTCTTGCCACTCTGCGATCACCAAAAGGTCTTCGCGGTTGCCATTTGCCTGGATCTTGGCCAGGACGTCGTAGGCTTCCTCGAGACGCCCGACTTTGGCGAGCCACCTGGGTGATCGGGGCAGGAAAGGAAGACCAGCTATCAGCACCAGACATGGAAACAACTGAAGGGCCCAGGCAAGCCGGAAGGACGTCGTTGCTCCCGCAATGTGAGAGGTGCCGTAGCCGATGAAGTACATGACCAGGACGCCGATCTCGATGGCAAATTCTTGGAAGATGATCAGAGCTCCGCGAATGTCCTTCTTCGCAATCTCGGCCAGGTACACGGGCACTTGGGCAGAAGTGACTCCGACCGTGACACCGTTCAGGATGCGGCCGCCAATCAACATGCCTGTGGAGACGGTGGCCGCCTGGATGCTGGTGCCGAGTAGCCAGAAGAAACAGGAAACGAAGATGGTGTCCCGGCGGCCCCAACGATCCGATGCAGGACCGGCGAATGCAGCTCCAACCACCGAGCCTGCAGCCAGCGAGGAGCCAATGGCACCCTGGATCGCACCGTGCGGGTTGTCGAAATATTCGATGTATTGTCGAGTGCCGATAATGGCGGAAAGGGACGATACGTCAAATCCAATTCTACGCAGCGATTAGCAACCCATCATCAGCGACGGCATGGTCGGGAGTTTGAAAACCCACAGCGCCCCTCCAAATGTGGCAACCACTGCCATGAAATAGGGGTTGTATGTCTTCGGGGCTTTCATGGCGGCGCTTCTTGTACACGGATCGTCTAGAGGTTGGACGGTTCGGGGGGAAAGGCGTTAGGGCAACTACTTGCTTGTTCGGTTGCACTGAACGATCTACCATGGGTGCTCGAGGCGCTGCCGATGCCTTTTTATATTTCTCGGTGCCCAATTCTTCTTGACTCCAGATGTGTGCATGCTTCCCCTTCCCCGGTCTATACGCTCCACGCGTATCTCGGCTTCGGAGGTCGAGGGCGTGGGGTTAACCAATAGGAAAACATGGACCGATGAGACCCGCACGACACGGCTCTCAAACATGCACCGAGGGGCAAAGGACAGCCTCCTCTGGCACACCATGACTGGGGCGAGTGGTATGGTTTCAGCCAGTTGGAAATCATGGTTTGGTAAAAGCACACTGCCAGTCACAGGTGGGCTGGTCTCGAAAACACGCGGGGATTCTTGGTTCGGAAACGGGACTAACGTACCGAAGCTGATTCCTCAAGCTCGAACCATGACTGATGCGTCTGCATGGCAAAGTCGTATAAAATGGCGTTGGCGGCGCGCATTCTCCTAACCATCGTACTCACTCGGTCTCACGGATCATAACACTTGTTCGTCAAAGACCTGGTCCTACTATTGCAACAAATTCACGCCGAACTGAAGGCAGTCTCCAAATCGTCACCGCCTGTGCAAAGCAGCTCGAAGTTGAATATGCCGAACAAGTCAATTACATATCGACCGACAGACGGCAGTCCCGTGCCAGCATTATCTATCTGCGATCACCCCCTCTGTTACCCGACGTTTCTGGCCAAACACCGGCAGAGACATGGACTGAATCCGGCCTGCGAGCGTGCGAAACCGAATCAAGACGAGAGAAACGGTGTCCGTGGCGATTTGGAGGCCATACCATCCTCCTTAACAGTACAGAAATCCGAGCAAGACAAATTACTGTACATGTATGAGCGGCAGAAAGTTATCGACCTGTGCTCCTCATACGCGTACACTTTAGACTCCACCATGATGAACCTCGACATTGCCCACGATTGGGCCAACCTCTTCACCGAAGACTGCGTCGTGACCTACCCATTCGGGACGCATATCGGCAAAGAAGGACTGGCCAAGTTCGGCATGATGGCGGAATCAAGGTTCACCCGGATGCTGGTGAGTCCCAGTGCGAGCCATCTGACACAGAAGCCTTGGCCCTCATAGGTAAACTTTGAAAGCTGACACCAACAAGCACATCGCCAGCAACTTCATCGTCGAATTCGAGTCGGATACTGTTGCTCATGCACGATACACTTGCTTCGCAACCCACGGGCTGCACGAATCGGACATTTCGAAGCATTTCATGGAGGCTGGATACTATTACTCGTCGTTCCGAAGGGTGTCTGCGGCCGATGGCTACGGTGCCTGGAGGTTCTCGCACCTCACCCTGGACATGGTGTGGACTCTCGGCGAGTCGCTGGGACTGAACGAACCGCAGAATGGATTAGCTGAGACTCGATATTAGTGCTGCGTAAACATGGTTATTGTTGCAGAATCTCACATTTCGCACTGTTCGAAGTGTCAAGTGTTGCGCATCTTGTAAAAATTTGAGGGTTTTACGAAATCTTGCAAAGCACATAGACCAGATAATTTCGGAACTAGACCTCGACAGCTATAACTCGAAGCTAGTAATGGGAAAAGGGAACACTCTCAAAATGGAGTGTCTGTCAGCAGAACAAACATATCCTCGTCAAAATCCCATTGCGGGTCTTGGCTCGAAAGAGCATGGAGGGATCTAATCGAGGGCCCGAAGCCGGCGGCTGGCGTGACGAATTGTTCGGGAAGGTCGAGGTTGAAGTCTAGGTCTGGGAGGTCGAAGGCAGCATGGTCATCGGAACCATCTCCGCTTGCGTCGACCGCAGAGCTAGTCTGGCTCTGAGCGCTCTGCTTCCCTCGATGATTGTCAAGGAAATTGGTGATCTTTTGTCCAGCCGCACGTGAAAAGGGCATCGCACTTTCGTAGACCCGGAATACGCCAATGGCTGCAAGAATGTCTTCTAGAACGTTGCAGGTAATTTTTGAGGACAGGGTAGCTTGGACAGATGGATAAGCGGCACACAGAAGGTGTGTGACTGAGGCGTTCCAGAGGTACTCAAGGGCATGGAAAAGAATGCCTTGCAGAGTGCCGCTCATGCGGCTACCAGGATGACTGTTCGATCACAACAATCAGCACTCGATCTTGGTGCAGAAAACGGCTAGGACAGTGTCCGAAATTGACGTGTCACAGACGATGCCATGGAGTCATTCAGACCGTCTTTGATAACAGTCAAAACATCTACCTCTCTGCTCCTGCTGAGGGTGATGGAGCACGACAAAAGGAACGGTTGTTGGAATTGGACACTCACATCGATGTGACGACGAGTTTGATGGTCTCCGATGAGATATCGACACATTTAGCGGCCAGATCCAGAATATTTTCCGCGACACGTTGACGTTGTCGGGTTTTTTGAACGACAAGGTTCAAAAACGCGCGATAAAGTAGCAGCCTCATATGTAGAAAGCCTGCTTCATTAGCTTGCCTTGGGACAGTGGTATTGCTAGACTTACGAAGACGGATAACGAGTCCATGAGGCTCTTTAGCCCATGGGCATTCGTAAAACCAGCTCCGAAACCACGTCTGGAAGATTTCATCGGCTCTTTGGAGGGCCTTTCCGCGGTCGCTTATGCTGCTATGCTTGTACGCGAGTGAGTACACCTGATCCCACGTGTCCCACGTTACGTATGCGAATTGTCGCTGGCCAGTCAGAAAGATGCAGAATGGTTTCGTTCAGATTGCCTCACCATTCTCTCCAGGTACTGAAGGTCGATTGGGGACGTTTCCAGGTTGAAAGGCGCGATGTCGACTTCACGTGCTTGAATAGTGCATGGACGTCCAACTACTGCCATTATTTCCCTTTTGAGAGGTCAAAGAGTGTCATGACGAAGGCTATACAGGAACACGGTACCGTTGATATGTAAGAAGACACCTGAATCTGTTAGCACATTGTAGAGTTCTTAAGTCGACCATCGTACCAGAAAGTTGAACACCATCCGACAATGTGTGCTGAGTTGTCCGGATCACTTTTCAAAACCCTGTGCAGTCCGATACCGTATCCCACATTTGCTGCCAGACCAAGAACGGTGTATGCTTCATGTAGTCTTTGTTGATTGTACAGCCAGAGAAACTGATGCTCGTGTTAGTCAGCACTCAGGCTGGAGGGGAACGCTGACCATAAGCATCAGGCTGTTTACAGCAGATATATCACCCCCTGCAAAAGGTACATCCACAAGGCTAGATTTTGCCAGCAAAAAACAAGCTTCCCCGTCTTGTCGTGACGCGAGAGCTTGATCCTGCAGGTTCGGGTCCGAGTCAATGAGGCTGTATTGATGGCCGAGTGCGATAGTCATGTACATGACGGCCGTCCACCATTCGTAACCCTTTCCTTCTGTTGGTAGACCATCGTAGTAATCGTTGAAAGTTCCGACGAAGAGCCTTCGATTCAGGATCGGAAATATGCGATGTGCTGTCTGAAAGTAGCAAGCTATGTATCTTTCCGCTACGGGTTTTGGGGGTAAGAACGAGCCTGACGCCTTTCCAAAAGATAGTTGGGACGGGCCTCCAAGCCAGAGCAGCGCTCGATTTTCTGGAATGTGCAGGTCCTCGGCATCGACTAATTCGGTATCTGGACCGTCTTCAGTAGACTCAATAGTATTGATGATCATGTTCGACGATGAACCGCCATAGAATTCAGGCAGTCTTGTCGGGTCTAGTGTCAATCGATTAATGCCTCGCAGTGCCCGATCCATGTCATCCTCAGGCTTGTGCGTCGTCCTTTTGGTGCTGAAGACATCGACATTGAATTGCTGCGATACTCCATCCTCGTCTGGCGATCCTTCATAAAGCCGTAATCGCTCCTCAAGGTATGCAATCCGCCTGCCAAAGTCACTTGAGGAACACGCTGGAGGTTCGAAACACTTACTTGACCGCTTTGGCAAGAGTCAGGCGCTCAGAAGGCTGGACGTCCCCGTCGTAGGTGCAGACAAGGCTGTTGTCTGCACATGCCTTGCAAGGACTTGCCGCATTACACTCAAGCGCCAGTGTCAGTCCGATCGGAGATGGTCAGGTGCAGTCTAGCTAACCTTTCTTCGTAGAGCTCTGCAGTTATTGCATGCTTGCTCAATGCGTGTTCGCTTGTTCGAAGACTTTGCTGCTGTCGAGATGGCTGCCGCAGGAGTGGTCGCATGTTCGTGTATCCTCTTCAGGTTTGTAGGGCCATTTGTTGTCATGGTTGAATCCGAGAAACGTTAAGCACAGTCGGAGGTTGCAGGGACGAGAACACAGTCTCTAGAGAAGACATACTGTAGAACCACAGGCCAATAGGAAAAACTGGGGGAAAACGGAGCGGGAACTTGGCCTCTTGTGGCAATTCGTGGGGTTGACGAGACCAGTACCACTGATTGAGACACAATAATATCCTCGCCGTACAGGTTCTGGAGCCACATAGGAAAAGGATACCTCGTCTTGTATGTCAAGTCAAATTGGTTCGGGAGACAAGATCCCAATTGACAAGGAGAAGCGACAACAATACGACGCAGACAAGAAGGTGGCGTTCGCGGCCACTCAAACGTTTGATTACATGATCAAGACTGGTCCCGAATACAGCTCTTGAGCACAGGGACTACCTTCATTTTCCTTGGGGTGAAAGAGGCTGACCCGAGAACGGTGTTCTACCATCTAATCGCGGCCGATGGAGGTGCACAGATGGCTGACGATCCAAGAGCCAATATTTTTCACACGGCAATTGGTTAGGTGCTCTCTTTCAGTCTCCTAGCATACTTGTCCGAAAGGCGAGCCACTACGGAACAGGGTGCGAGAAGGAATCTAATCAATATCACGTTGGCACCACACGGGTATACTTTTGTGGGCAAAGGGACGATATCGGTGTTTGTGCCGGATTTACGATACGAGGGCAGCATATATCGACGGCTCAAGAGGCATCAAGGGGAGGTAGTGCCAGCGTACCTAGGGAACATTGAGCTGATCGACGTGTGGTGGGATGTCCGAGTAGAGATTGTGCATATGTTACTAATGTCGTGAGAAGAACAGGTGGCCCGGCCCTCTGATACCTAGGATCTGCCCGGGGCAATCCAGCGGTCGGTTAATGAGATTCGAACGGCCGGGGTGGATCAAAAGGACGTGCTAGAACCGAATATCCTATAGAACGTAGAGCGACGGGGGTGAGTAAGGGCGGCCGATATTAGTGAACTTTGAACGTTCTCGCCTCCATCTACACCTACTACCACGCAAGCGCCAGACCCACGTATCTCTTCAGATTCAAGCCCAGATATTACAAAACCGGGCCTGACCGCAGGCAGTATCACCCTTTTTCCCGATTCGGGGTGAGGCGCGAGAAGTTCGACCATACCTTGGCAGCTGAAAAAGACAGCATGTCACACCCTTCGTATCGCGATGGGAATACGAGGCGAAGGCGAAGGCCCTTCAGCTGAGATGCTGAACACGAGAAATATCACGAGGGTGGCCTTTCAGCTCCTCAATTGACCTAACTTAAAGAAGATCGACTTTTGGATGTAGTGAGAAATGTGTCCCAACTCAAGACCCTCTTCTGTATTCATACCTACTACTTCATTGATCTTAGAAGTCTCAAGATAGCCTCCAGACCTGGTGATCCGGCCTAGGAACAAAACAAACAACAATATGCTCTCCGGTTCCTGCTTGTGTGGTGACATTACCTACACCTTCACAGGTGAGGTGTTGACCAAGGTAGATATTTCCCTCATCCCTTCCTCGGACACATATAAGTACCCACCCCCCTTCGCGGGACATATCTGATGGTGAAAACACCGCAATCACAGGCATTGTGCCACTGCCTTACCTGCCGCAAGCTGTCTGGCGGTGGATACACCACGTGTTTCCTTATCCCAGATCCTGACAGTAGCCCCGAAGCCGCATCCAACTTCAAGCTCCAATCCAAGACAAACACCCCTCTGCATGAGAGCTCAACCGTACATGAAATCGGTGTCAAGATCAAATTCTTCGGCTGCGCCAAGTGTCCAAGCATGATATACAAGACGGCCCCCGAAGGATTCCCAGGTGTCATCATCATGTTCGCCGGCTCTCTGGATGGCGAGGAAGGAGGAGATCTCAGGGCCAAGGGTGGTGCGGAAAGCCTCGGCAGTCCACAGTCCGAGTTGTGGGTGAAATACCGGCTTCCGTGGCTGAAAGAGGTGGACGGGGCAAAGCAGTGTCAGCAATTTGATGAATAGGGACACTGATAAAGGAATTTGTTTTCTCCGGTTGCTTTGCTGTGTCTTGCAATGGACTGGGCCCAGATATTTGGTCACTGTAGGTGGTTCGGAGGGGGAAAATGTACGTCTTGCTTGGGATTCGCTGACATCTGACCGGGACTTTTGAAGGTCTCTCTCTCTCTCTCTCTCTCTAGTGCTCATAGCAGATCAAGTGTCGAAGTCCGTAGTCTGAAATATTTTCTTCTCCTTGATGAGCTGTCCCTTGAAACGACGTCGGACCTGAAAGGATCCGCTGTGCTTCTGATATCGACCACAGCGTTTCCCTCTTCAAATTATCACCAACCATATTTATTTCCAGCCTCCTTTTTGTTTCTTCGTCCACTAGCAAAACTCTCTTCCAGAGCATCCTTCTGGGTTGTAGCAGCGTTTAGAAGTTGTTTCAAGTTGTGCTTGCCTGGTGCAATTGCCCGGACAGGGTTATGTTGGACCTGTTCACCGGCTGCCCGAAGTTCCTCGTTCGCAGCGTATTCTTGGTCCGTGTTGAAGTTGACTACGTTGATGGCTGTTCCTCTGGTGTTATTTCCTCGTCGGCCGAAAAGCTGTCTTCGGTCGGCTTTTGACAGACCCAAATCTGAAGCAATCGCATCAAGGCTCTGTCCGTGATGGGCGATGGAAGGGACCGTAGAAGGTTGATTCACTGGAGTGGAGGAAAGGTCTTCTTCACCAACCGGATCGTCTAGAATTTCGACTATTTCGTCCTCCTCGTCTGGTACTACCTGTGGTGATCCTTCGGGAATTGCGTTGTCAATACCCGTACCAAAAAGGCTCACTTTCTTCGGTGGTACTGGAGCAGGCGCAACAACTTCGGAGGAATGAGGTTTGTCAGAAGTCAGTGAAGCCGTTCCCGCACCATCAGCAGCGATCTTTGGAAGAATAGGGCCATCCGCTTTACGTTTTGGCTTCTTGTTGTTTCGTGCAACTGAAAGCGGCTTGAACATGAACGGGTTGCCTTTAGGGGTTGCGGCTTTGGAAGTGCTTGTTTCATCGTTTACACTGTTCTTCGGAATCGAAGGTATGGTCTCGTCCTGGTCCTGCGTTCCACTTTCAAATCGCCCATCCATTCCAGTCTCTTGCTCTGCAAACAGTTGCCTCATTTCGGCATCAGCCTCGCGACTAAAACCTGGTTCGGCGCCAGTCTTCAAACTGAAAACTTTTCTGGCTGCAGGCTTTGGCACGTTCTTTGCGTCCGCGTCTCGTTTTGGAGCAGGCAGCATGGAGTTAAACCCACTAAATGCGCTCGCCCCGATTCGAGGTCTTTTAGCAGCCGGTTCGCCATTTGTATCGTCGTTCGCTGGGAGGTCGTGTAGTTTTACTTGGATCTTTCGAGGATTTGTTTTGTTGACTGTGAAACTGGTGTTGGAGGATGCAGTCGCAGGCTTGGATAGAGGCGCTTTGGGTTGCGAGGTCTTCTCGTCGTCAGAGCCTTCTGAATCGGAATATGCGACTAAAGACATATCGTTAGGGTATCTCAAAGCCCGTGAGATTGGATGGGATATTGCGAGAAAAACGGGATTTCATCATACTTCGAGGAGCGGATGTTGTAGATCTACGGAGGGTTGTTCCAGATTCTTTTTGCAATAACTATTCAAATGACGTAGTCAGTCTAGCCTGGGGAACCTCGAGGGTTTTATGCTCTTCCTCATAAAGGGCCTCTCATGCTCTATTTTTTTCTTTCTACGGCTTCGTCGCGATACATTTCCAATCCCTCACATTAAATTCCGACATCGAGTGTGTAGTCTTATTAGACGTCCAAAACGCGCAATGCTGGCCGCAAGACTCGGTTTTCAGACAGCCTCGCGATCACTGCGTGTACGGCCTCTCTTACAAGCACATACTAAGCGACTATCAGCACCTCAGTTCCGCCAATTTGCAGATCGCCCACCATACAATCAATTTCCCAGACCAAGGAGTGGACAGCAGCAATGGAGCCGCTTTGGTCCCGTGCGAAATGCTCAATATCTTTGGAGGTATCATCGAACTGCTGTCTTGACTGTAGGCGGTGGTGGCGTGGCATTCTACGTGTACAATCTTGAGGAAGTACCCATCACACACCGCCGACGGTTCAATATTTATTCTCCCGAGTCAGAAAAGGCAGAAGCCGGTGGCCCTCAGGCCTATAACACGATTCTCAACCAGTACCGGGGCAGGATCCTTCCGGCCGACCATCGTTTGACAGAAATGGTGGCCCATGTTGTCGAACGTCTGCTCCCATCGACCGGAGGGTTGGCAGGTGATGAGTGGCGGGTACACGTCATAGATGATCCAGAACAAAAGAACGCATTCGTTATGCCGGGAGGGAAGGTATTTGTCTTCACTGGAATTCTCCCAATCTGTCAAACCGAAGCAGGCATCGCTGCTGTTCTCGGGCATGAGATTGCGCACAATGTCGCGCATCACGCGGCGGAACAGATGTCGAACAGACTGCCCATGGCCGCCGCCTCTGTTATCATCCAGCTACTTTTCCAGACCGATAGCTACCTCTCCGATTCGGCCGTGAACCTTTTGATGAACCTTCCTCACTCGCGGGTCCAAGAGGCCGAAGCGGACCATATCGGTCTTTTGATGATGGCCGAGGCATGCTATGACCCTCGAGAAGCGGTGGCATTCTGGACACGGATGAAGAAGGCAGAGCAATACGAACCTCCTCAATTCTTGTCGACACACCCCACGCATTACAATCGCAGCGAAGCACTTAAGCAGTGGATGCCAGAAGCTCTGACAAAGTATGCGGACAGTGGCTGTGAAGGGACAAATCGGTCTCTCCGAGATTTTATCGGCACAATGGGAAGACAACTACCTGCACCTTGATATGGAGGGGCGCCTGTGCAGCAAGGTTCAATGTTAGCCTCTTGGTTCGAATACTAAGTCCCTCTTCGATGACAAGCATTTCACCGTCGACATGCATATCTGCAGCTTTTCTCCTGCATTCAGTCCTTGGAAAACCTGGCTATTTTGGATTCAGCTGATGAAACCTCTCTCGATTCTATGATTCGCGGAACCACACAGCCTGATAGCGACTAGTACACGAGGTGCTTCCGAAGTGGCGCCTTAGCTGGCGTGTTACATTCATTTACTAGGTATTCTTGACTGCCTGCATGTACAACACAGATTCGCATCTTCGCCTCTTTCTCGAATGATCTCCCGCCCAGTCATACTAGGGTCGACTTTATTTCGGGCCTATCTCTCAACTCACCTTACCCTCATAACAGGGCAACATCATGTCTGGGAAGACTGATGTTCCCCAGCGTCGCTTCAACCATGCGTGCTACATCTGGTATGTACTTTATCACAAATATTAACGTTGCACCAAAGCAGATCTCACCGACGGCCATATCTAACAAATCCATATTAGGCAGTGGCCGTGCCATAGGCCTCGAATTTGCCGAGGTAGGATGCACATGACTCGCTCTTCTCGATATCAATGAAGCAGGGCGAAAGACCACCAAAACACTTGTCCTGGAACAATTCAAACCCGCCACCGCGGCCCGCACCATCACCACCGACCTAGCGGCCAGACCACCACCACTCGAAATCGGCATTCACAAAGTCGACGTCTCGTCTCGCCGAAAACGTCGCCGCCGCCTTTGCCGCGACAAGGGCTAAATTCTGTCGCATCGATTACTCTGTTCATCTGCGCAGGCTTCCTCGTTTTCAGCGGGGGCAGTGCCGTCCTGTCCGTGGAGTCTTTTGGCAGAGATACCTGCAATCATCTACTGTGGCCTGTGGCTCTTGCTCTGGCGAAGCCATCAGGATCATACGTACCCAAACCCCTTCGACAACGAAGCGTACCCGGACGCCCGGAGCTCCACCGCCAACGTTATCTTCAGATTTGGCACTGTACACGATACCCCAATTCGCCTGCGTGCAGCGGCGTCCAAGGCAGCCATATTGGTCCGTCAAGCGGTTCGACGTCGTTTCCTGCAGCCAGTGACGAGATCCCGCGTCAACGTTGCGTTTGCCGGGACATCATCAACTCGTCCATGACGGACCCGAACCCTCAATAATGAGGCCGTGACTGGACGAGAACGCCGCCTGAAACACACCCGTGAACCGATTTCGGACGACCAGAAGCCGAAGTCGCCGACGTGTGTGCGTCTTCCTGCGCGGGCCAACAAGGCGAGCTACGCCGCCGGTGCCAGCTGGAGTTGTCGATGTATGGGGGTTGGGTTTCTGGTGATCGAAGATCTTTGAAGACACTTATCATACGGATAGCCTACCTAGGTATACTTTCTCGAGCACAAAGCGGCCCGGAAACGTCCTGGTATCTGTAATCAATTCTGCTCCAATTCAGACACTACTACGGAGTCAAAAAAGAGAAAGAGGAATACTACAAAATGGGTATCTCTCCTTTTTTCTTTCTTCGTTTTCCTTTTCATCTCTTTCCGTTTGGCTATCAACTCACGTATCTTCATTTCCCCCTCAGCTCTCATATTGGCATTGGACATTATCCGAGTTGGCTTACTACCCTATATACACCTAGGTATCAAATATCAAGATCCGGCCCCCATAAGATATTTAACTATGTACTCCAGGGAAAAAGTCATGACACGTCCACCGTCTTTTGATCTCATAAATATATGAATAAACCACGTCAATATCATTGGTATCAGCTAAGAGTCGGACTCTGCGCGGGGCTTCGTTCGGTCTCAATCTTGGTCCTCAACATCTTCACATACGTACTCTGGCTATTCGAGCTCGCGCTCAGCACATTAAACAAGCACCGCAACTCACGGCTCTCGTTCCACTGGCAATTCGCCAGCGTCAACATGTCCATGAGAGTGTAGGTGACCTCGAAAAGCTTCTCAAAGATGCCCATGCCGTGCACGAGGATCGCATCGTAAGCACCGTCCGTGTCCGCTTCGTCGAGGCCCAGGCATGCGCATAGATCTTGTGCGATGGTGATGGGGTACCGCGAGCTGAAAATCGGGTCCGGGGACGTATAGCTGATCAGACCTTGGCGCATGCTGGCTTGCCAGAAGATGAGCCGGAGCCACTGGTGCGTAATGAGCACATCTGCCTTTTGGACGTCTGTCATCGCAAAGGAGCCAAAGGACATCTCGTTGAGTGCGTGTTGGAGACCTGCGATGTTGTCGAGAGGTTCCGTTTCCGTGTCGGTGTCCCCACCGCCGGACCATAGGCGAACAAACTTCTCGTCGAGGATGGAGAAGAGATTCACGAGGGCCGAGAAGCCCGCGAGGACAACGGCGTCGGTTTCGTCAAAGTATTCGTTCGGCAGGCTCGGTAGGCGGGTGATTTGGGTGGGTTTGTTGCGGAGGATGGCGAGGCCGCGCTCGGTGATGAATAGCAATGCGATGGTGCGGCGTGAGCATATTGCATTGACATCGGAGAGGGAGGTGTATGTAGATTCACGGTGGAGACCTTGTTCGAGGGCCATGCCGATGGCTTCGCGGAGGTAGAAGGCATGAGCCTTGGGTCGGTGGAGTTCGAAGAGAGCCACAGCAATATGATATGATGCTTGAATGGAGAGGAGTGTGGTGTTCTCGGCCCAGTCGGGAGCGGCGCATTGGCGGAGATATAGGCATAGTTGGACGAATTGGAGGCCAAGAGCGTGCTTCTTGTCCAGGGGAAGGTCGGACTGCGGAGCGGCATGAAGGACTGTGGTGGCGCAGAGAGAGACAATGAGGACCTTTTCTTCGAGGTTGAGCGTCTCTGCAGACCGCAAACGTGCTAATAGACTCTGTTCGTGGATGATGGGCCGGATAGAGTATAGGTGTCGGAAGTATTGGCGGATGCATTGGGACATGAGGAGGGCGGAGAGGCCAAATTCGTTGGCGAGTTGTTGAATCTGTGGTTCGATGGGCGATGAATGAGAATCGCTTCGATAAAGGAACTTTGGGCCCAGGGACGGCATCGGTGATGATGCTGTCGTCGCTGGAGAGTGGGCGCCGTTAGCGCTACTCAACATGGCGTCGAGGGAGGTCAGTTTGGTGAGAGGAGTGGATGTTCGTGACGGTGAATGCTGGCTGTGGTTCGAACGGGCATGTTGCTGCACGGCTTCACCGGGGATGAATGTTTCTGGAAATATTTGCTGGGCCAGGTCGCTGACGGTCATGTAGCCTGTCGGAGAGATGGGTGCTTGGAACTGTAGCAGCTCGGAAGGTGGCATCTGCCACGATGCTGGAAACTGTATGCCTGCTTGCGTAAAGGCTGTGTGCGAGGTTGGCTCAAACGCTGTGCCATTCTGTATTGTAGGCACAGATCGAGGGACATTGTTGGGGTCCGAGGGAGGAGCAAAGACGTCGCCAAAGTGCGAGCTGGAAGGTGATGACAATGGCGAAGCCAATTGCGATCCCAAAGGGCTGTCGTTGCTCCATGTCCGATTCAGCGCTGGGATTTGCATCTGCATCTGGGAGAAATCGAACGGCGGTACTGTTGTATCTTGCTGCGTCTGCTGCTGACTCTCATCTCTGAGCTTTGCTATGACCGATCCTGATCCTTTCTTTGGGCCCCTCTTCTTTCGCGCAATGTCTCTTGTGCACCTCAGACCGGCCGAGATGCATCTCTCGCAAGGCTCAGTCTTGGAGCATTTCACTTTGCGTTTCCGACATGCATCGCAGGGGAGGAGGGATTCGGGTGTTGCGGGACCAGCGCCATTGTCCTCGATGGATTCAGCCATTCATGAAACTCTCGACTGCAAAGAAGCAGCCGCTCAGGCTCCGGAGTTTGAGGACAGGTCGACCAATGCTGTAGTCATAAGTCTGAGCGTGAGGACGAAGCTGTGTCAATTGCCATGCGCATGCCCATGTTGAGAGAGAGCGGGGGAGAGCGATGCCGGGGAGCCGGAGGTTTTCGAATACGAGGCAACGAACATCTGCAAAGAGTACCTAGAGTTAATGTGCTTCAGTGTCAGATCTCCTTAAGTCTTCAGCATGCATAGAAGCGGAGAGGCCTTTTGTAAGCGTTGAGTGTTGGGCATGTGAGATTGCACATGACTGAGACTCTTTCTCGGCCTCTTCCAGAGGGGCATCGCAGTAGCCGACGCAAAGGAGTGGGTGTTTCGTCCATTCAAAGGCGAGCATACAGAAAGCTGGGGAAGACTAACAACATCCCTGGTGCTTGGGCCTTCACCATCGATCCTGAAGCGGAAACTCCATCCAGATGAGGATCCTAGCTTGAAGTCAGATATCTTTTCTTCTGCTGCAATTGCACTCACACACCTTTCATACTCCATACAAGTCAAGCCATGGCCGACGCACTGGCTGGTGCTGTGCCACCGCCATTTACGCTGGACACCGGAACCGCCATTTCCTTGGGCATTGCATTCTCCCTGATGCCCCTGGCTCAAGGTCTAGCTGCTGCTTTCTTGCCTGCAACTACTCCTAGGAAGTATTACTGGCTATTCCTATGGCATGCCTACGGTATGGAAGATCCATGAGACTTCCTCGTCATGTGTACTGACCAGGTATTTCTGTGTTGCAGATTTTCTCACCCATTTTATCATCGAAGGGAGCTTCCTATACCACTGTTTTTTCTCCTATATCGAATTAGCTGTGACTGAAGATACGCGTTTGTCAAGAGGAGGCAGCAAGATACCAGTACTGTTCGACCGGCCAGATCGCCAGTATGGAGCTCTGTCTTCGTCTGGACCTATGGCGAGGTTGTGGGCAGAATATGCAAAAGCAGACTCGCGATGGGGGGGTGCTGACTTGATGGTCATATCCGTCGAGCTTGTAACTGTTCTCCTGGATGGGCCAGGGGCTGTTTACATCTGCTATCTGATATCCAAGATTGCCAATGTCAAAGATGCTGCATTAAAAGGCCAATATCAATCACGTCTCTGGTTTGTTGCGATTGTGGTCGCAATCCTCGAATTAGTGGGCGGATGGTATACATTTGCGCCCGAGTGGCTCAGTGGTAACCATAGCCTAGCTGGCGATGACCCAGTGTACTTGTGGCTTTACCTGGTGTTCTTCAACACTCTCTGTAAGTGTTCTGTCGTCGTGCCATGAGATGAAACTCACATTATCCAAGGGGTGTTTATTCCGTGCTGGGTACTATATCTGGCTTACAGCGAAATTTTCAACGCCTTTACAGGACGCAGCCGTGTCACTTCAACAAACAAGACCAAATAGTGAAGAGCATGTGTCAACTTGTATATGTCAGGCCTAGGATAAAAACGCCAAACTCCACTCCTGGACGCAATCGCTTCCAGGATGAGCGTAGCAACATGAAGTGCTTCTTTCCTAGACCTCAAACACCATCATCTTGAATTCAGAATCAGGCGGCTAGGGATGAAATAGGGCTTATTTTCAGCCAAAGCAGGCCCACCACCACCAGTCTACTATCTCATTGCAGACCGTTACTTAGCCTCAATGCTTTCTCAAAATGAAGCTTTATCACTATGAAGCCGATTGGGACCTAGGCGGCCTCATCATGGTCAAAGTGTGCGGCACGTCGATCTCTGGTGAATCGAACTCCACCACATCCACGACTTTCCAGCCATTTCGCTCATACAGCCTTGACCCAGCTGGTCGAGCATTAAGCCAACTTACTACATTCTCGCGATCAGCAGCGTCCGTTCCCCATTCAATCAGCTTCTGTCCAATACCCTGTTTCTGATACGACGGATGAACAATCAATCGGTGCAAGCCTAGGATGGATGAAAGACAAAACTCAGCACACTCTCACAACGATGTAGAACCACTCGAAATTGGGCGGCATTTGAGCTTGTTGCAAAATTCCAATTCAAACTTCGAGCATGTGGCTTTCAGAAGACTTACACATAAACTTCTTGCCCCTAATATGGGTGATGCAACTGTTCCATACTTTGCGGCCATGCTCTTCTAGAGGGTCAGAATAGAATGGCTTCAGGTTCGGTTCCTGCTTCGCTGCTGCGATGTCGACTCCTTCAGCCTCGCCCTGGTCATTTGGTTCTGCAACAACAGCATTCGGCAGCGGGTGTGCGGCAGAGGACGGCTCATCGTTATTTTTCTTGATCGCGAAAGGGTCGACCTTGGGCACGTTCAAGTATCCCAGCCTCCACTGTGACAGGCCGATGACGGTCTCCTTCTCCGACTCCTCCGCGGAATCTGATATCAGAACGACTTTGAATAGGGACGTTTTACCTGACTGGTTCCGCATTGCATTGGTCAACTTTTGAAGAGTGTCGTTGTAGACGCTCTGCGTATCGTAGCGTTCGCGAAATTCCCAATATGGGTCAGGTCGTAAGGCGAGGTCGGAGAGGTATGCTAGTGTGGGAAGATCGGCTTCGGACGTGACGGGCTTGATGATGTATTTGACGCTGTTTGGAGGACGTGGTGTAGTCGTACCCGGAGGTGCTTCTGCGGTTGGAGGCATCCTTTACCAAACTTTGGACTTTGACAAGTGTGTCCTCTTAGCCGCGCAGTGATTTGGTCGTCAGGGCCCGTGGTGAAAGGACTTGCAGCATTTGGTTAATACCTCTTCTGGATGGTGGTTCGTGTCCTCGAAAAGTTCCACTACTCAGTATACGACAGCGGCACGAAGAAGCGTTCTCTGACTCCTCCGTTCTAGCAAGTGCTTCGTTCCATGCAACTGTCAGACTCAAGATCAACGATTGGCGACGAGTGTGTGTTTGACGATTTCCTGTCGGTAAGTATATTCGCTGATTGACCTACTTGTGCCAAATGACTGACTCATAAAAGGACCTCGGGCATCTGGCCAATAGTCGGAGATGCTCGGATATGACATCCTGTCACGTACTCCAGGCAGCACCACGAAGCAATGTGGACGCCCACCCTTATACGGAGTACATATCTCGCATATACCTAGTGGTCGTTGCAGAAGGCCCAAGAGTACAGTCCTCGAATACTTCTCGAAGAGAGCTTGGATCTACAAATGGTCTGCGCATGGGCAGACGAGCGGCGGCTCTGGGATACAATCTTGGCGTCCAAGCACCAGCGAAGGATCCCAACCATGGAAATTGAGCCTATGGCAACAATGGTGTACCGAGTTACAGTACTGTTACGATGCTACCGACGGCACTCTGTACTTCATGAACCGATGAGGCTAGGAGTGACCCGCATGATGAATGGTTCATAAGCGAAATGAGCGGCGGCCATATCACGCACCGTACACGAGATTGGGAGTATATCGCGAACGCAATGTTGCATTGATCGATGTGATACTGACTCATAAGTCAACGAAGATCCTAGATGTGGACAAATTACACAAGACCTGCCGAGGTCTTTTGTTGTTGTCTTCTGCGACTGCCATCACGTATGGTTTTACTCGCCTTGGCCGTCACTACACAATGTCTGGTGACTGACTCATTCTCTCCCAGTACTAGTAAAGCATCAAGTTTCCCTTGGTGGCGAATCAGAACTGAGAAGATTCTCTTTAGCAAGGGTGGCCGCATATTTCGCTGCACAGTGATCACGATGCGAACAACAGAATTCAGGTATATGCTTTCTGACCAACCTCGATTCTATCGACCAAGGCCATTAAGAAAGAGGAACTGGGCGTTCATTGGTCTCAATGGACCAAGCTTGTCTTGCCACGAACGTTGCACTAATCCCATTGACACCCTTCTGATATCGAAACGAGCTCAGGGTTCTTGTTGTTCGGAGTCCGGCATTTGAGATGGTCAGGCCGTTTTCCCGCTGAAAGGTGAACACAGGAAGGTATCCCACAGACTCTGCGCATGCAGTTTCTTGAGCGGGGAGTAAGACCTGGAGCTTACCAGGGATATGTGTCAACTAAACGACAAGAAGATCCCGTTGATGGCTTGTAAATAGCCCGCGCTCAAACCACACCACTACAAGGGCGCGAGATACCAGGAGTAAAGTCAACTGCAAGTGCGTGAAATCCTTGTTCAAGGCAAGTAGCATCCTTCAGCTCTCCATCTATCGTTCCACCACGTCAATTGTACTTGTGACTGTAGTCTCCTGCCCCTAGGAAGAGTTTTCAAGGTGGAGATAAACGGTATTCCCCAGCGCACAGTCATACCTGGTCGTATTCGCCCTCGAGGCAGGACACCAGAAACATGCACAAAGCGATCATCAATAGAATCTCAACACGTGTGGGCGATCGTGCTAGCTTGACCCTCCCCTCCCGGCAAACCGCGTGCGCTCCAGGGTTTTTGAAGCATGTATTATCATGAGAGGGAAGAATATCTCCACTCGTGCCGTGCTGCGATGTACATTGACGGCCCTGGCTTCAACGGGCCATCGATACGAGCACTCGTACTCGTACTCGTAGTAACGAGGACGATCGCTGTCGCTGGGTGATGGCCCGAAAAACAGGGCATGCTCGTCGTCGTCCCGCAGTGTGAGTACGACCTACGCGGGGACAGGCAACAAGGGTGGGCATTGTTCTGATCCTGAAACCTGCGACGTTGCATTTACAAGAAATCCTGAATTGGACAACGATTGGTGTGGACATCCGAGTGGGTAGTGGTAGTATGCGATGGTAAGTGATCAGCAGATTCGTTGCATTTAGGCCTGAATTGCTGCTTCAAACGACAGAAACATTACGGAATATGTTGATCGCCCGTTGTTCCCTATGCGGTCAGTGGCGTCTTTAGGAGGCTTGCTCGGCAAGACGGCAGCCTCTTTGTGGCCTCTTTGGACCAGCTCGGCGGCCAATTAAGCTAGACACAAGCACGCATGGGTCACGCCTTAGGGGGGTTCTATACACCAGGATTGGATGTACACCCACAGCCACGCCAGTCACCCTGGCAAGCCATTTCCGGACATTCAAGCCTCATGCGAGATCCACTTCTATCACACTGACCAAGCCCAGTCTCTGCTCCCTCCTCCTCCATTCTTCCCCACAGGCCATTCAACTGCCAGTCATGCTATAGTCTGGGAGACCCGGTCAAACGATGCGCATGTAACTCTCTCCGCCCAGAGAGGTCTGCTAGGGTGGTCACTGGGTGAAGGTGAGGGCACCAGGTTGGGTGCACAGGTCAATCTATTTTTTTCTCTCCATGACCTAGACTAAACGGATCTGTTGATATGTCCGTCTGTCGTGGCGTCGCGTGCGAAAAAAGCTACAAGTACACCAGGCGCCCACCCTGTGTCGCTCTCCCTCTCAACCCTCCCAAGGTACACCTCTTGTGTCTAGGTACGCAGACGACTCGTTCCACAACATGTACCAGATTGGCAACATCTACTTCATCACGGCCATCGCCGTCATCGGTGGTGGCCTGTTTGGTTTCGATATCTCGTCGATGTCGGCCATCATCGGCACTGACCAATACAAATGGTATGTTCAGAACTCGCAAGATCTGCCTGCGAATCTGTTGTCACTGACTTTGTGATCTCTCAGTTACTTCAACGAAGGATCCGGCCCACCTGACTGCTCCGGTCCTCACTCAAGCACTCAGGGTGGTATTACTGCTGCTATGCCCGGTGGTTCGTTCCTCGGTGCCCTTGCCTCTGGCTTCGTAGGTTGCCCCTAGACCTAAAGACGCTTGTCATTGCTAATCTCAATCAGTTGACCGACATCTTTGGTCGTAAGAAGGCCATTCAAATGGGTTCCGTTATCTGGTGCATTGGCTGTATCATTGTGTGCGCGTCGCAAAATATTGGCATGCTTGTGGTCGGTCGCTTCATCAACGGTGTCAGTGTCGGTATTTGCTCTGCCCAAGGTATGTCCATATTTGCAACCCCTGGGTTCGTACATGGCTGACAGTACACGCACAGTTCCTGTTTATGTCGCCGAGCTTGCGCCTCCTAGCAAGCGTGGCCGTGTGGTCGGTGCTCAACAATGGGCCATCACATGGGGTATCATGATCATGTTCTACATCTCTTATGGATGTAGCTACATCAAAGGGTCTGCGGCCTTCCGTGTCCCATGGGGCTTGCAGATGATTCCAGCCATCATCCTTGGATTCGCGCTCTTCTTTACCCCCGAATCTCCAAGGTACGTCTTTGAAATTCGCAAACGCTCGCCAGGGGATATACTGACCCATGGACAGATGGTTGGCTCGCAAGGATCGCTGGGAAGAAGCTCACGGCGTTTTGGGTACGTATATCTACTATCTGCTTATTGAGAGCTCTAGCTGACTGGATTTGTCACAGCCCTCGTCCATGCCAAGGGTAACCGCGATGCACCTTTCGTCTTGAAAGAACTTCAGGAAATCCGTGAATTCGTAGCGTTCGAGGCCCAGACCAAGGACGTTTCTTACCTTGAACTCATCAAGCCGAACATGGTCTACCGACTCCACGTCGGTGTCTTCACCCAGATCTGGTCTCAATTGACAGGAATGAACGTGATGATGTATTGTAAGTGGTATGACATTCGAGGCAAAAACACAATACTTACAGCGAATAGATATTACATATGTCTTCGGCATGGCTGGCTTGACGGGCAACACGAACCTGATTGCTAGCAGCATTCAATATGTAAGTCTGAAGGCCGTAAATTCTCCCAGAGTAACTTATGTCTGACAATTTTTAGGTCATCAACGTTGGCATGACCATTTTCGCATTGGTCTTTATTGACCGTTGGGGACGTCGATGGCCATTGTTGATCGGTTCAACCTTTATGATGACTTGGATGTGGGCCAATGCTGGCCTGCTGGCTTCCTACGGCAGCCCAGCGCCACCTGGAGGTGTTGGTGGCGTTCCTGAAGAGTCGTGGCAAATCAGTGGTGCTCCTGCTAGAGCAGTCATCGCCTGCACCTACCTGTTTGTGGCTTCCTTCGCACCAACTTGGGGTCCGGTCAGTTGGATATACCCTCCGGAGCTGTTCCCTTTGCGACTGAGAGGCAAGGCTGTTGCCGTCACGACTGCTTCGAACTGGGTCTTCAACTTTGCCCTCTCGTACTTCGTCCCACCTGCCTTTGTAAGTGCCACCGTCGATTGAGCTGACAGAACGCACAAGCTAATTGAAAACTAGGAAAACATCAAGTGGAAGACTTATCTCGTCTTTGGTTGCTTCTGCACGGCCATGACCATCCACGTCTTCTTCTGCTTTCCCGAAACCGCTGGCAAGACCCTGGAAGAGGTCGATGAGATTTTCAACAGTGGTGTCAAGCCATGGAACACTCATGTGGACTTCCATCGTGTCCGCAGAGAAGAACAAGGTGACATCGACATGGAAAAGAAGTTGAGTCTTGGTGGCCAACACCACGAGAACACAGATGTCGCCAACGCTACCACCGAAACTCAGACCATTGAGAAGCATGAAGCTGCATGAGTGAATCATCTCGCGAATGTGCGTACATGGTCTCGGGTTTAACCGAGACACATTGCCCAAGTAATTGAATTGATCTCATGGACCGGACCATAGCTATGATCGAGGTCGATATGGATGGACAATAGCCCTCAGAAGAGACGTAGGAGGATGGAACGTATTCACTCACTAACTCCTTTGGAAGTAAATTTGTTCGAGAATGCCTATTTGATTATCCACATGCAATGCTCTTTGTGCTGTAACTCAAGGCGGTCTCTTACTCTACTCCGTACGAGCCTTTGCTGATGTAAATAGTTTCGTCAGCCTTGCTAAACTAATTTTAGAATTCCGGCGCCTGCCACGAAGCGCCTAGTGGCCCCTACTGGAATACTTGCACAATTGGCATCCTGAGCCTTGCCAGCCCACAATGATAGGCGTCTTGGGTGTGCTCCAGTTGCCCCTCGGTTCAACACCAGGCTCCCATTCCTGCCCAACGAAAGGGCTTACGGTTATAGGAACTTGCCTTGGATCAGCCTAGTAGTAAGCCTCATGCTCCTTGGTATTTTGTACGCCAATGCAGCATCATGACTCTCTCGCCTGCCACTTCAGCTACACTGCCCAGGATTAGTTTTTTTCTGGCCCTCACTTCTTGACATGATATGCTTTGCGCCACCATCGCCTCTCTTCTGGTTGGGCATTGCTAGCATGCATATTGGCCAGAGAATGTCCTGAACATCGCTTCTGTTCCGTACTTCTCGACATGTCAAGAACATGACCTTGACATCGCCATGGCTGCAGCTGCTGTTCCTTCGGCCACAGGCCTTCTCAACCTAGAGAAAGAGCTCGTTTGCTTCATCTGCACAGAAATCCTCTACCAACCTCTAACTCTCCTCGACTGCTTACATACATTTTGCGGATCTTGTCTGAAAGAATGGTTCTCGCACCAACACCGCAAGGCATTACACTCTCACTCCACCTCCTCTGGGTCTGCGTATACTTGTCCGACATGTCGTGCGGTCGTCAAAGATGTTCAACACAATGCCATGATCAATACTTTGTTGGAGATGTTCCTAGCTGCGAATCCCGAGAAGGATCGGTCGCAGGAAGAGAAGGCGGAGATGGCTCAGGCCTACAGACCAGGCGACGATATACTTCCAAAGATCGAGGGTCATAGGCGCAGAGAGCGGAGAAGGCGAGAGGAAGAAGAGGTGTCACACCGCGATCGAAGAGGTCAAGATGACAGAAGCAGACGAGAATACCAATTACACCCTTCCTCGGCTGAAACTAGACGTGCCCCTCGGTCATCTAGTGGGAGCACCACAAGCCGTGAGCGGCGACCAAGATCTGACAGCTCGAGGACCCCAGATCGCACAGACAGACATCAACGTCAATCAAGCGTAGATGCTGTAGCATCAAGGACCCGGTCGAGGGATAATGCCAGTGCTGAACATGTGTCAAGCTCTTCTCCGGCGCTCGGATCTCCTCGCCATCCAGATGCAGTGGAAGCTCGTCAGCGAGGAGCACGCACTGTGGCTCACCAGGCCAGCTTGATCTCAATCGTTAGTGCATCGGAAAGCGGAACTGGGACTGGTGAGAGTCTCAACGAAGCACAGGTAATGCAAGAGATCCTGGCTGATGGGCTTTTGGATGGTATCAACATCGATGAGTTGACAGAGGCCGAACAAGATGAACTTAGTGAGATGATAGCCGAAAGATACCGTCAATTGCACCCGGAGAGAGTACGTCGAGCACCATCAAATGGCGTCACACCTGACGAGCCGGGGTCAACATTGGTGCGTTCAGAAGAGCAGAGTGAGGAAGTCGATCGTCGTCCGCGTGCACCATCGAGCAGTAGTCAACGGCAGCATCCCCATCCTAGTCCTCGAACGAGCCGCAGTGTGGTCATCGGCGCCCCAGCCGTGCGCCCGCCAACATCGTTCCCTCAGTCCACAGCTGATCCGGCCTTGCCAGCACTACAAGATAGAGCCCATCGACGCAGAGCCTCGAATGAAAGTGGCAGAAGTGAACAGTCAGCCACAAGGACTGGAAGGAGATCTGCAACCGATCTATCTGAAAGGCCACAGTCCAGCTCCACAGCCTTGGAACGCCCTCGGCAACTATCTAATACGAACAGAGCAAACACAGAACCGAAAAGTCATCCAAGAGCGTCCGAGGTATGGCAAGCTACTGGCCGACCAGTTGCTAGTCCACCTCAAACTGGGTCCTCCTCGTCACAGTCTCCTAGGGTAGTGATGTCAAGTGTGAACACAGGACCGGTTCCTACCACAATCTCAAGGTCCGAGCCATCTATTCCAGCAGTGCCGGCGATAATAGCGTCGACTGGACATGCAAAATCTTCAGTCGCATGTGCGCGATGCTCACGACCTAACATCCAGTATGAGGTCCATAAGCATTGCGCATCTTGCGACATTGATCTATGTATGAAGTGTTACAGAGCTGGTCGTGGTTGCAATCACTGGTTTGGGTTTGGCCATGCTGCCATGTTCAGGTTCGAATCATCACATCCTGCAAGAGTTGGACAGGCGATCGAGTTACCCCATATGCTTATTGGCCGACAGTATCAGAGGCAGCCTTCCTTGCAGAATTCTGCACTGGCAGCCATGGACGCAAACTTACGTCCGCTAGAGGGTAATTTCTGCGACCGATGTGGCGCATTTGCCAATGAATGTTTCTGGTCATGCGATTACTGCAATGACGGTGAATGGGGATTTTGCAATGATTGTGTCAATACAAACCATTGCTGTAGGCATCCTCTCTTGCCAGTTGCCCACAAGTCAACTGTCCCAGATGTTGCTCCCCGGACTGGTCCTTCAACGCATTCTGGTGCCCTGACACTGAACCCTTTTAGCGCTGTAGGAGGGGTGCCATCACCAGCACACAGCGCTCCTTCAAGTGCTACTTCAGCCACTGGGTTTGGTGCTGGGCTTCGCGTTGACTTTGTCCCGTTGGTAATTACAACGAACTGTGATATTTGCTCACGGCCTATTTCGCCAGAGGACCTTCGTTATCATTGTCCGGAACATGCTACACCGTCGCCAGAGAGGCCTGATCAGAAAGGTGATTATGATCTTTGCCGATCCTGTTATCTCAGCTTTGTCAAGACGGGTCGTATCAAGCGTGAAGATGGCCCAGATGGGTGGCGCCTCTGCCCAGAGGGCCATCGCATGATAGCTGTGGTGTTCGAAATGGATGCGGACGGCGGACAACGGAGAGTGATCACCTGTGATCTGGTCGGCGGTACTAAAATGACTGGAGCAGACATAGTGGCATGGAAGCTTGCCAGGACTCATCTGAACGAGACACCCTGTGCGGAACCTACCACCAACAGCACTAGTCGGGGACAATGGATCTGGCGTGAGGATAGCACCAGCACACGACGTATGGCTCGTCCGAGGACAACAACCTTGCCGTCTTCTACAAATTTTCCTCCGAATGGGGGTATCGGCAAGATTTGTCGTAGCCTGTGGAGTTATTATCCCGATGAAGGCGAGGAAGGGAAGGGTGAATTGATGTTTCCCAAGCATGCGGAAGTGGGTGAAATTGAAGAGGTTAATGAAGATTGGTGGTTTGGGGTCTATGCTGGAGATATGGGCGTTTTCCCTTCTACGTATGTACGGGAAATATCGACTGGTTGAGTACCTGCAGGTCACAGTTGCATCAGGATGCGCACATTGTCGTGATTTATAATGATCTAGTTATGGGATATCAGACCACGAAGAAACGACCTCAGAGTCTATTATGATTACGATGATGACTGTCTTGTTGAGAGTGGCCGAACTGAAAAGGTTTTTGTCGGATGTGGAAATAGGAGGGATATTTTGAGATGACTTTTGCAACACACGAAAATTCGGCTTCAGACTTGATAGGAGAGGTATTGGTTATATTGATTCAAGGTCTATATAAGATTTGGGTTCATTTTTATGTCGTGTCTATCACATCATCTTGATCAGCATGATCATGATTCTCATCACGTTTCTTGAAAACAAGAGATCCATGAGTTTCCATGAAACGAAATGTGTCACATTAAATAGGGCTTGCTTGATATTCCTAACGTTTTCTCTTTGGTCGCTAAACAAACGTCTCTGATCTCTGGTTTCTGGTCACCAATCACTGATCACTGTTATTGACTGTTTCTACTCGGTGAGAGGCTATGGGGGAGGTGAAAGAGAGAGGGGGTGGGAAGGGAGGATGTCAATGCCAAACGCCAGACCTTCACCCCTTTGCTCACCTCGCCATCGGTTGCTCTGTCCGAATTGTTTAAAAGAGGCAGGCAATATAACACCGACTCATTCTTCTGATCGAAAACATGTACACCGTGAGACAGCTTCCCAAGAGAAATCGGTGTCGTTGATAAATTGAGATTGAGATTGATTGAGACCATCTGTTCTTTTTTAATCTTTCCAAAAGAAGAATGGCTTCTCAAGATACTTGTGATGGTCTGGCGGCAACAGCACAAGGAAATGAATCATCACGACAGATCCAACAACCTGAGCATGTACAGTCTGGACAGATCGATGATCATGATTCTCATATTTCCATAGACCCAAACGACATGAATGATGGAGTCCGGGGAGGAGGAAGAAGGGGCATGGAAATGGAAGTGGAAGGCCGCGACGACGACGACAGCGACAGTATCGACCGAGAACGTGTCAAAGCCTGTATCGACTTTACCCTATGGCAACATTCAGAAGGTAGATGCATGAGTGAACATTTCCAAGATAGGGTGGCGTACAACCTGGCAAACCACAGATGGCATATGAGGCGCAAAAAAGGGTACAAAGGGTTTGGTTTTGGTCGCCTCACAAAAGAGAAAAGCCACCACAAGGATTGCTCGAGTTGTATAGCTTCCTATGCAAACTCTGGTGTCCTCTGGGAAGAATTTGTCCAGGCTGTAGGAGATTGGAGGAATCGTCAGAAGATACTCGAGACCTACATCTCGGTAGGAACGCAACCATGTCGTCCCCTTGATCATGATGATGGACAAAAACAACAACACACACTTGTTGAGCGTGCAGAGGAAGCTTTGGACGTATGCAGTAGAAGTCTGGAATCTTACGAATCTTGTCGTGAACCTTTGCGCGACGTTCTCGACACTTTGAAAAAAAAACTGAGTCCGAAAGCTATCGAGATGGCAGAGGGGATGATGGAACAAATGCGGACATTGTGAGGGAGTAGATATAGCGTATATGATTTCGTCTGACATTGTTCCGAGGCTTGGATCTAGACCTAAATGGTTGGATGAAATAGTGTCAGACAGTGTATGGAGTATCATACCAGAAGTATCCATTTCCGGAGCAAAGGGTGATCATTTCAGTTGTGGTGGTCTACGGCGGAGCATATGCATGAACTACTCGACCTGGCAATTGGACCGCAGTCAGCAAAGCAGCTTAGAACAAAGGATTCGTTGAAACATTGACTGCTTCACCTTCCACCTCGTATTGTGGCTGTGGTGTGCGTTGGCAGGTATCTTTTCTGTTTCAAAAAGGACTGCAGGCTCAGTCTTTCTGTTTGTTCAGTGTGAACGTCATCCCTTCTTCACCAACAACCTCAAAAGTCATGGCGAATCGCTTCGTCCGGTCCTCCAAATACCGGCACGTGTTCGGTCGGTCAACTCGGAAGGTGTGCAGATCCCGCCTGGCAGAGAAGAAAACAAGTCCGGGGTTGCTGAGACTTTCTATTTCTGATAGGAACAATGCTATGACAATGTGAGAGTGTCGAAGAATGCCTGGGACACCAATCTGGTCAAGGTATGTATGCAAGTGGAGAGAGACATGCGCGCAAGCAACCAAGCAACCAAGCAACCAAGCGAGTTAGCAACGACAGTCACTAACTCAAGCACCTGCCTAGGCCAACCCCGAATACCTAGCGGTCAACTGGGACAGCAGTGGTGGTGGCGCATTTGCAGTCATTCCTGTGAACGAAAGAGGTCGACTACCGGAAAGGATACCTTTATTTCGAGGACATACCGCCGTCGTACTAGACACAGACTGGTTGGCGCACCCGAGCATCGAGATTTAGAAGTGCAAAGCGCTCACAAAAGACAAAAGGAACCCTTTCAATGACTCTCTGATAGCCTCTGGCTCCGACGATGGCAAAGTAAGAAACATCATGAAAGATTACAAAAGAATACACAGGCTGAGTGCTTGCGGCAGGTCTTCTTGTGGAGAGTGCCCGACGATTTTACCCTCCATCTCGACGTTCCCGCGGACGAGGTCCAGGACGTTGCTCCGGTGGGCAAGCTGAGCGGTCACCCGAAGTGAGTACACGCCATTTTCCGGAATCAGGAGTGAAGCTGACTTCATTTCAATTCAGAAAAGTCGGTCATGTCCTGTTCAACCCCGCCGCCGAAAACGTTCTAGCATCCGCCGCTGGAGACTTCACCGTCAAGATTTGGGATATCGAGTCTGGCAATGCCAAACTCAACTTGAAGGTTGGCGAGGTCATTCAATCCATGTCCTGGAGCGCGAATGGATCTCTACTGGTCACCACATCTCGAGACAAGAAATTGCGAATATGGGATACGAGACAGGAGAAGCCAGCTCACGAAGTTGCGGGACATGCCGGTGCCAAAAATAGCCGAGCCGTGTGGATGGGTGAGCACGATAGAATTGCAACCACGGGATTCTCCAGAATGAGTGATCGACAACTTGCTCTCTGGGATGTTCGGGCCCCTGAACAGCCCGTCGATGGTTTTCAGATGCTCGACTCCATCTCGGGTGTTTGCATACCTTTTTGGGATGATGGCACCCAGTGCTTATACCTTGCCGGCAAAGGCGATGGCAACATTCGTTACTACGAATACGAACACGATAAATTCGAGTATCTGTCGGAGTACAAGTCGGCCGATCCGCAGCGTGGAATTGCCTTTGTCCCTAAGAGAGGCGTCAACATGCACGAAAACGAAGTGATGCGAGCTTACAAAACCGTCAACGACACGTACATTGAGCCCATCTCATTCATTGTGCCTCGACGAGCAGAGACATTCCAGGAAGATATATACCCACCCACTGTGGGACTGAAACCAGCCATGAGTGGCCAGGAATGGTTCGAAGGAGCCGAAGGCCTACCACCGAAGATCTCCATGGAAAGCATGTATGAAGGACAAGGGATCAAGGAGGTTGCAGCCGACGCACCGAAACCCGCGCCTAAGAAGGCCCCCGAACCCATCAAGGCGCCCGAGGTGAAGAAAGAAGTTGCCGAGCCATCCCCAGTGACAACACCTGCAATGCGCTCTCCGCCCCCGTCGATGAAAGAGCAAGGCGCCACTATGATGGCCGTTGCCGATAAATTTCAGGATACCGAGCCGGTGGAAGACGATGGAGACGACGATTCGAGTTTCGAAGAGGTTCAGAAACCAGCGGAGAGAACTTCAGCAGCTAAGCCTGCTGGTGTAGAAACCAAGAAGCAGGATTCGACGCCGGCTGCCAGCAAGGTCTGGGAAGATGTTGAAGCACCAGAGCAGCCAAAGGCTGCACCAACTCGAAAAGTTAGTGACTTTTCTCGTCTTTTTGTATACGATGAGAGTGCTAACGTTATTAAAAATAGACAACTGATCCCGTTGTCAAATCTCCGAAGCCTATCGATGACGCTGCTGCAAGCGCGGGCGACGACCATTCAGTACAAGGAGAGATCAAGAACATGAAGGCCATGATGGCTCAACAATCACGGCAAATCAATAGTCTGACTGAAACAATATCTGAGCTTGTAGCTGAGGTGAAGGCGCTCAAGGGACCGTAGGGCCGATAGGGGGGCGTTTGATGATTTTATTAGCGTTGTTCAATCACAATTTCTCGCCCACACATGACTTTTTGACGGATGTTATGGCTATAACTGTAATTGTGACCATATCTATGATGTGATGATCGGCATGCATCGTATTGTTCTATCTAGAAAAGGCGTCGGGTGCCGACGACCATACCTATGTATGTATGTACGTGTATTTCGGACCCCCCTTGTGGTCAGCACTTAAGATAAGAGAGACGGCAAGATCCATATGGTGGATTCATTCTCCTTCTTCCATCTCGAGATGTGCTTCGATGTGATGTGCGGGTCGACTGATCTGGTTACATCTGACAGACATTACGATGATAGTTTGGTGTGCTTTTTTCTCTTCTTTTGCTGACCAGGCATAAACTGATTTCTTGCGAATTATTCGAGAGATGTGCAGAGGGAAGAACTGGTGGGCACAGTAGTTAGAGATAAGCATATTCCGTAATCCTTGTGTGTGTAATACATCTATTAGGTCAGTCAGTTGGTGCCAAATCTGGGTCAACACCCCCGTAATATGTACAGAGTGCAGACTCTTGTTACGGACAAGCTAATAACAAGCAAAGAACTAGCGACTCAAAAGATAAGAGAATTGTGTTTATTTTGGTTACGGGAGTAAAAAAAAAAGCTCTTGTGTCAAAAGCTTAGCTGGACTTCTGTGTGCACAACATTCTACATTTATTTTCTTCTGTTGCTGAGACAGACAGCACAAGCAACAAACAACAAATGGGCGAATTCTCATACAATATCAGCAGGTTCACGTCATCAAAGATCACTTCACACCATCATTATTGTTATTACTACTACTCTGTACCCGCGTTCTTGATACGTGGTAGATAGACGAACCCATCTCCCCATTGACGAAGAAGGTCATTGGCCCCCCCCCCCCAAAAAAGAACGTTGCAGTCAAAAAAGTCCCGAACGGATCCGTAACGTGCCGGATACCAATATCATATCGGAACTCAAACCACTCATTTCTCGCGCATTTGACTGGTCAATTTCTTCCTTCAATGCTCACTGATAGCATCAAACGTCGAATCTCGAGCTTCCAAATTCTACCGGGGAAAACCCAAGAACCATTCTTTTTTTTTCGCTTATCTATGCCTGTTCGTGCGTAAAGTTCGAGTTTAAGTGGTCTCCAGTGTCGCGATCAACAGCGACGGGGGGATGGAAGGGAGGGCGCCGACACCTCGATAGAGAATCAGAAGATGATATGTCATGTCCATGGGCGGCTTCCCCTTCCATTCGATCGATCCACAAATCTTTTTTTTTGCCCCAAGAAGCATGGATCATTAATTCTATTTTGAATCGTATTTGATTCGAAAGCAGTTCCCTCTGTTGTTGTTGTTGTCTGTTCTCGTTTTTATGTGACTTGCTCAACCTTGCGCTCTGCTTCATTTCCTTCGTCGTCGGCTTCGACGCCCTCCCTCCCTCCCTCCGGCCGCGATCCTTTTTCGGTTCCTGGCCACGTTTTTGTTGATAAATTGAGTCACCACCATGACCGGAGTGACGGTGCCGATGTCTCCGGCGGATGAGAGCCTCCACGAGAAAAAGGACGAAACCGTGATCCCTCCCGGCACGACGACCGCCGCCGATGTTGAAACCGCCCGCAGAGGCAGTCAAGATCCTTTGGCGCTCCTGGAAAAGATTCGAACCGGAGACGACGCCCACCCCATCCGTTGGCCTCTTTGGAAGAAATGGATCATCGCCGCCACGTATTGTCTCTTGCAGGTCTTTGTCACCCTCACCTCCACCACCTACGTCTCGGTGGAATTCCTGATCGAGGAGAAATTCGGAATCTCGAGCGCTCAAGTCGCCACTTTGGGTCAGTCGATGTTTATCATCGGGACCGCCGTGGGACCTGCTTTTCTGGGTATGTATTGCTGCTACGCGACACACGCAAGCGCCACGACAAAAACACGAATTTTGGCCCAAGACAAAACCCCCTGGCTGATGGATTGAATCTTCTTATAGGCCCCTTGTCTGATATCGGTGGTCGTAAATGGGTCTATGTCGGAGCGAGTCAGTATCCCATTTCCGGGCCTTCTTGAATCGACGGTCCTTCCCCTGACCCAACGACTAATGTTCTTTGAATAGTTCTGTTCTACGCAATCCTCAACATAGGAACGGCACTGGCAGACAATTTCCCTATGCTGGTCATTTTTTGTTTTCTGATCGGCGTGGCCGGTTCAGTAGCATTGAACAATGTGGCGGGAACCATTTCAGATCTCTTTGGTGTATGTTGGCCACTTCTGTCATGAACTCTTTTCTTTTTCCCCCCCCGCCTCCCGAGGCGATTTTCATTCCAGACTAACATTCGACTCGCAAAAAAATTATAGGACGCGGATAATGCTGCACAACCAATGGCCCTTTTCGTCTTGAGTGCCAACTTTGGACCTAGTTTGGGTTCACCCATCGGAGAATGGATAGCGGAGAATGACAATTTAGGATGGAGATGGAGTATGTATCGACCTTTCCTCTGTTTTGTTTTGTTGGTCTCCGTATCTGGGGCATTGAATGCTCGCTGACAGCCTCGTGTGTTTTGTACAGTCTTTTACATCAACATCATCATAGCGGGAGCTTTTTCCTTCATCCTATGTTTCGTTCCAGAAACCCTACCCAGAGTCGTCATCTCTAGAGCCGTCAAGAGAAGAGGTAGCGTGGACGAAAACGCCGTCGACATTGCTCTAGGGTCGAGTCGATTGTCCGTCGTGCAAGAATTCAAATTCGTCACCACCATGGCCTTGAGGATCATGGTGACTGAACCGATTGTCATTTCACTCGGATTGTAAGTTCTTTTTTTTTCTTCGTCAAACACAATTTCAACCTCAACCTGTTGTTGTCGTCTTTTAAAATTCGATCTATTGATGAATCTCAAACTGACTTTTCCCCCCCTTCTGCTTAGGTACAACGGATTCGCATACGGATTACTTTTTTTGTACCTGGACGGTGTATTTGACGTTTTTGTCTTCAGTAATGGTTTGAGTGATATCGGAGCCGATTTGACGTATTTGAATTTTTGTGTCGGTAAGAAGCAACCTTTTTTTGCCTTTGCCCTTTTTTCCACGCATTTTTATACCACCATGTCCATCTTCACGTTGAAATTTCCTTCTTCTTCTTCTGACCATCATACGCCAGGCGTCACCGTCACTTTCTGTTTCGTCCCGGTCCAGACGTACCTCTTCCGGCGGGACCGGTTGCGACACGGTTACCACCGACCCGAGGGCCGCTTCCTCGTCTCCCTCGTGACGGTCTGGCTCTTCCCGGTCTCGTTGCTCTGGTTCGCCTTCACCTGCGACGGCAGCGTTTCCTACTGGTCCCCGGTCGTGGCGGGAGGGGTCCTGGGCTTCTGTGACCCTCTCTTGTGGCTGGCCATGCTCAACTACATCACCGACAGTTACCCCAACGTCGCCGCCAGCGCCGTCGCCGCGTTCCTGATCCCCAGCTTCCTCATCGCGGCGAGCCTGGCCCACGCCGGCGTCGCCATGTTCGCGCACATGTCGGTCAAGTGGGCCTTTGCCACCCTGGGCTTCATCAGCTTCGGCCTGGTCGCCCTGGTCTACGTCTTGTTCTTCTTCGGCCCCCGCCTGAGGCGCCACAGCAAACTCGCCCGGACCTTTGAACAGGAAAAGGTCGGGTGAGACTTTTCCGCGCCACACAAGACAGGACTGTCGACGCACGAGACTCGACATTGACGAAAGACCAGTCTCGCAAGGCCACAGAAAGGATGATGATGATGATAATGTACCTCGGATATAGCATGGACGACATACTCCGTAATAGGGACTCCCGTGACACGGACACATTGAGTATACATACACCGACGTTGAATAATGATGCCCCTACATCCCCCCCCCCCTGCTTACTGTGCTCTGTATTGTATATTATGCCATGGTTCTGAGAACCTCATGCTTGAATGCCATACCAATCGTACTCCCCAATACCAAGTATAATCGCTACGCAGTACCTCCTCTATGGTTATACTACCGTACTTCTTCTCCTGGTCAGGAACTTTGTATTCTCACCGTTATAGCTGTAATCTAAAATATTCCTTCCTCAGCCTTTTACGTCTTCTCCTTCCTCCCAGCTGCCACGGTCCCCATGTCCACAAGCAAGCAAGTAGCTCGGAGAGATCAGAGATCAGACTCGCAGCCTTTCGTCCCCATCTCTTTTTCTCATATTCGTTTTCCATCTCTCGCTTCACCAAGTACAAAACCAATACCCCCGAAAGCCGAACGCTGCCCGAGCACTAACGAGCAAAAAATTCTATTTAGACAAGGATGGGGAAAACAAAATTGAATCAATTGTCTTTGAGCTGCGCATACCCGGTCGATAATGACATAGGTATCGCTATGGTTGACAACAATTCTGTAGCAAAATTCTTTGGGTTCATCAAAACATCAACAACGCCCGACGCTATGCCGACCCTCCTCGCCACCGGAAATTAAAGAGGAGTTACTGGACTTTGATATCAAGCGAAATAGCTCTTCCAAAGTACACCTGAGAGATCTTCGACCTGTTCTGGTTTGAAAGCCTATGAGATAACTTTGTTAGCATGTGAACCAATTAGACGACTCAGCTGAACCACATACCTTCACATCAATGTGCCAAGTATCCTGCCTCGTCTTCTTGAAGTCACTAATAATGCTCTTCACGCTGTTGCCCACAGTTGCAGGATCATTAGCGGCTTTCTGGCTCAGCGTGACAAGCACATCAGGCATCCACGGTGGCGGCGGGCTCGAATATGGGAATGCTTGGATCAGCGCACCTAGACCCAAAACTGCGGCGTGCCGGGTAATAACCAGTCGTTGGGCTTCGGGAGTTGGTGTGTTCGTGCCTGACGTGCGAGCCGATGACAACCCTGCAAGTTGGCCCTTAGGTTTCTTGGGAAGGGGGTTGTCAATCAACATCTGAGTAAATCGGTCACGCAGGCTGATGATCATTTTCTCTCTCAAATCCAGAGGCGAACATCTGATCATGCCCGACAATGTAGTAGCAGCACCGGCACGGACTTCATGTTGGGAATCTTCAAGCATATCGGCTACACAGTCAAAGAGCTTCCGTTTGCTTTCTTCAGACAACAAGAATAATCGTCTGAAGAAGACGATCTGCATGTTAATCATGACTCGAAGACGTTGATGCCAGGAAGGGGACGTTCTTCCAATACGAATCAAAGAGGCAATCAATTGGGCGTCTTCTCCCATACGATGAGGAATATTTGGTAGATGTCGGAAAACATGGTAAGCCAGGGACTGTAACTCAGGATCTTCCTTCACATCCATCATGTGCAAGAACTGCTCGGTGAAAAGATTGGGGAAGTATTTGAGGAGTTGGGTGCATTCGGAGGAAGAAAGCATGGAATCCAGCCAGAGGAGGACCGTCTTACTTCCTGAGGTATACGCCGAGGGTGTCTGTTGACCTGGTGTACGTTCATGTCGCCATTTCTCGAGGCGCCCGAAGACCTCATGCATTCTGTCGTCGAATTCCTCAGTGGGAACATAGGGCTGAACTCCAATAGAGCCTGCAGCCTTTTGCGCCTTGATAAGGTCTTGGACATCCTTGAAAGACTCATGGTATCGAGTTCGAGTGATGGTGCCGAGGGTATGTGCCATGGCTTCACGGACGCCTTTGTATGGATGATCAATGTGGGCGAAAAAGTCTTCGGTAATGGGGGCGTCAAGCTGGAAATGCCAGCCAGCATCCATGATAACCTGATGCATGAGATGGATCTTTGAGCTCTCTTTGAATGCAGCATTGGACCCCATATCCAGGCGAAAACTCGACAACCACTCTACCAAAGGCCAAGCTCGCCGAGGATCCCTGGCTTGCATGATCATGTGTAGGAAAGTCGTCCAGTAGCCACTGTTCTCCGGTGTCAAGCCATCTGAGAAGACACGTTTAATGATGGGGAAAGCAAATTCCCATACCTCGGTACGTCGAGATATTGAGTTGTCCATGACGGACGTCACTAAACCAGCAAGGATTTCGGCGGTGGCACGATGTTGATGCTTGTCACTTCCATCTTCGAAAACCTTGAGCGTTTCTTCTTTGACATCTTCAAACGTTGCTTCAGTCAAGCCATCTCTAATGACCAGTTCGAAAGCGTAAGTCAGCATCGCTGCACTAGCCATGCGGAACTTGTCCGCAGATTGGTCTCGAGGTTCTTGCTTGAGGTATTTGAAAAATGTAGCAAACCATTCTCGGTTCATCAGGTCGCCGATCTTTCCCCGTTTCGCATATTCTAGCTGATCGTAAATGATGTCGTCTTTGATATTGGCTTTGTATCCAGGCATGGTTTTAGCCCAGACCAGCCAACCGGGATAGTCGTGATCAATGTAAACGTCGGCTTCTGGTTGAGAGAAAGCCTTCAAGTAGCCCTCCGTCCATGCTGGGTCCTCGGCGTTAGTGTCCACTTTCACTTTGGCGGGAAAATCCTGTAAGGCCTGAATATAATTGGCATACTCGTGATTACACACGGCTCGGACATCAGTCATGGTGAAGAGAGCCACCAGGCCTTGTGAATAAAGTCCCCGAAGTCCAGGATGAGGGTCAATCGTGCCCCGTGTAATTAAATCGATCATACTGTCCGAAGCAATGTGATCAAAACGAAGGCCAAGAGACATGACGATAGTAGCGACACGAGTTGCCTTCTTCCAGTGGGATACACGAGCAAGCGCAACGAGTTCTTCGGCCAACTGCAGTTTCTTCCGCTCGATATTGGCACGTTTGTTGAGGATAAAATCCTTCTTCTTCTGAATTTTATCTTCAACATCGTCCTCAGGAGCGAATGGGTCAACAAATGTGCGATCGATGATTGCCATGCGATGCCCAGGCCGACCGTACTCCATGATCTGGTACAGACCACCGCTGCAAAGCTTCTGGATCGATGGTTTATCAGCTGTACTGGCTTCGATGAAGGTTCGAATCACTTCAGGTGTGTATTTCCAATGCCTGCCCAAAGTCTTGGCAAGACTGCCGAAGAGAAGGGCAAACATACCGCCTTTGATGCGAGGGAAGTCGTTGGTCTTCACAGCCTCGTGGAACGATTCTAGGAGGTGTGGAATGACAAACAATCTGGCGCCGAAAATGACTTTGAGTGCAGACTCCCCAGCACTCTGTGAATTTCTGCGGACTTCGGTGTAAATCGACAAAGATGACTGGGCAAGATCGAGGAGGAGCTGCTCATCTAACTCTGATCGCGGTCTCGGTGTAGCATTGTGTCTGACTCGTTGAGTATGGTACACATTTGCGCGACGAACGAGTATTGAACGAGGATAGTCCTTCCTAACACCACTGACCTTGTATGGATGTTCATCCGCATGCAAGAGACGTGTAACCCGATCAAGCACGTGAGCTGATCTTTCGAGGCCGACATCGACAAACCATGACCTATAAGCGGTGTATAAGGGGGCGAAAGATGAAACATCGTCTTCACCCTCGCGAGTAAGGAACTCGTGCACTTCATGCAGAACACGCCCGATATCCTGTCGGAGGGAATGGAGAGCATTATACAAATCGTCGCCAGGCATGAGTACCTGTCCACACGGGTACTGGAAGGATGGTTTGATGGACGCCTCATCGATACCATCATCGAGGGACGAGTTGCCTCCACTCATATCATCGCCATCATCTTCCCTGTCACTAATGTCGACAGCATGACCATTGGTTTGGGACGAAGCATCCTCGGCATTAATTCCAGCAGCTGTTGTTTTCAGACCTTCATTGACACCATTGGAGTCGAACAGGCCCGAAATACCAGCAAGGAGGAGGCGAAGTAAGACGAGATTGCGTGAAACTTCGTCTGACCACTCTTTGCCGCTTCCGTCACGCTTGATGCTAGAGGTGCCGCGTATGAGACCTCTGAGATGCTTTAGCGAATTTTCGACTTGATTCTGAAACAGTTCAACTGCAAATTCGACCTCTTCTTTGCAGGGAACGTGCCATTTTGGCTTGATGGTCGCTGCAGGTTCTGCAAGACCCCACAAGTGAGGCTTTACACCATCTTTCAGTCTCTCCGGCTCATACAAAGCATGATCCGCTGTGAAGGTGACAGTGAGGTTCAGCAGCAAATGATGGATAAAGTTCGACACATGTACAGTCGACGTGCCCTTGCATTTTTGCTGCATGTAAATGGCGATATCAAATAGATCCTGTTTGTATTTGAGGACGGCTGATCCAACATGTACCACACACATGCTGAGCATGCTGATGTTCCAAACCAGGCCACGATCGCGAGGCAGGACATCAGCGGCAGCGTTTCTGGTTGTACCAGCGCCATTTTCGTCGATTTCTGTGCGGATAGCGCTGATCAGCACAGGGACGAACTTGGCGAGGGCCTTCTCTGGATTGACCTTGCAGAGACAATTACAAATGAAAGCCATCGCGTCTCTAGATTGATGGATGACATGGTTTGCAACAAAGTCCACAATCTTGTTGAGGGCCATGTCGAAGAGCTCCGGGGACAGTGATGCTAACAAAGGCTGGAAGGCTGCTGGTAGTGTGTTGACAATGTTTTCCTCGGGTGATCCGCTTCTAATTCGCGCAGCATCTGGGAGGTTTTCGAGAAGGGTAAAGACTCGACCCAAGAAAGAGGAAACGAATTCGCTGAACCCAGCAGTTGAAGAGGCCAGGATCATTTCTTCCATGGTGGGATCCAGATCAGCGTAGTTCAGGTTTACAGAAGCACCCTCTTGCTCCATCCGTTCCATTTCGCCAGTGATCCAATCCATCGCCAACATGTTTCCTTGGATGTCTTCTCGGCCTTTTGAAAGATCTTCGAAGGGAATATTGTAGCAAACAATCCCGAAGAAAGAAAGAGTGTACAGGGTTTTCTCCAGATCGTTGGCATCGATTCCAGGCAGTGCCAGGCCAAGTAAAGCGGTGATGTGACATCGATAACCCTTCGTTCTCACCATTGTCCGTGCCAAGATCTGTAGAGATCGTAAGGATGATACAGTGCGGTGAACTTCGACAAGTCCTTGCATTGAAGGATAGATTCGTTGAAGCGCGCCAGGCAGGACCAAGTCTGGCTCTAAGAATGCTAAAGCCTGCAGAGTTGATAATGAGTAACTCATTGCAGTCCCACTTTTCGCGTATATGCCCATGAAGATGACTTCGCGCAAACACAATACAAACCGCTTACGAAGAGGCTCATTCAGTCGTCTCTCCTTGGGCACCTCCATTTCTCCATTGCGTTCTCTATTCCACCGCATAACAAAGAAGTCCGCGAGATAGAAGACGAGCTGAGCCAGGGTTCTTGTCCACGAACCTGAATTGGAAGGATGGAAGAATGTCTCAATGGCTTGGATGAGGTTCTCCAGTAAGGAGAGAGCGGACGTCTTCTTCTCGAGGCAAGCTGGTGACAGAGACATCACAAACCAGCGTGCAATGTGATGGGATACGGGATGTTTTCGAGAGTCTCTTTCCAGAAGAATACCCATTCCCGCGCCTAAATCGACGAGTGCGCTGTATGGAGATGTGGACTGACCCACTGGGATTTCCAAGAGTCTCAGAATGGCCGTCGTCACCAAGGTCGACTGCTCGGCGGTGAAAAGACCGAATTCCGAGAAGTCTATATGACTGCATGGCAGCATGTCTCGTGCCATGCGTGAGAAGAGATCAATAAACGCGATATCTGTCACCCGAGAGCGATTTACCAGGGACCACAAATGGAAAAACGTGGGCAGGAATTGCTGAGGGACTAGGTCCTGTCGGTTGGGAGGAGGAGGTGTTGTCGGCAGAAGCATATTCAACAGCCCTATCACGACAAATGCCCCTTCAGCAGATGACATTGTGAAATGTGGCAACCACTCTTCTAACATTGCTGGAATGTCTTCGGGGTCGAAGTATAATTGTGCAAATGAAGTGATCTTGATAAGGGTCTTGATGCTCCTCCTCAAACTAGTAGTTTGCATCAGCCCAGATTCGCTGGGGAGTACAAAGACCTTCAATTCCCGATACAGGGGTCGCCAATCGAGTGTAATCTCTTTGAGGGGTCGTAGGTAATGCTTTCTCCTGCGGTCCAGTTAGTAATTCGGGAACCGAGAAATGGCAGGACCGGGGTGGCAAGTAACATACTTTGTGAGAAGCATGAACATGCTAGCGAACCGCTCGCTCACACTCGGGTCGATGCCGGGAGCCAGAGCAAGTTCGAAATAGAGCTTGACAAGTTTCACACGGATTGGCTTGGGAGGGTCAAACTTTAGAGACATCCAACTTCGAAGTTCTTTCGTCCAATGTACAGCTCCCGGCGTGAAGTCGCTCGACTGCAGAGCAATGTATAGCTGGTCCAGGATCGTGGACAAATTTTGCTGTCTTGTTGCCTCATCTTCGATAGGATAGGGAAGGGATGCGAAGTAAGGATACGTTCTCGGCCTGTTGCGCTTGACAATGTCTTCACCCTCTGTGTGTCCATTCTCCATGGTGACCGCACCGGCCGGAGATGTAGCTCTTGATATTTCTGAGTCCTGTTTCCCAAGACTGCCGTTCACCAACCCTTCGACATGATGATGTCGTTGACTTTCCATAATTTCGTCCAGTTGCACGAGAACTCATTGGAGCCCGGGCTGCAGTGTAGAAAGTTCAAGGCGATGGTGGCATTGCCGGCCAAGCAGGTCTGATGGGAGGAGATTCGTGCCAAAGATTTGAGGAGGATCGTGAGAGGTATAAACGGCTACAACAAGGAATCAGGCTGTCAGACTGCTTCGTAGTTGCTTCGGTGCTCGAAGGCGCTTAGCAAGCCAAATCGCAGCCTTGCTACGTCACGGTTGTGCCTGCTCGGAGCAACGTCAAGACTCTCAATTGACCAAGACAGGCCAACTAGCGAATCGAGAGGGTGATCTAGTCTTGAGATCTCTGTAGACACTCGGAGAGAAGACTCGCCGTCAAATGGAGGCGATGCTTGCTGATTCACACGCGACATGCACTGGTCGAATCCGAGATGCTGTTCACTTGGCGGAATTCCGCAGGATACAGATGCAGGTCACGTGGGCAAGATGAAAGGTGACCACTTCCTTCCTTTCATTCTCACCTTCTTCTCACTCTACAACTTATCCTCTTACTTTCCTACTCTGCCAATAATATGAGTGGCAAATTAATACACAGGAGCCGAGCAGAGCCAGAAAAGACCTGATAAGTGCATAGGCATACGGCTAGAACAGTCATCAGGACTATTTGAGACGGTAGTGAGTTCCGCTTCAGGTCCAACCTTCCAATCGATACGACAAATACCGCTGTTGTTATAGTCGTGCCGGAACAGCAGGCGACGGCCAGCAATATGAATCCGTAGAGGCATCACCACCCTGGAGCCTAATTTGATGCACACGCAGACCGTTGAATTCTTCTCCCTGAGGAAAAAAGTCCGGATCTAGCTCCATACCACCCTCAGGATTGATGTTGACCTTGGCCATCCAATTGCCCACGCCGTCGGGGTAGAACTGGTCATCCCACGCCGAATACAGCGATGGAGTAAAGTAGGCATGACGACCATCACGACTGACCTCGACCATCTGAACCGAGCCCGGGCACGGCTTGTCAGGCTGCGAAGGGTGTGGAGTGTGGTTGGCAACTCCGCCCAGCCTCACGGAACCTGTGAGTATAGGGTGGGACGGGTCTCGAACGTCGTATTGCCTGAGCTCGCCTGTGCCCCAACATGAAATGTATAAGAACTTGTCATCTACAGAGAGGTCGATGTCGGTTATGAGAGGAGGGACCGCCCCGAACGGGCGTAGGATCGGTGGAAGCTTATTCGGGTCGTCGACTGGCTCTGCTGGAATATTGATGACCTTGTCCGCCTTCCATTGTCCATCATCGTCGCAGCTCCAGAGATAAATGGACCCAGAAAGGTCCTTTGTCGACAGCGTCACCCCGACGAATCCCCACGTAGCATCAGGGTTGTGTGTCGGGCGCACTTCCAGCACCATCTGCTCTCCTTCTTCCAGATTAATTGCCTGAACATGCTTACCTTGGTCAAGGTTCCAGAAGTGCAGACTCTTGCCGTATTTGTGCTGTACGAGCGCCTCGACATCGAGGCCATTTTCAATCAGTGACGGCGGGGCCCACTCGCTCGAAATCAAGGTATTCTTATTCATATGCCACCAAGCGTCATAGCTATGACGCTGAGGACCGTGGTCAGTCTCCCATGCACCGACGACATTGAACGTTTGGTGATCGAGCAGGGCAATGCCAGTCTGGCCATCTGCGTCGCCCTCGGGACCCCCAAGGCATGTCATGAATATACCTCCCGGCCCGCAATGAATCGTGTGCGGACGTGTGTAGCCAGCTTTGTCAGAAAGTTCTTTCATCGGAATAACTTTGGCGATCTTGGGATTGCGAGGATCTGGTTTAGTGTCGATGATGAAGATGTTAGATGATCGGAGGCCTGGCACGATGAGATATCGCCGCTCGAGACCTTCCATAGGGTGCCCCTCGTGCTTGAAGGCACTGGAACAGGCATTCCACCCGAAATGGTGTAATTCCTGCCCTGGAGGAACCTCAACTTTGCCGACAACTCGGCCCCAGGTAGGTGAATTTGATTTCAAATCAACCACGAACAAGGCATCATTCTTTTTACCGTCCGGATCATAAGCCACAACGAACGCCAACTCTTCGACAGGAGCTGTAACAGCCTCGGCGGCGTTTCGATAAAAGGTCGGATCCATGGTTCAGCTTGTTGTTTGCACGACTTTCCTGAAGTTGTCGCTTCGCCATCTTCTTAAGTATTTCGCCAACTTCTGTTTTAGATCAGTTGCTATTGGGTTTTGACAGTGCCCCCAGACACGAAAGGCTAGCGGCAGCGAGCCGCTCTTTTGAAGCCCGAAATTCCAATCAGCCACTGTCCCGGGGACTTCTCTGAAGAAATTCGTAGGAAGCAACCAGTCATGAAGCCCCGCAATTTCCCACCATGGGTTGCGCTTCCCGGGGTAAATAGTCTGGGGGAGACTCCACCTATAGATACCTAGGTATGTGGCTTCGCTTCAATTCTCGATACAATTCACCTTGAAGCTGTCCATATATACTCGATCAATTTATAAGAAGAGAAGCAACAGATAACAGTAGCAAGATGTGGGGTAAACGAGATGGCCATTTGCATGTTGAAACTATTTTTCCCCAGCGACATTGATCAGATATGCGATCATACCATCGTGTACGCATGTCTATCCCCTCCATTAAGGTGGACATCATGTACCATGCCAGCATCCTATAGGTACATTTCAAGGCTCTTCGCTCGCATCGACGTGCACCTTGGGTAGCAAGTACTAAAAGGGAGAGAGGTGGTATATCACATTGACTCGTAGGTCCCGAAAAGATCCCCTCACGCCACTCGATCAAACTGATTACCAATATCCTTTCATTCTTGTGGTTCTGTCGGGGATCTAGGTGTCCAGGTCAATCGGCGACTAGGCACGGGAGGAAATAAGTCACTCCAGCATGCACGCAATTCGACCTGCCACACGGCTTGTCGTGCAAAGATTCTCTCTCGTCGTCCAATCCGGAGAGACTGACGTTCAATGGTCCAAGGAACTGAATACGAGTTCTGGCTAGAACCTTGATCAACTTCTGTGACCCATCAAGACGCGGTGCCCAAAGCCAACCACTCTCAAAACCCGATGAGGTTCATTCGCTCCTTCATACCATATGAAGTTTCCTCGCTCGTCCATACCATGCTAAGCCGTGATCAGCGACGTAGACATCCTCGACCATGTGCCGACTGGCCGAGAAAGGTGGTTGTTATTTATGCCCGCTTGGGATACGGACAGCGACTCCATTTTACCTCCCCACAGCTTCTTGCTTGGTGTTCATTTGGGCTGACGCATAGAATCAGGGAGTTCCCAACCTGTAGATATTCACTCAAAGGTACACGCAATGGTTGGACAGAAAAGAATTGTGATAGTGCTGATAAAGCTCGCGAACCACGTATTATTACGGTAGTGGTCCTCGGACGTCTCTTCCCTGCCGCTGCCGTCTCCATGTCTCACCCCATGTCCTACCGAGTACTACACATGCCAGCGAAGTGACACCCGTCAACAATGAGAAAATCGTATAGCACCACCCGGCACCTACCGCGTCGATGAGGGGTTGAAGAGCCGCAAGCCCTCCGGCGGCGAGCGCACACCGAACCAGGTTCACGGCGGCCTGGGCGGTTGAAGGACGTAGAGAGTGCAGATCCACGACCAAGGTTCCACAGGCGTTGAAGATGATGGTTATGGCGCCTCCGATCACGAACTGTAGAATCAGTGGAATGGAAGGGTGGAGTCGGTACTCTAGCACCCAACCATACGCCACCAGCGGTAACGTGGACAGCGGTATTAGATATATCATGCTCCTCAATCGGGCGTGGAAGATGGGAAAGGCCAATCTTTGAGACTCTGATGTATCGGCGCTAGATTTGGGGAAGCCGTAGCGTTTGGCAACGTGCCGATAATCGTTTGTGAGTATGTTCCCTGGTCAGACCTGTGTTAGCGAAAGCTCAAGCATACGTGGAACGTAGATCAGAGAAAAGTATGGAGATGCCACCGCTTACTTGAAATGAGAGAAGCAATAAAGCAACCGGCTCCAAAGGGTAAGTATATCAGACCCGCCTCCAGTTCTTGGTAGTCGTAGATGCTGATGAAAAGTGACGATAGAGAGGCTTGAAGGCAGCTGTATGTCGTGTAGAAAACAGCATAGACGAAGATGATCGGAGCAGTGTCCCTACACGACAGGATGGAGATGCTCTCCAGTGGATTTGGAATCTTGAATGTGCCCCTGCCAGGCATCTGAAGAGGCGGAGATGAGGTTTCTGATTGCCGTCGGGAACAAAGATGCGGACTCTCCCTGTCCTTCCTCTCTTTCACCACATCCAAGAGCGATTTGTTCAGCCCTTTGGCAGGTCCAGAGCCATCGCCGACGACATTCCGTGCCGTCTCTGGCAAAAGAATCCCAATCAGCACAAAGCTCAATAGTCCAGCGATTGCCTGGAAACCAAACACCCAGCGCCATCCCGCCTTCTGGGTCAGCACGCCACCGAGGACCGGGCCTACACCTGGCGCGACATTCGGGCCGCAGGCGAGGATGCCCATGTACCCTCCACGCTCAGAGGCCTCGGAGATGTCACCCACGACGCCGTAGCCAATGCCGATCGTCGCCGAGGCACCCGCACTCTGCAACATGCGCAGCAGCAGCAGGGCCGGATAGGAGGTCTGGACGGCCAGTCCGATGTTGGCGACCATGTAGAAGAGGAACATGCAGAGATAGATGGGCCGGCGGCCGATTTGGTCGGCCATGTTACCCAGGATCGTCGGCGCCACGCCAGACACGATCATGTACGACGTCACCGTCAGGTTGACCTTGGATAGTGACGTGTGCAGGCTCGTGGCGACGGCGGTCAGGGCCGGGTAGTAGATGAAGCTGCTGAGCGGCGAGAAGACGGAAGCGTAGGCGACGAGAACGATGATGCCCATCTTCTCCCGCCTGGTGAAGATTGAGTATGGGGGAATGGTGGTTTCTTGTCGCCGATCTGCCTGGTTTCCAGCCTGCTGAAGTGCCACCCCCTTCTCCTCCAGACAACCAAGAAATTGCTGGTCTGAGGATGATACATCTTTGTCAAGCATAGTACGGGGAAGCCTGGGAAGTAAAGGTCAACTCACGCCCAAGCCGCGCCGACCAAGACCAAACCAAAAATCAAGTGATGATGCTGGCACAATTTGATGTCATTTTGAATGACATAGGGATATTACGATACCGAAGTTGTAACATAATCACATGAAAAGTCCGAGTTCGACATGTGTCAGCTGAGCGCGCATAACAATGTCCTGTTGGATGAATAGGAAACCCATTTCGTTGCAGTAGCTGTATTTACAATTTGATACCCAACCCCGCGAATATGACATTAGGCCGAAGAAGTCGATTACTTGACACGGAGATCTACCGCGGCTAAACATTGACTACTTAATGAGAAAGAGTGGGAAATGGAAGATGCCACGAAGCGAGATAGTTACTAGATAGTAAAGGAGGTAGATAGATATAGATTCTTCTTCATGTGGTGAATGGCATTCTTCAAAATACTACCGGATAATCAGCGACTCTTGGTTCCTCCATTTGATATCAATTCATGATTTGACAGGATACTTGTTACTCAAGTACGCCATGTCGTTCCATATCCTACACGATTGATTAGTTAGGCACTCGTCTGGGAGGCAAACCTACAATTCTCGATCGCTCTGCGATGAAGCTGGCCATCCGAGACAGTGGGACAGGGTGTACTTTATGCCATATAGCCGGTTGCGATCGTCAAACTGCTCCACAGGTTCGCTTGGGGGCATGTGAATGAGATACTGGCGCATGTATGGCTTGCCAAATCGAATGATATCGGCACGCCACATGCCCAGCTCCATCTCGTGGTGCGCGTACATGGCGCCGGCGTCAAAGACAACTGGGAGATCGGTCTCGAGGTTCAGTCCAGTGTTTTCCTCCCACAGGTCACCGTGGATCAGACACGGCTTCAAAGTGCGTCCGTCAGACTGTAGCGGCTCCAGGATTTGAGGTACAACTTCCCGGGCAAATTTATAAAAGGCAGCCTCATACTCAGGGGCTGGACCATTTTGGTTGATTTCTCGCTCGAAGAATTGCGTCATCAGTCGGGTGAAATAGGTGCACCAATTTGCTTCCCAGGTGGTGTTTTGAGGATTTGGGCCGTGGAAGGTGACCTGATGAAACCCAAATAGGCCAGTAGGCGATACACTCATCGTATGGAGTTGAGCGATGCGGCGACAAAAGTCCGGAGGCTCCACCATCTCCGAATCCAAGTCAACGAATTCCATAAGATAGAAATATGTGTCTGGCGGCGACTGTTTAAACTTGCCCGATATGACAGGTTTCGGAACGAAATCAGGCATGTAGGAGTAGATCTCCGCCATGGATCGATGCTCTCCTTCCATCATGATTCTTCCCATCTCCTCAGTCGCACACTGAGAGCAGAACGTTCAAATCAGCTCGGATGATTCGACAGCCGGAAAGAGAAGCTGGCACCTTGAGGAAGTATGATTGCTGTTCGCCATCAGGATGCTCAATGATGATTCGAGACGCACGAGTCCATGCGGCTGTGCCATAGCTGATGGCCTGGACAACCTTTGAGCCCGGTGGAAGGACTATGTTTGCATTCAGAAGAGCATTCTGGCTTGGTACTTGACGTAGTAGGATCGAATGCATGCGTATCATTGACCACATTTTCGTCTAGTTGGAAGGTCCCTCCCACCTCCGGAATGACCTCTTTCACCGAAGTACGGGTCTCCCCGACAACTAATGCTCTAGTCGTCCCTTGGACCAAGGTATCTATTTCACTCATGACGGCTTGTAGTCATGGATGGGAAAAGAATGAGGTCTAAAGGACGATGAGCCTGGAGGGCGGAGCACCTGAGTTGATACGTGGTTTTCCGTCGTCTGCTGGCGTGCTGGCGCCAGAGATCCTCGCAGTAAGCACAGTAGCGAAAACACCATTTCACACAGGATTGGCCTGTGCAACCCTAGCAGACGCTAGGTAGGAGACTGAACGCGGCGGCATGATGTTGGTGGCAGTGGAAGGAGGGGGAGTGTTCGACAGGCATGGGCGCTTGGAGGACGTTTCATCGAGGGAACTTGTTGAGCCTCAAAACGCGTGCCGGCTTGACGGCGCTAACGCCCCGAACCGCCAGTCAAATGAAGAGGTTATTTAGGCTGCTTGACGAGGGTTACAAGTGCTAAAGCTTGCACGTAGCCTTAGTCAGGTATTGAATTGTATTGTATTGTAGGCGCACTAAGAGGCCTGCACTAGGTAAGTACAGATTGTATCAGGTACTAAAGTCATGCTTGGGAAGGTTTGCCTAGGGATTTACCCGCCCCCAAGGACGACGTAACCCCCAAACGCCCAACGGACTATCAAACCCATCACCAAATGGACCACCAACACACCACCTGACAACCCACACTGGCCTTTTTTTAACGCCCTTTACTTATGCAGTGTGACCATGACCATGCAAGCAAGTCGTTGCGAGCAGGGGTCTATCGCCTTAAACAAAGTGAGACCATTCTCTTTCTGCAGCCTCTCTCGGCCTATCGCTGGTAGCCCAGTATGAGTACCGGCCAGGACCGGCGAAAGAAGACTAGTACTGTGAGTACCAAGCCCTCGTTCCACGCCGATGAGCCTCAGTCTGGTTATGATCCTTGCTGGGCTAAGAACAGTACCTAGGCAAGAAAGGCCAGCTGCCTGCGGTATCCGGGGCGGGGCAGTCTCCTTCCCTTGTGAGGCTGACCAAGGGTACCTTGGTACACACACTGTCTCCGGCAACTGTTCGTCTTCCTCTGTGCTTCTTGTCTTGCAGCACTGTTGACATCCAGAGATATCTCAGAGCGGCGCTGAAATATTGATCGCAAGGAAGAGCGTCTACATAAAGCGCACTGGAGAGGGACGTACCATAGGATGTCGCCCTTCGCCCAGTGTCTTCCACATCACAGCAGCGGTGTGCGGCTACCACCTCATTACTGGCCATAATGGTACGAGAATATGTTACCTGCGAACGTCCATATACTAAACTTTTGGCAGGTCTCGAGGTTCCGCCGTCGTGAAAAGCTCTTTTCACAACTCTCCGCACATGAGGATCAAGAAAGATTCGAGGGAGATAGCCTGCGCAGCGGAAGTACTTCAAAATGGTCGCAGAACTCCTCAAACACGGGCAAAGATCACCTACTAGGAGCAGAACTCCCCTTTCGCAACGGTCGCTCTAAAGATGTGGAGCCAAGAAAGAAAGAGCGCTCCCGCGATCGCCGTTCAGATCCGCTGGGATTGACTGTCCTATACGAGCCTGAATCTTCTCCATCCGTCGATATTGTCTTCGTACACGGGCTCGGTGGGACAAGTCGCTATACCTGGTCCAAGAATGGAGAAAGTGAATTATTCTGGCCTCGAGAATGGCTGCCGTACGAATCGGAGTTGTCGACGGCTCGTATCATGACCTTTGGATATAACGCGCATTTCTCAGCCATCTCACATGGAGCAGAGAATATCCTCAACATTTCAGATTTCGCGAAGGACTTGCTGTTCAGCCTGAAGTTTGCTACTGGAGAAGGCCAACGGGCTCTCAATATTGGTTCCATTCCCATAATTTTTGTTGCTCATTCCATGGGAGGCTTGGTCGTGAAGAAGGCATTCATCCTCGGCCAGCATGATGAACACTATCGAGATCTCATTCAAGCTATTTCTGCTCTCGTTTTTCTCTCCACTCCGCACCGCGGATCGAACCTGGCTGAAGCCCTCAATAAGATCCTCTCAGCATGTATCTTAACCCTGGCACCCAAGGAGTACGTATCGGAACTTCGTATCAATTCGCCTACTCTCCAGGAGATAAACGAACAGTTCCGCAATCTCGCCCCAAAGCTTTCCATCGTTTCTTTCTTCGAGACTCTCAAGACAAGCATTGGACTCTCGAGAATGATGGTACTGCAGAAAGACTCTTCAATCCTAGGCTATCCAGGAGAGATCTCGAAACCACTGGATGCTGACCATCATGATGTATGCAAATATACTAGTCATCAGGATCCAAACTATATTAGCGTCCGCAACGTTTTGAAGTATCTGGTGGAGAAACACCGTGCCCAGGATATGCCACAGGTCGATTTTAACTCGGTTGACGAGCTTCATGAGATTTCGTCCGCTTTTGGACATCCTGAAGGTCCCGGCGACGATCTTTCGTTCTTTGCCAACAGGCGCATGCCGGGCTCCTGCGAATGGACCCACGATGACCCAGTGTTCATATCCTTCTTGGAAGATGAATCCGATGGACCGCGATGTTTGTGGTGTACTGGACCCCCAGGATCTGGCAAATCTGTTCTTGCTTCATCGATCATTCAAACCGCCGAGGAGGATGAAGTTGACCATGTTTACTACTTCTTCCGATTCGGTGATGAGGTTAAGAATAACCTCAATGTCCTTCTTTTGTCCTTGGCGTATCAACTGGCAAGTGTTTTGCCTGAATACCGCAGACGTTTACTGCGACTCTTTGAAGACGGGTTCAACGTACAAAAGTCACTTCCGCGCCTCCTTTGGAAAAAGTTGTTTGCCTCCACTTTCCTCAAACTACACCTAACGCAACCACTTCTTTTGATCATTGACGGATTGGATGAGTGTGACTCGCACAGCCATTTCTTGAAGTTCCTGGAAGATTTTCAATCTTTCCCTGGCTGTATGCGTTTTCTTATCATCAGTCGGAACACCCAATCACTGTCCTCAGGGTTCGAAAAGTTGTCCAAAAAGATCCCAGTCCAGCAGCATGCGCTTCAGAGCATGAAAAATGATCTTCGTCTCTATATTGAGGAGGAGATGACTTCTATGCACGGTGATGATGATTTCAAAGATGCGATTGCCGCAGAGCTTACTCGTAAGGCCGATGGTAACTTCTTATGGGCAAGCCTCGTTCTAGGAGAAGTTCTACAGTGTCACACAGGAGACGCCGTGCTCGAGGCTCTCAACGAGGTTCCTGAAGACCTTGAGCCTCTATACGAGCGAATGGACGCAACTCTAGCAAAAAATTGCCGCCCCTCAGATCGAGCCATTGGAAAAACGATACTAATGTGGATTGCTTGTTCAAGGTATGCATTGAGTCTGCAAGATCTGGCTGAGGCTCTTCAACCCGAGTATTCCAATCTCCTCGATCTCAAATTCACTATCAGCCGCGTCTGTGGTGAATTTGTTATTGTCGACAGCAAAGGAATTGTCTCGATGGTCCATTCCTCCGCCCGTGACTATTTGTTCCAAAACCAGTATTTGAATTATCACATCCCAAAAGGGGCTTCACATCAGCAAATCTTTATGAAATGCACTACCGCACTCATCAACGCCAATCCTAAGATACAGACAGGCCAGATAAGATCACAAGCATTCTTGCTTTATGCTGCTAGCTCATGGCCATTTCATATGGAGCAGGGTTCGGACTTCTCGGATCAACCCTCTCTCCTACAACTCGCGCGGTTTTTCCAAAGTTCAGTGGTCCTTAGTTGGATATACCTCCTTGCGGTGGCAGGTCAGCTACGAGTCCTAGTCCAAGCATCCAAAAAGATGACGAGCTTTCTCAAGAAGGTGGATCGATTAGACGAAACACGCAGTCCTCTGACACATCGATTGCGCGAGAAGGAGCTCGTGTCCCTGTGGACCATAGATCTGATCAGACTAGTCGGTAAGTTTTCTGCTCATCTCAACGAGCAGCCTAAGTTGATATTCAAACTTGTGGCTCCGTTTTGTCCTCAAGATTCGGTCATCTTTAAACAATTCGCAGTCCGTTCCGCTGGCCTAGGTATTATGGTTTCTGGCCTTTCGAACCCATCGTGGGATGATTGTCTGGCCAAATTTGCAGTGGATGATTCTCTGACTCCTCTTCAAATAAAATGCTGGAACAGATATTTTGCAATCTTGGTATCAGACGGCACCATTCTGTTGTACCATGCCATCACTTACGAAGAAGCCCGACGCTTTCATCATGGCGAGCGTGTTTTGACGTGGTGCTTCAATCAGGAAGGCGATCAGATCGTCACATGCGGACTCAAGAAGACCATGGTTTGGAACACCGCAACGGGGAAGCAGCTGTATACTTTCGCAAATCCTCGACGATCCAAAGCCATCACTATTGCGTTTGCAAATGCTGAAGAGACTCTCGTGACATGCTGTGATGACCGAACCATCCGGACTCTGTCTCTTACTCAATTGGATGGTGAGGGATGGCAAATCCTCGACAATGTGCTGGGCGAAGATCATTATGATGGAAAGCAGTGTGGATCGCCAAGGTGTGCGTCCTTCAACCCAGCAGGCTCCCAGATAGCCATTAGTTACCGCGGTATACCGTTGGCCGTGTGGTCATTGGAAGATGCACGTCCTTTCTTGGTTGGTAGGTGCCAAAGGATCCTCGGTGGCCGACAAGTCTTCAGCAGCAGTGCGTCCGATGTTCAAGCTATCACCTGGAACCCGATGACTGGTCATGTATTAGGAATATACAATGACGGATGCGTCTTCAAGTGGCATCCATTCGAAGCCGACTATCAAGAATCCAACATTTCAGTCGGCCGCGTCGAGTGCAGTCCGGATGGGAAGTTTTTTGTGACGAGCAGTAGGGATGGCACACTGCGAATCTGGGACTTTTATCACTTCTCTCCCATCTATCAGCTCTCATACACCGTTCCGGTCACGAGTCTGGCCATTGACCCCAACGACACCCGCATCTACGACATCCGAGAATCGTTCTGCAGCGTGTGGGAGCCGAACGCTCTCGTGCGTATGTGGGAGACTGAGGACAAGTCGAGTGAGACGATGAGTAACCGAGAGAGCACCCAAGTTTCGCACATATCCGAAGTATCTTTCGAGTCGCTGCAGCCTGTCACTACTCTTGCTTTAGAAAGTGGCAGCCTGTCGTACGCTGTCGGGAACGACGATGGCGTGGTCACACACTTCACCAAGGATGGATACCCTGCGGCAGAGGTGGTGAGGACATTCATGACGGTAGAACATCTTTCGTGGAGCGAGGACGGCCGTTGCATCGCCGCGTCTGGCCTGGGCCGCCGGCTCTTTGTCAAGGAGGTGAATCAGGGGAATCCTAATCAGACGGCAAGGTCCATTATGAACGGGAAGGCAGACGACCCGATCAGGCAGCTCCTCCTGAGTTCAACAGGGAAATTCCTTCTAGTTGTAATGGATCGCTTCCTGAACATATGGTCCACGGCGGATCAATGCATCGTGTCCACACGCCCGCAAGTCGCATTGCACAGATGGATCAACTGCCCTTACGACACGAGCAAGGTGATCGGATTCAGCTTTGACGAGATTCAGATCATTGATTGGCAAGACCCGGAACTTACCAAACACCTACTGCAGGATCGGTCGGTCGTCGACGATGCTGCAGAGCAGCACTCTCGGGTGTTGTTGTTCCGACGGCCGTCGGCGCAGTACCCCATGAGCCCGGGTGAGAGCAACAAGATTGTCGACAAGGTCCTCCTCACCGTCAATCGAACAAGCGCCCTCGTTGTGACGTCGCAGAGCACCGCCCAAGGCCGATGTGAGAGGCAATTCATGTTTGTCGGTCTTGGTGACGTGACGAATCCCTTCACCGAAGCCAAAGTTCCGGCCACGGCGCTTCCTCCTGAACTCCAGGCGACCATGGTGATCCCTTTGGGTTTTGTCGCGGTGGAGTCTTCCTTGGTGGCACCCAGGGCGGCGACTTCAAGCGTACAGCAGCGAACCTTTGCATCGTCTGAGCGGCCCGCGGTAGGTGGAGGTACCGAAATGTCCCGAGCCGCCGACCACGTCCTGGCGTTCTTGGACCACAAGTACTGGGTTTGCACGTACACCTTGAGTCAGACCAGGGCGGGACGGGTCAAGCGGCATTTCTTCCTCCCCCGTGACTGGCTGAACATGGACTGGCTTGAACTGGCCGTGATGCGGCCGGACGGTGCGTTGCTGTGCCCTCGAAACGGCGAGGTTGCGTTGGTGGAGAATGGGTTGCGAGAAGAATGGATAGACTGAGCACCCCTAGATAAGAACAATGTCGTCTCGATCGGCGCCCCTCTCTCTAGCTCGACGAGTGTACCTGACCAGTTCACTGTAATTTTGTGTGCAGCACCTAGAGACGTTGAGAAAGGTGGAAGGTTCCTTGAGGAGATGACCTCTTGATGCAGACCATTCCAACTCCGATTGAGAAGGACACCGTCAAGAGGGTTAATTTTTTTAAATTCGCTTTTATTGGTGGAATTGGTACAACTGTATAAATATGTAAAGGTAGTACTTATGAATTGCTCATAGACTTGTGTCATATCGCCGGCATGATCATCACCATCATCGTCGTCGTCGTCGCCGTCATCTTCTCCGTCTTCATCGTCATCTTCCGTCAGAAATCGATGGTGGCGGTGGCACTTGTTCCGGAGGTTTCTGACCCCACACAAAGTGAAAGTGCACGTACATGTGGTACTTGGGGTTCGCCAGGTCCCTCTTGACGCGGGCGACGATGATCCTGGCCTCGTCGGGGGTGTAACCCAGGACGCGGGTGTAGAGGGCGAGGGTGTAGGGCTCGACGGCGTCGATGAACTGGGCCCGGTAGTACATGCCGAGTTCCTTGAACCGCCTCTCCTTGGGCCAGGTCCCGATGGGGACCTTGTAGACTTCCTCGTGGACGTCGACGAAGCCGGCGTCGACCATGTGGGCTTTCATGCCGGCGGCGGACTGGAGGATCTTGCCGAACCTTTTCGAGGCTTCGTTGATCTGTTCGACCCAGTCGAGGAGGTAGACGGCCCCGGAGATGGTGTCGTCGTCGCCCCGCACCTGGCACTGGTAGTCCTGCATCTCCAGCCAACCCCCCGGTCGGAGGTGGTGCAGGGACCGCCGGAACAGCCCGGGCCAGTCGGCCACGCAGCCGCACATGGCCCGGCCGTGGATGTAGTCGAACCGCTCGCTGGGCGGGTAGGTCCAGTCGGACTCGATGTCGTCGACGTAGAACTTGACGTTGGGGGGGAGGAGGGTCGGCTGGATCGGGGAAAGGTCGACCCCGACCACGATCGACTCCGGGTGGTCGTCGCCCACCTCGACGCACCAGAGCCCCGTGCCGCAGCCGAGGTCGAGCACCCGCTGAGGCTGGACCAACGGCGCCCGGTACAGGTGCCCGCCCAGGATCATCCTGAAGATGTGGTGGAACATGTCCAGCCGGTCCTGCTCCGGCTCGTCGTTGGGCAACACGTACTGCCCTTCGCGGAAGGCGTGGTACCGCCGGCCATTTTCGTAGCGGTAGTTGAGGACCGAACTGGAGAGCGACGCCGTCCACGAGTCCTCCAACGCCTCCGAAAACGCCGAGTCGCTGTCGCTGTGGTCGGACTGTCAAGTACCATGTTAAAAAAAAAAATGAAAAAGCTGCCAAGTCACCTGAGTAAGAGGGTCTTGTCGAGGTGTGGTCCAGTGGTAGCCAAGTGCTAAACCATCACAGGGGGAACAGGTGTACCGTGATACGGAACATTACTTACATCAGGTAATAAGGCTTGTTGATATGCCATTGTGACACTGTCAACCCGTGTATGTCGGGTACGGGTTGGTCGAGCAGGTCAAGTAGGTACCGAGTGACTACCACCTACACAGTGTGTAGGTATCCTCGGAGGCCCCCGGCAAGCAGTCGTATCGTTATCGTATGTTGTTTCACGGCGCATGCACAGCTGGAAAAGAGAAGAAATTCTCACAAAAAAAAACTCAATTGTTACCGCCGCCGCCGAAATAGACTCTGTCGTCCTCTACCCAAATAAAACTACGGTATCGGAAATATGGAATATCTAAAAGACCCAAAAAACAAAATTAAAGATTGTCGAAAAAGAGTGCAAGTCAAATAATGGGTGGTGTATTAGACTAGACGTCTCTCTCTCTCTCTGTTTTCTTTCTCTCTCGGTTGCTCATCTGGGTTGTTGTCTCCAATTACCTGCTATAAAGCGGTTAGTTCAAGTTGTGTACTATTTTGTGCAACTTCTAGGCCACTACCCATCTTGGTATCGGGCTACCGAGGTGCAAGTACCTTTTATACCTGGTCAGTGCGGTGACGGTCTTTCCCGAGCTTCTCCTTCGGGTGGAAATGGGGGGACTTGACTAGCTATAAGTGCAGTACAAGTAGATACCTAATGAGCCTTTACCCGGTGCCTAAAGTGCCCGATGTCAGTCCCCCGGGTGGGTTACGGGGGCATCCCGCAAAGAGAATCTGGGCCGTTCCGTAGAGTACAGTACATCACAGTTGAATACTCCGAATAAACCACCCTGCTTTGTACCACTATGGATACAACTCAAGTTGCCAATTCAATCTCTTCGCACACAACTGATAAATCACCAAGATACCATACTCGGAATAGATACTGTAAGTGTGTTTTTTGGCGGGGGGACACGGAAGGATTTCTCTCATGTACGTTTTATTTGTAAAAGGTATCGTCGGAACGCCATATCTATGGTAGATACTCCGTATGTACAAGTGGAATTGCATTACTCGAACATCATTGGACTGGTAGACTCTCACATCGACTAGGCGTTCACGGATGCACCTCTTTTCATGCCTTCTTTTATACTCCGGACTCCGTACCATACCCTACTGCAAGAAAACCTAGGTACTTTGGTGTGATGCGCTGTCATTGCATACCCAGGTATAGTCCACTCGGGGGGGGATGTTCTGATAATCTCAGTCCAGCCAAAGTTTTTCACACTCACCTTGAGAAAAAGAGAGAGACGGGAGTAATGCTGAAGAGTGACTTACCCAGCCAGGTATTGAACCTCCCCCCTCATTTTCACATGCTTCGCAGTATCATTGTACCTTGGTTAAGATACGAATACGATTACGGATCCGCATTGGTATTTACACTGTACATCACACTTGACTTGCCTCCAACTCTTCCCATCCCTCCATCTTTGTTCACCGTCCACCGTCCACCGTCCACCGTCCACGCTTTGGTACTCTCGACAAGTGGGTATGCTGGTCGACACTTGTCCAAGTCGGAACCTCTTCTCATCATCTTCTACTCTGCAGCCGAGTCAAGAGTGAAACCACACAATGCGCGCCCAGTCATCAAACCCAACAAACCTCCTCCCCTCCCTGGCTGGCTCATCCTTCATCAATCTCCTTTTGACCGTCACCGTCTCGACGACCATTCTCTACCTCTTTGGTCTGGCCATCTACCGGCTCTACTTTCACCCGATAGCACATTTCCCGGGCCCCAAACTCGCCGGATTGACGAGGTGGTACGAATTCTACTACGAATTGATCCTCAAGGGACAAATGACATTTCACATTCAAAAACTCCATGAACAATACGGTCGGTAGATCTTTCTTCTTCTAGCCCGCACGCCCTCCCTCTCTCTCAACAACAGACTAGCAGAGAAGAAGAACTGCCGAGTAGTAACAAGGCTCCATCACAACACAGGACCCATCGTCCGAGTCACCCCCAATGAACTACACGTGCTCGACTCGGACTACTTTGAAGAATTGTACGTCAAGTCCGGCAAACTCGACAAGTACCCTCCATTCTCGGCTCGCTTTGGCACCGACGACACCTTCTTCACCGCTTCGTCGCACGAACATCATCGCCGTCTCCGCAACTCGGTCGCCCCCTTTTTCTCCAAACGCAAAATCACAGACTTTCAACCCGTCATCCAAGCCAAATTGACCAAACTCTGTTCCAAGGTGGCAACAGAGTATGCTGCCGGGACGGATCGAGCGTTGCCTCTTCACCGTGCCTGGACGGCCTTGACGGGGGACGTGGTGACCGAGTTCTGCTTCGCCAAGGCGTACGACCACCTCGACTCGCCCGACTTTGCAGAAACGTTTCACGAGCCCATGCACGCCGCCTGCGAATCTTCCAGTGTCCTGATGCAGTTCCCCTGGTTGTGGCCCGTGATGAACAGCCTACCGGATTGGTTGGTCGTGAAACTCGAACCCAAGATGCACATGCACATACAGGTGCAGCACGTAAGTAGCAGCGATGGGTACTGCTCGGTCGCCCAAGAGCCAATGCTGATGATGACCTTTGGCGGTGTGTGTGACCTAGGATTTCGAGCGCACCATTTCCGCGTTGAAAGAAAATCACGACGAGACGCACAAGACCGTCGATCACGCCACTCTCTTTCACGAAATGCTCAACAGTGACCTCTCGCCGAGGGAAAAATCCGTCGGCCGCATGGTCCAGGAGGCGCAGGTCATCATCGGCGCGGCCATTTTGACCACCTCTTGGGCCGCCGCCGTGGCGAGCTTCCACATCATCAACGACCCCTCCATTTTCGCCAAGTTGAGGTCCGAGTTGGAAGAGGCCCTTCCCGACCCGGCCGCCACTCAGCCGGACTGGCAGACTCTCGAGCAACTTCCCTATCTGAGCGGGTGCATCAAGGAAGGGATCCGTCTGGCTTACGGCATCGCGTCACGACTGCCCAGGGTGGCTCGCGCGGAACTGAGGTACAGAGACTGGATCATCCCGCCCGGCACCCCCGTCTCCATGACCATCGTAGACATGAACCATGATGAAGAGGTCTTCCCCCAGTCGAGGTCGTTCATCCCGGAAAGGTGGCTGGGGAAGCCGACCACAAAAGACGGGCAGAGTTTGGAACGTTACTTTGTCGGTTTCGGTAAGGGCTCCAGGTCGTGCATCGGGTTAAAGTATGTCGTTTTTCTATCCTTTTTCTGTTATTTTTTTGACCCATCGTTACCGCCAATGCACGTTTTCTTTCCTCAAGAAATCCCCCAAAAAATGTCACCAATGGTATAGTATGGCTGACCACGTCGAATTCTACTCGTAGTCTTGCTCAAGCAGTACTTTACACTGGTCTCGCGACCATCTTCCGGAATTTCACCTTTGAGTTGTACGAGACTGATGTCTCGGATACGATCCTGGCTCACGATTACTTTGTGCCAACCGTCAAATTGGATACAAAGGGGATCCGAGTAAAAGTGAAATCGATTGAGAAGTGAAAATGAAACCGTCCAGTGACTAGCTATATACTGCGGGACGGGTTTTGGAGCCCTTGGGGTGTATATAGAGTAATATCTCTCCCTCCAACTTTTTCAGGCCGGCGGCAGAAATGATGCATATAACCCAGCTTGGACAAGTGCATATATAATCATCCATCGAATAATAATAATGGCCACGGACGTATTCTTGGTTTCTTGACTCCTGATCTTTGCAGCCAGCCAAATATACCAAAGGGGATAACCCGACGAGATTCTCGTGATGATTTGAACGTGGTAACTCGTAAAGGCGAGAACGGCGAGGGAAAATTGAGGTAATGCCAGGCTAGCCGCGACCACCAGTCTATGTTGATTATTGTTGGTGGAGGAGATTTTGCTCGTGCTCGTATTTGTCACTCCCTTGCCTGTCGGTGAAGATGACGATGACGAAGATGGAGATTTGCCTCGAATAACCATTTCCGGTTTCTTCATGACCTCAATGGCAGATTGAACAAGGATCCATAGGGTCGGAGCAGCAAGAAGAAACAATGGAAGATTCGAAAAGGTCCAATATCGGAATGGGCCGACGTTCCTGAAACAGCAAAACCGTAAATCAGAAGTCAGTATCCAACACCGAATGAAAATGGATATGTACGCGCATGGGCTGTTCGGGGAGGGCAGGGAGAATTCTCAGGACTTACCAGTAGTGAGACTGAACAAAGGTAAAAATCGACGGGATCGTCCACTCACACCATTCCCGCCTCTGGCCGGGACTTTGACCGGCACAATACTCTTGGTACGCGAGGACCTGGGGCAAAACCATCCCGGTGGCTACCAGTAATCCGCCCACGACAACAGATCCAAGCCGAACGACGCGTGACAACGACACTCCCTGGGAGGAGAGCACGGCGAAAGCAATGCTGACAGCTTCGATCAGGAAAGGTATGCCGGCGAGTATACCGTTGCTTCGGATCAAAGTTGCAAGCCCAAATGCCAATCCTGAAGCGACCATGGTGCAAGCACCTCGTAGAACCGTGCCTTGATGGAACTGTGAGGTGGCCGACAGGAAAGCCAAAAATCCACAGAAGGAAAGGCAAGCAAACAGACTTTCGGTGTTTGGCGTCGACAAGAAGACACCGGCAGGTGAGATGATGTGCATTACTGCCGCTAGGAATGGGACCTCAGATGATGATTCCTTTTGTGATTTCCTGTTGCTCCCACCGCCACCAGCACCCATCAAATGGCTCGCTATGGCCCATATCTGTAGGACGGCCAGCCAGTGCGCGACATGAGACAAGCATACGCCAGCAACCATGAATGATGCTGTCAAATTGCCGATGTCCATGGTACGTCCGATGACTAGAAAATAAGTTTTCATATATCGTCAGTACTTGAGGTCTTTCCCCAGACATAAAACACACCCTCGACTATTCGTAATAGAAATTCTTTTGGTCGGGTAATAGAGTCGTAGGGCCTCTCTTTCACACACTCACTTTTTGCAGTCCATCGAATAGTTGAGGATATACCGATGCCAAATGCCCATTCCTGTTCAAAGACGTGTCCGTGTTCTGCCATTTGCGTGAAATATATGGCGTCCCAACGGACAAATTTCAGCCACGGACTTTCGATCTGGTTCGGCGTTCCGGAGAGATATCCCGTGATGGCATTCTCGTTTTCGTTCTTGCCGCCGACCGACAACAACAAGCTCGAGGACGTGTCGTATCCGAGTCTTGGGCTGGTAAAAATAATCAACAGCAAAAGTGATTTCCACGCGAGAAACAGTGCGGACAATGTGGCGATGGGATGACTGCAGCCGTACCGCAACAGTATCGATCCGGTCGTCATCACTGGCGGAGCCATCTACTTCATGACTATTCCGAAGCATGCCACAGTTCATCAGGTATAAAATATAAAAGGGGGTTCGTTGGTTGGTTGTTGTACGAAATATGGAAATGTCGAAGCTGTCGTTGCCAAGCAGATCGCCTCTCTCGGCTGGACGATATTCCGGTCTCCGATCTCCATCGCGCTACGAGTACTGCGTATGGTGCAAGTACATCACCCATTACCACCTGCAGGGAAATAGGTACACATGCGAGGTTCTCGCTTTTTCATGTTCACGGATTACGCCCGCAGGAGCACGTTCATTTCTCTTTCTAGATACATTTCCGCAACTGATGAGATGGCCTAGTAGTGTTAGATTGAGGCCATGGTGTCTTGACATTAAGTATCCTCAAACAGATGTTTGCTCTGGTTGACGAAAGCGTGCTCGCATTAAAGTGCACATTTAATACTGGTGATCGGGTCAAACTCATCTCTGCGGTTCAGTCGCTCATTCTTCATCCTCATCCCTCGGCTATTACAGCCACAGGAATTTGAACGTAGTCGAATGCTCACCGTAGACCTCTAATACATCGTACAGCGTTGTGCACAACACCCTGTCTGCATATGATCTATCAGTCCCACAGGAAATCGCCCTTGTTGCCGCATGGGAAAGCCATTTGTGCGTAGCCCTGATAGAAGTCTGCTTTGAACGAGGATAACTTTCGCAAGGGGTGGCTTGGAATGGAATGCAGCCACTTGTTGGCCCCGTCCCTATTCAGTAATTGCGATGCTTGCGTGCTCAATCTTTCTGGCATGAGCTTTCCGCACAGAGTCAATATTGACGCGCATCTTCGATCACAATCCTCAGGCCTCGAATAGTCTGAGAGCCGAGGTGTCTTGCATCACAACAAGGATTGCATAATGCCTCGCCAGGATTCTTTCGGGTCGCAACCATTCCCTTGCTGACGCTAACCACGAGATAACCGATGAATCTATCTCAGGATGTTGGAATGATTGCTCAAAAATTCTCGTTACATCTGCAGCGAAAGCGTGGTCAACACTTGTGGAACAGATCTGAAAACGGCAGGAAATCTGTATGGTGGCCGGCCTGGAACGTTATCGACCCGACTACTTCGAGATTCTGAACTGGCCTTCGTATCACATCGCTTGAGGGTCAGGCTTCAGCGGGTAAAGGCTGAGAACATGGCAAATGCTTCGTTCGATCTCGAGCTCCGTACACGCATATTGACATCATCGATTCCGGGACTCAATCTGCCACCTGAGAAGTCAATCGAGGGGCCAGGAATCGATGGTTCGCAGCTGCGAGAAGTGTGGAATCTCTGTCATGAGTTGAAGATAATTCCATCTCTAGCAGTCCTCGCAACATTATTCTTCTCATTCTGGAGACGGAGATATAGTCCACAGAGCTGCAATCCTTCTCTCGGGTCCTGAACATAACAACAGGACTTTTCCGGCACCTGTCCCATCAAGATACAACAGACATGGTGCAAATAGGCCTACTCTCTGAGACGTCGATAACCAAAGGAGGGTCTTCAGTGAGTGCAGCTAATTTGTCAGTGGTCTTCAGGGCGATCCGCGGTAGGACGCGTCGCTGCAGCTATCTGAAAGCCGCTAAACGTGCAAGCGAAGGGGCCGTGCTTGTACGAATACGAGTACAATGACCAGTCCCTTGGATCCTGTATCTCTGGATGTTTCTGTGCCTCGCCACGAGGTGTTTGGTAATGCCTTTGACACCCTCTGGTGACTGTCCCACTACCAAGGATATATGGTTTTCTTCGTGGTCTCTGCCCATCGATCGGGCTTTTCCGTAATTTAGGCAAGTGTGGAGCTACCGAGCCCATTCGCCATCATTATCTCTTCGACGACAGAGGCTCAGACGATACAGATTGATCTCGACAGCTCCATCTGTCCTGGCTGGTAGCCTTCGTGGCAGTCCCTGCCAATCTTGCCGGTGTCGGGCCATTTCCATTATCAAGGCGCGCCGGAACTGGTACAATACCCAGGCTGTCACGGCATAAAACACACATCTTTAGGATTTGCCTCGCACGACGCCATCTTGATCGTACCGTAATTTCCGAGAACCAGAGTGAGCCGGATGGATGCGTCCACAGAACCAGCAGTCGAAGCAAATATGATCCAAGCCCCCTCGCTCCGGCCGCAATATGTCACCTCCAGCATAACCTGACCATTATTTACATCAGGCTTGATGCAAGTGACCAACAACTCGCAGCGCTTCGTCAAGGAAAATCGAGACGTAGGTGAAAATAGGGGTCATTCAGAGATCCTGTCGAATTTTGCCCTGCTCGGATGTTGCGACCAGATGCCGCCATGCCAGCGAGACCTGCATGAGCCCCGACAAGCTCGAAACTAGCAAGAGACCGTTGCACTCCTCGGAGTGGTGCCCGCAAAATGGGAACTGGAGCTGCGCTGAATGCCTTGTCGTGGGATCGCCTCGTGAAATGGCCTGCAACCCTTTACAACGACATGGACAGGTGACCCTGTCAGTCCCAGGGACAATGCGATTTGGCCAACAATCATCTTTGCTGAATCCTCGATAAGATACACCCCTTGTGGTTGGTTTCCTTCTCGCGGGTTCCATTTCGTTGGCCCCCTGCCATTTTGAGTGTTAAACTGACACAAGAACCTCCATCAAGCTTGCTGGCGCCTTTTAGCATATTCGTTTGAAGTTGCTTTGAAGCCTCGCTGGGATGCAGATCAATACAACAAAGGCATGCGCACTATCAAACGGAATTTCGACCAGCTTCGGTATGTGGGAGAAAGCCACATGGTGCCAGTGTTCACCAATTCGAGGCAGCTGTTTCTAGGATATCGGCTGCATGCCGTGACATCTATCCTTCGTCTTCTGTTGCTACAATTCGCAAGTGTCGGATGCCGCCTTGATCTTGCTGAATCACCCTGACCGTCTCGTTGGTGTCCCCCCTCTTACCACAATCCTTGTATCTCTTCCCTCTACCACTATCCACCATCCAGGTATAGGTTGCTCAGCGACCCAGCGGAGCTTTGCTCCTTAGGCTACTTGTGATGGCTGACAATGTGTCTGTCGGACAGCGATTGCTCAAGGCCAGACTACTGCTGGGTTCATCACCTAGACAGCGGCGGGCGGTCGGCAGGGAGGGGAGGTTCGTGGCTTTCAGCCAGTGGACTCGACATTGTGAGCTCTGCATATCGCAAGCAAGGTGTCACAATGCAGGACGGTGCTTCGTTGCTCAAAAAGCCTGTACCATCATTAGTCTCTGTTGCTACAGCCACTTGGGATCTCACCTCCATCGCCGCCATCACAGTCAATATTCACTTTTGCTCTACCTGCGGGCAAACACTCGTTAATGTCGGCTGGGCCTCACGGCAGATGTCATCTCTTTGTCTCACACATCCTTCAACCGTCGGCAAACAACTCGCTGCGGCCTCGTCAAGTGCAGAGGTGCCGATGGTGTAGATATACGCTCCACACAGAGGAAGACCTAGTCATTGTTGCAGCGATGTTTTCAAGACAACGGAGCCTCAACTGAGTGATCAGGAAGATATTTTGCTGTCGAACCTGATGCACAGCTTGTATGCGATACTTGACCAGGCGAACTGCACTTGATCTCGTGTGTCGCTGGGTGTTGAAGACGACGATAACAACGGTAAAAACAACGATTGAGACACCGACGACGATACCAACGACACGCTTCCTGTGTATGTTGTTATCATTCGAGCTCTATTTCAGAGTCAACGTGCCTGCCCCTCAAGCAGCTCATCACAGGTTGGAATAGAAACTGCGCCATTTTGACACTTCCTGCCTTATGGGATACGATTCGAGTTATTACTGTATACCACGACGATATCAAAACTCCCTCCACCCTTTACCTCAGAGACAGTCACACAGCGTTAGTATCAAGGCAGTCGGCATATCCCATTGTTACATCCAGCATCTATCTCATCGTTTTCTATGCCTCAGGTTGCATCGACGACGCGTGGGGGAATTGTGATTTGATACTGTTGCTTTGTTGGTCCCACAACGCGAGATTCAGCAACCATTCTGTCGGAACCTCTATTACCAGGTACTCCTATCTCATTGCTTCATTTCCTCACAACAATACATCACGCGTTCAACTAACGTTTCAGCAGCTTTGGCTGGCCCTCGAAAGCCAAGAGAAGAGGTCCTCGCACATTCCTTTTCGATCCATTTTCATCCAGCTTCAAATAGCATATGTCCCGGTCCCACCCTTCTTCCCTACGCTGTACTGCTGTACCAGTTTTCCTTTCTACAGTACAGATTCGTCCAGACAAATCTACGACTTCGAGCCGAACTTGGCTGTGGTCTTCTTCTTTGGACTGTCTACCTGTTCACCAACGCTCTCACTCCCCTCTGAACCTCAAGAGATGGTCTCCCCAACAAGGCCTTTCGGGGTCATCAGCGCACACGATGAAGAGCTCTTCTTCCAGAATTTTCACAACCCGTGGTCCGTACGTAGTGCAGCAGCGCCTACAGCCGAACCATGCTCGCGCCCTCCTCTACGCAGAGTGGACTGCGATAACTATTCTCTGATTCTTCTACAAGAGCCAACGTTGTGGCGTGCCTCGACTTCTGCTGTTCCAGTAGCTGGGCTCGGTGGGAAGGCCCAAAGTGGGAAAACTGTTAAGAAGCGATGTGGTGAGAACGCTCAAGTCAGCTTTGAAGCTGTGCTGATGTGAATACAGTTCAAAAGGACACCAACAACGCTCTCGAACCCCCACCTGCCCTCGAATGGTCCGAAGACGGTCGAGCGATCGTCGATCCGCATGTGTTTTGCGTTGCCACGGTACGGCCGTCCGAATCAGGACTACCTATGAAAATTGATACTCTGATGGGATCCACCACTTCATCATTGCAGAAGCTGAAACATGCTCAAGGTGGTAAGATACTGTCTGTCTGTCCTGGTGGAAGGGTTCAACTCACTCAATTTTTAGATCTATCCATCTTCACATTCCCCACACTTGGAATCAGATATTCTGGCAAATATGTCCTCAAATTTGTTGTTTACAAACTGCACGGTGGTGATGGCATTGATGAAGACTCGGGGTGTGTGAGTTCGAGGCTTATTTCTGGTTTTGTTGCTCACCAATATATTAGTGGAAAGTTCCGAGTACCATACATAGAGCAGATCGCTGAGATCGAGGGCAGCGAATTGATCAGTAAGCCTTGAACCTGCCATCTGTTCATCCTTTTTTACTCACCCATGCAGTCAGCACCAACAAGAACGAGGCATATTCGAAGGTATCGACGCAGTTCACCAAAAACATGCGTGAGTCGGGCGTCAAGGTCAGAACTAGGAAGGAGCCTCGGTCAGCCCTCCCATGATTGTTTTTTCCAGTTGCAAGAACTGACTGTTGCACAGTAAGCGAAAGTCTCCAAGTACAGACTGGACAGCAAACTGCTATACTCCAAATCCTTCTGGCCGTTTTCCATTCGCTCCGACTTACATGGCTTTGCCTGGTCACAACGGCCCCATGCCTCACCTCAGCAATGGAGAAGATATCAGTCGTCGAATGTCCTACCAAGGCATGAGTAACTCGGCACCGATGCACATACAACCTCAATATACGACCTCTATGCCCGCACCGCCCCAGTATACGACCGCCATGGGCGTACCGTCACAGTATACGACTTCCATGACCGTGCCGCCCCAGTATACGACTGCCACGGCCACCCAGTCACATTACACGACCTCCATGACCACATCGTCACAGTATACGACCACCATGCCCTACCTATTGCCCGCCATGCAGAAGAATGGTGATTCTTACAAAATGGCAGCCCGCAGTCAGAGCTACTGGCCTCACGATGAGGTCGACAGCAATGACGTCAACAGCAACGGCGTTGAGAATCATGATGCTGTCAACCACGAGGATAGCAAACACCAATCAGGTTGGGGATCATGATCAAAGAAATGGTTTGTCGGGGAAGAAGAAGGAGGCCTGTGTCTTTTTGGGCTGTCTTGGAAACAACCTTGGTTGGAGTAATGGATGTTTTGGAAGTATCTCTATGGAACTCATCTTGCTCATGTCAGTTTGATAGCCAAGGTCACCGGAGTCAGGAAAAGGATCCCTTACTTACTTAAAATAATATTTAGTATTAACGACGAAATGACAATATCGCCTCACAGGCGAACAAAGGTTACATCGTTCATCCAAATCCCTACCAGGGCCAGCAAGCTCTTCATCAGGTGCATCGGGGCCATCTTCTCGGACATGCTTCTCATCACCAACTTGCTCGTAGAGAAGAGAAAAAGAAGTTGTCAGGTTGGGGGATGCGCAACAGTCTTATATATTTGTGGCGAGGGAGCAAACTTTGAGTACGATCTAGTTATCTAGATCAAGCAGAAGCAGATTTGCAGTTGATAACGCATGTGTCCTAGAAGTCCCATTGAGCTCCGCCATCACCATAGATTGTGTGAAGTATAACCGTGAGACAGAGCCACCTATACGAAAAGTTAGACTGTGAATACCACCCAGCCTGAGTTGTCGAGCTTGCTTTCGGGAAAAACTTCACCGGCGATACTTATCGTTCTCCCTCGGTCGACTAGACTTGAAAGCTAATAAAAGGCTGGCACCGTGAGCTCCAGTGAGTCCAAATCGCGTCCATACATTCGTGTGAGATGTTCAACATGTTGTGTCACAACTCGAACATGAAGAATAATGTGTACATTTCGTCTCCAAACCATCTAAATGCCTGGCTGGGGTGTACTTCAGCTCTTCAGCTGGAGACAAGAACGACGCCACATGCCACGATGTTGACACATTTTGCCATTGCAGGCGTCATGAGGAGACTCTGGCCCCTGTCAAATGTACTCGTTCAAGGCGGTGAAGGGCTCACGATGGTGGTGAGAGAAGGCTGAAGCTTGGGTGGGCACTCTAACCTTTGGACGTGTCTGTCCGGAAGCGGCGATCAAGAGGAGGCTAGAGTGATGATGCGTCGATTGAAAGGGCAGGCAGGATCAGATTTCACAGTCGCTTTAGCAGTCTACACTTCTACGGACTTGTCGATCTTTCAAGGTCTGACTCGAACATCTGCAGCCGATAAGAAACAGGCTGCATTCCTAACGGCGTCATCAGAGCCTACTGCTTGAACCGTGACTATCGCACGAATTTTCGAAAAGCCTGCGGTAGGAACCAACTGGAGTCCACGAGTCAAGATCAAACCATTGATTCTTCGGTGTTCACTTCCTCGGAGACAAGCTGCCTTACACTACGGAGGCGCTTTGGACTATCTGTTTTCTACAAAGCATCAATGATCTGGTGACCATCGGAACCCCCGAGAACGAGGTCGTCCACGACCGCATGGGAAAGCCACGACAGCCGTCAGATTGATGATGAGTTTTGGGCCAGTACGGACTTCTTTGCTATACGAGGGTCCACCTATAGCACATTCTCTTCATGCAGAATCACAAACTCGGAGATGCCGTGCCCAGTCAAGGAGTCCAGCTTTTGAAAGGACATGAAGTATCAGTCAGCGAGAACGCACTGTCTCTGGTGGTTAGGAGGAAGACTTTTTGTTATTGATTTCGAACGCGATGAGGCACTCACATCAGAACCAGGAATCTTTCGAGGCGGACTCCCAAGGATATATATTTATACATATCGTCTAGCTTTGAAGCTGCCTCGTGGTGGCTGGACAACATGCCCGAAATGTTTCATCGCTGCGTGCAACAACCTTTTTGCCTCGACGAGAATCTGTGAAACCATCGATTGTGTTCGCTAGATCTATTAGCAAACCATGTGTGTTGGTAGAACCGACAGTTATCGCATGTCCTCAGGAACAAATACCACGGAAGGATATCAGTGGGTATCCAGTCATCACCAGAACCAAGGATTCAGTCGAAACCACGTCTTACATGTTTGGTACGTTTGTGTGATTTTCCCCAAATGGTTGAGGAGTTGATTTTATTCACCAACGTGGAACTCGTTTACAATATTCTACTGCCTGGTCTCACACTTATCGACGGACTACGGACTTCATAGCTTTCGGGAGTGGTGGCTGGGTTTTTGATAGCACCAACCTACTTCTTCTGCCCAGATAAGTCTTTCTCTTCCCAGCCGGAGTGTTTTCATACGTTTCCAGCTGTTGCCTGTCTTTTTTCCGACTCTCGACCTTGAGCGAAGCCCGTTACTTTCGTTTTGAGTCGGCTCGACGAAGTATCAAGCAGTCAGTCTACCTGCGGTCCCAAGTGAATCAAAAATCCATGGCTCACAACCAGCATTCTTTTCCCACCCCCTCTTTTGCATCCTGCATCCTCTGGCCTTTCTTTTTTTCTTGATCTCGGGGTGGAGTAATCTTTCTACCAAATTTCACAGAGATGACCAGACGACTTTTGTATATCATTGCCAGACATGGTCCGTCGTCTGAGCTTGTTCAGCTGTCGACTTATCTAGCCGTCACCGTGGAGATGCTCCATGTTGTCCTCTTCGAGGCCTTTTATCGCGAATGTTGAGACCTAGACGGACTGAAAGGGAAGGTACATGCTTTTGATCCTCGTCAACTTCGACGAGGTCATGAAGCTCAATCCAGCAAGGCCGTTCATTCCAGTCGGTCGAAACGAATTATGCCTATCGAACTCGAAGGTCACTATCATCGTGTCACGGCCACCTACTACCCATGTATATCGGACACCGGTCTGGCCACCCTACCAGATGACTCTGGTCGATCGGTATGTGTTCGGCTTTTTGTCCGATGGTGTTGCTTGCTCCACAAGTCAAGAGTCTTGAGAGCAGGCTTAAATCTCTCCAGGAGGTGAGAGTCTCTTCCCCGCGCTTTGTAGCTCGGAAGAACTATTGATTTATTTATGTATGTATGATCGGAAGGAAAACAGGTGTGTTCATACCTGACGGGATCATACAGACGACACCTTTTGCTCCGTGATGGGATCCAAAGGTCGAAGGAAGCAGGAGTTCTTACTTGACCATTGATCCCAAAAAACAACGTTCTATACAAGTCACATCTTTGTGTGACCGATTCAAGAAAAGAACACGATGCTACCTATCTCCCTCCCTGCGACAGTACCATCACCGACCTCGACCTTTCGAAGAAGGCAGGACACGGGGGCTCACATCCTGGTCAAGTGACTCGGATCGAGCATACCCAAGCCGTGCGGTATAATCATACCAAAATGTTCAATGGCACTTCAGCCTCATACACGAAGACGGGGAGATAGAAGCTGTTATAGGGCTTTGACAATAACAATAACAACCACAACCATAACTGCGTACTCGATGCTTCAGTGCATCAGTGTCGTCGTGATACGAAATATATACACCCACATCCACACACACTACATCGCCACCACCTTGATTCGAATTGTTGAGAGAGAGAGAGGGATATATCATCGTGCACGGACCTACTGTGTTTACTCCATCCGGGCCCCCCTGGATTCAGCCAGCCTTGTACGACAACACGGGAGGCTTACGGCAGACCAAAGTGTTGCAACGTTTTACAACGCCAAATGGGAACAAGAAAAGCAAGATGATGACAATGATGACGAAAATGAAGAAGAGAGGCAACCGGAAGGGAGAAGAAACAAAAATCGACACTATTACCTCGCCACATGAAGTGTGCTTTATCGTCAGTTCAGTTAAAGCAAGGTATTGATCATGTGATCTCTCTCTCTCTCTCTCTCTCTCTCTCTCTCTCTCTCTCTCTCTCTTTCTTGTTGATAGAATAGCTACATAGTTAAAAGAGGCAGGGCCATTACGCAACGCAAGAAACAAGAAAACAAAAAACAATTCATTCGCATTGATCGTATGGTGTAATTCATTCATTTCATGCTCCTCTGTAAAGGTCTACATACATGCAGAAGGGAGAGGCGCCCGTCAGAATCGAGGCGTAGCGCCCAAAAGTAATGAGAATACCCAAAGAGTGACCCAGGCACACGCAAACAGTTTTGCTTTTGTTCTTTATTTTCTTTTTTGGATCTTCCCTTGCCTCTACTCGATTGTCAATTGTTCCAATACTGTTCCATACGCACACACACACACACACACACCACCTTTTGAATAGGATCAGGATTCCGATACCCTTTTCTTCTCGAGCCGAAACCCAAAACCCAAAGCCCAAATCAAGAGGACCAAAACCTCATCTCGCCATTGCCATGACCCCACGGTAATATTCCACTCCCAAAGTCCGAGCATGAGTCAATCTCACATCGGCAGTGAGTGGTAGGTCGAGGATCGATTGCTGTAGACATCACACCAAAACGTCAGTTGTCACCAAAGTCAAAACATACAATAGACGGAAGGCACACAACATACCATCCCACTCAACCCTTGGTCCTCATCCGATTCGATGGCTCTCGCGACCGCTCTTCCCATCTCGCACAAGGCGACTCTTTGTTCCAGGTTCTCCTTGTCCTTGTCCAGCGCTGGCGGCGTCTCACCTTGACGACGACTGACGAAGCGTGCGTTCAATTCGATCAATGCGTTGCGCAATCTTAGCAACAATGCCCTTCTCGATTCGGCAGCTTCCTGCGGTGGAGCACTCCCACGTCGTTGTTGGTGACCAGGCGTAAGCATCGAATCACCCGCCGCCGCCATCAACGACACAAAGTCGGCGTACACTTGACCTCCACTTTCCCACTCGCCGATCCCAAGTTTGTCTGCAGGGTTAGGGCCGAACTTGGCCAGTGTCGACTGGAGTGTATCCCAATCCTCGTCGATCACAAGGCGTGGCGCGACGCGCTTCAGCAAACACTCATGCGCTTCGGCGAATTCGCGCGCGAGGATGAGATAGGTCAATTCCGTGGGCGCGTCGCTGCTAGACCGAGAGTAAAGTGCTTTGGCGTGACAGATCCAACCAACAGGCACCTTGAGGTGAGTTGTCAGGTCTTTCCAGATTTGTGGCTGAGCTTGCTGAGCCTGGGAAGTGGGAGCTTCATCCGAGTCCAGGTCGGGGGAGGATGGCAACACAGCAGCATGCCTGTTAAGCAATTCCCGAATGTGCGAGCCGCGGGTGGCTGAACCGCTGATGTGTGCGGCGGCGTATATTGCACCAAGGATGTCGCCTTTTGCGGAATATTCGAACATCAGTGACATTGCCAAGTCGTCCGCTTTGTCGTTGTCGACCTTGACTCCCCGTACAGCAGCGGCAATAAAGTGGTGCAGCCGGAAGGCGTGAGCGGAGTTCCAGGGCTGAGCGAGAGCTGATAACGCTTGTGGAAAGACAGGCGCCTCGACACTGCTGGGCTTCTCTTTGCTGGCGAACAACTTGAGCATCACCCATAGCAAATCCTCCTTGCCGTCTTCACCGATGGGACTGGCAGATTCCTCGTGAGTCGCCACCTTGTCTGCAAAATCGGACACTGCATCCGCAATGTCACCGTGTTTCTGGCGCCCGTACCACAGACACAAACAAAACGCCTGTACCCAATCGAGTTCGAACTTTTCCGACAGGGCGAATGTGCTAGCCTTGTCCTCGACCGGAACCTTCTGCTTGCCTTGCGCAATGGTTGTGTTCCCAGCAAGAAGCTCATAGACGCCACGAATCTCTTCCGACATCTCGCTGAGTACGCCCTGCTGTCTCCATGACTCTATCTGGTCGGCCATGTCGTTTTGGAACGCGGCATCGGCCTGTCCAATCTGCGCGACTAACAAGCTCAGATGAAAATCATGTTCGCGTGTCAACATCTCACAGGCCGCCTTGAGATTGTGGGCGGTGAGTTGAAGGATCGCTGCGGTTGCAGCGCTGGCTTTCTCGGCAGCTTTGATCGTTTCAGCGTGCCGACGCCAGACAAATTCAGCAAGGAATTTTGAAAGACGATCTTTCCGTATGCGGGTCAGAAATTCTCGTTGTTGCTGTCGACTTAAGCCACGAGTAAATTCGTCTTCGAACTCGTCGAAGAGAACGTGTGAGAGTCGGTAGACGTCGATTTCATCCTCGCTAGCGCCTTGCTGAGCCAGTGGATCTTTGGCTTGGGAGAAGTCAACAGCATCGTGCTGCACAAATGGTACCTTCTCGACAAGCTTTACTTTTGTGTTTGCCATCAAGGTCTCGGTGCTCGTTGCTACCTAACGAAAACGTAAGTCGATACCAACGACAATTGAATAACAACCGCACATACTGTTGCAGATCGAAGCGAAGTAATGGCCACGTCCCCTCCCTCGTTGCCCATCAGAATGTCGTTCGTCCAGGAAGCATCATTTTGAACCGCACCATCAACCTTATAAACGAGTTTGTTCAATTGGGTGAACTGGGGTTTGAACGAAAGATGCCACAGTTTGTCGTTCTCGGTCATTTCGGAGTCGTGATCATCAAAAGTCTTTGCGCGCTTCGAATAAGGAAACTAAGAGACAAAAATTTAGCCAATTTGTTTCATTCATAGACTACCTACATGCTATGTGAGACCTCGACTGAACCCTGGACCTACATTCCCATTCGTTACCATCTGTAGTTTTCGACTTTTGCTGTCCTGACGTACATAATATCATCCACTTTCAATCCTTCCAGGGTTCATCGGATCAACAACAGGGAAAAGGTAAGAAAAAGGAGGGTAGGGAAATTCAAACCTCAAAATCCGGCCCTGCCTGTCCCTTTTTTCCCTTTGCCATTCTTGCCTCATGTTTGCTGAACAAAGAGTTCATTATGTCAATGCTCGTACGGAACTCATTCTTATTGTGGGCTTTTGGTTTGATTGGTTCGTAGGCTCGATCAAGGAGAATTTTGTTTTGGACATCACGCAGAGCTTCACGGTTCTGCTTGCGAGGGCTGATTGTGCGTTGGAGTTGCTCAGCCCAATCGCCGTCGAGGCTGATGAGGTGTTTGCCTGGAGTGCCCATCTGACTTGCCTTCAGTATGGGTTTGCTGGGGCTTTCGAGAATGGTTGCACTTCTAGGGGGAAACGAGCCCACCATGCTGACCTCGTTGTCACTTTCCTCAGCTGCAGACTCCTCCGACAACTCAGATTCGTGGAAGTCCGCAACACTCTGTGCGATTGGTACTTCGACATCGTAGTCAATTGCAGATCGACGTCCAAACCCTCCTGGGACCGTCTTTTGCTTGAAAGCAAATGTATCGTCTTCATCTGGGCTGTCATCCTGATCCTCGCTGTCAACATCCATTTCAGACATGTTGCCAGACTGTGAGGCACTCAGTGAGTCTGGTGGCGCAGACATCTGACTCTGGCTTAGATCTTCGTCTTCGTCATAGTCCAAACCATAGCGAGTGTAATGAGGGACTCTGAACGTCCAAACACCAGTCGAGACTTCGTAGTTGACAAATTCAGTACCGTGCATTTTCTTCAATCGGTTGACGTGCTTGTCGAAAATCGGGCCGCTGGTAGCGGATGAAGGTTGACCACGAGAGCGAGGCCAAGAGTTTTCGATGGAGATCGTCGAAGGCACATTGAGACCTTTACCAACAGGAGGTTTCGAACTGGCATCTGGATAGACGGTGACCGATCGAAGGCGGATCTCCACAATCTTTTCATAAAGATCGTCCAAGGGGATTGCAGTAAGATCCACTGCGCCGTTGAAAGTAACTTTCCCGCAGCCTTTACGGCCCACTTCAAAGCCAACAAATTTTTGCAGTTTCTCGCGCGGCATCTTTCCCAGTTCCGCTCGACTAGGTTTCATCCAGTAGTCACCTGGTTGCGGGTCGGGCTTCGCTTGAACCGCCTTCTTGAGGGAAACATGGTCGGATTCGCGATCTTCAGGCACCATAGCAAGCTCGTTGGTCCGAGAGGATTCAGCCTCAGGCGTGGCACTGCCATTAAGAGTTCTGCCTGACTCAGAGTCTTCCCCATCGGTCTCCGTTCGTACCAGAGCTCCCGACTCCCCGTTCAGGGTAGCTTCCTGTCCACCAAAAGTTCCTTTATCAAAGCTTACCCGCTTTTTCAATTTGCTCAAATCACCTGAAGATTCCGTACCGTTGATCATAATAGGCTCATCCTGACTACCGTTGGGCTTTTCAGAGCCATTCATGGGTAGAGTAGGAAGAGAAGGTCGTGTAAAAAGGTCATTTCTAATGCTTCGATCAATGGTGAGCCGGCGCATGTTGCCACTAGACCAACGACTCGCGCTGGGTGCGAATGCGCCTGGGCTGAGGACGCCTTCCGTATCGCCTGAGAATTGAGACCTCAAGTTACTTGCCGAGGCACTCTTTCCGAAAGAACGTCCGAAACTACCGCCTGTGAAGCTTCGACTGCCGTACATGCTATTGGTCAATCCGCTTCCACCAGGAGTACTTGCAGCACTATTGGGAGTTCCGTAGGTGGAGTAGGAAAAGCCGAAGCCGGAACGGCGTGGAGGTGTCATGTACCGGGACTGGCTGAGACGGAGACTGGGTGGCGGCTTTGCCTGGCTTTCCCTCATCTTTTGAGTTGCCGACAACGGGGTGAAAAGAGGCTTTGCAGTCTCAGGGGTAGGTACTGGCAGGCCAGTCCAGATTGACGTCTGACCATACGGATTCGGATCATTCAACGATGACTGCTTGAATTCTGGCTGCTGTTGCTGGCCCTGCTGCGCATTCTGTGAGTTGCCGAATAAGCTTGTCCCACCAGTCTGACTGAAGAGACCCGGGGCTTGTCCTGTGCCACTGTTGCCAAACAATGAATTTGTTGCAGGCTTCTGAGCAGCATTTCCGAAAGAGAAACCTCCGCCTTGTTGATTGTTGGAGCCACTAGTGCCGAACAAACCGCCGCCAGTGCTCGGCTGGCTTGTTCCAAAGGCGCTGTTGGAGAAAAGACCACCAGGCTTTTGAGCTTGGCCACCGAAAAGCCCAGGATTAGATGTATTGTTGTTGGAACCAAAAAGACCAGTTGCAGTACCACCAGTTGTCGCAGTGTTGTTGCCGAAAAGACCACCTCCGCCAGTCTGGGCCGTGGAGGTGCCGAACAGACCTCCAGAAGGCTGACTCTGGGTTGTCGCACCGCCAAAGCCTCCGGAGCCGCCGCCAAAGAGTGGCTTTTGTTGGTTCGCAGCACCGAACAAGCCACCAGACTGCTGCTGAGGCTGTTGCTGCTGCTGATTGTTGTTTCCAAAGGGGCCAGTGCCGCCACTGGTCGGAGCTGCATTGCCGAAGGAAAATGAAGGAGCACTTGTGGTGGCGGTGGTGCCGGTAGAGCCGAACAAGCCTCCCGGCTTATTTTGCTGTTGTCCAAAGAGACCGCCACTGTTCGTCCCAGAACCGAATGCTCCGGAGTTTCCGCCCCCGAAAGCACCACCAGTGCTGCTCGCCGTGCCGAACAGTCCACCAGAAGATGTGCCTGTCGACTGCTGCTGGCCAAAGAGCCCGCCTGTCGCAGGCTTACTTCCGAAGAGGCCTCCCCCACCAAAACCAGAGGTTTGAGTGCCGCTGCCACCGAAAGGTGTTGACGACGAGGTTGTCTGTCCGCCGAACAGACCACCCGAGGAAGTGTTGCCACCACCAAAAGCTGGAGTACTGCTGCTACCACCGAAACCACCGAAAGTACTTGAGCCAAATCCCCCCGAGGTTCCTGTGGCACTGCCATAGCGACGTCCGGCGTTGTAGTCTGCTAAGCGAAGCTCTTCGAACGAATATTTCTGGTAGGGTTGCATGAAATTGATGCTTTGGTAGTTGCTCTGTTGATTAGAGGCATCTTTCTCCAACGTCGGAGCATAGGGTGTAGAGGCAGTCCCTTCGGAAGGAGGAACGGGTTGGTTGCTCAAAGCCGTTCCAGATCCTGAAGCGCCAAATGCGCCTCCGCCAAAGCCACCTGTTGTCCCAGTACCGCCTTGACCGAAGAGAGGGGTAGAGCTGTTCGATGCCCCAAAAGCAGGCTTGTTGGCACCTCCAAAGCTGAAAGATGATCCACCCGTACTGCCCCCAAAGCCGCCGGTGCTTGCATTGTTACCGAATCCTCCTGTTGAACCTCCAAACCCCGAGTTTTGTTGAGTTGTTGTCGAATTGCCAAACAAGCCACCTCCTGTGTTTGTGCTCGTGCCGAAGGGATTTGAGGCCGGTTTATTGCCGAAGAGGGAGCCGGATGTGTTGCTGTTGTTTCCGAAACCTGCAGATAGCGGAGTTAGCTCGTCCATTCTTTTGATGCGTGGATGAAAGGATGCGATATGGGAAGGGTAGTGGGACGCATTTATATCGATAGACCATGACTTGATGTTTTAGATGCGACAAGAGATCGGCAAAACAATGCACACTGTAGACAATAGTGGGATATATCTTGTCGATGCAGGGAAGAAAGAAAGAAGGACCAGGGAATTTGTCTGACGCACCTCCAGCCGGAGATCCAAAAGTGCTACCGCCGCTACCACCACCAAAGGGGTTCGACGCAGCCGTGCTGGCCCCGAAACCAGTGTTCCTTGTGCTTGTGCCGAAGCCTAGACCGAATCGAAAGGGTGTCAGGGCGAACAAGGTGGAATTGAGATTGTGCAGAGACATGGACTTACCACTGTTGGTGTTATTGCCAAACCCACCAAAACCGGTGTTCTGGGTGTTGGTATTAGAGCCGAAAGAAAATCCGCCGCCGCCAAACGACATACTGGCGGGTATGGAAGAGCGTCGTTGAGCTATGTTTGACGGAAGAAAAATAATAAAGGACAATATTGTCAATGGGTAATGAGCGAAGGTGCAGGGATTAAAAAAAGGTGAGGTGGAAAGCTCGTGACGCGCCGCAGTGAAGGAATCGAGGCAGAGACAGACACAGGCAGCAGGCGAATATGCGCGCTTTCTATGTCTGGAACAGCTGCAACACTCGAGCGCTCGGCTGCGAACGAGCTTTCGATCGAGGTGAAAGTAAAAGAAATGATGGGCTTGAACAAAAAGTTGACGCGCCTGCGAAGGACACGGGGATGAGGAAGCGCACCAGCCTCCAGCGCAGCGACTTGGTTTATGCCAAGAAAGATATGTCAGCCTAACTACCGCCAACGAAAGCTGTAAATATGATTGGTTGGAGACTCAGTGCCCCTGTTGGCAGTGACTCTGCCAGAGCAGTACTCCGTACGGTAGGTCGGCATTAACTATAGGCTTCTTGCTGCTCGTAGTCTTGCAGCCTAAAATAAAGATAACGAAGAGCACTAATCATCACCCGGTGACAGCTTGATTCTAAATCTCCAAAGGTCTAGGCCCCCATGGTCACTCAATCTTAGGCGGCGGAGTAATAGGCACAGGATGCACTCCAGAGCCAATATAGGCGAGCGGAAACTTGCCCATCAATACATTCGAGATTTACTGTTCTGGTATATTCGCGACTATCAAAATATTCCTCGTCTCTCCCCGTGAGCTTCGTCTTAACTGAGGGTATCGACAAAATATCCAATGGGCGCCATGAGCAAACTACTTCTTCCTCGAAGACTTGACTGTCTCAATAATTCTGTCAACAACGCTTGGGTCGCTGAGGGTTGACGTATCACCAAGGCTATCCTCCTCGCCACTCAAAATCTTTCTTAGAATTCTCCTCATGATCTTGCCAGATCGTGTCTTAGGAAGATCATCAACGATGAAGATCGCCTTGGGTGCTGCGAATGGGCCAATCTGCTTTCGGACTTGCAAGATCAAATCCTTGCGTGTGGCCTCACCCGGATCTATGCCATCCTTCAAGGACACGAAAGCATTGACTGCCTGGCCAGTCAACTCATCGTTGATACCGACAACTGCGGCCTCAGCAACACCATCGTGCTCGATCAAGGCAGCTTCAATCTCAGCGGTGGACAGTCGATGGCCCGAAACATTGACAACATCATCGACACGGCCTCGAATCCAGTAGTAACCTTCGTGGTCGCGGCCGGCACCATCGCCAGTGAACTATCATCAGGTTAGCCTCTTTGATCTGCTGAACATGCTTGCCACTTACGTAGTATCCCTTGTACACGTTCAGGTACGTGTCCATGTATCTCTTGTGGGCACCCCAGACGGTGCGTGCCATGCTGGGCCAGGCTTGCTTGAATGCCAGAACACCTTCAACGTCGTTGCCCTGGATTTCTTCACCAGAAACGGGATCGATGATGGCAGGCTCAATACCGAAGAATGGTAGAGAAGCACTACCGGGTTTCGTCGGAGTAACACCACCCAGAGGAGTGATGACATGTGAACCGGTCTCAGTCTGCCAGTATGTATCGACAATGTGTGCCTCCTCTTTACCTACAGACTCAAAGTACCACTTCCAGACCTCAGCAGCGATGGGTTCACCGACGGAACCAAGCACTCGCAATTTGTGCAATTTATGGTGGATGTGCTCATCACCGGCTCTCTTGAGTAAACGAAGGGCAGTTGGCGCAACGTAGAATTGGGTGACGCTGTGCTTGTCGATGACATCCCAATAGCGGGAGAAGTTCGGATAGGCGGGCGTACCTTCGAATACGACCGTGGCTACACCCAGCAACAACGGAGCATACACGACATACGTGTGTCCCGTGATCCAACCCACGTCGCCACCACAGAAGAAGACGTCGTCATCGTGAATATCGAAGACATATTTACCGGTAGTCGCAGCACCCAACAAATACCCAGCAGTTGAGTGCATAACACCTTTAGGTTTGCCTGTCGAACCAGAAGTGTAGAGGAGGAACAGAGGATCTTCAGAGTTCATGGGCACGGGTGCGATATAGTTGGGGTACTTCTCAACCTCCTCGTGCCACCAAAAATCTCTGCCCTTGGTCCAGGGCACGTCTGCACCGGTCCTCTTGTAAACCAGAACGTGACTGACATCTGGGCACTTCTTGAGAGCTTCATCCACAATCTTCTTGGTGCCGATCAATTTTCCGCCACGTTTCCCTTCATCCGTTGTGATGACGACTTTGGAATCGGCGTCGATGATACGGTCGGCTAACGAGCCAGATGAGAAACCAGCAAAAACCACCGAGTGAACTGCGCCGATACGTGTGACAGCGAGGAAAGAGATAACAGCCTCGGGAATCATGGGGAGGTAGAGGGCAACGGTGTCGCCCTTCTTCACACCCATCTGTTTCAAGGTATATGCGACCCTGGATACCTCGCGAAGGAGTTCGCCGTAGGTTAGGGTGCGGCCCTCACTCGGCTCATCAGCCTCGTAGATGATGGCTGGCTTGTCGGGGTTCTTGATGGCGTGACGATCAACGCAGTTATAACTAGCGTTCAAACGACCCTCCAAGAACCAAGCATTGTCACCGTTCTGCAAAGACCCGGTGTGTACCGTCTGGAAATCTTGCTGCCACGATAGAAGGTCGCGAGCCATCTTTCCCCAAAATTTGTCTGGCTGTTCAATCGACTCCTTGTACATTGACCAGTACTCGTCGAGGTCCTTGATGTGGGCCTTTCCAGGGCCCTTTTTGAAGTAGGGTTTCGGGACACTGCAAGCAAATCAATACGAGTTCCGTTCCGAGAAGCTGTAGGTCAAGCTGTTGAGCCACTTACTGGAATGTGTCCACCTCGTGAGCCTCGGCCTGCAAGCACGGTCAGTATGGAGTGTCAAGGAGGGGCGTAGACGAGCGTGTCCTACCACCACAGGTGCCTTAGGAGGCTGCGCTTTGCCCTCCGACATGGTGACTGGCGTAGCAGAGAAAAACACAGATAGCAAACACAGGTGTAAGGAGGATCGAGGATCAAGGTAGTAAGCGGTGTGAGAAAATTACCCAGGTAGGGAGTTACAGTGTTGCTACTGATGTTGCAGATGCGCACAGGTGGGCGCTAGGATGGTACAGAAAAACGGACCAGGATCCGGGGCGGAGGTCAGATGGACTAATATAGGCAGGAGGCGGCGAAGAGAGATGACGAGGGGAGGATGAAGAAGCGAAGGCGAGAGAGGAAAAGGATGAACGTGCCTTTTTCTCTGTCCGCAGCTGATCGAGTGACCTTGTTTCTCTTTCGTCTGTGGGATTTGCACCGACATCGTCGTCAGACAAGATTTGACTCGGGCGGGCGCTGCATCTGGTGCTGCGGGGAAAGCTGGAGCTTCGCCATTTGCTGTGTATCACTCGTCAACTGCCCCTCCACCCTGCATCCCTCCTTTTATCCGTGAACGCAGTCTAACCATCTCAAGGGTAACCGATACTCGTCCATCAGGCTCTCACCAAAGTCCAAGCTCCGCCATACCGTCCATCATCGACTCTCCTTGCATCTAGTTCGCATGACCATCCCTCTGCCATCTCTGATTCCGACCTGACGCCGAGCCCGCTTCCGACTAGCCACCATGGCAATCTTGCTTCCCGCAGACCAACATGATGTGTGCCATGCAAATGCCTTTTTTCAGGGTCAACAGTGAATTTCGCGATGATGACGATTCTCACAATCACATACGAGTACGAGTACTAATGCCTCGTGTACAACGACCGGCAGTTACACAGCCAAGAGTCGTGTTCCTCTACTCGTGCGAATCCTCCATATCTGCCTGAGTACTTCCGTATAGCACAGTCAAGCCTGGGCATCATAGGGATCACCTGTTCGGGCGATGGCAAGGCCTGGTGAGCCTACGGAAAATTGTGGACTAATGAGCTGCGAGGAAACCATATTTCAGCCTCAGAGAACAATTGTTCCTCCTGCTGCTCCCCTACAATACAACTCGTACAGGCATGACCAAGAGTCTTGGGTTTGCCACCTTCTCCAGATGGGGTTCTCGTTTGTTGCTCCCCAGCGGTCCGGGATCAAGAGCGCCTCTCCAGGGTTCATTATTTCGACACCCGCGATTTGTGTAGTCCATCTGCCATGTGCCAGTCCCGGTTATCTATTGTGGTGTGACTTACATCCCACCCAATAGGCCAGGCCTGACTCGCCTCATCTCAAGTTATCGGTCAGACGCAAGGCTGACCCAACAATTTTCCACACATTTAAAATTACGGAATAGTTCGCCTTTGTGCAGACTCCCGCCGGACACATTGCCGGGATCCAGATCTCTGTTCCACTACGGAGTGTGATTATATACTTCCTTTCCACCAGGACGCTATGCCTAACATGAAGACCACGATTGCGCCGTCCCCGACAAATTCCCTGAGCATCTGTATCCACAGACCAATCCCGCTTTTGTCCGAATGGCCACTTGTAAGGACCCTACTCCCTTGAACCAGCAGTTCGCCGGTCGCGAACACTATGAAAGGGTTCTGGAAAGTTGCTGGAGCCGGAGGATTCTCGCCAAATGTCTCGGTCGCGGTGTTGATGCAGAAGACTAGATAGAGCCCTGCAAAAATGGCGAAAACAACATGCACTATTTTCCACAGCCTGGTCGCTCGCATTTCCGCTTGCGTTGGCGGTGCCTTTTGGCTTCCCATAAACATGCTGGTCAGAAAGGAGGGCAGTCCTGTCATCTTTGATATGTCGTCGGGAGACATGCCGGGGATACCACCCATTCCTCCCCCGGGAGCATTTGGATCAGAGACACCATCAGCCCCTCCCATCATGGCTTGTAGCATCTTCAACATGGGATCTTCTTCCTGTGCTTGTGGTTGTTGTTGCGCCTGCCCTTCTTGTGGCATCGGCTGTCGAAGCATTGCCTTCAGAAACTCTTCCTGTGCCCGAATTTGTTCCGGGGTGGCATTCACAGAGGGATCTTGCAATGTATTAGGAGGTGAGGGAAGTTCCGACGGTGTCGAAGATCGAGGGGTCATCGCGGGAGACTCATGTCGCACTATAGATTGTCACATTAGACCTTGCTCAGGACAGCGCCTGGATGACCGGGTCAAGATAGTCTTACTGCTCTCTGGCGTCCTTCCACTCAGTCTGGTGATCTTGTCTAATCTTTCAGTCCCTGAGCCTGTGATCTTTGCTTCCCGTTTCTGCCTTCGTATTCTAGCCTGGCGCTGCGCTGGAGTTTCTTCGGTGTCCGCCATTGTGTGGTCAAAGAGAACTCAGGGTGTCAGAATGTGTTATGTGGCAACCTACTACTCGAGTGCAGATTGTAGGCAGATCATGCAGCGGCCTAAAGTAGAGGGATTCTGGCGCAATGAACTGACTTTTCACCGATCACAAGCAAGATATCAGGGAGTATCTGGTCAAAGATTGAAAGATCAAGTAAATGTCCCAAGAAGTAATGATGGCTTGGTCTTGATCCTAACAAAATGTCCTCAAACCGCACGCGATGCCTCCGCACCAAAAAGAAGCGCAGCCTGAGAATATCCGCTTAGCGAATCCTCATGGTCTGACGTAACGCGGCCATGTGCATTTTAGGAACCACCAGTTATGTACGCGATTAAAGCAAGCAGCTGCAAACACGCAATTGACGATAAGATTAATGAAATGTCGCTATCGACATTTTGAAGTGTGGTTTTACACACATGTGGTGAGTCTTCGATCCAAGCCCAACCTTTCCACCAAAATTGCCCTACGCTAGCAACATGCCCTCGACCTTGATAGTAGGGGCGACTCGTGGCCTAGGGAAGGAATTGGCACTATATTATGCCGACAACCTCTCCCACCATGTATACGCTACATCTCGATCGTCAGATGCACCTACAGGCCTCAGCCATGGCAACATAACCTGGCTACGGAACATCGACTTGTCAAAGTCTAGCTGTGGGCAGGATCTGGCTACCTCATTGCACGGCAAGACAATTGACAACTGTATTATAACAGCAGGATATTTTGCGACGGAGGATTTCGGCCATGCCAACTGGGATGATGAGGTCAAGATGTATACTCTCTCATCGGTCGCACCAGTATTTATCGTTCAAGAATTGGTGAAAGCGTCGACTTTGGTTCAAGGTAGCAAAGTGATCCTGGTCTCTTCAGAGTCAGGTTCAATTACTCTGAGGCATGAGCAAGAGGGAGGAGGCAATTTCGGTCACCATGGCTCCAAGGCAGCCTTGAACATGGTAGCTAAGCAACTGTCCTTCGACTTGAAAGATAGAGGCATAGCCGTCGCTTCAGTGCACCCTAGGTAAGTCTCCGGCGGTTTGCCGCGAAGAGCCGGGTAGCAATTTGACTGAACTGACGATTTGCAAGCTTCATGAGAACCGAAATGACCAAGAGTGTCGGCTTCGATCAATTTTGGGAAGCCGGTGGCGCTCTCGATCCCCAAGATGCTGCGCGCATATTGGCTGACTGGATCGAGAAAGTCTTCTCTCTGGAGCAGTCTGGTACATACTGGGCACCTCGAGGTACCCGTGACATTGGAAACTGGGACGTGGTGATGGGCAAATCAACAGCGCAGGAAGGCCCTGTCCAACTTCCATGGTGAGGCATGATAAGCTCAGGTGTCGCGCATATCCAACATGGCTAGATTCCACGCAAGCTGTGGGAATGCCGTCAGCCACATCCTCGGATTACATTCAACTCGGGATCCAAAAACATCGTCCAGATCTTGATAAATCGTTGCTTCGTTATCGCTGAAGTCGAATCGACTCAAAGGTCACTGTAGACAAATGGTATAAAACGCCTCTTTTGAAACCGTGCCAGTCCCGTCATAGTCAAACATATCAATCATGGCCTGTATCTCGTCATCCTCGAGGCCAGTCTCTCCTAGTTCGCGGGCAACTCTTCGTATGTCTTCTGCCTCGATGTAACCCCTTTGTTGGGGGTCGAACAACAGGAAAGCGCGCTCCACTTCATCACCAGGATCGCGCTCGAATATTCTTTGTGCGGCGATCCTCTGGAACGCGCTCTGTGGTAACAATAGCTGGCTCGCATGGTATGTTGTTTGCCCTTTGACCAGCAACCCTCTCTTGAACTGTGGCTTCGGCACTCCATGCGTGTGCATTATCTGGGAGATTTCAGGCCTGGGAATGGTGAAGCCCAGGGACCGCAGGGCGATTCGCGCCTCTTGGTAGTTTAAATGTTGATCACGGTCAAGGTCAAATAAGGAGAACTAATAGACACCAAGTCAGCGACACCAGTACAACGAGTAGTTTATCCGCGCGTACTGCTTCATTGATCTCCTCCCGCTGCTCTTCACTGAGTTCGCTCAATACGTTTGGCTCCTTTTCCATGCTCTGTCTGGCCCCTTGGGCACCATGTTGTTGTTGAGGTGCGAGCGACTGGTTGAAAGGGTGAGTCTGGTCTGCGCGCCGTCCGAAGGCCGACTGAGAGTAGTGTTGGGAAGGCGCGACTCCTGCAGGTTTCTGCCCTGTACGATCTGGCAGTTTACTCGATGAAGAAGCATACACGTTGCGACCTGGGAAAGCGGGATTTGCTTGAGACATTGGAGATGAAAGAAGGGCGAAAGCGCGCCGAGTGTCAACTACGTGGACTTTGTGACTTCATATGGGTTACTGTTGTTGCGACAGATATAGGCGAAATATGGAAAATAGTGGTTGTTTACGCTGGGACCATTGGTATTCCTGGTCGAGGCGCGTGCCCTTCTCTGGTGTTTCGCGACGACGCGATCGGCCACGGATCAGCCACTAAATACTCGGCAGACTCCCGTTCACTGCCTGCTGTACTTTCTGCGTCAAACTTCGAATCTTACTTCCATCATTAACCTGATCGACTTCTGAACTGGTACCAGGTCTAACATATCTCATATGCCGATTCTGTGTACCTAAGACGGCACAGTTGTCGAGGACGATGTTGTTGCAACGAAGATGCAAGCCGGCAGGACGCTTCGGAGAGATGACAGCAGGATAGTCATTCATTTCGACTATGACTGCTTCTATGCTTCCGTCGTCGAAAACGAGAATCCAGCCTTGAAGTTCGTACCCTTGGCCATTCAACAGAAACAGATTGTGGTGACCTGCAACTATGAAGCGCGTCGCCGTGGCCTTCGTAAGTTGCAATTGATTACTGAGGCAAAGAAAGTGTGTCCAGAAGCCGTCATTGTGCTGGGCGAGGACTTGACCAGGTTTCGAAATGCATCAAAGGAACTCTACGGCTTTCTGCAGCAGAGCATATGGAGTGGAAGAGCCGAGAGACTAGGCTTCGACGAGGTTTGGTAGGCTATACATCGAATGCTCTAAGGGATTGGTTTCTGACTGATTGCAGGCTAGACTGCACAGACATGATTGACTATAACATGGACCTCCTTAATCAGAATGACCTTGGCCATTCCTTCTTTTGCCTGAGCAGGACTGATCCTACCGCTGGTTTCCACTACGACGCATCCAATGTTTTCGGACCAACCTACCCGCCTACTCTTGTGCCCTTAGCAGAATTGAATGAGCAAGAGCAGCTCTTGCACCTTCGCCTGCGACTTGCATCGCATCTTGGAAGACATATTCGCCATGAGCTTGAAGCGCAGAAGGGCTATACAGCGACTGTGGGCATCGCAACCAATAAGACATTGTCCAAGCTAGTGGGTAACGTCCACAAGCCGAAGAACCAGACAACACTTATGCCGCCGTTGGGCCCGATAGCTGCGGCCACAAGCAGCATTACACTATTCCTTGATGCCCACGACGTTGGGAAAGTCCCCGGGATTGGGTTCAAGCTAGCACAAAAGATCAGAGCCCAAGTTCTTGGAAGAGAGGCGCAGATAAATACAGGTCTCGTCTACGGGGGTACAAAGGAGTCAGTAAGAGTATTCGATGTTCGTTCTCATCCAGGCATGGGCCCGGAAATGCTCGAAGACATCCTCGGCGGTCCTGGCTCTCCCAAAGGCATCGGCGGAAAGGTATGGGAGTTGCTCCACGGCATCGACCACAGTAAGGTTGGCAAGGTCAAGCGGATCCCGTCACAAATCAGTCAGGAGGACTCGTACATGAAATATCTGTACACATTTGACCAGGTCAAGAAGCAACTGCATCTCCTGGGTGATCGTTTGATTCGCCGAATGCATTTAGACCTCCTCGAGGACGACGAGAGTGACGACAAGGTCCGGCGATGGTTAGCCCACCCCCGAACGTTACGTCTGTCGACAAGACCTCGACCACCACCTGGCCCAGATGGCGTCCGAGCCAGGACATCTCATCGAATATCTCGGTCCGCACCAATGCCTAATTTTGTCTTCAACCTATCTGAATCTTCGTCTGTGTTAGCAGAGCGGCTTGTTGAAGAGGCATTGGTGCCGATGTTTCGCAAGCTTCACCACGAAGCAAGCGGGTGGAATCTCAGCCTGATCAATGTTGCAGCTACGAACATGTTGGAGACAGCGGCTGAGAGCAAGGACAGCGAGGGCCGAGATATTGGTAGGATGTTCCGGACTCAAGAGGCTGTACTCAAAGATTTCAGGGTTATCAGTGACTCGCATGATGGACAGGAGAATGGTGGCCCCATAACTGATCCTTCTGGTGCCGACTCTCCCGACCCTTCGGTCTTTGAGTCAATTCCTGTAGTGGCTGGAGGATGGGATTCGGACGATGGTGACGGCCAGAAAGTGGAAAGATGCCCTCTGTGCCAGAACAGCATTCCTTCATTTGCGCTAGCTGCTCATCTGCAGTATCACGAGATGAGCGGTTGACCGCTGAGGTGTGGGAACCTGTCCTCGCTGGTTATCTATAGGAACGCTTCCAATGTAGATAGCATGCTAGTGAAAAGTCATTGATTAGACTACTTTTCAGTTCTTCAATTTTTGATACGATTCAAAAGCAATTAACAAGGGATTAACAACATCTACACTAATATGTCTATTAAATGTCTACAAAACGCCTACAAAAGTCTTTGTCGATGCCTGAAAAATCTAAATGACCCTATTAGGCAAGGTCCTTACTGTATAAGGAAAGTCTCCTAAGGGATGTCGGGATGTTTCTGGGCTCGCCTGTTTCTGATAGGAGTACGGAGTACTCCGTACATACTCAGTAGTGGCTCCGGGCTATCATGTCCCCATAGAAGGTACACCTGTGACTCAAAACAAATCATTCACTGCCAACGGAGTGCACCAGGCTGGCCGATTCATGGCTCGTAGTTCGGAACTACCTAGGTAAGGATTTTCCATTTCGCTAATTCAGGTTTCAGTGTTGGACTCAAACAGGCACACGGAGTATTTATTTTTGTACGAATACGAATGCGATTACGAGTACTCTGTACTAATACTCCGTACTCCGTACCTGATTGCACTGAAACAGCGTGAACGCCCTACGGACAAGTTGCAATGATGAGCCCTTCAATGAGGCCGGCAGTGGATAGGAGGCGATAAGTACCTACCTAGGTCTGGTCAGCGGGAACTGCAATACAAATAGAGCAACAAGGTCCGCGACTTGGCCTATCAGGGCATACGTGTATACAGAGTACTGGACTCATATATATTTTAGAGACCTGTAATAATAGGGGCCGAGGCCTGAGGGCCGCGCACCAAGTTCGACGTCATGTCGCTATTTTCATCCCTCGCCTAATTTTTTTTTTAACTTTTCGCATCATCTCAGCCACTCGCAAGTCCCGTAGGCCACCTTCTTCCCATCGTTTTTGCCGCCCTCTTGCATCCCAACTTTTTACTCTCCACGTCAAAAGCTGAAAATAGACCACGGGCGGTTACGAAATGCAGGACACCGTGGACACTTTGTTTCCTGCTGGAATGCCTAGTGGCTGCCATCGCTCGGTCGATCTGGCGAATATCTGCCCTCGCTCGTCTAGTTTTCCATCTTTACCCCAGCTATCGAGGTGCTTGCGTCTAACCACGGCCCAGTCCGCAACCGCCGCTCACGGTCCAGAGCTCAGCTACCTACATACCTAGGATACGCAGCAAGCCCTTGTGCTTTCCCAACGGTAGGGCCGGTCGCCTAGAGTGGGACTTATCGATTGTTGACAATCTGGCCATCACAAGCGTATGCCTGGCGGAGCGTTCATTGTCGTTCGTGGCTTCTGGCCGGATGACGTGTAATAAGCGCCCCTGACCAGATCAGCTGCACTCGACATCCTCTACAGCTATCATTAAAAACCAAAGGATGCTTCCTGTACTCCAGCTTGGGTCTTTTGTTTAAGCCAGCTGAATTCTCCGGATATTTCGGGGACTCCCTGGGTCAAAAGCAAACACACTACTCTGTACTTCAGCCTACATGGGTGGCCCAAGGATCGTATAAAGTCCTTGACCGGTGTGCTTACCTCTAGCCGGTTCGAGTTGTTGCCTCGTGGGCGAGGTCCGTCAGCCTCTGCGGACTTATCTTATCGTTTGGGGGAAAGGAAATCGTTTGGACGGAAAGAGGGCGTTTGTCCCCGGCGTGGAAGGAATTACTTTTTCAGCACCGTTCATCTCACGATTTCACAATCACGACCATGCTGACGATATCAATGCCCGCATCTGCACCTCATCTCTTCTCTCCGATCGACTTGGCACCTTCATCTGTACTCCGGCCCAATGATGCGCTTACACCTGTGCCCATGTCGTCGGAAAATCAAGCACGCAGGCCGAAACTATCGCTACAGACTTCGAATTTGACGCCTACCTTTCATGCCTCCAGTGGCCCAGTTGATATGGCCAACAAGCTGAGCACTACGACTCCGACCACGTTCAATACATTCAACAATGCGTTTGATCTTACATTCAGACCATCACCAATTATCTCAGGGTCGTCACCGGTCACAGCCAAACGATCACAGCAGAAATCGATACAGCGATCGTCGTCGCCTGCCGCGACATCTGAAACGCCGTATAACCTGAGCCTACCATTGGGTGTCCGCTCTATTCTTAAGAATTCTCCGCTTCTGCCATATGGTCGTCGGTACTCAACCTGTTCTACAAGCGCTAGTCCTGCGCTGCCTGTTCCAGGCAGACGTGTTTTCTTTCCCGCCCCTAAGAAGGTCGCATTCCGATCGAACTTGGAAGAAGAGATCGTGACGAAGGAATATATTCTGCGTCATGTTGACCTGAGCTCTTCCTCGGAGGAGACAAACTCATCCGAGACAGAAGATTCGAGCAGCGGCTCCATGGATGAGGCAGACGAGGTCAAAGAGGCACTATCGATCAAAGTAGATGAGTACGCCGGGCGCGGGAGAAGAAAGCGCAAGGGTCGGCCAATTTCTGAAACCTCAATGGAAGCGACGGATCGTGGCAGAGATGGAAGATCGAGGAGCACTTCAGCCCGAAGGAGCAAGAGAAAGAAGAGGCGATGGGAATGGACTTTACCCCCTGTACAAGTGGGATCTTTGAACCCGAATGGCAACAAGGAAGAAGGTACATCTACAGTACATGACTCCGTTGAGCTTGGGACAGGAGACGTCCAAGACATACTTCCTAAGTCTAGAAGCGTTGGGGGCGATAATGAAGCTACCACGTTGTAGATACAGCTTTCACAGAATATAATATAGGCACAATTTGCCATTCGAATAATGGTATTTGATTGTAGTGTCCTCTTTAATTGTTGTCATAGTGGTTGCGCGGAAATCGCAGGAAGTCGTCGGCTAGACTAATTTAAATTCCCCGTCTGTTGCGACTGACCACATCACCAGTATTAACATTCCATCTCCGATGTGTCATCCATGCCTCAAGGATTCTTCACGGAGAGAGGTCAAATTGTGAATTGAATACTGTCTCTTCAGAGCTTTTGTTTTGTTGTAGCCATCTGCTTCCGTCGCCAACGGCATACGCTTGCTATGGACCAACCTTTGAAATGTTTCACGAACTGCCTTATTTGCATGTCCGGAGAACTCGTTGCACAAGATCTTTACTTCAGTTCTGAAACGGGCATCATCACACCCAACTACTATTTCCGGAAAGATGGCGTCGAAAGAATAGATTTGAACGGCAGCATTGTCGCTCCGGGGTTTCTGGACTTGCAAACCAACGGCATGCAAGGCATCCATTTTACACAGCTGGCTAGTCAGAAAGACCAAGCAGGAGACGATGCACAGAAACTGCAGACTGTCAGTGAGATGGAGGTTGCTCACGGCGTTACTGGGTGGTGGGCAACAGTTCCTACGGTTGCAAAGGACAGATGGAAGCAGGTAGACGGGAAACCCTCTCTTTCTCCATATCGAGTTACTATTGGGACAATCCTACCCAGGTACCGATGTAGCAACTGACCTCAAGTCATACAGATCGTGCCGACTCTGATGCCACGCGCTTTCTCGTCCGGGGCTGAGCTTCTCGGAGCCCATGTAGAAGGTCCATTCCTGAACGAGTCCAAGAAAGGTGCACACAATGCTCAATACCTACAGATACCGACAGAAACATCGCCCGCAGAACTGTACGGAGAGATGAACCTCAATGGTGCCATCAAGGTGATCACCATGGCTCCTGAATTACCCGGATCGACTGCGTTGATCGGTCAATTGCAGGAAGATTATCCTCACATAGTGATATCTCTAGGCCATTCAGCAGCCACATACGAGCAGGGCATCGCGGCGGTGCAGATGGGTGCTCGAGCATTGACGCATGTATTCAATGCCATGAACCCGCTTCATCACCGCGACCCGGGATTGGCAGGACTTATGGCAACGGGAAAGTGCTATTTCTCGGTCATACCGGATGGCATCCATCTTCATCCTTCAGTACTGACAATGTGCATGCGAGCTGATCCTCAAAAATGCGTCTTCATCACAGATAGTATTGAGCTGGCAGGTTTGTCTGACGGAGTACACCCTGGCCATGGACAGATACCGGGAAACCAGTACAAACAAGGGAACAAGGTCACGATCCAAGGCACGAATACTCTGATCGGCAGCTGTTGCACGGTGGATGAGTGCGTACGGAATGCAGTGGCGTTCAGCGGTTGTAATCTGGCGGAGGCTGTTCAGTGCGTAACTGAGAACATTGCAAATATGATGGGGGAAAGCAAGAGAGGAAAGCTGGAGCCAGGAAGAAGAGCAGACTTTGTGATCTTGAACGAGGGTGGCTTCGTGAAGGAAACTTGGATGGGTGGGAATCGAGTGTGGCCGGGGGTCTCTAGATAGGCGAGGTACTCGTATTGTAGTATGTCAGGCTCGAGCCTGTGATGCTCATGGCAGCTACGAGTACTTGAACTTCATCAGCCTTGTTTCATGCCATTCAGCCTCATAACTCCGACAGTCGACCTTGTGGTGACGACATTGTTTACCTACCTATCGTATTGTAGGTAGGGGGTGAACACTGACTTTTTTGAGTCGGACGTTCAGTGGTTGGATCATTGGCGGAGATGGATGAACGCTGTGGCTGCATTAGAGCCCTATCCGGGCTCCTGATTGTGGTTTGGCGACCATCGCGATTCAAGATTTCGGTTGTCAAGATCGCCGACTAGCGAGATTAGCCGCGTAAGTCTGGAGCGGGTGAGAGCCTGTTAAGGGCTTCTCTAGGCACCACTGGGGCTTTCGGGCGCCTCTTACAGCCTACTCCAGGCTCTAACCTGCCCCGCTGTGGCCCTCCATTGACGACACTTTGCTTGCACTTGCAGCTGAGAAGCTAGAAAAGAACATTTACGTCACTGACATTTCGACACCACCTGGTCAATGCTACAGGACAGTATGTACTTTCTTCCAACTCTTCAGACCTTTTGACAATCCAAGGTCCATGTCTGTCAAACTTCCTCTTACAACTCCTTTTGTTCTTTCCAGCACTCCTTCTCTTAGCAGCGTAGACTGTGATTGAGTCCGTCGGCCGCATTACGTCGCTTGCCTCAAAAGCCCATTCCAGACGAGTCCTTGATTCCCTGAACGGAAAGGCGCAGTGCACCTCGTTCCGTCATGGCTGCTCAGCAGCAAAAGAGCGGCAAGCCGTGGAGCGGCAACAACAAAATTCCCACCGTCAATCAATTTATAGCGAATCTCGACCGTAACAAGGCAGATCGCGACAAGGGAATCGATGAACGGCAACGAAATGTTGGGGCTTCCAGTGAAATCACTCCCCACAAGAATGAGAAGCAGAAGAACGAGGGCAAAACTGTGACTGATCCAGTGACCGGAAGGGACATTGTCATCGCAGACGTTGGCAAGGAGTATATGAAAAGAGCAGACAATCCTCAGGTATGGATGACAGACTAGTTGGGAAGCTTGGTTTTCATTGCTGACTTGCGTATAGCTGTCTGTACCTAATGCAAATTTAGGGAGGCCTACGACAGTCGCGACCGATCCATCCCAAAAGAACCCTGAATACAAGGAAAAGCAAGATATCACTGCACCTCCTGATCCCATCGCTGAAGGAGCTACTTCCGATGTACCCATCCACGGTGAAAAGACCAACATTCTATTCCATCCAACCCCTTCCGTCAGCTATGAGCCCATGTTCGAAATCCTCGAGAAGCGCGCTGGTGGCTTGTGCATTGCCATATTGCTCTCCATCGTCTTCCTGGGAAAGATGTTCGGTGGCTCTCTGAAAGGGTTGATACCACTGGGCATGTGTCTTGCTTCAGGCGTGTGGTTGTGGATGAAGGAGGTGGTCAGAAGTGGTCGCGAAGTCGAGTGGTCTAGTGAACAATCTCGGGGCGAGACTGTGCGCATAACCCATTGCCTTCTGTGCGAATTGTGCTAATCGTTGTAGGCCACTGCAAACCTCCTTCCCGAATCTGTCGAATGGATGAACACATTTTTGTCTGTTGTCTGGGGCCTCATCAACCCTGATATGTTTGCTGCCGTTGCCGATACCCTGGAAGACGTCATGCAAGCCTCGGTGCCTGGCGTGATTAACAATGTTCGAGTGGCAGAGATTGACCAAGGCAATAATCCGATTCGAATTCTCAGCTTGCGAGCACTACCGGACTCGAGAGTACAAGACCTCAAACAGAGCATTCATGAGGAGAATAAGAAGACGAAAGACCCCCAGGAAGCCGCTGCTGACGAGGAGGGTGGTGAATACTACAATCTTGAGATTGCTTTCGCTTACCACGCTAAGCCCACTGGCCAGAGTGCTTCTTCTCGTGCGAGAAACATGCACATGAACCTTGTTTTCTACTTGGGTATTAAAGGACTCATCGGAGTACCGTTACCGATCTTCGTCGAACTGCAAGAGCTGGTCGGGACTGTACGTCTACGGTTGCAGATGACTCCGGAGCCACCGTTTGCAAAGAGTCTCACCTTCACTCTGATGGGCGTCCCTCATGTCCAAGCAGGCTGTATTCCGATGATGAAACGTGGAGTGAATATTCTCAATCTACCGCTGATCTCAAACTTCGTCAATTATGCCATCGGAGCTGCGGCAAGCATGTATGTGGCTCCCAAGTCAATGCAAATTGATTTGAAAGCCATCCTCCAGGGAGATGATATCACCAAGGATACCCAGGCCATTGGTGTCATGTGGATTCGAATCCATCGTGCTATCGGTCTCAGTAAACAGGATCGTCGTGGCAGCAAGTACGGTGGTAGTGATCCATACATCAATCTGTCATTCTCGAAATATGGCAAGCCTATGTACTGCACTCGCGTCATCACCGACGATCTCAATCCCGTGTGGGAAGAGACTGCTGCACTTCTGGTTACTCCTGATCTGGTCAAGGCTGATGAACAGCTCAGTGTTGAGCTTTGGGATTCGGATCGGAACTCTGCGGACGACATGGTCGGAAAGATCGAATTGTCGATGCAGAAGATGATTCAACATCCTGGCAAGATGTACCCCCAGATCTCCAAGCTGGCTGGTGTGGCTGATGGAAGTGAAATGCCTGGTGAATTGCATTGGGAAGTTGGATATTTTGGAAAGCCCAAGTTCCGGCCCGCTCTTCGAACAGATGGCAAGGACAAAAACCTTCCTGCCCAACTCAAGCATGATGCACAGTTCCAGGACGAAAAGGGTACCCTCGACACTGAAGACGCTGACGCCGTGGCGCATACACCCCCGGATCCACTGTGGCCCAGTGGCGTACTAAGTGTTGTTGTCCATCAGATTGTGAATCTGGAACTAGAGAACATCAAAGGCTCTGACGGTAACAGAAAGGGCAAGGAATTCGAGCCTGCCAAACCATTCGGCGAGGGGACCGATGAAGAATCTAACAGTCAGTTAATTATCTCCAAGCATGAAAGCTATGAGCTGACCGAAACAGAATTGCCCACATCTTACTGTACTATATTGTTCAACGACTCTCTTGTCTACCGCACTCGAGCCAAAGCTGTCAGCAGCAAACCTATTTTCAATGCTGGCACTGAGCGATTCATGCGCGACTGGAGATCTGGCATAGTCACCGTCACTGTACGCGATCAACGTAATCGCGAACATGATCCGATCCTCGGCGTTGTTCCTCTTCGTTTATCAGAACTTCTGACCACTAGCTCTCAAGTGACGCGATGGTACCCACTCGATGGAGGCATTGGCTTTGGTCGCATCAGAATCTCTCTGCTATTCCGAAGCGTCGAAACTCGCCTACCGCCAAACATGCTGGGCTGGGATGTGGGCACTTTCGAATTCCTTTCCAGCCAGATCATTGCCAAGGGTTGGGATCATAACACGAAACTCAAGCTTCGCACTGGTGGCAGTGTGGGCAAGATTCCTCGAGAGCGCTGCCACAAGACTGAGGCCGGTGACGGGGTGTACTTCGACGTATCACCTGAAAACAACTACCACGTTCGTCTTCCCGTGAAATACCGATATCGATCACCTGTCATCTTCGAGTTCCACGTGGCTGGCAAGCGTGGCGCGGCTGCGTATGCATCCATCTGGCTACAAAACCTGGTGGATAATGAGGAGACACCAATCGACGTTCCCATCTGGAAGACAAAGAATGGCAGTCGTCTTTGCCAGAATTACATTACCGAGCAAAACGTCAAAGCATTCATGGACAAGGGACTGGAAGACCTGGAAGAGGTTGGACGTCTTCAATTCCGAGGTCGCTTCAAGGCGGGCATGGACGAATCGCACCGAGACTTTATCGTGGACAACGACACTCGAGAGACCTTTGAAACCTGGGAGTGTTGCCTAGCAGAGGGTGTCCGACAGCGAGTTGTTGAAGCCGAGGTCCCTGACAACATCCAGGAAATGCACGAAGCATCTCTGACCGAAGGGCGTGACATACTCAAGCAACAGACATCGGAGCATGAGAGACGCAAGTGGCTCAGCAAGTCTGGAGAGGACTGGTCCGGAGCCTTCACCCACGATCCAAGAGCGTACACCAACAAGAAGCATGAGAAAATCGCTGAGCCCGGGAGAGACGATCCTCCGCACGATCCATATGCTCCTTCGGACAATGAGGAGAATGACCAGGTTTCGTATGACTCGGACGCGGACTCTGATTCATCTTCTGATTTGGGCATTACTGACGCCAGCAATGCGCCCGAGGGAGGATTCCAGAAAAAGGCGGCGGAGAGTGCGGACGGCCAAGCCGACGAGCAGGTCAATGGAAGCGGTCAAGCACGTCCCAGTGGCGACACGATGGCGACAACAGATACCAACTATACAACCATGACGGAAGCTTCGTCTGGATCTGTGCAACCCGTATCCAGGAGGGATTCTAAATGGGAGAAGAAAGCCAGCGATCGAGCCGAAGCACGTAAGCACCGTGGCTTGGCTCAATGGACTCCAGCGAGAAATGTCAAGTTCGCAAAGGACGAAGCCAAGATTGGAGTGAGCAAGATCAAGAAGAGACTTGGTATGGGTGGTTTGGCGGGAAGAGAACCTGGTGTTGAAACCGAGGCTTGATAAGGCTGGTTGGTGCATATATGCAGGTCGTCATGAAGTTTAGGACGATGTTGCGATTTGATGGCCACGACTTTAACACGATGGCTTGATTACAATCTTGCGTGTACTTCTACTACGAAAACAATGAGTGTGCTGATGACTGGGATGGTTTTCATGGGGGTTTGAATATTATTGTATTGGTTTTGTACTTGTAAACAACATCTGCATTCCGTACGGAGTACAAGCCACGGATCTACATCTGGGTATTCGATTGAAACGTAGGTAGAACAGATTGGGACAACTGATACAAAGCACAAACGAGGGACCAGTTCGGCAGAGGATATTCCGTATGGAGCTGTATCAAAATGGGTTGATGGCGAGGGACAGGGTTGTACTGTATGGCGTATACTGGACTCACTGATCATCCGCCCAGACTTGCTTATGAGATCAATGATGCAAGGACCGTGCGAGTGAAAATGTACTGTAAATGGACGAAGCTGGACTGTATGTAGATAATTGTAGAAGCAGACTGTACAGTTGATGGCCCGGACCTACAGTATGTACGGAAAAGCGGCCGCTCAGCTACCGATGAGCCCTAAGGACCTATTGTACAAGTAGGTAGTTTAGCGTGTCTTGGCCAGACAATGGATTCGTCAGAGGCCAAGACACTCGGACGGGTTGCTGTGCTCAGCCTCGATCTGGAGGGAGCCACAGCGCGCGAGCCTTATCTCCCTTGGGGTCTAGCCTCGCACCTGTAGTGGCCAACACACCCTAACGAGTACCTTGTAGCAGCCTCTGGCCTCTCGGTATTTGGCCCAAACTGCGCCCACCTACGCCTACGCCTACGCCTTGTGCCCTCTTATGCTGCACCGTTACGGCAACTCCTCCCTACACTTGTTCCCGTCTCGCTGTCAGCACCACTACTCATCATCGTCAACACATTGTACCCCGACCCATCCGTCTGGGCATTCGTACATCTTTTGATCAAAGACCTTACCTACCTTCACCATTCCATTCTTTCTGCATCAATCCTTGTCTGTCGCAATCCTACATCCTTACCCTCCGTAATTCCTCTGGCGACGTCCCGTACACTCTCGTTTGTACTCCGAACCTGAAATTTAAAAACCCCCAGCCTTTTTCCAGCCGTTTCGTCGTCCGCTCTCGAAGTAACAACTTGACCCCCTCGTAGGGTTTCTGGTACTCAGCGCCACTCACTATCGACAACACCAATCGTATATACGGGCTCACGTCGTTCTCATGCCGTCCTGAACAGTCAGCAACAAGTTTTCCGTCAAAGGGCCCCCCCGGAGCGCCATGCGCTTCCTCCATCAGTTCGCTCTCTTAGCGACGTCGATACTCTTAATTTCCCTGGGTGAAGGACATTCACAATCAAGAAACCCTCTCAACTACCTCTCTCTCCTCGAAAACCCTCGAATCCATACTCCTTCGCAACGAGTCCATGCCACCTCCCACTTTGATCTCACCTTCGACCTCCACAAACACTCGGAACACTTTCGCCTAAGTTTAGAACCCAACCATGACATTATCCACGACGATTCCTACGTCGAGTACATTGACAAAGACGGCAATGTCAGGCATGTCGAGAAGATGCGGCGGGAGGGCTTCAAGGTCTTTCAGGGCAAGTCATTTGTGGTGGACGAGAATGGCCTCTCTACCCACGTTGGCTGGGCGCGGGTGGTGATGAGAAGGGACGGCGTTCGACCACTGTTCGAGGGTGCTTTCACCGTCATGGGTAATCACCACCATGTACAAATGAAGTCGACCTACATGGCTACAAAACATCGGCAAGACCCTCCCCTGGAAGATGACGAGGACGAATACATGGCTGTCTGGAGGGATACTGATGTCAGCCGACAAACACATCGGGACTTGAAGAGAGGCGCTGATGCCGATCTGACTTGTGCGTCGGACAAGCTGCCATTCAACACAGACCCTGAACATCCTCTCTTTCGAGACCTCATGGTGAAGAGGGACGAAGGGTATTGGGGATCCATGTCAATATCGCATTTGTTCGGTAAGCGTCAGAACAACAATATTGACGGCGGTGGTGCTGGAAACGGTAATTCGGGTGGCGTCAACCTCAGAGATTCTATCGGGAGTACAGCTGGATGTCCGACGACTCGAAGGGTGGCACTGATTGGCGTTGCAACCGATTGCACCTACACCGGCAGCTTCAACTCGACGGACAGTGTGCGACAAAATATCATTACCCAAGTCAATACTGCGTCCGATCTTTATCAATCAACTTTCAACATCACTCTCGGATTGAGGAATCTGACCGTGTCTGAGGCCGAATGTCCTGGTACGGCCGCAGCTCAGACTCCGTGGAACGTGGGCTGCAGCGGTGGTACCGACATGACCGCTCGACTGAATACCTTTTCTCAATGGCGAGGTCAGCGAGGAGATTCCAATGCCTACTGGTCTCTCTTCACCACTTGCAACACTGGCGCCGAAGTCGGTCTCGCGTGGCTTGGACAATTGTGCAACACTGGCGCGACCTCTCAACAAGACACGAGCGGGTCGTCCCAGAGCGTCACCGGCGCGAATGTGATCGCAAAGACATCTACGGAATGGCAAGTGTTCGCTCATGAATCTGGCCATACATTTGGAGCCGTCCATGATTGTGACTCGAGCACTTGTGCGGACGCCAACACGGTCAACTCGGGCCAGTGCTGTCCTCTTTCGGCTTCCTCGTGTGATGCTAAAGCCCAGTACATGATGAATCCCTATTCATCACCAGACATCACCAAGTTCTCCCCTTGTTCCATTGGCAACATCTGCAGTGCCTTGGGGCGCAACTCGGTACAGTCGGGTTGCCTTACTGATAACAGGGGTGTCGTCACCATTACCGGCAATCAGTGTGGTAATGGTATTGTCGAGGAAGGCGAAGACTGCGACTGTGGTGGTGCAGACGGTTGTGCCGGTAATTCGTGCTGCAACCCCGATACTTGCAAGTACAACCAAGGTGCGGTCTGCGATCCCAGCAACGAAGGCTGCTGTACACCGCAATGTCAATTTGCGAGCGCAAGCACCGTCTGCCGTGCAAGCACTGGAGTTTGCGATCCCGAAGAAACGTGCTCCGGTACTAATGGCACATGTCCCGCTGATGTCACTGCCCCAGATGGGACGTCGTGCAAGAGCGGAAATGCGACAGGTCTACACTGCGCCAGCGGCCAATGCACAAGTCGTGACCTCCAATGCAAGACCTTGATGGGCGATTATACCTCGACCAACGACACATATGCCTGCAACAGTCAAACGTGCAGTATCAGCTGTGGTAGTCCTGACTTTGGACCGAATGTTTGTTATAGCATGCAGCAGAACTTCCTGGACGGGACACCTTGTGGTGGGGACGGCAAATGCAGAAATGGTGTATGCAAAGGCAGCACCGTTGGAGGAGAAGTCAAATCCTGGATCGATCATAACAAGACTCTTGTGATTGCGCTCGCATCTGCCCTTGGAGGGTTATTACTCCTTGCCATCCTTGGCTGCTGCGTACGGGCATGTCGAAAACCTCGAGCGAAGCAGATGGTTGCTGGCGGTCAACGTCGGCGGAACCGACCACCCCCTCGTGGCTGGGATGGACCGCCGGTTCCAATGCAGATGCAGGATCGTGGTTATGGACAGCCAAATTGGGGTCCGAGCCCACAACAGCCGCCCCCGACGTACTGGGCCAACCAACCGCCTCAATATCAATGGCCTCAAGGAGGAGGGTTTGATAATGGCAACAGGGGGAATAGTGTGCGATATGCTTGAGGGAAGACGTGAGGAGTATACCAATACATGTGTACAGAGCAAGAGATCGGGGTGGTACAACACAGACAAGGACATTTGCGTCGTCATGTGGAGTTTGATTTGAAGATGATGAATATTGCATCTACGCTTTGTTTGAAAAGAGTTGTCTTCTGGGCATATAATTGATTGGAAGGTGTGCATATTGCATCGAGATTGGCGTTACAAAGGGGACAAGAGTGAAACAGTACTGCTGGTTTGCCTCTGGTGGACATGACAAATGGGTGCCACTGGGACGCAGCCGCATTTGGATTGTACTTTAGACATGACCTCCATGATTAGCGATGATGAATCCAAAGAAAAAATCGAATGACCAGAGACATGCGTAGCAAGTGTGAGAGTGTGTATCATTGTAGTTGAGTGAGAATGTGAGATGAGGTGAACTGTCAATTTGATACCGAGTTCGGATATTACCCCATACTACTGTGATGGTACCGAGTACTTGTGCTATGGCATCATCGTGCACCGTCCGATCTCGCAATTCGGTTCCGGCACCATTTTGACTACTCGTCGCATCTCACCTCTCACATCCAGCATTTTACTAAGTACTGACATTGCAACCTCTTTGGACGGAGTAGTCCTTTTGTGCCTTTTACCTTTTTCTCCTTATCGCGGACACCATCAAGAGTTCAATTGGGAGAACAAAAGACAGAAAACTCACCACCAATCCTCTTCCCCTCCCCTCCACTCATGAACAACCTCTCCCACTCGTCCACCTCCGTCTTTACCACAGCAGCACTACTTCCGAGCGGTTTGGGCCTCTTTCGATCATCCGTTGCGCCTCGTCGACCTTTCAGTCTCACCGCCGTCGGTTGCTGTCGTTGCAGTCTCGCCCCCGTACCACGAGCACGCGGCGGCGGCGACAACTCCAACTCCTCCCCTTCGTTCTCGCACCGTCAACGTCGCAACCTCTTCTCAATCTCGAACAAAATGTCGGAGAAATACGCCCCGGCCAAGCGAGTGGCGGGTCAGAAACAGGATGTATGGAGCATAGTCAACGAGGCGGCAGCTGCGAGTCCCGTCCAACCCATCGTAAACATGGGCCAAGGGTTCTTCGGATACAACCCTCCGCAGTTCATCATCGACGCTGCGAAGGGCGCCCTTGACCGGGTCGAATGTAACCAGTATTCTCCCACCAAGGGGCGGCCGAGGTTGAAGAAGGCGATCGCGAAGGCCTACTCGCCGTTTTTCGGACGCGAGTTGGATGCCGAGACGGAGGTTACGATCACGACCGGTGCCAATGAGGGTGAGATTTCACCATACACTTTGCTTGTGCTGATACATGGTCGCCGTGTTGATGCGTTCTCGCTGTGACTACGTGGGTCTTGACACGGAGTACTGATTTGTTCTTCTGGTTTTCTTACAGGCATGCTAAGCGCATTCATGGGCTTCATTGAACCCGGTGACGAAGTCATCATCTTTGAACCCTTTTTCGACCAATACCTGAGCAACATCGAAATGCCCGGCGGGACGATCCGCTACGTTCCCCTACACCCTCCTGCAGACGGAGCCGAGAGGACCAGTTCCGCGGCGAATTGGCGCATCGATTTTGACGAGCTGGAACGGGCGTTCACTTCCAAAACCAAAATGATCGTTCTCAACTCGCCTCACAACCCGGTGGGAAAGGTTTTTAGCAAAGAAGAACTCACCAAGATTGGAGATCTGTGTCTCAAACACAAAGTCATCATCCTGTCGGACGAGGTGTACGACAGGTTGTACTATGTCCCCTTTACGCGCATCGCCACCTTGTCCCCGGAACTGGCGAAGATTACGCTCACCGTAGGATCGGCGGGCAAGAACTTTTACGCGACGGGTTGGCGTGTGGGATACTTGATCGGCCCACCGGAATTGATCAAGTACGTGGCCGCGGCTCACACGAGGATATGTTATTCCAGTGTGAGTCCACTGCAAGAGGCCGCGGCGATCGGGTTCGAAATGGCGGATAAAGAAGGCTTTTGGGATCAGGCCGTGGCCGAGATGAAGGGTAAAGTTGACCGGTTCTGTGAGGTTTTTGACGAGTTGGGAATCCCGTATTCCGTGCCGGAAGGAGGATACTTCGTCCTGGCCAACCTGAAGAGAGTCAAATTGCCGGAGGGGTACACGTTTCCGGATCACGTCAAGGATCGCCCGAGAGATTTCAAAATGTCGTGGTTTTTGATCATGGAGCTGGGTGTGGCTGCGATCCCGCCAACCGAGTTTTATACGGATGAAAAGGCGGAAATCGCCGAGGATTGGATGAGGTTCGCGGTTTGTAAAAATGACGATGTGCTCCAGCAGGCCAAGGAACGATTGAGAGGGTTGAAGAAGTACATGGAGTAGGTAGGCTTTGAGGGTTTTTTTTTACTCTGTGCGGTGGCGGCATTACCAGAACTTGAAAAGACGTCGGATGGATGAATAGAGTTGCGATCCATCTGGTAGACACTTACTAGAAAAGTGCTTGTTCAGTCAATGGGCATAGAGGAGAGAGTAGAAAACGAATGAGACATAAGAGTATGAAGTGAAGTTTTGTAGAGTGATAAAAACTGTACAGACAAGTCGTTGATGGATAGACTAGGAATTATTCTGTAGTTCAAGATGATATTGTGATGTATGTAATGGTCGAGTCCAGGAGACATGCAATCTGAATAATGATACAAGGTGTATAGCAACACGACGCATTGTCGTCGTTATGCATTGTGGGCAGTATGGTTAGGGATATTCAGCCTCGTCGCGAGGTGATCTCCTTGCGAGGCTGAATTATAGTAGTTTTGACGCGTCTTTTCTTAATTACTCCGCGTGTCTGCGCAAGTCGTCTTACCTTTGATCAATTGTAGACACCATCAACAGCAGAACTATCATCCGCCCTCGACTCTTGCTGATAGGATACTGATGGATCGCTTAAAAATATGGTCTCCTGTCCAATCTGCGGCAAATCGGTAAAACAATCCAACATCAACAACCACATTGACTCGAACTGTATCGAAGACGTCGAACAAGAGAACACTTCTATTCCGTCCACGTCCGCTCTTGCTGCTGCACCCGTATCTTCCTTTTTCAAGACTCCCTCTTCTTCTTCGAAACGTGGTGATCGCGGCGATGCCTTTTTCAGCTCAAGTCAACCGGCTCCCTCATTTCCACCGAGTCTCGCCGCTGTCCTCCGTGCTCCTCCACCACCACCACCATCATCCTCCGTAAAACGATCCTTTGACAATCATACGTTTACATCTACACAGCCCACACAACAGCAGCAGCAGCAGCAGAATGGAAAACATGAACAGCACAATGTTCAGACCACAAACGACCATGACGTTCCTCCACAACAACCGCCCCTCAAGAGATCCAAACCGTCGGCCGGCTCCCACGACAGGGCCGCACCTCTCGCGGAACGTATGCGCCCACGCACCCTCACGTCCATACTTGGTCAAGACCTCGTCGGTCCCTCCGGCGTGCTCACGTCCTTGATCCAGCAGGACCGCGTGCCCAGCATGATCCTCTGGGGCGCGAGCGGCACGGGCAAAACCACCATCGCCCGCGTGATAGCCAGCATGGTAGGGTCCCGCTTCGTCGAGATCAACAGTACATCCTCGGGTGTGGCGGAATGTAAAAAGATATTCGCAGAGGCCAAGAGCGAATTGGGCCTGACGGGTCGCAAGACCATTATTTTTTGTGACGAGATCCACCGGTTCAGCAAGTCCCAGCAGGACGTGTTCTTGGGTCCCGTCGAGGCAGGCACCGTGACGTTGATCGGCGCCACGACGGAGAACCCCAGTTTCCGCGTCCAGGGGGCGCTGTTGAGTCGGTGCAGGGTGTTTGTGTTGAAGAAATTGGAACAAGATGATATCCTTGAGATTTTGAAGCGGGCCGTACAGCAGGAGGGCGAGAAGTATGGGGTATCACTTTCCTCCCAGTCACCACCATCGACGTCGGACGGTGGCGATTCCAACACGAATGTCACAAACGGGCACGGTCACGACCACGGTGACCTCACGCCCCCAGGAGCCGGAGGAGGAATCGAAACGGACGGAATTCCCTCCTCCCCGAGTTCTTCAAATCTGATCACCACCTCCCTCTTGAGTTATCTCTCCACTTTCGCCGACGGCGACGCCCGAACGGCCCTCAACCTACTCGAACTCGCCATGTCTCTATCGACACGGCCGGGAATGACCCTGCCCCGACTGAAACAGTCCCTCACGAAGACTTTGGTTTACGACCGGGCGGGAGACCAACACTACGACACCATCAGCGCCTTCCACAAGTCGGTGAGGGGGTCCGACGCCGACGCCACGCTTTACTACCTCGCCCGGATGCTCACCTCCGGCGAGGATCCTTTGTACGTCGCCCGACGCATGGTGGTGATCGCGAGCGAGGACGTGGGCCTGGCCGACCCGAGGATGCTGCCCTTGGCCACGGCGACCTACACTGCCGTGCAGACCATAGGTATGCCGGAGGCGAGGATCAACCTGGCCCACTGCGCCGTGAGTCTCGCCCTCTCGCCGAAATCCACCCGCGCGTACCGAGGGTTGGAAAACGCCATGAGGGCGTTGCAGGAAGAGCCGGGCGTCGGCGGCCTACCCATCCCCATACACCTGCGGAATGCGCCCACGAGACTCATGAAGGAATTGGGGTACGGCAAAGAATACAAATACAACCCGGACTACAAGGACGGCAAGGTCAAGCAGGACTATCTGCCCGACCCCATCAGAGGCAGGAGATTTCTCGAAGATTTGGATTTGGGTACAAGGATTGATGATGAGCTTGGTTGAACTTTTGGACTCGAATTGGATAGCCCTGGACCTGTAGGAAAGCAACGATGACGAATGTCGGTAACAATAACAATGACAACAAGAATGTCCAAAATCCAGAGCCATGTGATTGTCAACTAATAATATACACCTTGTACACGTGCACCGTGTACCTACGACATGTGAGTGTCTATCCAGTCACTTTTACTGCACATCGACCACACTCCCGAACCAGCCCTTCAAGGCCGTCGCCAAAACACCGGGTAGATCCCTCACGTCCCTGACGACGAGGTAATAAGGAAACGGGAAGTCCTCCAGGTAACGTTTCGTTCGCAACCTCATTTCCACTTGTCCCCCTGCCGCCGCCGCCGCCGCCGGGTCCGGCTCGTAGACCGCCTCCTGTAGATCCAAGATGCTGTCCCGTCCGGCGTCGACGATGACGAAAACGACAATGATCTTTTCCTGTTGGGCCTGGCGGACCAGCCTGGCGATGCCCTGGTGGTCGGAACAGTGGCCGTCGCTGACGATCAACTGCAACTGCCAAAGGTCCTCGGAGGCGGCGTGGCCCCCCTTGAGTCGAGCGTCGCGGAACAACCGGATGCTTTCCTCCACGAGGTTCCTCACGTCGGTGCCTCGCTGGTCGAAGCCGAAAGACCGGAACACGTGGGGGCCCGACTCGGCCGGGGAGAACGGCGTGCCGAAAGGGTGGGCGACTCGGACGTGCGGTCCGTCGCCGAACCCGACGACGCAAATCTCCCCCGACTCGAGCATCGACAGGGCCTTTGTCAACATGGCCAGGGTCTCGAACGCCAAAAGGTCGGCCCCGGACTCGGCCATGGACCTGCTGTCGTCCACGGCGATCATGATCTGGTAGTTGCGCTTGCTCGGCACGGACCGGCGCATCCAGATCTTGTCCCGTTTGTAGCTGGACGCGATGTAGGGGATGATCCGCTTGATGTTGAGCCGCTTGCCCGTCCGGTAGTCGCCGCGGAGTTTGGTCGCCGTCGTGGGCGAGAGGATGAGCCGCAGCTGCTCGGTCAGGACGAGCGAGAATTGGTGCGTCGCGGCGGAGCACTGGTTCCAGAGTTGTGCGGCGTCGGCTGTGCTTGTCGGTGGCGACGGTGCAGCAGGAACATTGTCGTCGTGGTGGCCGAGATTATCAACATCCTCAACGTCAGAAAGCATATCATCCTGAGCCGCCTCAACATCTTCTTGTTGATCGTTGCTGTGTCGATTGATCCCTCGTTCTTGACTTGGGAGGAATGCCCCTGAGCCCTTTGCCTCTTCCCCTGCGTTCATCTGAGCTTGTTGTAGACGATTCAATCTTTCGGCAATGTTATCTTGCACTTCTGGTTCAAGGACATCAGGCACTTCCACGTCCTGATCAATAGCCATGTCCTCATCTTCGATAGCTTTGCTCTGATCGAGATTTTGTTGGGCCTGTTCGCCAGTCGCAGCGCCGAGAGCTTGAGCATCTCCTTCGTCTTCTTCATCTTGGACATGCTCGAAATCGACGTCAGCCATGTCAATATCTTGCTTCATGTCGGTTTGCAAGTTTTCCTCCGACGCTGATAATATCTCTCGACGATTGTGCCACTGGTCCAGTACATCCGCCAGTTTTCTTAATGCCTCGTTCTGCTGATGCTCGACCTCGTTAGTCCTTCCCGCCCCGAGCTCGGCAGCACCTTTCCCTGTTTCTCCCTGCTCTTGGTTCTCTGGAGCTTTGCCAGGTCGGGATTGTTCCGGATTAGGCTCCTGCTCAGCATCGTTCATAGCCTGTGCGTCTTGCTGCTGCTGGTGGTCATTTGTGTCCTGACGAGTGTCGGCAGCCCCCGTGTCGCCTCCAGCTGGCTCATCTTGATCCTGTGCAGTATCGTCGTCACGTGTTCTGTGCTCCCCTATCTCGTTCTCGTCCTCGTCGAGCTCCTCCTGATCCTCCATGATCTCATCGTCTTGTCCAACGCCATTCTCAACCTCGTCTTTCTGATCGACATCATCTTGAACACCAGCGTCTTCATTAAAAGACTTCTCTTCTTTCTCAACATCGTCTAACTCGGCATCCTCTATTTCATCTGCCGACTGATCAATGTCGGACATTTCATCCACTCCATCATCAGAAATGTTATCGTCCTTGACCTCCTCTTCTCCAGCCAGCTGTAACTCTTCCGGCAGCTCCAGAGCGTCTTGGTTGTCGGTGTGCGGGTCCATGTTCTCAGCTTCGGGTCGTTCAGCCCCCTCGCCCTCTTCTCCATCGTCCTCGTCCACCTGCTCTTCGCCTTCTTGGCCTTCCATGTCTTCTCCCTCGCCCTTCTCCCCATCAGCAGCAGTCTGATCGTCCGATTTCTTCCCCTCGGCCTTGTCATTCTTCATCTCCTTGTCTTCAGACTCATTCTTCATGTCGTCCCACATCTTCTCATCTACCGCATTTGGATCAAGGTCATCTACCGATCCAGTCTCTTCATCGATATCGTCGTCTCCCTCCTCCTCATCAGATCTACCTTGTCCTTCATCATCAGATTTCTCCTCCTCTTTGTCTCCCATATCTCCCTCAAGATCATCCATGCCCATATCAACGGCATCTTCTGCATTTTCCATCTCGTCTTCGCGGTCTTCTTTTTGACCTGTCTGTGCGAGCTCTGACAAGTCTTCGTCTTCGGCTACATCCTTGCTGATATCCTCTGCTCCTTCGCCTTCCCCTAGACCAGTACCGCTTTCGAGTTTGCCAGACTGTTCTTCGCCTTGGCTTGGTTCCGAAGGACGGCAGAAGCCTTGAGAAAGAAGTGCGTCAAAAGAAGTAGCTAGCTGGAGAGCCAAGCGGCACGTCTCCAGGTGGACAGCAACTTGCTGGCTGTGTAGATGCAGACAAATGTGGTAAAACTGCTCAAGGACAGGAGAGGCCACTTGCAACAGATCACATGCAATGATGAAGTCGTTGGAATCCAGGGAATGGAAATTTCCGAGTAGAGATCCAATACTAGCACTGATAGAATTGACCTGCATCGCTCGATGTCCTTGAACAGCACATCGCTCAATCTTGGTGAGCCAACCTTGTTCTTCGATTGAGTTTGGTGTGTCCTCTTGGACTGAGGACCATTTTTGCAAAGCAACAAATATCTGATCGATTAGTGTCCTGAGGTGGTCATCCCATGATGACAAACTTGTGCTGCGGACACCGTTCTCCTTGACCTGCTGCAACGCCTGTAAGTTTTCGGTCCAAGGAACAAGCTGGCGCAGGACAAAGTCAACGCGGGGTTCTTTAGATTGCCATTCTCGCAGAACCACGGCGAGCTCTGACAGTGTTTGCAGACTCTGACTTTTCGAAGAGTCGCCAATTCTGCTGTTCAATCCCAGCGGGAGACCTGGCAATTGTTCAAGGTCGGACTTGTGTCCTCTGATGCGTGTAATATAGTTACGCAGGCAATCCAGGAGTTGATCAAGATCGATTTTAGCATGCTGTGCCTGGAAGGTCAAAATCCTGCAGGACAATGTCAGGACCTCTGCCAGCCATGCCAAATGCCGGGTTAACGATGGATCACCCTCTTGCGAGCCAGATGAGTTAGAGAGCTGGTTGGGGGCTTGGGTTAAACAAGAACGCGACAGAGCCAACTGGGTTTCCAAATTGACAGAGCTCTCTCCAGATGAGGCAATGGCTTGACGTTGATTGAGAATCACACACAAAAGTCCCTCCAATAGACCCATACTTCTTCCAACCTCACCCTCTGTGAGATCTTCAGAATGCTTTGTCCGCCCTGCTCGAACTTGAGACATTAGATCAAGGAGGTCGTGGAATACAGCAGTAGCCTGGGAGGCAATGGCCTGCCGACCGTTCGAGAGAAGACCGGGAGAAGAAGCTAGAATGAGAGCTGCGGAAGATTGTTTCTCGAGCTCCGATGTTGGCAGATTCCGTCTGATACCCATCTGCGAGACTGTTTTCAATGTGTCGGCCAGTAAGCGTCTCTTCCTCTCCTGGAGGTGACGTACCGAAGCAGCATTCTCCTCCGTCAATGCCGAAGGAGTTTCAGACCTCAACTGCTTAATGGCGCTCTTCAAATCGTCCCTGAGTGAGGCCAATTCTAGTTGAGCCTCGAGCTCTGTCGTCTTCTTGGTGTATAGGTGGCGCATGCTCTTCACGGCTCCAATCGTATCGGTCAACCGTGCCGGTCTTGTGTTCCAGTCCGGTAACGCATGCCCACATTTCACCGAAGCATCTTGAATCATTGAGATGTTGAGGAATGGCTCGGCTGCATCCAGCTCTGTCGTAGTTGCTGTAAGCTCTCCCACAGATTCTGCAGCTGGTTTTGAGATAGTCACAGCCTGATTAAGAAGATCACGGTACTTCCTGACAATCTTGAACAATTTATGGTGTGATCGGCGCGCACTGTCACGAAGAGCGGCGATGTTTGTGTCCTTCCAGCTTGCCAGTTGTATTTGTTCTTTGAGGGCCTTCTCTAGACTCGCACGTCCAGTTCGAAGCGTTGTCTCAATACCAGGTTCATATCTCCGGTAATGCTCAATGAGGTTTGAAACACAGCTGTGCACTGATAGCATGCCTGGATCTTGTTTCGCGATATCCTTGAGAGTGTGGTTGAAAGTATCCAGCAGCTTAAGCCGAGACGAATACTGTCCTAGACTGGTCGTCTTGAAGAAGCCTTCGAGAGTTCGTGCCAGGTCCTTGCAGTACAGTTGCATGTCTTCGCCGGCAGCGAGTATTCTCGCAGAGTTGTGCAGTACGGATTCGTAGGCGATAAAGTACCAGGCTTGGGCGTCTTGTTCGTGTCGGCATTTTTCTTCGTCCAAAAGCCCAGCCCATGAGAACAGTTCGAGGCGTCTCCAGCGTACTATGAGAGCACTTAGTTGATCAATCAACGGCGCAACTGACCACTCTCTGCTAGCAACACTTTGCCACTGAGATACTATTTCATACAACTTCTCTGTCTTGGTCATGAACTTGGCAACTGGATCGCCGAGGTTCAAGTACAAAACTTCGTTGCAGTAGGCGAGTACTTCAGCTGGAACTGCGTGCTCTGGCCACCTCTCTGCAATGGTGTGAAATCGTGCTTGAACTTGATGAACAAGCGTGAAGAGCTTCTCATATTCTGCCAAGTCTGAATCACTGTAGATGTTGAGGTGCTGAGTCCGGTTGGTGCCATGCAGGGCAGCCATTCTTTCTTCCATTTGGATCAGGATAGCAGGCAAGAGGTCAATAAAGAAGGTGCTGGCGATGTCACTCTGGTGGTTACTGTGTTTGGCAATCTCCTCCAATGCACCCAATGTATAACTTCTCAGGGTAAGTTGGGGGTCTTGCAAGGCGTAGATCTTCTCATGAAGAGTGGCAAGCTTGACTGCGATAGCTCGAGCATCATACTTTGAGTCCGGCTTTTCAAGCTCTGTTGTCTGATCCACGAATTCTGGAAACATTTCTTGCAACTCACGCAATTCGTCATCTGTTTCCGTGGCAGCATCGCCTCGATAGGTGTAATACCGCGACTGGACAGCAGCTTCAGCTTGGTCCTTGGTTAGATGAGTCTTCCATGCAAGATAAAAATGGTCAAGGACACCTAGCAAACGCTGGCTGACAGTAAAGCTGTTCTTTGGCATCAGCGAACTGTCCATGGCGACAAATTCGAGCCATTGGAGATTGGACCCGGATTCGGACGTCACATCCCAGAGCTGTAAATTGTCTGGCTGGGCTCCCAGCATTGGAGCGTGTCGCGCTATCTTCGAAATCACTCCCTCGTCATGCTGCTTATTTACCCGTGCTGCTATGAGATCAATTCCATGAGAAAAGCACTTCAGGAACCATAGGATTGGTTTCACAAAATCATCATAAGTCCGGTCGGCACCCTCGAGACGCTCGATCATGGCACGTAGATTGAGTTGGCCCTGTTCCTTTGTCCATTGCTGCACCCATTCCGAGTTTATGACTTCATCATCGTGACTGGGCTGGCTACTGAGGAGACCTTGAGTAATCCGTGTGAAGGTCTCCTGAATCTTGTTCAGCTCCGACCGGTCAGGCCTCAAGACAGTTGGTGGCGGCGAGACGCTTCCTAGGTCAGAGAGGGCCGACCTCAGGGTTCGAATCACCATGCTAGTGTCTTGTCCCATGGTCAATTGATGGAACTTTGTCTGGCCTGCAATTCTACTCTCGAGTTCAGCAACACGCCGTTGGTGTAGCTGAAAAGAAACATTGGGAAAGACAGCAGGGTCCATGATCTTGTCCGGCACCATCAACTCGAGACCGGCCAAAGATAATCTGATTAGACAATCGGAGAGCTCTTCGGGGCCAACATGATCTTGAGAAACAAGTGAGAGCAGAATCGGATGAATATTGCGGAGATAGATTTCTCTGAAATATTGTCGGGTATGACCTGGCAGTATGATATCGTCCTGTGACAGATGTGCCAGCCGCATAAGGTCACACGTGTACTGACCAGATAAACAAGCTTTTGCTCGCCCTGTAAGCATCCCAGAGTGTGCAAACATTATTCCGGAGACAACGATACGGACACGTTCCATGAAAGCACCCGACCAGTTGGCGAAATTGTTCGTGTTGCAGGCAAGGCCTTGCGCAACAAGAGACAACTCTTCTTTTGCATGATGAAGCGTACCAAGTGGTTGGTCCAGTACGGAGCACAATTGCGCGACGAATTCGGTGCCGCCCGAACCGTGGGTACTTAGCAGGGAAGTATCAAGTGACGCAAGCTGATTGAGGGAAAATGGCAAAGTCTTCTCTCCCGCAAGCATCAATATTGCTGGGGTGGCAGTCGAAAACATTGTCAACACCTGCACCTCGGAGGATGACACATCGCCGTCACCAAGAATGGTAACCTGGCGGATGTAGTCGATCGTACGCTGGAATTTACCGATCAATGGAAACCCGTTTTCAGATTTCATTTCAAGTTCAGAAACAGCCTCTTGTAGAGGTTCCAACAAGGACAGCTCGCCGTTTGAACTGAAAACAGAATCATAGGTCTGCTGCAGCTTCGATCTGATGACGGACAACGACGCTCTAGATTGTGGCAGGGAACGACACGCGGCGTCGAATCTCGCAATAAGTGTCTCTAATGTCAATTGCAACTCCAGTTGTGATGAGCTTCGGGCTGTCTCGGGATGGAATTGTGGCCACATCAGTTGAAGTCCTTGTCCGTATTTGAGTCCTTCGTCTCGGGGTGTGAGCAGATCAAGGCACTTCCTGAATGCAGTCGCCACCTCTGCATAGGTTTCTTCGATATCACCCGCCATGGCATAGGCTATTTGAACATAGGCTTGCAAAAGTGTGAAATCCATGGTCTTGACCTTGGAAAGAACGATCATGTCACCCACAAATGCAGATATTTGTCCAAAAGCTCTTACAAAGCGCACATCCGCGATGCTCCCAGTGTTTAATCTTTCAAGTGCAGAGAGGCAACTCTGAGCGAAGGTGAAGACTTGTGGGATGTTTGCAAAAGTCTTCGACTTTCCATTGGCCGCCATAGAACGTTCTAAGACAGTTCTGTCTTTGGCCGAGATAGCGGCGGCATTCTCAGCAGCCGCCGTCAAGCTAGCTTTAATTTTGACCATATCTCGAGTAACATACCATGCTCGAGTGAACAGCTCCGCGGTCACAGAACTCCAGATCTGCTGGTCAAGTGGAATTTGGAGTTGAATCAAAGGCTCATCGAGAGCTACAAGCTGTGGGGTGTATAGCAAGCTTGGATTTCCAGACAGGGATGACAGCCGGCAAGCCCCGAGAGAGTCGAAATTGGTCATCGAGGTCAATACTTCCTTTAGCGTAATACTGCCAGGTATTGAAGTCGTTCTATTCAGACTTAGAGACATCTCCTCATGTGAAAGGTTGTAAACAAAGGGTTCGATGTCTTCAGGCTTGGGAAAATGTGGTGCTGCTTGTGCCAACTGTCTCAGCCGGGCGATAGACGATGCATATGGATATTGGATCAACTGTGGCTTGAGGTCGCCCTCATTCAGGACAGGCATGAACACTTCCAATGAACGGTTTCGCATCGCTCTTGACAACTCGCCGTAGCGTGGATCGACTGTCATAAATATTCGGAAGTTTGGATGGGGTTTGACAACTCTGGCGTTACCTGCATTGTGGTGCTCACTCACAGCGAGGACACCGTTAGGCTCCAGGAGCGAATTCAGGCGGTCGAGGACAGAAGGGTTGCAGAGGTTCGCATTGTCCAGAACCAGCCAGGAGCCCTTCTCAATGGCATCAATCAAGATGCCATCATTCCAGACGAACCGTGATCGTCCAATGTCGGAGGTCCTCGAGAGCTCCGCAATTGCCTGAACAGAAGCCTCGAGTTCTGGGAAGGCCCTTGAAATCGAAGGCAGAACTCGTGAAAGCTCATCGAGACTGATCTCGTCGGCATCAATAAGTTGCCACGCATCAAGTACAACTTTGTGCAGTCCTTGGGAGTCCATAATCTGTAGTGAATGCGCAACAACTCCTCTTACAATGTCTTTAATCTTATGCTGTAGGTCCACAATGACTCGTTGGACATCATACTGCTCGAAGCCGCCCACAAGGTCCATGGTGTCAACATCTGCGTTCATCGAGAATTCCACATAGTCTGTCCCACATGTAGCTGCAAGGGATCGGAGAAGAGTAGTCTTTCCAGACCCTGAAGGGCCACAAAGAATGACGGGCCAGTTCTGTTTGATTGCAGAGATGACAGAGTTCGCAGCCGGGAGCTGGGAAATAGCAATACTTGAGTTTGGTCCAGTTGCTCGCTGTTGGACATCATCTCGAGTCATAAATGAGGTTCCAATCTGAAAACTAGTCGGTGTAATTGCGTTGTAGAAGCTTTCCAGGAACCTTGTTTGCCAGACTTGTTCGCGTATCTTGAAGGACAGAGATTTCTGGTGTTCAGTTCGAAATCTCTCAGCCACTATAGTCCGATATTGGGCTGAAGCTGGAAGCGTAGGCTGACCTTGACAGAGCGTCAACCATCGACTGACATCGCGAAGATTGAGCTCCCATGGACCTCCTATATTGAAAGCTGGAGAGCGAGAGACCAATTGGTCAATCTGCGCAGTTGCATCAACCACACCCTCTAGCTGATCTAAAGGTAAGTTGGGGAATTTACGTTCACAGATACGCATGAGATCTTCCTTGCAGAAAGAATCCGCATATACCACCGTGAATCGATTGACGAAGGACGCTGGAAGACCTTTCCTTCCGCCGCCTTGATGATGGGGGTTTTGAGCGGCGAACAAGGCGAACTCAGGATGACAGGTAAAAGACTTGTCCAGTTCTGCGATATATGCTTCTCTCCGGTGGTCGAGACAAGAGTTCAGTCCTTCCAATACAGACTGCGAGGCAAGATTCATCTCGTCCAAAAGAACCCAGCCTCCATTCTGCATGGCATCCAAGAGAGGACCGTTTTGCCATGAAAAGTTTCCCATATCTTCGCCTTCGGAAGGTGTATCCGCACCGAACAGATCCATAAGATCAGTCTGATCAGAAAGATTGATGCGAGTAAATTGCTTGCCACAGGCTTGGGCAAGTGCGGTCACAATAGCTGTCTTGCCGACGCCAGGGCTACCTTCCAGAAGAACAGGCCGAGCCATCTGTAACGCACGTACGATTCTCATAGTGTTCCGTAATGTTGTGGGAGCGTCGAACACTAGCTCTGAGTGGTCCTGCACATGAACCTGACTTCGCGAAAGTGCAAAAGGCCCGACACGAAGGTGGCCTTGCGTCCTCTGAATCTCAGGGGATTCGTAGTAACTCTGCGAAACATCAATATTCACCAGCGTTTGGAGGTGTGCCAGACAGGCTTGTCGGGAGTCGTTCAGATTCTGTGATCCTATCGAAATCATCCCAGCGGGGTTCGCTCCGATGGAATCGATGTAAACCATGAAAGCTCCATGGATGAACGCGAGCTCTTCTCCGAGAGGAGAAGCACGGTTGATAAAGTCTGCCCAAGCAAGCAAGTCGCGAAGGGGGATAGTGTCGGATGCAGTGGAATGGAACGTACGACGAAACCAGATAGCAAATGTCAGCATCAGCCGTGCGACCTTCTCTTGACCTGATACCAGTTTGTTTTGGACGATTGGCAAAGTATCTGCTTCTTGTGATAGAGGCGGAACCCAGATCTCAGTCAACCGGTTGCGAAGAGCCGCACTCAATTCACGTTTGCCATAGTCACCGCCTGGATTCATCGTGGCTAAGAACTGGAAATCCGCATGAGCGACGACAAGATTGTCATCAGATCCTTTCTCCGCCAGTAAGATCGTTCTTGAAGGTTCGAGGACACTGTTCAACCGTTCCAACACAGAGTCATCAGCTAGGGAAATTTCGTCCAGCAGAAAATGATCTCCTGTTTTCATAGCTCTTATCAAGCTTCCGTCACTCCATGTGAACATGGACTGATATGCTCCGATACTAGCACGCGTTCGTGCAACGGCTTCAGGGTCAAGGCTGGAGACATCCATATTTGAGAAACCCTTGATCAATTGATCAATCTCAACTTCATCAACGGGTGTTTCTGCTTCTGGTGCTGGGAACAAGCATCGCCAGTCTTCTCGTATACGCAGTTCAAGGTCAGATCGATTTCGGATGGGTCGCTGAGAACCGATGAGGTCTCCAGTCTCCGTGTTGGTGTGTGCGTTGTAAATATCTAGAGGTCGACCGAATGCTTCTGCAATGACTTGACAGATTTGTGTTTTGCCACATCCTGTCTCACCGACAAGCAGGACAGGCTCGTTGTTCTTCAATGCTTGCTCAATCAAAACAAAAAGTCTGCGCATAGCCAAGGTCCAGACGATAGTACCTGAGCTCTGCACAGAACTTGGAATGGCTTGCAATCCATAGAGCACATTCTCATCGATGACCACTTTCATTGTTTCCTCAATGGTCTTTTTGACTATAGCACGCTCTGCCGGCTCCCGTACCCGTTCAGCCAGGAGCATGAATCCATGATTAGCCAGTTGCTGTCTGTCATCGACCGATCTTGACGTCCACCTGAACAAGTCTCTCAAAGTCGCAAAGCTATTACGCTGTTCAAATAGTCTAGATGATTGTCTCTGCAGTGAAAGCTTCTTGTAAACTGCGACAATCTGGGCACAGAAAGAAGGAGGAATTTGTGCTCGTTCACGAAGAATAATTTCAAGCTCGTTCTCGGGGATGTCATCGAAATGAAGCTCCAGGAATCGATTTCGGAAAGCTCGCGAGAGACGCTTGCGACCACCGTACAGTCCGGCCGGATTCTGCGTCGCAAAGAGCATAAAATTAGGATGTGGTCGAACGATTTCTTGAGATTCGGGTATTAGGAGTTCCCTGTTGTCATCGAGCAATCTGTTCAGTGCTTCCAGTACATCACTAGGAGCCAAATTGAGTTCATCGAGGACGATCCAGTAGCCCTGTCTAAGAGCATTCACAAGTACACCTTCTCGGTATTGTAGCTTGCCATCTGCATCGGACACGTAGCTTCCCAAGTACTCTTGGAGGTCGGTATGCTCGTGGTTGTTGATTCTGACGAACTTATTCCCGGACAGCTTTGAGAGATATTCCACCATACTTGTCTTTCCAGCGGACGTGGGACCCTGCAAAAGAATGGGAAAGCGGCGCATGGAAGCAGCTCGTGCCAAGTTCAGTAGGTTGCGCTCAACGGAAGGGGTTCTGATGTAATGTGGTTGAAGATCGGGGCTGAAAGATCCTCTTTTGACCAGGTGGTGTCTGAAAGCGATGAAATCTTCTCCATTGAATGGCATCTTTGGCTGCTGGCTGAGGAAGGACTTCTTGTTCTTGACATTCGAGAGCAGATGCTTCTCGAGTATGGGGAGCGCAAGATCTTCCGACACCCTACTCAGGACCGTGAAGAAACTCATGGCGAATCCCTCGTATATTGCTCTCCTCAAGCCATGACTCGCACTGTGCTGCAACACATACAAGAGGCAGCGAACGAGGGATCGAATGCTGAAATGCGGAACATCGCCAGCTCCGTCCGTCAACTTATGCTCCATATTTAGCTTCTGCAGATCCAGATATGCTCGTGCCAAGTCAGGAGCAGCCCGTCTGTCGTTGTCAAGGTGAGAACCTAAGTAGGACTGGATGATCTTCGTGAGATCTTCCAGATTGCTGTCACCAGATGGAACGTAGATCTCGGTGAATCGCGATCGCAGACCAGCAGGGAGATCCTTCTTGCCTGCATCCGTTGCAGGATTCATCGCACCAAATATTCTGAAGTTGGGATGAGCAACGATAGTCTCGATGTTCCCGGCTTCCGTGAGTAGGAGAGAAGGTTTCTCGTCGTCGCCGTTGTGGAGCAAGCTGACAATGTAGTCAAGAGCATCCGGGGTAGCCAAGTTAATCTCATCGAGCAGAACCCAGGCACCCTCACGAACAGCGTGTACCAGTCTTCCCTCAACGAACGCAAACGTGTGATTTTTGTCTCCACGCTCGACATGAGCACGAATCCTCTTTGCATCCTCCGCGAAATCTGCCCATCTTCTGCGGAGTGCATCATACTTCGGCGTTGCGAGTTTTCTCCTCTTGGCAGCACGTTCGGGGTCATCTGGGTTGGGCGGATCTGTGGTTGTAGCTAGCGAGCCTGCCGCGAGCTGAATCGCCTCGTTCCAGAGTAACATAAGTCTCGGCCAGTTTTGCTTTGCAACTGCCTTGCTGATTGCAATGTTAAACTTTTCGTTCCTTTTGGCGGAGAAAGTGTCCTCGAACAATGCCGTGAACTTTTCGACGAGAGGCAAAACAAGAGACCGGGTAGTCACGGGCTTCAGCCCACCAAGCAGATCGCTGACCTCGCTTTGTTGTGAAAGATTCACAACGGTGAGCTCCTGACCCACAAGGGTGGCAATATGCTGAACAAGGGTAGTTTTTCCTACACCAGTTTCACCAACCAAAAGGCAGGGCTCCGAGCAACTCGCGCTAGCGGCAATACGGTCGAGCGTCCGTTGTGCATATTTCGTAAGGGCAAAAGGCGTCTTTTGACTTGGCCGGCGCCGGCTGGGTATTCTGAGAAGGCTGCTTCGACCTATTTGAACGAAAGTGCCATTGTCAACCACACTTCCAAAGCCATCATCCAGACAATGCCGCATCTGTTGAGGAGATATGGACATCTGACGAGCTATGGAAGCTGCTACCACATCATGAAGCTCATCGTCATTCAGATAGCCACCATAACAGTCAACCGCATCCTTGAAGATGTGGAATTTCGTCGCTTCTGCGATGGGGGTCGACTTGGAGAGTTTTACAGATTCTGGGACCCTTTTGGCAATTCTGCGCGCCCAATTCAATAGGTCCCTCAAGGACGGTGATCTAGTTTGCAAGCTCCTGAAGCGCGGGTCGTCTTTGTACAAAGCAGAAACTTCCTCGTGGATCTGTAGAACTGTGGATGTGAAAGCATCGATGGTCGGATATTTCGACCGTAGTAGAGTCTCGATTTCAGACAATTCATAGCTGGCGACATCAACCACAGACCATAGGCGAGGGTTTAAGAGCCAGGATTGGCGGGAACCAGATGTCGAAGAGGAGCGACCCGCAGACTTGATCGTGGCAAAGATTCGGAAACCGTCCTTCGCTCGAACCGTCTCTTTTCGACTGGGAAGAAACAACTCGGCATTCTCAATGATGGGACGAAGCACGCCCATGACCTCGGCCGGAGCCCGGTCGATGTCTTCGATAAGCACCCATCGTCCTTGTTGAATTGCCTTGGTCAAAACACCAGCCTGCCAGGTAAATGACTCGCCATCAGCAGAGGATGTGTAGATTCCCAGAAGACTCTTCGCGTCCGTCTGCTCGTTGAGATGTAGCGTGATCAAGGCTGAGAGCTTGCCAAGAGCCCTCGCAGCTTCATGTATGACGGCAGTCTTGCCAGAGCCCTGCGGACCAGATACCAAAATGGGCTTTTCTGCCAGTAGACATTGACCGACACGCTTCAAGTTTCGTTTCGCGGTAGGCGTGAGTCCGAAACTAGACGTCGGAGGCTCGGGGAGATTTGAGCGAGGAAGAATAACACCACTGAGGTTCGCAGTCGTCGTGCTCAGGTCGGTGAGGCTCATGGGTCGTACTACTCGGGGAGATGTTGGGACCTCATGCTGAAACCGGCTATCCACATGCGCGACCTTCTCAGCAAGCTCCGTCCACCTGTGCTCCTCCCAAAGTTTTAGCACGCGGAAATCGATCTGTTGGCCTTCCCAATCACCGATGATGGCCGCTTTGCCCACATAAGTTTCGACCATCCTCTCCGAAAACGCATCGGCAAAGTGCATGACCATGCAAAGACATTGAATCGCAAGGTATCGTATCGTCTCGGAGTCATGACGAAGCAAAGACGAAAAAAAGGTCGGAGCCGCAGTGCCAGCGAGCAGATCTCGATCGAAGGACAGGATGCGAAACAAAGCCAGCAGGAGCGATTGCAGGTCTTTGGGATTGTGTGTGATGGAGGAGCCTTCCAATGCGTGTATCCGGTTCAACAGGGATTGTTGTACTAGGAGGTCCTTGACATGACGACGAAAGTAGCTGGCAAATGGCAATATCCTCGCGAGGCATGAAACGGAGTGTACCAGTCCATCGAGCGAGGGCGACGCACCGAATCCGGGAAAGCGAGCCGCAAGCTCGGCATAGAGCGGTCTGTACAGAGCGAACAGTCTGTCTGCATGTTGTGGTATTATGGCCGCTCGCGAAAGGGCATCGAAATACTGTGATCCCGTGGATTGAAGAATGATCGCCTGTAGTTCGGGCGGAAGTCTGGCTTCATTCTTCTTGACTTGTGCATCACCCCATGAGCAGTATACTGCTATGTCTTCCATGGTGCCAGATGTGATGCGAAGTCTTTGAAGAATCCTCTCTCATTTAAAGTAGAGAAAGAGGTATTCCTTTACTGTCGATTGATGAGCATGGACGAAATCTCAAGTCGAGGTTTGCCATCCATGTCGAGCCTTGGCATCAAAAAATTGTTGCTGGCGGTAAAACTTCGGGATTGCCACGAGGCTGAGCGAGGCTGTACGAGGCTGAGCGAGGCTGTACGAGGCTGCACAAAACAAAGACACCATGGGGCATTACAATTAAAAGTTCTATCGTGCTACAGCTTCAGATAACTATCAGTCCCGATACGAGTCCAATGATAGGGACCAACATCATCATCGATCCCGTCGCTCTCCTAGCCGCAGCGTTCTTACTACCATTTTCCGAGGACAGCTCATTACTCGCCTGAGCCGAACATCCTGGGTTGGTGTCTATCGCCACTTGCTGGTCGCCGTCACCTTCGGCGTACTCCTCAGCGACACCACATCCGTCTCGGTCGCAATGCTTCGCAAGCACGCTGCTGGGTACAAACGTCTTTGTCCCTCGCGTTGACGAATTTCTCAGACCATTTTCGTCGGCGTCGAGAGCCTCAACCATTCCAAACTCATGGTAACTACGAGCTCGATACATTGTTTCAAACCCGTCTTTCTTGACGGTCGCTATCTCCATCCACCGATCGTCACAACCACTGCGGCCATATAATCTCCAGGACGCCACCTCGGTCGCTCCATTCCACGACATGTAGAACATGGTCAATCCGGCATCGGTGCTAGGGGCGTACGTGTACAAAGCCGGATTATCCGTCGGGCTTGTCGTGAGATTGTACTTGAAAGCGCGGTAATTCATGGGCCCATTCGCGTTGACGCCTGCCTGGAACACGATGGTCCCGTCCGGTAAATGCTCGGTGACGGCCGGTTGCGAACCCCACCCGATGAACGCATTCGAAGCATCCCAGTCTTCTCGGTCGCCCAGGAGCTGCAAATTACCCTGTGACGCGGAAATGGTCTGTTTCTCGGGAGCGGGGAAAGACTTGAGCAGTGTCGCCGTAGGAGGGTCGGTGGAATGGTCGAGTTTGATAATCATGCCGCTTGACTCGTCGGCAGTGCTGTGAAAGCCGTCCGAGGCGTTGTCGAAGAGCGAAATCACGTCGGCACTGGCGTTGGAGGACCTCCACCGCGCGTCGTGCTGAGAGCTAAAGACCAGATCCCCCATGTCAAAATCGGCATTTTTGCCACCTAGTCGCCAGATCACTGTTCCGTCATCGCCACTGACCTTGAACACGGTGTTGACATGTCGCGCCGAGATGAGGACGTCGCCGTCTTCGTTCTCGTCGGCCGAGTTCACATGGACATAGTCCCAGGGGGAAGTCGGCGAGAAGCCTGTCCCGGCGATCTCGGTCGAGTTGGGCAGTACGTACGAATCGGTAAGCGGAACGTGCTCGATGGCAGACCACTCCCAGAGCAGGTTGCCGTTTGCGACATCGATCTTTTGCACGATGCAGTTCTGAATCCAGCCCTGTCCGGTCGTGATATTGAAGTCACTCAGGTCGTATCGTTCCGGATGATATGAGGTGACGAACATGGCCTTGCCGTCCCTCGTGAGATGGTTCTCGTGCATGTCGATATTCGAGATGCCATTCTGCGCCCTCACAGCGGCAACGGCAGTGAGGTTCGTATTCCAGATTTCGACGTGTCCTCTGGCGTACCCAAGACCTTGTTCGCCGTTGAAGAAGCAGACATGTGGTTCGTCATCGTAGTCGCAAACGTGCACCGCATGGACGGGGCCTCCTCCCGTGAGTCCATAGCCGCTCCAAACCAGCTCTCCGTCCGTGTCGTAGATGACGGCCGAGTCTTGGTCTGCTTGGTACGGCGACATGAAAATGTATCCTGGCGTCACGCTTTCTGGTTCTGATAGGGTAACGTGCAATGCTGGGGGTGTCAAATCTGGTCGTGAATAGAATGATAATGTGTCGGGTTTACGCTGGGCATTGACGACTCCCAACAGCAGAGATACCACGATGGAAAGATTCCATCGCCGAGAGACCACCATCGTCGTGTTGCTTTGGTTGTTGTTTATGAAACCGAAACGCTCAAACAAAACCACAATAACGGGGAAAAGCAAAAAAGCAACCCTACAAGATTTCTGGTGCCGAATTCATATACAAAGGTCGACCACAATCCGGGGACACTGGACACACCTACATTTGTATTTGGGATATTACTGCGCAGGTCCACCAAAGCGGCTCAAGCTACTCCGTACCCAAGAAACGATTCATCAGACCTACCTCCCCTACAACCCGAGCTACCGTGCAAGCGATGACAACATAGCCGCAGCCAAGCAACGGCGTGGCAGTCTTCTGATCACAAAGTACTCCTGCGTTCCGTCTGAGTACGAGTTGAGCCCAAATGTATACGTAAATGTCATGGGGACTGTACAGTTAAAAGTGCATGGCGGACATCCGGCAAGAAGAACTTCTGGTAGGCTGGACTTGAAAAAGTAAAGAAAAAAGACGGCCACTTCGTCCCAAGACTTTTCGCCGCCGCGTTCTGAGCAGTTGATCTTCAGAGACGACGTCTTGGGACCATGCATGAACGGGCTGAGACTTGACAAGTTATGAAAAAAAGCCAAGCCCGGCGTCCAGCCTCATCATGATCATCATCGATCAATCAACCGGTTAACCGGCCGATTTACAGGTATTTGTATAGACTCAATTGTGAGGATACAGTACGACTTATCCACGAAGTTGTGTAATTTACATGGACTCCCCGTAATCAAATCACCCCTTTTGGTGTGTCCGTATCCTACAAGAGGTATGTACAGGATGTCACGTACCTCCCTTGTTTTCGGATAATTAAGGTCCTTATGTAGGTGAAAATGATTGGTGATGTTACTGTACAATTTGCCTATAGAGTAACGAAGTTGGTAGCAATTTGCTTTTCTGGATCTTCGCTTACCTTAGCGAGTACTCACCTGTTGCTCGTACGCAGTACAAGAACAGGGTACCTTCCTCCGTACTCCGTACTTTATACGGACATAGGACTGGTATTGGCTTCGTCTCTTGGTGGTTTATCCTATGATCAAACAGATTCGTATTCGAGACCTACAGAGTAATCAATTACACCTGTACTCGTAAACAGTATGTATATAGGAACCAATTAATATCATTTCGGCCGATTCTCAGCCAACACTGTGGCGTACAAAACGGTGGTGGGCAGTAAGCCAATATCTCTAGTAGGTATAAACAATCAAAAACAATAAAGTCAACAAGCTTCATAAGCCCGATCACATTTGACCACCGTCATGAGAGAGAATAGTTGCACTTTTGGCGACGCCGTCTTTTTCGCTTTTTGCAACAATACAAAAAACCGCGGTACTAATCCAGCCGTACTCGTATGAGGACATCATGAAGACGGGGAAGCCCGCTAGAGGCAGACGATCAAACAAGCCAAAGCCTGCTCAAAAGGGCCTCTTATCTTTTTCCGTCCTTTCCTTGCCTCATCGTTGTCGCCGATGTTAGGGACAACCCTCTCCCTTCCCATTCCCGTCCCTGTTCCTTTCCCTGACCACCAGTAAAAGAAAAAACCAAAAGGCTATGGCGGAGACAAAAAGATACAAAAAGTTCTTCGCTGGACGTGGATAACTTGATAAAAACATAGTAGACCATAAAATGATAGGTGATGGCAATAACCAAAAACACAAGTGAATGGTGCCGTACACATTCACACGAGAAGGGGTTTCTGTATAAACAACATCGCAAAGCAAAAAACAAATCATATCATCAGAAGGTCAGAAAAATCATTATTCTTCAGTCAAAGAATCGTCTCCCACTTCTCGCCATTCCCTCGATTGGTCCGTCAACCGTTTGACTCCAGGGAGACGATCGGCCCATATCGACTCTGACGCGGATCGGAATGTGTAGGCTCGTTGAGAGGATATGACACCGATGGCTTGAAGGACTGCTTTGCGAGAATCGCGAGAGAACACGGCGGGGTGGTTGATCCATTCCAAGCTGGATTCGATGTCGGCGTCCAGGGCATTCATCGTGGCGAGATCGATACCCGTCGTGCGAGGGATGGGCGTGCTCGAATCCGAGTGGGGACTGTGATCCCGCATGCCGCCCATACCCATGCCTCCTTCCGACGACTCGCTTCTCGGACTCGACGCCGCCTTGGCCGATGTTGGTGAGTGCCTCTTATTCATCGGAGGAGGAGCACCGGGCGGGAGCGGTGGGAGGCCACCCTTGCCTAGTCCCTTGAGAATCGTCCTCGTCTCGTTGAGCAAATGATGTGCCCGTTCGTGTTGACCCCGTGCCACCAGCGTCAGTGCACGGCTGAGCATGTCAGAAGTGAGCAACTCCATGCGTCGTTGCACGATCATCGGGTGAGGCGGGATGGGAGGGGACGAGGGTCGTCCACTACTCGAGCGGGACCGTGGGTGCGCAGGTAACATGGTGATCGCAAGCAGCGACGGCCGTGGCAGCTGCATAATCGAGCCCTCTTTCAAGAGATCCCCATACGACAGGTCGGCCTGCAGAAGGGGTACCTCTTCTACACTTTGCACTCTTTGGTCTTCAGTGTCCAGTGACCCTCCCAGAGCTTCGAGCCCAGACACGATCGACTCCCACGGGTCTTGAGGTGCGGGCTCTTGTGACGAAATGTCAGGGTCGATGGCCAACTGTACCAGGATATCCCGTTTGTCGCCAAAGTGTAGATCCCCCAGCGTGGCCTCAGCGTCTCTTCCCGTGGATCTTTTGGTCGTTTGTAGAGCACCGTTGATTTTTACAAATTTACCTGGAGATCCTTCCGGTAACTTGAGCTTCAGCTTTACGTTCTGGTGCGACATGGACTGGAGTGCACCGAGGACACCGGCAGCACATTCACGCAGCATCATCCAGTCCTTAACATAGAGGTATGACGCCTTTGTCCGAGTGGAAAGCTCAATCATGCTCTCGGGTTTGTGGGTGAGACCTAGACCGAACGAGTAGATGCCGACCCTGCTTCACATTAGCAACTACGAAAGACAAGTCATGGAGAAAGAGAAAACTCACTTGGCAGCTTCCGCCCTCTGAACCACGAAGTCGACACTGTCACTATCCGAGCTTGTAGAGTCACTGATCAAGAGGATGGTCGAAATCGGATTTGCAGCCTTTCGTGCCATCAGAAGGTCCATGGCCACATTAGCGCCTTCAACCACATCGGCTCGCAGACTCTTCTGACCAACGGGACGTATCGAGTTGAGGACTTTGTTCCAGCCTTGCCAGGTCTTCGTGGTCATGCCAACCACGGGAACACCGCCACCACTGGAGCCAAAGGTGACCAAGCCCATCCGATCACGCTCGCCGAGATTGGAAACCAAAAACCGGAGGGTGTCTTTGAGCAGCGATATCTTCAGACCCTGCATCGAAGAAGATACCGGAATCACAACTACGACATCGATAGGAACGTGCAATGAAGGAGGAATCTTTCGATCCACAAGTGGCCTTTGCATCGAGTACTCAGTAGCTGCGGTCGTGGCAGACTTTGGTCCTCCATATGATGAGGCCACGGAAGGTACTCGCCGAACTGTTCGATTCTGTCGTCCGTATTCATCGTCGTCGGTACCGGAGGTATCTTGCTCATAGTCTTGTTGGTATTGTGACAAGCTGTCTGACGAGTTCAGATCTCGGAGAGCCTTTTGCCATAATTCGAGCTTTTCTCTCTCCTGGAATAGCAGGTGGAAAGTCGGTAGTTCTGCCACTGAGAGGTTCAAAGTGAGAATGTTTTCGTCGAGAGACGCATGTACCTGCTTCAGATGCCTCTTGATCAAGATGGATCCTTTCAGCGTGCACCGTGTCAACTTCCGCCCCGATTGGAGTATGATTGGCGGATGAGAATTCTTCTTCTCCTTGACACAGATCAGCATCTCACCGAACAGATAGCATTCAAGCTCCTGCCAGGAATGCCGATCTTTTCCAACCCTCACGACTCCATGCAGACGGAGATTTCCAAACCGCTGAAATTCCAGTCCATGCCAATTATCAACTCGGATCCGGAGTTCTTCTGTCTTCTCCTCTAGAACTTCTGGAGACTCGTAGGCAAGGTGGCTAGGTGTAAGGTCAGGTCTCGCCCTGCCTGGCATGCCAATCCCGGAATCTGTAGGAAGAGGAGGGACAGGTGGTGTTTGTGGATCCTCAAGTTGTGGTGGCCATTTAAAGTCTGGGACTTCAATTGTTACAAGACAGGTCAGGCTCTGCTGCTGTCTGGACCTGGTCAATGTAGGATATTCGCTACGCACAGTAACAATTGGTGAGGGTATGGTCTGTTTGGCGTCTTTTAGCTGCGAGCCAGAGACGGTGGTCTCCATGGCATGAAGATCGTAATCGTGCTTGCGTGAATGGCTCAGATGATCGTTGGCGTAGTCCGTCGATGAAGTGTTACCGCCGCTGTCATTACGCGTATGGCTAGTATTCTTGGTCATAGTAGATGGTGCTTGGAGGGGACGTCCTTGACCGTTGGTGACCGCTTGTCCAATTCCCAAGCGCTCAATTCGCATCCTCTGACTGTCTCGACTGTCTCGATTTGAGTTCTCGCGGCTATGTCGAGTGGACAAGTCGCGGGTGGATAGTTCTCGAGGGGATATATCTCGAGTACTATAGCCGTCCTCCTGGCCTTGGCTTGTATGCCGGTCCCATGGCATCGGAGTATTCTGTGAGCTTCTGGGAGAGGCCACATCCTTCTGCGCAACTGCTCGTACCATGTTGCTCAACTTGCCTGTGGTTGTTGTTAGTGGTGTCTTCCAATACGGCTACGGGAGAACTCACTGAGATCCAAAATGCTTCCCCCACGAAACGAATCCAAACCCAGCGGTGCGTCGCATGCCGGGCAGTACTGAGCGTCCGAGTCCTTGATGTACTCATAAAAGCACGCCTCGTGGGCTACATGGCCACATGAGAACTGCAATACCCTCTCCCCTCTTAGTGTATGTTCCAATAACTCTTCACAGGCCGCGCATTCTCCGCCGACAAACGTCCTCTCTCTTCTCGACCGTGCGCGATCTGATTCGAACATGCCAGCCATAGGAAAGCCCGCACCGGGAACGCTCACGGCAGGCGAGGCCGGAGTCCGTCGGTCTTTGGTGCGCGGGCGACTCTCGTTGGGGGTATGCGGCCTCCCCAAAGTGCCGGACGAGATGCTCGACTGTTTGAAATTGCTATTGAGGGTCGCACCGCTCAGCGAAGAGCCTGTGCGAGGAGGGTAGCCGTCAAAACGGGATCGCGGATAGTGTTGGTAGTTGTGGCTGTCTGCGACATATAAAAACATGTGTCAGTAAAGGGTCTCGGTCAATCCGAGACAGTCAAGGCTCGGACCACGGGCTTTGTCTGGGAGGTCCTTACACTGCTGCACCGTCCTTGAACTCTTTGTACTGGATCGCGACCTTGAGTCAGGGCGGCTGAGGAGTCCGAGATCGTAGAGGTTTTGAGTCGTCGCGCTGTGCACGCTGCTCACCTCGAGGCTGGAGAGTGATCGGTCGTGTTTGTTCATGGACAAGACGGCCCCAACTGGCAGTATCCCTTGGTTAGGTGCAGTAGCGTCGCAGAGTAATCTTGTAAATCATGAGAATGGAGGGTTCAGGGAAGTATGCTGAGATGCCAGGCCTCGGGAGCCACGTGGAGACGCTTTCCGTTCTTGTTTCCTTCAGTGGGTTCTCCGGGAACGGGGGGACATGAGAAGTTCAAGTCAGAAGGGCTTGCGTTGCAAAAAAAAAAAAGTGAACCTGGATACTCCTGGCAGCTACGTAGCAGCAGAAGCAGGGAGCAGTAGTGGTAGCAACGATGCTTCTCTTAGGATTTAGGACAAGCACTGTCTCGCGGGTCGCAAGCCTGGTAAAGAGACGGTGCTGCCTCTGTGTGGGTTCGTTGCTTTCTCAGACAAGTTCAAGTTCAGGTTCCCAGTGGGGACGTTTTGATGAATCTTTTTCAGACCAGCGAGGGACGATCCCATTCAGACCGGCGTCGAGGTGGGTTCATGGCATGGCGCAACGACAGCCTGGAGGGGGAGGGGACAGGAACCACAGGCATGACTGACGGCTCGCCTCTTTGGCTGCCGCTGATTGCTGGAAGCAATGTACCTAGGCCTCGGCCAGGAGTAGCCTTTGGAGCATGCAGTAGTGGATCAGAATAACCTTCGTCGGGCAAAAAGAATGGCACTTTGGCAGTTCAAGGACCAGGGTACTGTATGGTGTTGCACCCGCTGCTTGGAGCCTTGCCCCTGATGGAAAGGCTCAGAGCCGGCCTGGTTGGGGGCCCGCAATAAGGACACTAGACGGAAAGGCCAAAAGAAGGGATCCCCTCCCGATGTTGCTCTGTGGTCTGGGTCCGGGCATCAATAGAGTACATGATCAGCGAATGTGGCGGGCTGCCGTGAACGCGGTGTTCTTTGCTGCTGCATGAAGCATTTTAATATGTATATGTATGTATCGTATCTTGTTCACCAAAATGGTTAGGAACAGTGCCTACGGAGTAGTCGAGATGGGTTCCTCTCCGGTGAGTCTGTGGTTAGAACGGTGGGACACGGCCTGTCAACCTCGTGCTTTTCGAAGTGTCCACCTGCAAAGAAGGCACTAGAGACTGTCTTCGATCCTCCTTTCTCTTTCCAATGACTAACCCAGCTGCATGTGAGCGAAGCTGGAGGAGAGCCCGTTCTCTGTATGCTCGGTGGCTACGTCAGTTTCATGGCGACAGAAAGCTTGCAAGCAGTATCAGCTGGCAGTGTCTACCGAGTGCTTTGTCTACCTTCAACGTCTACGCGATGGTTGGCCTCGTCTCCTGGGATGTGACTGCTGTGGCTTCCGGGGAAGTCAGCATCACAGAGCGCCATGTAAGGATACCCAGTCGTCAGGCTTGAACAGGCTTCCGGACAATTATTGTCAACGGGATTCCATGGATCAGAGCTTCGATCCGTGCAAGGATCCTCACTCCACCGCTGCACGCCGAATTAGCACTTCTAGGCTAAAAATACAGAGTGCATCACAAGTCATCACATCCTGTTGCAAGAGCCGGGCAGGTTGTAGCTTCGTGCGAAAGCACGCTATCATTGTGGTTCTGAAGACACGTACTCCGTACAAATCGCCAATATCCTGGCTGCTATGGGTGAATCCGGTGGTCTGAAGTCTCAACAGTTCACCGTCGGCGCAATCAAGGAACGTTAAAAGACCCTGGATAGTCACTTCTGCCGATACAGGCAGGGTTGCAGGACTCGTCATTTTCACTGCAGCATGCCTGACGAGTTTGGACAATTCGAGCATCCCCGTTGCCAGCATTATCGGCGCCTCATTTTAAGCCAAATACCGTCATGCTCTAGGTCGATCCTTGACCCGAACTTGAGGTCCAGGCACCCATTGAAGGCTTCCGTAGTTCTGGGCTGTGCGTTGGAAAGAACCTTGTCCAAGGACGACAGCCATGACCCCGGCACGAGACGACTTCCGTGCATCAGTGCGTGATGAAAATCACACAAACCAGGATATACCCGACGTGTCCATCGTATCCGGGAGAACGTTGACGTGACAAAAGTCGCAGATGAAGCCCCTTGGAGCTCCTGCCCAACCGGAAATTTCCCGTGGTGATCTGAATGGCTCGCATGTCCATCTGTTTCAACGTCGCTGCTGGCGAACAGAGCTCGCTTGCCAGGGTTGTGCACTGGCCATGTAGAGTTAGTCACATACAGTGTGCCCAGAAGCAAGAAATCCAGAGGTCGTCGTTTCGACTTGCCTTAGTGTGCCATCCTCGGTAAGTATACGGAGTAGATGCAGGCTGCACTCGGTAGACAGAGAAAAAGGCAAAAATACCTGCTCACGCAACCTTCTGTACGGTAAGTGTAATTGCGAACGAGAAGTCTAGACCTCAAAGCCACCCTATATGGACATACTTTCACGCCTGTCAACTGTCAGGAGGAGGAGTCTACCCGAATGGCCCATCGCAGCTAGATTCCAGTGACAGGAACAAGGAAGATTCCGTGACCACTTCTGACAGCCAGGGACGGGGCCAGAGGCTCGTTCACGTCGCTGTCAATGCATCCTTAGTGTAACGTCTAAGGCTTCTGTAGACCTTGTGTTCGGTTCCCCGTCTGTGGCTTGGTTCAACTGGCTCGGTCCAGTGGCACGGCACACGGACGGGGAACTCGTGGTGCAAACATGACAGGTACCCATCCGGGTTTTTGTTACGGTTCGAGACCGCTAGCAGGTCATGCCTCCCAAGTTTGCTGAGGCGCTACAAGTCTCAGAGTTCACAAACCCCTGTGGCAGTTCGTCGGAACTGTTTCAGAGTCTATAGGCGATTTGGGCGAGTACAACAGACACAAGTCCTGGAACAAATGACAGCTGTGTCCGTGACGAGATTAGAACACCTGTTCTCTGCTTATGTACAGAGTGTGTAGAGATATTGAAACATCGAGTCCGGTCTGGTCCGTATGAAGCAAAATGTGCTTTGACCACATACGTTCCAAGTGATAAGCGAGGTTGGTAGGCTTGAGGATTTTGTCACCTTCTCCGGCCCCCATAGGGACAATGAGCAGCTGCATGTCCTACGGCAAAAGACCCTACTGGCGTGGTCAACGGCTTGCAGGGTTGAGCCAGTAGACAAGTCGTCTGCACGAACCCACCTACAAGATGCAAGCATTGCAGCCACCTGCAATACGGAGTATATCAGCCACCATGCCGGCATTTGCATGTTTCCAGAACGAGTCTGACTGAGCTCTCGCACACAAGTGAAATTGAGATAAGTCACGGTATTAGCAATATTCGGATGATGCAGTGACACATCGTGTCTCTTCCTCTTGATGAATACCCTTTGTCACGAATTTCGCCATGGAGAAGCCTGACTCGCAGACACCGTGGTCAATGTGCATATGCGGATCTTGGAAGAACGGTTCCTGCATCATCGGAAGCCTTTGTTTTAGTCTCGCTCGTGGCTTCTCAGCTAGGCGCACTGGGCGACCAAGTCAGAGCAGGTCGCATCGAGCCGTCAGAACCAACAGGGGATTGTCGATTGCTGATTTCCCGCGTGGTGTCCTTAAATGCAGCAGCATTCCTTCGGGTTGGTCGGAACTTCCTAGTCCCATCGCAAGCAGTAATACTATTACGTTCTGGCGGATCGAAGGACACGGCACTCCTCAGCTGCAAGAGGCATACGATGAATTCCACCTTTTCCACTCAATTGATATTTTCTCAGACCGACAGCCGTCCTATCATCCAATGTCGCGGTGTTTACCGAAAAGTTTAGACGCGTTGTACGTCAAGGTGCAGTGATCGACACTGAATAAGGGACCCAATGCAACGGAATGCAGATTTCGATGCTGTGGCTTGCGTGATTCTACGTGAAGTGTGACTGTACCAGTCCTTGATCCAACTCGGGTTCCTGGGGTCATGCACGCAGTGACGATTACTCCGTAGACCATGTGCTTTCTGTAGATGACCAAGTCGTCGCAGTCTCTGACGCAATGACGGGCCATACAGCTTGTAGTTTTGAGCGATCACTCTTACGAGTATGGAATACGGAGTAGAAGCCTCGACTTCGATCCATTGTCACTTGCTGCCCCTATCGGAGCTCAGTCTTGCCCAAGCGACATGAAACCACAAGGCTATATCACAGAAAAGCACGGACTCGTCACAGCCATGGTATTAAAGAGCGGTGTGACCCAACTCCAGGCTCGAACATTGGTTTGTTGTCATTTGGGCCCCGAGGTAGTAGGAGGACCTTAGCAGGGTAGCTAGGGGGTAATAGGGAGTAGTAAGCTCCTATTGTAGGACCCCTGAGAGAGAGACCAGGACTCTTGCCTACAGAACGAGTCCCTGGAAACCACATACTCCGTAGTCGTACTGATGATCAACAGAGGCGCAACACTATGGAGTGAGGCTTTGGCAGTGGTATCGTATAGATTTGTACTGGACTTGGTATTCTCGCTTGCCCGTGCATTTGCGTCGCATAGCGCTAGAAGCCGGGGAAACTCAGTAGTGCCTCGTGGCTCTCGTGGCACGAAAATCATTACTGTAAATATGACTTGGGGAGTGACTCTGGCTTACTGCCATGCAGCTAGCCACTGATGCCGTCCGATGCAACTGGCGCACACCACTGTTCACCGTCGTCCAAAGGAAGATTCTGGCGCACATGCCCGTCTCCTTGAGCATTTTAGATGAACCGCTCGAACTAGAATGGAGGTCTCTGGACTAGTCCTGCAGCACAAGTCTCCCCATGCGGACGCTACCACGACCTTTCTTTTCTCTCAGACCACGGGAAGAAAATAACCCGGACGATTCTGCAAGCTTGTGGCGCGAATCGCACAGGATTTCCTGCTTCGGACGGGAAACACCGACAGTATGTCCTTCCAGTTGGTCGCTCCCGATTCCGAGTGAGGCTTCGAGGAGAATGCAAGCCAATACGCACCCACAAATATCGAGGGCGATCATCTGGCAGAGCTTCCATCCCCACTAGCTGCAAGCGGCAGCTGCGTGAGACATTGGCTTACTACGAAGCACGGGTATGCAGGATAGACGCTCGTCTTGTCATTCGCCCTTTGCATCTCCCATCGACTGCCTCTTTGCTCTGGTGATCGCCGTCAACAGCCGGAGGGATCAGCAGGAGAGGAGAATAGACTGCCGAGACCATAATTTGGCAAACTGCAAACTGGTTCACGTACAATCTCGGGTCGTAGAGCTAACGTTTACTCGCTTCCCCTGACTCAAAATCCAAAGGTCCGCATTTGATTGTCAGAGGGCCCGGCGATATTACGTCTTGCCTCGTGGCTGCAGGGGAACTTCACTGGTCTTGTATATCATCTTGTAGCCGACAATCTACTCTCTTTTGGGATGATCGTCGCTGCGTCGAACTCTGCGCCGTCATGAATCACAAACATCCACCTTCCTATCTCGCGCGCCTTTAATGGCCGTTTTGGGGTGCCTCAAACGTTGTAGCCGAGGTGACTAATGAGAAAGGCTTTGCACGCTGTTGTTGTTGCGAGAGTCGTCGAGTAGTCTGATATCCGTTTCCTCGATGCAGGACGGAGTCAATATTGTCGGTGGGCCGTGGATATCTCATCCTTAGTGCCTTCATTGACATAGCAACGCCGCTCCGCTGCATGTGGAGGATATCAATATGTCTCTGTCCAGCGAGCAACACTTTCGCTTAGGGATCCTCACGTTGTACTTGTAGCTGTAGAGACTCTAGTACTCATCGTATCGAGTTTGCGGGGCAAGGGAACGGCCAGAAGGCTCAATGTGAAACTTAAGAGGTTGTCCTATGTTGGCGCTATCTGTTGCTCAAATCCCCCGTCCTCCTGTTGAAGAAGACCTCTGGCCTCGTCGCGACCGTCATCGTCATCAACGTCGCCTCGAAGTACTCCCGACCCCGCAACAAACTCATCCCTTTTCCGCCTGTCGTCAGTTGCGGATAAAATCCACCAAACATCTTTCTTGGTAAGAATGCCTCGGAAAGCCCCCTTATCGACAAAAAGAAGGTAGCGCAAGCCGAGATTCTGAAACATATGGACAGCCAGCTGCAGTGAGCTGTTCGCGTTCAGCGTGATCGGCGTCTGATCCATCCAAGGGCGCAGATCTACCCCATGGCCGGAGATTACATCGGTGTGGTAATTGAAATAGCAAGGCGTCTGTAGAGTGACGGCTGGAGAGTTCCGCGCAGAGGCCGTGAAATTTGTGACACGATCCAATGCGAAAGTGAGCTCTGTGCGCGAGATATACCCAAGAAACGTATTCTCGCGGGGTGAATGTGATGGGCTTGAAGGCATATCAGCTGCATCAGCCGCCGAGTCTTTAAAGGCCACGACAGGGAATCCACGAAACGAAGTGTTGCGAAGAAGTTTTCGCAGTTTCTCGATAGAATATGCTTGGTTGCCGTTCAAGCAGGCCATATCTTCAACCCTCGTCATGATTCCTGACACCGAGACGTGGGGGATGGCCGCATCATCCTTGTTGTCTAGATAAGGATATTCATTGATTTGAATCCAAGACTCATAGATGCCTCGGGTCGAGCATGCATCACCGATCCATTTGGCAAGCATGACGGCAATCATGATCGGTAATACATACGTGAGCGCACCGGTGAGCTCAAACACGATTGCAACAATTGACACAGTCATGCGTGTAACGCCAGCCAAAGCAGAGGCGGCACCGACAATGGCGTAAGTCCCTGGAATCACACATGGAACATCAGGCTCACATGCTGCAAAAAGCAATGATGTCGAGAAGTGCTTGTGTATCAGTTCCATGACGACACCTACCGTCCTTCCATAGAGCGCACCAATCGCCAACGAGGGTAGTATGATTCCAGCTGGGATCTGTAGCCCAAATGTGATGCTAGCCAGTAAGAAACCCAGTACAGAGGCCGCAATCAAAAGCCACAGCATCGATAAGGCACCCGCAGTCGTGGCTTTGCATAGACCAAATATATCGTTGTTGCCAATGGTAGCGCATTCCGCGAAGAGATAATAGACTAGCTCTGACAGCTGGGCTCGCATGAAGGTGTTGGGGAAGTTGACAAGCGCTGAAACTGCGGCCACCACGAGAACCTCAAGAAGTGGTCTTTCTTTAAGGGGGTATTTCTGAGACTTCCTCATCCTCGAGACGAGCATATTGAGCTTGATGAACATGCCACCAAAAAGTCCGCCTGTAATACCTAGTAGAACGAATGGTACAATCTCAAAGCTATGCCAAATTGTCGTATAAGTGACTTGGTAAAGGGCAATCTTCCCTGTGTGGAATGGGTTCAGGGCCTGTAACGTGACAGCTGCCACCATGGCACAGACGAAAGACTGCCACATGGTCTTGTCGGGAAAGTAGTATGATAACTGCTCCAACGAGAAGAGCACTCCGCCGATTGGAGCACCAAAGGCGACAGATATGCCGCTGGCAGCTGCTGCAGACAGAACCTCGCGTTTGCGGGCCTCATTCTGGCTGAGGGCTGCGAAAGGCTTCATGATGATATTTGCACAACAGCAAGCAAGATGCACAAATGGTCCCTCCTTTCCAAGCCACATGCCTGACGAGACGGAAAGACACTAAACCATGTCAGCCAAAGAACAAGTAGGGAGGAACATTGTCCGTTACCAGTCCGAGAGATTTTGCAAGCAATGTCCAGCCACCCAGGAAGCGTCTGATGACAAAGCCCCCAAGAACGGTCTTGATCTCGGGGATACCACTGTGTCGAGCATAAATCGAATACTTTTGGACCAATACGCCAGCCGATACGGCAAAAAGGACCTAGATACAAGGTAAGCATTCTATATGCAAGCAAGGCTGGCCAGCATACTGCAAAGACAATGAAGAAGATATAGCTTATAAAATATTGCCCACCGGCTGGACCAACCCCTAACGCTGCAGGCCAAGGAGTCCAGTCTTGACACTGAGAGAGATCGTCATGTCCCCAACAGCAGAATTGTTTGTTCAAGTAGAACTGCCCTCCTCCACTGCCTTTCTTACAATATCCGGTCTTGATGTCGCTTAACCAGTCGGAGGCAATGTTGATGCCGGCGGCGACACAACCGACCGAGATCCCGGTTGCAACGAGAACCAGCCAGATCTGGCTGACTTCGAATAGTTGTCTCAATTGCCCTACCACGCCGGAATTGAGTGCTACCAGTCTCCTCAAACGCTGTCTCTCTTTCGTGTATTCATAAATCCAGTCGATTGCGGTCAAATCATCATAACCAACTCTCCGTCCGGGCCCTTCCACGTACCAGTCCGAGGAGAGCTCCTCCTTCAGGCCATGGCCGTTGTTCCTTGATTGTGGTTGTCTGGTGTCGCTGGTCGGTAGACCGGCTTCAGCGCTTGGAGTGATCGAGGGAGAAGAGACAGGGTCGGGAGTGATCTGATGAGTGGACGAACTCGTTCCTAGATTCTGCTGCGGGCTGCTAGGCGCATATTAGTTCAATATCCCGCTCAGGAGTAACTTGAGCATACCTCAACGAGATATCGGCCCCCGCATCCGCAGACAAAAGTTGATGGTGTCCATCGTCAAAGTCAGAGGGTGCCATTATGATCAGGCGCAATCCCTTATTTTGCGATCTTCAGGCACAGTTCATCCATCCCAATTGAGGACCATTTTCTTGGTTATATGCGCATCATGAGCGCATAGCATCAGAGGTGGAAAGGGGCTTGTTTGATAGAATCGTAGGCACCTCGTGGCACCTTGGCGGTTCAACACTCTGAGGCCGTGTATGGAGTAGGTATCCGGCATAAGGGTATCCAGTAGAGTTGTTCTGTCCTCCAGTAAAGCGGCCGGCTTCTTGACAGTGCTTGATGCAGCGCTAACCGCTGAACTGTCAACTCTACTTATGCCGCTTTAGTGAGCTACTCCGCAGCCTTGCAGCCTTGCGTAGTATGTGTAGACTGCGGGCAAATCTCAAAATTATATTCTGGGCTTCTAGGACATACATCTCTTGTCCACCGAACATTCCTGATTTACACCACCACAATAATGTCTCTCACAATACCACAGGCCTCCCAGGCTGGCCTCTTCAAGCCCGGGTACAACAGCTATGATGCTGAAGATGGCGCCGTCATCCGCAATGTATGGGCAATTCCCCGGAGCCACCTGGGACGTTTTCTAATGTCATTCAGATCGATGCCTGCAGAACGATTGCTCAGACAGTCCAAACGTCCTTGGGACCTTATGGCCGGAACAAAATAGTCATAAACCATCTTCAAAAGATGATCCTGACGTCCGACGCTGCCACAATCCTCCGCGAACTAGAGGTGGTCCACCCCGCTGCAAAACTGCTTGTGATGGCCAGCCAACAACAAGAGGCGGAGATGGGAGACGGAACCAACATGGTTATAATTCTAGCAGGCGAATTGCTGAAGAAGGCGGAAGAATTAATACGAATGGGTCTCAAGACAAGCGACATTGTATCTGGCTACGAGAAAGCCCAGTCCTTTGCATTGAAGTGCCTACAGGACCTCGAGGTCGACAGTGTCTCAGATATGCGCTCAGCAGAAGAACTCACCAAGGCTCTACGCACAGTCGTCGCCGCGAAACAGTCCGGGTCAGAGGACGTTGTGTCAGAACTGATCGCCGAGGCAGTCCTGGCGGTCCTTCCCAAGAACCCCGCCAACTTCAACGTGGATAACATCCGGGTGGTCAAGATCATGGGAGGTGACCTGTCATCTTCCAAAGTCGTCAAAGGCATGGTCCTAGGCCGGGAGCCAGACGGGACCGTGAAACGTGCCAAAAAGGCCAAAGTCGGAGTCTTCTCCTGCCCGATCGACACCTCCCAGACCGAGACAAAAGGCACCGTGCTGCTCAAGAACGCAAAAGAAATGATGGACTTTTCCAAGGGCGAGGAATCGCAACTCGAAGCTGCCATCAAAGAACTCTACGACTCCGGCCTGCGGGTCGTCGTCGCCGGCTCAACAATTGGCGAGCTCGCCCTGCACTACCTCAACCGCATGGGCATACTGGTCATCAAGATCCTCTCCAAGTTCGAACTCCGCCGTCTCTGCCGTGTCTGCAACGCCACGCCCCTCGCACGTCTCGGCGCCCCAATGCCGGACGAAATGGGCAGCATCGACGTCGTCGAGACCACCGAGATAGGCGGCGACCGAGTCACCGTCTTCAGGCAGGACTCGGACACTGCCACGACACGAACCGCAACCATCGTCCTCCGAGGCGCGACGCAGAACCACCTCGACGACGTCGAGCGCGCGATCGACGACGGCGTCAACGTCATCAAGGCCGTGACCAGAGACGCCCGCCTGGTGCCCGGCGCCGGCGCCACGGAGATGCAACTCGTCGAGCGCATCACCCATTTCGCCGACAAGACGCCTGGCCTCCCCCAATACGCCATCCGTAAATACGCGGAAGCATTCGAAGTCATTCCACGTACCCTGGCCGAGAGCGCAGGTCTCGACGCCACCGAGGTCCTGGCCCGTCTGTACACGGCACACCAGCAACGTCTCAACACCAACGAAGTCAAGCGACGAACGGCCAAGGATGACGACGAAGACGAAGAAGATGAGAGCTCGTCGTCGAATGAAGAAGAGGAGGAGTCGTCTTCGTCGGGCACGTCAGATGATGAACCCTACTGGGCCACGGGCGTCGATCTTGAAGGTTCGGACTCCACCGGTGTCTTGGACGCCGTGGACGAGCAGATTCTCGACCTCCTCGTGACCAAGAGCTGGGCCATCAGACTCGCCACCGAGGCTGCCCGCACTGTCCTCAGCGTCGATCAGATCATCGTCGCGAGACAGGCCGGCGGGCCGAAACCTCCTGGGCCCAACCCAAACTGGGATGAGGATTAGAAGAAGAGGATGACAGAACGATGGCTATGCGGTCATTAGAGTTATATTTCTGTCTGCTCTTTCCTTGTCAGGAGGCACGCAGTATTTGAAATCTCGATCGAACTTGGCTCCTCGCCATCGCCACTCCACACTTTCACTGACTGGTGTAAGCGGGCTGACGGTCTTCTCGGAACGCGAGATACGGGCGGGCGCTGAGGAAGAGTATCTACCACCTCGTCACATGGATCCTTCTCTATGCGATAGATCTCAGCTATGAGGGCTGGTACATGTCTTGCGAGTCGACGCTCAAGGGAACGAGGTCAATCTGGACGAGGATGATGTTATAAGAAACGTCGATCTGAACGATAGCAGAACTACCAGAAAATGTAGCAAACAGACAATGAGAGAAGCCCACCAAGAACTTGCACCGTGAATTGGGAATAATTTCATTGTTTTCATTTAGTATCATGTCTTAGCGTGCGCGGTAGTTCTAAGCCTATGGCATTGCATGCTGCGTGGCTCAAGCTCGAAAACTCAATAAAACAACAATCCTGAGTTGAGCGACCTGCATTGAAGGCATTGATCCATCTACCCTTGTGCGTTACACTTTCCTCTCATCTCAGTTTCGCTGGAAGGTTTGAGGACTCCATTTCCTCAGCAGTCATGTTCACGAGATAACAGCTGCTGTAATGCAATGCATATTTTGCTGCTTCCATATGGCTCTGGCGATGCTAAGTGAATGTGCTGTTAATATCCGGATTGCAGACATGTTGAGTTGTGGCAAGGGACGTTGGTTTGAGAGGCTTCCAGAATGCGGATGGTGGACACTTGCAGCGCGGAGAGATGGATAGATAGCGCCGTCCCATGTGTGGGTGACCGGTCCACGAGAGAAATGTTGGTAATACTCGTACATATCTTCAGGGGGTTGTGAGAGTCAGAGCCAGTCGAAACGAGGCCTGAGTTGCCAACTGTAGAGGCAACGTTGGGGGCCATACTGTTCATTCTACGAAGGACCAGCAGAAACGCCGCTCGAAGCTTCACGTCGCGATGCTCTCTTGTACGCATCCATTGCAGCCGTGTACTCTGCCATCTGCTCTTGATAGCGAACTTCCCAGAGCTTTCGGTTGTCTGCGCTAAGACCGTCCCATTCGGCCTGAATTCGTTCTGGAATAGTGTCTGGATGTTCGCCATTGTTTTCCAACTGCGGTCTCATGTGTGTGGTGAATTGCATGTAAGGAGGATCTGGTCGTGCGGGTCGAGAAGGTGAGGTGGTTGCGCCGCCGCCGTTCGCGTCAGCACCAGGCGCATAGTAAGGAGCGTGTAAATCCATGCCGCGTTGTTGGCCAGCAGTAATAGGGGAAGATTCTCCGTAGCGAGAACTTTCAGCAGGCTGTGGTTGATAGCTTGGTGTTCCTGCAGCTTGAGGTGTGCCGGACGAGACACGGAACGATGATGTTAGGCCTGTAGGGTTGAGTGGAGGGGCAGGGGAAAATGAGCTTGCGGGAGCAAGGTTGGGTAAAGGTTGCTGTTGGTACGCGTTCGATGTATCCTCGCCAGGCGCGTTGGTGTTCATGATGGTTTCACGGTAGTTGTTATTTACTCTTCTTCGGCGTTCGGGTCTTTCTGCAGGCTTTGTCGTGTGAGCGCAAGCTGTTGGGAGCAAGGGCCAGTCTCACCTCGGGTTCCTCTTCCTCACTTTCTTCTGAGCTGTCGTCTAGCAAGCCTTCGCCGTCAGGTCTAGGATTACGAGATTCCTGTGTTATGCCGCTGCCGGCAAGTTCAGCTTGGTTCGCACTGCCGTTTGCAAGAACACCGATTTTTTCAAGTTGTTCCGCAGTCAACTTCTTGGCGGGAGTGCTCATGACTTCCTGCAAGTGGTTGAGGAGGATGGCACGCATGAGGCGCATCTTCTGAATATGCTCTGACTCTTGAATGATTCTCTTGCGCGTCGCATCGTTGTTGCCTTCAATCTCGGCGAGACGTCTTTTGAGTTGAATGCACTTTTTCCGATACGCCAGCTCTTGCGTTGGTGCTAACGGCGCGTTACGATTGAGGAGGATGTCGCCGGTAGGAGGAAAGGATGCCTCTTTGGAGGATTCCATCTTGACGGAGACGACGATGATGTAAATATGATGGTCGTGGCTGTGTATTAGGATGACGATGTAATTTGGGACATGAAGGTTTTGGAATTTGTTTGGCAAAAGAAGACAAGATAATATCAACTATTAATGTGAAGACTGTGATTTCAACTCATGAAGGGCGCTACAAACAGGACTCCGGAGAAAGAGCGATAAGTATGAGGGAAGGTCACGTGGTCGATATATGTGCGGAATAGCAGAAGGTGAGGCGAGCAAGGCGAGGCTGGCATTTAAAGCGCGTCTGCGTTTACATGTCTACATGGATGACGGAGTACAAAGTCATCACTCAGTCTCTGGAAAAGATGATGGTTTGGTGGAAGTCCTCATCACTGGGAATAGCAGTCCAATAACCGCATTAATTTGTGACTATCTTTGGGGCTTTGAAGGTTATTCTACAAGTGACAACCACCAAGACTTTCTCACACGGTGCCTGCACACGAAAACCATTGTTGAAACAATACCTGCCCTTGTGGCTTGGAATGTCCCGTCTTCAGGAGTTCACAATGACAGTAGCATCACGGAAATAAAGACTCCTGACGCATCACTTCGCCCCCTTGAGTTTTGACCTTTGGAGTTACTTTGTTGGGATGAAGAGTACACACCCCAGATTCAACCGTGCCGCTTGTCCAGGAGCCTCCAAGATGTGATGAAATGGGCCAATTGCACAAAACTCCTCCTCATCCATACTGTTTCGAACTCCTTCATCTGTCCAATTTCCAATTTGGTGTTCTCTATCTCCACAATATGTAGAGCGGCTTTTGGTGGTTTCCACCACCCACCAAACCACAATCGCAAGTTTGGTGGGATGATCAAGCCACCAGCCCAAATCCCGTTCGAGAGGGTGTGTAGCAGACAGGGCATTGCCGCATATTCCGCTGTCATGCCCCGGATGTTCCTCGCTTACCCCTGGCGACATTTTTCCAAACTTTGTTGAGAAAATTGTCCGAAGGGAATTCCTGTAGTTTTGATATTAATCCTAGCAACCATAAGCTGAATACCATGCAGAAGTGAATGAAAAGCCCATGCTGAACTACCTCATTCGGCCTCCAAAAGCTGCAAACCACGACGCACAAGGGTCATTTGTAATTTCGGAAGTGTCGCCCGCCGTTGTCAGTGGCCTGCGTCTTTGCATTAATACATGTGGCTGGCCATTTTGAAGCACCACTTCCGTCGTAACAGATGAAAGGATCAAGACGCCAGGGCATGGGGCACGCTTGAATCTCGGTCGATGCTTTCGAGCCGTTTTCTGTGGAAATGCCTCGTGGTTCCATGACACCACCCCCCTCTCTCACACGGGAAGTCCTCCTCAATGAGGTCCATCCTGGCCATTTGGGCATACTTATTGGCCCTCAATATGTGTTGAATAATCGGGAGGGGAGCGTCGGGGGTCCGCCACCTCGACAGATGAAGCAGAGAATCAATGCAGCCATCACCCCACGCTTGAACCTTGATCGACGTGCCGATGTCTTCTCCTAGGGCCCGGTGAGGCGCAATAACCTCGTGGAGGAGCGGCCACGGACTGGGATGCGCGATTGTCCAGAGGACATTTCGACCTGGATTGGAAGGTCTAATTGAAGGAGCAGCACCAATCAACGAGGCGAATGGATGATTTTCACATCGAGGCCGTTCAGGGGCCGCGCCAAGACGCCGGATTCGGCTTGAGCCACTTCGCGCTAGCTGTGCTATTTCGACGTCCTCGAGTGGTGTTGGTCAATCCTGCAACCGCCTTCACACCATACACGCCCTCGGTCACGCACTGTTACCTCGTAGTAAGTGTACTGCATTTGGCAGACTCAGACATGACCGGCTACAACATTGGTCGTTGCCCTCGAGCAGGGTAAGACCTCTTTCCCCAACATCCCGGGCAAACACGATATGCCGCACTAAATGGTAAGGTGGTCTGGAGCGCCTTGAGCAGCTCCATCTGCATCATGATTCCTCTTATACCGGTCGTTGTCCTTTTCCTTGAATCGCTGCAGCCTGAATGAAACAATCAACCCTCTGTCCTTCGTTTTGCTTGTGGATGGTTGCTTGTTGATTCTCATCTTGGTTTATCGTTCGAGACCACTAACCGCCACTCACTCGCCGAGCATTCGAAGTAGACCAGGCCCCCATCCAGCCTGACGAAGGAAGGCGGCAAATTCTCTCAACCACAGCCATCCAATATGAGCAGCAGCATCACCAACCCCAACCAATTCAAAGGGGAGTTCTTGCCACACGATTCCTTGCAAGGGGAATTGAAGACATTGAACATTTGCTTCATTGCGGTAACTTCAGTGTTCATTGGCGTTCGGCTGATCGTGCGGGCATTCGTCGTCAAGCATGTCGCCGCCGATGACTACCTTATGGTAGCTGCTGGTCTGTTTGCAACGGCCTTTTCCGCCATGGCCATTGTTGGTAGGTCCGAGTGGCACACATCTCAAGGGTTTGATTGTTGACCTAATGTCAGGCGTACGATATGGCCTCGGGGATCATGTCTGGGATTTGCCACAAAACGCTGACCTCGTTCAGAAGATCAAAAAGACTGTCCAGGTGAGTCTGCTGCTGCTACCCTCCAGGGGCACTTACTAACGAGGTCAGACACTATGGATATGTCAAGTCATGTACGTGACGGCGCTCATGCTGGTCAAGATCAGCATCGTCGTGTCCTACATCCGAGTCTTCCCCACGCCCACGTTTCGAAGGATCATGTACGCCCTCAGCGCCGCCATCCTCAGTGTATGGATCTGCAGTATCCTCGTCACCATATTCCAATGCAAACCGGTCGAGGGGGCGTGGGATTTCACACTTCCACGAAATTGCCTGCCGATTGATAAATTCTACTATTTCTCGACGGCCTTTTCAATCTTTACCGACTTTTTGCTCTGCACCCTTCCACTCCCCGTGTTTTGGAGACTCCATCTTCCTCGGAGGCAAAAGTACGTCGTGTCTCTGCTCTTTGCGATTGGTCTTTTTGCAACTGTCGCCTCGGCGTTGCGTATCAGCGTCCTAGAAGGTGTTGAGAGTCTCGACGTGACCCAAGGCTCCGTCCCGACCATGAAATGGTCCGTCGTCGAAGTTGGTACCGGCATCGTCTGCGCCTGCATCCCTTGCTTCAAGCCCCTCTTCAAGAACTGGCTACCGGACAAAGCCACCTCACATCAGGGCTCATCAGGCCGCGTCAGCGTAAGAGGAGACCACCACCACCACCACTCCTCATCCAGGCTCAAGAGCCACTCGGAAGCTCACGAGCTCACCAAGGCTCCGGAAGGTTGGACCACTTTCCATCACCCTGCTCCCATGAGAATCAAAGCAGATCCAGTCGTCATGACCAAGAACTTCATTTAAGCTACCTACCAGAAGGTCTCTGAGGTTTTGGGGAGGGAAACGGTCCTTCACCGATTCAAGCGTTTGGAAAGTTTTGTTTCTCCAAGCGTTTTCTACTTCTACAAAGCGAGCCAAACTCCAGTCCCTTCCGCAAAAAAAGACATTGGGCTTTTCGTTTTTATTCAGAAAAGATTTATTATATACGCGCGAGCGTTTCTCGACCCACGCACGACGGATGGCGACATGTGCCATATACCTATGATATGGCTACAACATCATGTCGCCATGCCTGTTCTGAAAGTCCCAGTCTCTCCTACCTGGACCGTCGTGTTCTGTGATGTCGACCACTTCGTCTTCTTCCTCCTAGAGACACCAGGTTACGAACAAGTTCTCACGACTCGACGTCTCTTTCATGATGGGACGAGAAACATGACACACGACACGCATCACAGACGGCAACGGCAACAGTAGTATGCCCAACAACTACTTCAGACAGACAGACCTTTCTCATTGTGCAACCCCGGACCTCCTCTTTCTTTTTATCCCCGTTGTAATTCAAATCTTGTATATGGCCGGATCTCTGAGCGACAACTGATTTGTCCTTTCCGAAAATGCACGATTTGTACTCAAAGGGCTGGCTGTCGTTCTGCTTTTATCTATTCTTCTGCTTCTTTTTTGTTTTCAGTTTTCTTCCATTTTCTGTATGCCTTACTGTAAGAGGGGGGGAGGGAGAGGGAGCCGCGGATTATGTGATGCCGCCTCGACAGACTTGGTTCACTTCTTGTGGACGATATTTTTCATTTCATCTTAGTACAGACCAGCCAGCTACCTCTTTTTTCCTCCGGTGCGTGTAAATGTATGTGTGAAGAAATGAAGATGGGACGTTTCGGTGCACGTTTTCCCTTCTCAATACCGTATAAATCTGATCCGATCTCCCATTATGGACCTTGGTTTTCTGATGCATTCCACATGCCTGTGTGCCGAAAGTGTCCTGCAGCATTTACATTTCCGTCCTTCAAGTATGACCGTTCGATATATCTGACCGTCTCTCCTAATCTCTATCTCGTTATACTCTGTACACACGACACAGTATTTTCATTACCATATTCATTACCATATTCATTACCATATTCATTACCATATTCATTACCATATTCATTACCATATGCCGCTGCTCGTGCCCAAACCGATCCACGCCGTTGATCTGTCCCAAGAAAGGACAATTACAAGTAAACGAGCTCATTCGAGGTCCTTTGTCCAAAACCATCACGGCACCAAGACATCCCTGACATCACAACTCTTCCCGTTGGGACACACGCCCGTCCTCCCCAGGTCCTTGTCCCTCGGCCCCGTAGGTCCGGCGACGTACTTTCTCTCCCCAAATACGTCGATCTGGCCTGGCGTACTATCAGGGAGCTGATTGTCCCCCCACCGTCCCGCAAAGTTCAACCAACCTACCGGATCTACGCCGTTGTACGCCTCGAACACCCCCGTGGTGTTGTCGAAGCTATACACGTACGCGTCCACAATCGGATCCCACGTCGGCCCCTGGTCAGTATGGTCGGTCAATGGACCCGCGACTGTGTTCAAATCAGGCAACGTGTGGTCGTGCGGTCCCGGGATGGCGTAGTTGGCGTGCGTCCCGTTGGCGACGTACACGACGGGCCTTACGCCGTCGGGACCCTTTTGGGTCGCCGCGTAGGTGAACGCCTCACCGCTGCTGTGCTGCGAGTAGTACACCGCCGTGGGTGCGCCGTCGACGAACCGAACCATGGTGTGTTCCCAGTCCCCCACGTGGTCGCCGAACTCGAGTGTCGGCGTCCCCAGGACCCAGTTTCCCTGGTTGTAGGCGTAGAAGTAGAAGTAAAACGCGTCGAGAGTGTCGTTGGGTTTGGCCACCGTCACCACCGCGCAGCCGACGATGGAGGGTGTGCTGCCATCGGCTTGCGGGCGGGAGCCCCTAAACCAAGATGGAAGTGCCTGGATGCCTTCGTTGGAAGTCAGGTACACGTTTATGCCGCCGTCCGCGAAGGCATTCAGGCCATCGAGGTTGGACAAGGTCAAGGCTGTAGGCGGCGTGATGGCGTTCCCAAAGTCGTCTTCAGGATGCGTATGGGCGATTTGCGCCCCTATGTCGCTGGGAAAATATATTTCCGTGGAGCAAAGGTATGCTACGGGCGCTAGGTGTAAACAAAAGTTAGCAAAAGGTTTTCTCCTGCAACGCCTTTGAATCAAGCGTTGTGTTGTACTTGTCGCCTACCATATTGCCGAACAAAGTCTGGAACGTCTCGCATCTGATTGTTACCCAGACTAGCCAGAGGAAAGGAAAATGATAGACTTGCAAGCAGCAACAGAGCGAAACATAAGTGAAACATCTCGATTTAGTTCAGTGCGCACAGGGGAAGGGGGACGCTCAAGTCTAGCAAGGCCAGCTCTGCAAGACATCGTATATATAAGTGTATCAAAAATGTTCATGGGTCTGGAGAGTCAGGAGTGAAAGTCATTGAAAGGTTCTCAGAGATTGTAGACATGTGCATGGAAATTCGGCAGAACCCTTGTGATCATCATCTCCAGGCCAGTGGTCATGCGGTAAAGCGTCTCAGCTTCTAAGAAGAGCAAAACGACCGAAGCCGAAGGCAGCAGAAGAGGGCGTCGCATGGTTTCTCTGGAAGTAGCCATCAATTTTCTTGGAAATTCCAGGTCAGAAGAACCAGGGTTGACCTCGACTCTTGACACAAAGAGCTCTTCATGGTTATGATAGGCGTCGCTTCGAGGTGATGTCTGCGTCAGGCAATCTCCGAGACCACCGCCAATCAACGTGCAGCAATAAACCACCGTGTAAAAATCAGCCGTGGCAGATGGGAACATCGATGTGAATATAATGTCAACGTGCGTGCCATATCCATTGCGATTCGTAGAGATCTTGTAACCAATTTGATCAGTAGACTCACCTCTCGAGATTGTCGAGGGTGGTCATGTGGTTGATGGTTGTCTGTATGAATTGGCACGTGAGAGTACAATATCCAGATGCCATATTCGGGGTTATCACGACCGCGAGTACCAGGGAGATCTGTCCTCGGAAACAATTCAAAGATGCGCAGACAGAAGCAGGAGAAACGAGCTGACAAAATTTGCTCAAGTTCGATATGATCTTCGAGTGCACTTCGCTACCGATATCGACCGTGCGGTCAAATATGTACAACTGAGTCTGGTCAGACTACTTTACATCTTGCACTCCAGCCTCGATCCTCCTCCGGTCTGTACTCGAATGTCCATCTACCAGACTGTCTTGTGGCCAAAAAGCATGCGGGTCATGCCGTACACCGAATAGGCCAAAGAGCCGATCAGCAAAGTGTAGTAAGGGTAAAGGATGTACGGGCTTCGCGATGTCTAGAGCATGAAAGGTTAGCAATCTCATGGCCTCGCAGGTTCAACAGCAGAACAAGAAATGAAGAAAGCACAGATGCGCCCGGGTTAGCGGGAGTCAGCAAGGTTCCCTCCGGAAGCACTCCCATGTAGCCGTGGTCGAGATTCTTAAAGCGATGGCAGAATTTGAGGAGCCGTAATGCGGCAGCCCAATTCTCTTCCGAGTCGATGCGTCTGCATACATAATCTTGAGGATAGTGAACTGCGTAGTGAGAAATGCAGCAAGCCAAGCTCGGGGTCGGGTGTGCAAGACGGAACCACTTGATGCCGCCCACTCTGCTATAGCAACATATCCAGCTCCTCATTTTCATCCATCCGGCAGAATCTCGAGGTACTCATCGAACGATTTTAGGGTAGGCGTAAAATTTATCACTAACCTTCCACCATTGTCTTTTTCCATCGTGGTTCTGGAAGAGGCGTTGGTAGTATGGCACTCGGTTCTCGCGCATAACAAAGCTGTACACATTCGAGTCAGCATAATCCCTCCATCGCATGCGTTGTGCACTATTGTCTGCTCCTAGGAGTAGTTGTGTAGAGAAACTGGTGTGGAAAGACTGACCCTTTCATTTGAGCTGGGGATTGTCTGAACACGCGGGCTCGGGTGGCCTGCATCATGCGGGCAGCTGTAGGAGTAACCATGTTGTCGGCTCGGAAGATTGAGATCGATCGTACTGAGTGTTGACAATGTTGTAGCTTGCAAGACCAACTGCGATGACCGTCAAGTCGAGGTTCAGCGGAAGGAGCTTGTGCCAAGCCCAAAAGCTTCAACACGTGACTCGCTGTATTGCTCGTAATGGCATCTCCTGATCTTTTTTCGAACTCCTTACAACCGCATTGGGCATCGTAAAAGATGCATCTTGTATCACCGAAGCCTATTTGACATTTTCAGACGCTCTATCAGAGTGTTGGCCTCGACTTTGATCCTATTCGCTACATGCGATTAGCGACACGAGGTCTTCTTAGACGGCCGAAGACATGTCTTCACCACGCACCTCGATTTAGAGCATGTGCTTCTGCAAAAGATGCCTTTATTCTGCAAGCCGCACGAGAGCTCTTCGGGTGTCGGCTTCAAGATGGCTCTTCTAGACAATATTACTCTTCCTCTACCAGATCTGGAGTCAATTTCTATACTCAACAGCAAGAGTTAGAATGCGGCACTCAGCACCACTCCAGGGACGATCAACAGAGCAGAGAATGGGAATGCTTACTTGAGGATGCATTCATCCACGGCATTCGAACCAAAGAACAATTGCGCCTTGAGGCGGATATTGGCCATCAGAGATACATTGGATCACGTTTGATTGATAAGCCACCGCAGCGTCAGAATATCGAGTTATGGCATCTCTTAACCCGAACGCAAGCTCTGATGAATGGGCACGAAGGAATCAAAGCAGTCTGGCGTGGAACTATGTATCGCGGAGAATTGATTCGCTTCGACGATAAGGACCCTTTGGTCAATGCTCTGTGGTTCACCTTCCTTTCAGCCGGGAGCATTGATTATCCTTTCCTCTCCCAAGTCTGCAAAGCAGCTCTCAAATTCAAAATGATCAGGCCAGCTTTCTTTGCCGAGGTTGTGGGTGCGAGTCTGGAGGGTGAACAACCAGAGAATGCTTCGAAAATTGCAAGGTGGTTATTGGAACCTCAATATCGCATATATCGAGGCCGAGAAGATCTTTTGGCCGCGTTTTCGGCTGCTTGCCGCTCAAGCACAACATCTGCTCTTCGTCATTTCTGCAACATCTACGACCTCGTCCCTAATGCACATATCTACGACGAAATTATCCCAGGACTCTGGGAATCAAATCGTGCCTCTGATGCTTTTATGATACATGACTATTTAATTTCAAAACGAGATCTGCCAACTGTTTTCGAGGTTCTGGTGCCATTCATCAGGCACCTGGCAACTCAAGACAAACAACTCGGCAGCTTCCTGGGACCCCTGAGCGCGTCCGGAGCTTCGTTCGAGGCACAAGCACGCCGAGAATGGTCACGAGCAAAAAGCAGGGTGATAGGCTTCTCTCCTGAAAGCATGAATATCGTGGCCAGCAATGAGTTAGGCCCCACGCCCAAGAAGCTGAGCGACGAATTCATAGCTCGAGCTTTCGCTACCCGCGCATTTTCCTTTGATTTTGCGGTCAACAGCCTTAGGCTGATTGGTCTAATCGAAGTTGGACCCGTCGCTCTGCGAGAAATAGCAATCACGTCACACGACAACACTATGTTGCATGCCAGGTTTGAGAAATTGAAGGAACTCGAGATCGACACCGGATCGTCTTCTTTTGGACAGATCATCCAAAGATTGTGCTATTCAGGCAGGTGGGAGATGATCCAGAATATCGTCAATACAGACATGCATCATGAAGTCTTCGAGGACCTGGAGTTGCAGGAGAAACTCTTGCTAGAGTACTGCCGGATCAAAGACTGGAAGCAGATCAATCGTACTTTGACAATTTTGTGTAAAGAGAGCCTCAACGAAGAAGCCGAACTGCGCTCTGCCATGCTAATGGTCAAATCAATGCTGCTTGTCGGTGATTGGCCTGCTGCTGCCACCTTAAGCAAGAGTTTACAAGAGCGTAACAAGGTCTTTACTGCGGCTCTACCGTCGGCCATTGCCAGGATGTTGCGACCCAAAAGCATGACTCAACTTATTCGATCAGAAGGGTGGGATCAGACCGCATTTCTGATTGGAATGCTTCAAAACTTGCTGGTCTCTGGTGCGTCCTTTCCGGTGAAGCATTGGCGAGATTCTCTGAGCGCTTTGGGCCAGGCAGGCCGTGTCAAAGAGCTCGAGGCTCTCACCTACTGGCTAGCAGAAGTCTACAGGGCGGGCGGCTTGTACGAACAAATTTATAACACCACCCTCGCTCGCCGCGATTCCAATTTGAACTCCCTGTTCAACGCATCATTTCAAACCGCTTTGATAAAATGGTGCTTCAAGCCTCGCAAGGGAATGCGCAATGTACCCCCCGAGCAATGCCTACGTTGGACCCGCATATTGAAAAAGCTTCGCGATACCTATGGCGTCAAGATCGAGGAACACCGCATCCGCTGGGCATACATATCCAATCTTCGTTGGATTTTTGGGCCTGGGATGTACTACAAACCAGAAGGCTGGATGAGACGGTACAAAAGGACTGCTCTCAAGCGCTACTGGAACATGTACGACAGGATGTGGGACATGAAGCCGGCCAGAATCATCGATGCGTACGATAGAGTTGAGGTGGTCTTTCTGCCTCGTAAACAGAAGGCTAGATCTCGTGGGGGCAGAAGACGGACTCTACCTGTGAAAGAGACCGCTATCCAGGCAATGTCGGAAGATGTGGTTCAGTATAGGGATATTTTCAACCCGTCTTGGGATGATTATAGGAAGTGAATAGATTGCACAGATGGGATCAATAGAGCAATAGGTGGTGAACCATTTGCACACGTACCTCTTTTTGAATAGACACAAAGCAGCGGCAGAAAATATCCGCCAAGACACACCCACACCACTAAGGAAGATCACAGAAAATCACGCCGCTTCAATTTTTCAGTTTCCCGGCAACCGGCACGATCACGGCCTCTTCCGACGCTAACGCTATCAGGCTAGATCTGGAGCGTGTCACCTTTAAACAAGTCCCTGACCGGTAAGCCTCAACTTCATTGTTAAAAATATTGCGAAGAAGGGGAAAACAGGCAGAGAGACAAAATGGCGGAACTCGAGGCTCTGTGCGTACTTGAGAACCAGCAGTGGCCTGGCCGCCGCGTGGAGAAGACGTATAGCAAAAAGAAAGGATCACGGGTGCCATCGAGAGACATGCACTATGATCTCTTTGGAGGGGGCGATGAGAACGCGATCATTGAGAAGATGGATCAACTGACAGTCCAAGATGATGCAGTCAAGCCGAATCGACCTACTGAGAAAGCCTCTGAGCCATCGCAAAAGCCACCGACGAGACGCAATCCGCATCTTCGGGGACGACGGAAACCAACATCATCGAAGAAAATGGCGGTCAGTTACACCTGTGAAATAACACTTTTCCACCGTGTGGACAGGATGCCTTCAGACACTACTAACACGGCCTTCTACAGAACCTTGGACCGAACAAAATGCAGTTACTTGCACCACTCCTCTCACTTGTTGACCGACAGGTACAAGACTTCCAAGAATTCGGCCGAAGCATGGGACGGAAATTTGTTTGCACCAAGCTCGGTGAAGGCGCGTACGCCGACGTCTTTGAGCTCAGGCCAAAAGACGCCGAGGAAGCCATCAAGGTCGAAGAGCGTGGTGGACTCGTGATCAAAGTCATCGCCTTCGACGTGGAGAAATCGAGAGAGGCGGACGACATCGCCGACCTGGAATCCATCACCCGAGAAGTTCAACTCCTACTCGCCCTCGACCGCATGCACGGTTTTGCCAGATGTCGAGGCGTCCACGTTGTCAGTGGAAGCTACCCCGACGTCCTTCTCGAAGCGTTTCGCAACTTCAAAGCCACGGGCAGCCCGGACGCACAGAACCGCGACCCGACCGAAGTCTTTTCCTCCGACCAGACCTACGTTCTTATCGAGATGGACCACGCCGGAAAATGTGTCGGAAGCATTTCCACTCTCTCTGCATTTCAAGCATACGACATCTTCTGGAAGACGGCCATGATTCTCGCTAGTGCCGAAGAATCGGTCGAGTTCGAACACAGAGACCTACACACCGGCAACATCTGCTGCAAGGCGCGAGCACGATTGGTGAATGGTGGTGGCACCGCAACAACAACAACAACAACAACAACAACAACAACAACAACAACAACCGACATTGATGAAAACCTTGTCCAGAACATGACGGACGAACCCAAGGCCAATCTCGGCCTCTCCAACCTCCACGTCACCGTCATCGACTACACGCTCTCCCGCGCCCGGATCCAAAGCGAGACTGGAGAGCAAGTCATCATCGCCGACCCGATTGTGTATTGGGAAGACAACGACATCGTCGGCAACGACGCGTCCGACCAGCGCCAATTCAACACCTACCGCAAGGTGAGGGACTGGGCCAAGGCGGTCGAGGCCACGACGGAAGCCCTGGCGGAGATGCAGGAGGGCGAGGAAAAAAAGGCGGTCATCGACAAATACCAGCGGTTCCTTCCGAAAACCAATGTCATGTGGCTTTGGTACTTTGCGAGGGAGCTGTTGGCGAGGAGGGGGAGGGCGGTGGCCGGCAGCAGCGGCGCCGCCAGGAGACTGCAGACGGCCCTCTGGCGGAAGCTGGAGGCTGTGGCGCTATACCTCGACGCCGTCCCCACGCTGATGCCAGAGGACGTTGCTGAGCTCCTGGCGAGCGCCGTGCAGTTTGGCTGGTTGAGGCAGGAGGACGTGGCGGCGTACAAGGCCGAGCTGGAGGAGTAGAAAGGGGGGGGGGGGAGCAGGAGGGGAGGGGAGCAGGAGGGGAGGGGAGCAGGAGGGAATTGTGTGGTGTGTGGCGGTGGTGTGTGTGTTTGAGCATAGCGTTGCATGTCATAGCATAGCATAGCCAAGGCGTTTTTAGAACGAGCGGGAGAACAGAGCCCAAAACATGAATGATAACGATGTCTTGTGCCTTGTGTGTGGTTTTGATCCCTTTGTCCTTTGTTGCGGACTGTGCTGGACACAGGTTGCACATCATTGACAACACCGTTGAATCTAGGACTGTGTCCATGTCTGGCACCACATCTGTTTGGACTGCCCTTCACAGTGACGGTATCCCGAGCAAGGCACCAACGGATGATCATTATACAAGCTACCATGTCTATCAAAACACCCACCCATAGCTAAAGACAAATTTGACCAACCGCCAACCTCCTCCCAGATGACCGTAAAAGAACAGCAAAGCATCCAACCTCAGAAACGATCTAACGAGCCTGGTCGTGTTGGAATATTTCCCACAGGACCATATCGTGCAGATCTGAATGATCGCCGTCGAAGAGCGATTCATGCCGAGGCCCCATGCCTGCCCTCCACCTGCCTTATTGCTCCAGAGGAATGTTTAGGCGAGTTTGCGGTTGAGGCTCTGGATGAGCAGGAGGATTTGGATTTGGGTTTGGGCCGTTCGACTCCGTGTCGTAGGTCTGGACCATCTCACCGTCTTCCGTGTTGAATCGAGCATTGTTCGTCACCTGTGCACGTCGCTCTCTGGCGGCCTGGTCGTGTCGTTGCTTCGACATGAGCCTTTGGTGCTCCTGGCGCTTATGGATCAGCGGCATCTTGTTTTGGATCTTTTTCAAGAGCTTCTGCATGAGGGCTTCTGGCCACTCCTCCACTCCGTGGAACAGCGGCAGGAGGTCGTCAATCAGCGTTGGCCAATCATGTAAACCCAATACCTTTCTTCTCAGTATGAGGTCATTGGGAGGATATTTCCGGATATGCCATTCTAAAAAGCCTTTCGACATCGGTTGGCCAGTGCTTTCTCGTCTAGATTTAGCCTTGTTAGCTCACGGCGCATTCCAGTTGGGAACATATCCAAAACGCTCCTCCCTACAACAGACTGATCACATACCAGGAGAAGTGTTTGTCCAACCTCGAATAGACATCCGTTTTGGCGTTAAGTCTCCCCTCCATATTGACCGCCCGCCTCTCTCTTCCTCGTCAACACCAGGTGGTTGTAATTTCACGTGATGACGCGCCAAAGGCCGATGATTCAACCGTGCCGCGGGAGTGTCTATTTTAGAGCGTCAATACTCCTTTATTGTCCCCTCGACTTTGGTGCAAGTGAATTGGTGGAGCAGAGAGGCCCAGACCCAGTTCAATTATCGTCCTGGATCCTCTCGTCCTTGCTCCTGGTGAGCTTAACAACATGAAACGTTCTCCTTACAAAAGATGAGTTCTCAGGCAGCAATGTCCAAGGGCCCCCTTTTACACTCACCTCGGAAGGGTTGACTGTATGAATTCAGCAGCATTGGCGAGGTCGACCAGTCTGCCCGAATCCATCCAGCAGCATTGACGAAGAGAAAAGGCCTGACTGAATTGATTCAGCAATGGATCCAGTGACTGGATGCTGGATGAAAAGTGGACATCGCCTGATGCGGGAACGCCTCGCCCTTATCACATTCCAGGGTCCTTTATTGATTACCTTGGGCGCTGGACCGTAGTAACCCGTCTGGAACAAGGCCTATTTTACAATACGAAGTATCCAGGTAGAAAGTCGTGCATGATCATAGGATATCGGCTAAGGAAAACTGCTTATTGAGTTGGTTTCGTTCGCGTCTCTGCGGCATCGAGGAATGGTCCTCGCTTCCGTAAATGTGCATCTTTCTAAGAACCATATGTTGCAGATTTCGTCATCGCACAAGTCCCGCGTGTATGGTTCGTGGTGTCTCTGGCACCAAGGGATCTCATCGATCAAAATGTAGATATACATTCAGGTGTTCTCAAGTGCAATTGAAACTATGTCCGTGAGATTACGCCCTCAGGGGTCGTAGATACTCCACCGTTGTCTTCTACGGCGCACCGCACTGCCCATATCAGACCTCGTGACCCTCGCCGCACCCTATCGCCGGATGCCAACAACGTGATGCACCTGACGGTGGCAACGGAGCACACCTTGTGATTATCCGGCGCGAAGACAGATAGGTGGACGACTTGGGCACCGAAATGACATCCTAAACACACGGACCACATATATATCAACGACGGCCGTTGTCCGTCCGTCTTCCATGCATGCCCAGGCCCATTGACGCCGAACCCCAAACATTCGAACTACAGGAGTTGTCCAGCATGGGCTGGATAAAGAGTCTCTTCGGGTCAAGACAGGACTATGAGCCTCTCCAGGACGGTGCGGAAAGAGACGACGGCAGCAATAGTTCACACGATGAAGATATTCCGGGCGAGGAGATGGAGGCCGCCGCGTTCTCGTGGCTCGAGTACGGCATCTTTCTGCTCCTCGGGATAGCGATGCTCTGGGCATGGTATGATGGTCCCCCTGGACAGACCCGAATACCTGGACTAACAGCATGCCTTGTAGGAACATGTTCCTCGCAGCCGCCTCGTACTTCGAAAACCGCTTCCGCACGAGTCAATGGATCCTCAACCACTTCCAGGCCGCAGAGATCTCGGTATCGACCATCACGAACTTGGTGTCGATGATAGTATTGACGGAACTACAAAAGGGGGCATCATATCCCAAGAGAATCTCGACCTCGCTGCTCATAAACACCGCTGTCTTTGGGATGCTCTCGCTTTCCACGCTGGTACATGCGCCTGCGGGTGTATACTTTGGATTCCTGCTCATAGCGATCTTCTTTGCTAGTTTCTCTACGGGCCTTATACAGAACGGACTGTTCTCGTTCGCGTCGGGGTTCGGGAGAAGCGAATATACCCAGGCCATCATGACCGGACAGGGTGTTGCGGGAGTGCTGCCACCGCTGGCACAGATTGTTTCGGTCCTGGCGGTTCCTCCTAAGCAATCAGACGATGCAGACAGCGCGGATGTCTCGCCCACTTCGGCGCTGATATACTTTTTGACCGCGACGTTGATTTCCATGGTGTCGCTACTGGCGTTCTTTTACCTCTTGAGGCGTCATCCACACCACAAAAACATGCCTTCCGCGGCAAAAACTACCGTCGACGGAGCTTCCGAGAAAGACCTGCTCGCGGACAATGGCAGAATTACAACGAGTAGCCAGACTGAGAGCGGTCATGGCGAACGTCCATCTGTTCCTCTCAGGATCCTCTTCCGCAAACTACCATTTTTATCGGCCGCAGTCTTCGTCTGCTTTGCTGTTACCATGGTTTTTCCGGTCTTCACAGCCTCGATCCGTTCTGTCAGTGGAGTCGATGCTGCCATTTTTGTACCTGTGGCTTTTTTGGTCTGGAACCTTGGAGACTTACTTGGGCGTCTGTCAACATTATGGAAACGAATTTCACTAATGCACTACCCGTTTGCGCTCTTCTGTCTGGCCATGGCAAGACTTCTCTTTATTCCACTTTACTTTTTGTGCAACATCAAGGGGAAGGGAGCTGTTCTGAGCAGTGATTTCTTCTATTTGGTCATGGTTCAATTCTTCTTTGGCCTTACCAATGGGTATCTTGGCAGTGAGTGCATGATGGGAGCTGGAGATTGGGTTGCGCCCGAGGAACGCGAGGCCGCTGGAGGCTTTATGGGACTCATGCTCGTTGGTGGACTTACGGTAGGCAGTCTGCTCAGCTTCTTGCTTGGCGACGTGTAGAAGTGTTGAGACATGTCTCGGGCTCTACCGACACGTGATGTTGGTGGCGTTGACAGAGGCTGCTGAATCGCAGGATTGAACACAGCCTCGCTGTCAGGATCGTACTGTATAGTTGGCCTAGTGTTGGCGTCCTCGTACAAATAGAATGTGTTTACGATGTCTTAAAACTTGGACCGCTCAAAGCCCCGTACAAACTTGCTCGGGCCAGCCCTGCGAAAGCATTGACTATATGGCGCGGTCGCTTGTGCTTTGACGGATCGGCTGAATGACGTCCTGGTGCAATATCGTCAGCCTGGTGGGGGACGTGGGAAGCCTGAGGATGAACCCCTGAAATCCTTCCCTTCTCGCCAAGTCCATCTACATGCATGATGCACTACAGAACGCACTTCGTGCGGATAGTTTGTGAGTTGATGAGCTTGGAATAATGGGGGTGGTCGTACGGAGGACGGAGTAATTCTACCTAGGTGGCCAATTACCTCTCGAAACAGCATTTTCGTAGGACAAGGACGAATGGCACATGCTGTATAACCACCTTCCGTGTCTAGCCCAGACAAAACAAAGGAATCAAGTAACGAAGATCAAGTGTCAAATAGGCAGCCTCGTGGCTCGTCGAGGGAAACGGCACAATAGTCGATTGACTGAAGTGGTGACAGCTTGCGACAACCCTTCCGGAGAGCCAGATGGTTTTGCATGTGCATGATGGGAAGACGTGTCCATGCTACGGAGCCTCCAGTGGTTGGTCGACCGAACGTATCGAATCCTTTTGAAGTGTCAGGAAGTCCGATGAGTTTGTTGTTCTGACTTGCCATATTATAGCAATGATCATCGTGGTTGTCACTGTCACGGAGGTGTGATGCGTTGACTCGTACATATTCGTTGTCGGAGTTGATGAGGATGCATGAATCATCAATCCGGGTCGTTCCTTTGCATGGAAGCCCACGGACTACCGTACCTCCAGTTCAAACGTTGATGGTATTATTGGTTACTCCATCAATCAAGCCTCTGTTGTGAGCACTGAAAGCTGTCAAAAGCCCAACGCGGGAGCAATCAAAACAAATCACGTGTCACCGATGGCTAGCGTCGGAGCGTCGGCGAGTCGAAACTCCGTAGCGCGTCAACTTTAGTCAAATGGCGTTGGACTATATTCAGGTACACCAATAATAGCGCGAGGCTTTCTACAACGGTTATCCTTGCACAGTCCCAGGTACAGCAGGTCTCCTCTCTCTGTACGGCTTCCAATAGCCTCGCATCGCATCCCTTCCAGCCCTTGCACCTTGTCGGGACTGCAGAGAAGCACCAGCTTGGTGTTTTGCAAAGGAGGCGCAGGCTGAAACGCTGTTGATCCTGTGAAATTGCACTCAGCAAATCTTCAGAATTGGTGGTGCTTCGTCTCCGTACAGTACGGGTGAAGTCGTACTCGTACTGTACTCCGTACGGGGGGCCCTTCAGACCACACACACACACACACACAGAAACATTTAGGCAGCATCAGAGCAAAATCTTACCAAGAAAAGACTCCTTACAAGATGCGTGCCAGCCAAGAAGATCAGCGGCAATCGGAAGTTCATTTACTTGGCTGACTTCCTTGTGCCAGCAAGTCATACTCCGTACTCCCTATCCCAGGAAAAGTTCCAAGGAGGAGGAAGCGCCGCCCAGGCGTCGATCGGAGCCTGTTCCTTGTCAAAAAGACCAGCACCACTCATCCACAGAGAGAAATGGGACGGGCAAACAGACTGGAACCATGGACCTACTGTACCTGATGGACTCGTATCCCCCCATCCTTTCGGGTCGTTTATGCACCCCCTGCATCCAATCACCTAGCCTTGTCACACTCAGCTCTGGCTTTTTTACACTTTTGCGCTTGCAAATGCATGTTGCTATTCTTTCTCGAGCCTGACAAACAGGCAAATTCAGCAGCAGATCCATTTCCGTCCCGTCTCCACCAACCAATCTCTATCCCAAACTCAGCGTTTCAGGACTCCAGGAACAAAATCCCCCCGGCCAATGCGGCTAGTCACTTGCATCTGGGGCCCAGCGCCATTTGATGTTATTCTCCGTCGCGCACTGCTGGCGTTGTGACCATTCGACCAGGCCTGAACCTGATCAGAGCACCCCCGACTGGGAGGGTCCCCGAAAGTCAGCTACACCGCGTGTCATTTTCATGAGAGCCGCTCACTGACTCCGTACTTCTTCCACCAGTTCTTCTACACCCTCCTTCCTTGAACCTGTACTCGACAAGTGCTTACGACACTCTTTCCCATATTCTCTCCTTGTTCCTGTCCTGTCTGACCCATTGTACTTCGATTTCCTTCCCGGTACACTCTATAGTTCTTCGCCTCATCAATACTACTAGTACTCCTCCTCTCGCTCGTCATCCTCGAATATCACACCTCTACCACATTCACTTCTCTCCCAAACGATCATTCACTCGTCTCCATACCCACACTCTCTTCTCTTTCGCTGGACGAAGACACCCGTTCAACCTACATCCGTACAAAGTAACACAACAGAAGCGAAACCAAACAAGCTACCTCCCAGTCTTTAGCACGCAGCACCCCACGGTTCTCCTGTTCGCACTCGACAAAATGTCTCAACGTCAGACACCCTCAGTCTTTGTCGCACTTCTCCTCACCGCCCTCCCCTCAACGGCACTAGCAATGCCAGTATCTCATCTGTACAAGCGTAGCATGAGCACCGGGGCCAAAGCCGGTCTCGGTGTCGGCATCGCAGTTGCAGCAGTCCTCGTTGTCCTCATGATCACCTTCTTCGCCATCCACCTCCGCCGTTCTCGTCACTTGGCCAGAATCAATCAAGAGCGGGCTGTTCTCGCTGGGGAAAAGAATACGGACGGATCAGACAAACCGGACAAGTTCGCCCCCGAGCCGCCAAAGGCAGGCGGCATTCCCAAACGAAACAAGTCGGTCAAGGACCGCCTCATGGGCCCCATGTACCGAGGCAGCACGATCGATCTTATGCCTGTCCCTAGAGCGCACATGAACGGTGAGAACCGACAGAGCACCTTGACCTTGGGGGATTCAGACTCATTCATCAACAAGCCTTGGGCCAAGGGTGACAGCTCGCCCAGACCGAGTTTCAGCAGCAAGCGGGCGACAAGAATGATGATGATGATGTGAGCAGACTGAGTTTCTGTGTCCACGTCGTTGGCAAATCATTGTGTGTTTTAGTCGAGTATATTCTTGCAAAATTATACTATACCCTATGTGAATCCCTCGGGTGTTACTCTTCTCATTCTAGCTCGTTGCAAGGATTGAGAGGACACAGTTGAGGAGGAAGCTTTACTTTGATTGTGTTAGGCGCAGGCAGGTGCTTGGGCGTTTTTTTTTAATTTGTGTGTTGGAAAAGAAAAATAGGGGGAAGCCTGGACAGCAATGGTTCACGCCGTCCCCCGACAGATATTCATCAGGTTGGTAGGACATGCTACTTGGTCGTTCGCCCGTTGTGAAGGGCAAAAGAACCACTGGAACTGGCCATGGCTGCAACAATGGTTCATTCCTGGGATCCAAATATGTTGGAACATTGTATTCGGTATGGACATGGGAAGGTCTCGCGGCAAAGGCGCGTGTGTTGCAAAGATGCGATCTATCTAGAGAGGTATGGGAGGTGACTATATCTGGTACCCCAAGGTAACGATCAACAAGCAATTGGAACTTGACGGCTGAAAGGGATTTTGTTTTGTTATGTTATCATTACACCTCACTGGGGAAGGTCAACAGGTCATTGTACTATGCGTCTTGTGTTTTCACAATCTACCAAAATGAAACAACATTGAACTCTTGATGGTTACTGGATAACATTTTTTGTCCTCTTTTTCCTTCGACAATACAGTGCCCAGAATATGCTCCGGATCAAGGTATGTACATCTTTGCAAGGCCAAGTGGAAAGATGAGAGCTGCAGTACCTCGGGACCGAGTATGTTACACCACCTCGCCTTTCACCAGGGCTCCCCGTACGTAAAGTATTCAGGCCGTATCATGTGAAATCTGGGGTATCGTTCGGTGGAAGAACTCTGTACGGATCTACCTGGTTTGTGTTGTTCGTCTGTATGCATGTTTAATGTTGCACGAAAGGGGGAGGAAGAAGCATTGAAGGATTTTTAGTCTGCAGTGTCACCTTCTACAGTAAGAGGTTGATAATGTACTCCGTACTACCATACCCATTTAGTAGCATTCAAGACATACACATATAGAGTGTTTATCAACATTCGTCTTTTTCAACTACTACTCAGTATATCCTGTAGGTACGGAATACTACCCGAGAGGAGCCCTTTTTCCGTACTTTTATCTTCCTACTCCATTTTCGTACTCCATACTCTGAATTATGGCGGTGTAGAATCCACAATCATTTTTACGGAGTACTCCATGTTGATAAATCGTTAATATTCCAATTCTCGTTCATATTATTTCTCGAGTCTGTACAATAGAAAAAAAAGGCCTTTGAAGAGACTTTACCTAGAATTGTACGGTGCGACTCTAGAATATTTCGGAGGATCTTTCACGACATCCAATGCCACAATCGACTGTGGTTTCCTAGACTTTTTGATTTTGTTTGGGTGGTTGAGTTTATTCTTGCTACCACGACGACATCTTCTTCTTTTTGTCTTTGTCTCTTCTCTCTTTTTCAAACAAATCAAAAGACATTCGTATCAATAAAGAAATCAAACGACCACAAACAGAAAAAATGTCAGGTCAACAACAAAAGCTCAAAATCGCCATCGCTGGCTTGGGTCGCATGGGAGCCCGTCATGCACAACACTTTTACGCCCTGACTCCTCGAGCAGACCTCGTGGCCGTCTCTTCACCCGAAGCACACGAACTCTCGGCCGCGGAGAAAAACTTGCCAGGAGTCCGGACGTACCTCGACTACGATGACATGTTGGAAGCAGAATGTGCCCGGGGTCTACAGGCCGTGGTCATCGCCAGCGCCACTGCCGTACATTCTGAACAGGCCATCAAAGCCATCCAAAGAGGGTTACACGTGTTGTGTGAGAAACCTTTGAGTACTGGTGTCGAGAAGGTATGTACCATAACCACCACAGCCACCACTACCGCCACCGAGCTCACCTTCCCCTCTCCCTCAATCTCATTGTCTGGGACGGGAAATCGATGGCTGGTGTTGTTCAACCCCAGCCCCGTGGCAATGATCGTAACTCCGTAACTGACCATCATCGTCACGATGTCTAGTCCCAAGCCGTGGTCGATGCGTACACTTCATCCCTCCGACGATACCCATCCCAAAAGGTCGTTTGTGGCTTCTCTCGCCGATTCGACGCCTCTTACCGAGACGCCCACGACAAGATGAGTTCGGGACTGATCGGCGTCCCTTCTGTGTTTCGAAGCCAGACGTGCGACAAGCTCGACCCCACGGGGTTCTTTGTCGAATACGCCCAGTTTTCGGGGGGCATCTTTGTCGACTGTTCCATCCACGACATCGACCTGGCCCTGTGGTTCTTCGGTGAAGACAGCCGAGTCAAGAGCGTCACCGCCGTGGGTATCACGGCCGTGGAACCCGGGTTGAGAAAGTACGACGACCGAGACAACGCTTTGGGTCTGGTCGAGTTCTACGGAGGCAAGATTGCCCAGTTGTTTTGTTCTAGAATGATGGCAGCTGGACAAGAGGATTGTGAGTGACTTTTCTTTCTGTCTTTTGCCAACCCTTCCAAATCTCTCCCTCCCCCCCCTCACCCTACCTTTTCGGGGTCCATGACTTTGATCCAACGGCGAGACGAGCGCAATATTCTCTGGCTTTGGTCTGGCTGTCTTACGCACATTGACTGACTTTCTTCGTGTCTGCTTGATCCATAGCGACCGAAATCACGGGAACAAAAGGAAAATTGGCGATCAACACGCAACCCCAGACCAACTTGGTCAACATTTACGAAGCCACCGGTATCCGGAGAGAAATCCCACCCCACTACTACGGTCGGTTCAGGGACGCCTTCATCACCGAGGCCAACGAGTTCACGGCCTGTTGTCTCGACGACACACCTCCGCCGATGAAACTCCAGGGGGCCGTGAACGCCGTGAGGATCGGTTGCGCCTTGCAAGAGGCCTTGATCAGTGGGAAAAAGATCGAGTTCGATGAAGATGGGTCGAGGGTGGACTCTAGCGGTGGTGGTGAGCTCAGAGCTAGATTGTAGGAATTTCCTTTTCCCCCAGAGAGAATCATGAAGGTGGTGGTACGGGTGGTTTCTACACAGCTGTCGTCGGGTTCAGTCACGATACGTTTGTTTGATGGGCGTTGATAGATTGTTGATTGGTCTGCGTCGGTTTTACACGCAGAAAATGGGCTTTCTTCAAAAAAAAATGCAAATACATATATTAGATAGTAATCAAGACATGGATTAAAAATGGAACGATTCCGTACGTAAGTACATAGTATACAGGTACCTAGAGGTGAGGCGGCTTCCCAAGTGATCACAACGTACTCTGTACATCTTCTTTCAGGTGGGTTGGGCTTTCGAGAGAAGATGATTTAAGCCAAGTCCAGTGTCAACGTACTCTACTAAAGAACAATCGTCTGGAAATGTTTGCAGTTCATTAAATTCAGATCAGTTTCGCAAGCTGTACTCTGAAGGCGATAGCGACATCGGGTCAGTTTGATTTTCTTGCATCGCTTCATTTCCTGCAGCCTTCGTGTTCTGGCAGACACAAACACACACACTTTGAAAGTAGGTAGGTAATGGTCAAAATTATCCGGGTTAACTCATCTCTCATGCGTCTACGGCCTCACCAGGTTCACCTTCCTCTGCTGCCTTTCTCCGTCTTTCTTCTTCTTCTATCTCCTTCAATCTCTTTTGACCCTCTTCGTTGGTCGCGTCAATGACACCTTCTTGCAGACTCAACATGCCTCCTTGTCCCAAGAGCTCCACGATCTCTTCGGCCTCGTCCACACTCATTTTGCCCAGCACGACATTCACCTCGTCAAGGCTACCACTTTCCAGAGCACGCTGGAGGCCAGGTGGGAACCTCTCAAAAATCTCCCGGGATTGCTGCTCGACGGGATCCTCCGATCCAGCTTGTGGCACGTTGATGTGGATCTCGGTGCCAGGCTCGACCGCATGCAACTGGATCTGTTCCACACCCGCCGGGTCTGTGCCTTCCTCCTTGCTGAGCTCTGCTGCTCGGGTCTTGATCCGCTCGTACGTCTCCGCCAGGTCCTTGGTAAAGACTTGTTGAGCTTGGTGGCCTTTCGTGGTGATGCGCTTGAAGAATACGCCGACGCCATCACGACCCAGTTGACGACAATATTGGATCAACAAGCTCTGATGTACGCAGCCTTTTGCGTAGTCGTCTTGGCCTTTCATTTGTGCATTGAAGGCTTCGATCATCAATCCATCTTGTGTTCGCTCATTGACAATTTCTGGATGTTCCGAGATGTAGTGCAGGCATGCTCTGTAGTCGCCCAGCTTGATCTTCGCGAACTTCTTTCCCTCGGGGGAAAGCTTGATACTGGTCTCATCTTCCGCATCTTCATGTTGTTGGAGGAGTGCGTCATCTTCGATGTCCGCCTCGGCACCAGACGAAATGCCCTCATCTGGTGACTTGAGAGCATCCCTGGTCTTAGAGCTCAGGCCTGTGGGTGCGTTCAGCAGCTCCACAGACTCAGTCTTGTTGCTTTGCTTCGGCTTCTCTGTTGAGGTGGTCTTGGCTTTAGACTTGTTGACGGAAGAATAACTAAATCCCTCGTGAATATCTTCACTCGTGATCTTTGCGGTCGCCTCCTTCTCGAGTTCTGCCAATCTCTTCAGTAGTTCTTGCTGCAATTGTTGGACCTTGGTTAGGTGGCCGTTGACTCCTACGACAAAGTCATTGTATCTGTCGGAGGAGTTTTTCTCGTCTACCTCCTTCTTGACTTGATCCACAAGGGCACCCATCATCTTGGAGTACCTTGGCTGCGGCTCTTTCTGGTGTGTATACACACCTTCCGGTGGCCTGGGCGGCTCATCTTTGGCAGGATCGCCGGCGCTTTCAATCAAAGACTGGAAGACAAGCTCCTCAGGATTCTTCGTTGCAGCTTCGTCCTGATGCTTTTTGAGCGCATCCAGCAGAGCATTGATTCGTTCTAATAATCCATCATTGACAATTCGTTCGTACTTGAGGGTTTCAATTTCATGCTTCCGTTGGGCGCGTTGTTCGTGGATCTGTCGTTGCTTCGCTCGAATGAAACTCTTGGTATCGACATTTGGGTGTACCTCAACGTCGGAATCGTCTGAGACTTCGAGCTTGTCCCATTTGTCGTAGGATATAGGCATGGTGGGGGTTGATGTATGTCCGGCGTCAGGCGTGCAGGAATCGTAGACGTAGCCAGAGAAGGGCCTGACTTATCAGTCAGTCGTGGGAAGAATCGAAATGAAAGAGTCTGAACTGTTGCAGTTGTGTTTCCAGAAGATGTTTCTAGAAGTAGCTGCGATTGCTAGAGTGGTTTGACACAGATACCTAAATTGTGGGCGGAATGAGGCTGATTACAGAGTCCAGCGGGCACGAGTGTGCGATGAGCAGCACCAAATGCATTACCTCATGGCTCGAGCCCTGTCTTAATCGGCCCTAACTGCCTCTGGCTGGGTAGACTCGAAGGCTTTGGTGGCTCCTGTTATAGGCTCTCAAGGCCCAGGCGGGGTTAGAAACAAGCTACAGTACAGCTTTTCTCTCCGGTTATAAGCAGAAGCGTCCACAGGCTCATGGCTCCGAGTCGACAAATTGCTCGGGGCTCCATCTCGGCCGCAATCGGTATCCAAGTCGTCACTAACAGTTAAACCCGTGTCTACGACAGGCACCTTTTTCTCCCCTTCTTCCAGTTCTTCTGCTACACTGACCTTTGCAGTTGCGGTTCATGCGCTTCTTCTGCATACTACAAGTCTGCTGCCGAATATGAAGAGGACAATGGAGGCAGTTATATGTCGTTGAATCAATCCCACCCACCAGCTCGAATTTTGGTCATGCACCTAATGCGCAGCTCGCTGCTGCAACCGTTCAGTCCATTTCAACACCATGGTCCAAAATTGTGTCAACTAGACCAGAAACTCCTATTCTCTCTCTATAATTCAGCCCCTAGACACTCGCGGATAACATGGCGCGGCTCTCATATATCTGCGAAACCAGGTCGGCCCGACAACATCCACCATATTCAGCCGATCTCAATCCTGTTCAAATACGCCCCGGCACCGAATCCGGTCACTTCATCCTCCTCCCTGGGAATCGCGGCGCGGGTCAGGTATTTTTCAAAGTCTACTGTGGTTCGGGAAAGCCCAACTCCTGTGATTCGAGAACAATCTAGGTCCAAGATCAACGATGACGCCGATGAAGAGGAGGCTTTCGAGAAATCGGAAAAGGCTGCCCAAGCCTCTCAGGTCAACTTGAGCGCGAGATTATCAAAAGAGGGAAGCACCGTCAAGAACGCAGGCTTTGGTGAAGTTTGGCGGCTGATCAAGATTGCTCGGCCGGAGGCCAGGGTGCTGGTCTGGGCATTCGTTCTCTTGTTGATCTCATCAGGCATTACCATGTCTATACCATTTTCGATCGGTAAGATCATGGATATTGCTACAAAAGGAGGAGCGAAAACCGAGGGCCCTGAAGCTGAAGAGAAGTCGGACATGCTATTTGGGTTGAGCCTGACCACCTTCTACACCGGCCTGGTCTGTATCCTTGCGACTGGCGCAGCAGCCAATTACGGTCGTATCATCATTCTTCGAATCGTGGGGGAGCGGATTGTCGCTCGCCTCCGCTCGAAACTCTTTCGCCAAACATATGTGCAGAATGCAGAGTTCTTCGATGCGAACCGCGTGGGAGATCTGATCTCGAGGCTCAGTTCCGACACCATTATTGTGGGCAAGTCTATCACTCAGAACTTGTCTGATGGCCTTCGCGCCTTCGTCAGCGGGGCAGCTGGTTTCGGCCTCATGGCTTGGGTGTCTCTCAAGTTGACAGGTATATTGGCCTTGCTCTTCCCCCCCGTGGCAATGGCCGCTTTTTTCTACGGTAGAGCGATTCGAAACCTCAGTCGCAAGATCCAGAAGAATCTAGGGACATTGACAAAAATCGCCGAAGAGAGGTTGGGCAACGTGCGTACGTCACAAGCATTCGCCGGCGAAATCCTGGAAGTCCATCGCTACAATACACAAGTTCGCAAGATATTCGACTTGGGAAAGAGAGAATCATTAATCAGCGCTACCTTCTTTTCCACCACCGGTTTCATGGGCAACATGACCATTCTGAGTCTCCTCTACGTGGGCGGCGGGATGGTTTCAAATGGCACCATCAGCATTGGTGAGCTCACCTCTTTTCTCATGTACACGGCCTATGCGGGGTCATCTATGTTTGGACTTTCTTCGTTCTATTCAGAATTGATGAAGGGAGTCGGGGCTGCGTCCCGACTGTTTGAGCTGCAAGACAGGGAACCAACCATATCCCCCACCAAGGGTACGAAAGTCGTCTCTGCACGAGGTCCCATCAGATTTGAAAATCTCACCTTCAGTTATCCCACACGACCTGCCGTCAAGATCTTCCAGAATCTTGACTTTGAGATCCCTCAAGGCTCCAACGTGGCCATCGTCGGCCCTTCAGGCGGTGGGAAGAGTACGATCGCGTCTCTCATCCTGCGATTTTATACCCCGTCGGAAGGACGAATTTTGATCGATGGCAAGGACATTTCGACGTTGAATGTCAAGTCACTCAGGAGAAAGATTGGTATCGTTTCGCAGGAACCAGTCTTATTCTCCGGGACAATAGCAGAAAACATCGCATATGGTCGGCCACATGCTACCAGAGCTGAAATTATGAGAGCCGCAAGAAGAGCGAATTGCCAGTTCATCAGCGACTTTCCTGATGGCTTGGATACCTTTGTTGGCGCCCGTGGAACTCAACTTTCAGGAGGACAGAAGCAACGGATTGCTATTGCCCGAGCCCTGGTAAAGCAACCTGATATACTAATCCTCGATGAAGCTACCTCTGCCCTTGACGCCGAGTCCGAGACTCTAGTCAACGAAGCATTGGCTTCGCTACTTAAAGGCAGTAACACGACCATCTCCATTGCTCATCGTCTCTCCACCATCAAACGTTCCGACACCATCATTTGTTTGGGCAGTGACGGCCGCGTGGCCGAAATGGGCTCTTACAAAGATCTAAGCAGTCGCCCTGATGGCGCATTCACCAAGCTCATGGAGTGGCAGATGAGCGGCGGAGAAGCACCACGCAGCGATATTGAGAATTTGGCAATTGGTGCAGAGCACACAGGGCCGCCCAACGAGCGCGACGAAATTGAAGTCGAATTGGAAGAAGCTGACGAAGTCGAAGCCGATGAGGAGATTGAGGGCAGCAAAGCCCAAGAAACTGTGAAGAAGGCTCTGGAGAAGAACCCGAAGCAATAAACGTGGCTCTAGGAATGCGAGGAGCACTGGGATGGGCGGACTGTCGAGACTCGAGAGCGAAAGAGCTCGCGTATATTGTGGTAACGGCACACTTTGGGAGATGTGTTACTGAGGTCGTATGAATGAAAGAATTCCCAGCTCAAGCAATATCATTACTCTGGAATATTAGTCGATACCAGGGAGTGTATTCATATAAATATCCAAGGTATCTGAAGATATGAAGTACCATATCCCAGATATCCACTCGTACTCGTTCTCACACTCGTTCTCTTAAAAGGACGTGACTTTCACGTGCGAGTTGATTGTATGGCCCCAACAGCTTCTACCCCCCCACCAAAATAAAAAACCGGTCCCTCTTGGTTCCGCTGCTCCCTCGCATTATGATGACAACAACCACAAGGGTCTTTTCTTGTCTCGATCTGTTGCAATGCCATGTGCATTTTTGCCATCCGTTCAGAAAAGGACACGAGCCTCGTGGATTCCTACATTTCCCGTCATGTCACTCTCAATTCTCCTTTCATACATCCTTCCCCTTCACACGTCCATTGGCTGAGCCCTGACCACCACCTCCGTGCTTGATGTCTGTACACAAGCAAAGCAGGTAATAAGAGCTCGTTGCATGATAACACGGCTCTTCCTATCACAACACTCAGAACACATCCACCATGGCTACTAACGTGCAAACACTTCTCCAGCAGACTCAAGACATCACCGTCAATGATCTAGCCGGTCCTCGAGCACCTGTGCAAGTCCCCGGTGCCATCTCGGACAAGCTTCCCAAGGTCCGCAGCAAGTATCGGCATGTTGCTGCCTTGCACTCCAAAGTTCAGCCCTCATGCCTCAGCCACGAGACAAGCGGAACTCCCAGCTTCATCGGCTTTCGCAACCTGATGGTTCTGGTCATCATTGTCATGAACCTTCGCCTCGTGGTCGAGAATGCCAAAAAGTATGGCTTACTGATCACGGTCAAGATGAACTTGCGGGATACGGATATCAAGACTGCCCTGCTCCTCTATGCGCTGACTCCTTGTCACCTCTTTGTGGCCTACATCATCGAACGAGTGGCTATGGAAAATGCGAAAGGTCTGGTGGGCCGCAGGAAAAAGGATGACCCCGACCAGAGCAAACCTGAAACCGAGAAAGAGAAGAAGGAGTTCTACTCTACATGGTGGTGGATAGCCGTGGCCCACACTTTCAATGCTTCACTGGCCCTGTTGATCACGAGCTGTGTGGTGTACTACCGGATCCATAATCCTGGCCTCGGCATGATCAGCGAGTTGCATGCCATCGTGCTTTGGTTGAAAACATGCTCTTACGCATTCACCAACCGAGATTTGCGACATGCCATGCTACATCCTGGGGGACCGGAGTCGGCCTTGCCAGAGCTGTACTCTAGATGTCCATACCCAAAGAACATCACATTGGCCAACTTGTGCTATTTCTGGTGGGCGCCGACACTGGTCTACCAGCCTTACTACCCTCGGACAGAGAGCATCCGATGGACCTTTCTCGCCAAGCGAGTTGGTGAGGTTATCGCCTTGTGCGTCTTCATCTGGCTTGTCTGCGCTCAATATGCGGTACCTGTGCTGCGGAATTCCCTAGGTGGGATGGTCTCGCTCGACCTGCCATCCATCGCCGAACGACTGATGAAGTTGTCCACGATTTCCATCATTGTCTGGCTTGCAGGGTTCTTCGCTCTTTTCCAGTCGTTTTTGAACGCGTTGGCTGAAATCATGAGATTTGGTGACCGTGTATTCTACGAGGACTGGTGGAACAGCACAAGCCTGAAGATGTATTGGTCGACATGGAATAAGCCCGTGTATCACTTCATGCGACGGCACATCTATTCGCCCCTGGTTGGCCGTGGTTGGTCACCCCGAGCTGCAAGTGCTTGGGTCTTTGTATTCTCTGGCTTTTTACATGAATTGGCTGTTGGTGTCCCGGCTCACAGTATCCTGGGAGTGGCATTTCTCGGGATGGTTCTTCAGCTGCCATTAATCATGTGTACCGAGCCATTAGCCAAAAAGGATGGCACCGGGAAAGTCATTGGGAATTGCATCTTCTGGATTAATTTCGTCTTCGTTGGACAACCTCTGGCTGCAATGATTTATTTCTTCTCGTGGCAGGCCAAGTATGGAGACCTGAGCGAAATGCCAAAGAAGTGATTGAGAGTTCAACTATGGAATGTTATATACATATAGCAGGTACGAAATATATGGCAAAGCAGTTGGAACAATCAATTTTGTACCTTTCGACTCAGCCTTGATCAAGCGAGAATCAGGGCTAATTCTGGCATTGGCGGGTGGGTCCGTTCCGCGACACTCTCCCTCATGCTTGACCATACTTCACCTGTTGATCCACGACCTCTATGGATGTTTCCAGAGGTTACTTTCTCTACTTGTCGGGCATCGCAAAAGTCACATCACTACACAATGACAATGAATTCTCGACTCGACTGCTGGCAGTAGTGGCAATGTTCATCAGGCTACACATGTGTCAGGCGCAACACGATCCCCAGCTAAGCGATAGCAATAACCCAGTCTAGTCAACAGTTCCGTTTGGGTAAGTTCTCACCAGCGCCATCAGCCACCGAGATGTGCAAAAGTGCAAGTCATTTCCGCATAAGACCTACTGCATCCAGCACGGTGTAACATCAGACCCATGTAAAAAGTATGCGCTACGGAGTATGCTGCATTGACGATGAGGCTGAAAAATGATGTGCTTTCTTCTTCCACCTCGTCTGTTGCCTCTCCTCCTCCTGACCTCACACGGACTGGGCGATGGTAATCCACCACATGCGTTTGCCGACTTCAGCCATCTGTCTTTAGGCAGGTCGACACCAGTATAGCCGGCGAACTACAATACCTGAACAGCGATGCACTGGATTGACAGTTTTGACAGTCTGCAGCTCGACATCGTTGGTATCATCGCTGTCCTGGGCGAAGCATCGGTTACGAGAAATGCTCAGGTAACTAGTCTATCGTGGTGGTCAGCCATTCCTCGTCTCTTGCCAGCTCCTCAGGCACTGTTGGAGCATGAGCGCAAGTATCGACTTCCGACGGCGCCAGGTGTGGTTGCAGGTGCTTACTCGGGAAATATAAAGAAGGAGATCAACTTCTTTACTCAGCTTCTCCACCAACGACCCCTGGAAGACTATGAAGTCGAGTTGGTCGAAGTCACCCGCAGAAAGGAAGCGAAGGGCGCCAGTTTCGGAGCGCGAACATTCGGACCGCTCCTCTGGGTTTCGCTGCTTTCGTTCGGTATGAGCATTGCTCTTGTTGTGCTGTCAGTGGTATACCACGATGGGTTTGCTTTGCTCGCAACAATCATGCTATCGATGGTGAGCTGTGCGGTAGGATTTGGTACACGTTGGGAATTGGTTTTCGCAGAACCAAAGATCAAGGAAGAGCGAGAGAACAAGATGCCTCGTTCGGATGTCATAATATATTACCCAAACGTAAGTCTTTCTGGGAAGAGAGCGATGTTTTGTGCTCACTATAGGGGGCTCGAGGCCTACTCCTTCCAGCGTATGACTGACTTCAAGTGAAGGGTGCCATTCGAGTAATTCGGCCTGCCTACGAGGAGATTGCTCGTCTGTACTTCCAAACCGAACATGCAAGGTACAAGATAGATGGTGGGTAAATGCCATGAAACATCCATGACCGAGCTAATACGAACTGACAGATATTCCTTATAGGACACTTGCACTGTTTTCAACCATCATGCTCATAGCAGGGGTTGTATCTCTTGCCAATGCGTCAAACAAGCTGCAAGTAGCGTATACGGCATCTTACGTACTGCTCAATGTGCTCTACTGGGGCGTCTCAGCTTTGAACCCCTGCAGTTACCATTGGAAGCATACTTATCAGACTCGAGTGCTCGACATTGCGCCGCTCCCTGGTCCTCATGACAGTGCACTGGACCACAAAGGTGTGGTCAAAATGTCGATCCGACAACTTCGGCATGAATGGCACCGATTCCAAAGGTCATGGGGCCTGGTCGAGCCCGCCAGAATTTCCCGCACCTTTGCGGACCCAGAGATTGGGGCGAGGACATTCACGGCAGCACTGTGGACAGCGATAGTTTTGACCGGTACCTCGCAATGGCTCAACGAGGCGACGGCCATCGCTCCGGTGAACGGGGCATGGAAGGCGTGGATCAGCGAGGCTGACTCGAAGGTCGAGTCGATCGATCTGTACGAGGGCAGGCATCAACCCCATCGTACGTCGGCTCTACCTCGACGACCGACGGGCACAAACTGGAGATTCAGTCGTGCTCAAAACGGTCTGGATGCCAGGGACAGGCGGCGCATCATCATTCGAGACCGAATTCGGGGGTGGAAGTACGATCAACGACTCACGAGTATTCTCGCGGAGCACGCCGACAGGACGAGAAAGCCATACCCCGATGAGACGGACGAGACGGTCGAGGCACCACCACCGGAAGAAGAGAAACACGTCGCGGCGATATCCATCGATGATTCTTCCTCGGCTGCCATCATCGGTGAACGTCCGGCGACTGCCCGTCTATCACGTCGAATCGAGAACGGCGCTGGAGTATCCGGGACGACAATCACAGCTGGAGTGGAGGCGGAAGACATGTTGACTGAATCGGTTGCAGTTGAAAAGGGTAAACATTGAGTATATCACTCCGTACTTTGGAAGGCAATGAGGTATCTTGGCTTGTCGACGTATTCCATCGGCCAATAGTGCTGGACTTTCGGGAACAAAATATGGTGTATGAGATTTGTTGGTTTCATCGTCAATTCAAGACACTTTGAAAGAAGACGTGACACGATCCGCCATGGCGAGGTCTCTAAAGTGCTTTTGGATACATAATGAGTAGCGGACCATATCGTCTCGAATATTCATACGAGACTCGTAAACGTAGGAGGTTGAAACATACGCACATACCCATGGATACCTGTTTGCCTTCGATGTACTTGCAGCCTCGTGGACCCGATTTGGTATAGCTCAGCCTTGCAACTTGGCGCGTCTTCCCGTGTTTTATATGTTTGCACCTTTTTCGGCTTTTTGAATGAACAGGTGGTGTAGAGAGACTGCGCATACCCACGCCTTATTGATGAGTCCCGTTTTTTCGTCCACCCAATTCCCATATTGAACCAGGTACCTCCACGAGTCAAGTTCACCATGGACCAAGATCGATATCCTCCGACGAAACGACGTCGTACCTCGAGTGCGGATTCCTCCTCGTCTCGCCGGTCGGGTCCTCACACTTCGCACCCCCCAGCTTTACTCCATACAGACTCGACGACTCATCCACGAGACGACGCCAGAATGAGGAGAGGAAGACGGTACTCTAGCTCGCCACCACGAAGCCGGGACGTGAGCCGTGACCTGTCGCCTCGCAACAATCGACGTCCTTCGAGAAGCCGATCCCCTGCGAGACGCCGCCGAGCCAGTCGCAGCCCGACGTCGGGCAGTTCCGCATACGATTCCGCACCAGAACACCAAGAGGGAGGACGCAGACGCTCGTCGCCGTCCAGATCCCGTTCGCGTCGTCGCCGGTCGTCGCGATACTCCTCGTCGTCTCGCGAACGCTCGTACTCTCCACGCTCCGCCGCGTCCCCTCCGCCCGGGAAAGACGAGAGGCCAAGGTCCACCCAGTCTGTGGATTTCTCACCCCTTCTGACCATTGAACGGGCACACGCCCGAGGGATAACCTCCGTCAAGTTCTCGCCCGACATGACGCTCTTGGCCACCGCCTCCGCCGACAACGCGATCAACATCTACTCGGTCCCTGCGGACCCCACCCCCGACACCCCGTTCCGACACCTGCGGACGCTGCGTGCCCACCTCGCCGGGGTGAACGCGATCGCCTGGTCGCCCGTCGGCCCGCACTACACCCTCGCCTCGGCGAGCGACGACAAGAGCATCCTCCTGTGGTCGCCGCTGAGCTCGGATTCCCCCATCTCGCCCTCGCCCTTGCTCGGGCACAGCAACTACGTGTACAGCCTGGCCTTCAGCCCCAAGGGGAACATGCTGGTGAGCGGGAGCTACGACGAGGCCGTGTTCCTGTGGGACGTGCGCGCCGGGCGGGTCATGAGGAGGTTGCCGGCCCATTCGGACCCGGTGCGGGGGGTCGACTTTCTCCGGGACGGGACCATGGTGTGCAGTTGCAGCTCCGACGGGCTGATCCGGATCTGGGACGCGAGCACGGGACAGTGCCTCAAGACGCTCGTCGACGAGGACCGGAAGAGCGTGTCGAGCGTGCGGTTCACCCCCAACGGTCGGTTCCTGTTGGCCTGGACGCTCGACAATTGCGTGAGGCTGTGGAGGTACAGCGAAGGGACGTGCGTCAAGACCTACCAGGGCCACGTCAACGCCGGGTACAGTCTGGGCGGGGTGGTGGGCGCTTACAGGAACAGCGCGGCGGCGACGAGTCACGGGTGGGGCGCAGAGGAAGAAGCGTTCGTGGGCAGCGGCAGTGAGGACGGGGAGATCGTCGTCTGGGCCGTGAGCAGTAAAGAGGTGCTGTGGAGGGGCAAGGGCCACCGGGATGTCGTGTTGTGCATGGACTGGGGCAGAACGAAGGCCGGGAAAGGGTTGTTGGTCAGTGGCGGGAAGGATAGGGACGTGAGGGTTTGGACTCTCGAGGAAGACGAATCGAGGGAACAACGAGACCACGAGTCCAGAGGGGATGATGAAATGGATCCGAACATGGGAATGGAGATGGATGTTGATGTTGATGAGAGAAATGGTGGCGGGGTGGGTCATGATGATGATACTGGAATGGTGGATTAGAACACGACCAGAAACTGTCCTTTGAAGGCATTTTACAATCTACAGTGTAACAAGAGACGATGATGGCATTGTCGTTGACTCGTTGACCGAGAGAGAAAGTCACCTGTTTTTACATTTGTAGTGTAACAAAACATTTCATCGATTGCACACACATACACACGCACGTACATTGATGGGATGAACCTGTGGGTTTTAGGTACGTAGCTAGGTATCTTGCCAAGTAACTACCTAGCCACGCGATAATTCCCTCTGGCCTGTTCGGCCTTGAACCCATCACGTTGGCTCGGTAAAGGTGCTCTCCTTCTCGACCCACCGGTGTCCGCCGCATGATTGTTGTTACTCGGCGTGCTTGAATTTGAATTGTTTCCACCGGCACCACCCAAACCAGGAATTGCCCCGGGCATCGATAATCCTCCAAGGCCAGGGAGACCAGGAGGTAATTGTCCTTGTAATTGTCCAGGAGGAGGTGGAGGTGGCGGGAATCCAGGTGGGAGGTTCAATTTTGAAAAGTCAATCGGCGGTACTGCCGTCGGTGGTTGTTGTTGTTGTTGTTGTTGCTGCTGTTGTGGCCAAAACGAAGTAGAAGTAGAGTTACCACCACCGGCAGAACCAGAAGAGTGATTCTGTTGAGACATTGCCAGTAATCTTTGAAGTGAATTTGCATCTACACCTGGAATCTGAGGAATGGGAGGACCGTTGCTGTTGGGATGTTGTTGTTGACCAGGTAAATTCGGTAGACCTGGTAGGAGGTTCATGGGTGGAGGAGGAAGAGGAGGAGGGTGAATGTTGTTGTTGTTGAAGCCACCACCACCACCACCGATACCTGGTAAAGATGGTGTTGACCCACTGCCACCACCACCAAGCGCTCCCAAACCAGGTAGGCCGGGGATGGAAAACCCTGCGGCGGCGGATTGAAGACCGGACAGGGCTTGATCTTCGAGACCTTCCGCTTCGTCTTCGGCCTCTTGCTCTTCTTGCTCCTTTGCTTGACGCTGGCCGAACTTGCGGTCCCACGTGCCCTGGGCCTCGGCTCCTTCTTCGCCCAGGTGGAACTTGTCCTTGAAACAGGTGGTTTCGCCCGGTTGAGAGCGGGACCAGAACCGGGTAAAGTGGTCGTTGGAGCCCGTCGCGAGGATGTGTCCCAACGGGTGCCAGTCGAGGGACCAGATGGAGGATTCGTGAGCGTGTGGGATGCGGTGGGCAGGGTAGATCGATTGGGCGGGGACGGAGCGCGGGTCGGACGAAGTGTACGGAGAGATCGTGGTCGAGGATATTCCTGCGGGTGTGTTGGGTTCGGTCAGGAGGTACGAGTGGAGAGAACCCTCGTCGCCGCCCGTGCTGATGAGGCAGGGGTGGATGGGGTGCCACGCGACGCTGGTCACGCCCTTTTCGTGGCCCCGGAGGATGGCGACGTCGCGCATCATGCGAAGGTCAAAAATGCGCGTCTGTCCGTCTCTACTGGACGTGGCGAGGAGTTGGTCGCGGACACGGCTGAAGACCGTCGCGGTGAGGGCGTTCTTGTGGCCGTGGAGGGTGGTCAGGCTGCGCGACGTGCGAGGGTCCCACAACCTCACGCTGTGGTCCTTGCTCCCGGACACGATGAGGGCCTTGGTCGGGTGCCAGTCGCACGCTTTCACGTCCCAGCCGTGGTCCTTGAAGACGGATTCGACGGCGGAAGAGGTGAAGTCCCAGATCTTGCAGGTGTTGTCGTCGGATGCGGTCACGAACTTGGTGTCGCCGGGGGCGAACGCGATGTCGCGGATGGGAGCGTCGTGGCCCTTGAATTGATGCGGGTTGTTGAGCGTGGCTTGGAGGTAGTAGACGGTCCCTTCGTCGTTGGCGGCGACCAGCCAGTCTTTGCGGTTGGACCATTCCGCCGCGCGGAGTGAACTCGATCCCATCGCGGTGACGGTCTCGAAGTTGAAGGACATGCCGTTCCAGAGCATGAATTCGCCGTTGTGGACACCGGCCAGGAGTCGACGACCTTCGGGCATCCATCTGACCACGGTGACGGGTTTCTTGGATTTCCCCAACGAGGTGTGCAGGTGACGCACGGGTATCGATTCGGCCGGGGAATCTCGTTTCGCCGGAGGTGGTAATATGTCGACAAGATAGCTGAGGCTGGGTCGTTCTTGTTCGTAGTGATAGCTTCCTCGGTATGCCGGTTTCCGATCGTTCATCCACTGAACCATCGATGTACCGTAGTCGGTGATGGGTCTCGGTCTCCTTCGACGGAAACCCGCATCTCCCTGGTCATCGAAGACATTTGCCATGATGGGCTCTGATCGAGCTCATCGAAGGGAGGGAGGTTTTGAGAGATGCCAGAAACAAAAGGATCTAGGGTCGCCGGTATTTGGAATGGAAATCGGATACCCGTAATTTGGTATACAGTTTCGACCGTGATCGAAGTGTTGGAGATATCAATCAAGGGTTGTGTCTACGTTCAAAGATGTAATGAATGGAAGGTTTGTTGCCATTCAAAGTGTTGGTCGCGAAGTCTCAATTAACGTGTAGACCACGTGACCGCTCCGGGAATTTCGACCATTTTGGCCTTGAAATGCGGCAACTATCAACGACTTGGTTGTGATTTGCTTTGACGACATTTGTTTTGATGATCACCATGATTGTTAGATCTTCTTTTCAATATCCAAAAAGCCTGTGAGCCAGTACATGTCTACTTTGTCAAATTTAACGAGTCCGATCGGATTGCCATTACAGTCAAAGCTATCTCAAAACACATTAACTGCCATGTGAAAAGGAAAAAGGCTCTCTGCTTCAACAGATAAATCTGCTCAAAAAAAAGGCACAGGGGGTATCTTGAACGCATGCAAATGTCCAGCAAAGTTTTGTCGTACGCAACAGCGCCACATCATATCATCCCAGGCCCTGAATGACCAATTGTGTCATCACTGTATCCTCTGGCTCTCTCTCGTTATTTTCCCTCTCAATCTCTCTGGCCCATCAAGATCCAGAACAAGACGGTACAAACCATCATACCCACCCAGACCACAAAGCTGATCCAACCCACGGCGAGGCAATAAGCCGCCACACTCAGACTCAAGAGTACAAAGGCCAGGCAGACCAAAAGCATCAACCACATTCCCGAACCAAGTACGACAATGCCAAAAACGACACTCCTCTCTCCGGCGGTCCGACCACCGGCACCTCCACGCCAACCTTTATAGCCGCGGGTGAAAGCGTCACGGACGTGATCTCGTTGAAACGTCAGGGCCATCGAGGTCAAGGTGGCTAGGGCCAACGAGAGTGTGAAGAACAACCATGACAATGCGATAAAGACTTGAATCTCGGAAAAGTAATGATGAGGTGAACCGAACTATACGAAATAGATTGTGTGAGTCAGGTACCGTAGTTTGATGAATACCCAACATAACAGATAGGTAAGTGGACGGAGGGAGAGAGGAGTAAACAGAGGGAACTCACAATTCCAACAGTCGATGTGAATGTGATCAAACTTCCAAAGCCTGATATAAAATATACACCTGGGATGATTGTTTCTAGCCATCTCAGGCCAGGAGGATCACGAGGGTTTGCTGGTGTTGCCATTTCAAGAGGTTGCATCTAGCTGAATTTTGATTCTGATCTTGGTTGGTGGTGGTGGTGATGATGATGATGCTGATGTTTCGACTGATATGCGGTGAGTGAGTCTTTGACCCTTTTTCTTTTGTTTGTGATCACACACTTTCCAAGGTATTGCTTTTGATATCAAACAAGGTGAGGGATCCAGCAAAGGTGTGAAGTGGCCGCCGGTCGGTAGTAACAGATTACTCCCGCAGTTGCGTGAATGGTACAGTCCCCTTGCCGTTCACAAAGAGTATATACTCGGTAGGCAGGTAGCTGTGGTGTACAAAATACCTCTTCCCCCGTTACTTGATTACCCTACCTTGGGTACCTAGTAACTTGTAATTCAGCCCTCCTATCGATAGGGTTACTTGTACGAATACTTCTGTACTTTCTGTCATCAATGCCCTGTCGGTTTTTACCTTTGGTAGTTACCCTCGAAGTTGAGGGTGAGTATTGCCGGTATTCGTTTCTCCGTACTCTCCGTAAGATTTGATACATCTCAAATCTTATTGACGACGAACGAGACCATGTTTCAGGCTTTTGATTTGATCTCGAGTCGGAAACCCCCGCCGTCAGGCAAGCAGCCCCTTGACAATTAACTTGATCCTCGCTCGTTTTCATGTTCAAAATCCTGTTTTTTTTTTTCTTGGTCACGCATGAAACCTGGAGTCCAGCTGGGGGTGGTCCATCCACATGATGGGTTTGATGTATCACATGGACCACATGGGTCGGGAGGGGAGGTTGCCTGCTTTGGCCTTTTCTGTGTGGCAGGGGGTTATTTGATCATGGGATCAGATATTATGAGATAGGATAGGAGATGATCCCTGTTCAATTACTTTACCTGACAAAAGGGGGAGAAGAGTAAACCAAGGGACCAACATTCACATCTTGGATCGATTGCCATCTGTATCTTTTATTATACATAAATCTACACAACCACAAGTATTGATACATGTTAATATTTCAATTTATTGAACTACTGAATTGATGAATTGACAAGTCAGTCAATCTCGAGTCTCCGTCTACATTCTGGTAAAATCACGGAGGACCTGGGTATCTTTCCCCCATGTTTATTCCGCAGTGTTTATTGTTCCACCGTCAATATAAATGAGTATTCATTTTTTTTGAGTCTATATAAATAAACACCAAAAAAAGAGAAGAAAAGAAACACAAAAACTTATCCCATCCATAGTCGCAAATATGATTGATTTGCCATGTCCCGTGTCCTGTCGTAGTCGTAGTCCGTAGTTATCCTCGTACTCATATATCCAATGGACATTCATGATCGAGATGAGGCCTGTCGAAGGAAGAAAAAAGGACTACCACTCTGGAATACTCGTAAATGGTTCAAGTCCATATAGAATTAAAGGTGAAAACGTTGAGGTTGACACAAGAAAGGGCACACCTAAACGCAATCAAAGTGTCGTCGTGGGTTTCCATCACGTCTGAGAGACTCGAATAGACAGAATCAAGAGAAACGAATATCATGACAAGACACCCTCATTATCATCATCATCATCCCCAACACTCACAACACACCAAAATGAACCAAAAAAAAATGAAACATGACAAAAATCTCTTCTGTTGTCTCTCTCTCCCTCTCTCAACAATAAAACTTCAAAAAACATTCAATAAATCGGACGTCCTTCGTCCCAACGTCTCACTTCAACAGTAGCTCGATCTGGCGTCTGGATTCGCGATCGCTGTTCAACACCATCACTACCGTTCTCGCCTCTTCTGGCCGTCGTCGTCGACGACGACGACGCTTCAAGCAACCCTCCCCCACCACTCCTTCTCCCTTCCAAACCCGGCGCCAGGTCCACGGGTCCAATCCATTCCCAGACACGCGACCACTCGCCCGTCTTTCCACCTTCCCTCGTCGCAGCACGTACGTTGGAATTACTCTCGACAATCTTCCGTACATTCTGCCACACCCTCTCCCTCTCACTCGCACTGAACACGTGCCTCAACACATCATCCCGGAGCTGTCCAACACTAATGAACGCCTCCGAGGTACGTTGGTCGTGGTACAGTGCCGCCTGCGTTGCAAGTCTATCGAGAGTCGTCGCGACCAGACCGGGAATCTGTGCCGTGGCGCGCTGGTAGGCCATGATCTTGTTCCGTCCGTAGAACAAGGCCGAGATGATTGCGATCAGAACTCCAATAGGGATTCGATTTTGCGAAACCGTCCGGACCATAGATCGTCGGACGGCGCATCCGAAGGGGAGTCGGGCGAGGGAGGTGCTTGAGAGGACAAGTCGTCCGGATCTGTAATTTCAGAAGTAGCGACACTTGGTCAGTCAGCGATTCGCATGAGATGAGAGAAAAAGGAGACATGCCGAGACCGGGTGCTTGTTTGCTGGAAAAAAAGGGCAAAAGGAGACTTACGTATCGTGCGTGACCTCAACTTCATCGCGGCCCATGATATCTCCTAGGGCTCCACGCCAGAGATCTTCAAATTCTTGTTCCGTCATGCCTTTTCTTCTGAGCTTCGACACCGACTTTTTGAGATCTTCTTCCGTGACTTCGAGCTTAGAAGCCGTGGACTTGGCGACTGCCTGAACGTTGGCCGTGGCACTGGAAACCGCTTCTTCCGCCTTGCTGACCGTGTCTCCACATTCATATGCTGCCCGTCTCTCTCGGAGATCTTCGACCGCCCTGTCAGCTACAGCCTTGATACGTCTTTGTTTCTCGCTGTCCGGTTCGCACGTCGGAGGAAGTGGCACAAGTCCATTGACACTCAACGGGTGAGGCTGGAGAACAAAATCCGTCTCACACTGCACCTCCATGTCTGGATAACAAATGGCATGCTGTGGACACGGCTCACATGTCGGCTCGAAATTCTGGTGCACCCAAGCAGGGATGTGTGGGTTCTGCGCCAACGACCAGTGAGGCTCTCCGACTCCACAATAGCCAACGTTGATCTTTTCCTGTCTGTACCAGCCTGCAAGTGCCGCAAGGACAGTGGTCATGACAGCCCATGGCGCAGTTTTGGCGACTGTACTCGTCGGTTTCTGTTTCTTCCGCCGCACGAGCGCCGACGGTCTGGCCGGTACAACTTGTCCGTTCCTCTCATCTTCGGCCAGCTCACGAGCGGCATCGGCTGTGAACTCCTCAGTAACCTGTACTCCATCTTCTGGTTCGTCTGACGTGATTCTTGATACTGGAAAGGAATATGATGCTCGCAACGGTTCGTCCTCTTCGGATTTGATGGGCGGCGAACGTGTTTCTCTACGCTTGGTGGGACTCTTCCTTGTACTCGTTGCTGTCAAGGACTTGCGTGATCGAGAAGCAGATTTACGTCGGTCTGCGCCGGACGGAGGACTCGAGCCAGACTGAAAGGGATTATCATCTGAAAATGGGCTGGTTCCTGCTTCTAATGATTCTCGTTTCATCCGGGCATCTGGCTCATCGATCTTCACGGCCGGTGGAAGGATCGGCTGCGGTATGCTTTTGCGTGATTTGCGTCCTGTCCGTTCGACTTCTGGTTCCGTGTCTGATGCCCTTGGCGTTCTGGTCGTGCTCCGTCGGCTGGGGGTCTTGGTGCGGCGCCTGGAAGTCGACGGCGCGGCGTCGGTAGTTTCAGTGGCCAGTTCTGATCTGCTCTTTCTGCTTCGCGGCGTCTTGGGAGGTGGCATCAACTGTTTGTCGCCTCCATCCTCGCCATCCACGGTGCTTTCCTGGCTACTGGGGACATCCGTGATGCCTTTGCTCGTGCGACGGACTCTCGCCTGCGCCTTGAGCAATTTGGAGGCTTTCGGCAAAAGTTCTTGTTCGACTGTTTCCAGCAGCTGACCCTTTTTCGCCCCGGACGAGTAAGGAATGTCGTGCGTGACGAGGATAGACCGCAGCTTCGGAACGGTGAGGCTGCTGAGGTCAAATCCCGGCTGGAGATAATAGAGTTCGTTGTCTTCGGCCATGACAGTGGTGGCCTGCGGTCTGCACGCTGCGGCCGCAATCACTCAAAAACTTTGGAAACGGACTTTGCGCAACCGCACTCGACCAGGATAGAAGAGGAAAAAGAACAACAGCAGTGGAGGATGATGGATTACTTCTTCACATCGGGCTAAAGTGCAAAAGTAAACAAAGGCAAACTTAGAGCCGAAGACGGACCCCACCACTATATGGCCAATCACGACGTGGGACAAGGATCATGTGACCAATATTTTCTTCTACGTCATTGATTGGGAAAGGTGGCAATCCCAGTTTGATGGTTGAATCGAGGGGGAGAGGATTTGAAAATTCCCAAGGCAGACGAGGAGCTTCGGAGGAAACAGAAGAAACCATATATGGGTGCCTAGTAATTGTTCGTCATGCAGAGCACATCGTTCATATATTCTTATACCGAGCCCCGAATCCCGATGCAAGTCCCTCAGGCGTCATCTCTAACGTCCCTGAGTAGCCCATTAAACACCCACAGTGTAAGTCGTCAATATATATTCGTACAAGTCATTCCCTTTCTAGGGACATGAGAAACCACAGAAAGCCCCCTTGTGTATCGTAATCCTTCTGTATCATAGTCATTGCCGTTCGCACACAAGGTCATTACACCTCTCCCCAGCCGCCGCCACTAGCCAAGATACTCCCACTGCCGACACTTCCACCAATATCCCAATAATTGCGGCTGGAACCACTTCTGACCATCGAAGCTCTTCGACTACTTCGGACACTTTCGCTCGCACAGCTGCTGGTAGGCCGTCTCACACTTGTTCGTGACTCTCGTCGTAAGCGTACTGGAGATCGATGTGCCCTAGCAACAAGGGGGTGATGTTGACGAATGATGGCGGCCCTGGTAGCTGCATCTTCCACCCTTTGTTGAGATGCTGGTGGTGGCTGAGTAGTTGGTCGCGTGACAAACTTGTCTCGCAGATACCTGAACACCATCTTCAAATCAAGTTCTCGTTCCCAATACTCTCGTTCTCGTTGTAAATTGGTGGTTGAGTCAAGTGGAGACGAAGTCGACGCGGGTTCTTCTTCGAAACCCCAGATCTCAGCATGCGCAGGGTCCTGAACGGTCGGCGGGAAGTTGGGGGTCAAGACCGATGTCATTGTGTCCTTGATCTGAGACTCTGGACGAGTACTTGGGGCCAATCGAGGTTTGGGTTGAGGCACGGACACGGGCATGCCGGCATAGTCAGGACTGCGAGAATAAGTGGTGAAGGGTCCTGAATGAGGCGAGATTTGGTGGACGAAGACACCCAGTTCTCGTGCAATTCGTTGCAGGAGTTTGTCTCTCCACGTATAATCTTCGGTGCTGGTGACATCTGGCATTTGTTCGGGAATGGTAGGCAAAGTCCTGCTCGATGATGGCAGATTCTCAACCTCTTCCGGGAGAGACTCTCCAAAGATGACAGATAGCAATGGCTCATCGATACCGATAACGTCACGGATAAACTTTCTCGTGATCCTTCTCCAGAAGGGTTCGGATTCTTCACTGTCTTCCTCAGGCTTCGATAGATAATCACTTTGTCTAGGTGTTGACCCAAGGATATCATCGTTGATCGAGGCGTGACTGTCCTGATAGGTGGATTGCTGGGAACCCCGTCGTAATCGTCGTCGGGTTTCTCGCTCTACCTCATCCATCAGAGCCTGGCTTTGCTCCATGCGCCATCTCTCGATCCGCATCCGTTTCTCTTCACTCGCCTGTTGCTCGATCTCGTCGATGGTATCAAGTCTTCTTTGTACACTTGAAGGCCGGCGGTGATGGCCATCATGCTTCCTCTTGGAGTTGAAAGCCTCATGTTGCCATAACTGTTCAAGGACAGGAGGGCTGGAAGCAGGAAAGGTTCCCAGTCCATCATGAGTTGGTAGGACTGCGCCGTGGGTCTGTTGGGATATGGTGGGGTAGAGCGGTGGTTCTCGGAAGGCATGTAATCCGTCGTCCAAACTATCGAGCTCACCATCTTCTGTGACATCCTCTTCAAACACAGATGACTCCAGCCTGCCTGACCTCCCTGCCGTATTCAATGATACATCGCTCGCCCTGGACAGGCCAGCTGTCTGGGTGGTATGGGTTCGGGTAATGGTGGAGTCGGCAGTGGACGGAGTGAAGAGGATCCATTCTTGCGAGTCCTCTACCGTGGCCCGCTGCTGTGAATGATATGATGATGATGATTCTTGTGATTGAGCATGATTGATGACGATGGGACGAGGTGCGGCGGATTGCTGGAAGGCCATGATCTCCAACCCGCTGATGTACGGGTTGGTCGTGCTACCAACGCACGAGGATTAGGGGAGTCTTTGTAGGCGCAGAGACGGGTGAGGCAAGACGGAGGAGGTTCTTTGTTGCCCGGTCTTTGTGTATTCTATCGACAATACCAAAGTTCGTGAAGGCGTCCAAGCGTGGAGTGCCTGCTCCGATATAGGCGACGCGAGGCAGTCAGAGGTCGTACCGTAGGAGACTCGGGGGGAGATAGTCACAAGATGCGGTGGGGATGATAGAGTCGAAGTCTAAGTTGGGTTGGAGTAATTGCAGATAAATAGGGACATCCGAAGACGCGGATGACACGGTGATGCGGTGATTGAAATAGGATGAATGAAAGGGAGAGAATATTAATCAGTGTTGGGCGAAAGAGGTTGAGTGACAGCAGTCTACTATCCGTAGGTGTCTATGCGTTGGATGGATGGGTGTTGGTTGGGATGAGATGGTGACCGAGTCATCGCTCGTATGTAATGCAATAATCGGCGCGATAAAGCACGGTCCGGCTGAATCTGGGAACCTGGAATAGTGCTGAAGAAAGGACGGATGGGGTCGTACGGAGGATCTATCGCACTCCGTCCTGTATCTCTCACTGGCCTCGCTGCCATCCTTGCTTCCGGGAGACGAAGCCGCAAGTGATGCAGCGTGACCAACGAGTGTTGCAATTCGTAGGCGAAGATGGTGTTGCATGACGCTGCTCTGGCAAATCTCCCCTGTTACGCCTATCTCTCCTGTCTCTCCTCCCGTCATCCTTCCGCCCTTCTCTGCATCCCTCTGCCTCGTGTGCCCTGGCCGTATTACAATATTACTCACAAGGCCTCGACAGATTATCTGCTCATCCTTGCTAGCACCAGGGCTAGAAAACCTGCCCTTTCGCTGCCTCTTCATCAGCTACGGGGCCAAGCGCCATTTCCCGTCCAAATGGCCTCATCTTCATCCACCCCCTGTCGCGCCTTTCGCTTGAATATTTCTGTTTCTGGACGCCGTATTATTCAGAACCATTTGCCTCACGCTAACACGTATCCTCTTACATGATCACAAGTGAACATTCACGGGTTTCAAGGTCGTAAATTCCGAGTAAGAAGCACCTTTATCAGATAAGAAACCCGAGACGAGTCCACTGAACACCGAATCTACCACCATCTATTATGGAGTACGAGATGGTGCGCCACTTCGTCCTCGACTCGATACTGGCATAACATTATCTAGCCCGGCACACATTACCAGGGCCGATGTATGTTCGTTTTCGTCACTTTTCAATGTACCTGTGGGGACCTGGACTTTGGCTCCAACATGACCCAATACGAATATTCTGCAGCGAGGAAACCGTGCACTTAGGAACGAATCATGCTCAATGGATGCGAGTCAAACTTGCAATTCTCATTTTGGACGAACCCATGTAGAACACCTGAACTGGTATCAATCATTGATTCATTTCTCGCGATGCTAGCTGGATTCAGTTATTCCACCTAGAAATACATCATGCTTCATCCCAATTCGCACACCGAATCACCACCCATCTATGCCTCGCTAGCAACCTCGTAAGCACCGGGGAATCGCTTCATGTTCTGCTCGATGTTGCCACGGCTGCGGTGGAACTGAACGTAGGCTCCGTCCTGGAGAAGGCGACCTTCCTGCTTCAACTTGATGTACTCCTCGCGGCGGATGGGCGTGAAACCCCAGTTCTTGCTGACAATGATCTTTTGGCGACCAGGGAACTTGTACATGGATCGTCGAAGAGCCTCGACGGCGGTGGCACGGTGGGAGTCTCGGGTTCGGACGGACAGAAGGATCTGACCAATGTTGACACGGGCGACGGTACCCTGAGGCTTGCCCCAAGCACCTCTCATTCCGGTTTGCAGTCTATCGGCACCAGCGCAAGACAACATCTTGTTGATACGGACGACGTGGAATGGGTGTGCTCGAACGCGCATGTGGAAACCTTCCTTGCCGGCGATCTTGACGAGATACCTGGAGTTTTGTGTGTTAGAACCGCAATTCCTTCTCCTCGTTGATTTATAATACATACTTGTTGGCGCAGATACGGGCGGCTTCGAGAGCTTCAGAGCTCAATTGTTCGTACTCGTTGGAGACCATGTGCACGCAGAGAGGGAACTCGTCGACATTGGCACGCTTTCGTCCAAGATCGAAGATTCGGATCTTGGGGTCGGGCACACCACGGTTGAATCGAGATTTCGGGTATGGCTGCACTCAGTCAATATTTCAAAATCATCACCATAATCCGGGCATGTCATCTACTGACCTTGTTCTTGCAGTATCTGTAGCAACGAGCAGGTCTTCTGGCCATTTTGACGGTTGTTCGGAATAACTGCACTTCTTGCGAACGATGTGGTTGAGGGGAGGAAGTGATAAAAGAGGCCGTGATGTTTAAAGAGTCTGCGCCGTCGCAGGATGATTGGAAATCAACTTCGCCGCTCTGCCAAGAGATTGTGTGCGTCACGTGCAACTCCGGTCGATTCTGCTTCCGGCTACCGACTCTCTTCGAATAGTCTCGAGTAGTCGCCTATTGCCATACAACAATAGCATGTCCAAAAGTAGTCAATGTGCCTGGAATAGACGGGATTATTTCATGCCGCAGTTCCTTTCAGATGAGGATGATTATGTGAATTTTGCCTTGGGTTGGGTTTTTGGGCAACGTAGGGGCTGGCGGTACCACTGACTGCAGTGCCTCCAACGGGTATTTACTGGCGTTGACCCATTCGTAACACTCTACATGCAATACTTCGCCATTTGGACAACATACATGTCCGATAGATGCATACAATGGGGCAGTGCACCAGGCAAAGGTGCTGTACAGTGGCTAATTCGCATGGCTTGAATACATCCTCCGTCCGCAGGGAGGCAATCAGAAGGCAACAGAAAGACAAGACTGCAGCAGGAAAACTGAAAAAGACTTCATGTCACCCAAAGGAAGCTCAATCATTGACTAGATACTTCTATGCTTCCTCTATCTGGCACCACTCGCACCGCTGGCACACTTTTTCTCCTTGTGGGGACGTTTTGGTACATGCTCTTCATGCCACACGGCCACCCATCCTCGGAACATGCTGATGAGGGTATCATTGGAAGGTTTCATTGATTGGCAGTCATCATGAGTGATGGCCTAATGGTCGTCTATGCCGCGGCGCCGAGAATGTCGGAGTCACCAGCGTCGAGGACAGCCATGGTCGAGCATCGGTAGAGCTTACCGCAAGCAGTGCCCAGTTCGATCTGGATGATATCACGTATTAGCCATAATCCCTCCAAAGCCCAGAAGAGCTTCTTCTCAGGGTCTTTTATTTTGGACTCACATTGTTGCCAGCGAAGTGGTGGACATTGGTCTTGGAAAGCATAGAGTAGTACTCGAGCTCACTCTTGCGAAGAGGAGGAGTGTTGCCGGCGATGATGACCAGCTTGGCCTTGCCAGATCGAAGGCATTTCAGGGTAGACTTGTAGCCGAGGGTGACTGCAAGATTGTTAGATTTCTGTTCGCATTCACATCGAGCGCAGATGAGAAAGAACCAACCTTTGCCGGACTTCATCACAAGCGCCAGGCGCGAGTTGATGGAGTCGGATGTCTTCTTCGCTTTCTTTGGTGCCATCGTTGCGCTCTACTGTTGATCTAGTAGGTATGAGATGGTGAGTGCGCTCCGGCGAGTTGTTGCTGGTAGAACAAAATCAAATGAACCCTCGAGTGTAAATTTCTCTGGCTTGCCCACAAATGTCTGGCCGAAATCTTGGCGTTGGACCACGTGACTTGGGCCGAAGATGTTTGCCCTGTTTGTCAGCTCGGCCAAAGAAGCCTCCAATGTTTGCAATGGGGCCCATGTTCGAGATTCGAAACTCGAGCCAGGAGTCGGGTCCGCCAATATTGTCCTACCGGAAATTTACTGACTGGCATGTGCGGTCGCTGCGATGCAACCCATTAATTAATGTTTTGTTCTGAATTTGTTGACCGACTGCCTGCGCCGCCTGAAGATTGACCTGCATTGCCAGCCGCATGATCTCCAACTTCCGTAGCTGATCATCCCCATTACAATACATCTCATCGAGGCGCAGGCGCGCTTTGCCAGTCTGACCAATACCACCATTACCAGTATCTCTTCCGCCCATGACTTGATCGTGCTTGGGATACTATTTTTGTTTTTACCAGTCACTCTCCTTCAACTGTATTGACATCGAAGGTCGGCCCATCTACATCATCGATATCAAGTCAAAGCGCCTTATTGACTTTGGGAAATAACACCATTTACAAGCATCAACATGTCGACCCCATCAAGGACACCCCTATCCAATTCAACAAATTCCCCTTCGTCCCGTCGTCCTTTGAACGAGAACAGCCCGAGTAGACCCGGCCATCCGACCTCAGTGCCCGCGACCACCGGTCAAGGTCTTGCACGCACTCCTTCTCTCCGCCAGCAACGACCTCTGCGCAAAGCACCAACGCGGACAAGTACGTCCTTTGCATCTGCCGACGACGGAAGCGAGAACGACGAAGCCAAGTCTGCAAACGCACAGTTGATATCAGACCTCAGAGAACAAGTACAGCGTGCCGAGCAGGCCTCTGAATCCTACAGAAGGCAGTTAGAAGGCATGCAGCAACGGCTGGACGAAGCCACAGCGGAGCAGACTACGGCCGAAGAGCGAGATTATCAGAGGCAGACCGAATTGGATCGATTAAAGGCGGCACTCAAAGAGTGCGAGAGGCAATATAGAGAGCTCAAAATAACGTACGATGAAGACAAGGAGACATTCCTGCAAGAGCGCGAGAGGCAAGCTGGCAAAGAGGCGGAACTGCAAGGAGTCATTGGCAGATTGAACGAGACATTGCGCACTCGAGGCACTGAGAAGATCAACAACAGCCGCTTCAGTGCGAGTTTCTCAAAGGCCGATAATTCTGCCGACCATGTGGAAGGGACTCGGGTACGTGACAGCGCAGCTCCGGATTTACTCCAGTCGCTCCAGCACAAAGATTCGACCATCGAGGCCCTCAAGTTTGATTTGGCGGAAGCCCAACTGAGGTTGGCCGAACAAGAACACATGGGAGATGGCCGGCTTCAATCGCTGGAAAAGGCGGTCATGGAGATGAAGATGCAAAATGCACGATTGGTCGAAGAGAATGAGAGTTTCCAGATGCTACTTAGCGAGAAAACATTGAAGGGAGATTTCATCCATGGCCAACATCACTCCGAGGAGGTCGGTGGCATGAGTTCTTTGGCTGAAGAACTTGAATCCACCGAGGAAGCGGAGAAAACAGACGCCTTTCGAAAGCTCGAGACCGAGTATAGGGTGCTCGAAGAGCAAAACAAGGCCCTCGGATTATACATTGACAAAATCATTGGTCGTATGCTCAAGAAACCTGGCTTTGAACATATCTTCCAAGACACCGAGGAAATACCACCAACTCCCCCCAAACGTGCAACCACGGACAAGGCACTTCCTGCGGTGCCCGATGCGCAAAATGCGGCGGCAACACCTGCATCGGCCGCTATGAGCGGGTTCTTGCAGCGAGCACGATCTGTTGTGTCACGACCTGGAGGGGCTCGACCGCGGCCAATGTCCTACGCGCAGCCGCCTTCAGCACCGACAGCAAATGAGAATCCCGATACGGCTCCCAGTATTCCACTCCATCGAGGCCAGCATCGCCGAGCAAGGTCTGACCAGGCCGAGACCGACATGGCTGCGGCTGCATTGGTTCAGCAGATGAACCGTGGATCTCCCATGCGTACGGCCTCGGGCAGTCCTTTGAGCCCTGGAATTCGTCCGCTGAGTCCGCCAATGTCCCAAGGGCGCGGTTCGTACTTCCCTCGTGTGCCCTCGGGTCCACGTGGTGATAGTTCTGCCAACAGCGTGACCAGTGATCACAGCGAGGAACAGCGGTCAACGACCGACGGGAGCTCTACTGCGGCGGTGTCAGGAGGAGCCCACAGTCACCAACAGCAGGCCAATATCCCTGGGGCAGTGATGAAGCAGAACCAACTCCGACCGTTGCGTCTGGTACAAACCCAGAATGCAGAAGAAGAGGCTCAGAAGCGAGCAAACCGAAGTAGTTGGATGGGATGGCTACGAGGGAGCACAATCGAAGCACAACAACAGAATGAGTGATTCATGATCATTCATGTTGGATGTACGGAGTATGTATGTATGTGCCTCTGGTAAAGAAACTTTAATGCGGCCAGGGCGGAATGATCGGGATGCTATACGAGAATGTAGACGGGACTTAATATATACCACTCTTTGGAATGCGATGGAGATTTTTCTTTTTCTTTTTCCTTGAAGTAAGTGCTTTTTACACGAGAAAACACCTACAGTATTCCTACTGTACGGAGCACACGAGTCGTATATACTCGTACACTCGTATACTCGTATACCTTGTGTCAGCATGCACACTGTGTTTCCGTGCTTTTGCTTGTTACCTCGTCTCGTATTCTCAACGAATCCCGCGGGCACCTCTATTGTAAGTACCTTGACTAGGTAATTGTTGGGATGCCGTTTGCCGACGTCCTCAGAACATCGAACATCGAAACGGCGGACCGCCATACCGTCCCTCATCGTATCGCCGCCGTCTAGCCTCATGCGTCAACCGCGTCACCTCATTTGTTGACCATTCAAAACGTCAACACTCACTCCAGTCTACGGGAACAGATGGATACTGTCTTCGTGTACGGGCCATTTGACACCGAAGATTGCGGGTTTTTTTTTTCGAGTTGCCCGTACCCAATGTTTATTGATGAATAATGACGATTGACTCATGCTACAGTTAACGCATGAAATCTTCACTTCGTCTCCCATTCGACCAGATCTTCTTTCCTGTCTTCATATAAACACATTCGTTCCGTTTGCCACGTACCCTGTTTCTGTCGGCGCTTGTATTCCCCTACGTTACACAAGTCACCATCATTGAGCTCGTGCCCCTCCCAAACCCAACGCACTCTCGACTTTACCCCTCCGCCTCTCATTTTTTTTTGGAACGAACATCATCGTACGCATATTAACAACACCACCTCACTTGCTACTCACACCAACATGCCATCCCAACCGAGAGTCCACCTCGTCCGCCACGCCCAGGGATATCACAACCTCGGCAGCGAATTCCATTCTCTCCCGGACCCCAAACTCACGCCCCTGGGTGAATCCCAATGCGCCGACCTCCAACGAACCCACTTCCCGCCGTCCTCGCAGTCCAACATCTCCCTGGTCGCGGCCTCACCCCTCTCTCGCACCCTGCACACGGCGTACCTCACCTTCTCACCGGCCTTGGACAACGGCAAGTGCCCCCCTCTGATCCTCGCCGTCCCCGACGCGCAAGAGACGTCCGACTTCCCGTGCGACACGGGCTCCGACCCGGACGTCCTCCGGGCCCGGTGCGCCGGGCACTCCTGGCCGGTCGACCTCTCCCTCGTCGGGGAGGGTTGGAACGTCAAGACCCTCGACAACCGTTACTCACCCGCCAGCGGCGCCATCGCCCTCCGCGCCCGCGACACCCGGCGTCTCCTGCGGCAAAAGGCGCGGGAGTTGTCGGCCGGCGGCGACCAGGACGTCGAGATCGTGCTCGTCGCCCACGGCGGTTACCTCCACTACATCACCGACGACTGGGAGGAGGCCGACAAGCTGTCCGGCACGGGGTGGGAGAATTGCGAGTTCCGGACCTACACCTTCGAGTCCGATTTCGCCTCGGACGGTGACGAGGACGCCTTTTTCACGGAGACGGTGGACTCGCGGCGCCGCCGGGGCAAGACGGAACCCCAGTTCGACCACCACACCCAAAAACGACTGTTTGAGCGGATGATGCAGGGCTGGGAGGACCAAGGTCTCCAACGGCCCGACAAGTTGGGCCCCGAGGACGAAGCCAGTCAACCCCTGGACGGCGGCGACGACGGCGACGGGCGGTCGACCGGCCAGGAGCCCGCCGCGAAGAACATGACTGTGAACAAAGCCACGGGTGAGGTCGAGGTCGTTGCGTAGACGACACGACCCGCTACTGTTGTCAAGAAGGATAACAGGGGAAAGAATTTAAGAAAACCCAGTAGAGAAAAAAAAACACCCCCCAGACGACACAGACACACATACAGACATGCAACGTCGGAGCACCACAAAGCCGAATGACGAAAACGACAAGGGCGTTGAAAGGAACAAACAGGAGAGCATTGGAATTTGGGTTTGGACATTGGGATGTTGAAACGGTTGGAAAACAGGCATACAAGGTTGACCACCCAGGTAGGTTACCTACACCTCAGGTAGATCAAAGGGGGCGGGCCGTTCTTTCCATTCGCACAAAACGAGACCTTTTGGAAAGGGGAAGAAACGACCAGATATATAATTTATAGATAGAAATCTAGAAGATTGTTTCAGCCAAACAAAAATCCATGTTACAAGAATACAATGGGAATGACGAAAGTGGCATGGCGAGAGACACCATCTACCACCTTCTACGACGCGAGTAAATTCACCCATGAAAACTATTCGTACAGAGATCATCGTTGTCACGAATCTCATCTTCACATCCTAGCCAAAGGAAGAAAAAACCATGATTCGTCGATCTAAACTACCTCATGCTTGTATTATACCCTCGCCTCCAGGCGGGTACCCGGAACAGAAAAGAGATAGACATTCAAGCCCGAAGCCAGCACTCTTTTACAGCGTACCAAACCCCACACTGTTCTCTATCGCTTTGCTCAACTTGTCTCTCAAAATCTCTTTGGAGCTGTACATAGGCAACAAGAGCCGTCCATAACAGGTGCTGCTACTGGGTAGTCGACTGTCCTCGTCGTCTCCGTTGCGCTGAATAACAAATTGTACGCTGCGTAGACCGTTGACAGGCACGCGGTCACTGGCGGTGACGAACTCGAGGAGTTGTTTGTGTTGCTCGGGGCTGAAGTCTCGCACCACGTGCCAAAAGCCTCGGATGTATTCGGATTCCCGCTCATATCCTTCGTACGTGACCGTGTCTTCGAGCTCGTTGATGTCAATCTGGGGGTGTCCCTCCACCACAGTCTTGAGAGCTTCGGCCGTGAATATCGAGAGTGCCGTGCGATCAAGGCAGGTGAAGAACCCCCTGGCAAAGGCCTCGTATTGGGGTTGCACGGATTTATGGGTGAGCCACAAAATGTAGTCCTTGACGTATTGCTCCCGATTGGCGTTGGTGACCAGGGCAGCTTCTTCTAATAGATCGCTGTTGATGCTCTGAGGCGTCGAAATGCCTTTGATATCAATCGACGACTTCCTGCGCACCGGTGTAATCGTTGGTTGCAAGTCTGGAGATGGCTGGCTCGGTGGTGTTAATGACGGTTCCAGTGGTAGTTCAAAGGAAGTGGACTTTGCCTTCTCCTTGCCCTTTCTGTTGGGGCGTGACTTCAGTTGAGGCCACGGATCCTCACGGCCGATTTTGAGCATGTCAACTGTCACAGTGCTGCCACAAAGTCCGTAGCTGAACTCGTAAGTCCTGGCAATCACGTCGCCGACATCACCGTCCGACCATTCCAGTAGAGTCTTGAGCCCTCTGGTCAATTCTGGCCAACCATCAGCAATGTGATCAAGCTTTTTCACCTTCAGACCAAGAAGCTTGCGATATAGTGCCACCGGAAACGTCACTGGCAGCGTAATGCCATTGTAGATCGCTAAGGACATTAAGATTCCGAGGGCCTCAAAGCGGTAGAGAGGTTCGAACGATCCAGGCTGGAACCATGCTGTCCTTGTCGAACCATCGATAGTAAACATGCCGTAATTCGGGTCGAACGCCTCCGCAAAGACAAGGCGAAAGAATTCTTGTTGCACGCCACCGTAGTCGACGCCGTCTTCGCCCTCGTCCTTGCCCACACGGACCCGAAGGGGACGCATGATCTCCACCCGTTGCCGACGCCATATCTGATTGATTGCATCGTTCAACAGATTGTCTCTCCGGACCGTGAGTACGAAATAACGAGCCATATGTGGTCGTAGTTGAGCTAGAATCTCCTTGTGACCGTAGACAGGGATTTTTGGAGCCCACAAATACTGCCTTGCATCGCCATAGACCAGGGTAGCACTTTCGTAGGACTTTTTCATCATGTCGAGGTTGAGAGCTCTGAAGTACCTAACCAAGGTGGCGGGCTCAAAGAGGAACGAAAAGGACAGCAGATGCATTTTTCGAGTATCTGCGCGAAAGGCTAGCCATTCACGAGGCATCGCCGCTTCGTCAAACACGTCGGCGATGAATGGCATATGGAAAAGCTCCGAGTTCAAATTCAGCTGCTTTCTTTCGTGGTATAGGCCAGCCAACAATTCCAGAGTGCCACCAACTGAACCGTTTCGTTGCACGATAGGTTTCCGATCCCAAGCTTTCAGCAATACTGTCCTCAAAAGCTCGATGACGCTGGTCCCGATCCGGCTTGATCTTTGATCCGGAGACTTCCATGCTCTCAAGGTGTCTTTGTCGAAGCGCTGGACCAGTAAAGTGACCATGCTCTTCTTCTTTTTCTCCTTAAGACCAGCTCGGGCTGGGTCTTGAATAGTTGCAGACGATTTGTCTGCAAGAAGCCGATGACTGATGATGTCGGTGATTGCATAGAGAAGCCGAAGCACGGACCAATCGTCGAGGACATCGAGAGAGTGAATCATTAAATTCATATACTGTCGGGAGAAATGTAGGATCTTCCCATTGTGATCGCGTTCGAGGGGCTCCCATCGTGAATGGGCGCGACCACTATTACGTATGGTCGCGAGACGACCAAAAGGTGCTTGGCGGCCCCAAAAAGGCCCGTGGAATCCATAAAAGGCCAGCGAGGCAATCGACATCAGTCCTATTAGGCACAGTTCTGCCACATGATGATCGCTGAGTGGTAGGAGCGAGTTGTCTTGTTGCTGGAAGATGGCACTTATGTCCATCGCTTCATCTGACAAAACCTCAGATGGGACGAAGGAATGTCTTCTGCTGTTAGCGCACGCTCTCGTATCGCTTTCGGTGATGGACAGGCTACGCCTGCCAGCCCCCGGTGCGGTCACCCCGCGTGGTAAGCGATATGCATGCTGCAAGGCTGTCAGGATACAACCAAGAACCAAATCACGCTGTTCAAATTTTTCCAGGAGGGCGAAACTTAACAATAAGCTGTCAAGGTCTCTTTTAGACTGCGTTGCCAATTTCGGTACATCGTCAGGCGTATCGTCCGCTTGAGTATTGATAGAATTATCTGGAGCCTCATGATCTTCAAGGACAACAGGATTCGGGTGAGATTGTTGAAAGTTTTTGACTGCGCGTATCAAACGATGAGGGTGGCTGAGACAATATGAACAGCTTTGTCGAAAAAAGGGTAGCACACTTTGCTTGTAAAGGGAAGGGTTTGATATTTCCATGTCGTGGAGCCATGATAGGGTGGGCCAGTCCAGAGTTCGAAGGCTGTACGAGCTCACTCGCAGACAACCTTCGCTTTCATTGTCTGGCGATATCGTATCATGTGCTTCTTGCTCAATCGGATGACCGGGTCTCGGTAATGTAGACCGGGGATTTGAGCTTTGGAGGTTCCCAGCATCTTGCTGTGCACCGTTCGACGCTATTATCTCGCCGCACATCTGTTCATCTTCATCACCCTCGGAGAGATGCGTCTCACTGGCGACGTAGCGTAGGCTTTTTGAAGGAAACCAGTCAAGTAGTCGTAAAGGCAAAAGATCGAATAGAGTCTGTGTGAATGAAGCAATGTCCTTCGACCTTACGGGATCAGGCGAGCGATAGGCTGTCTGAGATTTGGGAATGGCATTATGGTGTGTTTGACGTTCTTGTCCTCCTTCTTCGCCACGCCGACTAGAGTTTTGTGAATTCACCGCATCGACAACATCCTGAGAAATTTCCTTTGGCTCTCTGGAGATATCGAGACCTCGCATGGCCTGGCCTGCTTGGACGACCCCGTCGTGATTGGACTTCGCTCGCTCCTGAGTCGCGCTTTGCGATCTCGGGGAGGAATGCCGTGCGCGCTGCGCTTGGAGTGGACTTTTGGGCGGTACAGAATGTCCATTTTGCACATACGGCGTCTTGTCTAAGCTGGCACGCCTCCTCTTGGCCACGGCGGGGTCCTCATACCAGGGCACGACGGGTTCATTAGGACAGAGTTCGGCGAGCGGTTCTTTGCCACCTCTCGAGAAGTCTTCGAGTAGCTGACATGCAAGCGTCCTAGCACTCAAGTCTGTATATTTTCTCAATGGCCCTGTGCTGTTTCTCTTCCTGTAACTCAAGCAGGTGGGCGTGCTGCAGTTGGTGTTCCTACAGCCATACTGGATCTGATTGGTGAAGCGTCGAAGGAGGAGACGTAATCTTCGATCTCGTTGATGATGAATGTTCAGATAGTCTGACCTCGAGTCGGAAATAGGTATGATATCGGGCAAGAGAAAGTCTGGGGCATCGAACCCAAGGTCGGCGGCCTTGACTTTGTATTGTTTGTCTGGCGCATCTGAGCCGGAATCGTCGAAGGCTGCGCTCCGAGATGCATGCTTCCCATAGTGCATGACAGCGAGAATTCAACGCTAATGTGTGACGAGATCGATACCGTAACAAGAATAGAACCTAGAAACGCAATACAGGCAAAAGATGGCAATGCGAGATCGAAGGAGGGTGCGAGTAGAGTCGATGGTCGTTTGGCGACTGCGGAGGATTATCGCATACATGGCACACAGCCTTGTGACCTCATAAGGCTGCCAGGCTGAGATCTCTCACGCTCAATACTTCACTTCTATACTTTTCTCTTCCGTGGCTTAGATTGAATTCCAACACTCGTTTGACACTTGTTGCAATCTAGGAGCCACCCGCGCTACCAATATGCACATTCTTGTTACGCAGCAAGAGGATAATATGCCTAAATTAGCAAATTTTAGACCTGTGGCATGGAGTGATTCTCCTATGGTGTAATTCAAGCTGATTAACTAAGGTAGTTCTGGTCACTCTTTTGGCATTCGTGAAAACTCAGTCTTGTTCTGGGCGCTTGAAGACGTTTACAGTATTTTGGAGTTCGATATTAGTCGGTGTAAGATTGACACTCTTCTATCATCATACATGTAATACAACCCGGATTGCAAATGAAAGTCTCATTCGCCTGGGCCTCCACCAGGATCACAATGCGACAGTATGCATTGCTCTCTGCCGTTTTGTATTCACATCGACATCACGGCACTTCGTCGGCCAGAGTCGACTCTCGCCACAGAATAAAACCTTTATGTCCATACGCCCGCTATGCACAAAGACCCCATTGACCAGAGAAAGGTGAGACTTTGGAGAGTAGAGAAACCGCTAAAGTTGGGTCGTTAGGCGCGTCGAATCCAACGACGGAGATCTTAGATAAAGTGTGGAGTGGTGACCATCTCAAGTCATGCGGCCACACGAGGAGATTCTGAAGGTGGTGTGCCAGGAGGAGGAAGCTGCATCGTGTTAGCTGTACTCATATCTCGCTCTGCACCGATGAACTTACATCGAGTCTCGTATTTTCTGCCATTAATCTCTGGATACCAATGCCCACGCCCTCAATGACCGCCAGGAAGATTGCACACATGATGGCTCCATTTCGGGCTGCTTTGTAGCCTCCTCTTATCGCAAGAGCACCACCGGTGAAGAAGCCGGCAATGATTGAATTGTAGGGATCCTCCTTCTTTCTGATGCCTTTTACTGCGCAATCGAATGTGCTGAACAAGCCACCCCATACGCCGAAGTTGCCGCCAGTGACTGGTGCTCGAGCTTTGACGGCGGTGATCATGCCTATCCGTCGTTCGCCATATGGAGAATTTCTGAAGCCTTTAATACCGTGCCACAATGTTCCTACAAGCTGGTCAGTCAATTGCCGTTGCATTCATGCGTCGGCTGGCATACCTCCCAGAGCACCCATTGAAAAGGCACCTCCAAAGTCGGACAGCGCTACCCACGGGCATGGATCTCGTGAGTGATCCATTATGATAGAATCTGATTAAGAAGAGGCCCTGATGGACTCTGGAATCGTTTGAGCAATGGTATAAGCACTGCGCACGGTATTTCTTAAGCAGCGACAGAGGTTGGAGGATCAAGGTTTTTCTTCTACTGTGACGGCAGGAGGATCGGATTGCAGGCTCAAGTCGTTCGGCGCTGCAGGAAGAAACAGCAGCGCTCACATGCAGTCGTTGCGTGGATCGAGTCTAAGTAAAATAGAATTACGACAAATCGAAGCGAGGATGAATGTTTCTCAGGTCGATCGACGACGAAATTTCGCCGCAGGTCACGTGATAAGTCGGACTCCCGGCGCGCCGTCCGCCACGGCTGATACTTGATGAGAATCAATACACGGGGAGGATGGTTTAAAGAGGCCTATGTCCGTGGACCATAGAGTTTCGTATCTCATTATATCATGCATCATATACTTGTAATTAAATATGTCCCATATGTACCGTAACGCCATGCTCCAATATGAGAAAGTGTACTCATCTAATTCGTTATGAAAGGGGTAACCATGAACTCCAAATTCCACCGTCACCTCCTCGACGAAGTGTCCGTATCTTTGCTGCTGAATATTCGACGCAATGGACTGGGCTTTTTGACTTTGACAAGACTTCTTTCTCGCCTGTCCGATTTGCTTTTCCGCGATTTGGAGCTTTCACTCCCGACCACCGTTCGATCCGGGTCATCATCAATATGTCGATGTTTCTTCTTCCGCCTTTCATCTCGAGGCTTCTCGCTCTGGCGGTCACGGCTCGGATCCCTGGGCATCGGCAGATGTCCCATTGAGCGAGCTGCCAAAGGTGTAATGAATTCGCCCTCAACACTGGTAGCAACACTGGCAGTTTCGGCATCTGCGATACCACGTCGCCAGTGCTCGATCCGATCAAGTTCATGGACATCGATCATTTCATCCGCGACCTCCTCCTTGTCACTAACCTTTGCTCGGATCTTTTTGATGATCTTGTAGCCACCGAACATCACAATGGTGATGCCCACACCTACGCCTACCGCGATGAGGAATTCGGGGGCAGCGAGCATAGCAAACACGGTTGGGGCACCGGTCTTGAAGGCTGCCAGCGCTCCTGGGGCCATCTTCGTGGCTAGATTACTGATCTCGGCCAGTGTCAATGCAACGGCTGCCATAGCATCGGGATTCTTCTGGAGATGAGTCACAATTGCTCTGACACTGTGTTGGGCGCAATTGGCTTCGTCGAGCAAAATCTTGCATTTTGTGACCAGACTGGACATTTCTTGTTTTTGTAGCGTCTGTTCGACCTTGGGGTCTAACATGAGTGACTCTGGATGAAACTCGCCATACGCCAGGTCCATGTCAATGTGATCATCAACTTCGGAAGTGGAATGTGACCTCACGGGGGGAGGACGATGGGAACGAGGATGCTCGAGTGGAAGATCGGTTGTCCGACGTAGAAGCCCATGTCCTTCGGGAGGGTATACAGGAGAAATAGGAGCGGAACGATGTTGACCATAGAGCTCCTCGTTGAACTGAGCGAGACCAACCGGGGCGGGATAGGTCTCGACCGGGGCCGCATGCTCAATGGGCGGAAGACCGTTCTCTGCATGGCCCTTCCGTCTTGTCGATCCCGAGGAGTGATGGTGTTCTCGTACTGATGGCCGACGTCGCTCTGCATCGTGCTCTTTCTTGTGACTATGCTTTCTCCTGGACCTGTGGGATGTTTCTGATCTCTCCTCCTCCTCAGCCAAAGTCACCGCCTTTAGAGCCTTTCTCAATTCTCTGTCTTCCCTGGCTCTACGGTCTGCCACAATTTCGGCTTTTCGTTCAAGATAGGCTAGTTTCGCCTCTTTGAACACGTTCTTCAATTGTTTTGTCGTACTGACAACTTTGTTCGACTTGTCCACGATCGCTATGGTCTGGTGGATCGCTGCCATGGTAGGCTAGGAGTATGAAGGTATTTAGATGGTCTTGTTACTCAGATATTGACAATAGGTCGTCCGTTGGGTAATCGATTCTGACTGGATTCAGGCACTCGGAATTGAATTTGGACGAAGTGTGAGTCCTGTTACTCTGTAGAAGTGATTGTTCATTTAGCGTCAGTTGGTGGTCACCAAAATAGCATGGCTGGTAATGCGGCGGTCAACAAAGACACCATCTTCGATGATAGTCAAAGAAATCATGGAGATATCTCAGTGAGAACTTATTGTTTCAATGCCCAAGGGCTCGCCAAAGCAGGGCGGCAACAGCCAGGGGCATTGTCTCCAATAGAAAGAGCATTGTTACGAGTTGGGCTGCGTGGTGCCGATTGAATGGTGAGAGACTTCTCCCGCTGGAGACGTCAACCTCGTGCTCAGCCACGCCTCTTCCAGCCACATGAGGCGCAGCATTTCAACAATCTTTTCAAGATTAGTGTGGCGCCATAAACTTATCGATCAACAGCATCCAGAGTATCGAGGTTGATCTACAAGTACGCAGACCTTAAACTATGATAGAGCCTGAGTTTTGCGAAATTGTGAGTTGGTTGATGGTTGATAAATTACGTGGCTCGACTATTTCGGTTCATTCATACAAGCCAGATGCCTATTCGATGAGAATCCTTAGACCGCCAGAGCCCACGAAACACTAGATACTCATAACATTGCTCCGGAGCATTTGATCCTCTTTGAATCGTGGTGCTCAACAGGGCATGTTAGGTTAGAAGGGCAATCGAGGATCCTATTATGACTCGCTCGCAAGCAGCTTCTCCACGGCCGCGACCTTGTCTTCCATCGTTTGTGCCTTGTCTGTTCGACTCCCAATGCGAATATCTGTTTGGATCCGCACGATTCCCTTGTCGTGTAGTATGGTATGAGCCTGGCCAATTAGCCGTGTCACATCGTCCCAAGATCCTTCTGTACAGAAAACAATCGTTAGCTTATATATTGGAATACCAATATGTCCAGAGTCCTGCTATTGCCGGGCTTGCAGTGAAGTTCACTTCATCTCCAGATAGAATAACGTAGTAGATGATGGAGCCTCAACAAACTCCCTGAGCATTTCTTTCCGATGACCCTCGCAACAGACCGTATTTAATGATGTAGGTGAAAGAGATTGTTCTTACCAACAGTAGTTCCCGCCGAGTGCATAGAATATTTCAAACCGCTTTTCTTCATCAATCGTTGAACATCTGCTATCTGCTCCGACACGGATGCGGTCGGAGTCCCTATAGGTATCAGACAGAAGTCGGCCGTACATTTGCCTGGAGTTTCAATTTTCGATGTATCCATCGCCATGTTCAAGTGGTTTTACGTGTTTCGATTAAGCAAATAATTCGAGCAGGTGACACAGCGCTGTGGTGTAAGGCCGGGCCTTTTGTTCTGCTAAGGGGCAGCCTTGGGAATGAGTTCCGCACAGAGCAGACCTCCAATAAAAGCTTGGCGTGCCGGCACAAAATAAATGTCGACCCATAATAAAAATGGGCTTAGTTAAGTATTCAATAAGCCAGATTTAGGCTTTGAAATCGTCTCAAAATATTTCATTATTTTACGAGACCTAGGATTCATTGGTGTAGTGGTTATCACGCGTCGTTCACATGCAGTGAGCACACATCCGACGAGGTCCTCGGTTCGATCCCGAGATGAATCAACTCAACTCACTTTTTTTGTTTGAGGGATAGGTCAACTCAACTCTCTTTTTTGTTTTGCCAGTATCCTGTAGAACTGCGAAATCCTTTTTTGCTATTCTGAAGTACTACTTATGATGCTGCATATTGCAGTCATACAGTCCCCAGGGAAAGTATGGTCCTAAGTTATTACAGTACATAGCTATGGATAACACATGAATAGGTGCTTGGCTCGAAATCCACTCACACCTGCGAAAGAGCATGCCTCTTGTGTCCATATCATGCAATTATTCGTGGACCTGTTGAAATTTGATCCAGGAGAAATATTGCAGCCTCACTTGTGATCAGAGATTAGGCATAGCAGCATTGTCAATGCTAATCGTGCTTCACGCCATCGCCATCTCGCATCAACATCTGGGCGACATGATGTTCCTAGAACAATCATTTGTATCTGTGACGGTTGGATTTTGGTAAAAGATAGTGTTGTCGTTACGAGTGTTGCCAATCACTCTGGTAGCGATGCTTCGTATGGATTCGCAAAGGTAGCGGATGTTGGCGTCCCTTGCAAAGTGGCGGCCGGGGAATATGAGCGACGCTTCTCCTGGTTTGTCCAGCTCTTGTGGAAGTTCAACCTGTCTCCATCGTTCTTCCACCAATGCAGCAACGACAGCCACGGCAGCCACGAGACCAGGTATCTCAAACTAGTGGGTGCATTTCTCATGAGATCATCGATGTCGTTGTCTTCAGGCGTTGCTTCTTTAGGGGCACGGGCAAGGGTATCTGTGGGTGGAGCAAAGAGTTTGAACAGTCTCGTCTTTTTTGGGAATTGCTGTGGTGTCTCAGAGCTTTGTGAACTGGTGAGAATAGACGTATGCACGTCTGTCGGTAGTGAAGGCTCATCATCAGGATCTCGCCACTTCTCCAACAACTTGTAACAAAGTCTTACGAATGAAAATGCTCCAATGATCATGGGAATAAGTTGTGACGGAAAGAAAATGCGGTTTCCAGGACCGAGTACGCCCTTGACATGGTTGAAGTTGAGGGTGCACTCAATCATGATCACGCTCCAAACAATCCAGATGAAGTTTGCAACTCGTAAGGCGTAGAATATGCGACGAAGCCTGATCAACTGTCAGCAAAGCCTACATGGAGATTTGTGTTCAGATACGTACTCCTTGGTGTACAAGCCCGTAGCGTAATGCAATCGAGTTGACGTCCGCCATTTACTCCGCTTTGCCAAAATGACACCCTTTGCGACTCGTGCATACAGTGAGACCGATGACACGAGGAGTATGGTTCCGAAGTAAATGGTACAACAGATGCAGACGATGATGTAAAAGATCCTTACACCTCCATCCGCTTTCACTTTAGCAAACATGAAGGTGTAAACAGTGGCACAAGGGCCTGTATCAGTCAAGATATCTGTGGTATGTGGTTTGATACCTATCAACCAAAACCACAAGCCGAACACCGATACTGACATTGCCAGCAAAAGTCGCAGGTGCGTGCCGAAACCTCCAAAATGTCGAATACCTTTCGGACCCTCTTCTTTGAAGTGGCATGTTCGATAACCCCACAGACTGAGCACGGAGAAGACTGTGCCACCAGAAAGGTGCATCAGGATCACGCAGTCAAGCTGTGTCAAGACCTTGGTGATGGTGCAACGGACCATAGCGACAAGGTTGGCAAAAAGGAATATAGCATTCGTGTCTAATGCGCCACCAATGTCTCCGGGGACATATGCGTTCGCCTTGCAAAATGGTTAGATGGACAGAGATGAGACTTTGAACACGGTTCTTACCACCCATCCAGTGAACCACGAAAAGTAGATGCCCTAATGGAAAAGTCAGGAAACGAGCCTCACTACGAGACGCTCATGATGCCTTTCAGAACTGCTCTGACAACACTAGTAACTTACCAGTCGGACGCCGATTCCATAGTAGTCTGGAGCCCGTGCACTTTCGCATTCATAGTCGTTCGCATTTGGCCCTGTAACATTTGTCCGAGGGAGTAGCCATTTCCTTTCCTTCTCTGCTGCCTTCACAGGGCAAGACAGCAATAGTAACAATACCAGACTGCAGCAAAACAGTAGTCTGAGGTGGTGTGGCATCTTTCCATTCAGTAACTGACCTGAAGCAGAGGTCTGGGGCAAGGATCAATTGGGAACTGACACAAGCACAGAGACAACCTAGGTAAGGTAACTTCATCTTATATTGAGAACCCTTCACAAACATTCCAGGCAAAGGAATTCCTACTTCATCGCACAGATTGTGCAAGGTATCGACTGAGAGACACCTACTAGCAAACGAGGGACAGCAAGATCGGACGAATCGAATCGAGCGCATAGCTTTGAAGCCTGGGGTGAACCCTTGTAAAAGAGGCTGTCAATTGCCTGAGGTGGTATGTCCGATTGACAGGTGAGCCGACCTGCTTGTTGGCACTTCAGCTATGACGGAGCTTGTGCTGCCATCGAACGTCATAGGCTTGCAATACATGCCTTACATACCTTATCGCAAGGCTGGCGACCAAGATCTGAGGATGGGCCATCAAAGTCCGGCAACCAGCAATTGGCTGAACCAGACTATGCCCCAAAGACTTGGTGTGGCATTGTGTTGCAACATTTCCCGATTTCCTCGTGCTGGATTGATCCTTCACTGCGGAAATTGACTGGATACAAACCGCAAGCAAGTTCGACTCGGTGGTCACTTCGTACAGGGCACCTACAGCCAAGAAGGTTCGCTGGATACGAGTACGAGAACTGATGGCCAAGACTCGATGGCATTGAAGTACTGGAGTGAGGCAGACTCGGGATCGTCTTGTGGGAGGCCTTATGTGGATGCTCGTTCACAACGCCCTTGAATTGTTTATCGGCGTGAATTTTGGAAAATATGGTGCCGTTTCCAGTATGTCTGCCGAATACGCTCAATGCCGTACGCTAGTCCCATCAAGGGAAAGTTTACAATTTTAGTGCCCTCTATTTGAGGCTCAGAAGGCTGAAGGTCCATATCAATTTTCAAATCTACAACGTTGAAGGCACAGCCTCGCGTCAATCTCTAACACATCCGAATACGGAGTTACCCTCACAGAATATCATCATTGGCTTTATGCCTACCGAAACCGAAACCGAATTTCCGATACAGGTACTTCGTACCCTCGTGTGAGGTGGTGTTCCAAGCCAGGATGGATGTGTTTGGGCGTTATGCCTACCGATCGAATACTGCACGGGCACAGCCCGAAGCCAATATGCTGTCGCTATCGGGTTTTCCTGTTAGAAATACTTAGGTAGGTTCCTGGGTATCTTTCACGCTAGCCGCGTACCAGGAGAACTAGCGCTCACGCCTCCCCATAGCTCTGTGAGAGCGTATGCGGTATACCTATCTCTTCAGGAGTACATGTCAAAGAAAGCATTATATAAATCCCTGCTTCGTCCCCTGCTGTTCATTGTTCATTTTTAATCATCAATCTTCATCCAACATCTTACGAACTATCTTCATCTCATTGAGCCTTTGTAATCCTCACTTCCAGAGCCAAACACATCCCGATTGACGAATCTTCATATTTCACATCCAACCCAACAAGTCAATACTTCAGTTCTTCCTTCGAACCTATTCCCGTTGACTCTGCTTTATCCCCTCTGCACAACATGTCCGACACCCAGTACGAGTTCTACCACTATACACCCTCGCTCGTCGCGGCCATCATCTTCATCGCTCTTTTCTTCTTGATTTCCGTTCTCCACGCGTACCAACTTGTGCGAACGCGTACACTCGCCTTCATCCCCTTCTGCATAGGAGGGTTCATGGAGAGTGTGGGCTACATCGGCAGGGCAATCGGCTCCAACGAGACTCCCAACTGGACCCTGGGACCTTTCGTCCTACAAGCTGTACTCATCCTCGTCGCACCGGCCCTGATGGCTGCCAGCTTGTACATGCTTCTCGGCCGCATCATCACCCTCACCGACGGCGAGAGACACGCCTTTATCAAGAAGCGCTTCCTGACAAAGATCTTCGTGGCTGGCGACGTCTTCTCTTTCCTTTTGCAAGCTGGAGGTAGGGGCCGACTCGATCTGATCCTCCCACCTTCTCTTCCTAGCTGCGCGCCGAAGATTGCTGACTTTTGTCTTTTCTTTCCGACTTTTCTAGGTGCCGGTCTCCTCTCCGCCAAGTCTCAAAGTACCAGTAATACTGGGTCCAAGATAATCATGGGTGGTCTAGTTGTCCAAATCGTCTTCTTCAGCGTTTTTGTCCTCGTTGGAGTCAAGTTTCACCTCAACATGCGTCGAGGATCAGGAGGCGCCGCCGCCACCACCACCACCACCACCGGTAACGACAAGTCCAACCAGTCCTCGACCAAAAGTGCCGTCTCCTGGGAGAAACACCTTGTCACGCTGTACATCGGGTCCAGCCTGATTCTGATCCGATCGATCATGAGACTGATCGAGTACGCCCAGGGCAACGACGGGTACTTGATCTCGCACGAAGTCTTCCTTTACACTTTTGATTCGGTTCCGATGTTCTTTGTCATGATCCTCTTCGCCATCACACACCCGAGTGAGATCAATGCTCATCTGAAGGGTGCCGGGGCAAAGGTGATCGAGAACATCGTCCAAGTCTACAGCCTGGAAAATGTCGAGGCTCGTTATACCACATTGCAAGAAGTGTGAGACCTTGATGTCAAAGATGCAAATTCCGGATGGTGCTTATCAAACAGATGGTGTGTCGGATTCAGGTGGGATTGATTTTAACGTTATATAGGCTGGGGCGTTTTGGAGTAATTTATACAGTATTGAGGGCGAGGGAATATATTTCCGACCATGCTAGGTTTGAATGATAACATACATAAAATCGAACTAGTACAAGGATCGTTTTGTAATAGTCAACGCATCTTGTTACCCTTTACTCAGTAGAATACCTCACGGTATATGCAGTCACAACAAAGTCTAGTAAACTGCCCAAAGTCGAAGACACCATTTTCATATTGCTCATATAACCCAAATGCGCGCTCATAAAATGCTTTGGTCTTTGTACCGAATCATCATCATCTACATAAAAGTAACAGGTCGCTCACTCACTCACTCACTCACCGAACGGACTCGTTCTCTATCTATCTCAAGAACCTCTTCAGAAGTCTCTGTGCCGTCAGACCCGAATGGGTCAAGATCGCGGCGACAATGGCGCCCCAGGAACCAGGGTTGTTGTTTTGAGTGGCGAGAACCTGCCCTTGATCGATCACGAGGTTCAAGACTCCTCGGGTGTTGAGGTTCCACCAGAACAGACGCTGGGGGTTGTCAGTGATCTCGACGGCGTTGGTCTGACAGGTGCCGTCGGTGCCCTGGCAGTCGCCTCCATTGTTGAAAAAGGTCCAGAAACCACTGCCGTAAATAGAAATGTCACTGCCACCCACGACGCGCTGGTACCACGCCATCCGGCAGTTGGCATCGTCGCTGGCGCAGTTCGAAAAGGTAGGGTCGTTGTAACGGGCGTTCGGAACCCAGGGTGCCGGAGCGAGAGCCGGCGATCCGACACCTTGCCAATAGGGCGTCTCGCTCTGTTGCATACCCACAAACAGATTGACCGCGTCGACAAAGTTGTACTGATAGAGTGCGTTGTGCTCAAAGGCGGTGCCCACGAGCCACACGGGACCTTGAGATTCGACCAACAATCCACGTCCTGTGCCGACTGTTTGCGAGTTGTTGCCGTCAAGGTCGTGATCCGCGGTCCAACCCCACATGTCCTCGACATACACGGACGCCGCAGAGGACGTGAGGTGTAGTAACAGAAACGCCGCTTGGCAGGGATTCGAAGCGTCTGCACACTTGGTCTCGGTGGCTGAGCCCGCGGCACCACCGACACGAAAGTGCGCGTTCCAGAAACCGATGTCGCCTGGCTGTGCGCCAGCCATGTTGACTTCGACCAGAATGCATCCCGGAAGGACGTCGGCAACGGTGAAAAGCATGTCGCTGATCTGCGCCATACCGACTTCGCCTGATTCGCCCACTCGTACCATCACCTGAGGATTGTTGGCGTCGGCGAAGAACGATCCCGCAGCTGAAATAGCCGACCATGCTTCACCGATAAGCCTGGACCCAGGTGGGACGTTGATCGTGGACGTGACGAGGTACGTTCCAGCTGGGAAGAATGTAACCGCACAGCCGGCAGTCATTGCAAGAATGGCATTGATGTTGGCGGTGTCATCCTATGGCATTGAGGTCAGAGATCGTTTTGACGGTATGGAACATCAGGGGTGGAGCACTCACAGTCTGCCCATCACCAAGCACCGGGAGCCCCGGCACGTTCTTGATATTGATAACTTGTCTGACATCAAATTCTTGGTATGTTGGGGGAGCGAAGGTGACATATTTATTTCCAGATACCAGCGAAGGGCTTCTCGAAGTAGCGTATGTTACACCGTTATCATGGGTCCCTCCAATACGGCCATTCTGAGTGTATGCATTTCCATACACCCAGGTCTGATCCACACCACCGGTCAACAGAGTTGTGTTCCCTGCAACTACCACCCTGCCGACATTATGGACATTGACGTTGTCGAGGACCACAGAATCGTCTCCGGTCGTAGTGTTAGAGCCAGCAGGGGTTTGACTTTTGGTCAAGATCAACGCGTCGACGGTGTCTGCTGATGAATCAAGTAACACATAGCTGCCAACATTTCCAACATCTCCGGCGGTAGCATTAATGCCAATAGCGCAATCCGTGAATTGGATCCCCTGGAAGACAATATCAAAACCATGGCTGATAACGATACCAGTCCTGCAGCCACTGAAAGATACGTCCTTGATGCTGTATTGTTGATTGTTGAAGTTCAACCCGATGAAGCCACCCTCGAAAGCCAGATTGCCCATGAAGGTTCCTGAGCCTCCTTCTGGCATTGCGACACCCGTGTGTGCAGACCCTTGTGGCATGCGGAATAAATTGTTTGTTAGTTGGGTCGCTTGACTGACCGACCAATCCATCAGGAGGAACTCAGTATTCGGTGCGACGCTCGTGGAATCAAAGACGAAGTTTTTGACGCCGATATAGAAATTGGTGGTGGCATCTAATGCTGGATCTTTGGCATAAATCAGCGTGGTGCCGTTGAAGGTCGAGGATGCCTTTAGTGTTGGTCGAGCAATCGGGTTTCCCAGAAATACCGTGTCAACATACAGTTGAACGGGGTTTGCCATGAGATAGGTTCCTTCGGGGAAATAAATGACCGCGGGGGCACCAGTTGTGCCTTTCCCATTTCCTCCGGGGCCTCTACCACCATCGTTGACTGCTGCTTGAATGGCGGCAGAATCATCAGCGCTGCCATTCCCAGTGGCACCGTAGTCCTTCACATTTCGATAAACAACCCAGTCTGATCCGTTCGATATGAAAGGACTGATACCGTTATGTTGAATTTCTTCGTACCAGAACGAGGATGGCTGGCCGGGCTGGATTGGCGGCAGCCCTGGGGGAGACTGTGGAGGCCAGGGATGTTGTGGATATGGGCCAACCGGGTTCACGCTTCCATTGCGGTGAGGAAAGGGGCAACCGTGTGGATGAGGTTTCCAGTCTGCGAAGACAGACGGAACATAAGTATATGGGGGATATAGCATTGCATAGGAGTATTCTGTGACATTGGATTGGGAGGCCAAGCCCAGCGGAAGTGTCAGGGACAAGGCCGACAGCGCCACGAAACCCCGGGCAAACATATTGTCGTGAATTAACTTGCAATGGATATATGAAGACGACTTGAGCGGGTAACCGAATAAGAAGATCGATCCGCTGGACAAGTCACAGATCGAACACCGTTCAAGCGATTGACAGCAAGGAATGAATCGAATAGCGACAGGGAAGGAATTATACATTGCAGACCTTTTGGTTGAAGTTCCTAACTCACCTGCTGGAAATTAGCTGACACCCGCCAGTGACCTGCTCCGAGCCAGAAAAGGTCAACGTCATGACAGTAAACCACAAAAAGGGCATTAAACATCTCACACCTGGCCGATCACTCGTTACTGTTGAACCAGACAGAAATATCGCTAATAAGGGGTGAAACAGAGGGTAAGTTAAATTGGCAGGGCGTCCAAGGGGTCTGATGTTTTGCGGGGCTCGAGCAACGAGTACTAATACTTGGGTGACAGTCGTAGTGTGTATACCCAGTTGGGTAGTTGTACTGCCTATAGCTGCGGATGGATCTGGGGGATTTTGTTTTGGATGTTGAAGATGCTCTAGGAAGTAGACCTTATGCAGAAGATGTATCGATGCCTCGATGGTCGACGATAGGTTCTTGTCTTTGGCGCTCATGGTCTCGGCCACCTAGGTCGCGTTTCGTTAGTGATCGAATCTGTTGTGGTCCAATCATAAATAACTGTTGAAATGTGTTCGAAACGGTCTTGGTGATGTATGAAGATTCGCAAAGTCAACGAGAACTATGAAAGGGTCTCGAGAATGAGAAAGAATAGTCCGTGGCTTCTCGTATCGGTGCTCAAGCGTCGCCTTCGAGGCTTAGATTTATGGAGGTTAAAGCAGCAACTAACAATCCTCCAAAGCAGCGCCAATGTCGGAGTATTCGTCCAGATCTCGCCGACGAAACAAAAAAGATTCTATCGAGAGGCGAGAATTGGTACTTTGAACGCAGTGCTCACAAGGTGGTCATTTGGGACATTTCGATGCCTTCTTCAGCCGCCGTATGCCCTGCATGCCAATTCAGAGCATTGATATCTGTTTTCAGACCAACAGTCCTACGATGGCAGACCCAGCGATCCATGGCTTCGGCCATGCGCCAGCGCAGGAAGCCTTCAAGAATGACTCTCTCTCATGACGTGGGTAGATCAGGCTCAGAGAAAAGAGCATCTAAACGCGATGAAGCTGGGCCTTTCGCCGGGATGAATCAGACGGTTGCGAGGTTACCAGAGAGAAGGATGCCGCGTCAACTCCCTACTCGATCTCGGATGTCTCTCCGAACCGAGATCAAGAAACGAACGCAACGAGTAAAGCCTACGACAGGAACCGACGGAGAAGAAGGCGCGACTTCAGGTGCCTCAACTATGAGCAAAAAGAGCAAAGTGGATAAAAACGACAAACCTACATTCCACGCCTTGAAGATGCAGCAGATATTGGCTCCTTTATCGTACAATCAACGAGATAAACTCAAGATGAAGCTCGAACAAATACAGTCTTTTGAAGAGCTGGGGCTGATGCCCCCAGTTGTTGATGCTGTTTACAGTCAGGTCCTGCCACATTTGAAAGAGTACTCGCCTACGCCTGTTCAGAAGCTGGCTATTCCTGCGCTGTTGAGCAAGAAAGGCGAATACCAGAAACAAAAACAGCCAGAAGATGCTCCGAAGTACAACCAGTTCCTCCTCGCCGCTGAAACGGGATCAGGCAAGACGATGGCCTATCTACTACCACTAGTCCATCATGTGAAGGAACAAGAAGAACTCGATCAGATCGAGGAAGTAGAAACAGAGGCTCGAGAAGCCAAAGAAAGAGAGGAGCGTGCCAGCCGCCTTGTCTTTGAGGCTGACCCTTCGGAAACCGAAGGGCCCAAGTACCCTAAGATGGGCAAGCCCCGAGCACTCATCCTTCTACCCTCATCCGAGTTGATCACTCAAGTGACGAAAGTTGTAAAGTCGCTCGGTCACGCCGTCAAGTACAAGTCTGCGGGCATCTCGTCCGCCAACAGTCCGACAGTCATTCGAAATCGACTCTTCAACCCGAGCGGGATTGATATCGTGGTGTCTTCACCACATCTGATCGCCAGCATTGCCAAGAAGGAACCGGGCATCCTCTCTCGAATCCAATACCTCGTGATGGACGAGGCAGACTCTCTCTTCGACCGCTCCTTCAGTGAGACGACATGCGACATCATCGATCGAGCTGCTCCGACACTCAAACAACTTATCCTTTGCTCCGCCACCATCCCCAACTCCCTGGACCGCTTCATCGACCGCCGGTTCCCACAGTGTAAACGCATAGTGACGCCCAAATTGCACACGATACCTCGCCGCGTTCAACTCGGTGCCGTCGACATCGACCGAGAACCGTACCGTGGCTCCCGCGACCTCGCCTGCGCCGACGTCATCTGGACGCTCGGCAAGTCGGTGCACGAAGACCTCAACCCCCGAAACACGGTCAAGCATATCCTGGTGTTTGTCAACGAACGCGAAAAGGCCGAGGAGGTTGCCAAATTCCTCGCGACCAAGGGCATAGACGCCGTCGCCTTGACCCGAGACACCACCGAACAGAGACAGGCCGAGATCTTGTCGACATTCACCTCTGCCGCCGCGGTGGAAGGTTCCGAAAAGCCGGCCGTCCAGAAAAAGACCAAGCTCTTCAACGACTTCGTCCCCTTTGACAGTTCCGACGTGGGGGGAGCCGCGGCCGACGACGACAAAGGTCGCCCGGCCCGACACCTCCCCGACACCAAGGTTCTCGTCACGACGGATCTCGGTTCGCGCGGCGTGGACACCTTGGCCGTGCGCCACGTGGTCCTCTACGACGTGCCTCACACGACCATTGACTTTGTCCACCGGTTGGGCCGGATGGGCAGGATGAACCGTCGCGGTCGGGGGGTCGTCTTGATGGGAAGGCATGACAGAAAGGACGTCATTCGGGAGGTCCGCGAGGCCATGCACAAGGGACAGGCATTGATATAGTCTTCTTTTGGACCCACTTTCGATCATTGCTCGCAGTGTGACGGAGCATGACTGCCTCAGGTGTCGAATCATGGATTCTAGTTCAAGGGGGTGTGTGTGTGTGGGATTGTATACCCAGAGAGTCGAGTGCTTTTTGTTTTTTGTTTTTTATTTTTTTATTTTTGCGGCCGCTCGCCTTTCTCATCTCTCGACCGTCATTCTGTGTACTACCCATGTTTAGAATAGGTCACGGAGGGGTCCCTTGTACTAGAATACATCATATTGTGTACCACATTCAACTAGACCGTCAAGGTAGCTAAGAAAAAAGCACCAGAATTGTACAAGTACCTTACCGACCTTTGGTATACAAACTGAAGTCAACAAACCATGCTGTTACAGACACATTGTAACATGTGTGCGGTCACTGTAGATATGTCCCCCCACCAGATGATTCTTCATTTCTTTTCTGTTCTGCTTACAGTGGAAGCGCCTCCGGTACGGCTTCTCCGTTGATACGGATATGGAATCGAACCATCTCACACGACCTCCCAACCTATATACGGAGTACCTCGACCTGAGACATGACGGGGCCAAAGTCAAAAACTGTCAAACATTGTACTCGTGGTGCATGTACACCGGGCCACATCGTCGAATCTCGATTGCTACCTAGGTACTGGGTGGTCGAGGACAAGTTTTCTAGTCCTTTTTTTTTCCATTTCCTTTTCCTCGCAAAGCGTCTCTTCTCTTATCAAGAGTAGTGGGGAAAAAAGACCATCTCTAAATCTCAATCCATCCTCTTTGGTAGATGGTGGTACCGTAACGGCCAGCATCCTCGTGTCTCCTCAATGCCGCGTGCCTCTCTCTACCTGTGCGAATGCAAAATGCATTTCCATGTAAAGAACCAAAAAAATTCGCTCACAAAAGCCGGCCAACCTCTTTCTTTCTTTTTTGTTCCCAACGAACCGTACCGTACCCATAGAACAACACAACAACAAAACATATGCCCGTTGAGCAGAAATAAAACCAAATGCTTTTCCACCCGAGTAACAAAAAGCACAAAACACAAAAATTTCCGCCGTATGCCTCATTCATGTAGAACTTCGTACCTCTTGCTTCTTCTTCGTGGCTCGCAAGGTCAATCAATGACCGAAACTACCAACCCAACTGGGAGTAATGGTCCCGGTCGGTCGGATGATATCAATCGGCACACTCCCAGAGGTGAAACTCCCCGTCGTCATCTTGTTCGTGCTCTCATCGTCGCCGCCGCCACCGTCTTCTCGTCTTCGTCTTCGCCCTTCCCCATCACTACCTCCCACTTGCGAGTCAATGCCAAGTTCCAACTCCATGGACTTTTCTCTCAACCCGGGACTGGCCAGTTCTTCGTCGAGCTCGAAGAATCCAACACCGCTGCCGCCGTCGTCCGCACCAGTCAGTCCACCCGAAAACCCACTTTCTTCTGCCGAAGCGAGGAGTGAATTGTCATTGTCCGCTGCGATCGTCGGACTGGGCGCGGGACTAGGTAACGGACTCGGCATGGGCGAGAGGAATCGTCCTCCTTTTCCTCGCCTCCGTTCTCGTAGGCTCGCGCTCTTTTTCGAGTTGGCACTTCCGCTTCCACCTGCACTCCGGGGGGAAGTTTGTTGTTCTTCTGAAGGTTGTGCGTCAGGCTCGTGACGATGACCATCGCCGTTGACGCCAAAGTTAGGAGCGATATCCAGCTCGGCATCCACATCCTCGACTGTTTGCTGAAAAGTCAAGGTGGCTGTCGAACCCGAACTTCCACTTGGGCTGCCCGCGCTCACGGGACTTTCTTCATAACTACTGCTCGGCTCGACCACCTTGGAATCCGCCAGCTGGAACGTGACGTGCTTCTTCTTATGCTTGTGCCCCCTGTGTCCACCACTCGCCGTGCGCAACGCGCTAGGCAGACTCGCTCCGACACTTGCGCCGGCACTAGAACCCATCTGCGGTGCCGACCGCGTCCGTTTCGTGGCCAACACCGTCGGCGATACAGGCTGTTCCGGTAGGCTGTGGGACGACTCGACGAGCGCGGCTCGCTGCCGCTCAGCTTCAAGCTTGATCTCATCGTTGAGCTGGACTTGTTTCTTCTCCTCTTCATCCGAGGTCAAGGCCTGTGGCCCTCGCACGGATGGACGCCGGTCTTGAGATTCGAGAAGAGGGAGGTACGCCGGGATGAACACGCCGGCGAAACTGTCGTTCTTCTCAACTCCCGGTGTTGGTGGCCGCTTGTTCGTTGACTGTAGTCGCGGAGGGGTGATTGTCGCCGATGATCCGTCCGACGGTGATCGACTGGGGAAAAACGACGGCGTCGGTGGTGTACTCAAGCTATGCGTGGGTGGCACGCTTCCAGCCGTGATATTCAACTTGTCCAGCGACAAGGTGGGTTTGCTCAGTGGCGCGGCCTTTATGATTTTCTCGCCCACGCCGTTTCCTTCTCTTTTCGACTTTTGTCCTGCTGTCCAGCCGTTCCCCACGACATTGTGTGTCGAGCATAATAAACTTAACGGGGAAGTGTTCCCAGACACGGATCTCTTGCTGGGCGAAATGTCATAACCTTGATTCCTCCTTCGGGATCTCAAATCCCTCTCAAACTCGCGAAACTCTCGATCTTTCGTGGCCTTGAATTTTGCGACTTCCTCGTCCAACTCTCGCCTTTTGCGGTCGAGTATGTCGGCAATATCCGCCTCTGAATCGCTGGTGTTGGTATTATCCGGAGATGGGAGCCCACTCCTGGACATGTAGTGATTCATCTGGGCCGAGTTCTTGTACATGGTTGGTGCTTTGAGCTTATCGTGGGGGAGGCGTGGTCGCGGAAATCTCTCGCTCCAAATCTCCCTTACAGCCAAGGTCACCGGGAGGGTAGGAGAAGGTGGTTGTATTGTATCGAGCTCATGGGTGCAAGAGTCTGGCGCAAAATATCGTCGCGCGACGTTTCGTGGGTAGGAGGTGGGGGATTGTCGGCCAAAAGTCTGCTGTGGTAGACGGCGAAGTGGGGTGGAGGATTGACGATGGTACCGGCCGAATGGTTCGCGTGGGTTGTTTCGGAATATGGACAGGGGTGTATGGAGGAGGCGAGAGAAGGCAGTGTGCAGAGGGAAAAAAAATTCCTGGATGCGAAAATTGGTTTCAGGCGAAAGAAAAATCCCGTGGATAAGATAAAATGCGAGGTTCGAGGAAGGGAGTGCCGGAGGAGACTTCCAGATAGGAGTCAGCAAGCCCGGGGGGTGTGTGTCTCTGCGTGTGTAGAGGAGTATTAATTCGTACTTGTATGGAGGTCAGTGATCGAGATTGATGTCAGAAGAAGGCTTGACGGTGCGTGTTTGCGTGCTCGCTGCTGTTGTACCGAAGTGCGACAATGGATTGTGACAAGTGACGACAGCAGTCGAGATGGCTATCAGCTTGTCTCACGCGTCAGAAACGGACGACAGGCTGGGCGGTGCTGACGACTTTGTTTGACGGCGGCTTCGATCGGAGCAGACACCAACAAGAGGCAATGGGCCAAGGGCAGGTCTCAGAAAAGACTGGAGCAGAAGTTCGACCGGGGGGGGCGTGTTGAAGAAGAGACTTTATGATTAAGCCACCAGTGCCACGTCGGGAGACACGATAGTTCCACTTTTTGGGGCTTTTTTCTAGACGGTGGCGGCGAGCACGTTCGTGTTCTAGCGCAGGGACCCGAAAGCCGAAGACTTGTTCGAGATGGAGGGTTGCGAGTGGGCGGCGCGCACAGGAAGTGACAGGCTTTCTCGTAGATTGGAGGTGGAGAGGCGGAAGGGAGAATTGGAAGAGGATTACTGATCCCAAGCTCGCATCAAGGGAAGAGAGAAAGAGGAATTACGGATAGAAGGTCGGTTGAGGGAAAAGAAAAAGAGTTGGAAGAAAAAAAGTACATGGTTGTCAGTGATGAGATGAGGGGCAGAGTTGCGGTGGTCGACGACGGTGGTGGGAGGTACAAAAACTGCAATAGAATCTCCATACAAATTGCCATGTACCGAGGACAAGCGAGTCGATGGCTTTTGTTTGCGAGCAGAAGCGACACCCTGACCAGAAAGATGGAGACTCCGTATTCATTATCTGTGCCAGTATCAGGCTAATATCAACGGCCTCTTTGTACCTTTGGCTCGTCGACTACTCGACTCTCGCATCCATATTCCTTCGCCCATCACCGGGTCGAGGATAAGCGATGCTGTACAGAGTACACACAGAATAGCACATGAGAGGCTGAGAGTATACGGATATCGCTGTCAAATCATGTTAGAGGTCAGATTCCTCTCCATGAAACGTGGGGGGAGTGGGAGCCGAGGGGCAGAGAAGAAACATGCGAGTACGAGTGCAGTTCATGGGAACCATGGAGTCTCTAGACTGGCACTGACGAGAAACGAAGGCGGGAATGATGAGCAGATGAGAAAATCATTTGGAGAACTCGTATGACCATGGCCATAAGCGATAATGGGAAATTTCTGTAAAGACGATGCTTTTGTGAGGAACTACAGAATCTGATCGACATGTGCGTGGGAGAGATCGTCGCAAGGTACCTGGATGCTTATCTGACCTCTTGCCATTGTCCAGGTGTTTACTGTACCTCAATCATTCGGCATTTTTAGCTCGTGTTTGTTTTTGATTGATAGCATGTGTAAATTCGAGCGTCTTGTATGTCGGTGTTGATGGAGGTGTTGTCGAACGTGTCAAAGCAGTCAAACATGTGCAGCGCCAGGATCTGGACTTTCACCCACCCACACCGCTCTTTGGGGGTCCTGCAATGATAATACAGTCAGTGCCTGACCTAAGCTCCGATGCCCCTCCCACCGACTCCCCGATTCTGCCTCAGGCATCGCTCTAGGCGACCCTAGTGACCCCTAGACGCCCTCTAAAGCCACCTAAGAACTACCAGGGTCTTTCGGGTTCCCCAATCCGGACATGCGCAATAAGCCCAAATACTCCGTTCCTCGCACCATCGTCTCCGACTCTGGCCGATCGTCGGCTTAAGAGGCGCCCAGAGTGCCACCCGGGGAACGGATAGCAAGCCTCGTGATCCCCAGAAACAAAGGCCCTAATCAACTCAATCGATAGTCACACCAACGCACAGAGCAATCGGTGTCCAAGTCCTGACACAGTCCTATTGAATGAATAAATAAATCCCAATTGTAAGCTAGAAGACGAAACCTCCTACCCACTGGGTACCGAGAACCAGCTCGGCAGCCGTTGCCACATACCCCCAAAAAGGCCTAGATAAAACATACATGCGGGCATAGCATCGCGTCTCAAGAGGCCACATGATCCTTCACAGCTCTCTCATTGCCAGGTATCCGACATACAACTTCACCAACAGATGATCCTATCCGTGCTCATACTCAATCGGGTCATTCGTGCACCGGCTATCGGTATCGCTCTTCGGCTCGGTCTCTGCGCATCTCACGTCTTCGATCTCGGTATCGTCGACTGTGTTCTCCCGCTGGGTCTTCGTATCGTTGCACCTCGGAGAATCGAGGCCAGTTGTAGTCGTGATATGCCACTCGTCCTCCCTCGCTCGAAAGGGGAGACACGGGACTCATGGTTTGCTGTCGTTGGTGCTGTCGTTGGTGCTGTCGTTCTCGACGTCGCTCAGGCGAGATATTCGTCACATACCTCGTGCCCTCAAGTTCCACCCGTTGCGCCGGTGGACAGTCACCCCGAGAGTTGGTTTGGGGACTGACATAGTTAGTGATCGGGCTGGCGGCTTCCATTTCGTGCACATGCTCTCTTCCCATTCGAGACATGGGCGATCGCGTCGACGCTCTCTCACCAACCACCAATTTTCCGAGCACAGCCGCGACCTCGTCTTCCAGTCTTCCAGAAGCAAAGTCCAGGTCAGGTATACGGGGCTCTTGATACTTGGGCAGCCCACGTCGATCGTCAGGGCGCCCGGCTCGTGATGGATCAGCGTTCAAGAACATCTCCTCCTCAAAGTCTACCAACGGCCACGAGTACTGCTCTCGCCCCTGCTTGTCGGTCGCATGCGGATTCTGAGACGTGGGGCTGTTAGTCATGTCGCTGTGATGTCTCTCATGGCCAGCTCGGAGATTCGGTGGAACTCCCTGGACGTAACCCGCTTGCAAGGCTGGAATGACATAACTCACTGGCTTGTTGCTTCCCGGTCGAGAATAGGGCTGGTATCGACTCGACTGGGGCGAGGTCACCGATTCGTCTGCTGCGGGGAGCTCAGCGACATGCTTGGATCCATATATCCGGCAAAGCGAGTTTCTAACCATCTCTTCGAGTGTTTCTTTACCTGGTAAAGTAGAGTCAGCCTGCGTTTCGATTTGTTTGTGGTTCTTGAGACGAAATTGCTCAAAGTCGTTGGGGGTCTCAATGGTGACAGCACCACATTTACGAGAATATGCGGTGTACGACTCGTGCTCACCTTTGGACGTCAAATCAGGTGGAGGATTTTCCCATCCCGGGGCAGCAACACTTGAGGGCAGTGAAACTGTGCTTATTGAAAACTGCCCACTCGGCCGCGCCGATAATTCTGAAATATTGGCCTGGCTGTGATTCGATCTGAGCTCGAGTTGTAGATGCGGACGGATTTGAGACCAAGCATGAGTGGACGAGCCATGGGCGTTTGTCTCTTCGTGCTTATGTCGTCTCGCGGGTGGTGAGGATGAAAGGAACTCGTGAATAGATGAAGGTTGTTCGCCTGTTTCGCTACCATCTCTAGCATGCATACACCCTGACAACTTCATCCGAATCGCAGTCGTCTTCTTCTTCGCCGAGCCTCTCAATCGTCCCATTAGTGTTGCTGAGTTGATAGCTGACTCCCCTGAACGACTCTGGATGGCCATGATTTGTACTCGTTGAGTGGTCGATCCTGCAAGGCTCACTCTCTGCTCGATCGGAATGGCACGTACGACTCTCGTCAAGGGATCAATCCGAAGATCAGGCCAACAACAGTAAAAGTCAGCTTCAAATCCGAAGATGATGCAAAGTGGACAAAAATCCAGGGGCGTCCATCTTTACACCTTGTCAAAACCTGTTGTCATAAAGCCACGCCCAATGTCTTGGGCCCATCAAAGAATCCTGGCAAAGGGAGATAATGAAATCGAAAGAAAAGAGTCGCACAAAGCTCCTCTTTAGGAAAAGGGGTAATCAAAGGTACAAAGAATAAAATCTTCAATCATCGTGACAAAGACCGTAGTGTCTGTTTTTGAGTGTTGCGAGGAGGTATCGCTTCAAGCTCAGGATTCTCTTTGAATCACCTTTATCTGAAACGTCTTCCTCACCTCAAGATTGGCCGAACAAGAAACAGCACCAGATCAAGAACTCTCGACACCCGTGGCTCTATCCCATTGCTTGATGGAGTTCTGAAGATGTGTACATCGCAGGGACAATTCTCAGCCTGGGGGTGGACGAAGGTTCTCACCCTCGTCCTGTTCTCAACTCGCGCATGAAACTAGGGATGCTGAGGAGAGCCATAATTTTGCATTCAACCAACAAGATGACATCTTTACAGTTGTGTAGAACGTGTTGAATGAGTTGAATTAACAGTCCAAGTACCATGACTTCAGGACAGAAGTTACAAGGACAAGTTGAGTGGTGACGCAGTATGCAGTGTGTTGTCATCGGTATATCGGCGCTCTTCTTCACCGATGAACTAGTTCGCTCTGTGGTGCATCGAACTCCCATTTTCAGAATGGTGACACCTTCACCTACTGTGCGAGGAACACCTTTACCTCCGTCCGCTGGAGCTTGTGGACCGGAACGAAGACACCTACCTCTAGCTTCAGATAGGAATTCCGTAGTTCGAAACAAGGGAGAACCAAATGTCCGAACACTTGTTTCGTTAGTGCAGATTAGCTGTATCGATGTTCCGTACGGAGTAGGGTATGTCTATCTACACTGTATCGTCCTTACCGCATGCATACAATGAGCGATCCTGCTACAGAAAGGTCAAGCCACGAGGACCTCAGGTACTTTAGTCACAAAGAACTCATGTCTGTGCTGCGTCTAATAGGGCCGGTCGAACACGTCCCACTCGCTACGAGATTTCCAAAGGCTGAACAGTTCAAACGTCCTGTACATAGGGCACTCAAGGAATCACGGGATACTGATATTTGTTATCTCGATCCAAGAAAACCTATCTAGTTGGTCATAAAACCCTGAAATTTGTTCCCTTTTCATGTCTGTCGTATATATCCGAAATAGATCATCATGTAAAGGGTCCTTCGTCATCGTTGCTTTCTTTGCAGAGCTCCTTCTCCCCTTTTCTTTCCAAGCGAAGCCCCATCGAAACGGTGAACTGATTGATTTCTCACGCTCCCAAAACTTTTTCTAGAATTCTCGTCAAAGCATGCATTTTTTGGAAAATAGCCAACAAGAACAGTCCAGTGTGAGTTCTCGAAAAGTCCACGCTCAGAGTGGCGAAGTCAAAGGCGGAATGTGAACCCTTCTCTAGGTGAGGGAAAGCTGCTTAAGCGATGGTGCTGCCACCAGTCAAACGAATCGTTTGGCCTAAGAAGACGAAAAATTAGTATCAATTTTACACATTGTAACCAAGATCTGAAGATCTTGGATCTTCAGACCCGAGAACTTACCGGTGACCCATTCGCTGTCATCGTGGCACAAGAACATGACGACCTTGGCAATATCATCTGGCACAGCACATCGGTTGAGCGGGATGAGCTTGGCGATACCGGCCTCGATTTCCTCAATAGGGGTGTCCTTGGTGGCACCCGGGGAGTAGTGCCATGCGTTCTGGGCGAACATGTCGGTCTTGATACCACCAGGGGCGATGGCGTTGCAGGTAATGCGTCTTGGGCCACCGTCGGCGGCGAATGATCGAGCGAGACCTTCGTTGGCGGACTTGGAAGCGCAGTACAGAGCGTGGTTGGCGACGCTGAGGCTAGCGGCGATCGAAGACATGAAGATGATACGGCCACCATCTATACAGGACAGGGTGAGTCAGCTAAGTATTCCACGCGGGATTTCTTTGTTTCAACTCCGGGGGAAAAAGACAAGAAGAATCAAACGTACCACTCAGATATCTCAGAGCACGTGACGAAACGAAGAACTGAGCACGGGTGTTGAGGCCAAAGACGGCATCGAACTCCTCCTCGGTGACGTCTTGGGTCTTGCCGAAATGCTCCATGCCGGCATTGTTGATAACGATGTCGAGCTTGCCAAAGGCCTTCATGGCTTCCTCGAACATCTTCTCGACCTCGGGCACCTTGGTGACGTTGGCCTGGATGGCGACAGCCTTGCCACCGGCCTTTTCGATCTCGGCGACGGTAGCCAAAGCAGCCTTGGCCGAGGTGGCATAGTTGAGGATGACAGAACAGCCACGCTCAGACAGCATCTTGGCGAGGCCTGCACCAAGACCACGGCCAGCTCCAGTGATGAGAGCGACCTTGCCGTCGAGGCGGATATCAGCCTTGGTAGCCATAGTGGACTGTGTTTTTTTTGGTTACGTGGGTTTGAGATGGCGGTCAACGACAATCTGACAGGAGCAAATAAGCAACCTTGTCAGGAAATAAAAAAGTCCGGCACTTGATCGAGGAGATGTGACGGAATATACACACAGCAAGGTATGAATATGGAAAGGAATTCGGAGTGACTGACCGCTTGATGCAAGAATCACACCTGATTCAAAAGAGAAAGAGGACAGACGATGATAATAATAAAAAAGCAGAATAGGGATGTTGAGAGAGGAAAAAAATAGGGGGAACGACAATTCTTCTCCGTACGAAGAAAGGTAGATGTGGCAGTTTCTTGTGCGGCCCCGGTCCCGACACTAAATCGGACTGCGAGTCGACAGGGTAACGATAATAACAAGGGAACAGAGAGAGTGTGTGCGTGCGTTTTTCTTGTCTTGTCTCTTGGGACGGGACCGGACTGAGAGGTGTCGGTGAGCCGACCAAACCTAGCGAGTCGATTTGTACAATATACGAATAGACCAGTCCAGTCCTACTCCAGTACCTTGAATAGATTGAGGCGGTGAAGGAAGGCGTGAATAGTGCTCGTACTTGGTGTCTTTTGCCCCTCCAAAAATGTGCTTGGATGTTGTTGAGGTGCGGGGCAACAGTAAACAAAACAGGAGAGGGGCTGAGGGGCTGAGGGGCTCTGAGTTGGCTATTATTGACACTTCGATTTCAATTCTGTGACTACTGTTGTGTTACCCAAGATGTGTGCTGGAGGCTTCGTGATAAACCAGATGGACAAGAATACTGACTACAGTACGGATACTCCGTATTGAGATAGCCAAACTAGATGAATACCAGGTAGTACAGAGTAATATTGACGACAGGGGGAAGAAACTCGGGTTCCAACCACCTGGGCATGTTTTGATATTATTAGTCCTCGCTCTCATTACGGGGTAATAAAAGCAGGTGCTTAAGGGGGCCGGGTGTTGATGAATGTCTCTGTCACATTTTTGTGTACTGTATCTGAACTGCATAAATCATGTTTTCGAGAATGTGAATGTGCAACGATGCTACTCGGACTCCGTACTTGATCGAAATATCACACTTCTTTCCCCCTGAGCACCAAATTTCCACTGTCTGTCTATCACAACTCCAATTGTCTCAATCCCTCCTACGAGAGGTAGGTACTAAAATAAATTACCAGTACAGTTTGTACAGTATGAAACTTACCCACCATTCCACTTTGAGCTTGGTAGAGTCCGAACGCTAGCATGACCTTGTTCTTCGTGATGGATTTATTTTTAGCCGTGGCATGTGTGTTCAATGTTTACCGGGGGCCTCTTTTTTGCACTGTACTCGCACCAGGCCAAACAGGCTGTTCATTCACCTCACCTGCACTTTTCACGGAGGTTATCACCTGGGATTATTCAATACTCAGCACTCAGCACTCCGTACAGGGGATATTCAAATGTCTGGCTGACTCATCCAAGTGTGAGGAGTTACCTTGGGATAGCTGCTTCAGCAATATCTTATCGGCGCCAATCTACAACAGCTTATTAAGGCCCTGTAGGGTACTCCGTACTTACTCCATATATATCTAGGTACCTTGCTCACAACTTCCATATCTATGGATTACACCTTTCATCTCTAGATCTGAGAGATGTGATGATCATATACCCTTCATTATGACCATTTCATCCGTATGATTAACCTCAGTTTCGTCTCGTTTGCCTCAGTATACTCCATACTCTTTATACAGCATATAGTGCTCCCGTACCCTGAATTTAGCAGTCACAAGTACCTACCTAACATCATCCTTCAGAATCCTAGATCCTTTCGTTTCTATATCTTCCCCTTGTACCCTGCAATTCCTCTCCAATACAAAGCTCCCTGCAAGGGAAATCCCATGCCCCCCCTCCCTTGTCCTCACTTCTATGATGGTGACATCGCTCGGTTGATCCAAAAGTCCGCAACGACACTTCTACGGACAGGATTCAAGATTTGCTACGGACAAACCACACACAGAGTCCGTCGATCCTTATGCATGAGAGTTCCTGAGAACCTCACCTTGACCTAGCTTTCCTGTTGCCGTAATGTACTGTACATTTCCGGCAGAAGGTGACTCTTTCTGTCCTTGGGATAATCTCCCTTTCAGCTTTCAACCCCCCCAAAAAAATCCGTTTCGACTCCCTCTACGGACCGTCCTAAAGCTTTTTGAAGTATCAGGTCCTTTCACTAGTTTCTTTCGTTAACCCCATACATACTCCGTTGCCTAGCATTGACAATACATATTTGCCCATGATCTTCGTTTTAGCCTACCTACCTAGGTCCAAGTACTTCTTTAGGTCAGTTATAAGAAGCTTTTTCGACCATCATCGGCTAGAACCAACGTCCGATGTCCGACATCATCCAGTCCCAAACAGGTTGCAGGCCACGGTTTTCCACCATTATTCCACCTGCCATCACCACCACCTCTACGCACCATCAATCAATTTTGTCCAACTTTTCATGATTGATCTGCCTACCTCAGTATCCACGTCATCGTAGTGGGAGATTAATTTTGTTGTTCTTCGATTCTTCCGTTCTTCTTTCCCTTCTTTTCTTCTTCTCTTCTCAACTCACCCGGGTCTTTCATGGAACTTGCACCAGAAGCCAAGTTTGTTTATGCTGCCACGTCAAGATGATACACATATTTACAGTCATTATCCTTGAACTATGTTGCGGTGCATGAACCATGAATGAACATTTGGACAATAAGAATATTGCCGAGTATAAACATTCCCCCAGACTTGCATGTGGGCTTCTCATAAAAACGTGATGTGCATACCCAGAGCACTTCAATCTGTGTCCAAAACTAACAGCCAGTAGCCGATGCCACCATCGTCATATACGATGGAACGATCGGTCCAGTACACCACACGAGAAACAGAATCTCCGCCCACAGCATTCCTGCAGTCCCCCGTATTCACCATTACCAGTCCCACAACCTGAAACTCTTTATTTTCCAAAACGCCCCAGCATGCCGTCATCAACATCATCAAGGACATAAGATATCTCTCATATATACACGGCGGTAACATCACGCCCACTATGTCGCATCATCAAACAAGATATTAGGTAAGGTTTTGTTGGTTGTACAACACCTTTTCTGGTGCAAGAACGAGCGAGTCGACGCCCACAGCTTCAACAGCAGTGAGGTTGTCTCAAAGGTCCTTCCAGCTGGCCATGAACATTCGCAGTTTTCGCTTGATTCCATCAGCCAGCCGCATCGACGAATCATCGTCCAGAATTTCGACGCACTGTTGAAGAATGTTTGAGGGAATCTCAACCGGAGCCAATGTCCCGTCAGGCCTCGACAACATTGGTGTGCCTTCTTGATATTTCATATACCGACTAATGGCTTCGTTCTCTGGGGTGAGGTCGTCGATGGCGAATGGTCTATCAGTCTCTCCCTGAGACTGCGTTGGCGAGAATCTCCCACTGCTGCCTGCCATGCTTGTAGCCCAACCAGTCAAGGCCGCCCGATAGATTGCCCCAGCCCACCATGGTGGTCGGACTGGATGAGGCATCGAACGGATCAGCCGTAGGATTTGGCCACAATGGAAGTATACCTCCTCGGGCTGGTCTATGCAGCGCATCTGGAGCCAAGATGCGGATCGGAATGGTCCCAAAGAGACGTCTCGCCGCGCAAATTGCTCGATATCTTTGAAGCTGGTGATGGCATTCAAAGATATTAGGTGATACATAATGAGATTGGCGCAAGTCGTCCAACAGGTTCCCGTGTTACCGGAGAAGCTCTGCTTACTGATCGAGTACCAGTGCTGCAACAAGGAAGATATTTCTTCTAGCCGAGCCTTGGATGCCGCCTTCGAGATAGAGCGTGATCCCTTTGCATGGCTACCGCCGTCTGGTAGGCAAGCGATGAATTGACGCAACTGACAGACCTGGGCTTGGAGAGGATGTAAGAGCAATCGAAGCTGGGTGGGAGACAATTCTCTGCCAGCTAGCTCGCCATCCACGAAGCTGGTGAAGAAATCACGAAGCGATGCAGGGGCCTGGTAAGTGGCCCCGTGAACCTTTTCAAAGAGCTGCAACCAACTCTCGGCAGACTCGGCATGCCACAGATCGTCAGAATCTGGCATAGGTGCATGTAGGTTCACTACAGACAACAATGGTGTTGTGTCCGAGAAGAGACTCATCTCTTGGTCGACGGTAACCCAAGAATGTGCAAGTCTGGAGAGATCATCAGCATTGGTGTGGTAATCCGTACTGAAACAAAGACACTCACCTTCGTTTGGCCTCCTGCTGTTTCCACTTTTCCCAGGCCTTCTCTGTTTCTTGCTTACATTGGCTGACGTCGATAGACAAATCATCAGCATCCAGCATTCCGGAATGAGCCAGCATCTGACATTGTTAGCCAAGAACCCCGGAACCTCAAGGAAAAGCTTACCGCCAAGTACATCCCGCGCTGACCCATGGCCATCTATTAAACAGGTCAGAGAGCAGCTACAGTATTTACATTGGACCGATACTTACATCCATATGCCACTTGTCCCCGGACCATGCTGCAAGGCAGGTGAAAAGTAAAGCGGACCGAAGAACCAAGACTTCTCGAGATTGGAGGACATCTTTTTCGATCGTGTCAAAGAGGGATATCCTGCAAGCCTCGGTCAGACCGCTGGTGACATATCGGGCTTCGACCGTGGCGGTTGCTGAAGCTCCAGAAGCGACCATCAACAGTATCAGGAGACTGGCAGCTTTGCTGTTGTTTGACTGCATCAGGCTGTTGGGATCCAATCGGCCTGCAGCTACCGAGGAATAGTACGGCTCATATCGAACGACGTAACTTCTCAGGAAATACTGCATCACATCAGGAGGTGGTAACATCAGGAATGTGTCCCGACTGGAGTCCGGGCTTGATGGTGTTTCCTCTCGAGCAGCATGGTCGGCCTTGTGGATGTCCAAGGCTTTGTGGAGGAATCCTTGGGTGATTGCGAGCAGCTTTTCTCTCGACCAACCGACGATCGGCTCAGTGGCGATTTTCCGTTCTGTCGAAATGTCAAGTGTAGAGCCGTCAAGCTGGGATGTCCATGCAGTCCATGTGGCCTGGTTTCGAAGGGTCTGGGCAAGACCTTCCAGATAAATGGCAGCAGTCTTGGGAGGAGCAAAGGAATACTTTTCTACGCGGTTACATTGGAAAAAGGGCCATGCTTGATGTGCAGCTAGCACGGCTTCCGGTTCCTGCAGGCCACTTGTTGACGAGGAGCTGGAAGGAGAGAGGCCAATCGGAGGTCGATGTGAAAGATGCTGCGAACTCTCCAAATCCAGCCGCAAACCCAGCGGCGTGGCCCCCTCATGTAGTTGCATGGAAAACGAGAGGTGGTCAGGGGTGTGCACACCCATCTTCCCATTCATGAAAAATGGGTCATTGGGGTCGTGGAGCATGGCTGAAGGGGGTGACATGAAATCCAAGACGTTGGAGTCAAAATCCATCATGTTCGTATGCACATTGCCCATGGCAAAGAAATGGTTATCAGCGTCTTGATCATACGCAGAGCCATGCATGTGGACAAAGTTGTCCATTTGGGGCATGTTGGGCATCATGGGAGTGATCGGAATAGCCATGTCTGGCGGGGTCTGGGTGAACCCATTACGCAGCATCTGATGGTCCATGTCTGGTCCGAACACGGCTGGCGCAACAGCAATGGCATGCCCGTTGTCTGAAAAATTCAAGCGTTGCGGTGGTACTCTGTTGGGACTCATGGTATCTGTTCGATAATGAGAACTGTCTCTACACACAATTCGGGGTCAACTCACGCGGTGAGATGCCATTCATGGGCAGCGGTGGTGGTGCAGCAAAAGGAGAAAGTTGGGCAACTTGGAATGGGGTTGAGCTGGTTAAGGCTCGCTCTGAATGAGGCCTGGTAAGAGGTGGGAGATTGGCTCGTCGACTGGGATTGTGTGAAGAGCGCCGGGTGGCTCGAGACTGACAGACAATTTGTTTGACGACACATCTTGAGCAAGGCACCTGTGAAGGTCAGTGTCAGATCAGAACTGATAAACATCGAGGGAAGGTGACGCCGCGAACATCATAACATTGTCCAGCAACGAAGCCACCAACAACTAGAGGACTAGCATGCCGGGCAGCAGTCGATTCAAGATTGACCTACCTTCTTGTCACACTTCGCCTTTGCCTTGGCGCAGTGAAGGCAGGCAATCGGGAGGCGTTCAGTGGGTGAATCCATGGGGACAGGCTTATGGCTGAAAGCCGGGTAATGATGTTCAGTCAGCGTGAACAGTCAAGAGCCTCTCCCAGCATATGAACTATCCTCCTCTTTTTCAAATGGTGTTCCGACCGAGGACCAATTCGTGAGAGCCTGACAGAAAGCTGCTCGAACACAGTGAGGTGGAAGGCTGAGGAGGGTGTAGAGTTCTAATTAGCATTATCTGGAGGGTGGGGGTGTTGAGGTGAACGACGGTGGTTCTTCTGGGTATAAAAGCGAACGTGAGCAACAGACAAGACAACGAGAGGCGAAAGAAAGTCTGTGATGTGAGCGAGCGTGAGAGCAAGCGCAGGCATATACGAAAGTCTGTTGCGAGAGGACGAGGATGAATCCAAGGGAAAACGGACCAGGTCAGCTCAAAGATTCAAAGGAGATCGACAATGATGGTGGATGGAGCCAGATGGAGACTAAAGAGGCAGGGCTGCAGCTGCAGCGTACGACAGATGAAAAATGCATTACAATGACCACCTAGCACGAGGTATTGGTAATTCGTGGCTGTAATCAATACGAGGTTGACAATACGGTCTTCAGGACCCGATACCGGCAGGTACAGCGGTGCCTTGCCCAAGATCTATCGAGCCCCCAGCAGGTGGTATGTAATTTTGTCACTAAAACCACGTATTCGTACCTTGTTACGGAGGAACTTTGACAACAAGGGTTCTATCTGGCTGGCTGTGCTCGCATTGCTGTGAAGACGCCTTGGTAAGGCCCCGAAAGTCAAGGGATGAGGTGCTGGGTCGATGACGGTGGAGAATGAGATTGTTGATGCATGTTAGGGGCCTGCATGCCCAGCCAAATAGAGCATCCATGTCAATCAGCCCGCCTAACAAGGGTGAGCCGCGGGGATGCACCACCCTTGAGGCCCCTCGTATCATAATTAAACACCCTTCATGCCTGAACAACAATGCCGCCCGTGCCCGGCGCAGCCCTGCGAGTAAGCCTGCATCTCACCAGAGCACAAGCCCAAACCAGACACACCATTGAGGTACTCGTTCCGACTGATTGGGCGCCTCCCACAAAGGGACACAGACGACCCTCCTCACTCCCTCCCTCCAGACTCTCTCAGATGGAGGGGCGGCTATGCATTCCCCGTCATCCTCAATTGGATGTCGCACTGCTTGAAATAGCAATCTCTAGGATTCTGCCCTAGCTGGACACCTTGGGAGGCGTCATCCATCTAGCTGCATGACGTTGCTTGACCGCCCCAGTCACCGGTACACAGCATCACCAATACCAAGCGCTTTTGTCAGCAATGCGAACGCTGGCTCGACATGGCTTTGACACTCGACAATCGACACTCGACAACTCGACCCGCGAGCCTTACCGGCACTTGAGCCAACACGCCTTATCGCACCGGAGAGAAAAGGATATCACGGCGCGCCGGAAGATGTTCAATGACAGCTCATCCACACACCTACATACATACACTACTTGGGTACGGGATGTCCAAGCCAATGATGGCTTGAGTAAAGAGTCAAGGAAACATTTCAAATAGTCATGACTGGGGAGAGGAGACTTTTTTTCACCACCCTTTGTTCGGTATGATGTCGTCAAGGATCTTGCATTCGGCTATGTCTTGCCGTGTCTTACTCTCCCTCAATCTACTTGTTCGTGCTTCTTGTCGAATGTTACTCTGGATTTAGACTCTCGCTCATTAGCCGTCTCTCTCTCGGCGCTGAACTGCCTGCCCCCTCTGGGTTGAAATGGTTCATCGTTTTCAGCCAAGGTCCGCAAGGTGCCGTCACCTTCGAGTATCTGGTGATGGTGGTACGAGTACGAGATAGAGACAGCTGCTGTCCTCCCAAAGACAAATCACCTGCGAGCCGCAAGCCACGTCGAACCAAATCAAGCTGATGGCGCTATCACAACCACTCTCCTACCACTCTGGCGCAAAGTTCCGCCAACTAGATAACAACTGCACTCTTGTATCTGACGAATACGCCGCCATTCTGTCCCCACAACCACCTGCTGGTCCCTTGTTCCTCCTTCTGCACTTGGCAAAGATGGAGCAGCCAACGGCAGCATTCGGCGAGAAGGGTGGACTTTGTCACAATGCCCAATGCGAGCCGATCAACACAGTTCTCAGCCAGCCCACGAAGAACGACAAGAGCCGCAGACGAAAGAGTCACTCCAGGAAAGCGCCTTGGTGTTGTCTTCTCGTGCTTGAGCACCCTGTTTCTTGCCACATGCATTGCATTGAGCAGAATTTGCCGCTGCGACCGACCAACAACCTTGTTGCCATGGGGAGATGTTCTCGTAAACACACTGCCAGCTCATCCTTTTTCACGTAGCGTTTGCAGGTGCAATGCATGAGTTGCTCTTGTCGGACATGAGTCTTTCGTAACAGGAAGGGACCTACGTACACATGCTGAGTTGTCTCCTCACGTTGACCAGGGGGTGTTTCTCGCTACGTGTGCGTCGATCAGTCCACAATGTCCTTCTTCATGTTAAACCGTGGTCAAAGATCGCCTCCCCTGCGACCCGTATCGCAGATACCGTCCCTACCTCCGAGTCGATACAGTCATTTGAAAGCGGTGAAGCGAAGCACCACACCCACACCAAGTTGTTTCAGGCTAGAGCTCCATCGACCTTGGACAGCATCTTTGGCACCTCGCTTGCTGCCGCTGATTGTGCCATGCGAGCATTGCTGGGATGATCCCAGGTGCTCCTCAACCGCTCTTGAGATAACCAACCACATTACATGGTGAGACTGAACGGCACAGAGATACACTGGTCCCAAATTAGACGACACTGAGTTGATATTGAACGCCAGTGCGCATTACTATTGCAGCCCGGCGCTCCGGGTATTGGAAATCCCCCTTCCCCTATCCAAGTGGCAAGAAGAACTCCACCTTGAGAACATGCAAGGCTCGCAAAACCCGGGTCTGTCCCCGTCAGATCACAGCATGCAGCCTCACGCCCTACTAAAAAGATGTCGGTCCGAACTGCTACCTATGCGCACATCAACACTGATGTCCCATTTGTGGCAGAAGCCACGATACTGATACCTTCAAGATCTCCGACACAAGAAACTGTTCAGGTATAGTCTTGTTGTCTTCACGACTTGCACCTGCCCCAGTCTCAGGCGGAAGCTCCTCTAGCCGGCCTTATGCTTGAATCTCGCCCAGTCACCGCCTGACAAGGCTATGGTCCGGGATAGGGTTTCATTTTCCAATTCTATATCGACTGTTACTGCATTATACAGCTCCAATTGTAACTGTCATCCTACGGCTTACATGGTGACTCAGCCTCTTTGAATCTGCAGCACTGTCTACTATGCCACTCCTGCTTTACCAGGTCCCGTTCAACAAATTTTAGAGGTAGAGTATTCGGATGCCATGTCAGGCCACTATACGAGTTCCATCGACAGAATTCGTAATCGAGGAGCAGCTCGATCGGGCACCGACCGCTGCCATCTGATTTTATATCTGATTGCGACATCGGCGGAACGGTCCTGTCAGCATTAGTGGTATCGACGATTATCCCTATTGAACACCGCGTTTGGTCTAGAGCGCAAGAGGTCTGAGAAAAAAAAAGACATTGTCGTCCTGCAGACACAAACCAACGTACCCCAGGTTACCGGTCAAGTGTTTTGTCTCTGCTGTATACGTCATCCTGCATGAGCTGCGGCGCATGTCAGATCCTAGTTGTCTAGGCTGGCTTCAGATTTACATGACTAGTAGAGAACTCAACTTCGGAGTTCCATGCCTCTAGGCCAGGAAGGGCAGATTTTCCTTGTATCCCACTCATGCTGCATATTTTATGGTTTGGGTTCGTCGATGCCAAACCCTGACTAGTTCAACTGGTCGACCTTGAGCATGTTATCGACCTAACACGACACTATGACTTATGACTAATCAGACATTAGGCTGGTGGTCCTTGTACGATTATATACTGTCAGATCAAGCGAGCGGCTCGAATTACTATTCAACGGTCTCGACCTTACCGACACAAAGAGGTAAAGAACAGCATGTTCTCTCGCTTGTTACGCTTTCCCTCGTTAGGGCCAAGGAGACTTTTCCCCTGTCAGCAATCCAGATACGCTTGCTTTCCGGCAATGAACTGTCATAAAATGAAAAATCTCACCTCGAAATCTCCATACAATGATGGCCTTGAAACCAGCCTTTCCCCACAGGATCCTACGGATTCCCAGCAAATTACCAGAACGAGCAACGACAACTCCATTGCCCGAGGCCACAAAGCAACGAAGTGCTCATCAAATGCATGGCTAGCGCTGCCATTCCTAGCCACTTCTTTTTGCAAGCTTTGTGTCCACATTGTTCTTTGCCGCCAGGCTCACAGTCTGCTGGAGCCTCATTGAAAGAATTTCGAATTCTACTCCCCAATCTGTGCCTACATGGGATTATCTACGGCGAGGACATGATCAGGAGCTATATCGATCTGCAGTCGTACTCATCCTCGGACGCGTTCCGGTTGCTTTGGAGATGCGACGGATCGAGCGTTGGCGATACCGAAAACGAATTACAATTGCTTCGTTTTAGGGTTACGTTGGGACGACGTTGTGCCAGCCATCTGCTACTGACCAGGCCTCAGAGATGCGATTTGACACGAATCATTCTCCACACCACTCTGTCGGCCACTCAGAGCTATTGCAGCATCTCGCATGTGTCACAGTATAATGATCTAGAAATGCCCAAAGATGGACGCATCTGAAAACGCTCGGGTGGTGAGCTCCCACAACTGGTCTGCATTGATGGTTCTGGAGGCAATTGAGCTACTTGAATTTCGGTGGTGAATGAGGGATCCTCGGAACATTATTCAATGCAAGTTTCTGGAGCGAGATAGCCGGCTCGCCAGACTTTAATCGAGCTCGACTCCGGATGGTTGCCCATCGGTCTGCAAGGAGGCTTACGATCTAGGCTTTCAGATGCCGTCTACCCTGTCAATACGCTTGCGACCTGATGAAAGGCCAACCAATTCCGCATAGCGTAAAAATCATTTTTTGATGCAAGCTCACTATGAGATCTTCACGGTTTGTCACAATAACGAGATAGAACTAAGCATTGTCTGAATGCTTGACATAAACGCGGGTGACCCTGGTAAAGACTATGTCTGACATTGACAGAAGTGCATGGCTTTTGCCATCAGGTCTTTACGCGTCTTGTGTTCGGCAACATTCCGGCACCGCCCATGCATAATCAGACAGCGTCAGTCCGAGTTTCACCACACCTGTCACAAT